AAAATAAATATATAAAAGAGTAATTAAAATATTATTAATTTATAAATAGAGATATAAAAAGAAGAAAGTCTTTAAGGTATTAAAAAAACTTAATAAACGTAAATAAATAACTAAACTATTATATATATAAAGCTAAATTTTTTTTTTAAAAAAATAAGAATACTTAATATAACTTACTTAAGTATAACTAAAAATAAAGCTTTATATTTAAGGTTTATAATTATTTATAAATACTTAGCTTTATTAAAGTATAACTATTATAATATAATAAGTAGTATTGTTATACTATGCTTTAGTTATAAAGACTTTATAATTATATATTAATAAGTTAATAAATTTTAATATATTTACTTTATTTAGTCCCTAGCTTTAATAAAATAATATTTAGTTTCTAAAGCTTAATAAATCTAGCTTTTAAAAGTATTATAATTAATTTATTCTTAGACTTTTATTTATTATATTTATATTACTTTTATATTAACCTTATAAGTATAAGAGAATTTTATATTTATAATACTATATACTTTATTATAAGCTATTAAAAAGCTTTTATAATTAATTATTAAAGACTAATTAGACTATATAAATTACGATTCAAACCTAGAACTTTAAAACTTTTATATTTTTTTAATAATTTACTTTATAAACTATTTTAAATAAGTTTTAATTTTTATTATATAAGCTAATACTTAAAAACTAAATATTAACTACTTACTTTACTTTATAATATTTATATAAATATAATCTATACTAAACATAAATAAGCTAGTTTACTAATACTTTAAACTTATATATTAATATCTTTAGCTTAATATAATATAGTATTATATTAACTACTATTATATAATATTATATAATACTTACTTAAAATATAAGTTAAGTATATTATAAAACTTTTATAACGTACATGATAAGCGAGTGAGACAGACAAGCGAGTGAGACAGTAAACCAGACCTTCGCGACAATAATATCGAAATCTATAACAAGAAATCTTAGATTGATTAATACTACTCGGATTCCTGTTCTTCGGATGTTTCCTCAATAAATTGACATGTTCTCGCGTTGTGGCCTGTATTCCCGCATACGCCACACCGACGATGAGTCGTCTCAGACCTCACTTTGCGACCACTACTCCGTCGCGTTTCCTCTTGTAGTTGCGTGTCTGCCTCTCTTTGCGACTGTATATCCTCTCCAGTAGATATAGTAAGACTTCCTCCTTTCTGTAGACGTGTTTTCTTAGCCCTTCGACGCCGACTTAATATTGCATTCTCCTCTCGAAGGATTTGAACCTCTGACTCTAGTAATGCTACCCGATGCCCTAGTCCTTCTGTCCCTCTGGCTAGCTTACTCACAGCACTATAAATTGATGCTGGAGAGCTGCTTCGGTGGCGTGAGATTCGACTCTTAATAAAAGTAGACTGTGATCTTGCTTCGCTTGGGTTGCTCGGCGTCCTAGAGATCCAAGGGTCTGGTGTCTGAGGGACCCCCTCCTCAGGCGTTGGCGTTCGGAACTTTACATCCAGCTTTGAGAGAACACTTTCTGCATTCAAAGGGACAAGTCCAGCTCCTCGGAAACCTCCCTGGATATTTTTCCTCGTAAAAGACTGCTTAAAAGCTTCGTGAAATGCTGCAAAGAAATCTTCCTTCGAGATATGGGTTGTGCCTCGCCGCATCTTATTCTCAATTTGCCGACCGTAGGCATTCTTTAACGGCTGAAAACAACCAACATCTAAGGGTTGAAGTAGATGAGACGAGTGAGCCGGCATGCACAGTGTAATAATGTTGTTTTCTTGACAAAAGAGCTCGAAGGCTGCGGAGTGGTGACTTTCATGACCATCAACAACGAGGAGGCGATATTTCCCAGACGTACGTGGTTTTGTATAAATGTCGAAGTGTCTGATCCAGTCAATACCTCTCTCGTTTGTTGTCCATCCATTTTCAGACGTTGCAATAGCCCAATCGCCCGGAAGAGAGGTTTCTGTATACCAGCTTGAGAGGTGATACTGGCCTGCAACGATGATGTATGGCGGGATGCTCTCCCCTTGGGAATTAATAGCCTGGATAACTGTAACCCATTCCCTATTGCCAGGCTGTGTCATCTTCGTATTTGAACGCCTTTCAGCACTTGTAACAACCATTCCAGAAGCAATAACGCCCATCATAAAGCCGGTCTCATCAAAGTTGTAGATATCAGCATCAGCAATACCATACTTCGCAATTGTATTCTTCACAAGCGAAAACCAGCCACGAATCACCTCTGGATCTTCGCATTGAGCTCTCTTATAGTCATACTTGCGAAAGAAACGCGTCCTAAGCTGTGGTTGTCGCTTGACGAAATTAGAAGCCCAGCGCTTCCCAACTGGAGGCGCGTCGCGCTCTGCGAGAAGTCGATTGGCCATTTCTTCCACACCACTCAGCCGGGGAGGAAATGATCGCGCATCTAGGTCGAGAATATACTCAACTATTGTCTTCTCTTCTAAATCTGATAAATTCCGTGAATTAGGCATGCTGTCGCGTCGTGAGACTATTCCCTTTAGTCGCCGGCTTAATGTTGCGTGACTGACTGTATAGAGTGCACCTGCGGCCCGAGCACTAAGTTTTGGGTCATTTCTCATTGCTTGAAGGGCAATTTGTAACCTTCTTTCAATACTAGCTGATTCCATGATTTATTGTAGAGGAAAAGGTGCCGGTCGCGTCAAGGTGCGACGGTCGCGGTTTACTGTCTCACTCGCTTGTCTGTCTCACTCGCTTATCATGTACGTTAAGTTATATTATAAATATATAATAATTAAGCTTAAAAAGAAATAAAATAGTAAATTAACTTAAAAGAATAATAAAACTATATTTTATATAACTAAATATCTAAAAAAGAAATTCTTTTCTATATTAAAAATAAGAAATAAGCTATTATACTTTAACTACTAAATTAAAAAGTTTAAAAGTAAATATAAATATATTTTACTATATATAGTTATAATAACTTTTTATAATATTATATTAATAAGATAATAAGCTACTTAAATATATAAGTTAGAAGTTTAGACTTAATATCTTTTATAAAATATATTATAACTTATAATTAAATAGTAACTAAGTTTTATAATTATTTTATATTATAATAATATTAAGTATTTAAGTTTCTATTTATATATATAGCTTTTTATTAAATATATACTTAAATACTCTTAATAATAAGTCAATCTATATAAATACTAGTAATTACTAGAAAAAGTTATATATTTCTATACTTTTGAATAATATATATATTTTTAAAATACTTATAAGTAAACTAAGTTAAAAGTCTTAAAATATTATTAAAAACATAAGAAAGTAAGAATAACTTAGTTATAATTTATTATTATTATTTTACGTTATATACTAAGAGTTAGTTTTTACTATTAAAATATTATTTTTAAGCTATATTATTATTAAAATAGCTTAAAATAATTTAAGTAAAGTACTTTTACTATATATAATTTTATTTCTAAGAATTATAATACTTATTATAAAGACTTTATACTAACCTATATATAGCTACTAAAGTAAAAAACTCTTATATAAGTTTAATTTTTTAGGTATATAGCTATATAGTTAATAATCATAAAAATAAAATAAAAATTAAGTTTACTATTAATAAAAGTATAAGTCTAGTTATTTTAAAGTTACTAGCTAAGTATACTAATATATATAGTTTTTTAAAATATTTAAATTTATATAGAAGTAGTATTCGGCAATGGGGGTGTTCGGTTACAGGTTGGGGGGGGGGGGGGGGGGGGGGGGGGGGTCTCATGTGTGTGAGAAAGCTCGTACTTATACGTCTGCGGTATGAGTTTCATACGGCTTACATAAGCACACATTGCTCGGTATGTTCGGTGAGCGTTGACACTATCGTCACATATAAGTATGCCATTTCTCGCACACACCCTAAACTACTAAATCTAGTCCCTCTTCTACGCCCTTCGTGGCCTGATTGCTATTTGCATAGTTCATTGTAGCCTTTGCTTATCTATAAATACACGTCGAAAACTTGCTCAAACAACTAAAGTTGAGGCTTGTAACTACAACTCTGTTGCCATCATTCGTTATTCAATGTCGCTATATATTTACCTTGAAAAATTGAAGGAATTGCTACCATTACTACAGACATGAATGTTATCAAGAGACCCCACTTGAAGAACCTAGTATCACACTGATGTATCGTACTCAACCCCCTTAGGTGCAGTGCTTCACAACACATTTCAAGTCAGCCCTGGTATCCTTTAGTTAAGTCTGTGATTCTCAATTGAGATTAAACCTATCTTAGATGCATAAAAAACTCATCTTGCCCCTTTGATTATACTTCAAAAACGTGGTTGGCACCCTAACATTTTACCACTCGAAGTTCAGAAGACGCACATAGAAAAAAAGGCCGGGAATGAACCTGAACAGAGATGAGAGAGACATATGGATATTCAAATACACGTATTCTACGATTGGCATGCTTTCTTCGATTTCTTTCTTCGTTGTCCTCGACCAAGCTATTGGCTATGAAATGGATAGTTATGTAGCATCCCCAGCAGTATTCGAGTAAGCTTCAACTTAGTCTAAGCGGTTCAAGCAAGCCTGAACAATTCATGGCACATTCGTGGGCAATTCATCAAAGCCCAAAAAATATTCTGCTCATAACGATCTAGCAGGTTGTGTACATTCAGGAGCAGGATTACTCTGCAATACTTACACAACCGGCATGATCATACCGGCACATGGAAGGGGGACTAGTGGACCTCCAACGTACTAAGATCAACATTGTCGACAGACAACATCGATGCATCAAAGGCAAACCATAATTCATCCGCAACACATCCATTACATCACAGGCGGAACCCAGCAATTGTTGATAAACACTGTAAAGGGCAAAATTTCTATTCAAACACGCTGGGGTATACTGGACAGGCATAGTACCTGGCTAAATGAAACACGAACAAAAATGAAGAAGTGCAAGCTGCACAATGATCGATCTCTCATCTTTCCATGCGCTCATCATGGATTAGGGACACGTTATACCGCTCCTCTCCCATCCATACCTTGCCCACCGAGTTGCACCTGGAAACTGCTACGCGAATGTCGGACATCAAACCACCTGGGCCACTGGCAAACACAGCTGTCCTTCCAGAGATTGTGGAATCCACAAACTCTTGGACCAAACCTGCCAGCTCTGGATGTCGAGGAGCTTCGCTGCAAGTTACCCCGTCAATTGCCCGAGCTGTTGCACGAGGATGCTTCTCCTCGGAGCTCGCAGCTTTATCGGATGTCGACCCAGATTCGGAGCTTTCGATGACTTTGCTACTTCTCTCCATGGCATGACGCTCAGTGTCACGAGTCGCAAAAATGCGAACAACCACCTCAGGGCCATCCTCAGTCTCAAGGGCATCCAGCTCGGGCTTAATCCACTCTATATCGCTCATACGTCGCACAATCCAGACAAGTTCAAGTTTGCGCGTCGGTGCTGAATGCTTCTTCAAGCTCATCAAAGCAGGAAGAACATACGTCACACCAGTACCGCCAGCGACGCACAAGATGTTGACATCTGATGTAATATTACGCAAGATTGGGTCGCCGTATGGGCCTGTCAGGATGACGGATGTTGTAGGAGCAGGGTGACTCTTGTCTTCCGCCGCCAAAGCAGCCAGCTTACGGGCAGCAATCTCAGCTATTTTTTTGGTTTCACCACCCTTGGCGCGGAAGATATAGGAGTGCTTTGTCTTGCCATTGATGGTGGCTGGTGCATTAAGAGGAGTAAAAGGGTGGGACTGCCAAATACTGCTTTCAGTGAAGCAAAGATAGAAGTGTTGGCCGATATTCCACGAGTCGTGGGGGTGTTCGAAGTCGAGCCGAACAACATCGCCATTGTCTGCATCAGGGAACACTTTCATGGAGGCCTGGGCAGCAGAGAAACCCATGCCTTTCCCCTCAATGAAGTTATGGTGCAACAGCGCGGTTCTGATGCCTCGAGCTGCGCGGTCCAGAAACCAAATGACAAGGGACGGGATCATGAAGCACTCGAGGTTTTTCCAATGCCCTATGCAAGCTCCGATGTAGAGCATGGCAAGCACATAGTGTGACTTGCGGAAAAATTCGTAGCCGGTCAAACGGATGACAGGCGGTAGGCTGAGGACGTACAGAGCCATGAGGAAGAACAGTGCGATGCAACCCCAAATCATGTACAACTGGGAAATCCACTCATTGGCAACTGAAGGCTGAGGCTGGTAGAGGCGAACTTCGATAACGAGCCAAGCAATAGTGTGAAGGCTTGACTGGACGACAATGATATAGCCGATCCATCGGTGGAGAAAGTTGAAGTTCTGGTAAGGGACTCCGGTGAGAAGAGAGAGCATCGATTCTCTGGTGGCGAAGAGGACAGTCAATGGCGTGAGGGCGTAGGCGAGGATGCCAATACGGTCAGACCAGGGACCAAGACTCGTGCGCGTGTTGTAAACACCAGGCATTTTCTTGACAGGAGTAATCCACGTGTTATACAGAATACCCACGAATGAGAAGACCAGAAGATAACCGGACAAGACGGTAAGTATCAGGACCTGAAGACGAGTAGTCCGTCCAAAAACAGGACGGATGCAGTCAGGGAGGAGATATCGGTTAATCGCTGAGGAGGCAGTTTGGCGGAGGCGATTGACGAAACTTTTGCTCGCTCGGGTATCCTCAAGAAGGGCGGCACGAAGGACATCCTCCTCAGACAGTGATGGCAGAGCTCGCCTACCGACGGCCCAGACTAGCAGAATACCACCAATAATGGCCCATAGAATACCAACGTACAGCATGCCCAAATCATGAGAGCCGTAGACGACATCGAGGTAAGCACAGGATCCGGCGTCGTTGGTGCACGGGATAGCCCGATCTGCGTAACCCCAATGGGGCTCTAGCATGGCGGCTTCGCTCATGTTCTGAATATGGCGGGCCGCCAGCTGACTTTTCAAATGTGAGTCCATGTCGGAAAAGTGGTGATCTAGGTACTCTGTGGTTGGTTTGTAAGTCGACGTGAAAAGAGGGACAATTGCAAGACGTAAGCGCCCAGCGCCGTGTAATGTTGTCGTCGATTCCTTTTATCAGTGACAGGATATTGTCTGTTGTGAGCTGGGGCGAGAATTGAGGTGAAATCAGGGGAAAAAAGAATAATCAATACTCGGTAATGGGCGTGGAAGACAAGTTGCAATATATGTGGCAGAGTGTAGAACGAGCGGTTGCTTTTCTTGACACCGACGCTGTATGGGTTGCGGCAGAATGCAAACGACGGCCGGCGACGCGGGTACTATTAAGGCTAGACGGATAATGTGGCTCCGGCAATGTAATTCTCGTCACATTCTTTGCATGACAAAAACGGGACGGGGCGGTATTTGAGAAGGTTTTGAACAACCAGCGTGGGTGGTTAGTTAATGTGAGGGCCTTGGTGTGTTTCCGGTTTGGGACAGCTCCGTGGTGTTTGGATCTGGGCCAGGAAGCGGAGCCGTCAGGACAAGATGATTTCCCATATTGGCACCCGCTTATTGTGTTTCCCCTTGAGCAAGTTTGTGTGTCACAGGGAATGGTCGATTTGTGATGAGGCATAACCCAGTCCTGGTCCTGAGCCCGAGTTTATGGCGGAGACAGGACCAGGGCCGGTAAGTTCGCGCTCGGAATGGTGGCGGGGAGCACTTTAGTGTGCAGAAGGACTAGCATCATCTATGCGCAGTGTACATAGTAAGCCATCGCTAACTGTTGCTGTTTTAGTGGCACGTATGTGTACGTTTGCCCACATGCTCGTTGTCAATCACAATGGGCAGAGCTGGGCGTGGTCCAGGTAGTGGTTCTGAGGCAAAGTTCTAGACTGGGTCTGGACAACATTAATGGAGCGTGTGCTTGTACTAGATAAGAGAGAAGAAAACTCCTGTTTGAGATTGAGCGTGATGAGCTAAGTAAACACATAATGAACAAAAGCTATGTGATGATCGTCTTGGTACGGAGTATGTGAACCACAGTAAAGAAAGAGAATGAGATTTAGGGATTAGATGAGCCAACTTGGGCTGGTGTCAAACTGGAGCAAAAGGCACCGTAGGGCCACACTTGGGCCACAAGGGTGGCTCTTTCTCACCTTACCCGGCCGATAGACACGGGAAAGAGTGAGCAAGTTGAGCACCTTTGAGCAAGTTTCTGCGGGAAAGCGGATTCTTGCTGGTGCATACGACCCACCTAGAGGGTGAGGCAAGGGTGGCACAAACGCCATGGGTACAAGTGGGCCACACTTCATCGAAAAGAGAGTTGAGGCTCCAAACTCAGGGCCGGACGAATCTAAGACATCTGCTCACTTGATTGAATCTTGTTTGCCTCATCAACTGCAGATCTGCCAATGTGAGCCCCACTGTGTCGAATGTACCTTGAAGGAGGAGGGATGGGTATGAAATCTGGAAAGGTTGAGGCTCAATCTTGTTTCCTCCATCACGTTTTGTCTCAATATTCAAGGGTGATTGTGGTTTCAGCCGGAGGCGGGAGGCCCACATAAGGGTTGCACCTGCATCCTCAGTCCAATGCTAGTGAGCAACGTCAAGAGATCCACTCATAGAAGCTACGAACCAAGGACATGTTTGGCATTCCTCCCCTTCCCGTGTCTTTCTCGACTTGACAGGTGCCGCACTCAATATACAACCTGAGCTAACATATATTTGAATACTTTTTTCTCCAACTCTGGCACCTCGAGGGGCTTTGCCCGCTGGCATATGTCAATCTGTGAGTCTTTCCAATTGTCGTACAACTCTTCTTGCAGCTCTTTCCTCTGTCTTCTCAACTTCCTCCCAAACACACAGCAGAAAGCGAGCAACGGCTCCGCACCTATGGTGAGCATGTTGGGAGGCGCTATCTAGGACCAGCTCTAAACTAAGCATGGCCTTGTAGTTGAGAGCAAAGCCCTTACTATTAGGCCGACTTAAGTGGCAGAATCGGCTTAGCGTGAGCAAGTTAGAGGGTCCCATTTGCGCTCATCTCACGGCACTGGTGGCAACTTGGACTTGGCAGAAACAGCTTGCCTTCCCTACTATGCAGCCACCACTAACACCACACTTACTCTGTACCCATCTGTTCATTTGTTGCGACGCGAATCTTGGTCACTGCAACCTAGATGCAATGCATTACCCCATCCATCCAATGTCGTTGCGTGTATGAAGTGAACCCTTTTTTCCCTGTTCTTTCCCCCTCGTCTTGACCCTTGTTCCCGCCCCTCTTGAAACTTGCGCAGCACCGGACTTCGACTGACCAGGGTTTGTCGTCCCAGCCAAAAACCTTCTGCCATTTTTGGTGGTTTCCTCCGCTGCCGAAGGTCGCTTTAATGCCCATGCTCCTTCCCGCCATCTTGCTGTGGGGCGTTCTGTTCTCTTCAACCCGCCGTCCCAACTCAGGGTTCCTCCATCGTCGTATAGAAAACCAACAATTCCTATTTGGACCTTTCCATTTGGTTGTCCCTCCTCGTGTAATGTCTCCATCTCGGACAATATCACCGGCGCCATTTCCATGACCTTGAACGAATTTCGCCGCCGCTGCTATCACCATCACTGCCAGCAGAAATATACGGACCCATCCCCAATTGCACACTTGTTCAGACCTTTCGTGACCTCACCAGCGATATCTGACAATCTACAACCCGTCACTGTCTGCCTCCAATCGCTTTTATCGCCATCAAATTCACACACATCCGATTCTCGGCCAAAACAGAATCTTTCCTCTGCCTTCTATTATATATCGGTAGCCGCCGAATATCGAATCGAGTTTCTCGATTCCTCCTATTTAGAAGTAGCCATCGGTTGTCTCGCAAGCCGCGAAGTTGTGTTTACTGCGGATATCAGAACGTCATGGATCATGGATCAATGAGCAGCTCTTCAGCCGACTGCAAAGTCTCGGTATGTTAGCTTTTTTTGGAGACATCTTCCGTCTTTGTAGTTGTTGATTTTTCAAATGCTGACTAGACTGGCAGATGCTTTGGAACTGGTACACTACCGACGCATGTACGTATGGTCCTTGAGAACGGTGCATCTTAATTGCAAGGACTTGCAAGATCTGATGTCTAGATTCGGCCCCTTTCATACACGACAGTACACTGATTCATTTTGCTCCTAGGTTTCCTTACCGAATCATGGCAAATCAAGAATGCGGGCATGTTTGCTGCCAGTTGCATCGGCGTTGGTCTCCTTACCGTTTTCCTGGAAGTCTTTCGGAGGCTGGGTAAGGAGTACGACGCTCTAATCCAGCGCCAGTTTCAGGCTCGCGCCGCCGAGATACAGGCCCGCATACCCAAAGAGACGACTTGTTGCGAACCTCCTGCCATCGTTGCACCTCAGACACTTGTCTTCCGCGCATCGCCTCTCCAACAACTCATCCGCTCCATAATACACGCCGTCACATTCGGCCTGGCCTACATCGTCATGTTGTTGGCCATGTACTACAATGGATACCTTATTATCTCGATTATTATCGGTGCTGGTCTGGGCAAGTTTCTCTGTGACTGGCTTGTGTGCCGGGTCACTCTTGAGGCGCCTACAGCCTCAACTCCCAATGTTGCTGGCATTGAGGAGCCAAGTGTCTGTTGTGGTTAATGATGGCGCGATGCTTTCTTTTGCAAGACCTGTTTATTATGGGAGTTCTGGGTGCATTACAAACGGGCGTTTCCGCGCTGGGTTAATTTTCGAATAGTAGAATTTCGACTTACGACGTTTATGGTTAGAAAGCTCGCTCGTCGTCTGTGGCTACCTGAAAGCTGCCTTGACTTTTGGTTACCTGATTAATAACATATACCCTTTCTTTGGCAAGTCGAAAATACGTCCAGTCACTCAGTAACAAACCTTGCGGCGATACGTTCCATGCTCGTCGCGCTTGCTCTTGTTCGCATGTGCATTCAAGCGATGTCTAGTCCACCAGTGGCAAGTGTGCAACCATACGGCAGATAGTGGTAGTGGTGGAAGCCGAAGAGTACTAATCTAGTATCAACATTTACATTCGGTGTATGTCCCTCACAAATTTGTCCGGTAACTTTGCTTGTACTACTTGTCACAAGGAGCATGACCCTATTTCAATCAAGCTCACACATTTTGATGATGTGTGTTGTTGGGCTTGGCGTGGTTCCGATATGAACCAAACCTACAACTGAAGGCATCATACAACAAAGAAGCGCAAGAGCAGGGGTTTTGTTTCCTTCTTCACATTTGAATCATCGGATCCACGCTAATAGGTGCTGGGGCATAGGTAAGTCCACTCCAAACACTTTTGTCTTTTCATCTTCCTCTTCCACACTAGTTCAAGTGATTCGCTTGGTCTGATAAGGACCTGTTCCTTGAACCTACTAACACAAGTCTCCGTCATTATCATACACACGTGCTCGCGTAGGTCTATCCGTGACCCAACTGCTGACATGCCCCTCAAACCAAAATGTGACAGGTATCAAGTAGATGTGATAATTAAAAGACCTTGATCGGTCATGCATGTGTTGGCAGAACAACCCAAATCAGTAGCACGCTAATTGGCATTACCTCCCTCCGCTACCTAGTAATTTTCACACAAGTTATGATTCATGACAAGAACTTGGCTCCTTCCTGTTTAAAAAGCCAGTCGCTATTTGCATCGACCATAAAGTTTGTGATGTTGAATTCATTGCCGGTAGGGGCTGGCGCATTAGAGCCACCATTCTCACTGCTACCATCCATGCCGGCTGATGTTCCGTTCTGTGCACTATTGGCTCCTATGGCATGCTGGATGCCGGTTATATTTTCGTTGCCCACCGGCAGCCGGGGTACATTGAAGAAGTCGAAGACGTCCAAATACTCGAGTTCATTTGGCGCGGGGGTTCGAGCCGGCGTCACGCTTGGCAGCCGACTGTGATTTGGCATGCCGTTCGGACGAGGTTGCCGGGAAATCAAAAAGTCCAGATCAAATGCAGTCCTCCGCATGTCGGCAAGTATCTTGACCGAGCTTGGTGTGACGCCGTCACCCTGACGCTCGCTGTCGCGATGCTCGTCTAGTACACGTTGCAAAAGACCACAATATCGCGCCGCTACTGGCCAGTATCGCCCCATTTCGCGAAGCGTCTCTACGAAGAACTGGATTTGAGGCGAGAGCTTATGTTCTACCGTGGACCCGTGAACGAGCAACAGACGCGATGCCACCCACAAAGTAAATGCAAAGGGAGGGCCTAGCTTCGCAAGCAGTCCGTTGTTGACGACGAATTCTCCTAGGGCAGCGATGTTTTCGACTGCCCCATGACAACGCTGCGAGGCACTATATGAAGGTGTAAAGATGGGAGACCGAGTAGTAGGATATGCGGCCGAAGAATGTAATCGAATGACGGCCGTGTGATATGTGGCATGCAACATGACCCAGCCGCAGTTAAGCGTCTTGTTTCCGGGCTGGAAGAGCTTGGCCATATTGCCGTACTCCCCGGGGAGGCCAAACTTCCATGAGGTGAGCATGTTGTCAAGCTCTTTATAGCGCATCTGCCATTGCTCCACATCGCTCAGTGCGCTTATGTCTACGGGTTGCTTCAGAAACTTATGAATCTTGGAGAGAATTGCCAGGATCTCAATGTAATATGAGAAAGCACCAAGGTTCTCTGGCTTGTTGATGTCGTACTCAGGATTGGTATCCTCAGGGTGATCTTGGGTCCGAAACCAACGCGTCTCTACCTTCTGGTTCTTGATCCAGAGGTCATCTCGGCAAGGCAGAGTCCGGTCGATTTCTTTATCGTCAAGTGCGAATTCAAAAGCGGTAGCCAAAGTAGCATAGCGGTCTAGGAGGTATATCATCCAGAAAAGCCGCCGTCTGGATTCTTCCTCGATGAAGTCTTTGGGCTCTGGGAGAATCATAGCCCTCAATGTGTAGATAGACGTGAAATTAGGCGACACTGAAAACGAGGTGCTCTCAACAGCCAGGCCAAGTTGCACAACAGACCTCGTTATCAGAGCCATTATATTCCAACCTGGAGGTCCGTTGCTACTGCCCACCAAATCGAGAGATAGAATAACCAAAGCCTGCAAAGACTTGACTGAGGAATTCTCCATGCCGTACAACAGAACTCTTTGCTTGGATATGGAGTGGTAGTGTTGCCGACTCTCTTCTGTGAGTCTCGAGTCGGTGGAATACCGTAGCGTAGTTGCAACAATGGCGTGCAAAAGAATACGATCAGTTTCCTCCAAGGTGGAGGGTCCAAAAAGTGAGTCCAAGGTTGTTTTTCTGTGAAGTATAGGGCACCATGTGTTAATGTGCTTAAAGTATAGATCCACAAGAGCGTAGAGTAGGTCATAAGGTGGAAGCTCTTGGTCTGGGGTTGTTGAAGCCTGGCTCTGGGCCATCTGCACATCTGGCGAATGAAGCTGCGCTGAATTTGTGCCATAATATTCCTGCGCTGCACTGCTAGGGTGCGACATTGCAGCAGCGTGACTAGGCGGTGCGGGCATGGTGGTCATGGGTATTTGTCCCTGGAACTCATGCATGGAAGGAGTCGGAGGCGGCATTCCAAACTCCATGGACTGCGTAGTGGGCGGATAAGTTGACGGCTTTTGCAAGAAGAGAGCCGTCTCAGCCTGCGGCGTTCGAATAGGTTCAGATGGCCGGAACATAGTTGCGGTGTCGCGTGGGGTGCCGTGATCACTTGGCAGGCTCGGATTGCTGTTCCTTATGCTTGGCGCGGTTCCATTGTGTTGGTTGGAGGTCAGGGTGGCCTGGAGAATTTCGGCGTGTGCTCTGAGGATCTCCTCGAGCTTGTCAAGGCGCTGTTCAAGCTCTCGACCATAGCCAGCGCGAAGGCCAGGCTTTTTGCGTTCCTTGTACTCACAAAGAGCACCATTGCGGCTACACCACCCGCAAGAGGGCTGACCACGGTCACATTTTACCTATTGGGGTCAGAAACGGTTAGCAACAGCACGCGCGGGGTTCCGAAGACGACCTGATAGCTTCAGAGGCACGATGGCTAAAGATGAAAGAGACTCTCTTTGGCCCATAGAGGGCTGTGAGTAACCCATGACAAAGAGTGTGCTGATGAATGACCATGACGCAACAAAAGTGCAGGCGCAAGAGTAGGGAGGGAGTTCAAGGGGGGAAAAAAGAGAGCTGAAGATGACAAGACGGTACCTTTCTCTGCTTGCATAACTCGCACCTTGGGATTGGGTTGTTAGCTTCGGTACTTTGCTCGCCAGGCACATGCTCAGGAGACGGTGACATGGAGAAGAACGGGACGGCAGAGCACAAGGCGCATATCAGAAACAAGAATGCGGGCAAGGGCAGGAAGGAAACAGCGAGGTGTGGGGGGATTAGATACTAAGGTATCCAGAAACCCGTTGGGCCCGGACTTTGTCGAACAGAGCAGGACAGAGAGGAGGGCAAGTCAGAGACGACGTTGATTTGGTGGTGCTGGGGCCAGGATAGGATGGAAATGGAACAGGACAGGACCGGACGGGAGGTGGATGGGCTGGGGGTGACAACTTACGAGACAGATATGGGTCTCTTGCGCTTCCCAAGACGGGTTGCGTCCTGATCGTCCTGATCGAGGTCATTTTCATCAGCGCTATGGAGCTGGTTGCCCTCATCAGAGTCTTCCTGGTCGTTCTGGCTCTGAGTCTGACTCTGATTTTGGAGGGACTTGGTGGTGTTGGCAGGCGGTGACCGGCTGCTTAGAGCGTGTGTACCGTTATGCTGCATCCTCAGGGTACGAAGACCGTAACCTCGGCGTGGCAGTATTCCGGGGGGCGAGGACAGGCGTAGGCAGGGCAATCCAACCCCGAGGGAAACAGTCCAGATCCGGCTCAAGAGAGGCGAGACGACGCAACGCAGGCGCAGACGCAGGGCAAGATGGTTGGGTATGACGCGCAATGAGGGCGAATGCGCTGAAGTTGCAGGCGTTTGTGCGATTTGCAACACGGATTCGGGAGAAGCTTGGAAAGCTCGGGGTAATGTTGAGCAGAGGGTGGGAAAAAAGGGCACAGGAACGGGAGGCTGGGGTGAGGAGGCTCGGGGTATTTTTGATTTTCTGTCCCGTGCCCCAAGCAACCACGACGGTGGCAGACAGGGAACGGCCAGGGGGTAGAAGGGTTCGGAGGAGGGGAAGACTGGGCGGAGGTGGAGGCGGAGAAGCGAGGGGTGCCTGGGATTGGGCAGCTGGAGGGTTGACACAAGCCAAATCGAGTATGAGTATGTCCTTGCCTGGCGTGATGCTCCGCTGTATACCTACGGTTACGGATGTGTCCGTTTAAAAGGATTTTCTGTGGCGGTAGTCAGGCTTGTGTCTGATCTATAATTCCCGTGTGGGCAGAGTTGGTTGGTTGCCCAAAGCAAGAAGAAATGCTGCAGGTCCAAAAATGTGTGTAGCAGAGCATATGCCGGTGCGTCTCTGGTCACTCTATGTCGCCCTTTGCGACCTGGAGGCGCGGCGTCTCGCTGCCCCGTTCTCCTATTTTTTGCCTCGGTAGGGCACGACAAGGATGTGGCAAGACTACTTTCCAGGGAGTTTGGTTCTCTTGCAGACTTTGGCTGGCGCACTCGAACCAGAGCCAGAGCAAAAGCTCTGCGTCGGCTGGGCTTGACTTGGTTTGGGTTGGGGGCGGACGGTACGAAAAATGGATTGTGTGGGGAAGAAAAGGAAGCCCGCACGACCTGAGGGGACGAGAATGCGGAGAAGCGGTCTGGAAGGACACCGACGTTGACCGCGGAAGAGATGAGGGAGGATGAGATTGGCATGCGGACTCTCACAGACAGGGGACAGCCTAGCCAATGGAACAGTTGGGAGGGGGCAGGGGGGAAGAAAAAAAAGACAAAAAAAAAAGAAAAGGCAGCCAGACTGTGGGGCTTGCACAATGGGGAATAGGCAAAATAATACTAGTGTGGTATGCCTTGGGAATTGCAACAACTGTGGAGGTGGCTTGAATTTCGGGGAAGATGTCCAATCATGATGGATTGTATGTTTTTAGCTGTGCTGGAGCGTGGGGTTTCGCTGGACCGAGCCTGGCTCACTGTTCGGCGCAATTCACCTGAGTAAAATTACTCACTTCTACTTCAGCTAGAGCCAGGAACACCTTACGAGTTCTTGTTGGCGACTTAAAAAGATACGACAGCTACTCAGATGACCAGAGTGCTAATTAGTATACGAGAAAAGCAAACTAGTGTCCCACGAATCAATGCGACTAGCCTTGTACTACAGCAAGACAGACACAGCGCTGGGGACAAGTCGTTTTGAGGCGCAAGTCACTAGTATAGCAAGGACCATCCCAGTCACAGTTCACAATGCTGTACATACACACTCTCACACGCTCACTCACTCACTCGGTTGCACAGTCTACCTCAACTGTCACTATTGGAGCTGGTTCTCTGAGATTCTATGCAGTCGCGGTCAGCAAAATATGTCAACTGTTTGTCACATATAGCCTAACCCTGAGTATTTCCGTACACCTGCCTAGACCTAGGGCATTACCGGGTAATGATGTCGCTCCACGGCCCCGTTCTAAACCAGCTGTAACGCTCCGGAGCCAGGACACAGCCACATCCCCGTGCAAAGCAGCCGAGCCGGTCCGCGATTTTATATCGGGCCTGTAACAGCCCACGACAGCCTTCCTGTTGTTTCGCCAGGCTATGACGCTGGCATTTTTCAGAAATCCGGGGAAGCTGGAGCCCATGTGGGCCATACTATGTAGTACTTTGTACAAACTTGCAAACTCACCTTGTGCTCACCAACGCATATTAAATAGAAATACTGCAACAGCGACGCCACCCGGGTGTCCGCAGCGCGTGGGGCCGCTCCACGCCTGACACCTCACCATGAGGTGAGTGTAGTAGTGTTCCATATACCGCACCGCAAAATGACCCGCCGTGGGCCGGACGGCATGCGGGAACGGCGCTTGGTGAACGGGGCACCGGGCCCCCGAAAAAAAAAAAAAAACAAGAGCTCCATCCGTGCTAGTGGGTCTGTAGTAGATATAAGATTGGTGCCTGAGGAAGTCAATGCAACTCACTTCCCCATACAAACTCGGGCCATGTCTCGGGCACAGTTAACCCCTCCATCCGAGTCCCCCTCTCTTTTTTCGTACGACTCAGCACTGTCAGGTAAGAAGCGGTCCCGTGACAGTGCTTCATCTTAGGCACCACTAGGTCAGAGCTGGCCCGAGGTCGCCACTTTTTGGTCTTCATTCCCCCATACCAACAAAGTACGTAGATAATTAGTACGGAACTATACCCATACACATTAGTAGAATGTGGGGAAGTATAACCCATTTTCACTCGGGACACGGCTTAGCACACACCCGTCTGAAGTCTGGAATCTCCTCTGGACTCTATGTTCCTCACGTCTCTCACCAGCGACAGACCTGGTAACGCAGCCATTCAATCTTCACGCAACCGAAGACTGTAATTCTTTCCCGGCTCACTCCTCTGCTACTGCTTTTTAGATAGTAATGTTTTGGTAAAGAATCTGGGGGAGCTGGCCGTCCACTGTCTTCCATAGTTCTTAAGTCACTTGTGTTGAAATATACGATTGTTACGGGTAGGCCTCTCTGTTTTTCTCTCTACCTGCCTACCGGTTCGTATCCCCTGAAGCTTGTTCGTGGGCATCCTCGGATAGACTTGACTTGGTTTTATGGTTGCGACTTATACAACAAGCTGCCAATTCGACTTGATTTGTGTCTCTTGTCTGGCTTGAGACTTCTTAGAGGTATCACGTTACCTGTGAACTCGGATAGATGATACCAGAGGGCCCAATCTTGAGCCCACCCATATTTGAGCTCGGAAAATAGGCATTGGGCTCTGAGAAAGGGAGTGGAGAGTGAGGGGTCTTTTTCCTTGCGCTAGGGGCATCCGAGTTACTAGCCGGTCCTGACGAATTCCGCCAGTCGGGACATCTGACACCGATCTCCAAAACCTTCCCCCTCGACCGCTCACCAGCGAGGCCAACTGAGTCGAGTCGACGAGACTCTCGGCTTGAGTGCAACTCGTCCAACCCCACCAAGCCGGAGCACGCTGATTGTGAACCAGTCGTCGGCTTTGCCCAGCTGCATCTTCCCTGGCCGGCTGGGTTCCGTCTGATTCGGTGCTATTTTTTTTTTTTTTGGGTGTCTTTTTCGTTTTATTACTGTTTAATTCGGCTCGTGTGTTCTGGAATCCGTCCCGTTTCTCTTAAAAGACGCCGACGAATCCCACCCCCTCATTTTTCTCCCTCTCCCCTCAGTTGCTTTTCATCGTCGTCCTACGTCCCGCTATCCTGTTCCTGCAACCGCCCCTCAGAACTCGCCCCGAATCTCACTGTCTCCTTCTTACAGATTGAGACACTGACACGATGGCGTCCGTGAGATCATTCCCCTCTATTAAAGAGGTCCGGACCTTTGTTATTGGCGGTGTTGGCTCCGGCGGCGACTACCACAATGTTAAGGGCGGTCACTGGTGCGTATCTCGCTGACTATGGCGATTGAGATCATCAATTGTCTCGGAATCAACCGGCTGACAGTCGCGACGAACAGGCTGATTGACAGTCCCATTTCCACGCCGTGCTCGCGGTGGGAAAAGTACCGTCACTCCAGAACGAGCTGGGGTATCAATGTCCTGGGTTCATTCCTTGTTGAGATTGAAGCTACGGATGGCACCGTCGGCCTTGCCACCGGTTTTGGAGGTATGTTCTACCATTTCACCTCTATTCCCCTTCCCTTGCCCTACTTTGTTCACTCCGCGTCTCGAAAGAAGCGGCCTGGATAATCTAACTGGGGAATTACACACAGGTCCCCCTGCTTGCTGGCTCGTCCACCAGCATTTCGAGCGCTTCCTCCTCGGTGCCGACCCCCGCAACACGAACCTGATTTTCGAGCAAATGTACCGTGGTTCCATGTTTTATGGCCGCAAGGGTCTTCCCCTCGCTGTCATCTCTGTCATCGACCTCGCCATCTGGGACTTGTTGGGCAAGCTGAGAAACGAGCCCGTCTACAGACTGATTGGAGGTGCCACCAAGGAGCGCCTTGACTTCTACTGCACTGGCCCTGAACCAGCGGCGGCAAAGGCTATGGGCTTCTGGGGCGGCAAGGTCCCCCTGCCCTACTGCCCCGATGATGGACATGCCGGTCTCAGGAAGAACGTTGAGTTCCTGCGCAAGCACCGTGAGAGCGTTGGCCCTGACTTCCCCATCATGGTGGATTGTTACATGAGTCTGAATGTGTCATACACGATTGAGATTGCCAAGGCCTGCGAAGACCTCAACATTAACTGGTGGGAGGAGTGTCTGTCCCCTGATGACACAGACGGCTTCGAGCAGATCAAGCGTGCGCACCCCACCCTCAAGTTCACGACTGGCGAGCACGAGTACTCGCGCTTCGGCTTCCGCAAGCTGATCGAGGGTCGCAACCTTGACATCATCCAGCCCGACGTTATGTGGCTCGGCGGCCTGACGGAGCTGCTCAAGGTTTCAGCCATGGCGGCTGCCTACGACATTCCTGTCGTCCCCCACGCCAGTGGCCCGTACAGCTACCACTTTGTTATTTCGCAACCCAACACCCCCTTCCAGGAGTACCTGGCCAACTCGCCTGACGGCAAGAGCGTCCTCCCTGTCTTTGGCGACCTGTTCCTCGACGAGCCCATTCCCACCAAGGGTTACCTCACAACGGCGGATCTGGATAAGCCCGGATTCGGCTTGACGCTGAACCCTGCAGTGAGGTCTAAGTTGATCCCAGGCAGGGCCCTGCTGAACACCAATATTGTAAGACACCTTGCTCTATTAGACTTTATAGAATGATGAGACTAACGATGCAACAGGAGAGGCCTCTGAAGACAGTGGAGGAGCAGGAGGCGACAAACGGCACGAATGGTGCCTGAAGAGTATGCATGGCGTAAGGGCTTATGACGTGCTTGGACTGGAGCGTGCCATAATGACTATAGATCACAGGTGGTGGGTTGCTAGGCTGATAATTGCCTTGAGTGGGATCTAGATGATGAATGAGGCCTCCAAGATAGTGCCTCGATAGTTGGCACCTGTTCTCATAATGTTGTAGGCAAATGATTTTGATGTTTATGATTACATATCAAGTGTCCATCCCTCCTTCAAGGCGTGACAGGAAAGGAAGGCCTTTCCACCATCTTGTAGTTGTGGAGCATTGCCAATGTTGAAACGAAATCATGGGCGTGGTTTTCCAATACCTCTACAAGCATTGAAATCGCAGGCCATGTTTACAACTTGTAAACGGTTCAAGACTGACGTTTTTTTGGGGGGTTTATTTTCTAAGTCTAGCTCCCAGTATCACGGCACGAGTGGAAATCCCGGACTAGCTAGCGGCTGTGTCGTCAGCTTTGATGTTTTGAAAGATGATCACAGCAATTGGTAACAGATGGCAGGCCGGGATATCCGAAACGGTGTTATGAGCTTTGGGTGCCATCCTGCCGTTGTCTGCGTCCAATACAGTGCAGACGTGTCGGAGAGTTGGGTCGAGGTGCCGATCGACAGGGACATTCTTGGTGGGGTTGCTCGCTGTTATATGCCCCGAGGACGCGGGGTGAGGAAACGCGGGTCCACGGGTCCAGTCCAATCCACCCCGCGCACACTTTTGTCCCTCATGACTATCTATGCCCTCGTGCCGGCCCAAACTACAACACGGCGGTGAGGTCCTCAATTGGATGGGAGGAATTCGGCTCTGAGATGCACGGAAAACTTTCATGTCAAACAGGCCCCAATCATAGCACATCTTCGGTGTACCTTCCCTTTGACTTCGTTGCGCCTTCTGGGCAGGATGTTGACGATATCTACCCTTCTCAACTTAGCTCGAGGGCTCTTGCCTTCGTCAGGGTCCCCTCCCTGTTGCCCTGTTGATGAAGCCGTGGGAGAGTGCCCTTTTTGCCTGCCTTATGTCGTGCATGCCAATTTCCCCACCAAAGCACCGTCGAAAGCTTCCATCTCAGGGCACATCGTGACCCATATGGTTCTGCCGCATCGTGACTTGCCATGGAGCTCGGTTCGTCGGTCTTCCAAAGAACCGCGCTCGCTACAAATTGACCCTCCTGCTCCCCCAGCTTCTCCGCCTCCTCCACTGGATTTTCCACACCACCGCCTTCGTCTAGCCCAAAGGTACAAATAGTTTGCCTGCCAGCCGCTCGCCCTCCCCCCCGCCCGCGTTGCACATACAAGGACTAAGAAAATAAACGTACAAATACGCAGAATTGTCTCTTCGCCCGCTGCAAATACGGTTGTTTGATTGTTCAGATCGTCGTCGATCCCACCGCCGCTTATTGTAGATTGCCCTTTGCAGAAGTCTTTAATAGGCTACGATCGATCGCCTCTCTTTTCTCCTCGCCTTGCCATCCACTGTCCGACAGACCCAAATCCTCCGACATCCTTGCCGTCCAAGACAACCCCGCACCCGAGATAAAATCAACCTCACGTCGTTTCTCACTCCGATACCTATACCTCCATTCACGTTACAACAGGTGCCCTACATAAACATGGCCCCAACAAATCTCCTCACTGGCAAGACTGCCATCATCACAGGTGGCACCACAGGTATCGGCCGGGCCATTTGCCTCGAATATCTCAAACAAGGAGCCAACGTTGTCGTGAACCACTTGGGCCTTGAGAAGGACCAGCCTCACCTCGACTCTCTTGAAGCCGAGGCTGCTTCCATCAAGAACGCAAACTCTAACGCCGGTCGCCTTGCCCATCAGGTCGGCGACGTTCGTGAGCCCGAAACCGCTGCTAAGCTGGTAGCCCTCGCTGTCGAGCACTCGGGCAATGGTCGCCTCGACATCTGCGTCTCCAACGCCGGTATTTGCACATTTGCCGAGTTCCTGGAGTTGACTCCGGACCTCTTTACTAAGACAGTCCGTACCAACCTCGACGGCGCTTTCTACGTAGTCCAGGCAGCCGCTCGCCATATGAGCCAGCAGTCACCTCCAGGAGGTAGCATCATCGGCATCTCCTCCATTTCCGCGCTCGTCGGCGGTGGCTTGCAAACACACTACACACCCACTAAGGCCGGGGTCCTGAGCTTGATGCAGAGCACTGCTGTTGCTTTGGGCAAGTACAAGATTCGTTGCAACGCCCTCCTCCCTGGCACCATCAAAACACAACTTAACGACGAGGACCTGGCCGATGACGCCAAGCGTACCTATATGGAGAGCCGTATCCCCCTGGGCCGTACGGGTGTGCCGTCTGACCTCGCCGGCCCGGCTGTTTTCTTGGCCTGTGAAGAGCTCAGCGGTTATGTTACTGGTGCACAGCTGCTAGTCGACGGAGGCCTCTTTGTCAACCTTCAATAAGCGCCGCGACCCCCAGTCTGCTTTTCGTCCGTTGCTTGGTATTAGAGAATCCTATCTGGTTGCATGGGCAAGGCAAATCAACGAGTAAAGAGGAGCAAGGGGGTTGAACGAGGTATGGGGATGAGGGATAAAAGGCAGGCACGCCGATCCAACCTACGTTGCCCATCATATCCAAGGGTAAAACACGGAGTCAAGGATGGAAGAATGTATGATTGATTTTTTAGCAAGTGAGCGGCGTCTCTCAAATCCACTTGCGTGTTCTGACTGTCCAGTCACGCCAAATTGTTGATACCACTCACCTCATTCCCACCCTTTGAGAGACCCTTAAGCTCTCTGTAGGCCATGGGCACCTGGTATCTTACACCTTGTCATCCCTACCTCCTGTTGCCAACGCTGTCTATCCAAGCAAACGCAGTAGGCGAACAGAACCTAGCTGATACATGCAGCAGCTTTATGACGAGTAGCTGTCCCCATCTATTGGATACGTTAAGGGATAAAAGGGAGTTTGAAAAGGAGGGGGGGGGGGGGGGGGAGGGGGGTGGATATATACAATGGCCGGTGGTGACGGCATCGCAATGCGACCGGCGAGTAGCGCGCAAGAGCGGTAGCGGGACGTGGCAGAGATAGCGCCGGGCTACGGCCCTCTTTCGTTTGGCCGGCGTCCTGGCACGCTTCCGTAAAGCTGGCCGATGGCGTATGTGTGCAGGAAGAAAAGAGAAAAACTGGCGAGGCGCGGAAGGCGAGAGGCTGGAGTACGGAGACAAGTAGGCACCAAGTTTCCGTGGTTGTATGGACGAGAGGAGAATGCAGGCTCGACTGTACGAGGTGTCGCACGTACACACAAATAATGAACGATGCACAGGGAGAAAGAATAGTCGCTGAACTACTACCCACTGTCCCTTCACAACCCGAGAAAAGATACCGCACTTGACGCCCAATAGGGTGCGTGGGAGCAGTCAATCCTTACTCGGGCATTCGACAGGGACAGTCAATCAAACGACGTGGCTATGGCGGCGGGTACGGCGTATGTGGATGGTCTGGAGATGTTTGTTCTCCTTGCACTATGTAATGTAATGGAGAACGGACAAAGGGGTGCGATTCATCGAGTCAGGTACACAACGGTGATAGGGTAGGAGAACAAAGACCTTCCTTGTGTGTATGTCAAGAGCCGGTATTTTTCTCTAAGGTCCTGGTCAATCGGCAGCTGCTGAGACAAGCGCTCTCATGCAGGCCGGTATCAATGCCCGTGGCCCCGAGGCTTTCCGGGCCCGACCGCGTCTGACGCCTCGGTCATTGCCGCCAGGAACGTATTAGATAAGCCAACAATGCTGCGGAAGTTCCTTCGGCCCGTTTATTGGATCCTTTCAGTCATGGCATTACCCTGTTACACACACAGTACGTTTTTCCTACCCCTGTCGCCGCAACCATTTGCCCCATCTAGTTGACGTCACTGTGGGGTCAAGTCCCACTTCTATGGGTCCTGTCTAGCCACCCATCATCACCACATTGTGACCACAGTCATGCTACGTACTTCGGTACACCATGCCTGCTTGACGTATCTTTCACAGAATGCTTGCATTTGATGCGGTCCTTCCTCTCGCCTCATCGTGCGATTGTATTCCTGCAATTTGTGGGCTATGATGGAAAGCCGCTGGCACGTTCCCTACAACGCCTCATTGGATTCTAAGGAAGAATTGATAAGAGTGGGACCAGTCTGAACAGCGACTTTAGAGTACATACCGTAATACAGGGGCCAGAGGGAATGGCGAGCCGCTTCTTTGGTACATTTGCTGGTGGGGAATATGAGATCAGTAAATCGCTTCCTTCGTACCTCGCAGGCATAGCACGGTGCTCTGTGTGAGTTCGAGATGCCAGACCAAACAACTAGCAAGTTCCCTCGTCGTCGTTGCCCCTAGATGCCCTGGCCGAGCCCTGACCATCTTGCTCTTTTTGGACGACCATGCCGCAAGCCGCTTGTCCATCCGAAAGTCTTGGAAAGTCTGCTTATTTCAGGGTCCAACGGGCGTGACGGCGGCTTGCATGTGCCCTCGCCAAGACCGCTTCGGAAAGGCGATCGCTGCCGCTTCAGTCCCTAGTTATCATCATTCTCTCGGACGTTTCGAGGCCTCTCCTTGCTTAAAGGCGGAACCTTTCGCAGCCGTAACGAGGAACTCAAAGGCTAAGTCTCCACCGTGACGGTTGGCAAACTGGGACCGGATGGAGCCTCACTTACCACACTCTTTCATCTTGTTGGCGGCTCGCTGGGTGTCTCGCTCATTTTGCCTAGCCTGTGCTCGACCTTAATCTCCATCTCACCGCCGTCGTTCCGCTTTGTTCCCACGCCTTCCCTTCCCTATCTGCACGAAGTCTGCACGAAGAGCGCAGACGAAGGGTAGTGAGTCTATCCTGAACGTGTACTGTCAGAATCAGAATTTTCACCACCAGGCAAGGTCCTTGTGTGTTGGGTGGAGCGCGCCGGCCTTGGATCCAAAAAAACCTCTCACACTACTTCGCCTCCACGTATCCACGGGCCATACACGACTCAAGAAACTCATCCCAGTGTTATCACTTAGCAAGGGCCTCCGTTTGCCTGGTTTTTGCGGAGACATCCACATGGTATTCGGTAAGTATTCTAAGTGAGAGACCAACCGTAGAATGAGACGTCAGCATCAAGTCAAGATGCTCTCATATCAATAGTATATAAGCTGGTGATCCTCCTGACGGGCATGGAAATTTGGTCTTTTCTTCCACCCCATCAGCTCTATTGTACTTCGTCTGCTCTTCTGAGAGTATCATCTTTGAAAGATTAAACTTGCATTACTTCTTGTTTACATTTCTCTTCCTTTCACGCTTACAACACAAAAATTAGAGGATATCATTGTTCATTCCTCTCAATTCCACCTTATCCAATATGGCTCCCAAACACCGAGCTTCATCCACCGGCAGCTTCATCGAGAGCATTGTCGCTGCTCGTAAGGAGCTGGACAACTTGGCTCTCAGCAGTCCCGAATCGTCTCTGGATGGTTCTGCTGGCGGCTCTGCGGGAACATCGGCCCTCGGCAGTCCAGTTGGTGCCCTTTCACCGGTCACACCAACAGTAGACGCCCCTGTTGCCGATAGCTTTGCCTTCGCCTTTGATATTGACGGCGTCCTCATTCGAGGTGGCCGTGCCATCCCAGAAGCTGTTGAGGCCATGAAGGTACTGAACGGCGACAACGAATATGGCATTCAGATGTAAGTCAACTACCCCAAGAATTCCTGTGGGTTTGGGCCCCCTCCTGCCCCCATCGGACCCACTTCTATCCGATCGTGACTTTGGTGAATGATGAATGGCTGACATGAACGTTGCCACAGTCCCTACATCTTTCTCACCAACGGCGGTGGCAAGACAGAGGAGGAAAGATGTCGCGATCTGTCGAAGCAGATGGAAATCGACATCTCGCCTGCGCAGTTCATCTGTGGCCACACCCCCATGAGAGAGATGGCTGAGCGTTTCAACACTGTGCTTGTCGTTGGCGGCGAGGGCGAGAAATGCCGCCAGGTCGCCGAGGGCTACGGCTTCAAAGATGTCATCACCCCTGGTGATATTATCAAGCACAACTCTGCGACTACTCCCTTCCGTAAACTCACTCAGGATGAGTACATCAACTCTCGAGAAAGAGATTTCACAGATGTCACCATTGAGGCTATTTTTGTCTTCGCCGATTCCCGCGACTGGGCTGGCGATATCCAAATCATGCTTGATCTCGCAATGTCCAAGGGCGGCCGTCTCGGCACCTTGAGCGAGACCATGGATGAGGGGCCACCCATCTACTTCTCCCACAACGACGTTGTCTGGTCAGCCGCTCACGACAACGTGCGTCTCGGCATGGGAGCTCTTCGACGCATGCTTGAGGTTGTTTTCAGGGACGTGACGAAGAAGAAGGGAAAGTTGCACACCCACGCCTTTGGCAAGCCTCAAGTTAGCACCTTTGAGTTCGCAACAAGGTTGTTGCAGCAGTGGAGACGCCAGCAGCACGGCCTCGATGCCCCTCCTGACACTGTCTACTTCGTCGGTGATACGCCAGAAAGCGATATTCGTGGCACCAATGCCTACGACGAGCATGCCGACAATGAGTGGCACAGTATCCTTGTTAAGACTGGAGTCTACCAGGACGGTACGGAACCGGCGTATAAACCCAAGGTGATTGTGCCTACGGTGCTGGATGCTGTCCGCTACGGCATCCAGCGCGAGATCCGCAAGAGAGTCGTCTCGTCTCTCAGGAAAGATGTGCTTGGCGAAGAGGCATGTCTGGAGGCCCTCCAGCAAAAGGACAGCGCGGTTCTAACTCCTCTCGAGGAGCGTAGCCAGCCAATCCTGGGATGAGAAATGAACTGTTCGGACCGCGCCACTTTGATTCATGAAGCTAGCGAGTCATTTCCTCTTTTCATGTTGTATCTTTTCTCATTACTGTCTTTCTTTTTTGCATTTTGGGGGGTAAATTTGTGATACCATTTGGCGTTTTATCAAACCAATGAGGATTATGACTAGAATCTATATAGCCATAGACGACAGCTACAGTCGGTATCAGCCGAATACAAGATACACGGGCGCCATTTGACGCCGTAACTTTAAAAGCTGACTATGAGGGCTGCCAAATGTGAGATGCCTTGTTTTTTCCAATTTGAATTAGGTCTTCATTGACACCAAAGATCCATGGTACTTGGTTGTAACATGCTAGACGTTCTAGCAGTCAAGTAAAGTCTTCGCTGCTCTAGGCACAGCCTTGCCGCCGTTGCCGCACCATAAAGTGTTCCATGTTTGCTGACTGGGATTGCCTAAGGTAACGAGACGGGATGTTGATGTCGAAGGGCCTATCTTGTTCACTTGACACACAGCATGTACATCTCTCCTCTTTTTCTTAACTTTTCTGGCGTAGTGTTATGCAGCTGCAAGGCACGCCAAGGCCGTCCAGTATAAATCCTGGCGCAGGTTTCCTCCGTCCGGTTGGTAGTCGATATCTCTCTGTCCCGCGGCTGAGGGGATTTCACCGAGGTACTCAGCTATTCAGTGGTAGTTTGCTTGGCAGGTTCGTTAGGCTTCCATCGTCCTCAATAAGAGATCACCTTTTGCATCTGTCTGAAGACGGATGTTGGTGATGGTGGTATGGGAGGATTGAGGAAGCAAGGCCTCTCTGATGTACAATGCAATTGTCGTACCTGGCTGTAACCTAAGCACGATACATGGAGACACAATAGCCCCCTCCCCCATTTCTATCCCCGCCCGCTTTCCTACCTTTTGGTCTCCTCCTCCGCATCCTCCACAACCCCATCGACTATCCTTTTTGGGTGACCGCTGCATTATGACTAGACCCTGTTTTATGGGATTCTGTAAAATTGAAATTTCCCCACTGAGATGAGGCAGCCCAAGGTGTAGCATCAATGGCGTCCTGGCGTTTCTGCCGGTCGGACAAGGCTTCCTGCGCGCTGCAGCCGATGGAGAACCCAGGAACATTGGCGCGTTCAACTCTTAGCCAGCCTTTCCATGCGGCGGTGATGTCGCCGGCACCGAGGGCACCAATGACGATGGTCCCCCACCACTCACGGCCACTGCTGTCATGGGCACCATAAAACATCCAGTTTTCAGCGGCCATGACAAGCTCCCGGAGCTGATTGGGGCTGATGCGACTGGTGGTTGTGCGGTCTTTACTGTCGCTGGAGATGTCATGGAAGGCAGGGCGGTGCACGTAAACATGACGAAGGTCGTCGGGGCTGCAGGAAAGACGGGTAGCATCAAAGCGGTGCTCTGTGTCAAACACAAGAACCGTTCTGTAGTAAGGGGCCGACACGAGCCCCGAAACAAGCCGGTAGATGAGGGGCAGTTGCCGGCCTGTCACAGCCAACGGAACCGATTGAGTTGCGCGAAAGTTCCGTGCGGCAAGTGCGTTCAGGACTGGGATAGGGAAAAATTTGGGCCGCTTCGGCTTTGTGGGTGTTACTGTGGATGTAACTGTAGATGTTGTTGTTGTTGAGTTGTATTCTGAGCGAAGTGTGATCAGAACCTGGCAATGCTCGTGTTATTGACACGTCCAAAGAATGAAAGAGGAGGAAGTTGTGCTGCAATTACGAGCCTCATGAACGAGAGCAACCTAACACCACCAAGGATACTAATTACAGTCGAGTAAAAAGGCATAACCGAGAAGTTATACATTGATCTGCTGTGAGGTGAAGTGAGTGAGGAGCCACTCGGCTCCGTCCACGGGCCAGCATCTTGTTGCCTCTGCCTCTTGGGAAGGGGAAAAAAAAAAAAAGGGGACTTGGACTCCATCCCTCGACCATTACAACGCAACTCATCAACCTATGTGGCACCTCGACTGTTGCCGTCTCGCATCGAGAATTTTGTCTTGAATGACACTCACCTTTTCCAGATTAGTCTCTTGGACATCGCCCAGTAGCCTTGCACCCCTTAACGTCGTCGCTGAGAGCCTGTCCATCTTTGCAATCTGCCCGAACTGAAGCTTTTTGCTGCTGCTGGTGGCGCCACCGTTGTCACCGTTAATATGACTCCGCCGTGTGTTACTTTTGACGTGTCGGAATTACCACGGCACGTTCAAGCAGACCTCAAAGGCAAAAAACGCAAGCTTGAAGGTGGCGCTGATGTCGACTTGTCCAAGTGCGTGCTGAGAGCGATGACGCAGTTTAGGTGCATCGTCCAAAATCCCGAGGTCAGAGATAGCCCCGTCGGGTGTTGGCCCATCCAACGGTTTTTCCGCCAGTATGTTTCGCTCCCTACGTTTCTTTTGAACAAGGCACAGCCTTTTGTGAATATTGAGTCATATCTAGGGTTCTGCTACCTCTAATTTAGTAGTATATGCTGACTGTTCTTTTTTTTTCTTCCCTCGAAAAGATGCCAGGACAAGAAAGGAACTTTCACAGTTGAGACCACGGCCTGGGAGGGACTGAACACTAAGACTGTACATAGAGCCAACATTAACGGTAGTCCGGATGGCGGAGATGGAAAACTCGGCGCGAGCAAGACGACGGACAAAAATGGCAACCGAGAAAACCATCACCAATGGTCACAGGCATGGGAGGAGCAATGAAACTGCTGCTTGGGATGAGTCTGTTGATGTAGTAATAGCATATTGTAATTTCCTTTTCATCGTCTCATTTTACTACTGAAAGCATTCTTTCCTGGTCTACTCGTCGAATATCAGACAGTTGTAGAGCATTCGTAGGCATGGATTCAACAACAATTATGCCTGGTCGCAGATAACGTCATGGCAACAGAAGGTTTAGTGAGCAATGCATCGAAACTTTGTTACGTTGGATCCTGTACACGACATCCCTCGAAATAGAAAATATTCTCGACTTGATTTGCTGGTGTGTATGGTACAATCGAGGTCGGTCGACCAGCTGATGAAGCCTGTGTCTTGTCTATGACCGCAAATGCCCTCTCGCTCCCGTCGCGCATCTAACAAGGTACCTTCGTCCTCTCTCCCATAGGTATCTAATTGTCGTTGCTTATTCCTTCTGGCCACGGGCCTCGGCCTTCTGCTGCTCAAGCTTGGCGTAGTAGCTGTCACGGGCGTTCGTGCGCGGCATGTGGAAGCCGTACCTATCGTGCGTTCAGTTTGCGAGTTTCCCAATAAATTGAGGCAGTGGTATAATTCGGCGAGTGCATACCAGTATACGTTGGCCATAGCGAAGCCGAGACCTTGAGGCGGTTAGCTGATTGCTCACAACTTGAAGATCTAGAGTATGAGAGGCCGGATGTAGAGTGGGAGCTGACGGTTGGTGCGCGCAAGCCAGCTTAGAACCCGAGAGCACCAATTGACTTGACATTTCCCAATCGATAGCTAGCCTCCCGTCAAAATGTCGGAAATTATTTCGAGGAGGACTTACCGAGAGCAATGCCAAGGTCAAGGACGAGGTTGCGTCGCAGCATCTGTCATTCGTAATTAGCGAACGGTGGTTCTCTTCCCGCAGGCCCGGCAATGGGAGGCAGAAATGCCCAATTGGGTTGGGAAACGTACACCCGTAATGGGCTTGACAGCGGTGGTGCCGGCCATTGTGACGTTTAGTTAGTGAGGGTTGTGAGAGTCGATTGAATCGAGATTTCGTGTATCGGAGGATGGGTTGGTGATGCTCAAGTCTTCGGGTAGCTCAAATGGTCTGATGAATTCGCGCGATGGGGTCATCACGTGACGTCAAATTCTCCCATTCTCCCAAGGAACCTGCCGATTGTTCCTGACCTTCCCGCACTTGTTCGATTAGCTAAGCCATCGGTGTTTGAATCTCCCTCGGTTTGGTTGGCTAGAGGCTTAGAGCTTAGATAAGCACGCATTTCCGAGTTCATCGGACTATCCACGGCTAATCAGCCGCAGAGTCGGCCCGTACTGGTCCCGTCGCGACTTTTGGTCTGGATAGAACCTGCCGATCCCCTGGCAATTTTCTCCGAAAAAGGTGACAGTGAAGCTCACCAGCAGTCCAACCAGCGCAACCAGCGCAGCCAGTAGCAGCCATGAGCCTTCACCTCCCTACGAGGAGGATAGTCTCGTCCGGTATGTTCCAATTGCAGAGCTTCTATACTCAACTTTTCTTTCTTCCCTCTCAATGGGATACAGGTGTCGGCATGTTCCGTTCTCTCAGCTAATCTATGTCGGTTCTAGCCTCCTCAACTCTCCAATCCATTGCGCGTCCAACACCGAGAACGATTATTGCTCCGTTGCTCTCAACTACCCAAGTTCGAAACAAATGGGGCTTGTCCAGCTTCTTTGGCCGTCGTAACCGCGGCGATGTGGAGGATGCCGTCTCAGGTGGCCGGAACCTTGACGACCCCAAGATCCGCCAACAGTTCGCCCAGAAGCAGCAGCCCCATCTTTCCAGCTCTATTTTCGAGGAAGAGGTGGATGACGCTGTTGCAGAGAGCAGACGAGGTGCTAGAAGTGATGCGCAAGCCTCTGTAAAGACGGCCGAGACTATGGCGTACCGAGTTGACCCCGACCCTCGCAGCCGTCTTCGCTGGGAGAGAAAGAAGGTGATTCAGATGGTCCGCCGCAATGGTCGTGTCAGCCGATCCGAGCGTATTGCGCAAACCGAGAAAGAGCTGTCTCATAAGAGCCCTTTCCTTGAGACTAGCGTCAAGAAACTTGTGCATCTGGCACGCCAAATTCAGGGCAAGACTTTAGACGACGCGCTTCTGCAGATGACATACTCTAAGAAGAAGATGGCAACTGAGGTCAAGTACCAGTTGGAGGAGGCGCGGGACCTGGCGATTGTTTCCCGTGGTATGGGTCTGGGTAGGACAGCCAGGAATACTAAGGGTTCATCTGGTCCAGTCAAGATACAGACTAAGGATGGCAAGCCCTTGACAATCGATGATCCAACAAGGCTTTATGTTGCCCAGGCTTGGGTAGGCAGAGGTCCTTGGAGAGCTAAGCAGCTTGATTACAAGGGCAGAGGCAGATTCGGCATCATCCAGTCACCATCAACTAGTATGTCCCCCTATTTAACTCACCTCTTTTCACTGAATGGAGAGGCATTCTTGGATTTCGGGCGACTAGCTAACTGTTTTCCCAGGCATTTCGGTTGTGTTGAAGGAGGAGAAGACGAGATTACGAGAGCATAGTGAGAGAGAGGCAAAGCAGGCACGGAGAAAGCCCTGGGTTCACCTGCCCGACCGACCAGTATCTGCACAGAGACCTTATTACTCATGGTAAGCTCTTATATGAGCTCCTCACATCCGGAGGACTTGATATATGAAGTTGGTTGGAAACCGTGTTATATCACTCTTAGGAAACTGTAAGAATATGTACAATGAAATCTGTCATAGAACCCATACCGCCATGTCCCTTTCCCTATGCCACATGGCGTGCATGCGCCGGATATATCAGACACCTTTTTTTTTTTTTTTTTGCGCATACGTAAGCGAGTTGATGACCGTTGCCAAATCTCACAACACCACATATTAAACAGTCGTTATTCATCAATCATAATAAAGACGATAGCCATATCTACCCCGTAACATCCATGACCGGTGCTGTCTTGTCTGATACGAATAATCGCATAGACAAGTATCGGATAGTAAAGCTGTCGCCACTGTGAAAGTGCCCACAACTACCGCATCTTGTCCTAGACAAGATGTGCGTTCAGCTTGTCGAGAACACTCACGTGCGCCACTTAGAACATGCGCCTTGGTGACTGGCGCGGAACCATGTCCTCATATCTCCGTGACCGCATCTCTAGCTCTGAATAGTTTTTACCTGTCATGCCTACGATACCAGCAGAATAGTCTCTGCCAGAACCAGGCATGGGGCCAGAAATTTGCATGGAGTGAGTTCGGTTTCTCGGCCGTCTCACAAGCAAGTAAAGTGCGAGAACGATGGCAAGAATACCAGCGCCCGCTCCAACGCCAATGCCAACCTTTGCAGGCACAGATAGACCATCAGCGTCGCCAGTCACCTTATCTGCATCTGCATTTGAGGCGGAGCCTGATTGTGAAGGCTGTGTCCCAGAAACACTAGACGTTGCTGCTTTGGTCAAGTTTGGCTTAGTTGATGTAGACTGCGTGGGTTACAATCAGCCTCATTCATCTTTTCATGTGTTTTGAGAGGAAGATACTTACCATAGTGGTGGGTGTGATACTTTGAAGTTGGGTAGCTTGTGCAGCTTCGGAGACAGGCTTGCTCGGTGTATCGGGAGTGTCCGACTTGCTGGGTTGAGACGAAGAAGTTTCTGCAATACTGGTCTTGTCGGTCGTTGCTGGCGGTGGAGGCGGCTGTGAAGTTGTCTGAGGAGGAGGCGGGGATGTAGCAGGCGGTGCCGCTGATGAATGAGGCGGCTGTGATGTGGGCGGCTGGGTCGACGCAGGAGGAACCTGAGTTGCAGCTGTCGCAGCATGTTAATATAGGGCTCATCGAAATAGGTGACTCGCGGGTATATCCTACTTGCGCATAAAGCTGTCACGTATTCGTTCACCTTTGGGGCAACGGCGGCCTCACAAGCCTGTGAAGCACAGTCGCGAACACCAAACAAAAAATCTTGTTGTTTGCATAGACAAGCGTTATCTTGAGAAGCGCAGCCGAACCCTTTTGCGATCACGGTGTTGACACATGACACCTGGAAAAAGAGAATAATCAGTCTACAGTTTCATGTTTCCCATACATACACTTTTTTAATTCCGTCAACCAGTGTCCGAGAGTTAGAATCTCTTTAGGCCACTTTCTGAACTACAAACACAGCAATAGGAGTGACTTGACTTACACCACACGGTGGTAATGCGTCTAACTGTGCGCAGGCACCGCCAAGAAGAAAGGTGAAGGCGGCGACTGGGATCCAATTATGGCGCCGCATGGCGAGAAAGAGAAGCAAAAAATGGAATGTGGTTTTGAGAGTGAAATGGAATGAGTGTGTCGCAAGGCGTTGGTGTGGCAGAGGTATATGGTGCGGCCTGAAGGAAGCGTCAGGACACTGGCGCGTGTAGGACCTGACCTGTCACAGCGTCACACAACAGCTCATGGCCTGCCTTGAAGCTGAAGTGGTAGTCTTGGTTCGAGCTGAAACTGAGGTATCGGTGACGTGAGAGGGCGTCGATGTGGCGAGGCAGGCCTCAAACATGCAGGGGGCGCTTTCTGAGGAACCAGGAAAAGAAACAAACGAGACAATGGGCGGCCCAAATTGCGAGGAAAAAGACTAGAACCGAGTATCGAGAGGCAAGGAGGAAATCCAATGTCTGGGACACTGACTAGACAGGCAGTTAATGTGAGGAGTCTTGCGTCAGGTCTGGAGGATCAGATGAGATACAGCCGAGGCAGACGAGGCGAGGAGAGATTGAAGTAACGGGATGAAGGGGGCCAAGACAAGTAATAACGTTGAAGCCCGGTCAGAAGAATGGAGACGAGAAAGAAAGACACGTCCGGCGGGGTCGTAGCAAATGTAATGAACGAGAAGAGGAGGGGAGAACAGACGCAGGTAGGGTACCTGGAATAAACAGGGCCACCCGCGGAGAGGTGAAGACGAAAAGGAGGGAAGAAGCCGGTAGATGAGGCTCAGGCAATGAAAAGAAAGGGCGAAATGGGGTTAGAAGAAGGGATATTGAGATGTTAAAAAGGAACACCGGTGGATGGATCTAGACAAGCAGAGGACAAGGGCCGCCTGCTTGCACCTGTGTGACAAGGAGGGAGAACCGACAGGGCCGGGGCAAGGAAGAGCCAGGTAAGTGCAGATGGGGAGTACGTATTAGATGGGATGGCAGGGGACACCCGAGCCGACGGGAAGGAAGTGGAGAGAAGGGAACCGGAAGGCAAGGGGGAAAGAGGGATCAAAGACACGGCCACAGCCACGACCCCTTAGATGGAGTCGTAGAGGGGATGCCGTAGACGCCTCAGTACCTTGAGCCCAGGACGACAACGTAGCAGGAAGAGAATCTCCTGCTGTATCCAGAATGGTCCCGGTTCAGAGTTCCTCCCCTTTGGCCACAAGATCGAGAGTCTGTGTGAAATTGCGGCTGTCACAGTAGTGCAAGTGAATTCTGTAAGCCTCGCCGCGTCCACTTGTTGTTTGATTACACTTAGTGCGGTCGCGTCAGGCGTGTTCTGACGGCTTGGTCTAGTGACGGACCATTGTGAGTAGTAGCAATGAAAATGCCGAAGGAGGGGAGCGTGCTGAACACCAAATGGGTACTAGTAGTCTGGATAACTAGTCGAGAGACGAGGCATTGGGGAAGTAAAACTTTGTAGGAAGGACAATCGGATATTCAAATTAGCAATCGAGAAGGAAGGACCATCCGCTGATGCTATAAGAGGTACTGGGATTCCCCTCTTTCTCTTGTCATGTTCAAATTGGGATACGGCAATGGAAACAGTCGACGAGAAAGGAAGGACCCGAGGTGCATGTCCGTAGCCCAAGAAGGAGGGAAGGTTCCTTCCGCTTGCTCGGCAGTCTGTCGGATGACACAAATGCAGGATCACCCCGGGGCGCATCGGGCATCCTCATGCTGCAGCTTCCGAAGAAGAACCAAGATGGACGATGAGGTGGGTGAGTTTTACGCTTGGTAAAGTACGGAAGGCCAAACGAAGGTGATTTTTAGGGCGACGGTTCACACTCGGATGGAACGCTACAAGCCCCAATCCTCAATTAGGCTGGATCTAAGGGAGGCTACTGTGTTGTCTGGAAGGAGGAGTTCCCAGGAGTCCACTCTGACAGGGGTACCAAATGGAACTTGGGGGTTCAGGGATGACGATCGTGGCGGGAGGGTCTTGTAACCTGCCAAACTGCGTGCTTTACTCTTTTAGGGTTGGCTGTTGTGCCCGTGCTTGATCTTGGGAACCCGTCCAGACATGATGTAAATGGGTCATTTGCAATATAAAAAAAATCAACCCCGATTCCTTTCAAAAGTATGAGATAACGGGCTTTGTAGCAACTGAGGATACTAGAAAGGAGACAACATTGACAACCTGGCAGATGCATACTGAAAGTGGAAGATACCACCAGTGTGCGGACTTCGTTGTAACGCATGATGTTGGTTCAAGTCGCACACCTTAATTAAGCCGCTCCTCTGTAAATCATAGGCATATGTTGTCCTATCAGCGCATACGATGTCACCCCCAAACAGCCAGCCGCGCAAGACGCGCCCCATCTCTGACAAGACCTGGTAGACCATTTGTGCTAGGGAAGGCCCAGTCATCGTCCCACATTGCCCTTGCTTGGGGGCTGGTTAAGTGCTATTTGTCGCAGCAATCGCGCCAGGAGGCGTAGGCAAGCATTGGACCCCTTAGCGTGGCCATGATAGCGACAGCGGCGGCGACTGTAAAATCACTTATAGTATGGAGGATCAGTCAAGGTACTTTCTGTCCACAATAGATAGAAGCTACCTTCAATCAGTGGTAGCGAGAATGATCTGCGCGGGGGCTCCTGTGTCGTGCTGCCGCAGCAAGCTGCCGCTCATCATCTCATCGGGAATGAAGGCGAGGGGGAGAAACGAAGTCATGTTGGAAATCTTGTTGGGTTGGTGCAGCTGACTTCTTGCATGTTGTGCCGTTTCCGCCTTCATGTCCAGAGACAAGATACAGATGACCGTGGCCAATCTGAACGTCAAAGGCGAGAGGAAAGGGGGATGACGAAACTAAACTTGCTGCCCGAAAAGGAAAGCAGGAAGCTCCACGTTCCACTGGCCTGCATGAAGGGCGGAGGTCGGGACTGTGGCCCGTCGTCGTGAGCTTGAAGTTCTCTAAACAGTACTTCGTACTAACCTCAACCCAAAGTATCTTGATATCTCAAGCGGCTTCAACAACATGTTCAAATAGAGTCGTCCTCTCGAGCTTTCTCGCTCATTGATTGTGTCAGAAAGTCAGGGCTTGAATGCATTCAACGAACCCCACAATATAACAGGGCAGAATGCCACTTGGGGGGATAAAAAGGGGGCTGTCTAGAGCGCCTTCTTGTCTTACGTAATACACCTAGTTCCGGCCCAAAGTTAACAGGTTGCCCAAAGGCGAAACGCTGGACCCGCGTCCGTCTCCTACTACGGAATCCAGTATGTCTATTGCAGCGAGCAATCCATGTTTTTTGCCAGTTCATTGTCCCGTGGTATTCGAATCAGTTTCCACATGTAGGCATCTTGATCAGTATTAGTATATTGACACCCTCCATACTCTACATGCGCTTGAGGTTCCCAGACCAAGACTTCGTGTTGCGCTCCTGCTTGCAGATGCACGAATAGTAAATCCGATATAGAGATGATCTCGTATCTCTTTATCCGAAGTACAGCTCGTGTAATATCTGACCACCGACTCCTCGCCATTCAGCCAACGTCCACTTCTCCTTGTCAACTTACTGAGAATTTCTATACCTCGTTTCCACCTTGCTTCTTTTTACGCTCCTAAACTAGTACGCTCAGCTAATCCGCCAGTAATGCTGGGCTTGGTGAAGAGAAAATTGAATGCTGACGAGAGGAAAAGGAAAAGATTGGGGTGGAGGAGGATGGACAACCATGCCCTCTTACCACGGTCGTTTCACAGCCCTATTCCTACTACGCTGTGCGACCTCCATACGCTTAGGTGTCGCTGACTTGCCCACGACACCTCCGATCCGCTTCACTCGATATAGTTCCGCTCACAGCATAGCTATACTGCTGATTGTACTCAGTCATAAGTAGATAGCGTGGGTGAATCAGAGCCCAGATCCTGAGTTTGCCCTTCGCCATCATTGAAGTCTGGTCCATCCCCAGTAGCGACAATCCAGGAGGGGGAGAAACACATGCACACCTCATGCGTTCTTTGGCGCACAGATTGCGCCGTCCAGCACGGTTGCTTCAAACATCCTCACATCCATGCCCCTGGCAGAGGCATTACAAAAAATCAGTGGTTATTTGCCCGTCTTCAATCTGCTAGACGCTAAATAGCTGAAGACTCTTTGCTCGCACAAGCCGAGACAGGCATCCCCTGCGCATAAACTCGTTGGGGGCCAGTGTAACGTCAGGCGTGGGCACCAGCCCGGTGGGCAGGGCTGATTAGTGAGCTTTATTGGCACCTGCAGCGGTCGCTACAATGGAACCTTGTCCGATGATCATGGAAAGTGCCAGTTTCTGTCTCGAATTGGATGGCTAAGCCGAGCAGCTAATATACTTCGTCATGCGATTGAAGCATGCGACGCACTCGGTGCCTCTCTGGAGATACAGCTTATTGATAATCGTAAGAGGTATTGACTGGGCATTTTTTCAGGATAATTTCCGAGTTTTACCATAAATTTCTGCTTTCTTTCGAATTCACCTGCAGGGTTTTGTCAGGCTTAAAGAGCGTGCTGCCTTTTTAAGAAACGGTTGTCATTCTACAAAGAGAAAAAAACAGGCCAATGGTACGTTCCAAGCACTGCCGAAGAGCTGCGTCTTCTTAGGTTTCGCTCTGAGGATATTGTTTAATGGAACCAAGAACATTGACGTGGTACAAGTAAGTCGTCCAACCCAGTTTTGTATCAACGTAAACACCTCGAAGGTCATGATGCCTTTACTCAACATGATCATAGGCGGAGAGGGACATGGAACTGCAGTACTTGTTATTTTTACTTTTCTATTAATAAAATTACCATCTGCCTGTAGAGAGAGTAGAGATCTTCGAAGAATATATGTAGTAATCCGGTGAGGAACCGGTGCAGCGGAGTGTGTATGGCTCCACCTCACGGCCAACCCGACCGCCTTGAAGAAAGCACTCCGGAGTGGATGCAATGGAGTTATTTGACAGGCCCGCTAGTGAGACCTGTTTCTGAGTGCATCTTCTTACTGTTCTGACTTTCGATGTGAGCTAACCAGCTGTATCGATATGGCTTCCAACATGTCGGCACAGGACAGATAGATACAGCGAGTCGGAGCCGGAAGGGGATCCATTTCTATTCGACCGGAGCTCGGAGCCAGTTCCGAAGTGAAGTGGAAACTTGATAATTTTGCTTTTCTTTCATTTCATTCTCCATTCTCGCTTCATCTTCTCCCGGCTGACATAAGACAGCCCGATGTGCGACTTAGCGGTGTTGCTGAAGTATACCTACGGATAGATTTAGTTTGACTAGCTCTATTCAGCTAGTTCATAAATCACACAGTCCTTGCGGACTTGACCTCATTTGGGAAAGCGACTCGGTGGCAGGCCAATGATCTCATCCTACAGGCAAGGTTAGCGCTGGAGATCTCTTGCATTACCAATAATAATAGCTGGCTGTGTTAGGTAAAAGAAGAAAAAAAAAAAAAGGGAAGACAGCAAAGCCTATTGTACACATAAGGACCCGTAGTCCGCAAAGGGACATTGTGGGCATGCACCCAGTTTTGGGATCCGCCTGATTGTAGCGCAGAATAAGAAGGGTCTAGAGGATGCAGGGAAGAGAGTAAAGGGAAAACAGGCGAGAGATGGAGAGAGTCAAAAACGGAAGCCAAAGCTGTCAACCACTAAGTGCTTGGACGGGTGCTCTAAAACGCGAGTTTACGGGGAGTGTACCCCCCGGAGTTAATGTCTCGCCCAATCTAAGATGCGGATGGCAGTTAAGACAAATGAGATAGAGTTCAGCCACTGGCAATCATGAACATGATCACAAACTAAGATACCTCAGCGTTGAAACGGGGGAGCTGCACGGATTCTGTTAGTGTTGATTCACAGGCGGATTGACTTGATGATGAGGAAAAAGAAGACTGGGCTATAAGTTGGGACGGTGCGGCATTCAAGCGTGTCCGGGAATACGTGTGGGCTACCTTCCCTTCTTCGGGACAGCATCCCACATTTCTTGCCTAGCTGTCTTTGTTACGTGTGGATGAGGCAAGGAGTCCATCAGGTGTGAGACGTGAGGGGAAGCAGGTAGTGGTAGTAGAAGTAGCTCTTTCTGTACTGGGTTATCTACATGGGGTTCTCGGTTTCGCTTCTGCTCTGCTTTGCAGTTCGCTGGAACCGCTCACGACAGAGGTGTATGTTCTAGCGCTTTTCAGAGCATTGGCAACTCCAAGTCCTTTCGGGTTAAATTAGAGTGACACTGTGGGAAGAACATGAAGAACGTCTTTGCTGAAAGGTGTGGTAGCTAGTATTGGGACCAGACGCAGGACTAGCACTTACGTAATCCCGACCGTCAGAAATACTGTGCGACTTACCTAAAGACATATGGTGCGAAGATTCGGACGGGGTACAGTGCTTGATTGTGGACCTTTCGGCCGTGCCTCGACCTTACATGGCTCACAGTGCAGTTACGACTCAGAATGCCACCCAAACCCCACAGTCCATCTCACATTTTGGGGCATAAGTCCACTGGTCCAGGGGCTAAGCTCCCCTTAAAGATTGCCGCTGCTCGTCACCAACACCGAAGAATCTCTCAAAACCCCAATCAGTCCTATCCCGCTGGTGTCTGGAACTACCGTGTCGGCCTTGGGGAATTACACCGTGCCGCCTAAAGGGCCCTGAGTGACGCGCGACCTCTGGCCTTTCCAACTTGTTGTAGCCCCACGGAATCGACTCGGCTCAAATCTTAACAGCTGCAGGTGCCGTGCCATACCTACTGTGCCCCATACCGACCTTCTGCCTTACCTCCCCCATACCTCACCGGCAGGAGAGAAAATAAAAAGAAAAAAAAAGGGAAAAAAGGCCTGAGGATCGACAAACAACTTGCTCCTTGGGGTCTGAAAGGCTGCCTTCTCAACCTTTACCACCTTCCACCCATTACCTATCCCGAAGGACCTTAAGGACTTTTCTCTACCTGTGCAGTCCCCTAGGGTACCTAGCCTCCATTGCCTTGAGTCGCCTTACCTACGCTGCTTGGGGTCTGACTGAGGTACCTTCCGTCTTGTGTCCGTACCACACCGGCGCAATCAAATCTCTGCTGGCCACTTTCCCACCCCAGCATTCCTCTCTTCTTGTGTCTGACGGCCAATCCATCGACGGATCATCTGCTCAAATCAGCAAGTCAATACAACGCCTGGAATTGCCTCGTTGGCCTGTCGCATTGCAATCGCCGTATCCTGCCCGTGGTCGCCCTCTCCGGAAAGATCCCGAAGCTCAATCTACTTTTCAGCCACCAGCACGCGCGATCTGTATTTCTATTCAGCACCTCTCCAATCGTCGCACACCCTTGTACACCGGTGCGCCAGACAGCCCAGGAACAAAAAACAACAAAAACCGTTGTCGGCACGTCTCCCATGGTTCGTCTGTTGACGACCGCCCGATTGCAGCAAGATGGCGACCCTGCCGGTAGGGGAGGACAAATGGGTGGACTATGTCGCTGAGAACAGACGGCACGCCAACGACCTGGAAAAGCGCGTTCACGTTATCGAACTTTTTAAACTCGCCGTTGAGGCCGAGCCCAACAGCGTCAAGGTATGGCGTGCATACTGCGAATACTTTTGGTCTCTCTACGTCGATAGCCAAACGCCCGAATCCGGATGGACCGATGAGGAGCGCCTCATGGGCCGCGAGCTCTTCTCTCTTAATGCGGCACTCAGCCTCTGGCAGCAAGGCTACGAATCTATCCAGTACCGTATCAGCGACAGTCATGAGCTATGGGACCGATGGATTTCTCTCGAGCGCGCCATGCTCGCCGGCACACGTACAGCCGAAGGCATTCGGCGCATTACTTTTCTCTATACCGATCGCCTCCAAGTCCCCCACGTTACACGCGACGAGACTGCGCAAGCATTCTCCGAGTTCTTATCGACCTACAATAAGGCTGCATGGGAGGAGACTATGCAGGCAGTCACCGCCAAATCACAGGAGGCAAAGAAATTGACTGAAGATCGCGACATGTTTGAACTGAAGTTAAAACAGGCCCATCGAGATGGGAAAGACGACGTCTACCGCGCCCTTTTTAAGGAATACTTGGAATGGGAATACGCCCAGAGCAAGAGGAGTAACAAACACGCTGAGGCCACGGGTGATCTCTGCCGAGGCCTTTACGCCAGAGCCCTGACAGGTGTTTTTGCCTTTGACGATACCATCTGGAATGAGTATGTCCGGTTCCTCTCGACGTCTGGAACATATGCGCAGTCGCCTCAGGGCATGGTCGACGTCTTGCGGCGAGCCGTGGATCATTGCCCTTGGTCTGGTGCAATCTGGTCCCGGTACATCTTAACTGCTGAAGATGCCAAGCTGCCCTTCAACGAGATTGAACAGATTAAGCACAAAGCCACCAGCAATCCCGAGCTATACAAGAATGGAATGACTGCCCTTCTCGACATGTACGCGGCATGGTGCGGCTTTCTCAAGCGGAAGGCCATGGATCTCAACGCTACCGACGAAGATGTGGATATTGCTGACATGGGGTTACGTGCCGCCCTTGAGTTTGTTGACCAGGCCAAACACCGCTACGGCGACAGCTACAGGGGCGACCCTAATTTTCGTCTGGAGCGTATCTACATTCAGTATCTGACTGAGAAGAAGCGATGCATCGACGAGGCAAGAAGCGAATGGCACAAACTGGCAGAGAAACAGCTCTATGCAGACAGCTACGACTTCTGGCTTAACTACTATCTGTGGGAAATGATGATTTTCGCATCCAGTGGCAAAGACCGCAGTCCGACACCTTCAACTGCCGCAATCGGATTGAGAGTGCCATCTGTGGCCACGGCGGTGCTTGGAAGGGCGATCAAGAGAAAATCCCTGGATTGGCCCGAGAGAGTCATTGACGTTTATATGCAACACTGCAACGATTATGAACTGCCTAGCACGGTCCGCAATGCCATCGATACCGTCTCCGAGATGCGCAAAGAGGTTTTGAAGCGGAGAGAAAGAGAAGCTGCCCAGGCCGCGGAATACTACGCAGCTCAGGCCCAGGAGCAAGCCACTTTTGTGCCCCAGACCGTAGATGACGATTCATCTTCTAGCTCCAAGAGGAAACGAGACGAGGAGGCTGATGTTGCCGATGCGACAGTCAGTAAGAAACCCAAGAGCGATATTGCTGAGGCAGAGGCAACGGCGCTGAAGCAGCAAAGCCTGAAAAGGGACCGGGAGAATACCTCAGTTCTCGTCAGCAAACTTCCCAGCGAAACTACAAAAACTAAAATACGGCAATATTTCAAAGAGTATGGCCACATCGTCGACGTAACGGATCCTGCAATTAACCCTCAAGACAACACCCAGACCGTGATGGTAGAGTTCAGAACACCGGAGGAGGCGCAGTCCGCGCTTCTTAGAAACGGAAAATACTTCGGGACAGCCCAAATCAGCGTCGAGCCCGGCACTGACCTGACGGTCTATGTCACAAACTACCCCCCAACCGCGGATAAGCCTTACCTCGCCAAGCTCTTCCAGGATTGTGGGGAAATCCTGAGCATCAGGATGCCCAGCCTCAAGGGCAACGTTCGTCGGAGATTCAGTTACATTACATTTCTTAACCGAGCTGCCTCCGCCAAAGCCACGCAAAAGCACGGTTTAGTTATTGACGGCAAATTCAAACTTGTGGCGATGTATTCCGACCCCTCTCGCGCAAAGAAGCGTGAGGGAGCTGTAGAAGAGGGTCGAGAGCTTCATATCACTGGCCTTGACCCGGCGACTATCGAGGACGACCTTGAAAAAGCCTTCTCCAAGTACGGTACGGTCAAGCGTATCAGCATGCCTAGGAACAAGGGTGGCAAGGCACACGGTGTAGCATATGTCGAAATGGAAACGAAGGAACAGGCTCAGGCTACTGCATCTGAGTTGGACAAGGCCAAATTGCGCAACAGCATCATGACAGTGCAGATCTCGACACCGAGTAATTTCAAGAGGACTGCTATCGCCTCAAAGGAGCGTGATTCCCCCGCACCGAGCAGGGACCAAGAAGGGGATGAAGAGATGACAGACAGCAACGGTGACTCTGCCCACCAACCTGGCCCAAACCGTGCTGAGATTGCTTCGCGGACAATTGCCCTCCTAGGTATTCCTGACACAGTCAACGATGCGCGGGTCAAGGAGATTGTTGAGAAGATTGGAGGGTTTAAAAGTCTTGTTCTCCAACCCAGCCATGGTGGTGCCAAGATCGAGTTTGAGGATGAGCCCAGTGCAGGCCGCGCAGCGCTTCAGCTTGACGGGTATGTCCTGGATGGCCGTAAACTCCATACAGGATCTGTTGATGAACTTAAACGCTCCAAAGGAGAGGTTCGTACAGACAAGATTGTCTACGGTACTGGTGGAAAGAAGCAAGGCGATAAGCCTTCAGCCTCTAAGAGTAGTGGCGGTGCGCTTGTCCCACCGCCCACCACTGTCAAGCGGCCAGTTTTGGGCAAAGGTGGTGCGAAACGAGGATTGGGATTTCTACCAAAGGCTGGGGGTGCTGGGCCAGCAGGAATAGCGCGGAAGCCACAGCCCGAACCCAAAGTGAACGGTGCTGGTGGTGGAGAACTGGAAATACGAAAACCCATGAAGAGCAACGCCGACTTTAAGGCGATGCTACTGGGGACCAATTCGGCCACGGGAGATGGTGCGAAGAAGAACGGCAATGGGCAGGCTGGACAAGACCAGCATTAATAACGGCGTCAAGGAATGGAAATGACTATCTTATTGCATTTGGGCGTAAGGTATCTTGGCTTGATTGAAACTTTTACGCCAAGGGCTAATACCGAGTGTCTGCCACTCGGTCATCGTCCCAATTTATAGCACCTAGTCATCCAGTATGGATCGACTAAATCAACAGTGTAATTGTCATGACTGCAACATAGGCTGGCATTTGGTATCTGACCTACAAGCCCTTTTTTCCTCCTAAAGAAGTGGACACGAAACAAGTGTTGGGTGGCAAAGCCCGACGTCGCTTTTCATACCTTGCGAGGCTTCCCTAACGGGCATGATCTCATCCAGTACTTGATGCTATGTGACTTCGGAATGCCCTTTACCCAATCAGCGACGACTATCTACACATCCTGTCATGTGCAAGAAGGTCTCCAATGTCTGGTACGGCAGTGACTTGTACTCAATGCCATCTTTCACCCCCTGAGTTTTCCTTCTTCCAAGGCCACTTCTCAATATCTGACAATTCCCATCAACCGATGATCGCAGAGAATGTGTCCGGGTCGCAATACACTCGAGCTGTCGGTCGGGATATGGAAACCGGGTTCTGACGTTTTACGGTTTGATGTTGTACGTAAACTGATGGCATGCATACTATGCTTTGCCAACAGCACTGTTCCCATTGTCCTTGTTGGCTTCTTGTGAGAATATCTTTTGCCAAATTGCCAGCCACCGTTCATGCTGGGCAGTTGGCAGCTTGCCTGGTTGCTTAAAGGAGCGTGTAAGAAGTTCACGAAGTCTCGTACGAAGGACTTTGATGACGAGCATAGTCTTCCAATCGGGCAGCGCGAATCTGCAACGGTTTCCATCGAGAACTAGCACACCAGCAAACATCTAATTGAACCCAAAATGTCAGCCTTACAACCTGCAAATATCTAGGTCGGTGAGTTAACTCACATCAGCTCGCACATCGCCACAAAGTAAAGCAATGGCGAAGGGATCGGCTGCTGTAGTTTCATGCGCATGATAAACGCTAGTCATAAATGTTAGCCCTTTCTCTATTTAAAAAAGAGTACAATGTGTGCTCACGTCTTTGATTGCATGATGTGATAGTAAGACAGCCACTTGAGTTCATTGTGGCCTTTATTGACGGATGACGGGTGCAGGCTGATGGACTGATTGTTGCCAACATTGCGCAAACCTCTGCTTCCCGGGTTGTCTCGCACTAGCAATTTGGGATAGAAGCTCCAGGCGATGACTGCCGTTGTGATGGCATCATTTTCGCTGTTAGTGTCCACACGCTGAGGGATGTCAAAGAAGTTCTGATGGCGACGTCCTCGAGTGTTGGCTCCGTAGCGTAGTCGATTGAGGACCCTCCTTTCATCATCCGTCAATAGCAAGAAGCCAGAGTCTGCCACCGAGACCAGAAGCTGGCCCTTGAGATCTTCAATGTTGGCCAGGGTTTGCTGGCTAAGGAAGTTCTTGCGGCAAAATTGGAAATCCTTCCCACCAGAGGCACTGGTAGATTGGCAGACGCGTTTCCAGGCAAGGTAGGCGTTATAAATTGTCAGTAGATCCGAGTCTCCTCGGCGGAAGGCCATTCTTGCTAGGTCAGCTTGTGCTCGTTGGCCGAATGGTGCAGAGAAGGGCGATTTTGAGGAAAGGATGGCGGCCACAGTGATGGCCATGTCTAGACACTTGAAGATGGCGCCCATAAGAATCAACTTGCCAAGGAACACATCCAGAGGCAACCGTGCAAGCTGGTGACCAAGGGGAGTTAAATCTTCCGCAGGGGTTAGAGCGCGAACGTCGATGAGCGCATCCACCGCACGACGTATGTTCTTGGCCGATGGAGGGTCGAGCGCTTCGCTCAACGTCTCCTCGATGCCGCCGATCTTGCAAATTTTCACACGAATGGCCAGGTCCTGAAGAGAGAGACGTAGCATTTCTGGTGTCTGCTGGTCGCTCATAAGTGTGTCGTGCCTATGTTTCGTGAAAAGATGAAAGCATAGTCCTTCTTGGACGCGACCAGCTCGTCCACGCCGTTGTTTTGCGTTCGCTCGAGAAATGAAGGTATCGATGAGCCGAGAAAGTTGACGTCTTTCATCAAATCTCATTTCACGATGTTTGCCCGTGTCAATGACGCAGGTCACGTCGGGAATTGTAATACCTGTTTCGGCAATGTTGGTTGCCAGGACAATCTTACGCACCCCAGGAGGCGGAACAAGGAAAGCGGCCTCTTGATCCTCTGTTGCAATCGTCGAGTGGAGTGGATATATCAACCAGTTGGACGCAAATGAAGGGTCACCCGAAAGGAGGTCGTTTAGGGTTCTGATCTCAGCAATTCCAGGCAAAAAAACTAGGATGGCTTTGCTGTACGCCACGTACTCAGGATCGGCGGCCACCTTAGCGATCAGCTGAACAATGAGATCGAAATCAATCCGGTACTCATCTATTTGCGCAAGACTGGACCTGGTCTTGGCTGAATAAGCCGAGAGGTCTGCTCCGGACGTAGACTTTGATCCCTCGGTTTCCACATCCACCATGTCGTCGTCCAGATCTACTGTTTTCTCATGATTGTTTTGTCCAGCCGTGTAGCCAGTTGTCTCAATGGCATCTTCCAGGTAGCGAACCTGTACAGGGAAGGTTCGTCCAGGAACTGTCAACACCGGTGCTCCGCCAAGATACTTGGAAAATCGCTCAGCATCGACGGTAGCCGACATGAGAACAACCTTCAAGTCTTTACGCCTCAGCATGAGCTTCTTGAGAATGATCAACAAGAAGTCACTGTCGATAGACCTCTCGTGAACCTCATCCAGAACAAGATGCGTAACCTCTCGCAAGTCATTCGAGCCTTCCAGCATACGCATGACTATACCAGTGGTCGCATACACTAGCCGCGTTTCGCGAGACGTGTTGGCTTCTAGACGGATAGAATAGCCAACCAGCGATCTGGAGGTTCCCAGATCACTTCTACCCTCGCCAAGTTCCTCACTGACGCGTCGAGCCAACGAGATAGCCGAGATTCGGCGCGGCTCGGTACAGTAAATCTTGCAGCCCTTGCCTTGAGCCAGTTGGTGCTCTAGGAGAAAAGCCGGCACCTGAGTACTCTTTCCACATCCGGTCTCACCACAGATAATGACCACTTGCTCTCTATCGACGGCATCAGTGACCTGCTGTTTGAAGTTCCACATTGGAAGCTGCATTCGACTTTGCAGCATGGCCTGATATCTGGGAGAACTTGTCTTTTGAGCCCAAATATTTTGATAATATTCTGGGCCTCCAGAAAGACGTTTAGCCGCATCCTGACCGGCTTCATCTCTGTTGTCGTTCTGGTTGCGTGCCGCACCTCTTCCTTTGAATGCTCCTTGAATAATAACGCCGTCTTCGAGTTCTTGATCCTGCCTTTGGCGTACAAGGGCCCGTAGTTCCCGGATAGCCTCTCGATCTTTGGCGTCCAGGATGCTCTTCCTGGTTTCGGCAAGCTCGTCCCATAGCTCACGCCAAACAGCAGGAAGTCTCATTCCGACCTTCTCCTCCTTGGTGGAGGTGCCGAAGATGTGGAATAGGGCCCAAGTTGCGACGTAGGCTTCCGACTGCTTCTTGTCGGGAGTGGCGATAGATTTCATACTAAAGTTGAAATTGATTGTGGAAGCGATAACCTCGACACTGCCGTCTTGAGACTGCTGAGGGACATCTTGAGCCTTGGTCCAAGATATTGAAACAGAATGGCGATTGGCAAATGGAACCTCCGAAATGAGTCGATATGAAATCTTGACAGAGGCGTCCCTGTGGACTTGTAAGCTTCGCAAAAACAATCTCAATTTCACCGAATACGCACCTCGCTCGGCAAGCTTCCTCAAGAGCCCTCATGGGAGTGACACCAGTCCATTTACCAAAATCTCGAATTGTGATCTTCACACCATCTGCGCCGTTAATGACGGTACTAGACTTTCCAGTGGCATCGACCTCAGTCACTGGCAGATTGGCGAAAAGATCAGCAAGAGCACCATCATCGTCGTCGGCTTCCGCAAGGACCTCGGCAGCAATGCGTGCGGCTTCGTCATTGATGTCTCCATCAGAGGACGTAGCCAGTTCCTCAACTGCCTTTTCAGGCTCCTTTGCGGCCTCATCTTGTGCCTTCTGTTTCTTCGCTGCCGCGAACTGCTTCTCCAAAATCACCTTCTGAGTCTTCCATTGTTGCTCAGCAGGAAACTTGTCGAAAAGGACATCCTTTTCAATTCTGTCAATTTTGGCTCGAAGCCTGGCCACCTTGTCTTCTTCTTCGCTTCCACCTGTATTGCTACCCTTCTGTCTCTTTTTCTCTTGCTGAGCACGTTCAAGTTCGAATAACTTAGCCTTGCTCTCGAGATAAACAGGGACTAAATCATCTGGCTCAATATCGCTGTCACAGGTTACAACAGCCTTCTTCTTCTGAGCACCCGAACTGCCATTCTTTGAAGTTGAGCCAGCCCGAGGGGTGGTTGCACCCGAGGGCAAAGGACTTTCGGCAGGCGTGTCTAATCGACCACATTAATTACAGTCGGTGAAAATGCCAATTGCATGAGAATGCGACTTACCTAACGACTTGGTAACATGTCTGCCGCGGCCCTCGTAGTCAGGCAACTCATCACTTGGACATTCTCTAGCCAGCCAGTCGAGAGCTTCTTCCAGCCCCCACAAGCTATCCTTGGCGATCGCGGGTATGTTGGGTGCAATGTCCAATATGTAACGCATAACAGCCTGGACGCGCTCCTCGGGAAAGCCAACACTGGCAAGTGTCTGCTGAAGAGTCCACAGCTTTATAGTCATGTCCTCTTCTGGCAGCATCTTACCACTGGCAGAGTTCTCCGTTGACACACTGGACGAGGCGAAGCGACTTTCCGCCTGAATTAGATCCAAGACCTGATCCATAAGCTCTTGAGGTAACCATTTCCTGGAATTGACGGAATCGGCTTGACTCCTAAGAAGTCGGCGATCGGTTTCAAGGCGTGTACGCTGGCGCTGCGCATCTCTCTTCGTTTTTTGAGCGTACTTATCAACCAGCAGCTGCAACTCGTCCTCCTCAAGCTGCTTTTCGTATTCTTCGGGACTTAAAGCTGTCTTGGCAGCCTTGTCGCCGGCAGAGGCAGACGGAGATGCAGTTGGTGGGGCTTCTTGAGATGAGGCAGCGTTGGTGGCGATAGCAGTGACAGCGTTTTCGGGGCCCTCGGCGGGTTCAGTCCGGGCCTTGGATGAAGCAACGGAGGTCGTGGCGAAACCTCTGGCCGGGTTCGCGGCGGGCTTCTTCTTTTTCTTGGCGCCAGCCATGACAGGCTGGGTGAGGTGTGGAAGATGTGGCGGGAGGAGAAAGGAGGAACAGGAGAAAGTTCCTTTGGTCACGCTAGGGCCAGATGAAGAAGATTGAATAAGAAAGATGGCGATGGGGTCTCGAAGCGATTACACTCGGAATGCTGTGTTCAAACACCACACAGCCCGAAGTGTTCGAGGCAAGGTTGTATGGGATGAAGAAGGGCAGTAGCAGATTGGTCAAGAAGGACAGAAATGGGAGCCGAGCCGAAAGGCGGGAGCGGAGGCGGAGGCGGAGGCGAAGGTGGAAAACAGGGGTGGGCCAGAGACGGGGCAGAAGGGCGGATGACGGGATATGGAAAGTTCAGTAAGTTGAAAGAATGAGAGTCTGGTGGTGTGCCTGTGGTTGTCTTTGGATGAGTGAGTGACTGGGAAGTGAGGGGAGAATGAGTGAGTGAGCTTTGGTGGTAAATTACCTTGTTCGGGCAAGACTGTGCGAATGATAGAATCAAGTTTGAGAGGCGCAAAGGTGCTGATGTGTGGGCGTGGGACTCGAAAAGTGATGTCAACAGTGGGCTCGGCTCCCTAACGGGGTTGTAAGGGTTTGTTTTGTGGTTGTGGATTGTGGATTGTGCTTGTATTTGTGAAGAAAAGCATCAGTGAGAAACGGGGACTGAATGAAATGACTGTTGGGTTGTTTGCACGAGCCGGACCAAGTACTTCGCTGCGGAATCTGTGTGATTAGGTACATGATTTGAGGGAAGGTGCCCGAATGTGTATGCCAATGGAAAGTAGCCTCCAACAAGGCAGGATGACGAATGTGGGCAAAACGCGGTCCGTTAAAGCGGCAGGTATTCTCTATAGCACAATGTCCGTAATCAATCTTGGCCGGGTTGCCACTACCCTGACTGTCTAGATTTCGATTGTCCAACCACTGGGTACGGTAGAATACCAGCAGTAGAAGCTTGTCCCAGTGACTGCAATGACTGACGGAGTTGCCCGAGCCAGGTTCAAGCTGCAAAGATGTCAATGTCACCAAGGGAAGAATCATGAAGCTGAATGCAAATTGATTTAAAGGGCCCCAGATGCCCATTGGGCGGTAGGTCGACACTTTGGAGGGATGCCCATTAGTGGTTCAGGCCCCTCCACCCAACAGGGGCAGTTCTAACTTGGCTTGCTTTCTTTTTTTTTTTTTTTTTTTTTAAAAGAGTATCGGCCTGCCCCCCTCCGAATACTCCTTAGTCCGTTGAGTCAGACCGGGCTAAGGCCAAGGATGCACACGCATTTTATTTTCTTGGACAAATGTAACAAAATACCATTTCATAGGGCTTGCACAGTTGTCCCTACGTCCAGTACATATCGATGCCTTGTGATGAACTTGAACATGTCACATCCAAGAAATCTCCGAAGTTGTTTATTTTATTTTTTCATTGTAATCAACCGCATGTATACCTGTAGAAATTAAAAGTTATGGCTCTTAAGGGTGTGCATCATTGATGTTACCTATCCGTATAATTACAGCTTCCATCCAAAGCCCCGCCATGAAAAGCTGTCCATGCCTTGACCGCCTTCCTTCTCGGGATGCCACACACTTGACCCCTCCTGTCTGGGCGCCGGGCCACACAACCCTAGAGTCACAGACACCAGCCAGGCGCCCTCCCTGGCCCTGTTCGGAGCCACTGAAGCCCACTGTCACACTGGACCATCCTGCAAGAGCTGCGTCAAGTGCCCACTGAAGCCCAAGCTTTCAAGCTTTCCTGGGGACACCAAGGTATCGTTTTTTTTTAAGGCACGTCCTACCTTAGTGATCTGATTCCAGTTGTATGTTTTCCGTAGCCTGAACCGCCATTGAATTCTGCCCCTGCCCCGTCTTTTGGCGACCACATCCAAGTCCTTCACCTCGACCTCAAACTCGACCTCACCCTCCTCCTTCTTGTATACATTTCCGTTCTCCTCACGCTTGTCGACCGCTCCGCTGGCCGACTTGCCCCCAATGATATCTTCTGCCCGCCCACAATCCCGCCAAAATGACTGAAGTCGTCGTCAATGGCTCCGGCTCTGCCTCCGCCCCTCTCGATTTCACTGCTACGAGAACAGCCTTGACTTCGTCCTCCACCTCCGTTAGGATAGCTCATCTGCGCATTGTTGAGGACCGAATCTCTAATACAGGTATGCCGTCTTTAAACGGTCACCCCTCTACCCCGCCCCGCCCATAAATGGACTTTCAAGCTGACCTGGTGCTGTTTTGTTCAGATGCTGACCCGACTTGGGTTCGCAAGATTATTCAGCTCCTCTTCTGGACACATGCTTTCTACACCGACCGTCCCTCGCGACTTGCCGCACAGAAATGTCTCTCTGCCATTCTCTCCAAGGGCCTTGACCCCGACGTACTCTCCGCCTTTGTATCCGCCCTACGCGCGGAGTCTCAGAAGCCCGGTATCGCCGCGAGCAATGCATTCGTTCTAGTGGAATGGTGCAGCCTGCTCATGCAGCACCTTGCGAAGACGTCCGAGTGGGATAAGTTGGCTTCGCAAATTCTGCTGAGTGATGCTGAGGCCTTGGACAAGTGCCTCCAACCTGCCGCCAAAGGCGGCATGGCCCATTCTGCAATCATTGTCACTCGGAGAGGCTTGCGCGCACTCTTCTCTTCCCACCAGGACCCTCAGAAAGCCTTAAAGGACGCCATCCAGTTCCTTACAGCCAAGGCCTCACAGCCTTCCGCAAAGAATGCACCGCTGCTCGGCATTATCGCTGGTGTAAGTTCCAGGATCCCTGCCGTTAAGCAGGTTCTCGAGGCTCAAAAGTCGCAATACTTCACCTTCTACACCAGAGAAATCATTGGCTCGCGCACAGCCGTCCCTGGACATATCGCATCCGGCCTTCATGACTTCTTCCTTGATTTTGTTACGCTCGAAGACTTCGCCAAGGACGTAATTCCATCCCTGGAAAAGGGGTTGTTGCGCGCTCCAGAAATCGTGTTAAGCGATGTCATCATACCTTTGATTCACGGGCTTCCAAAGGACTACGATTTATCACATATTTTGCTGGGAAATCTGCTGAAGCCGATTCTGTCCAACGTTAAATCCAGCAATGTCAACACCCGCAGTGGAGCCGTCAAGGCCTTCGGCGCACTGGCTGCCAGAAGCCAGGATGAAAAGGCTTTGGAGAAGATTTCGGAGGAGATTGTTGCTCCTGTAAAGGGCGGCAAGTTGGCTTCAGCGGACCACAGAATTCTCCACTGCGAAATGCTCGAAGCCGTTCCGCTCTCCAAAATCACTGCTGACAAGATCGCAACTGCATTGGCGGCTGTCTCAGCCAAAGAAGGAAATGAGGCTGCACTCACAATCGAGACATCGGCTCTTGCAAGATCTGCCGGATACCTACTTCAGAATGACACCGAGGTTGCGAAGCCGATCATAGATGCATGCATCAAGGGCGTCTCTGACAAGAAGTTTACTTCTCGCCGCATCTGGCTCTTGCGAGTTGGTGAGATCTTTAACGCTTCCAAGACTTCGGACGGTCTATCGCCGGCCACTGTGAAGTTCGCCGAGGCTGTCCTGCCAAAGCTGCTGGACACTTACAATGAGGTCGCTGCCAACCCCCTCATCGCTGCCCAGAACAGTCTGACGGTTGGCGCATATATTGTCACCACACTCACCTCGTGGTCTCATCAGAGCAATGTGTCTGCGGCTGTCAAGTCGTCACTGTCGAAAGTCTCTGTCACCAACCAAGGCCTTGTACTGGAGCCCAAGCCATCTTTTCTACTAAATCCTCGTATCTATGGTAAGATTACTGTTGAAGATGAGCTGATATGGTTTTCCCGTGCTCTTTCGGCTGCCGCGGAGCATTTGACTGAAAATACTCTCAAGACCGTCTCTACTGCTTGGGCAGAGGCCTTCATCTTCGTCATCTGCGCATCGGTGGCTACACCAAAGGTCAGACAAGTTGCCACTGACAGTTTGTCGCGTGTCTACGCCAGCCGGCCCCAATTGGTATCCCAGGCCATTGTTCAAGGCATTTGGCACTGGCTCGAGACATTACAAACAGGTGACAAGGACAGCGCAGCAGCCCTCTCTAAGACTGACAACACAAATTTGTCCCTTGTTCTCCGCACAATATGCATGAGCCCAAAGACTTTGACAGAGGACCAACAGGAGGCTGTTCGTTCTTCAGTCGACCAGCAGCTTTGCTCCTTGCTAGTCCTTGCCCGAAAAGAACTTATTCCGCGCGCCAGCTGGATTGAGCTCTGCTTACGAGTCGAGAGAGATCCGGGAGACTTGGCACGCCAGCTTGAGGATGACTTGGTGAAGGAAATCATGGAGAGGACTTCGATCGAGCAAAAGTCTGATGTCGTTAAAAAGGCTGCTTGCAACGCTGCCGCAGAACTGGCATTTGTGGCCCCAGACACCATGATCAGCCGTATCGTACAAATAATCCAAAACGACCTGGAACCGGAGGAATTGCGAAGCATTGGGCCCGTAGAGGCTGCCATCTTCCGAACCCCAGAGGGCACAGCTTTCGTGGACGTCTTGGCGAAGAAGGCTCAGACCACTGTGCCCGACAAAAATAACAAAGACTACGATATCCTGAAGTGGGAAGCGGAATTGAGGGCGCAACTTGCCCAGAAGAAGGGACAGCAAAAGAAGCTTACAGCAGAAGAGACCGCCAAGGTCAATGCTCAGCTCAAGAAGGAGGCAGGTATCCGAGAGTCGGTTCGTCAGTTGCAGGCGAGGTTACTTCGTGGTATCGGTATCGTAGAAAGTCTTGCAACCGGACCGCCCACCGAGGCCAGCCACTGGATGGGACCTTCCATCAAGGCCCTCCTGGACGTTATTGATGCAGGCGCTAGTCTCCTCACGGGCGACTCTGCCTCTCTTGCCTATCTTGCCTGCTCTGAGCGAACTACCAGCCGTCTTGGCCCCATGAAGCCCTTTGTTGGTATTGCTACCCTACGTGCTCGTGGTGTTACTTCTTTGCCGGAAGATTATAAGCAGGAACCTGTCGATGAGCTCGTAACCAGAGTATTATACCGTCTGCGTTTCGCTGGTGAGCAACGCCCCTTTGACACAGTTTCACTAATCTACGGACTTTCGTTGGTCTTCACTGTTCTTGAAAGTGGTGGGTTTGGCTCATCGCCCGACGATCGAGATGCACAACTCGTCCTCGCCATCGAGTTTCTTGCCTTCCATACAAACAACTGCGAGGACCAGGCGACTCCTCGGGTTCAGATACTCTCCTCCTTGATTTCTTCTATGCAACGTTACACCCAGCACTACAAGATCGTCAAAGATTGCTTCGCCGATGTGTGTCGGTGCATCGCGCCTAACATGACCCCGGAGGAGGTTGCGGTACTCGCCAAGGGATGCATTGTTCCCCAAGTTAGCGTTAGGACTACGGTGCTGCAATCAATCAGCGCAGAAGTGGATATGAGCGAGCTCAGCTTTTCTGATGAGATCTGGTTGGCCTGCCACGATGACGTCGAGGAGAACGTTGATCTTGGTCGCGAAATCTGGGAGGAAAGCGAATTTCAATTGTCTCCCGAGGTTTCGGCAAAAATGCTGCCTTATCTGGAAAGCGTCGACGGTCAACTCAGAAGAGCTGCTGCCCGGGCATTAGCTGAAGCTTGCAGCGTGCATAAATCTACTCTCGAGCCGATCCTGGAGTCTCTGAAATCCTCGTACATTGAGCTCGCCAAACCAAGAGTCCCTCAATTGGATGAGTACGGCATGCCAAAGAAGACCAACCTTGCGGACCCTTGGGAAGCAAGACACGGTATAGCATCCGCTTTCAAAGAGCTGGCGCCACACATGGGCCAGCAGCAACTTGATCCATTCTTTGAGTTTCTCATTGAACGAGGTCCCTTGGGTGACCAGGATGCAAACGTTCGCAGTGAGATGCTTGATGCAGCCATCCGTGCCATCGATATCCATGGCAAGGGCTTGGTTGACAAACTGATGAAGGTGTTCGAGCGTACACTTGAAGGTCCGGATAAGAACACAGAGGCTTCAGACCGTGTCAACGAGGCTGTCATCATCATGTATGGTGCTCTCGCCCGGCACTTGAAGCCGGGAGACTCGAAGCTCCCGGTTGTCATCGAACGTTTGCTGGCAACTCTCAGCACGCCCTCAGAAACTGTGCAGTACGCCATTGCCGAGTGCCTGCCGCCCCTGGTGCAAGCCTATGGTGATAAATCGTCAAAGTATTTCCAACAGGTTCTCGAAACGCTGCTGACTTCCAAGAAATACGCCGAGCAACGAGGTGCTGCTTATGGCTTGGCTGGCCTCGTCCAGGGTCGCGGCATTTCGTCATTAAAGGAGCAGCGCATCATGATGACGCTGAGAGGAGCTATGGAAAATAAGAAAGAGGTAAACCAACGAGAAGCCGCTCTGCTTGCCTATGAGCTGCTCTCGACGATCCTTGGCCGCCTCTTTGAGCCTTATGTCATTCAGATCGTCCCGCAACTACTCACTGGTTTTGGTGATGGAAATGCCAACGTTCGCGACTCCTGCTTGGCAGCAGCAAAGGCTTGCTTCGGAAAGCTTAGCTCGTATGGTGTGAAAAAGATTTTGCCTACCCTCCTGGATGGCCTGGATGATCAACAATGGCGTAGTAAGAAGGGAGCTTGCGACTTGCTGGGAGCTATGGCCTACCTTGACCCTCATCAGCTTGCTCAAAGTCTCCCTGACATCATCCCCCCTCTTACGGGTGTTCTAAACGACAGTCACAAGGAAGTCCGCTCCGCCGCCAATAAGAGCTTAAAGAGATTCGGCGAGGTCATCAACAACCCTGAAATCAAGAGTCTTGTGGATATCCTCCTAAAGGCCCTCAGTGACCCGACTAGGTACACCGATGAGGCTTTGGATGCTTTGATTAAAGTCCAGTTCGTCCATTATCTGGATGCTCCCTCCCTCGCTCTGGTTACAAGAATCCTACAACGTGGCTTGGGAGACCGTTCCAACACCAAACGTAAGGCTGCTCAAGTTATTGGCAGTCTTGCGCATCTTACCGAGCGGAAGGACTTGGTCTCTCACCTACCAATCCTTGTTGCAGGACTCAAGCTTGCCATCGTTGATCCAGTTCCAACTACCCGTGCCACAGCTTCGAGGGCCCTGGGTTCTTTGATGGAGAAGTTGGGCGAAGATGCTCTTCCAGATCTTATCCCAGGACTCATGCAGACCCTCAAGGCAGACAACGGTGCAGGCGACCGTCTTGGATCTGCCCAAGCACTCAGCGAGGTCCTTGCAGGCTTGGGAACCACCAGACTGGAAGAAATTCTCCCGACCATTTTGCAGAATGTCGAGTCATCGAAACCTGCCGTCCGGGAAGGCTTCATGTCACTCTTCATTTTCCTTCCTGTCTGCTTTGGCAACAGTTTCGCCAACTATTTGGGCAGAATCATTCCTCCTATTCTTTCTGGACTTGCTGATGATGTCGAATCCATCCGTGAGACTGCCCTTCGGGCTGGTCGTCTACTTGTCAAGAACTTTGCTGTGCGTGCTGTTGATCTGCTACTTCCAGAGCTTGAGCGCGGCTTGGCCGATGACAGCTACCGTATCCGTCTCAGCTCCGTCGAGCTTGTTGGCGATCTTCTCTTCAACCTTACAGGCATCAGTGGCAAGGCAGAAGATGAAGAGGAAGACGAGGAGACCGTCAAGGAGGCCGGAGCCTCGCTGCGTGAAGCGCTTGGAGAAGAAAAGAGAAACAAGATTCTCTCCGCCCTCTATGTTTGCCGATGCGATACTGCTGGCGCGGTCCGCTCCGCTGCCATCAGTGTCTGGAAGGCATTGGTTTCCAGCCCTCGCACTCTCAAGGAGTTGGTACCAACTCTCACTCAACTGATTATCCGACGTCTTGGAAGCTCAAACATGGAGCACAAGGTCATTGCCAGCAACGCTCTAGGCGAGCTGATACGCAAGGCAGGAGACGGTGTCTTGTCAACCCTTCTTCCAACTCTCGAGGAGGGCTTGCAGACATCAACAGACACAGACGCAAAGCAAGGTATCTGCCTTGCCCTCAAGGAACTCATCTCATCGGCGTCCGAGGAGGCTCTAGAGGACCACGAGAAGACGCTTATCTCTGTGGTCAGGACTGCTCTTACCGACTCGGACGAGGATGTCAGAGAAGCAGCAGCGGAGGCCTTTGATTCCCTGCAGCAGATCCTCGGCAAAAAGGCCGTGGACCAGGTGCTCCCGTTCCTGCTCAATCTCTTGCGGTCCGAGGAAGACGCCGACAACGCACTGTCAGCGCTGCTCACTCTCCTTACAGAGACCACACGGTCCAATATCATTCTACCGAACCTCATTCCTACACTTATTACTCCTCCCATATCTGCCTTCAACGCCAAGGCTCTTGCTTCTCTCTCGAGAGTCGCGGGTGCTGCTATGAACCGTCGGCTGCCAAACATCATCAACTCTTTGATGGACAACATCATCAACTGCCAAGACGAGACGTTGAGAGAGGATCTGCAAAACTCTTTCGACACAGTGATCCTGTCCATCGATGAGTACGATGGATTGAACACGGTTATGAATGTGTTACTGCAACTCACCAAGCATGAGGATCACCGCAGACGTGCCGCTACCACTAATCACCTCGCCAAATTTTTCGCCACAGCGGATGTGGATTACTCACGTTATAACCAGGACATTGTTCGGTCACTGCTTATCTCCTTTGACGACAGAGATCCAAGTGTTGTCAAGGGAGCCTGGGCTGCCCTTAGCGAGTTCACCAAGAAGCTCCGAAAGGAGGAGATGGAGAGCCTTGTCATCTCTACCAGGCAGGCCCTCCAGCAGGTTGGCGTTTCCGGCGCAAACCTGCCAGGCTTCGAGCTCCCCAAGGGTATCAACGCCATTTTGCCAATTTTCCTGCAGGGTCTGATGAACGGTACTCCTGAGCAAAGGACGCAGGCTGCTCTTGCTATTTCCGACATCGTCGATCGGACAAGCGAGACTGCCCTTAAACCCTTTGTCACGCAAATCACGGGTCCCCTCATTCGTGTCGTTTCCGAGAGATCCACGGACGTCAAGTCTGCTATCCTCTTGACCCTTAACAACCTTCTGGAGAAGATGCCTGCCGCGCTCAAGCCTTTCTTGCCCCAGCTGCAACGCACTTTCGCCAAATCTCTTGCAGATACCTCAAGCGAGGTTCTTCGAGCTCGCGCAGCCAAGGCCCTAGGCACACTGATCAAGTACACGCCACGTATTGATCCCCTGATAGCAGAGCTTGTGACAGGATCCAAGACGTCGGATCCGGGGGTCAGGACAGCTATGCTCAGCGCATTGTATGAGGTTATCAGCAAGGCCGGTGCCAACATGGGTGAGACCTCCCGGGCTGCCGTCCTGAGTCTCATCGATATGGAAACGGACGAGAGAGACGATGCAATGATCATCACCAACGCCAAACTTCTCGGGGCTCTGATTAAGAACGTGCCTGAGGAGGCTGCCAACGGTCTGCTCAAAAATCGGGTGGTCACCAGTCACTGGAGCCATTCTTCGGCTCTTGCTTTGAACGCGGTTTTGGTCGAATCCCCGCAGAGTCTCCTCGAAAGTCCTCTGGCGGAAGACTTGCCCGATCTCCTTTGCCAGGGCATGTCAAACAAAAACGTAAGTAGGCCGGTCCCGCTCAGCAACGTACCTGTTACTGACATAACATACAGCCTTATATTGCTGACAACCTCATCCTGGCTACTGGTAAATACCTGCTTTCAGAGTCAACCAAGACCTTTGACTCGAACAAGAAGATCTTTGAAGCGCTGGCGACAGTTATCCAGCCCGGAGGATCTGTCGATTCCCGCCGGTTGGCATTGGTGATCGTTCGAACTATGAGCCGCGTTAACATGGATATGGTTCGCCCGCACGTGGCATTGCTCGCTGGACCCATCTTTGCCAGTGTCAGAGACCCTGTTATCCCAGTCAAGTTGGCCGCAGAAGCAGCTTTTGTGGCTCTCTTCAACGTGGCGGACGACGAGAGCAAGGTCTTTGACAAGTTCATGGACGGCGCAAACCTACCACCAAACTCTAAAAGGAGCATGCAGGATTATTTCAAGCGAGTCACACTGCGACTAGGTGCACAAGTACGAGAGAGAAGAGAAGCAGAGGGCGGTCAGGGCGGTCTAGGGTTGTCGAATGACGAGGTCGAAGATGAGAAGGAGATCTGGAGCGTTGGCAAGGTTGATGTTGGCGAGGACGTGTTTGGCAATAGTTAGATGGGCATAGATGGAGTTGCATGAGACGAGACCGGACTTTCAAAAGCTTTTTGCCAACATGTGTATTGATTGTGCATCTATATAAGTTCTTCTCACACCATGAATAGAGAAACCGTTTGCTCTACAAAAACAGTGTTAAATGGATTGAACCTGTCCCTTCCAAAGTGCCGCATTTACTGGCTAGGAAATTGCTCGATCAGAACAGCTAGTTGTACTGAGTGGGACGGGCACAGAAGACGATGGACAAGGCATGGATGCTTCTTGTCCTATTCACGATAAGGCTCTTTCGATGGAAAGTTGGTTGCCGTCTGCAGGGGGAGGCATAAACAAATAAAAAATAAATAAAAACAATTATAGGCTACAATTCTAAAAGTCAGTTAGTTGGTCTGGCATTTTGGGCTGTGTCACCGTATCACGTGACGACATGATTCATTTGAGCCCTGAGCTCGCTTAACCAAAGTTGCGTCTGGCTTAGCCCCACCCGAATCCGCACCGCTTCTCACTTTCCTCCTGAGAAATATTCGAGCGTCAACCCCTCTCAATTTTCAACACCTCGACTCCCCCGGTAGGTACGACCATCGACTAGGACAACATTCAAGATGTAAGTTATCACGACAGCACCCACCACTACACCGCATGCCGATTCCAATGAGATTTCCGTCGTCTTGTGCACCGGGCACGCCAATTCTAGGCCGCTGTGGCGACTAGGACTCGCAGAGGCGACGAGCCGAACACACGACGACTGGGGCTCGGATGGAGCTGGAGGATGTAATTTTCATCGTTAGGGTCAAAGGCTGATTGCGACTGCTTCTTCCAGGGTCAATCTGCGAACTCAGAAGCGCCTCGCCGCGTCGGTTATCGGCTGCGGTGAGCGCAAGATCTGGCTCGACCCCAATGAGGTCAACGAGATCTCCAACGCCAACTCCCGCCAGACCGTCCGCAAGCTCATCGCCGATGGCCTCATCATCCGCAAGCCCGTCACCATGCACTCGAGATCCCGTGCTCGTGAGCTGAACCTGGCTCGCCGTATTGGTCGCCACCGTGGCTTCGGTAAGCGCAAGGGTACCGCCGAGGCTCGTATGCCCAGGTTCGTCAACACCAATTTCGACGCTTGGCCCGCTGGGTAGTTTGTCATGATGTCTCGGCGTAGGGCATATGTCCGACCGAGATGGCTTGACAGAAATCTAACGGGTGTCGTCTGAAATGGAGATTCTGTGCTGACTCTCGATGAAGCCAAGTCCTCTGGATGCGCCGCCTCCGTGTCCTCCGCCGTCTCCTTGTCAAGTACCGCGCCTCCGGCAAGATCGACAAGCACCTGTACCACGAGCTCTACCACGCCAGCAAGGGTAACACCTTCAAGCACAAGCGTGCTCTCGTTGAGCACGTAAGTTATCATCCTGGATATCTCTGGAGCGGACAAGCACATGTACGAGGCTGGGTAAATGGGCTAACATATAACTCCTCTCACAGATTCACCGTGCCAAGGCCGAGAAGGCCCGCGAGAGGGCTCTCAAGGACGAGATGGACGCCAAGCGTGCGAAGACCAAGGCCGCCCGCGAGCGCAAGCAGGAGAGAGTGGCGGCGAAGCGGAACGCTCTGATGGGCGAGGGCGAGGAGGAGACCAAATAGACGACTACATCTCGATCTCAGTCCTTAGGCGGCTGCATTCGGAGTCATCGGGTTGGGTCTTCTTTTTTTACGTCCTACTGGTCCTAATGTCGCAGCAGGGCTTTGGCATGTAGCATTGAAAAATGGAAATCGATGACATGGCAAACAAAAAACGGGCATGAAAAATGAGCAGCAGCAATCTTTACCTGGTTTATATTTTGTGGCTTTCCGTGATGATGTTTGAATGACACTGCTACATGCGTGAACAAACAGAACTCCTTGGCTATGCTTAATGATGTCCTTCGTCTGTGTGGAAATGTCACTTTGAACGTAATGGGTAATATCCTGCCTAGCCAAGCAACTCTTCAAGAAGGTTGTTTCCATCTATCGATTTGGTGCCATTCGTTTGGTGAGCACAGGCCGCAGGGCCATTACAATATATTACCTGATTCTTCGCAACCATGAGACGGCGTGTGGGGTAAGATATAGAGCACTGTCTTCCTGCCGTCTCCTGATGGTGTAGATAGATTGTCAAAATGCACTCATTCTCTCTTTTATTCAAACAGGTGGCTATTAAGTATTCGACTTCGATGGATCGGGCTCATTCGCTAGCCCGATTCGTCAGGCTCATAGGCAGCTTTCAACGATGTCATGGATTAGCGCACTGTTCAGCCGCCAAACAGAGCATATTCATTCACGCCAAGATTCAATGCCATCAGTCAGCCCTTTCCAGGGACAGCAGACGGGGCCGTACTACCCAAGTAAATTGGCGATAGCATCACAGACAAGGCGGGGGAATCGCCGCTTCAGACGAATATGGGCAAAGGTTGCACATGCGGAGGACACCCATCAAGCGTTTTCCAATTTACTTGAATCAGAGTACAACAGACATTGTACCATGCGTTCGACCACACTTGTGTTGGACGCTAGGAAGACACCAGCCGAGGGGAGGTGATTTTTAATGAGAAACATTAGGTAAAAGAAAGAAAACACACAACAATAGATTGGATCAGATTGTTTCAAATTGTCCCTTCAAAGGTGGTGAGATGTGCCAGGACATTTCAGCATGCACCCGCCGAAGCGGAAGAGCCGATATGTGAAGAAAGCGTGCTCGTCATCTCCAATTTAGTTGTGTAATGAAAAGAAGAAGACAAAAATTAAAATTTTCGGCCGTGGTGCCGCATAAAAAGGGCAAGTCGGGTGGCTCCAGCGGGACCGTACCGAGGGCTCGTGCACGGCTTACTGTTTGGATACTGGGTCTGCTGATGTCAGAAATGTGCCCGTCATCAGCTTCTCCACAACTCAGTAGTGCCTACAAGATAAGCTGATAAGCAGGTCGGCTACAATGGTTCACAGGACGGAAGCCGAAGCCGGCGCCAACCGTCGCTGGGCAGCTCGGTTCAGTTACCGCTAGAAAAAACGGATGAGATACCGAGCAGAGGTCACCAACCACCCCGGCACCCCCAGCTTGCCCAGCGCCTGATGTACCTCCTCCCCCACCAACGGCGTAGAGCTACATCATGGCCATGTGCTTGTTGCTGGGGTCTGGTATCCGTAACTGCTCTGGAGTGCCGTTGTACGGATAGCTTCCCTTACTTCAAGTTGCTCTGCACCTCTTCCACCTCCTCTACTTCTGATATCCTACTCTTCACCTCTTCGTCCAATTCTTCTTGCCTGGCAAAGGTTCAACATCGGCAAATTGACCTGCTTCTTCCTAGGTCTTTTGTCCAGTAGTCACCATGTCTCTTCCCACCTTTCGAAGCACGGCTCGTGCACTGCGTTGCTTGCCGAGAGGGGCAGTCCCGGCCACATTGTCACGCGCAAGTGGCGTGAGATGCATCTCGACGAAGAGCTTGGAGGGTCAGCAACAGGTGAGTCGAAATTTTTTTCATACGGACCTCTCTGCTTTGAGTTTGGCTTGCTAACTGTGATTCTAATGCAGCTATTGTCTGCCAATCTGCAGCAAGCAGACCCGGCTGTATTTGACATTATTGAGAAGGTACGCTTCAATGCGATAACAATCGCTATCGACAATGTTTTTGGCAGGAACCGGCAACCTCGGTCACTTAAGCGAGCGTTGATCCACGATCCCACGGGATATAATTGAGTCTGGTTGCTGATATGAATCCGTTTGCAGGAGAAAACCAGACAGAAACACTTTATCAACCTTATTCCTTCTGAGAACTTTACCTCCCAGGCTGTTCTCGATGCCCTGGGCAGTGTTATGCAGAGTAAGACCATTTCTTCAGGAACACTTACAGGAACGGAACCTGATACGATTAATCAGACAAATACTCCGAGGGCTACCCCGGCGCAAGATACTATGGTGGAAACGAGTTCATCGACCAGGCAGAGCGTCTCTGCCAGCAACGAGCCCTCGAGGCCTTCGGCCTCGACGCGAAGCAATGGGGCGTTAACGTGCAAGGTGCGCATAACTTTCCAGTGTACCCAAGTGCTGCTCAATCCGTGCTAACTTATAGTGTAGCTCTTTCGGGCGCCCCTGCCAACTTGTACGTCTATTCCGCCTTAATGGACACTCACGATCGCCTGATGGGTCTTGACCTGCCCCATGGTGGCCACCTTTCCCACGGTTACCAGACGCCGACCAAAAAGATCTCCGCCATTTCCAAGTACTTCGAAACCGTCCCTTACAGACTGGACGAGTCCACGGGTCAAATTGACTATAACAAGTTGGAAGAGCTGGCCCTGCTGTACCGCCCCAAGATTATTGTGGCGGGAGCCAGTGCGTATAGCAGGTTGATCGATTATAAGCGCATCCGCGAGATCTGCGATAAGACCAACGCCTACCTTGTTGCGGATATGGCTCATATTTCCGGGCTCGTTGCAGCGAAGGTTATGCCCGGGCCCTTCGCGTTCGCCGATATTGTCACTACTACCAGCCACAAGAGCTTGCGAGGACCTCGTGGCGCCATGATCTTCTTCCGCAAGGGTGTGCGCCGCCAGAACGCCAAGAAGGAAGACGAGCTGTACAATCTTGAGGGTCCCATCAATAGCTCTGTTTTCCCTGGCCACCAGGGAGGTCCTCATAACCATACCATCACCGCCTTGGCCGTGGCTCTGAAGCAGGCCCAATCCCCTGAGTTCCGGGCGTACCAAACTCAGGTTCTGGCGAATGCAAAGGCATTTGCCCAGAGACTGGGCGCCCCCAAGGAGAAGGGAGGATTGGGATACAAGCTTGTGTCGGGCGGCACTGATAACCATCTCGTACTGGCTGATCTGAAGCCTCAGGGTATCGACGGCAGTCGTGTCGAGCGTGTGTTGGAGCTCGTTGGCGTCGCATCCAACAAGAACACCGTCCCCGGCGACAGGTCAGCGCTGGTTCCCGGCGGATTGCGCATGGGAACGCCAGCAATGACAACTAGAGGCTTCAGTGAGGAAGACTTCAGCCGCGTTGCTGATATCGTTGACCGAGCTGTTACCATCGCCGTCCGTGTAGACAAGAGCGCAAAGAAGGCAGCTGAAGAGAGGGGAGAGAAGAAGCCTGGACTGCTCAGACACTTCATGGAGCACCTCGGAGACGGAGAAACTGATCCAGAGATTGTCCAACTGAAGTCTGAAGTTGCTGACTGGGTCGGCACGTATCCGCTGCCGTGGGATGTCCGGTCGTGAGCAGCGGCCCGCACTTAATGAAGGGATGAAGGGCATGCATCTTCACACTCAAGCCATTGGGTGAGAATGCTCACTTCGGCGTTTAAGGGGGGCCTTGAATGCTTTGAGACTGCGAAATAGCGGTATCTGTTATTTGCCTCCTAGGTTTCATTTTTATGCTGTCTTATTTATTATGGTCGCGGATGTTTTCATCAAGCCCATCATTCTCAACGAGATACGGAAATATCAAGTTTTAGAAAGAGAAAAAAGAATTATTGTTAACATGTTACCACACGTGTGTTTATTGCCGCCATCCTGGGGTAGGTGACAGACGCAGCAGCACTAGTTTGTGTCCTCGTCCTGTACTATTGTCCGGAGCATGGATATCAAACGCATACGTATCGTAACCGTGATATGTGTGTTGAGTTGATAACTAGCTGCAGAAATTACAAAGATATAAAGCGTACCTCGAGTCTTGTCTGGATCATAGCACACATATGTGACATGGCGTACGGAGGCGCAGGTTTGTATGTTCAAGGAGTTTAGAAGTCACATTTCTAACTTACTTTTATTTAATTTTTATTGTTGTCCTCATTTCCAAAAGGTATTTAACAAAAGGCACGCTTCGAGCATTCCCTGCCGACTCCTGTACTTATCACCCATGTCGGAGAGACGACGGAGCTTATCTGACCATTTCAACCGGCTTTTGTGTTTGTTCAAGCAGCTTCCGAACCATTGGACAGGCTCACGCCCAGCATTTTGGCGGTTGGTTCCCTAACCTTTACTCTTTCGTAGTACTCCCCCAGTTTGCTGGTGGTGGCAAGTGAGTCGATGCCAGACTCCTCAACCATGGCATGCAGCACCGGCCAGACAGCAAAATCGGCCAGCGAAATGGTTGGTCCGGCAATGAAGTCATCCTCACCGGCGTAACTATTCCACATTGCCAATTCCCTCCTAGGAGGCTTCCACTCGCGCTTATCCCTGTTGCCTCGTTCAGGCCGTCCCCACCTATCTAGCAGAGCGAGGCCCTCTTGAAAACGAGTCAGGACTCTTGCAAGTTCGGACTGTGCTTTAATCCCAACACCTGACTTCCCAGACCCATAAACACCTTCCACGTACAACATAATCGCCAGTTCTCCCTGGACCGTTGATTTGGCAGCATCATTGTCGACAAACTTGACTGGCGGGCTCTCAGCATCCGTCAGGGTGTCTTCGGCAGGTTGTTTACCATCCTTCCAATTAAAGGACGAGGACATGGTCCCTTTTGAGTAAGATATGCCATACTCGGCCAACATCAAGGCGATGCGCATATTGACAACAGGATCAGCCGAGGCGCAAAATCGTGGCGAGGTGCTCATGTGAAGAACATCAAATCCCTTGCCGTAGTGCTTGTCCCAGTCAAACTTGGTTGAGTGATTCTCTGTGCCGAAAGCTTGGAGCATCCCCACAGCCTCGGGGCTTTGTCCATTGATGACTGAGTGAGCGTCATCCCTGGTCTTGCCGGTAGCGCCCTGGCCCCAGATCAATGTGCTGTCGCGATCCAAAAAGGTGCCAATTTGTCGGAATGTAAGGGAAATACGTCCGCCAGAGAAGGCCAGTTCAGCAGGAGTCTTTTCACGGTCCATCCTCTTGTCCTGTTTGATGGCGTGCAACCAGCACATATTTGTCTTCAAGCCCATACGACATAGGGAATTATGTGGCAATTTCGCACGAGAAATCTTGCGCTGTTTAGAGTCTTCACCGGACCGTAACTCAGGGCTGGACGGGTCCTTATCCCGCCTCTTAGTTCTGAACACCATAGTTCGCTCTGCCCCCAGGCTGACGTTGGCTATGTAAGATCCCTTGACAATATCGAGGGTCTTGTCGCTATGCTCGGAAATATAGTCGGTGCCGTCGCGGTAGAATTGAATCAGCACATGGTTCAGTGGGTGGCCAAGCTGTTTCTCAACCTCGGTCTTGATCCTGAGCACTGTTGTCGAGAAGGGAAGAAGGGGCGGCGACTCGTCGGATGGATGGCGGTACACTGGCATGCTTCCGTCGGATGCCACCTCGCCCTGAACAGCCACCAGACGAGGAACTTCTCCGCCCTGGTGTGACATTCTCTGCCATCGAACTTCATCCCTCACCTTTTCAAAAATACCCTCAGCAAGAGGTTTGGGCAACACGTTATAAATGACGGTGGTGTCGCCCTCACAAAGAGGTTCCGTGGCTTGCAGGTGGTTCTTCTCCACGTCTGTTTCTCCGTCCATGGTTGTTTCTTGCGTCTCAGCTGATACTGGTGTCGAATCTGGCTCTAGATCTGAGTTGAAATCTGATGTGCTATCAACAGCTGTTCCAAGTATCCTAGGCTCTTTTGTAACATTCTTTCCCCTCATTAGAGCTGGCGGTGATGTTGCAGTGGTTTCCCTTGCCTGTGCTCCCTCGGGTTGGATTCGAGAAGCTTCCTTATAAGGTGAGTCACTTCGGGTCGGCGGTGGCGGCTGTGCGGCCGGGTCGACTTCTAGCGTGTCATGGACGATTGTGCGTCCAAAATCCGTAGGAGTTGGGCCTGGCGTACGCGTCATTGCGGCTGAGGAGCTACTGTTAGTAATTTTGAGCCCAGCCATCTGTTCTTCGATTGATTTGGCGCTCGAAGCATCACGTGCAGGTGTAAGGCTGCCACTTGTCTCTTTGAGTCTCTTTGGCACAACAGGGGACGAAGAGGCGGGTGTGCGGGAGGGCAGATTCTTCTTGGGTTGCAGCTTGTCAATGACATCCTGGCTGTCCTCGACCTCGCAACCGGTTACATCGACCAGACTACGCACAGCATTGCCTTGGCGAAGGTCAGATCTGTAACCACAGCAATTCTCAACAAGAGTGATGGAATAGCCATACTTGGCGGCGTCGACAGCAGTTGCGTAGACGCCGATGTTAGCGAGAGAGCCGCAAAGAAAAAGCTCGGTGATGAACTTGACGCGTAGCATCTGAAGCAACTGGCCCGACTTGAAGGCCGAATAGTGAGACTTGATAAAGGTTATGTCCCGGGGAGCCAGAGCTTCCTGGACGACGGCAGGTAACTGGGCGCCGGAAGTGGTGGAGTGAACAATGGGTGGGCCGGGCCGGCTGAGGAAGGCCTCGGGGTCGGCGTCGGCAATGGCGGCGTCATCGTACTCGGGCGTGGAGGCCGCAGGTCGTCGGCGAGAACGAGCCATGATGGTGGGCTTCGGGAGGACATCGGTGGCTAGGATCTGTTCGTCCGCTGAGGGGCGGGGCTTGTCGAACTCAGTGCATACCCAGATGATGTCGCCAACTTTGCGAAAGGCCTTGACCAGGTCGAGAGTGTTGGACACGAGGTCATTTGGTCCGGTGACGGACAGTGCGCCATCGGCAGCAAGGAAGTCGTTTTGGAAGTCAATAACCAGCAAGCCTTTCCGAGTAGGGAGCTGGGGGAGAACGTTTTTGTCGAAAGGGAACATGGCGGCGGCAGAGGGTTTACAGTATCCAAGATGATGGCATGTTGGGAGTGATTTCACAGGTGGCGTGCGTGTTGGAACGGGACGACGAAACTGCCTCTCGAGTGGTATGTGGCACTGGGGCCTTACGGTGCTGCACAAAATATGACTCAAAGCTGGTGACCTTGGGAGCCCACTAGCGAAAGAAACAACACAAGTACTGGCAAGATACGTTCGGGTATGAATGTGTGAACTTCGATGAGGTTGCAATACGGGGAGGTAAGTGAGCTAGTGAAAGAGAAGAGGAAGGGAAGGCCGCAATATAGGTGTAGGTGTAGTTGGTGGTCGTCGTGTTTGCGGACGCAATTTTGTGGGTTGCAAACACGGAGCGGTGTTGGCTCTTGGTAGTTCTCGGTATTAGTATTGGCGTTGGCTTGGTGGTGGTGGTTGTTGTGGTGTTGGTGTTGGTCCCCTCCCATCCCCCGTTGTGAGTTCAGTCTAGCGGGGGTTTGCGAGGGGAGAGGAGACAAAGCCCTCCACTGCCTTTCGAATCGGTTCCCGCCCGATGGACTTTCTGGATGGTAAGTGGGCCTGACGGGGGTTGGAGGGTATCAACGGAGGATCCCGGCGTGGGGCATGGGAGACGGGGACTAGACGCTGACATTCTTTTTTTTTTTTTTTTTTTATGTTCTTCTTTCTCACGTTGTATTACTACTATAGTCTGCATGAGATGTGGAAGGGTGTGAAAAAATAAACATCAAGTTGATGCTGTTACTGCATGGTAGGGCGATATCAGCCTCGAAAGGCGGTTAGAAGTAAGCTTTGTGTGAGAGAATGCCGTGTCAGGCGCTGCAACCACCTAGGTCTAGTTAGTGTAGTGCAGATCCATCGCTTCCGTTGCTTAGTGCCCTTGGAGACCCCAAAAGTTTGACTACCACTACCGGTAGAGGTGAGTCCCTAGAACCCACTAGCTGTCACTGTCATGGCTTACATAACGTCAAGGGCTCTGTAGCTGCCGGAAAACGTAAATGCCAAACTGAGAGGGAGAGGGGCTGGCATTTCGATCCATTTTGAACAAGTTGCTGTGCAGAAGTATTATTGTTTAACCCCCGTCACTGCCCTGCTTGTACTCGAACCCTGCCCTATTCCTACCCTCCCTTCCCTGGTCTTGCACTATTCTTGGCCCAGTTCATCCTACGCAGCCCTACCAGATGGCGCCCATTCAACCAACCAAGATGCGAAGGACACCACCCATTCGCCCAAGCCCAACCTATCCTAACTCAAGGCAACCCAACTCTCCTGCGACTATAGCTGCCTTTTCTCGATCCATTTCAAGCAGCCGTTGTCCGCCGCCCTACTTAAAACCCTCCATGCTTCGGTAGGTAAAGTGGCTATTGTATGCTGCCCACAAAACACGACCCCTCTTTTAAAGGCCAAGACGTGATGGACGCGCATGAGCCGTCTGCAACACACAACCGGGGTGTATACGAACCATTGCTTTTGAAACCTGTCGTCTTCGTACGATGTGAAAAACTCTTCCTGGCTGGTGATGTACTCTGCTTGCTTTGCAGCTTGGCGAATTGACGTAGCCCTCGGCCGACTCAACAAGACGCCAGTGATAGAAACTGAACCCCCAGTGCCCATAAACGTGAACCCCGCGCTTTAGCGGATGCTCCATCAAAGTTCCAATTCTCATACCATAACCTCTTGGCAGTTGACAGACATCTAAGTTGATGGTCTTTCTTCATTTCACTTCATCCTGTATTTGCCCTCGCCTTTTGTCCCTTCTAACTGCGTACTTGTGGTATCAAGATGGGGCTTCATAATCCTTGACACTTTTGTCAATACACCGGTCAAGTGTGCATAGATCACCCGCCGCCCTAAGGTCACGCGATCTAGGTGAGCAGGATGAACGGGGTGAGCTAGGCATCTTTGCAAAAAACCGGGCTGTGAAATGAGGTATATATTGTCGGAGGAAGACCAGGTCGCCCACATGGGCCTCCAGGTTAGTAAGCACGAACCGATATCATCTGAGAGCGGCCTACAGGGTGAGATCTTCTAGAACCTGAGGGTGAACAATGTCAAATGCCTTCGATGTCTGTTTTTCACTCTGGTAAAGAATGTGCTCCCGATTCTATTGACCTCTTTTTGGAGTGACCTAATGACGAGACACGATTCGCCAAGCTTAGAAAACATGACAGCTTCAAGATTTTCAACGTCCAAGGTAAATACGGCAGAATCGGCCACAACGGTAGCGGCAGGCCTTCACAAGAAAGCCGTCTGTTGATGAAGCCTGTCAACCATTTCATGTGCATACACTTCTAACCTATTTATCATCCCTACCAAAGCTCCCATCTAAGGCCTCCAACAACGTCGTCCGTCAACTCCTAATACATCCCAATCAAGGTCATACTTCCACAGTACAACACCTATGCCTACCTTTTTTCTCATTCGAAATCGACGCACTTCACCTCGTTGCAAAAAATTCTAGCCTGGATCTAGGCTCTACGAATACCTTGCAATGAACAGTGCAGCCTTAGTAACTATAATGGATGGGGTATACGACATCTATCAATGGGCTTTCGATATCGTTCCTGCTCGAGACTATAAGAAGCCATTATTTCGAACTATCGGCGAACGATGCTTCGCGATTCAAACGACTTATTCACGCATCCTTTCTCAAATCGGCTTCTTCTCGCCCTGTCGTCTCCAGGGAGTAAGAGGCTGCTTTTTTTTTTAAAAAAAAAAAAGTGGCTAGCTCTTCTCTTATGTTATACCTGCTTTTTGGTATCTCTAGTATTTTAAGGGCACCTCACGCTCTTTTACGACAGGCCGCGATTACACCTCCAGTTTTATTCGTTATCACCTGGTTTCTGATGTGTGCGGTAAGTCACCAGGTATGTATTATATTGACTATCGCTAACGCCTTCCTCGCGATGTTTCCTACAGAATCGCTATATTGCAGGGGATTCTTGGCGACATGACGGGCCTCCCCAAGGTCGCTAACGCTTGGCAAAGGTCTTCATAGGGATTTTCACAACACCAAATACAAGGCGTGGTGTCTTTTGACGCGGCCCTGCGATCCCGCCAACTCTCAGCTCTGGTTGACGATACATCTGCATCCACCCCAGCCCCATTGTCCTGTCAGCAGGAGTCATGCTTATGACTGATTGACCTCTACTTCTACAGATTGCCACAATATGTTAAAAAAAGGCTTGAGGTTTGATGGGTTCGGTTGGGGTCCTTACTGTTGAAACTGACTTTCATTTTAGTTGGAAGCTGCGACACTGGAACATTGCTTGAGGGCAGTACGCCTAGCTTTTAGCAAGTCGGCCTTGTAGTCACACCCAAGCCAGCTGCCTTTCTTGACAATATTCCTCCTCAAATATGGCCTACCCGTCAAAGAAGAGGCGTTTCACAGGTTTTGCGGAACCCTGGCCTTCATTAGACTTTCCGTGTCCTACTCTACCTTCCTCCAACAAATTCAGGTGTGCTCGGCAAGTAGTAGGGGTTGAGGATGGCAGGCGCCTGCAATAAACAAGCTATGCATGCCTTCCTCCCATTTGGAATCCGTTTTTTCGCGCTAAGAACCTTCCTTCCAATACCCAAGCTGCGTAACTGCGAGTGGTTGCGAGATGCTTCTTGCTTAGAGCATTGCTAAGTCCTTTTTTATATATTGAGAAAGACAAATATTATGTACATCAAATTATAAACATAATGCATATATGTATCTAGATATGTACTGTTTCTATTGTCTGTTTTCTACGATATATACTATTGAATGCCGATTCATAATTTAATAGGGTTGGTACTTATACTAACATTAATCTACTCACCCTAATCACCCTCAGGCTTCACTCCACTACATCAAAAACAGCTATGTTTAGGTGAGCAGGCAGTCGAATGCGGAGATCACGCTTGAGCGGTCTATTGTACTACCTATAAGTCTAATGTTTCTATCCGCTTCGATAATCTAGTGAGCCACTTCCGATTCCAGGCCGGACCTCTTTCTATTCTATGTCTACTCTATATCTAGTAATGTCAATTCTCAGTATAAATCTAGCCCAATTCGATACGATCAGAATACTTTTTGGGACATCCGCCTCAGTAGTACTTTGTTTCACATTATTTTCTCTCCCTCCCACCGTAGATGAACCTACATAGGTAGGGTCGTCAAAAATGTGCAGGGATTTCCGTCTCGGCGCTTAGTGCAAAGCCTGAACTGCCCTTACAATCTCTGCAAAGGTCGGCCTGCCACTCACCACGGGACTGGAGCACTGGATGTGTAGCTCCTTCAACTTCTCCGTGATCTGTCGCGTCTTGTCATTGTCCTCCGCGGTGCTAGTTACGCCGATGAGGTCCTCGACAAGGTGGCCGAACGCCAGCACCTCAAGTTTCTCAAAGTCAAAATCGCCGATGTTTTCGTATATAGTTGCCGCGCCAAAGTCGCCAAGCAAGGCATGTCCGGCTTCGTTATAGAGAATGTTATGGGCATAAAGATCGCAGTGAGACACCTTGCGACTGTGCAGGTGGAGTGCTGCCGCTGCTATGCTACCCAAAATCTCCAAGACGGTCCCCACTGGCAGCGCCTTTCCCGCTTCATAGCGGTCCCGTGTACAAGTCTGCAACGAAGGCGGAAGACCTAGAGTCTGGTAATGAGGCGGTATTAGCTGCATGACGAGCCCATGCTTCTCCGGATGACCCTGGATGCTCGCCAGCGTGCTGATTAGGTTTTTATGTGATCCTGCAGCCAGGCATGCAGCCATTTCATCGAGAGGCGTTCCGTCACTCGTCACCTCGCCCTTGAACAACTTGACAGCCACTTCATTGACCACCGAATCAGCAGGCATCCACCTCGCTTTGAAGATATCGCCAGAAGCCCCGTGGCCGAGTAAGCCTTCAAACTCAAGATCATGCCACGCCACCTTGCGGAGCTGGGCCAGTTCTTGCTCGAGGGTCACAGCACAGCATGGATTGCCAGCCACTGACAGGAAGGAGAGCTCGGGCAACTTGAATAGCCAGGATGGCAACTCTTCGAAATTGTTGGCAGAAAGACGAAGCAAGCCAAGCTTGTTGCAGGCCGACATCTCGTCTGGCAGTCGCGTTAGACGATTGCCGGCAAGCATGCACTTCTGGAGGCGAGAACAACGGCCAATACTCTTTGGGAGCGTATCAATGCAGTTGTTGGTAAGAATAAGCCAGCGCAACTTGAGTGGTAAAGCGTCTTCAGGTATGGTAGCCATGCAGTTTGAGCGGAACGCCACCATTTCGAGTTGGGCACATGCTGCTAGCTGTCGTGGAAACGTGTTGAAGTTACAATCCGACAGGAACAAAATCTTGAGCTTGTGTAATTGGCTAATGTCGTCAGGTAAGCTGGACAGTCCGGTGCCGGAGAGGTCAAGATGCTCAAGGGTGTCGGCAAGCTGTAAAATCTCCAAAGGAAATTCGCTCAACGGTCCAGCAAGCTTCAGCTTTTGAAGGCCAAGGTCTTTGTAGCCGCCGTTCTGTAGAGTTTCGAGGTCCTGCATGGCTGCGCTGAGATAGAAGAAGAGAAGATGGAATGATGGCTACTACGTGTCGGCCTCAGATCCAGTTGAGACAGGGAGGAATGGAGGGGTTTGACTCAGACACGGAGTTGACAGGAAGAGAGATAAAACTTGTGATTAGTCCTTGTTATTCCTCCCCTTGGCTTTCAGAATTTCGCCTTATGTTATTCGGGAAAGGTTTGGAAAATGCACAATGTGAACGAGACGGATGTAAAAGGCAAGATAGAACCCATGGGGGTTGAGAGGCGGAGAGCCAACCTGGCGCAAGTGCCTGAGTGCCAGATAAGATAATGTGCGCAATACAACCAACCTACTTGTGATTGGTTTTGACTAGAGTGAATCAATAGATTAAAGAAGCTAAACGAGAAACAAACCAAGACAGGACAAGGGAACAATCACAAAGACCAGATTGCCTAATTCGAGCCCGACCACTTTTCAGTTTACAGCGCAAGACAAAGAAAATCGAAGCTAACTAAAACCCTAGGCCCACGGTCATGGAATGGAAATGAGCTCAGAGCGTAAGCAATTCGACGCCGATGGGAATAATTTGGAAGCGGATAGGTGATTACCAGGAACTAGATGGGGTGCAACGCTCCCCACAAACGAACCGAAGAGGATGGGATATTTTGTGAGAAGTCAGTTCCGTATCTTTAATACCTTGTCCTGTCACTCATTCCGAGTCTTGGGTTGTTCGAATTTGTTGTCACAACGATAGGTAAGATTCTCTGGACGAACACGAAAACCGTACGCGAGCATTAGGCCAGGCAAAACAACAAAAGTATTTCCGTATGTCTTAAAATTGGAATATGTCACAGAAAAGGGAAAGAGAAAAAAGCAAAACAGAGAATAAAAACAGAGCAGTTTGAATTGCATGGATAAGCAAGTTCCTCACGATACAAACACATGCAGTGTTCGGCAGTTTAGGTGGTCACCCACTGTGCTTTAGCGAGGCGGATCCACCCATCAACGTAGGAGACAGCTACATATACAGGGAGGTCGAATTGCGCAAGGACCACCTATCAAGGAAAGGAGCCTCAACCATGGGCTTGGCTCCTTCCTTACCTTTCTCATCTGATAGGCCCGAGCTGAAATACTGCTACCAATTTTCTCGAATCTGCGGTACGTACCGCCTGGCAGCTTCCTGAGGTCCGGTACTTTGCGCAACAACACAAGCTATCTATCCGGGGGTCTTCTCTGGCCACAGGCATCGCCATCTTCGTCTTCGTCGCGACGATAATACGCGTATTCAAGGACTTACCGAGTTCTCTGTCGTTTGTCGCCGGGTTCGCGTACCATCTCGTCATCGGCCAACCTGCGATACTGCGGCGCCGCGCCCTCCATCATCAAACAATATCTCAGGTTTAAACGCCGGCCTCCCCCGTACCCCGCGCCATGTCCTCAGTTCCCTCGCATATGGCAGCTACAAGCTTGCTGAAGAGAGGCTCGCCGACCGGCGATGAGGAGGGGTCGAGCCCCAAGCGGCAGAAGACGGACGCCAAGCAGTCAGAACTACCAACACATGATGTTGACCCATCGCTTCCATGCGCAAGCAAAGTCATTATTCCTTCACTCGACTACCAAGCCAAAAGCGGTCTCGAACGTAGCATAGGGCTCGCATTACAGCACGTTGGCTTCGACGCTGCCACGCCTGAGGCCATGGAAGGTTTCCTAGGCACAGTAGAGACCTGTGAGATTTGCTCAACATCATACGACGATGGTTCTTGTTTCTTCGTGGGTGCTAACCTGCCGTCCAGACATGGCTTCTTTTGTTGAGGATCTTAAGCGCGTTGCTCTCGCTGCGCGTCGCGATCAACCTACCCCGGCCGATTTCGAGTCTACGATGCAACGCTTTACCCTCAAGACAAAGGCCCTTAGACCTCATACCCGTCATCCCATACCCAAGTCTAAACTTGAAGTCGATTTTTTCGATCCACTGGTTGAAGACCCAGACGCGCACACTACTTTACCCCTTCTCGGGGAAGAGTTAAGCGGCAAGCCCGAGAAGGAGGCCAAGTCATATATCCCAAAGTCTTTTCCCGACTTCCCAAGCAAGCATACCTATAAATATACGCCTCAGGAAGACAACAGTGGACGTGATCCTCAGAAGACGAGAGAAGAAGCTGCGAAGGCGTCCAAGCAGGGAGAGGAAGCCCTTCGTGGTTTGGTGCGGGCGGCAAAGATTCGGAAACAGAAAGAGGTCAGGTCTTTGTCAGAACGTGACCCCATGACTAAAGAGCGATATTCTCTCTGGGCTGCGGCCATGGAAGGTTTCGTTAAGAAAGAGGGAGGACCGACAGGACAACTCGAAATCGCCGACCACAGCATGATTGTCAACTCGGACGCGCGTCATCTACGCAGAGAAGTTCAACGTCAGGGCAAGCGAGCTGCCGGCCAAGGGTAATGGCGCCGAAATGCGTAGGATGGCATGGAATGGCGGGGCGATAGTCCTCATTGGCAACGACAGGCGACAGAGGGAATTACGAGAGGTTGATTGGGCCCTCTTTTTTCTTTTTCTTTTTCTGTTTCTGTTTTACTCGGATGGTAATCGGGCCAGCATCGTGGGAGCCTGGGTGCACGGCTTTGAAGTTACGAAAGCTCTACTTTACATTGGTATGCACGAAGCAAGGCGTTTTGGTGTTTGGAAGGACCAGGCTGTAACAACATAGTGTTAGGGATGGGAGTTACCGGACAGCATCCTCACTTAGGTTTTCGAGGGCTTTCATCCTGCAGCCCATCACGCAAGTGGGGAGATCACACAAGTGATTGGGATATAGACAGATGGACAGAGATTTCGGTGTTCAATAGTAACACCAATTCAGAGCGAATGTGCAAAGCGCTCAAGTTTTAATGCCCACATATCCTACTAGCTTTCAAAGTTCTGCAAAAACTCTACGTCCGATTCATATTTAGGGACGATTAACTAGTGAATATGTAGAACAAGGGAAGGGGAAAAGCCTGCGAATCTTGGTTTGCCAGCCAGCGAATACTGCTACATCGTTGCGAACAAAACTCATCCCAATGCAGCCTGAAGACGGTCGTTACCAACCCAAGTCCCATTCTGCATTGTGCCCCCTGCGCAGTGACATGCACTAAGAAAAGACATCAAGTGGATCCAATCAGCCTCGCGGAAACAGGATTACCGTAGGGCTCTCTCATTGGCCATTGTCCCACCTCCACTTGGCAGCCTCGTCTCGCGTAGGATAATCCGAGGGCTTAATTTTCACCCACACACAAATCGTAAATTTTCCAGCAAGAGCTCCAAGGGTCAAAGGTGTGACCTCAGAATCAACTCCAACCATTCTCACCTTTCTCTCACCACTCAATCGACCTGATTGCCTCATTTCCCAATGGCTGAGCAGTTGATTCTCAAGGGTACCCTCGAGGGCCACGTAAGTTGCTGTCTTTCCGCACGCTGCACGCGAAGCGATCGCATCGCCGTCGCCCGCGCTGGTAATTTTGGACGACATGGCTGACGGTGATGCTTTTGCAGAATGGCTGGGTCACCAGCCTGGCTACCTCTGTGGAGAAGTACGGATTCCCTCCCCGATACCCCGCGGCGCTTTTTCGAAATGGAATGGAAATTAGAAGCCTAGACGTCGAAAAGCGTCGGTGGTCAGTTTTGAGCCTTAGTCGCTAACATGTGTCTCCAGCCCCAACATGCTCCTGTCCGCCAGTCGTGACAAGACTCTGATCATCTGGAACCTCACCCGTGACGAGTCCCAGTACGGCTACCCCAAGCGCTCCCTCAAGGGCCACTCCCACATCGTCTCCGACTGCGTACGTCTTCTCGACCCCTTCTGGACTTAGCGAAAATCTCTGCTCCTTGAGCGTGTGGGAAACTTTGGGCTGATGGGGGATTAACAGGTTATCTCGTCGGATGGCGCCTACGCCCTGTCCGCTTCGTGGGACAAGACTCTCCGCCTCTGGGAGCTTGCCACCGGCACCACCACCCGCCGTTTCGTCGGCCACACCAACGACGTTCTGTCCGTTTCTTTCTCCGCCGACAACAGACAAATCGTCTCTGGTTCCCGTGACCGCACGATCAAGCTCTGGAACACCCTCGGTGACTGCAAGTACACCATCACCGAGAAGGGTCACTCCGAGTGGGTTTCTTGCGTCCGCTTCAGCCCCAACCCCCAGAACCCCGTCATTGTCTCCTCCGGCTGGGACAAGCTCGTTAAGGTGAGTTTCTTATTCCTAAAATTCCGCGTGTTTCCCCCCAAGAAGAAATTTCGACATGATGTTTTGCAACCAAAAGTATTTGCTACTTCAGAGCCTGTCTTGAGCAGGCCATGAGACCACTATTCACCAATGCACTGATCTCGCACAAATTTTACTCCTTTAATGTTTTGCCTGTGGAAACGTCTTGAAGAAACAACCAGGCTAACATGGGCGATTCTAGGTCTGGGAGCTCTCCACCTGCAAGCTGCAGACTGACCACATCGGCCACACCGGCTACATCAACACCGTCACCATCTCCCCCGACGGTTCCCTGTGCGCCTCTGGTGGCAAGGACGGTACGACCATGCTCTGGGACCTTAACGAGTCGAAGCACCTCTACTCCCTCAACGCCAACGACGAGATCCACGCCCTCGTCTTCTCCCCCAACCGCTACTGGCTCTGCGCTGCTACTGCCAGCAGCATCATCATCTTCGACCTTGAGAAGAAGAGCAAGGTTGATGAGCTCAAGCCTGAGTTCACTGCTGTCGGCAAGAAGAGCCGTGAGCCTGAGTGCGTGAGCTTGGCCTGGAGCGCCGACGGCCAGACCCTGTTCGCCGGTTACACCGACAACATCATCCGTGCCTGGGGTGTCATGTCGAGAGCATAAAGGGCGTAAAAGCTCTCTCTGTCTCTCTTCTGGGTTATGGATGGTGACGATGTGTGGTGGGGAAAGGGCTCTGAGATGGTAGATCATGGCGGGCGTCCTAGGCTGGCTTCCTCGTTTGGTCTTTCGGGATGCACAGGGTCAAATCGATTTGTGAAAAATGGGGATGAGACTGCATTGCTGGCTTATAGGTAGCCTACGAAAGGACTCTGGACATGAACCCACGTAACGCCCAAATCAAAAGATCCTGGCAAACAAAACATGCTGTTTATGTTATATTTCTGTGACGCCTTCGGCGGGAACTCTACAAATGTGACTTGCGTGGAAAAGTGACGGACTTCGCGAATATTCATTTTGCCGCCTGGTCGTCTTCAGCATTTCCAATTTTCTAATTTTCTTCTCCATTTGCTAATTTGGTTAGGGGTGTTCTGACAAGAATGCTGACAGTATTCTCACAACTTTTATGGATACTTCCCCAGGAAATAGGTTCCATAGTACACCATCAACTCATTACTTAGAAATGCGAATGTCAACGTCACCCAAAGCATTCCATTTTGTGGAATGTCAACAAGTTTTACTGGCTTTGACAGTTTATGTTTGTGTATATAGACATATATATGTGTGTGTGTGTGCGTGTGTAAGTATCAAAACTATATATGTGCTGGCAGAAATAGAGTCGGGCTAGTCACATGCAGGAGCGGCAATGCCAGACAGTTCAGTAATCTCCGTTTTGTTCCCTTCCCCTTTTTTACAATTTTGGGATGACAGTGACACTTGGGGGAGTGGTGCGTCCTTGAGCACTTAAAACGATGGCTTCGCGTTCTTGAGAAGCATCTCGAAGTAAGCCTGGTTCCAGGTGCCAGCCTCGGGAGAAGGCTTGTAAGCATCAGACTTGCCGCAGAATGAGTCGTAGCGGGTGGCGCTCGAGTCACTGGTACCATCAGACTCGCCACCAGGCTTGACCCATACGAAGGCATCGGCGAGCTCGAGGCCGGTGCTGGTGCTGGGGCGGAGACCGAAGCCGGCGCCGTTGACATTACACCAGTTGCCCCACTCCTGACGGAGACCCTGGACGCCGTTGCGACCTGTATCAACAATGGCGTGGTTGGGCATGCCAGCCGTTTGAAGGGCAGCGCCGAAAAGAGTGACGTATTTCTTCTCATTCTGGGCCTTGTTCCACTGCGCGTCGGGGGCCGAGGAGAACTCGCCAGGTTCAGCGTCCCTAAGAGTCATGCCTTGTTAACAAACTTTTCCCGAGCGGGTAGACATCATGTCAATCAATGCTCATATACTTACCAAGAGTTCCAGCCGGCGACGTTGGTGGCGAAGCCACGGAATTGAGAAGGGCTACCGGCGGCCTTGTAGGCTTTGGCGAGCTCCTCGGCTCCAGGCTTAAGGTTGTCGTTCCATCCGAGCCAACCCCCATGGCCAGCATCAATATACATGACGACATTGGGCAAGTTGAGGTTCTTCAGGGCGTAAGCAACGCCCTCGCGGTAACCTGAGGCTGAGTTCTGGCAGGTCTGCAAGTTGATGTTGGTCACGAGGTTGGGGAGGGAGTCAGGTTCGATGAGGAGAGCAAACGCGGTGTTGGGGTGCGCCTTAATGATTTTGACAATGGGATCGATATACTGCGATTTGTACTTGGGCAGTTCGCCCACTTTGAGCTCACCGTTGGAGGCTTTGGCGGCGCAGTCACGGCCGGGAAGATCGTAGATGACCACACCCAAAATGTGGTCGCAGGGGACATCGGAGATAGCGGGCTCAAGACGTTGAATGTTGGCAATGGTGTCACTGTATCGTGCTTGTTAGCTTCATTTTGGGCCGTCGGATTGCTATTACTCAGTAAACTTACAGCCAGACGAAGGAGCCAACATCAGCAACGCGGAGAGCCTGATCCTTGAGAGAACCGCTCATGCCCTCGGCCGCAGCTTCAATTTCAGCCCGGTAGAAGTTGTTGGGATGCAAGGTGTACTTCTGGAAAACATTGGTCTTTGCATTCAAGGAGACGCTGGAAGAGCAGGCGGAAGAAGCCTGACGAGGTTGCTCCTCGCGAGTGGAAGAGGGAGCAGCAAGGGCCGTGGAGGCCAAAGCCGCTACAGTAGCGGTTGTGAATTTCATGCTGAAGGTGGGCCGCTTGGAAAATAGCTGTATTTCTTTGTTGCTCTGTCAAGTACGAGCTTCTGGAGTTGTAATGAGAAGAACAGGCCCAACTCCTTTTATAGGTCACAAGCCTACCGCAGAAAAAGCCAGGGGGACTGTATGAAGCAAGATCTACTTACGAGAGCCCAGAAGCCACCTTGACGGCAACATCAATTAGGAAACGGGCCCGATGACTGCGAAGGCTTCGGTCAAGTGCCTCCGAATCGTGACATTACGGTTGCTTCTAAGCGGGACTGACGGAACGTGGTTAAGAAATCGTAACATCAGGCTGACAGCTGATCTGTTGTTATGATCACTACCGAGGGGCTTCAATATGAACCCGTTTTCATTTATACAAGCGGATAGAGGAACGCTTCCGGATTGGCTCTAATTATGGCGAATATGATACGGGGTGGTGCCCCAATGTCGTTGTAATATATCGTTCGTCGCAACTTCAATGGAGTAGCTGGGCCGAAATGCTTCCTACCGGTTCAATTTGGGGGAAGATCTTCCACATTTTTTCGGATCCATTCAAGTTAGGCTTAACAAGTGCACATCATGTCAAAGGAATACTCGAGCAACTAGACTAGCTGTGATGGAGGTTCTCGCGTTGAGGTGGTGCATGAAGAATCAAACTGTATCAGGTGAAGGCACAAGGGGATCTAAAATGAACTCCCTTAGCAAACCAAGTCTCTGAAGACATGTAAATAGAAATTTATTTGCGAGACAAAAATATTACCTTACTTGGTGGTTGTTGATATGCTTCACCATGTCAAATGCCAATGTATTTTGCTACCAGCCATCACCTTCTTAAGCGGAACAAAAGTATCCCCAGGCCCCAGATCCGGAAGAACAACAGGATAGTAAGCCTGAGAGAATTATGACAGTTGTAACACCGTATACCCGCGGTCTATATCAGAAAGCACATATAATATGTGGTTCACCCTTGACAACAACCAAATCGTTGCGACCAAACATCACCGTAACCACTTTAGCCGGCGGACCCCAGATCGACAAGACATTTGGTGCCGGCGTTAGGCTCATTGCCCAAGCTTCCCTTGGCCGGCTAAAATGTCCGAGCAAGAGTGCAGTTCTGGCTGTCCTGGTTGGCAACATATCAATCACCCCCTAATAAAAAGTTGCTCATCCATGCCAAGTTTACAAAATATCCAGTATGGCCGCTCGTTCTAAATCAGCCACTCTAGCCTGCCTTTGGCTCACCTCGTTTTAATTGAGCAGCAAAGTGCAATATATCGGTAAGATGGCATGATTTGTTGTTGATCCCCGACCAGCAATCAGTCACGCGTATCCAAAGTGTCAGCAATCCCCATCAGATTTCCCGCGATCCATGGACGGCCTAGCACACTTCGTGGTATTTCATCTACCTAGGATTCTTGGTGCGGGGTTTCTGCTGGGTCAACAAGAAACCCCCTGCAAGTTTTGCGCATCAAAATTGCTCTCATATTACCGTTTGAAATCCTTCACACCACGGATCACCTGGCGGTATGGAAGCAATGGAAACTAAAGGTACCGGTTCGTTCCCTAGTTTAACCAGATTGTGTTTCCTTCTGTAAGCATGAAGAGGATGTGCCGTTGCGTTAATTTACAAGGACTGACATTAAATGTGCAAGAACAATAAAGAAAACGGAGGCATAACGACACCATGCCATAATGTCACCACTGAACGCCCTCTGGAGCATGAAGGTTATTGGAACTTGGCTTGCAAATGCACACAACAGTCAGCACTTCAAGGCCGTGACATAGGTTAAAAAAAAAACTGTCGTATGATTCTTTCAATGTGTGATGCTAAGACTTATATGCCGTACGGAAGGCATTTTTCCTTTATCTGTATGGTACACTGATGTCAACGAGGACATAGGGTAGCCTGACGACAGCAACTTATACCTCCATGACCAGTGATATGGTCACAGAGACTTGAATCTGAGGTGGTTCTGCTGATACAAGCTTTGGCTCCGACGTTATCGGATCATCCGGTATTTCCCTACATAAAAGGGGGCAGGGAGAAGGGGTAGCCACCGTTCTTGATACGGAAGACGCTGAGGAGGAAGCTGTACATAAGGAACATGACACCTCCCCAAGCCAAGACGGCGACCTGCTGCGTCTTCGAGTCACCGATGCGAGGCACCTTGACGCTCAAAGAGATAGCACAGAAAGCCAGAACACCGTCTTAAAGTCTGTTAGTTGCATTTGACAAGCTGGTAGCATAAAGAACTTACAGATTGCAGCAACGATCTGGGTTTCCAATCCATACTGGTTTTGGAAGCCGCCAGCAAAATAGCTGATGCCTCCGCGCCCATCCCCGGCAACGTAGGGAACCTTGCGAATGTGGTTGAACATGTGTCCGCTGGTGAAGAGGAGGATGGCGATCAAGCTGACAGCAGCCCAAAGGTTGCGGTTCTGGATAATAGGCAGGATGTAAGGCGAGGCAGTGACAATAACAGTTCCAAGACCAAGGATAATGGTGATGGTGGAGATCCAGCGCATCCAGTTGATGGGTCGTTTGACTGGAGGGTGGGGTCGGTCTGTGAGGTGTCGCGAGAGCCAGGCGTGGACTTGTTCAGCGGATTGGGGTCTACTCCTTGTTAGCCTCTCGATTGCGCAACGCCCTTTTATAGAAACCAACTTACCCGCTCGTGAAGTCGTACTGCAGAGGCTCTTGGCCAGAGACAGCGTGAGGCCCAACGGTGGGCTGGAACAAGAGGAGAACGGGAGCGGTTTGGAGACCGAGCTGGCAGTAGTCGTGTTAGTATGTGTACAGTTAAGTTAAGAGAGTCGCTTCACAATGGCGATCAACATACCGACATGAAGATCTCACGGCCATCAGAGAAGTCAAGGGTGCCAAAAAGCATGCGAGACTCGCCCTTCTTGTCGCCCTTAGTCCAAGACTTGCCGAGAAGATCCCATTCCGGCTGGAACTCGCGGCACAATTGGCAGCCGAATCGCGACTCGAGAGCAGTGAGAAGAACAGCGACTGTGTAATCGCGGGGCGAAGTGGTCAGAGACTTATAGCTTGTATCGGCAAGCTTGATCGGAGAAGAAGTGAGGGCCTTGGTGTGGAATTCTTTAAAGCGCTCTTCGGAGGTCTTCTTGGCTGCCAGTGAACCAGCCCCCAAGAGGGAGGTCACGGCCAGGAGGGAACGGAGGAAGCGCATTATGGGAATAATTGGTGTCCAGACGCAAATGGAATTCCAAGGTCGCTTGTGCAGTTCACGTGTCTCTGTTTCGTGGCCAATTGGCCTTGGTGATGAAGTGAAGTCGGCGTACGTAACGAGTGGGTGCGCCGCGAGTGTCGATGATACCCAGCAAGTGCTATGTCGAGCTCGAACTGGACAGCTCTCATCAGTGTCGCCAGCCCACCTTAATGTGGGCCTGACTGGCAGTTGCTGCCATCTGCATCCTAGCAAGTCACCGACTATTAACCGAGCCCGGGGAATCTATGAGCCGCTTTTGGACGAAAGAATGCCGTCACAGTTTGTGGTCGCTAGAAGCACGGACTTGTACTCACCAGTCTTTAGTGCTGTCTTTGACTGACACAGTGGGATAGCCTGCCTAGAGTGGGGGCACCCAGAACGGACAGACTAACCTGTTTGGGAATTATGTTTACCTCGTCAGTGTCCCCATGCAAAGGTAGTCAGCCAAACGTTACTACACTACCACCCCCAACTTGACATCGACATCGCGAATCTCATCCAAAACAAATGCGGGCATCCTGACTATTGCCGCAAATTAAAAATATTGGCTATCAATCCTAACAGTCTGGTTTTGGGAGATTACCACACCCCTCTTTTCGACCCAACCTAACACAACTTTCCCGTGTCGACGCGCTCACGCGCTGAAGCAACAACAAAACTGCATAATGCCTTGCAAAACAAGGAATATGGACTCGGAGGAGGCAAGTAACCATGTCTCTAAGAGTCGTTGTCTCTCTCACGAGACTTTATTGCTAACTGTCTCTTACAGAGGATGGCCGCAGCCCACGAACTCGAGTTGAAGCACCAGAAAGCCATCCACCAGACTCAACTGATTGCCAAAGAAGAAGATTCGAGGAGAACAAAGGTCACTAAGCAAGTCCTTCTCGCGGAAAACTCGACATTACGCGAACAGCTTGCGGAAAGGGATGTTCAGATCTCCGAATTGACTGGTAGATGCGACGAAGCAAGGGCGGAGCTGGATTCATTGAAGACGATAAATCGCGACCAAGAAACTCAACTCAAGGCCCAGACGAGGGAGTTCGCCAATATCAAGGTTGGTGTCACCCCCAAGTCTTTGCAACTTTTCTAAATTGACAACGCGCCAGGCCGAACTGGAGTCGCTTAACACAATGTCCCTTGAGTCCACAAAGGTGCTGTCCGAAAAGCTTACCCTTTCTCGGGAACTTAACACGTTGAAGCCTGAGTTGGAGCACTTGCGGTCTCAGGTGGCTCATCAGCAGACTGCGGTCGCGGAAAAGTTAGCTCTAGAACGGCAACTTAATATGGCTGAGGTGGAACTGGCAGCTGCGAAACGAGCGCGGGAACAACAAGTAGCTGAATCTGAAAGCAACAAGACAGCCGAAGACGAACTACGAAACAAGCTCAAGGACGCCGAGAAAAGATTGATCGCCGAGAAGCGGGAAAGGGAACAATTGCAACAAGACCTCGAATCCGCGCTTGCAGCTGCGCAGACAGGCGAGGACAATAAGAATGTTGAGCGTGAGCTGTCAAAGAAGTTGCAAGAGATGGAGAAAGCTCTTCAGGGCGAAAGACGAGAGAAGGATAGGCTTCGCAAGGAGAGCGAGATGGCCCAGTCAGAAATCCAGGCGCAAAATGAGATACTGGAACAACGTCTGGATACGGTGAAGTCGAAATTGCGCAATACTCAAGAAGAGCTCAAGGCAGTGCGCTCAGAACTGGTGCATGCTCGCCCAGTGCCCACAGCGTCGGCGGATCCAGTTGTGCGGGCTGGTGGCGCAAAAGCACAGAACGCTCGCAAGCGCAGAGTCGAGGAACTGACCATAAACGACATGAGTATCGGAACGCCAGAGGAAATCACACGGGGTAGACGGGCCGTGAAGAAGAAGGGCTTGGAGCAGACTCTAGTCGGCGAAAAGTCGTTATTCTCCATCACTCCGTTCTTGAACAAGAGCAAGACACTTAGTGTTGAGGGTGCCGTTGCCGAGGAGGAGGAGGAAGACGAAGCGGACGTTAGTTATGTGCCGATGGCACACGTGAACGCTCAAAAGGCGGCGGCCGAGGCTGAGGCTGACTCTGGGAGTGAAGCCAATGCGGAGCCTGAGCCTACAGCCACGACCGATGAGCCTGATAAGCAACCAGTTGCTTCCAAAGAGACCGCATCCAAGACGAAAACTAAGGCCAATGGGGAGCCCAAGAAGGCACGCGGAAGGCCCAAGAAGGCGTTATCTGAGGCCTCGCCTAACATGCCCACACAAGCCCTTACCGCCAGCAAACCTTCAACCAAATCAGCTTCTCCGCTCGATAAGGTACTCGAAGAACCCGAGGCTGATACAGAAGAGAAAATGAAGGCCGATACCGCGAGCAAAAAAGCGCCAACAGCCACCGCCGCAACCGCAAGCTTGGGCGTACGCGAACAAGAAGTGAAGAAGAAGAAGCGCAAGCTCGCAGGTGAATCAACAACATTGTTTGACGATGATGGGGAGGGTGAGGCGGCGGTTGCAAAGCGTCCTGGCGGCAAGGTTGGGCTTGGTGCAAACAAGCTGGGCAAAACTCATTTGACCATGGCGCGAAATGCCTTTGGCAAGAAGACATTCTCACCTTTAAAGAAGGAGAGACGGGGTGTAGGTGCTAGTTTCCTGGCTTAAGAGGTGCCAGGGCCTATCGTTTTTAAGCATGCAGGGCTGCGCCTTGGTTATTGACTGGATGGGGAGGCGTATTATGGCCATATGAATTGCATCGGCGGCGTTGTAGGACCAGGATACGGTTATCACGGGATTTACAGGATCAAGACGGGTGTATAAGTAGTGTTGCATTTTCTCTGAATGAAGAGGCCTTACAGGACATATTCTCAACATGGTCTATTTGTTTTAATGTACATCGCTGGCTAGAATGGTGTCACACGGACCACTGCATATATCGGGGCATGCATTCAACCCATGCACCCGGCTATTGTTTCCCATATAAAACTAACGGGGATGTCATTTTGTGCATGAAAACCTTCAAATCGGTAATTACCGAATAGACGGTTATATAATCAACCCAATAACCCCTAGACAGTCTCTAATGAATGGAAGCATCTTTTTTTACCCCATAAGTGGTGGGCAAATTGACTGCGTGACATGATGCTTAGGCCAAAGGAAAACTGGTCTGGAGCAAGCTGCCCACCCCTGTTTTGGTGCATACCAGAAGCTTGGGCCAATCAGCATCTTGGAGCAACTACATTTGCAGAAGCTTCACTTGAACTACCAAATATTTGTCCGGCTGCTGCCCTTTGACTGAAATACACGACTTTCACTTCTTGGTTTTTCTTCCCTTTTTTTTTTCTTTGCTTCTTGATTATTTTGGCCCCTGAGTGCAATTGAGCTACTGTGATACCGCCCTGCATTTCGAGTCAACACTCACTAATCAAACTTAACGTCAGACTCAGCATCACGATGTCCAGAGGGGTCTGTCGCGGTTTTCTGCGCGCACCAAAAAGCCAGCCCTTCGCCAGCCCATTAACAGCATACGGAGCATGCAAGCTGATATGTGCTCCGCCTGGTGGTCAGACGCGGTGGTCGTCTTCCAATTCCAGGTGGAAGATGAGACAAGGCAAGGATATTTTTGCACGCGAAGCCAAAGTCCAGGGACTCAAGAGCAGAGCTGCTTTCAAGCTTCTCGAGGTTCTTACACTCTTCCAACCACACCACTTCTGAAAAGGACGCAATGGAGCTGATGGAGGCTACAGATGGATGCCAAGTACAGAATTTTCCGCAAGGGACAGACGGTCGTAGACCTGGTGAGTATTCGAATCTTTCCTTTGCCAAGGCATAGTAATATACTGAAATTCAACACAGGGCTATGCGCCGGGTAGTTGGTCACAGGTATGAGAACCCTCGGCACTTGGTCAACTGCCAATATGGGGTGGACAGATTGAGACGTGTAACGTGAATATAGGTCGCCGCCGACCGGACCAAGCCCAACGGCCAAGTCCTAGGAATCGACATCATCCCGGCGCAGCCACCCAAAGGCGTCTCGACCATTCAGGGCAACTTTCTCTCGCCGGATGTTCAGAACATGGTCAAAGATCACCTTGTCCGGGCTAAGAAGCGGCGTAACGATGAATCGCCAGCCCCCGCACCCTCCTCGTCTGAGGGAGAAGAGAGTTCTTACGAGGATGGCACCGAAGACGTCGAGCCCTCTGTTATCGAGGACAAGCCGAGCTACATTGACATGGAAAGAGCAGCTTCAGATGCGCCCCCGGTGACTGAGGAAGTTGCGGGCGGAGCAAAGACCAAAGATGGCCGGTTGGTGGATGTAAGTTTTACTCGATCAGAAAAAGACAAAGAGGCAACACTACAGAGATGCAATGGCTGACGGTGAAAAAAAATTTACATTTAGATTGTATTGAGTGACATGTCAGCTCCTTGGGACCAGACCACCGGGTTTGGCGTGAACAGTCTTAGTAATCCATATCACAGGATGATGAACACGAGCGGAATGGCCTTTCGGGATCACGCCGGCAGCATGGTACGCCCCAGTGCCCCCCCCCCCCCCCCCCGTCAAGAGGTGATGAGACGCAGAGGCAGATCAGCTGACGAGACAATGCATTCAAGGACCTCTGCTCGGCGGCGCTCCAATTCGCCAGCGACACCCTCAAGAATGGTGGGCACTTCGTTTGCAAGTTCTACCAGGGATCGGAGGACAAGGCATTCGAGAAGAAGCTGAGGACCTTGTTTGCCAAGGTGTTTCGGGAGAAGCCCGAGTCGTCCCGCAGCGTACGTGCCGGACCACCACCACACGATCTTTTTGTTGTTCAGTTGAAGCTCACTCCAGCGGCAGGACTCCAAAGAGGCATATTTTGTGGCACTCAGGAGAAAGGGAAATGTACAACTATAGTACTATAGTAAGATAGTCAGGGGCATAGTAAACAAGGAGATATCACAGGGACGCGGGCAGATATTCACGTGAACACGAATAGCACGGGAGGGAGGGACTGTACGATGTGAAGGAGAAAAAAAAACCCAGCCCTCACGGCCGCCCAAGAGATGCCATTTGACGCCATGCGAGAGTTTGTAGTCGTCAATTCTTTTTGGATTCCTAACCACGCCAGTACCATGCAGAAAGTTCCCTGTAAAGCACGATGAGAGACCCTCATCGGCAGTCCATAGCTGTAATAGCGTGTCCGCCAGCGCGACAAGAGCGCGCACGACCAACCCCGAAAAAGAGGATGGTGATGATCCCGAAAACCAGTACCACCACCGCTTAGACCTTGAAACCGCGGGAGCGTCTGCGACCACGGGCACGCTCGAACTTGCGGCCCTTGGACTCGACGTAGGGCTTCTGCAGAGGTTGTTAGCAAAACACATCCACTTGGGATTGGGCGAAATCGAGAGGGTATGCCGGACCTTGTGCTTGTGGGGACCGAAGCCGAAGTGCTTGACGGCCTCACGGGCGTTCTTGGGACCGCGGAGGAGCAGGGTGTTGCTACCAGTGGGGGCGCGGAGAGCAAGCTGGTCGAGGGTGATGGCCTCACCGCCGGCGGCAGCGATGCGGGCACGGGCGGTGGAGGTGAAGCGGAGAGCCGCAATGGTGACCTTGGGGACGGTCAGGAGACGGTTGTCGTCAGTGACGGTACCGACAACGACGACGGTCTTCTTCTCGTTGCCGTTCTTGATGTTGGCGGCAACGCGGGAGAGGGAGACGGGAGGGCGGTTGATGCGCGACATGAAGAGACGGCGCAGGATGACCTTGTTGAAGTTGGACTCGGTACGACCTATGTGTAGCAAATATTCAAGTCAGCCATTGATTGAAATAAACACAGGCTGCGGAGCCGCTTTGTGAAGAGCAAATTTTCTTCTCGGAATCATGAAGGAGAACACTTACGGGTCAGGAAGCGGTAAAGCTTCACGAGGAGCTTGAGGTACACATTGTCGCTCTTGGGAGCCTTGCGGTGCGTGCTGCGCACGTGGTGGCGGTCGAGATCAATACCTATAAACGGGGTGAAGAGCCCATCGTCAGCCTTTTGGTTCAATCATGCTCTGAATGAGGCGGAAGTCCATCGTCCACGACCCCCCAATGTCTTTTCTTATGAAAGATTTTTCTGCACTTGGCAAGAAAACACAGAAAAGTGACAATTGGGGGGACGGGTGAGGTTTTGCGCGCGCCTAGTTCGCAGAATAGCAACAGCGAGATCCCATTGAAGGGTTCGCGTGCACAATCCACTCGCATGTAAAGGCTTGGAATGGGAATTCCTACGTACCCATCTTGTCGTTAGACTCACGGAGTTGGCGAATTTGAGTCGATGGGTGGCCGTGGTTGTCGTCGTCGTGTAGATGGAAAGACTCTGGAAATTTCACAAGGTGGGCTGCCAGAAGAGTGCGTAGGAAAGATTGTGGGCGCGAAAATTTGCCCTAATGTTAGGCGACAAGGCATCAAACCTTTCTAATTTTTTTTTCTCTCCTTCCCTTTGCGGGGCCCGTGCAGTCTAGTGGACTGGTCGCTGCAGGAAGGCGGACACGGCTGGACCCTTGTCTACTGATGTGGACCGTGCCCTCGGTGAGCGGTGTGTCTCGGTGAGGTTCCAGTTCTGTCAGCCATAACCTTTGCGCTGGAGAAAACCACAATTGTTTACTTGCTCGTTTCACGTCAAGCATAATGGCTTTGAGGGATTGTAATTATACTACCACATATATCACGTACACGGAGCGCAAGAATCTCGGTTCATGCTATTGTATTGAGATGACCTAGGGTCTATCATGTGCCAAAGCTAAGGTACTTGCATGTCCTTCCATGACGGGATGACCACCAGTTCCAATTCCTCACTATGCGCGTAAGGGCCAAGCAACGGACAACTCTCTGCCTTTCTTATGAATGCTTGAGATAGTCTTGTTGTAATACATTATAAAAACACGGATGGATGAAATGCCGGGTATGAGAGGAAAAAAAAAGTAGAAGAAGTAACCCGGGAGGCAGTCTCTCTGCCCCATGGTGGCTGATAATGCAAGCCATCGTCTAGTTGTAACCGCCCTATGATCGACCCCGAGTTTTTGTGTTCTTACCGGCTAACGTCTTGTGGCCGTGATGTGTTGTTAAAGTGAGGTGTCGTGAGATGCTGGTTTGCTCAGATGGCAGCCTCGGAGTTGCCATCTTCCCTGAGAGACACCAAAAAGTCGCGGGAGAGCTCAAAACTGAGCCAGCTGGACGCCATACTCGGCGCGACCTTGAGAAGGTTGGGAACAATGCCCTTGTAAAGACCCTTGATACCCTCCTGGGCAATGATAACCCTGATGGCGTCGGTAATACCCTTGTACTGGTAGCCCATGCCGGTCATGGTGTTGATCTGGAATCTTCGGCGCAGTACATCGCTGTGAAGGCGTCAGCAACGTAAATAGCACCAACTCATTATTAGGGGGCAACTCACAAGGGGTAAGTACATGTCTGAGCGACGGCACCCGAAACAGCTCCAGCCAGCAGCTTCCTCACGGCGCTGGGGTTCTTGTCGCCCTCAGGAGTCAAGTACTTGCGGACCCACTCATACACCATGAAGTTGAGGCCGACCTGGAATGATGTTTTAGTACAGAGCCCCGAGCGGTAGGTGTTATCCGAGTACCACATACGTAAGGAGCAACGCCAGCAACGGTCGGGATGATGCCGCGGTAAAGAGCTAAGAAACCACCCTCGGTCTTGTACATCTTGGCCATAGTGGCCCACATGCCGGGTAGCTCTTTAGGTCTGGCACCCAGCTCGGCGAAGGATGCAGACTGAATAGACAGGCGAGTGCGCACGATGTCGAGAGGGTAGGTAAAAAAGACGGAGGTGATTCCAGCGATGCCACCGCAGGTCAGACGAGCAAGTGGAGACAAGTCTGCACCGGGATACTTCTCAAAGAAGCTCTAAGAACGGTCAGCACAGCACTCGGTATTTATTTGCCTTTGCCCAAGCTCCAAGAGGACGGGCAAGGTCGGTACAAGGGCAGCACGGGAGAAGTGCGGGATGCTCACCCTCTTGTAGAAGTTGTAGCTGCCGAATTGGACAGCAGAGTATGGCACGATACGGACACAATTGGTTCCATTGCCTCGCATAAAACCTCTCCAGCCTTCCTCCCTCCACATCTTGGCGAGGCCTTGGCCAACAGACAGCTTATAGGCATCTCGTCCAACGCTCTGCACCTGGAACAGGATCTTGAGGCGCTCGAGTGGCGAGACAACAGTTCGAGAGACGGCACCAGCGACGCCTCCAGCGCAGAAAGCAGCGATAACAGGTTGAGAAATGGTTTCGCGAACGCGGTCCATGCCTTTGACAGGAACAGGCTCGGCAGCGATAGACACCGCCGTATCGTTTGGAGGCTGGAGACGCAGCAACGTTTATGTCAGTTGAGGTTCTGGTTGGAAAGACAAAACAAGGAATTTGGGAGGGTAGTGAAAACAGCTTGGTGGAAGTGCACAATGGGGTAGCAGACGACTCACAGGCGACATGACTTCAGGCTCTGGTCAATGAGCAGTGCGGATGTCTTTTTCTTCTTCAAGGCGCAAGACTCTGAACGACAAACGAGCAGACTGCTGAAGCTCCGAAGCCGCCTTATTGCTATGAAGTTGCTTGCATTTAAGACTCTTGTAGTTGTTCTGTGAAAAGAGCCGGGGTCAAAGAGGGTTGCAACTCCAGAGAGGTGTGGAAGGATGCTCTGAAAGAATGACCCAAAAAAATGGCAAAGAGATGATAAAAGGAGTCTAGAGGGAGGTCGGTGACAACAACGGAGGCATAGTCGAGGGGTTATTCGAGGAAGCGGAACGAATTTGAATCATCAAAGGCAGGCTCGTCGTTGGGAAGAGGCGGTGGAAGCAGAGGGGTGTGTCCTCGTCGTGGATATCGCGGTTTTTATTTTTATTTTTTCCCCGTCACAAGGTGGTCGCCAAGTTAATCTCCCATATACCGCGGCTATGGCTTAGACGGGTCCAACTTGGGCGGCAAGGGGGAGTATGTTGAGTATTTGTCTTTCTGCGCAACTGAAAATCGTTAACGAGTGTTGGATGGATCGTATCGAGAGTCGCGCAGTAGGAATCGGGAAGTTGGGAGTCGAAGAGGACAGACCGAACGTTGCAGATCCGAATTCAGAGGAAGAAGACGGGATGAATCGCAGTCGATGCGGCCACCGAGAGCAGACAGGGGGGAGGGAGAAAGGACGAGACTGACAGAGGTATGGCAGATGCAATGGATGAGGCGAAAGATCAGGCTCTTCGCACCTCTAGGAAACCTTTGATAGTTGCAGCAGTTCAATGAGGGGCGTCTGAGGACAAGGTCGCGAAAAGGGAATCAGCTGGTTAAGCAGATGCGGACGTGGACGGTAAACGCAGAGACGGAACAAGGCGCAGACGCAGATCAAGATCCGGGCCAGATCCAATTTCAGCTACCTACATAGTAATACAGCCTCCCGGTCCCGGTCCAGCCTTTTCAGTCAGAGGGTAGGGGGGGGGGGGGCGGACAGCTGGCAGTTGGCAGGCTTCAGAGCCACCGCCACTACCATCAGCCAGCGCAGTGCCAGTGACAGCTCTGAGGGGAACGGAATGTATCCGTAACCCCCAGAAGAACCAGGCGCCCCGCCTAGGCACGAGACCCGGGGCAGTACCTGTACAACTGGTGGAGGACAAGCATGGGCTGGCAGTACCCGAGGGAACACAATACGGCGTTTCCTTGGACGGCTAGTTATGACCAGCAGGGGGATCTCGGCCAATCAAAAGGCAATTTCGCAGTGGAGAGCTGTCCATGGACGAGATCAATCCGGAGAGGTTTCGCGTGCCGGTAGTGCACACCTCCCCAAGACTCTGCTAGTTTCAGTGGAGCGACATCCAAAAATCTCCACACTAATGACGACAAACTGGGGTGGGAGGAAACGGGGGTCCATTGAGTGAGTGAGCCAGCCGACTCCCGCTATTTTGTGACGTCTCAGCAGCACGTAGCAGTGCTCATGTGCCTCAGACCAAGGGAGGGATGAGAGGGCAGATGACGGGGAGAAGAAGACAAGATCTAGGTCACGAGCTTTTAGAACTAATGGCATACTATATCCAGAGGAGATAGAGTCCTTTGGTGGTAGCAGCAGCATTATCCATCTCAAATCACTCAACCTGTTTAGAGGGGGATTGGTTGCTTGGCCGAGTTTACGTGTACAACGTTGGCCAGACTTGACTGTACCTCTCCGAATCCCAATTGAGTGCATATAGGATGCCGTGGCATATTATAGTTGCAACGTTCTCGTTTCTTTCTGTCTCCTTTGCGCTTTGAAGCAAGAATCAGGCAGATGAACACTCCCATTAATCACGTCCTTCTCGTAATATCTACCTGCCATATCCATAGTATCTGTGTAATCCAACCAATGCTTGAACTGAGAGGTTATCTCTGCCACTTAGTGGTATGCATGTTACACTACATGGGGCTGCAGCAACCAACAGAAACATAAACCCCTTGACTACTCTAGATTTCATCAGAGGGACTCCATCTGCCACCATATTAGTAACCGTAAAGGTACAGAGACACCCGCACATTGCTCGAGATACGATGCGGCCACAGTAGGCAAGCATAGTCACGTAATTGGGCTGCTTCTAACCAGGTCTCAACTGAACCATGACTGGGCAAAACCGGCAGTCATCCTACTTCCTCGTAAGTTTTACATACTGCCAATGGCCCCTGTGACAGAAAAACATGGCTGTAGAACCAACCGATTCAAGTTTACGGCCGCAAGTATCTGGTACAAGCCCTCTCTCACTTGGACAGCTTGGCCTCCCCGCATCTCCCACCCCTCTCGTCCTGCATTACAATGTCCCATCCATCAATTCCGACACTCAGGACCGGCCCTCTCTCACCCGATTCCGGCTTCATCCGGGTTACATCGGGGCCAGTTACCGAGCCTCCTCCCTAGTGTAGTTCCTACCCCTCCGGCTCATCCCTATCAATCCTCAGCATCGACAAGCGCGCTTCGGCATGCCAACACCCCGCCAACTTCCTCGTCCCCCCCGCTTTGCACCCAGAGACAAGACGAGCGCTGCCTCGTTGCGCCAAGACCACCCCTCCGATGTCATTCTCAGAGGAACCAACCGCATCTCTTCCGGTTCTCTTATGCTAAATCAAAACATTTCATTGTTGCCTTTGCTTCTTAACCACCCGCCCTGCTCGACCCCCAAGGCATCTCCCTAGTTAATACACCTGCTTCCAAGCAACCCCACTCTCTGCTCACCTGATTCACTCTCAATGTTGGTGGTTTACACATGTTCATATTTCCTTATCTCCCACTGAGCTATTTGAGTGCTACAAGTTCGCCCAGCCGGGGTACAGCAAACTGCAGGTTGTGTGCATGACGCTCGTTGGCCTCGTGGAAACCAAACGACATACTTACGTGAACAGCTGCCGCCAACAGGAGGCCGTGAGGCATGGGGTGGTGCGCTTGCCTGCGCATACATCACATCTCAGTGCCTTCAAAGTCCAGTCAAATGGCTTTCGGAAGCTCTTGAGATGAAAGCATCTAGTTCATCATAATGCCTCGTATCAAGCTGTAGACGCATGTGTCCACCGCCATGTATCCCATACCTTACCGATACATGAGAGAAAAGGCAACGACAGTGACACAAGCCATAATTAGTTGTAGTTGCCGATAATTCCTCGTCACCGCTCACCTCCCAAACCTCTTTGGGGGCCTCAAGACCTCGTCAACAGCAACGGCGTTCGTCCATGGTCTTTTTTGGAGTCACAAAAGCAACACGCGTGTACCCAATGCTGCAAATGCATCGCACAGTCAAAAACCTACATTTCAATTTCTAAACTACGTATGAGTAATGCTATCAAATGGCCGCCACAACCTTCGTCGTCTGCAGCACGTTGCCGAGGACGTAATTTCGCCAATTATCGTATCTCCGAAATGCCTAACGATTTTCGAGTGCTGCCCACGTCGAACAGCCCAGCCTCCGTCTGCTGAGCTCGAAGCCGAATCGGTCGCGTCGAGACTAAAAAGCTCCCAAAAGGTGAGGACACTTTACAGATCCAGGTTCAAAAGATATGAGGAGAACCGGGAAAGAAATCACAAAACTTTTGGCAAAGCCGCGCACAACCCGACAAGAGAAATTGCCAAGTATACTTATCACTCTGCGACATCCAGGTCGTCATGAGCAGGGGGAGGACTGTCAACGGCTGTTTACGGCGTAATCGTTAGCACGCATGTCATGGATCGTTATTTACCAAGTTACGTACCCTTTCGGTCGTCGCCATTGGTACCGTTCTCGCGGGGTTCACGCTCCTCGCGATCCTCCTTGGGATCCCGGTCACTACCACGATATAATGTCAGTATGTCCATTGGATCCACGCGGAACCTCGGAGGGGCTACGAACCGTCGGTCAGGGCTTCGGGAGCGGTCGCGGGTGTCACGGCGTTCGCGGTCGTAGTCGCGGTCGCGGTCACGACGGTCATCCTTTCTGGGGGAGTAGTCGCGGGTGCTGCGACGGGGAGAGGGCGAACGGCCACGGCGAGGAGAGGAACGGCGGGGAGCACGCTCACGGTCCCGGCCAGAGTCGAAGCGCCAGGAAGCAGAAGGAGGAGTACGAGCCCACTAGGTTTTTGCGTGTCAGAGTCGAACGAGGGCGCAGCAGTAGGCGTGTCATCATACCTCGATCTTCAGGATGTCGTCGCGGCCGATGCGCTTGTTGTGCATCTCATGGTAAGCATCGTCAGCGTCGCGGCGGTCCTCGTACTCAACGAAGGCGAACCTGAGATTTCTGGTTAGTTACTGAGCTACAGGTGCATGGAATTGGACCATGCAGAATGTACGGTGGTGCCCGACTTACAGTCTGCTAGAGGCCGAACGAGGAGCAGGGATGTCGCAGCGGACGAGGTGTCCATAGCTATAGTGGGGTCAGAAGGTCAGCATCTCCTCCATACATACATTTGGATATCGTTTTTTTTTCCCCCTCGATTTGGTATTTGTTTGGTTGCTTATTCATCAGAGAGACAAAAATCAGCCGTCGAAGGAGGGGGGTGCGGAGCAGAAGTGCCTGCTCAGTCTGTTCGAACTGCCACGGGAGGCTGGCAGACCACGGCGGCGCGGACAACGGGCGGCGGGTTGGGAGCGCAGCCCGAGCGAACGACGAGGACAGGACGCATCGGCGGGGACGAGGACGAGGGAGGCATATAGTATTGATATGCTGAGGCAGGAGCAGCGGAGGAGGACGGGAGGACGAGGGCGTGTGCGGGAGGGGCGAGGGAAGGAGAGGAAGATCGGAAATCTCGGAAAGCTCTCGCGTGCCGGGCAAAACAGGACGGACGGAGGCATCGACGTGGGATTTTCTGACTTCAGTTGACATACCGTTCGAATTCGTAGGCGAGGTCTCGGGCGCGAGTGCCGTGGCTGAAGCCAGTCACGTAGAGGGTGGTTCCACCGCGCGACATGATTGTTGCTTCGCTGACTTGGCTCGTGTAGTGATTTTTTTTTCTTGTTTGGGATTGGATCAAAGAGGGAAGAAAGAAGAGGGAAGTTTGTCTCCCGGGGAGATGGAGACGTTAGGCGATAAACAAGGGCTGATGGAGCAGCTCCTTTTGACGGGGGGTGACAGGGGAAATCGGATGCGCGTGGTGTTGTTGGAGGTGACGATGATGGAAGTGGTAAGAGGAGAGAACAGAATAGGTTGGCTCGGGATCGGCCTGGCGCAACAAAAAGATTTTGGTACGGATATGGGGGAATGAGGCCGGGTACGTACCCGTTCAGGTCCACCCTTTGTGCTGTGACTGAAGCCCAGGACGGACGTCAGTGGCCAGGTCAGAGCCCGTGCTCGGAGGTCAGAAACAAATAGCTTACATAATTCTGTTTATCCAGTACTCCGTATTTCTTTCAGTTTTCCGCGCACGGGAGAATCTCCTCTCCCACCAGCATGGCGGTCTGAGAAAAGAAATGCATTTCCTGTTCCCACATCCAAATGGATAGGTAGATATTACAAACTTAGTACGCAATAGCACCTGTAGTAGATAGTAGGCACAGACAGTGTGTGTCGCGTGTCAGGGCCTTTCCCCCTTAGGCCATCTCCCACGGGCTTCCAGAAGCCTGAAGACGACGCTCAGCACTGCGCAGTATGTACTGCACTCAAACGGACCTCCACTGGAAGAGCCTGTACTAGTAGCGCTTCAATGATAGCAGCGATCACAGTGCCGCTAGGGTTGCAGCTAGCGCAGGTCACCTCATGCCCTGTCGAAATAGAAATGTCAGGAACACCCGGCCCACTTGAGATGCCTGTGATGTCATTAGTGACCAGGACTGGCAAAACTTACTTTTGGCACTTACGGAATGAGCTCCAAGGTGACCACCTTCGCTCACCGACGATGGCCCGATTCGTTCCACTGAGCCAACCTAACTCAACCCAAACCTGTGTTGAATCGTTTGGCCTCGGCACCACAAGGAAACATAACCGACAACGATAAAAAACGACAAACACCACCCCCAACTTGCAATGGCTGTCGCATAAATGCGGCGATCAATAGACAGTCTAAGCTGAGCAGCTAACGGCAAGTGTCGGGCATCTTGAAGACCAGCGCGCATCGACCGACAGATTGGGGTTCGAGCGCTGCTTCTGCCCCAGGATGCGACAAATTCACGTTAGAGAACATACGGCCAACGTTCCTCCTAGCCCTCTCTGCCCCATTTGGCCATAAGTAGTGGGAGTATGCGGCTCCGATCGTCTCATCACCGTTTTTCTGTTGACAGGCCCCTAACGTGTGTGGCATCGAACTCGCCGTCAGTGTCTTTACGCGAACAGTTGGGGTGGACTACCTACCCCCCTCACAAAGGCTGTTTCTTTCTCTGCTGAGCTTCCCACGAAACAAGAGAAGACATGGCACAGTGATCAATCTCCTGGCATCTACCCGGTCATGCCAGACACCATTAACGAGGTAACAAACAGAGACATCATCAACGGCGAGGTCTTGCCCTGGTCCCGTGTCTTAGCCTACCTTTCCGGCTCTTCCTCTTTCTCTGCACGTGTTATCTGCAATGACTGACGGTCTCTCCAAGTCGGAAAGCCAAGCCATCTCGATAAAGCATGCTATTCGTCAATCAAGAACAATGCAAACTGGGGTCGCCCAGACGGAGAAGACCACCAAACTGTGTTCATCCACTCATTTTCCGCCTACCGTCGCCCTTTCTTTACTTTCTTACTTTGTCTGACTTCATCGGAGCCCACTCCATCCACACAATGTTCGCCTCCGCGCCCCCCACCCATGTCTCCGTAACCGTCCCTGTTGCTCAGCGGGATGGGCGGGAGTTCGTAATACTCTGACGGTTTATTGTACTGCCCGTACTCGTATGCCATTGTCCCTTCGTTCGACTGCCCAGGCACTTCCCGGCTTGTAGCGCCTGGCAAGTCCGGAATCCTCGGTCACAACTGATCATTCGCTAATACCCGCATCTGCCCATTTTGTATCATTTTCGGACGTATATCAAGATGTGTGCGAGCCGCCTTGAGCCCGGTAGACCCGTTGATGCCACCAGCTTTCGGCTGCTGATTATTGTTTTTTATATCCAGTAACAACTCCCCTCTCTGTTCACTCACATGCAACTCTTCAAATTAACTGCATATTTTGGATTTACTGTGCTTGGCATATGCCAGTCGATGCTTCTCGAGAACCAATTCAACCTTGACCCGAGTCATTGATAGTCTCGTTCATATAATCACTTTCCCGGTCGCGCGGTTGACGTACTTTGACCTTCCCTGCCTTACTTCGTCTCATTCCGCTGTGTCGTCGTGTTACATCGACCTCGGAATAAGGGTGCACGCCTACACACCACTCATCTTCCTCTCTTGTCATTTCGACAATAACTCAAACACCAAAAACACAAAAGCCCCGTATCGTTTCTTACTTCATCTAGGGCGGTCTCGCAGCTACAACTACTTATTATACCTTTCACCATTCAATCGCAAGCTGACTGCGTCAGTGTTTCTTCTTATCTCAAGTGAGCGTGCGTGGCTTTGCCCTCACTCTGCTACCTGCCACCTGCTATCCTCCCAAAAGAAAGGCGGGAAGACGTGATTACATATATAAAATACGACTCTCACGATGTCAACTCGATTAGAATCCTCTCAGGAATCACCCCATTCACTCCGGGATGCATTACGTGCGGCCAATGGAGGCAAACCGCCGTACAGAACCCCCTCAGATATTACGAGCGAAGATGACTATGATGAGCCAAAGCTATCCAACAAGTACCCCAACAGCCGAAAAGATATCGGTCCTGGCACGTCGCCGCTAAGAAATTCACCGAAACATGACCGAAAACTTTCCCTCGATGGTTCGACCTTGTCCGAAGCCTCGAGTGTTGATGAGCCCCATAACAGAGGAGCCGGCCAAAAAGATCTCAAGACCTATGTGCTATCCGCTGATGATCGAGAGCTCCGTGATATCATCAGACGTGGCCTCGAGAGGGTAAGTAGTTGATCTTTGTGGCTCTACTGCGGGAGCAATAAGTGACGGGGGTTTCTGACGGCGTATGTGTACTTTCAGGAAAAAGATCCCAAGCGGCCACGGCGGCCAGGCAAGTTTAGCGATTTGGTCTTTACACGCCAGTTCTCTACCTTTGATAGGCAGAACCACCAAGCAGCGAATAGCCTCTTTCATGGCTTCTATACGCTGTTCTGGCTGGCTGTGGCGCTCTTCGTCCTCAAGATCGGTGCGGCGAACTGGAGAGCCACAGGGAATCCTTTAGGAACAAACGAGATCATGAAGGGCATGTTCCGAAGGGATGTGGTTGTTCTCTTGGCATCTGACGGAGTCATGTGCGGTATCACAGGCTTCAGCTGGATCCTGCAACGCCTCATCTTCAGCGGCTACCTTGACTGGGATCGGTCTGGTTGGATTATCCAGAATGTAAGTGCTAACCCACACTCACCACTGCCAATGTGCTCGACAAAGATACTCAGATTTCATGTGTAGATCTGGCAAACCATCTTCATCGGTGGCGTCGTCGGCCTGACCCTCATAAGGGACTGGCCTTGGACACATACCGTATTCTTCGTTCTGCACGGCATCGTCATGCTCATGAAGCAGCATTCGTACGCCTTTTACAACGGGGACCTGTCTACGGCCTACAAGAAGAGAAAGTACCTTCTCTCCAAGCTGAAGCAGTTGGAGCAGGTGGCCCCCATCAACTCGCCGTCTGCCACCAGCCCATCAGCGTCTACCATTTCATTGTCGCACCTGGCCAACCCACCGTGTGCGGCTGAAATGGAGGGACGCCGACAGTCCGTCAACCACGTCCGCAGCTCCGAAACGACAGACCTTGACCGAATCTCGCAGGCCATCGAGTCTGGGGAGCCGCTGGATGCCGAACAGGTCCGCGTGTTCGAGCGCATCATCAAATGGGAGATTGACGGGCTCACCGACGAGCTCAAGGGTAAGGCTACGAGCGTCCTGCGGGCGTATCCGAACAACCTCACAGCTGCGAATCATTACGAGTACATTGTACTGCCGACGGTCGTATACGAGCTCGAGTATCCCCGCTCCGACTCCATCGACTGGTACTACGTCGCCGAGAAAACGGCGGCGACTTTTGGCATCATATTTGTCATGATTATGGTCTCGCAAGCTTTTATCTGTAGGTCGATCCAGATCCAATATTTTCATCGCATCGGCTTGTTTTTTCTGACGAGGTCGGCAGATCCGGTTGTGATGCAGACTGTGGCCATGAAGGAAGTAGGCATGCCGCTGGCCGAACGCTTCCGTTATTTTCCCTGGATGCTGAGCGACCTTGTCTTTCCGTTCATGATGGAATATTTGGTAAGAATCGCGTGCAGTTTTTGCACACTCAGATCCCAACCAAAAGATAAAACTGACAAAACTAGATGGCTTGGTATCTCATCTGGGAAACCATCCTGAACATTCTCGCGGAGCTCACTTACTTTGCCGACAGGAGCTTTTACGATGCGTGGTGGAACAGCGGTATGCCACGTCCAACAAACCCGTCAAGTTGAGAGGACTATATAACTGATTTATCCATACAGTCTCTTGGGACCAGTTCGCCCGTGATTGGAATCGGTAAGCCGTGCTTTCTCTCTTTCTCTCTCTCTCCGTCCCCACCGCTTCATCCCTCGGAAGTCTTGCTGACGCCCCCTTCCCAGTCCCGTTCACAACTTCCTCCTCCGCCATGTGTACCACAGCTCCATCTCGTCAATGAAGGTGAACCGACATACGGCAACCCTCATCACCTTCTTCCTCTCGGCCTGCGTCCATGAGTTGGTCATGTGGTGCCTATTCAAGAAACTCAGGGGCTATCTCCTTTTTCTGCAAATGTGCCAGCTGCCGGTACGTAGATCAATCGACTCCCACACCCCCCTTAAGGATTTGATTCATGTTCCGATTCACCTGACAACTTGAACAGCTTGTCCAGCTAAGCCGCACGCGGTGGCTGAAAGGCCGCAAGACGCTTGGGAATATCATGTTTTGGTTCGGCATCTTCACGGGTCCAAGTCTACTATGCAGTCTCTACCTTATCCTGTAAATCGCGTATAACACCCTTTGCCACAGATTCGACTTATGTTGTATGATTGTTGATGATTACGGGGAAAGGAAGGGTCTCGTCAAAATGTAAAAAAGGGAACGTCACGAGCCATGTTCATGTCATGAACTCAACGTGTGCATATTCTAGATATTTTACAATGCAAGCAAAATAACTTGTAAGGTGTTGTCATGGGTTGATTTCATTCAACTATAAACATAAATAAAACACAATCAACAAAGCCTCGCCGCAGTTTTGGCCTTTTTCTATCCTCGTTGAAAATAATAGAAAAAAAAAAATCACGCCGCGTAACAAAGGTCGTCAAATTCAGTTTTACAGCCCTTGCTTCTCCGCCGTCGCCATCAGGGAACCTGACAAAAGGATTAGCAATATGAACATGATACGGGGCTAAATACTTGATTTGAGTCACTTACCGATGAAAGTGGTCACCAGGCGACTGCGGACTTGGCAGATATCCTCGGGCACCAGCCAAATGGTTGCTCCCATCTTTCTCGCAATACTGATACTGAGCTTAGCGTTGAGGTAGGCGTCATCATCCGTGTGACCAGGGGTGACGAGATCGTAATCGACGTAGCTGCTCTTCATGCCGTTAAGCACATCCAAGAGGAACACACCGGTGCCAATAGAAGGGTCCTTGAAGGAGCGAATGCTCGAAGACTTGCCGCCCTTGCGGGCCATGTCGTTTGCCCACTTGACCATCTCTGCGTCCGTGATTTCGCGCTTGCCAAGACGCTGCGCCAGCGTTGACAGGGTCACCGTGATATCCCTGCGCATCAACTGCCACACCAAACCAAGTGTCAGGGTCCGTTGACCGTCGGTGATATCTGCGCCCTGAATGCCCACAAGCGAGAATCGGTTCTGCTTGCCGAGTTCGATGGCGTAGTTGGTGTTCTCAACGGCCTTGAAACGCAACATCTCTCCGCCATGAGCGGGAGGCTTGTTTACATGACGCCAGTTGACAGACCCCTTGATAACCTTATCGTATGCTTGCAAAAGCACTGTGCCGTCTCGCAAATCGTCAAAGAAGGATTGGACGGCAGGTTGCACATCCAGACTGTTGAGCCACAGGGTAAAGACACGGGCTTCTCTCTCTCCTTCAGCATCAAAGTCCTCAACCTCTAGCTTCTCCTCCTCGGTGATGGGGTCAAGGGCAGGGTGGTTGTTAAAGAGGTTTGCAACGAAAGCCAGGTTGAGCTTGGGGTTACCGGCGACCAGGGAAGATGGCGTGAGGAACTTGCGGCAGCCCATCTTGTCAGCGGTCTGCAGAATCTCCTCAGCTCTTTGCAGGAGGTCCCGAGTCTGGAGGGGAGCCCTTGTCGCGCCGTATTCGGAGCCAATCTGTGCCAAGAGAACAGTGTAGTTCTCGCCGTCCTTGATGTCGCTCGAAAAGTTGTTGACGCTATCAAATGTCAGTGATGGTTGCCGTTTGCTCGAAGAACATCATAACATACCGTCTGGGCCAGTTGGCAGCCTTCAAGTGGTAGTTGAACCATCTCAGAAGAATCTGCTCAGGGGGGAGTCTCAAGAACTGCTCCAGGGTCTCGTCTTCCTCCAACAAGCGGTACAGTTCGGGGTGAAGCTTGATATCAATCTTGCTCAGCAGACCACGGCGGATAATTTGCCAAATTAGACCAAGAATCAAGTGCTCTCGGCCCTCAATGATGTCACCACTGCCAATGTTGACGACGGACAGACCAATGCCCTTGGACGACTCGATGACGATGTTGTTGTTCTCCGTCATCTGGAAGGCGTTGAGCGACTTTGCCTTCTTGGGGCGGTTCAGCACACGCTCGTCAATGGTGTCGGGGACGCTGTCGTTGATGAGCTTGGCGAGTACCAGACCGTCCTTGCACTCGTCGAACATCTCAAAGGTGTCAGTAGGGAAGGGGAGGCGGTTGCCAATGTCGGCATCGCCAGCCAGAACGGCGTTGATGTGACGGGTGAACTCAGTTCGCTCATCCTCGTTGATGGTGTGGGTGACGTTGGCGTTTGAGCCTTGCACGTGAATCTTGCCGACGCTGGGTTTGGAGGCATGGCCGCCGGTTGCTTGTGCGACGATGCCCGCGGGAGCAGTAGGCCCTGACGATAGACGTTTTTGAGCAGGGGAAGACTCGCGAAGCTTGGCAATCAACTGCAATCAACTGGGTCAGCAATAAACACAATTTTGGGGGAATAAAACGCAACGAGCGCAAGGCTGGGCCGAGACGTACTGCGACGTAGTCCTCCAATTCGACACGGCGAGACGAGTCGAGCTCAACCTCCTTCAGGGCTTGCCGTACGACATCGTAGGGTTGGCGTTCGCTCTGCTGAGTGGCCTTGATGGTAGTAGCCTCGTCAAGGTAACCCTTGTCGTCGACATCGAGCTTACGGAAGGCGTCGCTCAGGCCGTAGATTTCGTTTTGGGGGAATTGAGGATACTTCCTGGCGGCAGATTTGCGTCAGTAAAAGCAGTGGTCCTCCCGTCCGTCGGAGGGGTAGGCTGGTGGTGAATCACGCAGTGCGGGGGGAGGGGGGGCCATGGGGTGCGCACCTCTGAAGCTTGAGAACGTTCATGTTGGCGGGTTGTCTAAGGATGCACAAGAGGAAAAGGAAACGGAGAAGGTGGTGGAGGGAAAGATGCTGTATTTGGATGGCAGCAGAACAGCCGAGTTCTCAAAACCGGGCTCGGCGCAGAAAGGAACCCAGAGCCACAAGATCAGGGACCAAGCGAAGTGGCAGATGCGCAGGAAGCTCCGGAACGCACGGACGTTGACGAAAGAGTGGTCTAAACCGGTAAGGCACCTCACGGTGCGGGAGGAATGTGAGGTAATATGGAGATGGAGCTGCAAAACGGTCGGGCAGCAGTAGTAGTGGGCGGAGATGACTCTTTTTCGAGAGCACGTGGGTCACACTAGGGATTGAGGTTCTGGTGTTTTATTTTTGCTTTGTTTTGTAACAATGAGCAAGAACAGGACAGAGTGAGAGAGAGGAAGAGGAGGAGAGGCTGGCAGGACCGAAAAGGGCAGGCAAGGCAGGTAAAATGCAGTATGGGGCAAGGAAGGTGCGCCCGACGGGTAGAGAGGTCGATCAAAACGGGTCAAGGCGAGCCTGGGGAGACAGAGGCAGGAGAGGCCAGAGACATTGACAGAAGAAGGCGGAGAGGCAGGGTAAATGCGGGGATTAATAAATATGCACCTCGGGAGCACATCAGGAAAGAGGGAATAATAAAAGAACAGTAGGAGACTAGACAAATTGATGGCTGGAGTATACTACTAAACTATGTTACGCTATGGGTGCTCTGTCTTCTCTCTCTCACTCTCCTTCTTGTCTGTGAGTGCTGTGCTCTACACTACCTCATCAGGGCCGGGGGATGAGATGTGGATGTTTTTTGTGTGTGAGAGACTTACGTAGGTACTTGTTGGCGGGGGCGGGGAGGGGCCATTGATGTAATGATACAGGCATTAGCTGCGTTGAGAGCGTTGGGATTGGGTGCCTACATCATTGGTACCTTACAACATGTACTCATGTGCCCTCTCGGTACCTTAGGCTGGCTGGGCGCCCAGAGGGTACAAGTGTTTACCCCAGCGAGGTTGCTTACTACTACGCGTCTAGTATGAGGAGCACATCGTGACTTCCACAATAGGCCGCCTGAAAGTACGTACTCGTGGCGCAGCGTCTTTTTCGCTTTCCCTCTGCGAAACGTCCCAGCCGCCTGAATCTATGCGGGCATGCCGTTGCTTGTCGAACAGAATACGCGGGAAAGCCCATGTTGGTTTGGACAAGCCAGGTGCCTCCTGTCATCTCTTCCACCACCACAAGCACACGCACCAGTACGTTGTATACACCAGCCACACTAAATTGCGTAAGGCTGCCAGACAGTAAGTCGGGTGTATTGCGTAAAGACCAACGTACGCAATTGCAGGCACAAGACCATTCCCAAAAGAAAAAGAAAAAGAAAAAAGAGTAAACCACCGCACAAACATTTCCCTCGAGGCTGAGTATACCAGGCTCCTCGTCATTTCACAGGCTGCAGCAAAACTTCCCCATCTGGCTGTTAGATTTGACGATGCCCACGTGGCTCGCCAGGCACCGAAACACCTGTTCCATGAATCCACGCCTGCTCGCATCTAAGCCGTCCATGAGAGTCCACGACGCTGCCGAGGATGACTTGCAAATGGGTGCCTGGGACTTGACCGGGTCCGCTTTTGTTGCTCTTTTTGTGTTGCCTTGTGATATACAGATCTCAGTTCACTTTCAGGAAGCCAAGGCACACGGCTCCCCTGAGGGATCTCTCATGCTGCCCATTCATCCATCCACTTACACGGGCAAGTCCATCTTTGGATGCCCAATGACCCAGAGATAATATCAATTAGCCCCTCTAGGTAATGTTCTGGAACGTGGAGGTACAGGGAAGACCAGGTACTTCAGCGCCAAGGGGGGTTGTATCGGAGACGGAAATGCATACATAAGCCTGCGCACTGTATGATCCAACTTCGCTACCATGTCTCTTACCGTGTGCTTATCCCACCGTCGGCACAGTCCCCGCTCCTCAGCAAACCCCCACCTCGAATTTTCTGATCTCGATGCCTTCATCGCGACGTAGAAGCTTTTTGTGTCAAGGACGCCCGGCTCAACACCCGATTCGCAAACTTCAGGCTATTAAGCTCTGACTGACTCCTTCACCCCATCTAATCACTGCGTCCCAACTATTCCCCTCTTCCCCTCATCAAAGCCCCCCTCTCCCGCTCTCCCGCGGAAACAACTTTGCGGTATCATCCTACTCATTTCTCACCATATCACGAGAAACACCGACCACAAACATGGCCTCCGTCTGCAAGGCTTGTGAAGACCCCCTGGTCATTAGCATCGAACCAGACAGCGATAACGAGGGCCAGGTCGGCGAGGAACCTCAGAATGTCCCCGATGACCTGGAGTTGCCCTGCGGATGTCACTTTCACTGGTATGCAAACACGCTCACATGCTATCCCCACTAACACACGATGAGATGGCTTTGCATTGCTCACACCACATCCCCCTCCCCCATAGGCAATGTCTCCTGGATCAGTCTGCAGAGATTGCCATCTCTCTCAACTGCCCGTCCTGCCAAAAATACCTGCCAACAAACCAGCAGGGCCCCTCCGTCACCAACCCTTTCTTGCATACCCCCCCTGGCACCGCCATCTTGACCCGCTACGTCAACGAGGGCGGTCTGCAGGATGGCCTCGACATCCTGCCCAACATCACCGAGGAAGCTTACTTGGACGCCCACCCGGAGGCCCGTCCCGCCCGCGCCTACCACCTCATGTGCTCCGAGGGTGACGTCCAGGGCATCGTTGAGCTTCTGCAGGATGCCAACGAGGAGCTGGCCGGCGACGTCGCCCAGCTGGGTCAGCTCATCCGCTACCAGGATCCCTTGGCCGGCGGCAAGAGTGCCCTCCACGTCGCTGTTGAGAAGTCCCAGGAGGAGGTCGTCTGGCTGCTGCTCTGGATTGCCTCGCCCGTGCCCACCGACGTCTTTCCCCAGTCCGCCCGCCAGGCGGCCGAGGCTCTACAGATCGTTCGCCTGACCAACGACAACGCCGAGGACATTCGGGCTCTGCGCACCGAGGCTGGCCAGACCGCCGAGGATGTCGCCAGGAGCATGCCCGCGCGCTGGGCTGCCCTCGTCGATGCCGGTATTCTGCGTCCATAGTTTGTTGACCCTTTTGTAAGAGAATAAAGATACCCAGAGTTGAGCAGTCAAAAATTGTGAAGCAAGTGTCGTCACCGCAGGTAGTTCCGTGATGCAGATGAATGTTGAAACGAATTCGTCCAATTGTACAAGAAACGAATAAATACAAGAATTCCTTGCCCGCTTGACCAATGTCTAATCTAGTCTATCTCCGGTTTGCCCGCGATCTATTAGAAAGAAGTTGTGATAGGATGAAATGGCTGACGTCCTCGTCAGACCAGTAACTCATGTGCGAAGCAATTGTGTTCATGGGGTTGAAGTCGAGGACGCTCCTGAACATACGAGTTAGCGACAAGACGACCTCAAACCGTTTCTTAGGGACGATATAAAAAAAAAAGAGGAAAAAAAAGAAAATATAAACTTACTCCTGAACGCTGTAGTCGACACGCCCATTGCGGTTCAGTGCCCGGACTTTCATCTCCTCGCGCCGCAGCTTCTGCGCCTTCCGCTCCGCTTCCAGCCAGTCGGCCGCGCCGCCATCGTCATTTGACTTGGCCAGGTCCACGCGCTTCTCCTGAAACTTGGAGTAGAGAGTCTCGAGCTCATCATCAATCAGCGTCATTTCATTACCGCTGAGGCTCGTACGACCCATCATGGATTTCGAGTCCGCAAGCTGCTTCTTGCGCTCGTTGGTCTTTTCCACGAGTTTGGACGCGTCGGATATCACGCCACTGTCAGTCATGTTTCCACCCGCCGCCGCGGCTCCCGTCCCGGACACCTGAGGCTGGGTTGAAGCCGAGTTCATCTTGGCCACGTCTTCGTTGCTTAGACCAAGGCTTCTGTTGAGCAGGTTACTCGCGATGCCCGCACTCAGGCTGGACCAAAGACCGCTAACACTTTGTCCGACCTTCATACCGATGCCTGACAGGCCTTGCTGCGCCACGTTGCCAAATATGCCCTTCTTGGTGTATGGCAGAATCTGGGGTTTTAAGGTGGACATGGCTGATGATATCAGTGGCTCAAGCCGGTAGCTGATAGGATCCGAAGGATGGAAAATGTTGAATAATTGTGCCACTTTTGGCGATGAGACTGAATACGGCAACCCTGTAATGGCGGAAACGCGCTGTGTCGGTGACGTCGGGGCAGCCGTGAGGAATGGATCGTCAATCAACTCTGGGTTCATGGGACTCTCTGATGGCAGAGCATTGGGGAGGTGACGTGCTGATATGGTGCTTCTCGAGAGTTAGTATACAGAACTCGAAGGAACCTCGTCGACTTACCGGCCCTTGAGCATTTGAAACAAGCCTATCGGCGATCCGAGGCAGTAGAAATCATCTACGTCGAACTCAAACCTCAACTCGTTTGCCTCCCGATCCTTGACGCCTTCAGCCTTCTCCTGGGGGGGCCAGAAGCGTAACGGATTCCTTGGAGTTTCCAAGGCCTTGCTTCTCTCCTTCTGTCGGCACAGTATGTCAAACATAATGGCAGAGCCAAGCGAGTGGCCGATGACATGAACCTTGCCCTTGAATTCAGGGTTCCTGGCTAGGAAGAGTTTGTATATACGATTCGACTCCTTCAACACAATCTCCGAGATCTGCTCTCGGTACGCGCTCTGGTACAACAACACGTCAAGAGCAAGATCTGAAATCAAGGACCTGGCGAAAGCCACGCCCTCAATGGTAATATCTTCCAAAGATGGATCTTTGCCATACCGGTTAGCAGCTGTGTTGTCTAAAAGTGGCGAGGGTAACTCACATTCATCATCGTCCAGAGCACCGTCTCCAATGTCTTGTTCATTCTTCTTTTCTCTTTTCTTGGGAAAATCAAGCAGATGTCTCCAACAGACTGGTAGAACCTGGACCCGACAATTTTTCGGGCCGTCTTCCAGTTCCGAATTCAGGGCCCGAAGGTCTGCCGAGCTCGAGTAGACTGACTTGAAGTTCTTACGTAGGACGTTGACATCGTGGACAAAATTGACACTTTCCATGCTGTGGTCATCAGTTAGCATATCTTCATATACAAGCCAACGCCGGAAACCTACCGGATGCCAAGAAGCTGGCCGATTCCATGTGTTACTAGCACCAGGTGCTCAATTTCTCGGCCCTGTTTTTCGCCAAACTGGCCGTTGTAGTCGTTCTCGATTTCCTTCTCTTCACGTTTGCGAATCTCCTCTTCTTGTTCTTCTTGATTGCGGTGCTCAGCTCCCTCCATCAACGACGAGATCTGTCTTTGTAGGGCATTCTCTCTACTTGAATCGTCTTCAGCACGCGACATTTCTTCGCTGGATTGCGAAGGTCTGGAGGTCGGGGGCGCGGATCTCCTTTTTAGTTTCTTTTGTTCTTTCTCATCTAGCTGTAAGGTGTTGGTAGCCTCGGTTGGGGTGGCTGGCTGCTTTTCCTTCTTGTTTTTTGCTACGTCAGAGTAGCCTCTCACAAGCTTGACACCGCTCATGTAACCGCCACCGGAGAATCTTTCGTACATGGTTGAGGTCACCCAGGACAGCATGCTATCTGACGTCAACCAGGCGGTGGTGGAGTCCTGGTAAGTAGCGATGCTGTTCATCCATGCGCCGAATAGCCTATGGGAGGACGGCTGGTGCTGGTTCTGCAGTGCCTGGGATTTGTTATTGCCTTCTGCTGCAGATGCCGTCGAAGCTGCAGCCCGTAAATTCTCTACTGATGCCTTGGGTGTGACATCTTTGTTCTTGGAGTCGCTGCGAATTCGCGGCTTAGGATACAGCCAGGGTTTGACCTTGAGGTATCCCTCCTCCAACTGAGACGCCAGATTCTCCTCGCATGGTCTCAGCGATGAGCCTTCGTCGTAGAACCAAGTACCGCGGCGGACCTCATACACGGCTCCAAGCCAGTAGACAGGCGCGAACTCTCGCTTCTCGATGTCGACATCGAAGAGGTAGTCTTCGCTCACTGGAACGCGGGTTTTGGGTGTTTGAGTGCCGTCGGGGCTCGTCTCTAAACTGCTGTGTGTATCATCGTCGTCGGTATTCTTGCGGCCACGTCTGGAGCTTCCAGACACGTTTCGCAATGAACGTTCGCTTCTCCGCTTCTCAGAATCCTCCAACAGGCGCTGGTACGCTACCTCTATTGCTCTTGAATCGCCTTTGTCAAAGGGAACGAACTTCTTCGGCTGGGGTGCAGGCTTGGTGTCGTCGGTGGGCTTCGACTTGTCTCTCAGGAACTGGGCCTTTCGCTTGGGCACCTGATAAGTGATTAGCGAGACGGACCCTCAAAGAAACACGGTGGGAAGTAGGGCACTTACATCAGTGGCATGGTACCACAGGACATTGAGAGGAGGACAGTCAACGGGATAGCTTTTGGTGCTCTGACCGTATAAGTGGGTTATGCTATGATCGCCAGGACGGGCGGTCGGGACTGGAACAGGCTGGGGCGCAGGATCCTTGGGCGTGGGGGTTGAGCTTCGAGTCCCGGACCAGGGATTAATGGAATCGACGGCGGACGAAAGGTACGACTTTTCTGCTTTGCGGTCGGGGCCGCTGGGAGCCATCGTTTGCTGGTGGGCAGAGTGCCATTCGGGGGTTCTCTGGCGAGACGTCCAGTAGCAGCGGGAGAGGGACGTGGGGATGAGGATCGGCTTTCTGCAAGTTCGTCGTCCCCAGGTCTGCGTCGAGCGATGCACAGCGAGCGCCAACTTGAGAGAGGCGTCGGAAGGGGGAGGAGAAACTTATATGTGCGTCACCGTGGGCCCGGAAAGACTGGAGGGTAGACTGGGGGGGTTTATAGGACGAGTTTGGGTGTGAGCAGTTTCGGGGAAGCTCGAGCTGGGAGGGCGGGAACAAGGAATGCTGGTTTCAGACTGGAGCAAGAGCAAGGTTGAGGTGTCGAGAGAAGGCCAACGAAGGGAGGGGAAGAAAGGCACGGAGATCTGGTTGTATTGTAGGGGGGGTAGATTTGCTCAAGGGATGTTTGATTGATGATGGACGGTATGGACAACGTGTGCTGTTGAACCTGGAAATTGCAAGGTGAGGCGCGAGTAGAAGAAACCCGCCATTTGGAGAGAGCAAGAGGAGCTAGCTTCCAGGTACCACCTCCATAACGGCGCAGCAGCACCTAAGCTTGAACCCACGGGCATGATGAAGGCGTGGAGGGCTCCAGTCAGCTGGCTTTGTACATGGGGAGGGGGGTAAGGAGCTGTTCCGGGCTCCAGGGACCCCATGACGCAGCGGTTCTCGGTCCCGTGTAAATGGAATACGACGGCGTTAGCGGAGCGTTACTGGAGGCGGTCTGGGCCGACCGCGGGGCAGCTGCAGCTTCGTTGGACAGCTAGGCGAGGGTAATTTACAGTGTTTCCTTGGCTGGGGAGATACATAGCAGTAGTACACTGCTTTAGGTGCATCCCAGTGTGTTTCCCGCCCGCAAATGTTACCTTATCACGGATAAGCGGAGGACGATAAGCCGCAATCGCTACTTTCTTTCCCGAGGGATTAAACAAGACAGCAGATAAAACAACATGGTTGTAGACAGTCCAAGTACACGGCATTTACACTTACCAGAAAATGGTATTAAAAATGATAATTAAGACAGAATGTAGAGGAATACAGACAATAATACGATAACACCTTGTGAGATAGAGGGATCAGCTGGAGGGACTTTGTCTAAAGTATCTGGGCCCGTCGCGTACTGATAAGCCCGGTACGTACCTTTCATCCTAAGGCCTGGCTCTGATCTGCAGACAAGCCTGAAGACTCACTCACTCACTTTGGGTGCTTGGGAAGACTCACACCGAGCTGCACAATGCACCCGCCGCTATATACACTGTGTCATCATTCATTTCCTCCAATGATGGCACCGTGCGATAGTGCAAAACGCCCTGCGCTGCAAAGGTGGGGCACAGCTGCTTTTTTCGATGGTGGGGTACGACCTGCATTGAGCGTCCCTCCCGCGCTACTTCGCCGTGCCTCCATCACAAAATTTCCAATTCAACTCTGGTCCAACAATCCAGCCTCCAAATCCCCCCAAACCACGCCGCCACATTATACCCGATGACCGCCTCTCCCTAGCAGCCTGTCGCCCCCGACATAAACGGTTTCTGCGATTAACGTAATTATACTCCTCGAGCCATGATCATGACCCTACGGCGAATGCGCAAACACACCATCATCGAACACGACCGGTAGACTTCGCAATTCAAGGACCTCGATCTTGACTCACCAACCTCCCCGCCACATCCCTCCACCTCCCACCTAGGAGCGTTCCTGAATCGCAACTGCAAACCAAAATAAACCGCCGCAATGGCGACCACAACTACCGTCACCCCGGTCAAGTCGCAGCTTGTCGACAAGCTGCCCAAGCGATTCAAGGGCATCAAGTTCGGCATTCAGTCAGTCTTTTCCCACCCCTCGCCCTTGTTTGGATGCATTCATGCTGATCCGTTGCTCGCTTACAGGTCGAACCAAGATATCGCGAACCAGGCCGTCCTCGAAGTTTCCGATCGTTTATTGTACGACATCGAAAAGAACAGAGCCCCTTATCAGCATGGTCCCCTTGACCCTCGCCTGGTAAGCACCCCTCTTGTAAACCCAGGACCAGTATTCATTTAACCATTCGAGTATTAGGGCACGTCGAGCAAGACTGGAAAATGTGCAACCTGTCAGGAATCGCTACAGAACTGCACTGGTCACTTCGGCCATGTCAGACTTCCTTTGCCTGCCTTTCACATCGGCTACTTGCGATTTGTCATGATGATTCTACAGGATATCTGCAAGGTGGGTGTTTCTTTCTTCTTGTGTCTGTACGCTGCCGACTAACAACTATTAAGGACTGTGGCAAAGTTCTGCTCACCGAGACCGAGCGCCGAGCCTTCCTTAAAGAACTTCGACGACCACTACTGGACAATCTACGACGCTCCCAGATCTGCAAGCGAATCAACGAGCAGTGTCGCAAGGTCAAGAACTGCATGTACTGCGGCTCTGTTCAAGGCCAGATTCGCAAGGTCGGCGTGCTCAAGCTGGCCCACGACAAGTTTGTCACTTACAACAAGTCCACGTCTGCCAAGAAGGTGCCCCCCGAGAGCAAGATCAAGTTTGACGAGTCGTTCAACGAAGCGAGGAAACACAATGGAGAGTTGGACAAGCATCTCCGCAAAGCCATGGAGGACATGAACCCCTTGAGGGTTTTGAACCTGTTCAAGATGATCAGCCCTACCGACTGTGAACTCCTTGGTTTGGATCCTGCCGAGGGTCGCCCCGAAATGTTTATCTGGCAGTTCCTCCCTGCGCCTCCTGTATGCATTAGACCTTCGGTTGCCCAGGACAATGCCAGTAACGAAGACGACATCACAACGAAACTTGCCGACATTGTGTGGGTGAGCGGTATGATCCGATCCGCACTACAAAAGGGCTCACCCGTTCAAACCATCATGGAACAATGGGAGTATCTCCAACTCCAGGTCGCCATGTACGTCAACAGCGATGTACCCGGTCTCCAGCAGCCCGGTTTTGGCAAGGCTGTACGAGGCTTCTGCCAGAGGTTGAAGGGAAAGCAAGGTCGATTCCGTGGCAACTTGTCTGGCAAGCGTGTCGACTTCTCAGGTAGAACTGTCATTTCTCCTGATCCCAACCTTGGAATTGACCAGGTTGCTGTTCCTCAGCTCGTGGCCAAGAACTTGACCTATCCAGAGCGGGTGTCGGACTACAATATCAAAAAGCTCAGAGAATGCGTCCGTAATGGACCCAACATCTGGCCAGGTGCACAGCAAGTCATCAAAAATGATGACGGAGGTTACAAGATCTCCTTGAGATTCGGTAACAGAAACCAAGTAGCGCAGGACCTGAAAGTTGGCGACGTCGTCGAGCGTCATCTGGAAGACAACGACATTGTGCTCTTCAACCGTCAGCCCTCTCTTCACAAACTTAGTATCATGAGCCATTTGGTCAAGGTACGACCGTGGAGGACATTCAGACTCAATGAGTGTGTTTGCGGCCCCTACAACGCTGATTTCGACGGCGACGAAATGAACCTTCACGTGCCCCAGACCGAAGAGGCCCGCGCAGAGGCCATCAATCTCATGGGCGTAAAGCACAACTTGGCAACCCCGAAGAACGGAGAGCCCGTTATTGCTGCCACTCAGGATTTCATCACTGCTGCATATCTGCTCAGTGGCAAGGACCGATTCTTTGACCGCAAGACCTTCACCTACATCTGCATGCACATGATGGATGGAAAGGTTCATCTCGACCTCCCTCCTCCTGCTATTTTGAAACCTCAGGCTCTGTGGACTGGCAAGCAGGTATTCAGCATGATGATGCGGCCCAACAAAGACAGCCCAGTCAAGATTAACCTCGACGCCAAGTGCAGAGAGTACAAGGCCAGGGCTGGCCAGTGCCCTGACATGGACCCCAACGACGGATGGCTCGTCATTCGCAACTCCGAGGTCATGTGCGGTAGAATGGACAAATCTACTGTTGGTTCAGGAAAGAAGGACTCTGTCTTTTATGTCATCCTAAGAGATTTCGGCCCTGATGCCGCCGTGGTAACGATGAACCGCCTGGCCAAGCTGTGCGCTCGGCATCTGACCAACCGCGGCTTCTCTATTGGTGTTGGCGACGTCTACCCTACGGAGCTGCTATTGGAGAAGAAGAGCAAAATGATCAAGGACGCGAACAAGGATGTTGACGAGCTGATCGACAAGTACAAGAAGGGTAAGCTTGAAAAGGCCACCGGTTGCAACATGGAACAGACCCTCGAGAACTCCATCTCAGGACTTCTCAGCAAAGTCAGAACTCAGGCCGGTTCTCACTGTATCGAGACACTCAGCAGGAACAATGCCCCGCTTGTCATGGCCAAATCCGGATCCAAGGGTTCGGAGATTAACGTCGCTCAGATGGTTGCCCTAGTCGGACAGCAGATTATCGGCGGTAAGCGTGTTGCCGATGGTTTCCAGGACAGAACGCTTCCCCATTTCCACAAGAACGCTCCTCAGCCTCCTTCAAAGGGTTTCGTGGCCAACAGTTTCTACTCGGGTCTGCTCCCTACCGAGTTCATCTTCCACGCCATGTCTGGTCGTGAAGGTCTAGTTGATACTGCCGTCAAGACGGCCGAAACCGGATATATGTCGCGTAGACTGATGAAATCTTTGGAGGATCTTTCCACTCAATACGACGACACGGTGCGGACTTCAGGAGGAGGCATCGTCCAGTTCCAGTTCGGCGCTGACAAGCTGGATCCTGTCGATATGGAGGGCTCGGCAAAGCCTGTGAACTTTGACCGTACCTGGTCACACGCTGAGAATCTGACGTGGGACAACGATGAGGCGGCCCTTTTGCCGGATGAAATCGACAAATGCTGCGACGGCATGCTTGCTCGGGAGCGGGCACGCTACCCAAGAAAGGCCCTTGTTGGCGACGACGTCCTTGACTACAACAACGAAGAGGACAGGTTCACTGACGAGCACGAAGGCGCCAGAGACTTCCTGAGGTCTCTGGAGTCGTATGTTAGTGGCCGATCCAACAAGCTCCGCCGCGTGATGGAGCTTACAGGCTTGACGGCCTCGGCAGAAAGCATGGATGTTGATGTCGACGAGAGCGAGATCAAGGCAAAGAAGGCCTTCGCAGACAAGGTGGCCAAGGTGTCCGAGTCAACCCTGCGGCTCTTCGTCCGACTATGCCTAGAGAAGTACAAGAAGGCACATGTTGAACCCGGCCACGCCGTCGGCGCCGTCGGAGCCCAGTCCATTGGTGAACCTGGTACCCAAATGACGCTCAAGACGTTCCATTTCGCTGGTGTCGCCGGTATGAGTATCACGCAGGGTGTGCCACGTATCAAGGAAATCATCAACGCCTCCAAGCTCATCAGTACCCCCGTCATCACCTGTCCGCTGGTGCAGGACAAAGAGATGACGGCTGCTCGGATTGTCAAGGCACGTATCGAGAAAACTTTTGTCGAAGACATTCTGAGCTACATTGAAGACGAATGGTTCGCAGAGTCAGGAAACGTCGTCTTGCAAGTGGATATGGATGCCCTGTCCGAAATGCAACTGGGCATTGGCTTGGGCGATGTGGCCGAAGCTATCTGCAAACACAAGAAGCTCAAGGTCTCACGGCAGGATATGCACATTGGCCCCAGCAGGATCGAGATCCGTGTTCGTCTTGACGAATCGGCTAGCTCCAAACGGTCTGTGAAGGCCAAGCCCGTTGACGAACATGGCGATCTTCTGGTACGCGCCAACTACCTCCGCAGAACGATTCCGACTGTGGCTATTTCAGGATACCCAGAGGCTACGCGTGCCATTATCCAAACGTCAGATGATACGCATACCGTTCTGGTTGAAGGATACGGCCTGCTCGCATGTATGAACACGGAAGGTGTGGACGGACGCAGAGTGAAGTCGAACAACGTCATGGAATGCCGAGATGTGCTAGGCATCGAAGCTGCGAGAACAACGATTGCGCACGAAATTGGGGTGGTCATGGGAGACATGGGTATCGACCCGCGTCACATGCAGCTGCTCGCAGATGTCATGACATACAAGGGCGAGGTGCTCGGTATCACACGTTTCGGTCTCTCAAAGATGAGAGATAGTGTTTTGCAGCTGGCGTCTTTCGAAAAGACGCCCGACCACTTGTTTGAGGCCGCTGCAGGCATGAAGACGGATCAGATTGAGGGAGTGAGTGAGTGCATCATCATGGGACAAACCATGTCGGTCGGAACTGGTGCGTTCCACGTCGTCCGTCGCCTTGCTCTGGAGAAGGGAGATGTTGGACAGCGCAAGACGATATTTGAGGATGCATGGGCGACCGAGACGGCGCTCAAGCGAAAGTCGAGGCGGCATGCCTAAGGGGAACACGGGAGTTATCAAACGGTATGGCGTCCACACCAGTACGAGGATTGTACAATTCTGTAACGGGATCCCAAAAAGGATATGCTTTAGTTTTGAAGTAAGGTCAAATCGAGATGAAGACATGAGATTAAGGAACGCAAACCGCCTCCGAAAGTGATAAACATGCCGTGTATCAACACCTGACTGAGCACATGCCCACAGCCGATGGCGGAAGCCGGCCGCTGTCCGGGGAAGTTGGTTTACCCGGTAACGTGCTTTGGGGTTACATTTCAAAAGTCCAGCGTTACCTGATGTTGAGTGTTTCCCCATGCGATGTTCATCTGATTAATCTCGCGAAGGATTAGCGCAGCGAGACTGCGGGGTTTGAATGACGCTCCCCACAGGCTTCAACCAAGCATGGCGGGGTTTGGCAAGATGCGTTGCGGAGACAGCAGGGACATTGAGAGGAGGCAAAGACTGCGACACCCCAGCTATGATGGCCCTGGGGTTACTGCGTGGAGATGAGCAACACGTCTCCCTATAAAGGAGACGCTCATGGACAGGCTGCACCGAGCGGTCGGGTTCACGTCGGTTTGGCACATCGTCTTTGGTGTTGCATTGGTCATTATGCCCTTCACGCCGCGTCTATTCGGCCTCGCCCTATGGGCAGTCAGCCATATCGCCCCAGTGTCCTCGCAGGAACCTTCTATTCGGTGCTCTGTTGAAGGCCTCAATGCCTTGTTTGTACAGGATGACCGTGCCGAGGTATTGATGGCTCATCCCATTGGCAATAATGGCACCTTTGGTGAGGCGGGAAACGTGGCATATCCCCAAAATGCAACTCATCTGCCCTCGCTCTGCGTTGCGACAGTCAACGTCACATCTTCACCAACCTCGTCGTACACGTTTGGTTTGTTCCTACCGGAGGAATGGAACCATCGTTTCCTTGCCGTCGGCAACGGAGGCTTCTCTGGGGGCATCAACTGGTATGCCATGGGCACGGGCGTCAAATACGGCTTCGCAACGATTTCGACGTCGACGGGCCACAACTCGACAAGCCAGGATATGAGCTGGGCGCTCAAAAACCCGGAAACCAAAGCCGACTGGGCCGGCCGCAGCCTCCACGGCTCAACTGTTCTGGCTAAGAAGGTCGTGGAGGGTTATTACGGACACGCGGCGAACAAGTCCTACTATTCGGGCTGCTCGACGGGAGGACGACAGGGCGTCAAGTCGGCGCAGGAGCATCCGGAAGACTTTGACGGCATTCTTGCTGGTGCCCCAGCGTGGATGTCTACTAGCCAGCAGTTATGGCAGCTTAAAGTTGGCGCCATCAACTTGCCGGAAGACGGGCCTGGATACCTTCCACCAGCCGTTTTCAAGACCATTGGAGACGAGGTGCTCCGGCAGTGCGACGGTGCAGACGGCATTGTCGATGGTATCATTATGGATCCCAGACATTGCAACTTCCGACCGGAGAAGCTGCTTTGCACCTCGAACTCGACGAATCGCTCTGCATGCCTGACGGCGCCGCAGATATCAACTCTCAAGCAGCTGTACCTGCCCCTGATCCAAACGGACGCCAACGTCCACAATCTGACATACCTCTATCCCAACTTCGGACTCGGTTCCGAAATCCAGATGCCGTCTTCGTTCGGTTCCAAAAACGAGCCCAGCCTGTATGGGACCGACTACGCAAAGAACTACCTTTTTGACGATTTGGACTGGGACTGGAGGGCCAGTTTCGGCTACGCAACGTTTGTCGAGGCAGCAAGACTCAACCCCGGAAACGTCAACGCCGACAACTTTGACCTGTCAGAATTTCACGGGCGAGGGGGCAAGTTGATCCAGTACCACGGCTACGCGGACGGCCTCATACCGACGGACGTCAGCCGAGTGCTCTACGACGAGACGTGGATGGCAATGGCAGAGAAGGGCGTTGATCTGGACGAGTTTTACCGTCTATTCTTCGTCCCGGGCATGCAACACTGCTCCGGCAGCGTGTACGACGCGCCGTGGTACTTTGGGGGAAGCGGGCACTCGTCCAACTTGGAGGCGAACGGGCAGCACGCGTTTCCCGTGCCCGGCCTGGACGACGCAGCGCACGATGCGCTGATCGCGCTTGTTTCGTGGGTAGAGGGCGGGAAAGGCGTAGACGAACTGGTGGCGACGAAGTACGCCAACGATACCGTTGGCAACGGCGTTCTGAGGCAGCGTCCGATCTGCAAGTATCCTGGTTATGCTTCGTGGGATGGTAAGGGAGACGTGGATTCTGCGGCGAGTTGGAGCTGTGTAGGCTACGATGTGTGACGAGCCACGGTACGTAAGTCGTGGACATCAACGTTTTGAGAAGACGTAAAGGTCTAGTAGGAGGTGTTACGGCGCCATGTTGGAGGCGGTCTGGCTTTATTCGGAATATTGAGTGTTTGGCAGTTTACGTATCTGCTCGACCTGGCTCAAGTTATTCAAACTGCTTGAGCATGTGTATCTGGGGAAACTGATTAATTCGTTGATATCTATGTGTATCAGATGTTTACATCCTGTAGAGTCCTGTGATTGTATGTTCATGCCTAGTTCAACCGCTTAGTAGTGATGGAATGCCATGAACGAAGGGCTGATAGAACGCTGCCTCTACGTTTAGAACACTAGAAGCATTAATATTCTTGATTGCTCTGATACCGGAATACCTAGTAAAACGTCCTATTCACGGTAGTGGTTGAGTGACTTTGAATAGTTGGTTTACACGTCGGCTCGTATGAGTTTTCATAGTCTACCGGTCTTTCTTATCCGCTGCAAGTATTCAAGACGCAACAATTTTCTTTCGAGATTTCAGCCAAGATAATTCAATTTAACGGCAAATGAATAGAACCGTTGATATTCCTTGTCAACGCTTCTCCGATATCGTGTAAGCCTCTGAAGCTTACCAAGCTAACTTGACATTATAACCCTCGAATTTCATATAAAAGCACCTCCGGTTTTATTCAAACGCCGATATCTTATAAATGTAAAAATTCAAATGAAATATAGAATAACAAGATGAAGTAAGAACAAATGTGAGAAACGAAAGCCACATCTTCTACTCACGTGGTATGGTGCACGTGATACCGCGTCTAATGCGCGTAGATTGGTTCCCTAATCAGGACCCCGCGTCGGCATGACGACATGCACTGATCTGGGAGTCCGCACTGCACCCAGAACACTTTTCTGGCCGTTAGAAATTTGCGACTGTGCAATAGCCATATACTCTCAATCAGTAAACCCCCTCATAAAAACTAAATATACCCTGTTACCATGTGCGGGAGATACGTTCTAGCCCTGGTGAGCTCACATCCCTTACTTGGGTTCCTCCGACGCAACTAACAAACACTTGCACGCAGCGCCCGTCGCAGATTCGGCGCATGTTGGAGCAAGATGATATGCCAGTTGATGAAGCCCCTGAAGATGAAGGCCAGGGATCGCCACGCCAGACATACAATTTCGCACCGGGGTATCACGGCGTCGTGTACCGTGCAGATGTTCCAGACCGTGGAGCCAGCCATCACCGCAGCCACAAGAGCACCGACCAGGATCACCCACAGACAGACGCCAACTCAGAGAAGCCTCAAAAAGGTACTGACAATGTAAAGTACAAGATGCAGTCCATGCAATGGGGGTTGATCCCATTCTGGACCAAGCGCGACCCCGGCTACTCCACGCTCTCCAAGACAATCAACTGCCGTGACGACTCGCTCAGCACTCCCGGCGGCATGTGGTCGACCATGAAGGCGGGAAAGAGATGCATCATTGTCGCGCAAGGATTTTATGAATGGCTTAAGACCGGCAAAGACAAGCTCCCACATTTTGTCAAGAGGAAGGACGGCCAACTCATGTGTTTTGCCGGCCTGTGGGACTGCGTCAAATACGAAGGTGAGCCAGCCCGTATGGTGTGTTGTATTTACGAGGCTGCGAGCTGACAGCTTCCTCAGACTCTGAGGAGAAGCGCTACACGTACACCATCATCACAACGGATTCTAACAAGCAGCTCAAATTCCTCCACGACAGGATGCCGGTTATTCTCAACCCGGGGTCGGAGGAAATCAAAATCTGGCTGGACCCCAAGAGGAACGAGTGGTCCAAGGAATTGCAGGACCTACTGAAACCATTCGATGGCGAACTAAAGTGCTATCCTGTCAGCAAGGATGTTGGCAAGGTCGGCAACAACTCGCCGTCCTTCATCATTCCCGTAGCCAGCAAGGAGAACAAGTCCAACATTGCCAACTTCTTCGCCAATGCTTCGTCCAAGCAGAAGACTCAAGGTTCCAAGATGGAACCTACTGTTGCGATCAAAGAGGAGCCGGACAAATCACAGCATGCTGGAACGCAGCCGGTGCCGGAAGTAATTGCAGAAGCGGCACATGATGCGGACAGCCAGGCGAAAGCAGGGATTAAGCGAGAAGCCCCCGATGCGGAGGTTGACGACGAACCACCAAAGAAGATGGCGTCAAAAGCTTCACCTGCGAAGTCGAGACAGAGCAAGATCAGTGCGACGAGCAACGGCAGCAAGAGCCCTGCCAAGTCCAAGCAGGACGGGACTCAGAAGATTACCAAGTTCTTCGCCAATAGTGCGTGATCCAGGCACGAGGTGCTAGATACGCTTGCATCGGCATGGAATCGGGATGTACGACACGACGGATGAACCTGGTGTAAAGGGCGTTTTTAGGGGGGTGTTGATAATGAAAATGGGAACGACAGATACCTCTGAATGAATAATTACGCTTATTGGCTTCCACATTAAGGTTCTTCTCACACGAGCAGAGAGGACGCAGAAGGCAAAAAACAAAAAAAGAAACAAGCTTAGGCTGTTTGCCACCTCATCAAAGTTATTCCTCGAATCATGACCCGATGTCGTCTATCTCGTTGCCTCTCGAGCAGGCCAGAACATAGCCGAATCGGCAGATGGTGAGCTACGAGTGGCAATGGTGAACCTTTTGCTAAGGTTAAACTCAAGGCCGAATCGGCCGTCGACAAAGCTTTGGACACCGACGAGTGGAGTGTTCTTCCCCAGGCCATCAGCCTCGGCAAAACGGCCGTCTGTCAGCCATCAGCCACGGCAGACGGGAGATGGAGACGGATGAAGAGACGGGAGTGGTGATGTTGGGAAGGGGAAACAACAACACAAGTCAGGGGGTGTGAGCTTGAGGGTGACGCAGGTGGCTTCTCCTCGAGACCGACTCTGAGGTGCTCCTGGCAAGAGACGGCCGTGGTCTTGTCTGCAACACTCATCGGTCGTACGAGCCCTTCGCGGGGATGAGCCTCGGGGCAGGCGACTGCCGTTGCGGCTCCGGGCTGGAAATAGCAGGAGACCTATCATGGTGAGGCTATTTGACTACGATGGACAATCAATGCGGGGGAGGCCAGCTGGAAAGTAGGTGGGTGACGACGCCAGCTCCTGGACCGGCTATACGGCACCGGTGTTGGGGGGGCCTAAGTGACGGGGGAGGGGGGGAGGGACGGCTGGTGATACGGAGCTGGCTCCGATGTGGCGGGAATACTTCTGGAACCAAGGATACCAGGAAGTTTAACAAGGGTTCAATAGACACCCCCCTCTTTTTTTTTTTTTTTTTTCTCTCCTAATATTTGGGGGGAATTATGGTGCGAGAGAAAGTAGCCGAACGATTGGATCTATTTTTGGCAAAGAAAAATGAGGCTTACTTCTAAGCGTAACATGAGATGGGCAAAGTATGACGATGACGGTGGTGGTGGTGGTGGTTGTGGTTGGTGGCAGTAGTTTGTGGTGCGTGCGCTCTCTCTCGTATAGCAAAAAAGGACAAGTTGGGATGGAATTCAACAAGGGACTACGGCTTATTGGTGCTGCAGCAGCAGCAGCGGTGGCAGGGAAAAAAGTCTACACAATTCAAGGTTTACAATGTCAGACATGGTGGGCAACATGTGGCTGACACCTCGGGACCAAGTTCGCGTCGCGAAAGTCTCGAGAGTCATAGGGCGACACAATGAGACCAGGCGGCTCGGGCGCCTCTTCCAAGACGAGAAACAGTTTCGTATGCGATTGTGGTTGCCTGGTGAGAATGGGGGATCTGAAGGGCGGTAAAAGAATAAGGACGCAAATCATGGGCGCTAGATAGGCGAATCTCCCGTATCTCCCGTAAGACGCAGCTGCTGGAAATGGCATTTTTGAGCGAAAGACGGGGGGGTTGAAATGCGCCACTATTATCATGGCCAAATGAGAATGGCAGGTATTCATTGCTGGGCCGTAACGTAGCACAGCACAGCATCTGTTTGCGTGTGGTATGTATGTGTGTACACTATCTTATGTGTGTGTGTATGTGTATTAGCGGGAGATGCAAGGGAGGTTTCACCCTCCGAGCGGGACTCCGCCGCGGCGCCGCCGATCGGTTGCGAGGTTCATTGTACCCGTATGCGTAACTCGCTTCGGCGTCGAACCCCGTCTTCCTCCGTGATTGGGCGGGAAAAAAAGACCGGGGGGTGGGGGAGGGGGCCAAATCAAGAGATAACGCTTGCAAGCGCAGACGGCGGCCCCCCGGTTGGGAATCAATGGTCCTCCTTCCCCTCCCCCCCCCCTTACTCCTTCTTTATGTATGGCGGAAAGTTTTACAGGGTATCAATGGCATATTTGGAGGTACAAAGATGGGAAAACCAGGGTATGGGCAGAGAGGGCATAGGGCAGTTTCCCATTATGATGATTGGGGAAAAAAAAAAAGTGAAGAAAACTGCGCTACTGCTCCGTAACTGGTGCGTGAACATGGGTGCGTATGCAGGGAGCACAGTAAGCCCCAGGCAAGCGGCTTTAAAACAGAGTTTGGAACCTGCCGACGTAATCGTCGGGAATAAACATGCAAGAAGGAGAAGAAGAAGAAGAAGAAGAAGAAGAAGAAGAAGAAGAAGAAGAAGAAGAAGCTTTTCTTAGGCTGGCCGTCGGGGTCCCCACAGCTTTTTACTCTGTCAGGTTGACTTGACGGGCGGGGCTTGTGGTCAAAAACAGGTCGACTGAGCGTCAGTGAATAGTGAGGGAGTGTTTTGTTGGATTACAGGTAGGTATCAAAGAAGGGGATGGGAGGAGGTATGGTAATCACCTGTGGTAATCACTATACATGGCCATGGCCACGCTGGGAACAAGACTGTGTGATTAGAGATGCAGAAATATGATGCCATCTGCTTATCGGAAAGAATAAGAGCAAAGCAGATGGGATTCGGATCATGGCGACCGACAGACGCATGCAGCATCCTAGATAAAGTGTCCTCCGCAATCTACACAGACCTGGTGTAGTTTTTCGCGATTGGGAACTGCGTCGAAGGCTCAATGGAAGACGCCAAGCCTTCGGTGCAGCGTTGATGGTTCAGCGGGGGTGGATTCCGTCTATTGCTAGTCTGCCCGGGCGAGGGATGATGGACATGCTCGCAGTCGTAGTCGCAGTGGCACACACACACACACACACTCACTCTCTCTATCTCTCAAGAAAACGCCAAGCATTACAGAGAGATTCGCGGCCATTGCCTTGTGGGATAAGCTTAATCCCGGGTCTACACGACGCTACGTTAGCCCGGGCCAAGGTACGGTGTGGAATGGGCTGATGGGCCACAGTCAGCTGGGCCGGAGGGAGGGGGGTGGACAGAGTGAAGAAGCGAGTGGGAGCGAGAGAGAGAGAGAGGGGGGTCGGTCCCTTGGTGGTGTTGAGTCGCGTCGCCGTCACATACGAGTTCCTGTTCGTGATGCGGCGGGAGACGGGTGTGTACCCTGGCTGTCTGTCCCCACCGCCGCTCCGACCTTTTTTTTTTTACTTGGGGTAGTACCCGATGGAAATTGCTGGGAATATTTTGCGGTCTTTTCTGTAACGCTCCTCGCTCTCTCTCCCACCAGCCGCCCGCTTGCCGATGCTGACGCCGACACCCCCGACGCGAGACCGACATACCCGAGCTCAAGGGGTCTTGATGGTACGTGAGAATATCGTTAGACGGGGGTGGCTGGACTTTGCTAGGGCTGAAGCCCAGAGGCCCCCCCCCCCCTCTCCCTTCGTGGCAGGTTGACCAAAGCTTCAAGGTGTAGATCAGGTTTCTTTTCGACTGACGGGACGGCGAGCCGGGGAGGGATGGGGGGGGGGGGGGGGGGGTTCCATTCTACGCCGTGTCGGAGCCGAAAGCGCACCGATCGTGGTCAGACCAAACACAACACTAAGCCGTAGATGTTTTTTAAGGTGTAAGAGGGTTTAGTAGTGAGAAGAACATGATTGTGTTTACGTTTGGCTGGATGGAAAGACATGACTATCTATGTTTGGCTAATGACGGCAACAGAAATAGAACACGGGCATTCTTTTTCTTTTTCTCGTTATTTTTATTCTGGGGGTTAGGGTTTTTGGCCATCGGTTACTACGTAGTAGATACCGCAGGTAGGAATAGTAATCACTTTTTTTTTTTTTTGCCCGTTTCGCAAGCCACTTTGGACAGCCACAAACGTCGGTGTCGAACGCGTGAGGGCGTTGGGATTGGTTCGTATATCGCAAACGGGCAATTGAGGAATTTTTGGATGAATAAACAAGCCGGCTGACCAGGGGGAGTGTAAATGTTACGAGGGACAGGGTGTGTTAACATGGTGCTCAGATGGGAGCCCACTTTGCGAGACGCCGAGATGCCGGGAGAAGCCCTTGACTGAGCCAAATTCGTCGCTGCAGATACGTATTTTTCTTTCGTTACGAATAGTAAGTTGCAAAAATCAAAAAATCAGGAGGGTGAGAAACTGCTCTGACCCACGTGGGTGTTCTGTACTACTTAGTACATACTACATTGCACATGCCTACACACATACACACACACATCCATCCTGTGCCCTGCAGGAGGAGCCAGTCGCTGGGAGGGAAGGGAAGCGAATAGACTGGAAATGGAAAGACAATGACGACTTCATGCAGGCTGTCCATCTGGCTCTCTGTCTAGCTGTCTGCCTGTCCTTCTACCTGTCGGTATGTTACCCTATTGCGACGTGGCAGCGCCATGCAGCGTCGCAAGATGGCAACATCAGAACATCAAAACATACATTTGCAACGGCACGGCTTACCGGCCCTGACATTCGACATTTGACATTTGACAGTTGACAGTTGATAATGTCGGGACCGAAGTTTTGACTTTGACAGGCCCCCTGTATGGAATTGCTGCACACTCCTGGGAAGATGCGCCCAAAGACTGCAGTGTATGTCTCAGCGCCAAAATGACATCACAACGGACGAGGCCGAGGTCGCCCCAGTTGGCGCTTTGCCGGATGCGTAGTAGCCAGGCTAGCCAGCTCCAGAAGTATGCTATATCCTATGGTGCTGCGAAGTAGAAGAAGCAGACGAAGAGGAATAAGCGCCCCTCCTAAAAGAAAAAAAGACAAAACGGGAAATTCCCAGCCAAAAGAATAAACGGAAAATAAAAATAAAATAAAACCCAGCTGTAAGAAAAATAAGGTGCACCAAGCTATATCCGACGCTATTCCATACTGATACTAGCGTCCACACTTGGAGCTAGGGCCACCATGGATGATCAAATCCGCGGCCAGGAAAATATCACGACACCAGCCAGAAACAGAATCCACATTTTCTAGAAGCATGTGCGGTGCAGCTAATGATGGCGCTAGTAGGGGAGTACTACGTACCGGTGCTAGTACACGTTACTTTGTATACGTACCGACCTGGGTGCAATGCACTGAACTCAGTAAGTTGTAGAGTTCCGGTACGTATCGACCATCAGGCTGGAACAAACCCGCTTCGCCGTCGTTTTATTCCCGGGTCGTCTCCGCCTGTCTCCGGCCTCGATCCTTTCTCTACGAAAACACGCGATGTATGAGGGTACTACTTTGTGTAGGTAGCTGTGCCCGGCATCCCGGAATCAGAACCATACGCGCGAATTCTGCCCTCCCTGCTGCTGCTGTCTCTTTCGTGTGAAGAAACATGCCTACCAACCCCTTGCCCATGCCTATTACTCTTACTCTTACTCTTACTACTACTGCTACTACTACTACTAACACTCATGCTGCCACTACGTACCTTGCCCGTCCCAGAAACCTGTCATCTGCATTGCATTAATTTGCATTGGGCGTCTTCAACACACACACATACACATAGACATTCACACACGCAATAACGCTCACACACCCCTCCGTCATTTGGTCCCATTATCAGTCAATCCCTGTCTCACCCCCCCTAGTGATTTACACAACATCATAGACCGCCGCGGCACCGAATACCGAATCCCAGATTCGACACCCTGCGAGTTGAGATGGGACCAGAGACACCAGCGCACTTGCTGGTCCCATCCATATGCAGGTACTCAAACGCCTGGCCGGCCCAGCATCGACCTCATTGTAAACCGTCTTCATTGGTCTTAGCCTCTGTACATGACTTCCCCATGGTTCCATGTTCTCCATGCCCTTCTCTACCCTCGCCTACGGAGCAGCCCACCCCCCCCTGTCTACTCTCTGTTGATGTACCTTCCCTCCTCGTCACATCTTTTATATCCTCGGAGATCTTTTGGCGATGATGCTCTCGCCCATTCAAGAATATATAACTCTCCCACCCACCTCATCTCTAATATCCCACTACCGCACTCATCTCCACTCAGCCTCTTCATCCCACAGATCCATCTTCAACACTATCCTCTCTGTCACTCACACTCTCACACACATACACACAAACAAACACACAGACGTCCACTGCTCCTGACTAGTAGTCTGCCATCATCTTCAACTCATATTTGCCCACACACAAAAGAATAAACATCTCCAAAGACGCTCCAATGGACAGCCAATCATCCGAGTTTCCCTCTTACACCATGGCTTCAGGATTCCCTACCATGGGTCCCGCCAACACCGCCTACGACCTCATTGCCGCTCAGTTCGCTACCCGTATTGTAAGTTTTCACTTGTCCACTGCCTCTTTGAGACTTCTGAAGCTTACATCAACCCCAGGGCTCAAATGAGAACGGCTACTGCACCCCGTCTTCGCTGTGGTCCGGCCCCCCGAGCCCTACATCCAGCATCGACACCAACAAGGCCGGCGACTCCGCCGACGACTACAGCAACTCTTCGGCGAGCGCCTCCGAAAGCTCCGGCGACAAAGCCTCTCAGAAGAACAGACGCGCCAACCGCTATAAGAACTGCACCGAGGCCGTCCTTTCGGTAAGTCTACAAGCCAACCCCCCAACCCGGTCCCGCACATGACACTAACACCCAGCTCTCAGAAACGTCGTGCTCAGAACCGTGCCAACCAGCGCGCCTACCGCAAGCGCAAGGAGCAGCGCCTGGAAGAGCTCCAGCAGCAGATTGACGAAATGAGCCAGAAGAACGACGCCCTCTGCTGCGCTTACAGGCTGCTGGCCAACGAGTGCTGCCGCCTCCGCGCCGGCCAGATGGCCGACCAGTCTTCCACCAACTGGGCCATGAACGGCGCCGGCAACCTGGCCCTCGACATGGCCGCCCTTACCGCCTACGGCAGCCCCATCTCAAACTCTAGCCCTATGCCCGAGTCGTATTTGGACTATCCCGGCACTCCCGAGAAGCTGTGGAGCTCCTTTCAGTGAGCGCATGCGCCTTTTTTGACGTAACCGACCTTAATAACGGGGGCCCAAACACCTGCAGGCTGGATGACCTGCTCGTTTGGTATTGACGAATCATGGCACTCTTTTTTTATTTCTCATTTTTATTTTTTGGCTTGAGCGAGCTTTGGGGATACGAAATTTCTGCTTGGGAACTAGAGGCGTTGGACGCGGAGAGCGTTTTTTCGGGATTTGCCCTCCTTTTTTTTTTTCCCCCTTCCCCGGCGGTGGAGTTAGGATTCCTTTTTTCGTCTTTTTCCTTTCTCGCTTATGAATAATAGAGAACCGGGCATAGAGTCACGGGTAGAATACGGCAGCGATGCCAAATCAGCACCGTAGTTGCGTGCGTGTGATCCACGCAGCTTCAGTGCAAGACAAAATAGATGTCTATAATATTTCAAATCTGCTTCATATCTTGTATCTTCTAGTTTGTGACGGAAGCCTCGGCCTCCTAGATAACAGCGCCGCATTTCCGAAGAAGCCGCAGCCAGAAGTGAAATACTTGTTGACATCCCAATTCACGTATGGTCGACGGCTTCAGTAACTCAGCACCTGGCCACTGGTCCTCCTGGGATGACGTAGGTAGTTGGCTATTATACATGTCAGTGTTTCTTTTTCTCTCTATATCTCAGAGACACCTCGTCCCAGGTCTTCAGGTCACTCACCACGGGGTAGTAGATGTTAATGAGAATGCCGGGTTCGTTTCCGGTGTATGCGCCTCTGTCCAATGTTTAGATACTGCCTGTACGTCACACGCCACGCAAAAGGGAAACACGCACGGGAACCTGACGGTCGGCGAGAACTGGCCGCCTCCGGAGCCGGTGACCTTGATCTGGGCGCACGAGATGTAGAACTGCGCGCCGCCCTTGGAGCTGGCCGAGTGCAGGCCGATCTGTTCGATACGGAGGAGGTATTCTCCAGGGGCTATCTTATGTTAGTCTCCGGGGGGAAAGCCTACTCAACTAAGGGAACCAACAGAAGTGATGGTGATTTCCGCATCAAAATACACAAGGGGAAAGAAGGAACGTACGCGTGCATGAGGGGATCTGAAAGTTAAAGGCCGCCTGGTTGGACGCGGGGAACTTGATCTGGCCGTTGCCCGTCTGCGCTCCCAGTTCCCAGATCTTGGCCCACGGCCCGCTGCCGTCGTACGTCGTCACGTTCTTGGACCCGGCGGGCGATAGCCAGACCGTCACGGGTCCGTCATGGTAGATGGCCTGATCCATGGCGAATCCGACCTATTCGGGCGTGTTAGTAACTGGGGGTTGGGGGGTTGGGTTTAATCTGCCCGAGACTTACCGTCGAGCCCGCGGCGACGGTAGCGATCTGCGTTGCCGGGCCCGATGAAAGGCCGCCGGCGTTGCAGACGATGTCCCTGCTCGAGACATCCGTGACGGGGCTGTTGTGGTTTGTGTTCCTTCGGACGTTGACGTACTCGCCCGTGTTGCGGCCGCCTACGACGAGGCTTGTGAAGCGGTCTGTTCGCGGGGGTTAGCATGCGGATATGAGCCGCTGGGAAGCTGCATGATACTTACAGTGAGCAGAAGTGAGATTGCAAAACGCCGAAAGCGCTGCGAGGACCGGGACGAACGACTTCATCTTGGGCTGTACGGGCAGAGACAGAGTACACACGGGGCGTTTGTGAGGAGCGAGGTTTGGAGGAATGTCTCTAACGACGAAATGGCACTTGAAAGGACCGTGGCAGTTCATTATAAATATCTATCGTAGGACCGTCCCCACGACTGCGGTAGCCGCTGAATGCATCTTCTTGGCTCCATCTCCCTGGCTCTGGGGAGGGGGGGGCGTTCGCAGGCCGCATCCCGAGACTTACCTGATTAGTCGGCGAGGTGTCGAGTTTAGATTGCCGAGACGTGGCGATGCGACCATGTTGGATATAGCCGGTCAATTCTTCCTTGCCGCTGGGGAGCTAGGGGGGTGGTGACCTCCCTTCATCTCGGCTCGTGGCCACGGGAACGACGTCCTGGGGAGAAATGGGATAATTCATGGCCAATCGTCCATCGTGCCAAGTCACGACCTGTTTTCCGGATAGGATGCAGCATTCTTTTGATTTGATCGGGCTGGGAATTTCCACGATCATAAGGCCATGATGCGATTTGGAAGCTTCTGGCGTGTGGGCAGACTATTGTCTTGGTGACGGGTTTTCACCATCCGCGAACACGGCAAGGTATCCAATATTCTTGGCGTATGAAAGGGAAGAACATCCAAGACTATCAAGAAAAATCCGGCAGGAAAAATCCTTCTGCAAGTGCTATCACGGCGGCAGTCTTAAGTGACACACGATGTGGTGTGCGATTTGTGAAGCAAACATCCAACATAGTGTTATTGTAAGCTTGACTAATACGTTGCTACTATTTACGCATTGCCATAAAATGTCCCCCCCCCCCCCCCATATCTTTGACCCTATTCCTCCGCCAACCTCGGTTTGACAGTCTAGCAAGTCCACTACTGATTGTTAGCTGCGCCCTAGAGACATCTTGCAAAGACTCACCTCCTTGCCCCCCGGGACTGTGTACGAAGTAAAACCGCTGTAGATCTAAAACCAGTTAGCCATCTTCTGCAACGCGCTCACGCGGGGCACATACGTTGGCAGTATACCCGGGGTCTGTCTGCTTGAAGGCTCCGGGAATGTCGAGAGTCGACGCAAACGAGCTAGCGGACGCACTGCTGCCCGTGACGTTGATCTGCGCGCACGAGATGTAGAACTGGGGAACACCGGCCGGCCACGGGTTGTGGATGGCCAGGGACTGAATGCGCAGCAGGTACTCGCCGTTAGGCAGGCAAGATGGGATCTTGTGCGAGTAGGTTTCTACGACAGTTAGCATTCTCCGTGCCGGAGGGGTTAGAGAGCGGCTAGGTCTTACGAAGGAGAGGCCACGAGGCCTGATTGTTGGAAAATGTCGGCCCAAAGTCCTTGAACTTGGCCCATTTTCCAGCTCCGTCGTAGTCTTGGACGTGAGAAGGCGCCTTTGAGAGGAAGCTGGCAGAGAATGAGGATGCAAACTTCAAACTTGGTCAACTCAGACGGGACTCACAGAGAGATCGGGCCTTGGTGGTAGACGGCCGTGTCTAGCGTGAAGGAGAAGGAGTCTCCGGGCTTGACTTGAGTCACCGTCGTCTGCGCGCCGCTAGCGCCACCTACGTTGCACCTCAGGTCCTTAGATGCGAGGTCTTGAACTTGTCAGCCCGCGGAGTCTACACATGCACCCGAAAGATCTCACCTGTCACAGGCGAGTTGTAGTTGGTGTTCTTGCGAATGTGTTCAAAGACACCAAACTTTTGCGACCCGATGGCCAGTTGCTGGAAGATGTAGTGGCCAGAGACCTCGGAAACGGCCACCGACAGAGCGGCTGCAATAGTCAGGAACTTCATGGTGGATGACTTGTGGTATACAACAAGAAAAGATATGGCTGGGCACAAAGCTAGAGTTGAAAGAGAAGATGAAAGAGTCGTGGCCAAGAAGCTGCATTTATGGCAACGGGCATGTCCATCCAGCAGGATGATGCCATCTAACATGGGTAGCCTACACGATGTGGATAAAGACGGCCCGGAAGTCCTGCTCCCTTGTTCTTCTCGAAGGAGGTCTTTGCGACTATGGGAAGCCATTGCCGTTCGATTGCATGTCACGGTCGAGCTGCGGAGGCAACCGTTGCTCTCCGTATAGTACCACGGCATGCCTTGGTCGAATTGAAATCATCTTACAGACCACCCATTAGAACGGACTATAAGCTGGTTGGTGTGTTTTCTTGGTCGCAATATAAACGGCCAATGCCGAATGTGCCGAGCGGCTCGGGATTTGATATTACAGGCGAGAGAACCAGGGCTTGTTTTCCTGGTCTGTAGATAGCCTGTCTGTCGTCTGGCGAATGCTTGGGCATGTCCTCGGCGGGATGGCGAATCACACATTGCAGAACGGTCACAGTCGTAGTCCCGTTGCTCGTGGGGAATCGGACCGGCTTACAGGGTTGTCAGACTTGGCTATTGCTGATCTCTCAAAATGGGCCCGGTAGAGACTTTAAAGGCGTCCATGTGGCCATGCAATCGATATTATGCTTGAAGATGGAGGTAGCTTCCGGTAGAAATCATGCATATAGAATCGCGACCCGATTCGTTGGCAATAACGCACCCCACATTCTCAATCTACATAAATTAAGCTTGTCCCAGACAACATGCCACCCCGAAACATGCAGCGGTGTTTCTGTGTAGCCGCCGTCTTTTCAACAGTGATGACTTGGTGTATTCGACGTTGCAGTCGCCTGGGCCTCATAACCGAAGAGGAAAGCGCTGAAAGAAGATGAACTATTGGTATAATCGTCCGGTCACGGGTTGTTAGCTGACCAGCAGATGGGCCAGAAGAAATGAAGCTTCTAAATGTTCACTTCAAGAAGCAGTCATGGGTAGTCAACCTTAGATGAGAGGTCATGCAATTGGGTAGGCACTGAATATGACCCGCAGACCGTTGCTGGAGTTGACACACCTTCTGCAAATTAGATAGATAAGACTGATCCAGCGCTAAGAGAGAAATTGAAGAACAGGGTTCTATACATATTTGGATTTCTTGGCCTCAATTAACGAGGAAGTTCAGCCAAGCTGAGGCTCGATAACCAGGAATAATCTACGAAGGGGCGTACAACCTTGCTTGGCCACAAGTTCAAATGACTTTTATGCTTGTTTTGTTTCAAGGATGAGCGAAAAGGCCATGTGAGCCAGGGTAGAATCGAATAGGTCGTAATAACCATTATGAAAAAGACAGAAGAAAAATCCGGAGCATGTGCTTCCGCATCCAAGTAGTTCAAGATGCTGGCGAGAGATCGACATCCACTATACCCGCACCACAGGATATTTTCCTCGCAGATAAAAACTTCTATACCTAGATAGAGAGTGTTTGATTGCTCCAAGAAGTGTTACAACAGTCCTCTGGAAACTGTCATCGCTTGACATTGCTGAACCGCAAAGCATGAATGTATGTCTAGGAAAGCAAATCGAGATTGAAATACTCAAGAATACTGACAGAATCAAATAAACCGGAATCAGATCGCACGCACTAAAGATGAAGGCCGATAATTGGTGGCTCTGGGCGGCCGGTGATGGGGTTCAATCAAATAGACGGCAGAGGCTGTCAGAGGTTAAGGACTCGGTGTAACAGACCCCTGACCGTTTCCGCCCAGCAGGCAACCAACAGAAACGAACCGCGGTTGAAGTTGAGTGCACTTACATCTAGTCCAAGCCAATAGAAACCCGAAATGGATCATTTTAGTCGGGCTCTGCCCATGTCGTGCTTTGACGTCAGCAACAGTTCAAGAAGTTTTTAGGGTGAACATATGAGGGCAGAGGCAGAAGCCTGTGAAACAGCAATATTTTAAACAGCAAGTAACATCTCAAATACACTGCTGCATGAGAATGATATAGAAAGATATGGTAGGACGTATGTTTGAGCAATCTACCGAGGCGAATGCTATAATGGTGGAGTTTAGGTCGGGTTCACAAGCTGCAGCGTAATCAACGTTGATATTCGCATCTACATATTGTAAAACTACACGATGATCCAAGATCTCGTAAGCAAAGAACTCGAAGTATTTTGCTATTGAAACTGACAAGGCAATCTTAAGTCTGATACGATTTCTCAGGTGAAGGTATTCCTGGGGCTTCGACTCACCTCGAGTGCCACCAGGTATCCTTCCTGGAAAGTAGAACCAGAAACCTGTTACTTTTCATATCTGTATGCTAATCGTTGATCAAGTTGCAACTACAATACCATGTATAATAAACTCATACAATACTAGCTCACACCACTCCCATTCAGTCCACGGCCTACACTCCCTTGAACAGGCAGACACCGTACGTTAAGAAACGACGGTAATCTCGATGTCAGACATACTGTATAGCGTTATAATTCACGAGACCTGGCCAATGCTGAATCCAGTATTTCAACTGCAGCAGAAATATTCTCGTGTTGTTTCATATCAACTTTTAGCGCTCAGCATACCCAATATATAAGCCTCCACCTTACCGCCCACTACTATCACATTCGTAACGACGCCCACCAACAAGAACCGGAACCTGTCGCGATATTCTGCCGAGTGGCATCTCAGCAGCACTTCCGACGATAGTAAATGATATCCTGAATGCCTAGCCCGTCAAAGTCGAGCGGTTCTAGACACACCAGTAACCGATAAGCTCGAATACGTGAGTATTGGACGGCTTATCAACACCTTGGAGGCTCGTACGATCAAACGACACACTCAGTCTAGCATTCCGTTGTATGATACGCAGTCCAGAAAAGGAAATCGGCTTAACGTTAAGATGAAACCCCAAGAGGCTCACGAGGTATATCCAGCAAAGAAAACGAATACCGATCCCTCGGCTTGATAGCGACGCGAGTGTCGTTTATTCTTCTTCACGTCTTTCGAAGCGCACACAGTCTCTACGAGCGAAAGAAGCCACTCAGATCAGCTAAGAAACCAGACCAGATTCGAATTAACGCCCACATGAGACGGCACCTCCCCAGACCGCAACAGCACCACGGACGCCCCCACAGTTAACGGCTCCCTGGTCCTGCAACGTGCCGTGGCTCCCGCAACCCCAGAAAACATCCCCAGTTGTTTGGACGTGTATCACATCGGCGGTTTCGGTCGGTGGGGTGCATCTGTGGATCGTCTTATCTGCCCCGCGTCCAACGAGAAAGTATCTAGACGCCGAGAATGCGGGTGACGACTGTGGAAACACTAAAGTGCTTTCCCCTCCTGGGCCATAGGAGTCGATATGCGTATACATAACAAGCGATGAAACAAGTCCATTGAGACTGAAGCTAGAAGGGGGGACCGTTTTGCCATCCTACACGGACCACGCAGATGGCCACTGCAGATGACGACCCGAAGCTCGGGTTCCGAGATAGTCAACCATGTGGCAGCAAGTAAGCTGAAGCCTCCGTCTAATCACAGACTACAGGACGTGGATTGCAGTCCAGCTACCTTTGTGCCAGTCCTTTGTACGTCATCTCATATCCAGAGCGTTTGGCTTACCGTTAAGCCTAGCCGTAACACGCAATTGTCAACATCACGTCGCCATCTCGCAGTCAAAGTTTCGGTACGCCGGGGCAGCAATCGATTGACTGGCGGAAGCCCAAGAATATCATGAGTGTCCTTGGTACCACTCTATTCCCAGTGGCCGAACTCTTTTCAAACCGGCCTCATTTCGGAAATTCTTGCTTCCCCAGACTAGAAAATAATCAAGTTTGTATGGAACTGCCTGGTAGAAAGTTTACGAAGCCAGGTGTGCCTAACTTTTAGTTTAATAGCAGTTGGCTATGCTCATGTACACTAACATTTATCGAGTACAGTCGGGAATATTCTCGGAAAGCATGAACCAGTTTGATAGACCCAAATGCAAGCCAAGAGCTACTGAAGCTGTGAAGCCCTAGAAGTAAGTCAGGGGTAAAGGAATGAAGTGGCCGGCCAGTCTGTAACCATCAAGCATTGGTTTGGAAGAATGAGAAAGGTAGCACCCCCCAGTGACAATGAGCACCGCGGGGTTAGTCTCCAGAACAGAGAACCAACATGTTGGGGAAAGCCTCTTAACCAGGAAGGTTGGGATCGAATAGCCAGGAAGTGCTAAAAAACCTGGGGAAGACTCGGTGAGCGTACCCCTTTCTGCCTCCTTGTTACCAAGCATTAGACGGCCTAGTTATGCATCTGCTATGGGGTCTATATAACGGGCCGATTCTCGGAAAAGTTAGTCCCTGCGTGAGACTACGATGAGCGACTGCTTCCGCGAATAATTTCACGCCGGGTTAACGCGCGTGGCCAAACTTGATGCAATCCCCTGTCATTCTGCTCAACTGAAGTCGTCAAGAGCCTTCTGAACCCCAGAATTCAGGATTTATGAATGACAGCTTATGCTGCTTCGAAGATATTTCGTATGATACGGCGTCTCCCTCCGAATGAGACAGGTTGGAGCGCGCAATGGTGAGCCCTGATATAGAGAACGACTTGTCGTCGTCATCCATCAACCTTCGCGCTGCAACCTAGGTCTAGCCTTGGAAGGCTCATCATATAAACATCGTCTGCACTGCCATTGTCGTAAGCCGCCTCGGCGGGTCATTTGTGGTCTGGACCAGGCCACGAGCTGTGGCGATGGTGTCGCAGTCATACCTCATTTGGCTACAACAGGCTCTCGAACGAGATGGCATTTCTGGCATATTGGACGTGGCAGGCAGTATGGGCAAGCAAATTGGGATCACAGTTGTTCTTGTTGTTGTTGTTTTTACAGATGTGTTGAAGGCCATCCGTTACTCGCTGGCCGTTGGCAGGAAACGGCGCGCCGGAGCGGATAAGGTTGACGGCGGCACAGTACTTGACTCGCAAAGTTTATCGTTGACACTTGTCTCATCGCTACGGCTGAAAGCACATGGACAACTGAAGTAAAGATATCGGGCCTAAGGTGGGACCGGTGAGACGGCATGGATTCAGTTGCTGAGCCCGCCCGCAGTTATGGTCAACTACGCCTAGGTTATTGCAGGGTCAGTCGCTCTGGCCCTGGATATTCATGCGTTGATGCGGCGTAAGTTTGACAGTCGTCATGCCAATATTTGTTAAGTGTAATGAAGATGGCGGCTCTACAATTTGAATAGGATGAGTATGTCCAAACGGCCAAGGAAGCTCATGGTTGGTGGCGTAACCTTCGGAAGCCGGCCAGGCGGAGAGTTGTAGAGAGGAGGGCGATTAACTTTGATGTGCGTGAAAACGTGGGCGGATATGTTGCCTGCGGCTCAACTGAGGTTGTCGTGGGATGATGCCAGAAGCTTGGCAGATGGCAGATGGAGCTCATTTACAAAAGGCATCGAGGAAAGGCCGAAAAAGACAGCGGAAGTACTGGCGAATTGCAAAGGAAAGGACAAGAAAAGGACTAGCTGCCAAGGGGCGGATCTGCTAAGACTCGGACCGGGTGGGGATGAGACCAGGGTGAGAGTCAGGGTCCAGGATGCTGAGGAGATTTTACAGAACGACATTCCTCCGCTGGGGATCAGCGCGCGGCAGCAGTAGCTAACACCAGCCAAAGCAGGTGATGAGATCTGGAGGTTGAGCGACGCCGACCACGGCGACTACTGCGTTCTATAGTAGCATGGCGGAGATGGGTGGTAGCGGCGTGCTCCGGTGGTGGCAACGGGCGCTATGTGGTGGTGTAAGGAGGGCAAGCTAGAGAGGTTGACGGCAAGCCACTGACGTTTTAGAGTTTGGTTGGTGAGCTGATGGAAGACAATCAGAACCTGCTAGTTGCAAGGGAACCGCAAGACGGATGCTGATGGGAGATTTCAGCGAGCACTATTTTCATTTCTTCCGAATGGACGGAGATTATCGATGGCTTTGGGATTTCAGCGAAGACAGAAGCGTCGTGCAGCATCATTATGCAGGACGTGATATCGGTGCAGAAGCGGGCATTCGGTTGAGGTTGTCAACGATGTTGGAGAAGGGCGTTGGGTCGATGATGAGAAAAGACGCGAAAGAATCAGCGTTCTAAGCGACCGGGGCCAAGGCAGCGAATGAGAGGCAGCGACACAGAGATGGTGAAGGGGGGGCACAAGGCCTAAAGTAAGAAAACGGGCCGAACAGCACCAAGTTTCGAGACGATCGGGACTGGGGGAGGCCTGTACTGGATGAGGAGCCGAGGCCAGGCGTTGGTTGCCGGATCCATGCTGATGAACGTTTCCAGAGGTCCAACAGAGTGGAAAGGTGGAGGGGAAGAGTGGTTTTTCTTGGGGGGGAAAAGAAAGAAGAAGCAAAACAATTTGCTTGTCACCGTGTCTTGGAATGACAGGCTCTAGGGAAAATTACCCAACGAGGTTCCTTCCCTGATCAGCCACGAGAGGTCAAAATAGGAAGGGACGACAACATGAGGGATTGCCATGTCAGCAGCCATGAAAAGGAAAGACACCGGCCAGTTTTCAGGCATGTAGGGGGGTGAGCCGGCAGTTAGCGGGGCCAGGGCACCACGCGTCTTGGCTGCAGGTTTAGCAACATTTGCCCAACGACAAGCGCATCCCCTCTGTTGCTTCTTGCTCTTGGGTGTGTGTGTGTGTGTGAGTGTGGCAGGTCGTGACCATCGTTACTGCTTTGAACACTTGGCTGGCAACGGGTGGCATTGCTTAGCGTTGCTAGATGCCAGACCAGTCATTATCGTCCCTCCAGCTTAAATCGGTGTAATCGGTGTATTCCACCTTGACGGCCTTTCCGTGCCTTTCTTTCTATGTACAAGTCCCCTTCACATGGAGCCTTCCCCAACTGCATTGTACACAGTTGTATATCGATATCCGTTTTTCTTTCTATTTACATTTTTTGTGGAACCATAATATATTTTTATTTTCTTTCTTTCCTGCCACGACAACCTCCTGTCAAGTCTGTAGATGCAGGTTCGAACGGCAGTCCTAGTCTGGCTAAACCGTTTCGGTCATTCAATAATTCGCTATTTGTCTAACATATCATATACCGTCTCATCGATAACAAAGTGCTTTATGTTTCTGTGCGATATATGTCCCCTGTGTAGTAGTGAGTAGCATCAGTACCGCCCTACGTAATATCGAACCACCCACATACATAATAGTAGTACACTAGTCGGAAGAAACGTGCTTTGCCATAAGCGCCTTCTCCACGTACGTCTCCATATTCTTCCCCAATTCTCCAGAAAACCTTGTCATTGCGTCGGGAAACTGAGTCGCGGGGATTGGGGTAAACAAGCCTGGAAAAAAGTTTTTCGTCCACCTGCCATTCTATTCTGTACGCTCTTGTTTGAGAGAGTGTCGCCCGATCCACCAGCTACACATCTCAATCTACTACTGCGTCCGGGGTGCCTGTACAACCTTGTACACGTGCATAGTATGTAGTATGCAATATACCGTACCAGGAGAACAAGCATCGCCGAAGAGACGTACCCGCCTTGGTGCTGCGCTGATCAGAGCCAAGTTGAAATTACCTCGCTGAGCGTTTGGCTCATGTGCCATTTCATGCCGTCATGTCTTGGCTTGTATCTCACCTTCCCTTCAATCCCGTTGGCTACGTGGTATACGTTGCATACAGTTACCTAAGGCACTGAGACCGCCTTGGACTCTGAGTGGAGGCTTGCCGCCAGCGCGCGTTTCCTCTAGAACCAAGAGCAAGCGCTACAGGTTTTACACTTTCCAGTCTGCTACGTTACGAAAACTAGTCTCCAAAGAAAAGAAAGAGCTACCCCAGACTGCCACCACCCTGCACACCCTCTTTTCCTACAGTCTACCCCCCCTTCCACCCCTTGTCCGTGCTCCAGCTGGGGTTCATTGTCGGGGTGAGTGCGCCCATGGAGCCCCAGGTGGGCTGCAACTTTACTCTTGCCTCTAGTGAACCCTGACCTGCATGAAGAGAAGGTAGGCAGGTAGGTAGGTAGGTACCTGTCTATTGCAATTTTCCATTGTATTTTTTCTCCTGTTTTCTTTCTATAGTTCTTACCTCCAAAGTTGTAACCACTCACCTGCCATGTAAGTACTGGATACTTTGCCATCTGCCCGTCATTTGCCTGCCCGCACTTGTATACAGTTCCACAACCTGGACATAAAACTCACCGCGTCAACAACGCCTGCTCAACGCGCTTCGAAGCAGACTTGCTTCAAGTACCTCCCTCGTGATCCTTCATCGGCCCTATAGTGGCCTGTTCGTCGGTTCCCCACATCATTTGTCTGAACTCGAGGCCAATGACCCCCCTCGGCAGGCTCCAGGCCTGGACCAACTTGACCTGACCTCATCCATGGTCCTGCATCACATAGAAAAACCACACCAGACAGAGTGGAACATCGGTACCACCGTAGTACGGGCCCCCGCGGTTTTGGAGAAGCAAGTGTGGGAGCTCCGCGCCCTACCACACACCCTGCACTCTGGGGGAACTTTATATATCGCCGTTTCCTCCCATCTTTTCGTCCCCCAGTCTGTCCGTTCCCTTGTCTTCGTGCTCAAGCCTCCAGTTGCCCAAATCTCAACCAGTCGACGGGTCTGCGGCTCTTGAAGTGCATTGCCCGACTATTGCCATTTCACATTCGACTTCACCAACCCGCACATCATCATGGGTATCAAGCCAGCTAACGAGCCGGGCAAGGCCTGGCCCGCCATCCTCATCGGCTTCTTCGTCGCCTTCGGTGGTCTCCTGTTCGGATATGACACGGGTACCATCAATGGCATCCTTGAGATGGTAATCCTTCTTGGTTGTTCTTCGTCTTAGCAAGCGACTTACTCTGACATTTTCCTCTCTAGTCCTACTGGCAACGCCTCTTCAGCACCGGCTACGTGAACACTGCTGGCAACCCCGATGTCTCTCCCTCTCAAGAGTCCGCCATCGTCTCCATCCTCTCCGCCGGTACCTTCTTCGGCGCTCTCGCTTCCCCCTTTTTGGCCGACACTATCGGACGTCGCATGGGTCTTGCTGCTTCTACCTGGGTTTTCAACCTCGGTGTCGTTCTTCAGACCATTGCCGTCGACATCCCCGTCTTCCTTGCTGGCCGTTTCTTCGCTGGTTTCGGCGTTGGCTTGATCTCCGCTCTGGGTGAGCACTCTCTTAGTATGCAGGACCACGCCAGTTTCGTAACTAACCTGTTGTAGTTCCCCTTTACCAGTCCGAGACTGCGCCCAAGTGGATTCGTGGTGCCATTGTCGGCGCCTACCAGTGGGCCATCACCATCGGCCTGCTCCTGGCCGCAATTGTAAACAATGCTACCCACAACCGCCAGGACACCGGTTCCTACCGTATCCCCATTGCCGTCCAGTTCGCCTGGTCCATCATTCTCTTCGTCGGCATGCTTCTTTTGCCTGAGACACCTCGCTTCCTCATCAGACGTGGCCGCATGGACCGCGCCGCCAACGCGCTGTCTAGACTTCGCCGCCTTCCCGAGACCGACCCTGCTATTGCCGATGAGCTCGCCGAGATCAAGGCCAATCACGACTTCGAGAGCAGCATCGGCTCCGCCAGCTACCTTGACTGCTTCAGGCCCCCTGTCCTGAAGCGCCAGTTCACCGGCATGGCCCTCCAGGCGCTCCAGCAGGTGGGATTCACTTACTACTGTGTGCGAAAGTTATTGCTAACCTCTGTCGACAGCTCACCGGTATCAACTTCATCTTCTACTACGGCACTCAGTACTTCCAGAACTCTGGCTTCTCTAACGGTTTCGTCATTGGCATGATCACCTCGTCCATCAACGTCGTCTCGACCCTCCCGGGCATGTACGCCGTCGACCGCTGGGGTCGTCGCCCCCTGCTTCTGTGGGGTGCCGTCGGCATGTGTATCTCGCAGTTCCTTGTTGCTATGCTGGGAACCTTGACCACCAGCCAGGACGCGAGCGGCAACATCATCGTTCTCAACCTGCCCGCCCAGAAGGCTGCCATCGCCTTTGTGTGCATTTACATCTTCTTCTTCGCCTCGTAAGTTACCCTTGAACTGTCTTTGGGGGAACCTTTCCGGGTTTACGCCAAAACATGGGACACACTGGAACAGGCAACTAACACTTGCAGAACCTGGGGTCCCCTCGCTTGGGTCGTCAACGGTGAGATCTTCGGACTCAAGACCCGTGCCAAGTCGCTTTCCCTGTCTACAGCCACCAACGTAAGTTACACAAAGCGCTTGAAAGCTTATTGCTCGATACTGACAAAACACAGTGGCTCCTCAACTGGGCTATTGCCTACGCAACCCCCTACCTGGTCAACTACGGCGAGGGCTACGCCAACCTGCAGTCCAAGATTTTCTTCGTCTGGTTCGCCGCATGCTTCCTCTGCATCGCCTTTGTCTGGTTTTTCATCTACGAGACCAAGGGTCTTACCCTTGAAGAGGTCGAGGAGCTGTACAATGAGGTCAGCGTTGCCAGCAAGTCTGTCGGCTGGCGCCCGTCCACCACCTTCCGGGAACGCACCGGCGCCGATGGCGACAAGGCGGTACCCAGCGGCGAGGGCGACATTGCTCACCACGAGAAGACCGTTTCCGCCTGAGCTTTTGTCTGAATCCGTTCAGCTCACAAGGCGCTGGAGCTGGCGGGTGTAGATGGACCTCGACTTTGTCCAAAGCGAGCCAAGACAGGAATTAATTATGCATATGCCTTCCTCGAGATACCACAACTAGTTTTACAAATAATATTTACCCTTTTCAAATAGCATAATATGTTCCCATGTGTTTGATTGTGTTTGCATTGTTGTTGTCGCAACTCCTTTTATGGTAAGACGGAGCAACAGAATGCCGCTCATATGTTTGCCAAGTCTGGTTCGTATTACGGAGTGGTCATGAGCAGGGGACAGCCACGTCGCATCATGGAGGTAAGAGTCACTGATTATATGGAGGATCAAGCCTCAAAGTTGGTTCTAGAATCGGCAACAGGAAATAGGAGTTAGGACGGCATTACCCAACACACATACTCGAATGAAGGGCCATGACGACGAGGCTTGACCGGCCATGTTCCAGCCGTTGTACGCCGCCTGTCATCCGCATGCAGATGCAACCCGCGCTTCTCCCCCATGCCGACTGGCTGATTTCTCACCCCCGGCCCGGCAGCGCGGTTGGTTGCCTTACCACCCGACGATAAAGCGAGGTTCACCCACGCCGGACCAATCAACGCAGTCCGCCTGGCGATCCCCTATACGCCCTACAACACCTCATGACATGTTTTTCCTCTTACAAATCAACCACCCCTCCAAAACCAGGCCAAACCCGGAAAATGTCGACCAATCCTGATGCGAGGACATCTTTGACGTGCGAGCACCTGCAGCTCAGTGATTTAACCCTCGCGAGCCCAATAGGCGATTCACCGGGTCGTCTTCGGCCGAACCGTCTACTTCCATTGGATCACGCAACCTACAACCCACAAAGTTCACCCGGCACTCTGCGCAGGGAACGGTACCCCCCCCCCCCCCCCCCCCCCCCCGTGGCTTGGAGGTGCATATGCTTGCGAAGCCTAATGTCGGATTTTATAATCCGACGTAGGTGGGCATCCTGAACAAACCTCCTTTTGTGACGAACGACTGCAGGGTTAAAGGGTAAAGGGTAAGGCTGTTGGGCGGCGGAAGGAGACACGGAACGACGGTCAGCAGGCTGCATGATGGGGAAACACTGCGAGAATGAGTCAAGATGGTTTGGTAATTTTTTTCTTTTCTTTTTTGGTTTTCCTTGATCGAGCGGTGAAGTCGGATGATCACTACGAATATTGGTCTTGTATGAGGGGTTGGAAATGTGTATATAATGGATGGTTTCGTTCTCACATTTTGAAACTGAAAATTAGAAAGATATCATCGCATCACATTCACATCTCTTCTCTACCAAGTTTACTACCAAATCTACCAAATTCATATCTACTCCTTACACAAACACTCACAAACACTCACACACACACACACACATCACACACAAACAAACACTCATAAATACAATGGCCTCCCGCTACCCAATGCCCAACGTCTACACCAAGGAAAAGAAGACCTCGTCGTCGTCGTCGTCGTCGTCGTCTTCCGCCTCGGACGTCGCCAAGTCTTTCCTCAACAGATTCCAATCATACCCCGCCGTCGCGTCCTCCGCGTCCCGGTATCCTCTTCCAACGGTCTACGCGGCACAGCCGTCGTCCAAGAGTGCTTCGCAGGGCAACCGGCAGCAGCAGCACGTGTCTGCGGGTCCTCGGTCTTCGGTGGAATCGTGGGATACCGTCGACCAGATCAAGTACGATCAGATGCGGTCTTGAATATGTGCGTGGGAGCTTTTGAGGTGTGAGGTTTTATATGAGGGATGGGGGTTTTCTCTGGACACGTGGAAAAAACTTGGATGGTTTTCCGGTGTAGTTGGGAACAGAGATTGTTACGAATGTTTGGGTGTTGGATTATGTTCCGGATTTGTTTAGTTTAATTTAGACCAATTTTCCTTTCGTTATAGAAGCTGTGTGTTTACCCAATTGGAATGTTCTGTATTCAACTGTCAGTGCCATCTTGGTTTGCATGAATGTGTGATAATCCATACCGCAATGCTAACCCCGAGGTTGAATGGTTCCTGTGGAAGCAGCAGCAGTGTCAGCCGCGGTAGCGCAAAGGTCTCATTGTAACGCGCTTCTTTGTTCCTGGATTGGTGTCTTGCTGGTTGCGGTCGAGGAGCTTCGGCCAAGGAACAGAATTGGCCATTGTTGATGGACCGTCCTGGTGGACAAGGGTTTTCGGTTTGAGGCTTGTTGGTATTCTGGACAATAGCACAATGTAAGTCAATAGGAGTACTGTGAGGTGTGGTTTTTGAAAGACAAATAATGACCGAATATGCTCGTTTCTAGAACTTTTAAAATACAAAAAGCAACTCTTTCTTATGGCTTCGCGCTGGCTATACATGTCCATGGGTCGATATATCTCTCGGCTCATGTCAACGTACGTCCAGAAACTTCCGCAAATCATAGATGTCCGTCACCTCCACAGCTTCAGCCAACCATGTGCATCCGACACATCCAATTCTTCGAATGCCCCTCGAGGGAAGGCCCCTCCAAGCGCCATCGCATAAAGAGCAACATCCTCTGCTCCAATCACCACCCCTGCTGCGAATCACATTGGGAACGTCGCAGCAGCCACTACCGCTACATGTGCCCCGGCTGCTCGGGAGAGCCCCCAGAGGTTCCGCGCGAGAAACCCTGCAATGAGCATTGGGAAAGAGACGTTTCCGAGGACGAGGCCTGGGTCCAGAACCACCTTGACAGCCTCTGCAACGCCGTGACCCTCTGGGCCTGGGGTGAGTTCGCCGCCCCTACCCAACGCGTTTCCATCAGGGAGATGGCGCGCCTGTACCCGGCCTTCTATCTCGAGCGGCGCTGCAAGGAGCACGACCATCGGCCCTCCCGTTGCCAGTGCGAGGCCAACGGGCCGCTTTCATACCTGTACAACCCCGCCACGGCGCTTCGACGGCGCTTCACTGACGAGACCGCCTCGGCCTTTGCCCGGGATCCTCACCTCCAGAGCGAACACGCACGACAAGTCTTTGCTGACGTGCACCGGAACCTGACGGCCATGTGCGGGGATAAGAACCTCTATTTCAAGGACGGCATCGCGCGGCAGCCCTTTTTCTCGCTAGAAGCCATCGAAAAGAGGCGACATACGATGAACCGTGTCGTTCGGAACGCGTGGCGAGCCGTGGAAGATGATTTAAGGGATACCGCCAAGGCAAACGAGGCCGGTTGGACTGAAGCGCACACGCTCATGGAAGTCCAGGCCCTCCGCCGTAGAAACCTCGTCAGGTTCATGGGCGAGATCCTGTTGTACGACAACGGCATCTCAACGGCCAAGTTCTGCCTCGCTATCGAGCGACTCGCTCACATCATCCAAATGCCCCAGAAGCGGGAGTCATCGGGTATCATCGCCTTGGAGAATCTCGCCCTCGTAACATCCTCACACGACAGGGAACCGCGGGCAGACGAGCCCTACGACGAGCTGATGAAGCGGGCTGTTTCGTATTTTGCTGGCAAGCGTAAGACGTGGGCCAAAGAGATACGGAACTATGCGGCAAAGCGGATGCTCTTCGAGGAATCCACCACTCTTATAAACGGTCTCGAGCTCCGGGCACTATCTGGAGATGACGAAGGTCACGACAACTGCAGCATCTGCTACGTGGACTACTGGGAAGCCCCCTTAAAACCTTCGTCGATAGCCAGTCCCACGGCGGAACAGAGGACGTGGCCGGGGAGACTGGTCTCGCAGTCCAGCAACGCCGAGTCCAATATTTCGAACCAGATCCGGCGGCTGAGGTGGGACGACGATCCCGACGTCCAACGGCGTATCTTTGGCGCCAACCTGTCAGGGGTTAGCATGGCTGATCATGGGGAGCCGGCAGTGCGTATTAAGCATTGCGGCCACATCTTTGGAAGGAGCTGCTTGTTCCGCGCGTGGGTGACGGAGGCCAACGAAGCGGGCCGGAGACCGGCGTGCCCCTACTGTCGGGCAGAGCCCCCCCAACGTGTATACCAAATAATCGAATCGTTTGTTGGGGCACGGCTCACGATAGACCCGGGCTGGCACTTGCCCACGTTTCTCTTGTCCCTTATCGATTAGATATACTTATGTCGGTAGAGCATGCATGGCATGAGTATTGCGGTAATCTAAAGACCCGATGTTGTTACAACACTGTTTAGTTACTAGCATGAAAACAACATCTCTGACGCAACAACAGTCGGGAGTGAGTGATGGGTGTATCGGCAAAAAATGACAATGTTTGCGCAATTCGAGCCTCTTAATCCCGTCCACCGAAGTCGCTGTGTAAGTAACGCAAGGGCAGTCTTGGGCGACGGGCAAGACCTTGTGCAACAAACCACTCAAATATCGGGAATGAGATGGCCACAAGGTTGGTGAGGTGGTACACTGCGGAAGCTAGCCGCTTCGGAGAAGGCGTCTCACGCAGGACTTAATTCGGAAGAGACATTGAAGTGCATCTGCAGGAGCCCGGCCGGACCGGAGATGGAAGGTACGATGAATTAATGTTATGCCGAGCGACTATCGGCGGTGCCACCTTCATAGCAGTCGCTGCTTATTGGGCGCCGTCAAATAAAGGACCGTCATTATCTCGGGACTTGGTGAGGCTGGTTGCGGCTGTTCCAAGAGCGAGCAAGAAAGAATGAGGGGCAGTAGCATGATAAAGATATGGTTAAAAGTAATAAGCTGGCAACGTCGTCTAGGAAGCTATGCAGGTTACCAGATGGTGCAGATGTAACAGCATAGCTAGTCTTAATTCGGTAAATCAGGCGAAAAATATTCTAGACAGAAACACTGGGAGCAAGCGTCGGCTGGTAAATGACGGACCACGCTCTTGGCTGTCTCAACAGGATAGAGAGCCGAAATGGATCAACTGCGGCAGTGTGCAGCAGAATTGGCGTGCTGAAGTGGCGTGTTTCAGCCTCATGCGAGAAATTGGATCTTTGGAATGCCGATTTCGGTCTTGGGAGAATCATGTTTATACTAAGACGGGGAAAGGGAAAAAAAAAAAAAAAAAAAAGGTTATGGTTGAAGGACGTGATGGATGGTGTTAGTGGTGACGATGCTTATGGAGATGGTGCGCGGTTGACGGAGGTTAGGAGCTTCTGTGGAGCCTTCTGAGATGGTACTGGTCAGCGTTAGTGCGCTGTGGCGCTCGATACCAAGCCACGCCACAACAAGCCTCACCGGTGCCGGACAGCACACTTGAATCCAGATGGGCGGGTCAGATGGTGCTTACAGACTGGGATCATAGCTCATTGGTAGGCAGACGGATGAAAAAAAAAAAATAAAAAAAAGGGAAGAAGGAAAAAAAAAAAAAAAAAAAGAAGAGAAAAGAAACGAAAAAGGCGGAAACGAGTGAGATGGCAGACAGGTTGGTCTTGCCCAAAAAGCGATGCAATAAGCGACAACTGGGGAAAGGTACTACCTACGCAATGTGCCTCACCTTAGTCAGTAGATAGCTAATGGTCAGAGCTTCTTCTGATAGGGCCAATAGAAGAAGAAGAAGAGCCTTGGCTTCGGTTCAATAGCTCTGGGATTGGCTGAATGTTTGGAAATGGCCCGTCATTGGTCCCATCTCCCGCGCAAGGGATGCTTAGGCGGGGAAGTAAATATGGGCCTTTTGACCCGACTGAGTGGATTCATTCGCTTAAGCTGCAAATGTGAGTCGTCCACATAGGGAGAGATCCACTGATGATGGGGCCTTTCCCAGCTGTACTACTAGTAAGTATGTGGTAGGTACTCTGAAATGGTAGTGCACCAAGTCGGGGGCCAAAGACAGAAGGAGACACTGATGGACTGGGGTCTGCCATTTGCTATACTATGTACACGGTATTTCTCCTTCTTCTGGCTTTTCGTTGACGCAACTCAAGACCAAGACTCTCATCTGACTTTATGCAGATGCGACCACTAAACACATCAACGTTACACTCAAAACTGTCTCGCATTGGACCACTTTTTTTTTTTTTTTTTTTTTAAACACTTGACCCTTAGACTGAAGCTCTATCTCGGGGTCCTCGTGCGAACGAACGACCCTGCCGATTCCTCCCACACACGCATATGCGAAAGGGTACTTCGATGACGAGTCCATAGGCTATGACGGGACCGTCGGCGCCGCAATCAGGCCGTTTGAACCACCCAGTCCCAATCATACGCGTTGGTCTCGAATGAATCAATCATGACATATGCTCTTCATCATCCGAATCCGACGGTTCCCATGACATTTTGCCATCTGCCAACCAACACAGCTTCACACCCCCAACACCACATCAACGCCCGTACCGTCACAGCTCACGCCGCTCTGTGCCACACATCTACGCCCATTTCCATCCATCACACTCACGCGCTGTCTCTCGGACCTTTTTTCTCTCTTCCATTCTGATGGCTTGCAGGAAGAACTTGTACCGTACCCTGGCATTGTCTTGATTCGGTAAATGACCCGCATTATCCCATCCACTGGTACAGAGCAACAGCACTTTGGCCGCCTTGTCATCCGTTCCCTACGGCCGTACTGTACTGGGCGCACCATAACGGTGTGATATGGTTTTCGCAGGCCACTTGACCACTGCATATTCTTATTGCTTTTTTCCATCTTTATTTTGTTTTCTCACCTTTTTGATCGCATCTAAAAGTCTTTTTAGCCTTCCGGCCTGTGCCCGCAGCCAATCCTTGCATAGGCTCGCCATACACACGCCACATCCACCACCACCACCCGTCTCCCCCGGCCTCTGTCTCTTATCCCCCCGTCTCCGATCCATCTCACCGGCTTTCCGGGATAAAGCGCGTCACCATCCAACAGCCGCCAGTACCGTCAATCCGCCTGTCATTTGTCTACCTGGTCAATAACCCGGCAGAGGGGTAGGGAAGGCCCTGCGCCCAACCACAACTGCTTGTTACGTCCGTATCCTTTCTGACCGTGTGGTCGACCCGTACCACCTCCACTCGCATTCTCTTTCCGCCCCGGCACGCTCTCGTCTCTTGCAACGATAGCTTCTCGCACTCGCACCGGCTAGTCTGTTAGTTGCGTGGCAGCCTTCCAGACACATCCACCGAGTAACCTCTAGTCTCCGCTGCCGTTCGCTTAGTCCAAGTCGCAACGCCTCTCGAGCGAGCGGATCCCTCGTCCTTTTCCAAACTTGTATTCCCTTCTCGAGGTTACTTAAAACCCACTATCTCTCTTTCTCTCTAAAACCTTTCCGCTTCACACATCGCTCGAGACCCTGGTTTCATCGCTACACCACCTGTTTGGCTGAGTCTCTGCACATCAGCCGCTAGCCACCGACGATCAGACTGCGCTTTCCTTTTTTCGACATCTGGAACGTGCCGTCCCAATCTGACGGTGCCTCACTTATCCGCCCATAAGTCCGCATCTTACCGAATCACATCTCACTCACATCTCACTCACATCTTCACTACATCGTGTCTCACCAGATTTACAAGGGGTTGTCAAGGTGATTCACCTTCTCATAGTAAGTCGTCTACACTCATCACCAAGTAACTACTTTCAGCATTTCTATATTTTCCCCATCATTTATCATAATTCTCGTTACAGCCACACTGAGTTTTAACTACATCTTATTCGTTTCATACCTCGGCATTGGTTGTTTGACAGCACGGCTTTGAACCACTTACACTAACTCTGGCTAGGAATCTGGCAGACTGAGATCTCAACAGACCGAGATTGGCCATATTTGAATATCCTTTCGAACTCATTGGGCGACTGACAATATGACCGCCACCATAACCACCACCACCAGATTGGCAGCGGAAACTGTCCTTCGCACCGCCAAGGACGAGGCATCAGACCTGCAAAAGCTCCGCGACAACAGACTCAAGGGCTCATATGATGAGTGGCCAAACGAAGCAGGAGTAAGTCGACGCCACCTTGCCAGACCAAACGTGATTCTAACAGACACTAGTTTGACGGACTCACCGAAGAGCGTGGCCCTATCGAGCTCAATATTCAGGGCGAGATTCCCGCCTGGGCAGCCGGCGCCCTCTACCGCACAGGTCCAGGAAGCTGCAAAATCGAAAACACCCCCAAAGGCACTCACTACGTCTCTCACTGGTTTGACGGCCTTGCTCACACGCACAAATTTGACATCATTGCTCCAGAAGCCGAGTCTGATAGCAAAACCCGCGTTCTGTACTCGTCGCGACGCCAGTGCGACCAACTTGTCAAAGATATCCAAGCCAACGGTTTCCAGAACCGTTTCTCCTTTGGCCAACGCCGTGACCCTTGCGTTGGCATGTTTGGCAAGATCATGAGTGTCTTCTCCAAGGCGACCGCACCAAACATCTGCGTCGCCGTGAATGCAAACGTTCCTGGCCTGACCCCAGCTGTTTCCGAGCCAAACCAAGGCCCCTCGGGGTCTGGACACCGCAACGGTGTGCGCAGTGTGTGGCTCTCCACTGACGCGAATCCTCTCCTTGAAATCGACGCGGACACGCTGGAGCCTGTGGGCACCGCTCGGCAGAACAAGCTTCACCCGGACCTCACCGGCCCTATGTCTTGTGCACATGCCCAGCGAGACCCTGAAACGGGCGACATGTTCAACTTTAACCTCGGATTCGGACGTCTCGCTACGTATCGTATCTTTCGCGTCAGCGCCGCCACTGGCAAGACGGACATCCTGGCATCCATTTCCGAAGCTGAGGCGAAGCCTGCCTACATCCACAGTTTTTTCCTCACCAAGAGTTTCGTTATCCTGTGTATTCCTGTGACACATCTGGGATTCAACGGCCTGAAGGTCCCCTGGGAGCGGAACATTCTCGACGCCATCGAGCCCTTTGACGAGGCCAAGCGTTGCCGGTGGTACTTTGTGGACCGTATTCACGACAAGGGCGTGGTCGCCACCTTTGAAACCCCGGCCGGCTTCTTCTTCCACTCGACCAACTCTTTCGAGGAAGCGGCAGAGGACGGTTCTGGTATCGACGTCTTTTGTGAAGCCGCCGCTTACCAGAACCACAGCATCCTCCACAACTTCTACTACGACGTCATCCTCAACAGGAACAACGCAGCCCACAAGTTCTGGACGGAAGGAGACCGCTTGAAGAACAGCTACGCGAGTCTGCAGCGGTACAAGTTCAGAATCCCAAGCGATAACGCCGACGCCACGTCGCCCACAGAGCCCGAACTGGTCCTCTCGATTCCCGCCCCGCATGTCGGCGAACTGCCGACCATCAACCCGGCCTTCCTCACCCGGCGTCACCGCTACGTCTACAGCCTGCCGGACCGCGGGCTCAGCACCTTCCTCGACGCCATCGTCAAAACGGATGCCGACACGCGCGAAGCCCTCATATGGCAGTCCCCGCAGGCCCACACTCCGGGCGAGCCCATATTCGTGCCCCGACCCCCTTCCGCTGGCGGCGACCCGCTGACCGAGGACGACGGCGTCATCCTCAGCGTCGTGCTCGATGGCACTGCCCAGACGAGTTACCTCCTCTGCCTAGATGCCAAGACCATGACGGAGCTAGGTCGTGCCGAGTGCGACTTCGCCGTCGGCATGGGGTTCCACGGCATCCATGCCCCCTCGGGACCAATCTAGAAGACACTCTGGGTTTATTTACATGGTGATCTGCATTTTTCTTTCACGAGTCCCTTCAATTGTCATTCTCCTCTTGTTTCACGACACGATATCTTGACGATGATGAATGGCGGGGACAAATTTCCTATTTCATTTCTATTTATTTCTCTTTGTATGTTTGGCGACGGCGACGATGGCGTTGGGGGATGACAACACTACGCGACCTGTGGGTTCGCAACGGGAAAGGGGTGGCTTTCTGATACGGGGGGGTGGAAAGACTTGAAATAGGACAGGGCGGAGTTTTGGATAGAAGACACGGACACGATACGATACGATACGACAAGACATGACATGGCATGCACTCTTTTGTAGTTATGAAATGTAACATTGTACAACACACCATATATTCACATGCTTGCTCAGTCCCTGATGTCATTGATACTTTTCCTTTGATGTGTGTTGCCTTACTTTGACAATGGAGAGGAGCTTCCAACACCGAACATTTTCATGGATGTCTTTTACCTATTGAAATGACCACGTGTAACAACATGACTGTACGAAGCAGACAGATTGGACCAGGAGGCGTGACAGTTGCGATGAGATGAGTTGACTTGCCAATACACATGTTACCACTGCAAGACAAAGTCCTGACATAAAGTAGCTGTTCTTTGTTGCCAGCCCAAAGAGTATATGGAAGTAGTGGCCAGCATCAGTTTACGACACACTGATTGTATCATTCTAAGCCAATGCCCTGAATAAATTTGTAACTAGGATTATATTTTATGTGCATTTTTTCTGTGATGCAGGTGGCTTGCTAACTAAAAAAAAAAAGAAAATGGTCTATACGCTGTGGTGTGGCATGACTGATGCGTCTCCATGGTGCTGCTGTCCAGAATATATACCATGTATGAGACGGGGGTACTGAGTGACAAAGGAAAATGTGAATCAAAAGTGAAGGTTAATGCAGACAGGCAGGTGAATGAATGCAGCAAACGCGACTCAAAGTAGGGGGTATCTCCAGTTGTCATCCTCAAATATGCCCAAAAGTTGCCATAACGCCACCCGAGTTTGCCCAAAGAATAATCGACAAAGCAAAATACGAAGAGCACCTATTCTTGCTCTCAATGAAAAAAAAAAAAACAATACGGTGTTATGTACTCGTGTAAAGCACTTGTGCCAACCCATGTAAGGAAGGATTATTGCAAATTAACCCTCCAGCCCTTCTCGAAGCGCGTCAATGTCGACAAGATCCGGAGACACTTTGCTCGGGACGCCGCGTCGTTGATGGGCCGCAAGGTATGCTTGAAAGCCAGGGATCGCCCCTGGTTGGTTGATGCCAGATGCCCGGAGAAGGTCTTTGTCCTTTTCCTTCTCCTTCCCATTCCCTTTGGAGGGCGTGGGTGTCGAAGGTGCCGGAGTCGCTGACCGGCCAGGCACAGAGCTTCCGCCGCTCCATGGTCGCCAGCTTACCCACCTGCCCAAGCCAGCAGACTGCTGAGAATGCTGAGAGTACTGCGAGCGAGTGCTCGATGGCGAGGCGCTCCGTGCTGGCGTGGATACGATCCTCGGCATAGGTAATCCAGCGAGACTATCGCGGAGCATGGCGTCGCTCCGCTTGTCGCTTCCACGTGAAAGCGTTGAACGCGCGGTAACGCTGGTAAAAACAGTGTCGGCCCCGCCCAGAGGACGCAAGGTTAACTGGCTCGGCCGTGTTTTTAGTGTATGAATGTCCAATCCTCCCGATAGAGACATGATGGACTCGTGCGAGACGGCACGGTGTAGACGCTGCCGCCGCGGTAGCTCCTCGTCTTTGGAGAACGACCTCTCCGTTTCTGTTTCCGTCTCCGTCTCAGCTTCTTCGTTTGGTGCAATGAGGCTCGGCACCTCTTCAGTGCCGTTGTCTTCCCTTTCTTCTTCAATCGTTGTTGAGATGTGCTGCGTGACATGAACAGCTGGTGTAGCTGGCGGAGCAGGTGAGGCCACGCTCAGGAGCTTGTTCGTGATGGAGAAGCTTCGAGTGGATGCTTCCGATGGTCGCTTGCTATGCGATAGTTTCCACGTCGGCGAAGTAGGGTCCAGACTCGTCGCCGGTGACGAAGGAATATCCGTCTCCAGCATTGGCCTGTCAAACATGGACAGCCGGAGATTTGACTGGGGAGAGCTGGGAACAGACGACGGGGCGAACTCGGATGGCTGTTCCGAGAAGACGGACCATCTGTTAGATGGACCCATGGAAACCGTCGAGGTCGAGGCCTTGTGAGAGTGGGAAGCGAGAGCAGGGGTAGTCGGCGGGGGTCGCCATATGGCAGGCGGGGTGGAAGACCTGGAGATACTTGCGGGTGAGAACAATCCTGGATTCAGACTGTGGCGCTTCTTCTTGGACTTGTTCTTTTCTGCGACGTGGTAGTGGTGGTGAATGTGCAGCTCCTGGGAAATCTTTTGCGTTACTTCTGCCAGTTCGTGACCGAGCTCAGCACGTAAGGTGGAGGCGGCGCTTGCGTCTTCGTCGTTCATAGGTTGATGGCAGAGCAACTGATCCCGCAAGGCCTGTATCTCGTCATTTGAGTTGACGAGCATTTCTCGCAACTCTGCCATACCCAGCTGCAGATTCGCGTTGTCCTGGAGCAGATCACGCACAAAGTGGGATACTACATTGCTGGCGTTCTTGCCGTTGTTGAGCGACTTGGCTGCGGCAGCTCCCTTGAGGCGCCCGGCAGCGGCGTTCAGCTCCTTTTCCATCTCACGTTGACGTTCCATGCGGCCAAGCACCTCGGCGTGGCGCTCGCGCTCCTCCTTGGCCTCCTGCTCCATGCGCTCCAGCTGCTCCTGAAGGTCAGAGATGCCCCTCTCTGCCTTTCTCCACCGCTGCATCGCTGAACGGGCCTCGGATTCGGTGGTAATGAGCGTATTTTGCAGCCGTAGCTGCTCCTGCTCGAGTACCGCAATGTGCCGTTCCATCTCGGCGGCACGGGCTGCGGCGCCCTCGAGGCGACGCACAACTTGGTGCGACGACAACAGGGTGGCTTCCAGGGTCTGGATGCGGATATCGGAATCTTGAACGGTGTTGTTGAGCATCTCGAGCTGGTCCAAAAGAGTGCGGTTTTCTTCGACGGTCCTCGTGTTCTCTGCCTGCAACTCCAGCTTGTCGCTCTCCAGCTGCTCTATGCGACCCGTTAATGCCATGCGGTCTCGTTCGGCGTCGGCCATGTATGCCTCGTGGCGAGCAAGCAAGGCCTAGAGGGAGAAGGTCAGCAACATGTTGACATGAAGTATGAGGTTGCGGTTCGTGTCAAGTCCAGCACGGGTCTGGGAAGCAAAGTTTGCAGACTGAAACGAGAGCACAGGACCCCGTCATGTTGGTATGAATCACGGGAAATGAGGTCTTGGAATGTATCGAAACACTAAGGTAGGACCAACAGATCAAGGATAGTAGGGATTGGAATGTTTCTAGACTCGGGCAGAGGAAAAAGAAGTAGGAAAAAGAAGCAGAAGAAATGAGGAGGGCAGAGACAACACAACGCACCTTGCCCAGCTTGGCAGCGGTATGGACATCTTTTTCGACAGTGTCCAGGACGGTACAGCTATGCTTGAGAAAAGCACAGTCATTGCGGCCGCAGCAGCAGCGAAGCTTGAGGTCGTCGGCAGGACGGGCAGCGGAAGTTGGGACGAAGTCTGCCATGGCGTCGGCGTCGCGAGATGGGGCGTCGTCGGCGGGCTCTGCCATTGTTATCGCGGCAGAGGAGACTTCGCTACGGCGGACAGCATGCTGAATTGGAGAGGAGAAGCAGCAGCACAGGCACGGGGCTCGGAGTGCCGGGCTCGAGCGGGTGGGGGTGAGGAGAGGGAGGAGGCGAAGGTTCTCGGTACCGTAGCCGTATCGTATCCGGTTTGGGACGAGATGATGTATCTACCGATCGTGGGACTGAGACCTGGTGGAAATGGGGGGGTTGAAATTGTGCGAGAAGGCGGATTTATGTCGACTTTGAAGTTGTGTTTATGTGTGTTTTGTGTGGTCGCGTTATGTGTGTATGTGTATTTGTATATATTTGTATCTGTATGTGTGTGTACTGGAGGCGTGCTGGTCTGACGCGATTGGGGGGAACACAGCACACACTCCCTATGCAGCACTAAATTGGGCGACGACAAGTATCCGCAGGTATATCCAGGCGGGATGAAGGAGGGGATTGGGCTGGATTGGATAGTGACTGTTATCACGATTTGGGCGTAAGTTGGGGCGGATGTCTTAGGCGGGTGTCTCTTCAATGGGTAACAGTGGCTCTGTAGCAGCGGTCATCGACAGGGGATAACCCGGACCGGTGGGGGTCGACTGCAGTTTCTTTTGCGAGCATGTGGTCCGAGCCGAAATGAAGCTCATATAAAAAAATCAAGAGAAGAGTGAGAGCGAGGGGGAAAAACAGAGAAAAAGAAAAGGCGGATAACAGGCGAAGGATGCGATAACGAGGTGGGTGTTTCTAGGTGAGGTTTTCGTAGGTATGTCGTTGAAGAGAAGAAAACAAGTTAGGTAAACGGATATCGGATGGAATGTTCGTTCGAGAAGAATGGGAATCGAGAATAGGGATGGAAAAAAAAAAACCTAAAAAAAAATCTGAAATTAGACGACTGGAAGTTGGAGGAGGGCGTAAGGATGGCGATGGTGAGTGAATGGTGAGAACCCGCAGGGACCTTTGAGGGGGGGCTTGGACCTTGGGCCTTGCTTAGAGAGAGCCTTGAAGACGGGAGATCAAAATGACGAGAGGAAAGACGGCGCACATGGCGCCCTGGTATCCTGGCTTCCAGGATGGCGGCAGTACACGTACAAAGTAGTGGTGGTGACACTATCCAGAATTAGGACTTGGCTGGAGGCCTGATTTTGGCAGGTCGGGGGTACCTTGAGGAATCAAATATTTGATAGTGCATTTCCTGCACAATTCATTGTGAGCTGCAAGTACCCTATTTATTCCCCCCTCTCTTTTTTTCCTTGTTCTCTTTCCTTTTTTTAATGGTCACCTTGTTTCTGCTCTGTATTTCCCGTCTTCAAAAGAAACAAAGACAGAAAGTATCTGCCCTGACCCTATCCTTCCCAGCCCTTTCCTTACTCAGTCTAAAGGGAAAGAAACGTTCGCGTCAAGCCAAATGGGTGCAGTCGCATACTGCCAGCCTGCCCAAACAGGCGAACTGCGGTATGGCGTCTTTGTGCGTGGATCCACAAGATGATCCACTTGGTACCCGCCAATCCAGGAACATCTTCAGGTACGAACCCCACCTACCCAAATTATGCGCGCCTGCCCTGAGATCTTGCCCAGCTAGTGCTAGCAGGAAATAGTGTAAACAAAAGTCAGGTACGTATCGTATCTGTACCGCCTTGCCGTCTTTTCCCCTCCCCCTCCCTCATCCACGTTCTCATCCACGTCCGCATTTACTTTACTACTTATGTATGTAGCCTGGAACCATGAACCATGAACCAAGAACCAAGATTCGTAGCCCACGAGACCTTCCATGCAGGTCTAGGGCCGGTCAGCCATGAACAGCGAATGAAATACGCCGCCTTCTGCCACAATGACGACAGACAGCCTGTGTTTCTGTTGGAAACAATCTATCTGTGTGTTTTGGTGAGGGAAGCTTTAGCCACACACACGCTGCATCACTTCTTTTCCCTTCACACCACCAGCCACCGCAATAATCAGTGTGATGCGCGCAGCAGAATCCAGCCAAACGATGCTGACCTGTCGACCGACTCAACGAATAGTCCAATGAGTAAACCGCCTGTCACAGTGACAGACTCACTCGGAGCTGATGACATACATCATGGGCCACCACCCCTTTCATTATCCAGCGTCCCCCGGTTTCTGGGAACGGCTAACAAGGATGGCAGCGCAGCCATGGCGGGTTGGCCCATGTCTGACTGACCTGAAGACTGAGTCGACATTCCTTCTTTGAGATCGGGATGTCCCCGCGGATGAGTTTTCATTTCATTTCTGTGTCGAGACGTGAACTTGCGCGACCGCGTCACCCAAAACAACAATGTACGGAAACGGCCGCCATTCTTAGTCCCGCCTGAGCCTGTGCTTTCTACGTAATTTGCGCCCATGTTTGGCATCACAATCGACTTGCTGCCAGACTTGTTGATGTTTTGGGAGTCTACCATAACTCAGTAATTAGATCCATTGCCTGCTTCTTCATATTGACATGACATCCGAGAAGCGAGTTTCTATAGCTTCAAGAGATGTCTTAATAGAAATACATTGCCAGATTCCATGTTGCCCACTTCACTAAGCTGATGTTCGGTGAGAAGGCTCGGTGAGCTGTGAGGGGCACCTCTCACACCGTGGCTTTGCTCTTAGTGGGCCGAGCCGCTGCAGCTACACCGCTGTGGGCCACCGGCGGCCGGACCACGACACCCACAGCGGATCGTCTAATCGACGTATGTCAAGTGTCAACTCAACTCCGCCAGTCGCTCCAAACACGGTCGCCTCAACCCCGTCTCTCAACCCCAATCCGCTCGAGGCCTCACCCAGTAATTTGCAAACTCGGGCGGCACCGTCGATCCCTTACTAGGCATTATGTCGCCTCCAGACAAACCTGCACCAGCACCGGCAGACGCCAGCAAAACCGTTGTTCGAGGCGCCTCCCTTCTCATCATACTGCAGATCGGCTCCCGGGCCGTGACTTTCATCGCTAACCAACTGCTTCTCCGCTTTCTGACTGCTCAGCTTCTCGGTGTCTCGACTCAATTGGAAGTTTACTATCTCTCTGTTCTCTTCTTCGCCAGAGAGAGTCTGCGCGTCGCCGTTCAGCGACAGGAAACTAGCCCCGACTCAAGTAAACGCGATGACGACCCTAAAGCTCGTGTAGGTCGTGAGAGCCAGGCGGTCGTCAACCTCGGGTACCTTTCTGTACTGCTGGGATGCTTCGTCACCGTTGGCCTCGGCTGGCTCTATCTCTCATCTGCCGATGACCTCACTCGCAACACCTCCAACTTCCAGCTCGCCCTTCGTTTATACGCCATCGCTGCCGTTCTAGAGCTCCTTTCCGAACCCTGTTTCGTGCTCATGCAGAGCAGGCTGCAATTCGGCACCCGTGCATCTGCAGAGTCCATCGCCACTTTTTTGAGATGCATCGTCACCTTTGGCACCGCTCTGTGGGCGTCGAGAGCTGGCATCGAATTTGGCGTTCTCCCGTTTGCCGTCGGCCAGTTGTCGTATGGCGCCAGCCTCTTGCTCGTCTACCTTTGTTCCGGCATACGGTTGTCAAATACAGATGGCTTCTCTCTGCTTCCGAGGAGCCTGGGTTCGGGCAAAGAATACGTCGCCTCGTACTTTTACCGTCCGACTGTTAGTTTGGCCACAAGCATGATGGCCCAGAGCGTCGTCAAGCACGTCCTCACCCAGGGTGACACTTTTCTGGTCTCCATTCTCTCTACGCCCAAGTCTCAGGGTGTCTACGCCTTGGCCAACAATTATGGAGGCTTGCTTGCACGCCTTGTTTTTCAGCCCATTGAGGAGAGCAGCCGGAGCTATTTCAGTCGCCTCCTTTCATCCCAAGACACAAAGACAAGCAAGCCGTCCAAGGAGACAGCAGCCACAGCCAGCCAACATCTTCACACATTGCTCAAGTTCTACCTTTTGCTCTCTGCCGTCATTGTGAGCATTGGTCCCGCGGCTGCACCTCCGCTGCTGTCTCTTGTGGCCGGCAAGCGTTGGGCAAGCGAGGGCGCCGGTGACGTCCTGGCGGTCTACTGCTACTACATTCCCCTGCTCGCCATCAACGGCGTGGCTGAGGCTTTTGTGGCATCCGTGGCAACTGAGGCACAGGTGCACCGGCAGTCGGCATGGATGGGTGCATTCTCAGTGGCCTTTGGATCGGCAGCCTTTGTCTTCATGCGCGTCATGGACCTCGGGGCATCAGGACTCGTCTTCGCCAACTGCATCAACATGGGTTGCCGCATCATCTGGAGCCTGGCGTTTGTCAAATCGTATTTCGGCAGCCTTGAAACGCCATTCGAACTTTTTACATTGCAGCCTAACGCCGTAACCTCTATCGTCTGTCTATCAGCGCCACACCTCATCAGGAGGGTGACCGGTGTTGCCTCGCGAGCAGCTTCCACCTCTTTCAAGGACCTCATCGCCATCGGCATAGCCGCCGTCCCGGTCGTTTTGTTAATGTGAGTTTTGGCCCTTGTCCAACCTGCTTTTTGGAAAAAGGAAAGAAGAAAAAAAAGTTGTTATCCGTCTCTAACACCGTCTAGCCTTTTTGCGGAACGCAAGTTCCTTGTGCAATGTTACAACTCGGCCCGTAGACCAAAGACCGCATAGGCGCCCATTAGACAGAGGCATGGGAAATTAGACAGTTGCCTCAGTTTTAAACATATAATTTAATCATCAAAAACAATCTTGGTCGCCTTCTTCGTCATGTCGACGTCCTTGAAGAAGGCACCGTAGGTGTCGTGAGTCTTCTTCTTGACGGTGGTGCCGAACTTGAACAGTTCGTCGGGGACGGGCTGGTTGGCGCCCTTGAGAATGTTGATCAAACTAGTAGTCCGTAAGCAAATGACCTATAGTGGAACCAGAAACAGAGGGAAAACCACTTACGATCCGGAGTGCGCCTTGTCCTGCTGGGTAAAGAGCGTGATGGCCTCGCCGGTCTTGCCGGCACGGCCAGTTCGGCCGATTCTGTGGACGTAGTCCTCGATGGTCAGGGGGAACTAGCAGGAAAACAGTCAGTCGGGTCATTTTTTCTTCAAAGAAATCACGGGGCACCAAAAAAAAGAAAAAAAGAAAATAAAATCAAGACATACGGTGACGTTGATGACCAACTTGACCTCGGGGATATCCAAACCACGGGCAGCGACATCGGTGGCGACCAGGACGGGGGTGGCGCCGGACTTGAAGGCCTCGAGACTGCGGGTGCGCTGCTCCTGGCGGAGATCACCGTGGATACCGGCGACGCGGATGCCGCGCTGCTGGAGGAAGCCCTCGACGCGCGTGGCCTCCTTCTTGTACAGGCAGAAGACGAGGATGCGGTCGTTCTTCTTGCTGCCCTGCTGGTGCTGCTTCAGCAGCTGCAGCAGCCTCTGCTCCTTGGCGCGGGGCTCGACGACCTCGACGCGCTGCGTGATGCGCGTGTTGGCCTGGAGCTCGACGGCGCCGCTGGCCGTCTCCTTGCCGCTGGAGCCGATGGTGATCTTGATGGGGTCGACCATGAAGGACTCGGCGAGCTTGCGCACCGAAGCGGGCCACGTCGCCGTGAACATGACGGTCTGGCGCTCCTCGCGGGGCGGCATGCTGCCGAGGATCTCCTTGATGTCCTCCTCGAAACCTTTGTCGAGCATGCGGTCGGCCTCGTCGAGGACGGCGAAGCGGGTCTGACCGAGCTCGATGGTGCCGTCGGCCATGAAGTCCTTGAGACGGCCAGGCGTGGCGACGATGACGTCCGCGCCGCGCTTGAGCAGCGCGCGCTGGTCATCCTTGGACGCACCTCCGTAGATGCACACGCACTTGAGGCCCACGAGGGACGCGACGTGCTCCAGCTGCTCCTGGGTCTGCATGGCCAGCTCGCGCGTCGGCGACACGACGACGGCCTTGATGCCGCGCTTCTTGATGGGGGAGATGGCCTCGACGAGGGGCAGGGCAAAGGCCATGGTCTTGCCGGAACCAGTCTCGGCAACACCGATGACGTCGCGGCGGGACAGGGTGAAGGGCCAGGAGGCCGCCTGGATGGGGGTCGGCTTCTTGTAGGAGGAGAAGGGGTTCTTGCGGATCAGCTCGGTCTGGGGGAGGTAGGAGAATTCAAGGATCGGCCTGAGGTGGGAGGTCTTGTTTGTGGGGTCGGTGACGGTGATGGCCTCGGCCGTCAAGAAGGAGTCGACGTCGGACTGGGCAAGGCCGCTCAGGGCCTCAGACTGTTGGTACTCTGTGCCTGCGGCGACGGCAGGTCCGGTAGCAGCAGCAGCAGCAGGAGTAGTAGCAGCCTTTTCGCTGGCGCCGTTGCTCTCAGCCTCCTTCTCCTTCTTCTTCTTCTCCTTTTTCTCCTTCTTCAGCCTCTTCTTCTCGGCCTTGTCCTCATCCTCGTCCACATCCATCTTGTCCTCGGCGGCGGCCTCGTCCTTGCTCTTCTTCTCCTTCTTCTCCTTCTTGCGCTCCTTCTTTTCCTTCTTCTCCTTCTTCTTCTGCTTCTTCAGCTCCGCGGCCTCGTCGCTGTCGACATCGCCACCGGCAGGGAGGTCCTTGACCTTCTGCTTCTTGTTGGGGCGGGAAGTCTCGGCGGCACCGTTGTGCTCGACCTCACTGTCGGCCAGAGAGTGCTTCGTGGCGGCCATTGTGTTTGTAATGCGGGAGTATGTCGCTACGAAGTAAATTCGAATTGGCGACTATGGTAAAGTTCCCGGAAGCAATGACTTTTTTTGGCCGAAAGGGTGGGCTGGGGGGGGGGGAAGAGAAGCGGGTGATCAGATATTCGCAGGGCGAAAAAAAAAAAGATAAAAGAAAAATTGCTTATCGATAAGACGATTGAAAATTATTGTGGGAACCCGATAAGCTGATAACGTGATAAGCTCAAGGGTCCTTCGCTAAGCCTGTTTCGGCCGAGAAAAAAAAAACGTTCCCGTCAGTCAGGTAAGAAAGGTACGTATCTTCTTCCCTTGGATCCTCTCCCCCGCCGTATTCCCCGTTCCAGTATCGGAGCTTATGCCCCACTCGGCCTTTTCCACCTTCCTTGATCGGTCTCCACCCGCCTCCCCGCCTCGCATTTCACTGTTCCGCTTCACTTAGCCTTTTTTCCCCTCACTGCCAACTGTCGCTCTGCTTGATGCAGGGCCCTGTAGGCCTACTGCTGCTGTCGGAGCCGGCATGACATCCTTCCACTTCTACATACGGACGTGTGTGTGTGCATTATAATTCAGGTGGCTGATTCCCCTTGCTCTAGGCACCGGCGACAAGATCATGGCATAGTAAGCTCAAGGGTGCTGTATTGAGCGATATAACATTCATCACACCTTTCGGGATGGATCTGGGCAACGCAAGTGAGCGCCAACCATTTAGAGTGTGTTCTCAAACTGCGTGTTGCCGTTATCGTGAGATTAGGCACATTAAGGCGCAGAAACGGGCTGCCTGAACTGTCAAGAATGTGTCCCCCCATTTTGCGCAAAACGCAGCTGAAAGAAGCCATGAACGTCTGGACTCGAGCTTGCGCAAGATGCGGCACACCACAGCAGTCGGCTACCTGCGTCGGGTTCGCCGCCGCGGCTGGCGATGCCAGGATGTGAGCCAATAGTGTCCTCGGCGTCAGCAAGGCGGCCCAACCCTGCAACGGGAGCTAGTCACCGTCTGCAGTTCTTCGAGGGACTTTTCTAAAAGAGCGACCTCAGATCTGTAGCCAGTCCACTTCTTCGCTTTTCCCGCCAATTGTGTCGAGCTCGTTGCCACATGGGGAGCTCAATCACCCTGCAAAGGGACCTCCGTCGAGGGAGTCCAGCCATGAGCAATGCCCATGTCACACTGGCTGACAGGTGCGGCGTTGACCCTTGTTTCGTCTTCACTTGATAGCGGTCCACGTTGCATGTCGATGTTGGCGACGCGGCGCCCCACGGGGGTTGAGTTTTGAGAGAGGGGGGGGGGGACAGGGTAAGATGGAGGTAGAAAACGACAGCCTCTCCCCCCCACTGGCGGAACGATGCTGAAGGCCATCGCAGCTGTCGCGGTTTTCGCATACAAAATATCTCGATTCAATGATGGCGAGTTGCGAGGTGCTGGGCAGGCCCGAGCTGTACGGGTTGGGCCTACGGGTCGCATTTTACGTCCAATGGTTTGGTGCCATCGTCGTGGAGTACCTCGAGATTGCTGACCTACCCGATATACGGCTGATCGGCCTGCTGTTCTCCGCCGCTGCCTTCCTCGGTCTCGTTATCAAAATCTCCCTGGCGACACTGCAGCCTGCCGATGTCTACATTGTGTTCCTGCTAGCGATGGGCAGCTACCTCTTCCTCGTTCCGCTGTATCTCTGGAAGGCATTGACCTGCTTCAACCCGTATTGGAACCCCTTTCGGTGGTCCAAGGAAGAGCCAAGCCCTGCTTTCAAGGGCCTCAACTTTGCGCTGCTCATGGGTCTCGCCACATTCGGCGTTTACGTTTGGTGTTCGTTCATGCCGGAGAACGATTGCTCGTCGTCTCAGTACGGTTTCTTCTTCAGCCGTGTCAGCTTGGGCAACAAGGGGTTCATCGCCTTCAACGCAGCTCTATGCTTGATTATCCTGCTGGTCTGCCTAGTCATTCTCCTGCTCATGACCGGGTGGAAGGTTCCCTTTTGGCGCGAGAAGCGCAAGAAGCGCAGAATCAAGTGAGTTAACCACACACAATTCGTGATATCTGAAGTCACTACTGACTCTGGGCCGGCACAGGAAAATGCACATTATGATGATCAAAGAGCTCAAGACGCTGAGCAACGTTGCCGTCGCCGCGACGCTTACTGCCGCCATCGAACTCACTGTCTCGTGGAACGACATACAGGACGTCAATAACGTTGCCGACACCGCCCAAACCCTGCCTCTCTTCATCAGCGTTGGCTTCTTGATACGGATACTGTTCCTTCATTTCGCAGGGGCCAGCGGAGAGTCGGACTCATCGGAGGAGGACAGTGACGAGGGGTCAAGTAGTTACATGACGGAGCCGCAAGGGGGGGTGCCTCGGCCGCCGCCCGTGCACCCCCGCCGTAGTGGTGTATAAGCGGCTGCTGTATGATTGATGACAATGATGATTTAGATACCACTGATGGACATGAATTGATTACGTTTATATCATATCTGTGTAAAAGGAATGAGTTCGACAGCCTCAAACCCACGTATATCTCGCGCTGTGGACGTTCGCGAACGAATCGAAGACTATTCGGCACACGTGACGGCGGTTTGCGGTGACCTCAATGCGCTGCCTTCCCTGATCCAAACGTTTTATGCGTATGTTTACCTGAAGCAACTTCATAGAGCTGACAAGCTTTACATGCGAGCGAAACTAGTCTGCGAAGCCGACAAGTTTTACCCCACAAACTGCCATAGCATCCAAGGGCTCGACAGTCAGTCACATTTGCGACTAGACGCCGTGTACTCATTGCGTAAACACTGTCGCCCTTGTCACTTCGAACTGCTCAAGTTCCTTGAGTGAACGTACGATAACATCGCAGTTGCAGAGTTTCTCGGATCTAGACGTCTCTTGGTCGCATATATACAAAACAAAACACTTCAAAATGAAGCTCAACATCCCTAACAGCTGCATCCAAGTGTGTCTGTATCACACAACACCTCGCACTTCATGAACACCCCCACCACCGCCACTCAACCAACGACCTTGGACATCCAAGTAGGAATGGCAGTGAGCTGTGACATCTCGTCCACAGTCTCATTCCACAGCATCTTTTGAAGCCGCACGCTTTCCTCGGAGGTAGCAAACAGACCCGGCCTGTCATCACGTCAGTTACCATTCGACAATCACAGAAGCGTCACAACTCACTCCCAAATCTCCTTGTCGTCGAGCTGCTTCCCGTGCGTCTCGGCACCGGCCACCGCAGCAGCATGCAGACCGATCCACCCCGCCTTCTCCGGCGACCGCGCCCTCATGGCTTTCATGGCATCGGCCATGAGCCGGAAGGGCTGCGGCAGAACGTCGCTGAAGCCGGTGTTGACCGTCCCCGGACAGTAGGCGTTGACAATGACCTTTTCGGGGCCGTAATGCAGCGCAAACTCCCGCAAGAAGAGAAAGACCAAGAGCTTGCTGTCTGCGTACCGTGACAAACCGTAAAAGCTGTACTCGGCGTCGAGGTGCCCCATCACCGTCTCATCAGGCCGAACGGGCGATTTCGTCGCCAGGCTGGTCCTGTTCGCCATCCGGCTCCCTGTCCAGGACACTCTGCTCTGCACGCCGGTTCGTTCCGCCGTGGCCTCCAACAAGGGGAGCAGCTCGAGCGTCAGGAGCACGTTGGAGAGGTAGTTCACTTGTATCGTGGACTCGTGACCCGTCGGAGCGACGAAGCGATTGAAACCCGGGACGCCGGCGTTGAGCATGGCGATGTGGAGGTCTTGGTGCTCGGCGCGGAACGCTTCCGTAAAAGACTTGACGCTGTCATAGTTTTCGGCGTCCAGCTTCATGACCTTGACGACGGCATCGGGGTTCACGGAGCGGATGGCGGCGTCGGCGAGGAGATCGGCCTTGACCGTCTCCCCTTTGGATGTGTTGCGGACGGCGAGCACGACGGTAGAGGCTTTAAGAAGCAGGAGTTGTCTCGCCAGTGCGAGGCCGATGCCAGCGGTTGCGCCCGTGACGATGGCGGTTTGGCCGATGAGGTCGAGGTCATCTGGCAGCGGTGTCACTGGAGGCTGGATGAATGGCATTGTCGGTTATATTTCTTTTTGTCTCTATATATTTGGATGAAGCGTGAATGAGCATCATATTGAGACGCAGCTTTCCATCTTGCCATTTTATAGAATTTTCTTTGATGCATTATGAAGCCATCATCATCATCCTCATCAGTGAGCTACCTCCCAAACCCAACGGCATTCGAGTCCGCCGTCAACAAATGCGCAATCGCCAAACTCCGCCGTTCCTTTCGCTGAGCCCTGAATCTCTTCGTGCTTACCTATATCTCAGCGCGATGTGGCATTGGCGGAGTTGTGTGAGTGTGTGTGGTTTATAACTGTGCGCCGTATGGAGTTTAGTCATCTGAAGGATCGGGAGCTACTCCGAGCCCTGCTTACACAGCAGATAAAGCGTCGGAGCCACGCCCGCGTGCTTTGTCGGTAGGATGCAGGCTGGCGGAGATGATGGTGAGTGGACTGGACAAGAAGTCTCCGAGGACATTCCGAAGCCCGCAGGGCGTCGGTCGGCATTTTGGGCCGCATCAGCGAGCCACAAACCCTTTTTTCATTATTATCTCCCTCCCCCTTCCCCCTCGTGACTGCGAACTGTGAATGAGAATGAGAGGGGAGGGGGGGAAGATAAAAACCCGGCTGTATCCCGAGCAGATCGCCGAGGGGTATCATCTGCTCTCACTCGCTGGGCTAGGGGTTTTTTACTTGGTGCTTTCGGATGTCATCCATTGATAGTGACGATCCAAGCATGACTCTGACCGGGTTGTATCCTTGAGGCAATGATCCCGAGGTCATATCCGCCCCGCTTCACAAGTCTCACGATGAACTCGGCTTGGGCGGCGCTTCAATCACGCCGTCATCGGTCCACTCGCCTGGGAGACTTTGCACTCGCTCAAGTACGATGAGTCAAATGACAGGAATTATGTCTTTTTTTGGCATTTCTTTTTTGTACTTCTGTTCTCTGTTGGGTCGCTCATAAGCCGGCCACTAACTAAATGGTATTTCAACACTGACGTACAACCCTGCCCCCTTGGAAGCCTTTTGACTGGAACGAAAAGAAAAAAGACTTGCTTCGCGGCAGCGTCGGCCTTCATATCTCGGTCGCCATCGCGGTCGCGGCGGGGAGCTTTCATCCATACAAGCCCTGTGAATCCGTAAACCCTTCCCAAACTCCGATTTGTTTTTGTTTTTGTTGAAAAAAAAAATGAGAAAAAAAGTGTCGTTTAACGACGACTTTTATGTTTCATCAAAGCATCAGGCCTCTCCAGGCCTCACTGCACCCACACGTAACACAACTGGCCCCCCCCATCCCCTCGTGTCATCGCATCACTCCCCTGAAGCCGAACTCCATAAAACATGTTACGGTTTAAGGAAAAGGCGTGCATCGTTTATGCGGAGGCGGCAGCGGACTCGGCCTTGGCCTCGGTGCCCGCCAGGTTGGTGGGCTTCGCGTTGGGGTTCTTGGTGTAGTAGTCGGAGATGGCGGCCTTGATGGCGTCCTCGGCAAGCATGCTGCAGTGCAGCTGGGGATTTGTCAGTAACATGCACACTAACTTGCGGAGTCATTATGTTGTGAAAAGTAAAGGGCGTACCTTGACGGGGGGAAGCTTGAGCTCCTGGGCGATCTCGGTGTTCTTGACACGGCTGGCCTGCTCCAAACTGTATCCCATTTGTTAGTGCCAAATCATTTGATGTGAAAAGGAAGGGGTGGCTCACGTCATGCCGCGGACGAGCTCGGTCAGGTAGCTGGAGGATGCGATGGCGGAACCACAGCCGAAGGTCTTGAACTTGACATCAGAGATGGTGTTGGTCTTGGGGTCGACGCGAATGTTGAGCCTGTAATTGTTTGTCAGCATGCGGTTCCGGAAATGGAGGGAGCATTATGTCGTTGTCGCTCTGCGTGGGCTGCATGTGGAAGGTCGTAAGCTGGAAGGGTGCACAGGGAGTAGTGCCCCCCAACAGCCACCAGCCTATGCCACTCCTAGCAGGACATCCGGACAGTGATATTGTGATATCGGGGTGGTTTCGAGGGAATGGCGGCTTACTTCATGACATCGCCGCAAGCAGGAGCACCGACGAGGCCCTGGCCGACGTCCTTGTCGCCCTTGGGCATGGAACCGACATTGCGGGGGCGGGAGTAGCTGTTTATCAGAGGTCAGCACCCTTCATCTTCAAAGCGTGATATCCGGGGTCACATACTGGTCAAGGACCTTCTCGTGGTATGCCCTCGTTGCGCCGACGGCAACAGCAGGTGCGAGTTGGCGGACGGGAGCAGCGGAGGGGCGGACGGAGGTGGTGAGGATTGCGCGAGAGGCGACACGGAGGGATCTGGAGAACATCGTGACGGGTTTAAGGTGGATGATTTTTTTTTTCCGTGTGTTTTTTTTCGGAGAGTAATAAGTTGACAGGTGTCGAGCTTTGGGAACTGTCGTAGGAATGTTTCAAGTCGCAAAGATCGATTGAAAGGATCTGTGAGGTGTCAAGGTGACGATGGCGAAGAAAGATGGTGGATATAGAAGTTTGTTGAGGTAGAGGGCGGTCGGAGACTGAGGATACCAAAGGGCAGAAAGAGGAGGCAAAGTTTCGGCTCGAGGATAAATGGAAACAGCACTGGATTCAGTGGATTTGGTTGGCACTGGCACTGGCACACTGAGTTGCGGATGCGGATGCGGGACTTGTGACGGAGAACGATGGCGATCTCGGTGGTAGGAGGTGATATTAACCAATCAGCGCCTTCAATGACCATGCATTAAGTCATGGATAGCTCGCTAGGCTCGGCGCCTCGGAGAAGACAAAATTTCATCCGTACCCACTTGTTTTTGTCATCAAGCCCATGATTGGCCACGATAAGGCACGTTTCCTCGGTCCAGCAACTGTCAAATTACGTACTTCCATGCTTGGTGGGCTTGACCCTGAGAATGCCGGTCCACGACAGTCTCCACTCTGCTTCTACCAGCTGGCTGGTCGGGATTAGCAGCTGTGGTGGATCATTCGCCGGGGCGGCAACAATTTGTCATTGTCCTTGCCAACGAAAGAGATTGGATCTGATTAGATACGCCGTGCTCCTCCGTCGTCGCTGTTTTACGTCCGCCTCGGTCTTTTTTTCCCCCTTGTTCTTTTTTTTTTTTTTTCTTATTTTTTTCCTTCCTCCCTCCCGCCTTTTCTTAAGTCCGGGGTAACTTGTCTAAATGCATACCGTCCCCGCACGTACCCCACCAGACTAACCGAGTTATTGTTTTAACAGGTTATATGTAGTTAAAAAGCTGAATGCACTTATGAGCACTTAGGTCGGTCATATCTCCACTTCACTACGTAATCGCTCAATCTGGGATCGGTACGTACATCTCCTCCCAGACTGTGGCGTTCTAAGCTCTAGTGCCTGGAAGAGTCCCCTTACCAAGCAGCTGTCAGAAGCGAGTTCAGGCACCGCGCCCTGCCACTGACTGCCCTGCTTTACCGTAACCGGGATCCCACCGCGGGGCAATCAGCCAATCCAGCCCACCAACTGTGCACCACCACCTTCCACCACGGACACCAACTTTCTGCATTCTGCACCAGTTCGAGGCTTACCTTATTTTTGCCTCCCCTTACAGCTATTCTTACCTGCAGGTTCATTTTGTCTCGTCTTACTAGTTGCCTGTCAGTTTGCTGAGACAACGAGGCTGAGCTGAGCGCATACAAAATCAGCATCCTTCCCACCGTTTCCTGTGGAACCTCTGCAAAGCTCACCTCGACATTGCGACGACAACGAGAACAGCTTCTAACATGGCGTGCCCGCACCTCGAGACCATAGGCCCAGGTCCGTTCAGCCTAGCTGTCTCTACTCTGCTTCTTCTCTTTGCTCCCCGGGCTCCCAGCTAACTGTTTATAGCTCTGCAGCCGCCAGCGCCTTTCCACTCCGTCTACCGGGAAGACTGCACCCAGTGCTTTGACTCCCTTGTAAGCTCTCCCTTGCACCTCCAGCTCTTGCCCGTCCATCTACCGACCTATACTGACCCTCGGTATTCTAGGACGACTCTGCCGGTGTCGATGTCTGCCTACAGTGCTTCAACGGCGGTTGTGCTGGCGACCGCAACCATGCCCAGCTCCACCGACAGCTTTGGAACCACCCGCTCGTCCTCAACATTCGCCGCACTCGCAAGGTTGTCGTCCGAGACGAGCCCCCGCTAAAGATGTCCAAGCTCGCCATTGCCGCCGAGACTGAAGAAGACCGATTTGATACCGCAACCACTGTCAAGTGTCTCGAGTGCAACCAGGAACTTGACAAGACGAGCGACAAGCTCGCACCCATCGTCGATGGTATTATGAAAGCCAACACCTTTTCCCGCAAGGAAGAGGTCAAGGCTTGGGAGCAAGAGTTGACCAGTTGCGAGCACATCTTGTTGATGCAGCAGTCGGAGCCGCGGACCATCCAGTCTGGCGATCTCGGACACTGCTCCGCGTGCGACCTGCACGAGAACCTGTGGCTCTGCTTGGAGTGTGGAAATCTTGGCTGCGGACGTAAGCAGATGGGTGGTGTCGACGGAAATTCCCACGCTCTTGCACACTCGACCGAGTCCGGTCACGGCGTTGCTGTGAAGCTGGGATCCATCACCCCCGAGGGGACGGCAGACGTCTACTGCTACAAGTGTGACGAGGAGAGGATCGATGGAGATCTTGGACAACACCTGGGTCACTGGGGAATCATCTTGGCGGAGCAACATAAGACGGAGAAGAGCTTGACGGAAATGCAGATTGAGCAAAACTTGCGTTGGGATTTCAGCATGACTACGGAGGACGGAAAGGAGCTTAAGCCCCTGTTCGGTGCTGGTCTGACTGGTCTCAAGAATCTCGGCAACAGCTGCTACCTTGCTAGCATCGTTCAGTGCCTCTTCGACACCAACGCCTTCAAGAACCGTTATTACTTACCCGACCGTGACCTTCCTGCTGTTCAGGAGCCCGCGGCAGACCTGGAGACGCAGCTGCGCAAGATGGCGGACGGCTTGCTCTCTGGTCGTTATTCGAAGCCCGACTCGGATGTCATCGCATCTGAGCAGTCTCCCGAGATCCCTCATCAGAAGGGCTTGGCGCCCGCCATGCTGAAGCACCTAATCGGCAGAGGCCATGCCGAGTTTTCCACCATGCGACAGCAAGACGCTTTCGAGCTTCTCCAGCACATCTTCAAGCTTATCTCCCGATCTCAGCATCCATCTGACCTCGGTGATCCTACCCAGCCCTTCCGCTTCGTTCTGGAGCAGCGACTGCAGTGTCTTGGATGCAAGAAGGTGCGGTACACGACTAACGAGCAGGACAACATCTTCATCGACGTGCCACTGGAGAAGGCACCTGCCGCCGAGGGTGCCGAGACGAAGGCAGATGCCTACAAGGCAGTTACACTGAAAGAATGCCTTGACAACTTCACAGCCGAGGAGGTCGTGGAGCTGACGTGCTCTGCCTGCGGAAGCAAGGATGGCTACACGAAGCGCTCTCTGTTTAAGACGCTTCCCGAGAATCTCGTCGTCAACGCGCGCAAGATGGCCGTCATCAACTGGGTGCCTGTCAAGATTGATGTGCCAGTTATTGTTCCTGACGAGCCGTTCCTCCTCGACGATTACCTATCCAAGGGTCTGCAGCCGTCGGAGGAGGCCCTTCCAGACGAGCCTGAGAGCAGCGCCCCCGCCTTCGTCGCCAACCCCGAGGCTGTTAGCCAGCTGGAGGCCATGGGCTTTCCCCGCAACCGATGCGAACGAGCCCTGCATGCCACTGGCAACTCGGACGCCAATGCGGCCATGGAGTGGCTCTTTGGACACATGGAAGACCCTGACATTGACGAGCCCCTGGTTCTGAGTGGCGGCGCGGCCGCTGGTGGTGCCTCGGCGGACCCCGAGAAGATTGAGATGCTTGGAGCCATGGGATTCTCTGTGCCCCAGGCCAAGAAGGCACTGCGCGAGACCAACGGCGACGTTGAGCGGGCCGTCGAATGGCTCTTCAGTCACCCCGAGGACCAAGGAATATTTGACGATGACGAGGCGCCCGCCGCCGGGGCCGATTCCGCAACAAATAGGGCCGAGGCCGGAAGTGCCGCGACCCCTGCCAAGTACCAGCTCCAGTCTATTTCCTGCCACAAGGGCACGAGCATTCACGCAGGGTATGTACTCGTACGACTCCTGATGATGGACACCATTGTGCTAACAAAGAACTACAGACATTACGTTGCTTTCATTCGCAAGGAGGTTGACGGCCACCCTTCGTGGGTTCTGTTCAACGACGAGAAGGTCGTCGAGGCGGCCGAGATTGAAGAGATGAGGAAGTTCGCCTACGTCTATTTCTTCAAGCGTGTCTAAGTTGTGGGGGGTGTGAGTGGGCAAAGGCGTTTGGGTTGCGGAATAACGACGAAAATCAGCCAGGCTTTATACAGCCCCTGCGCGGTTTATGAAGGGACATGTTGGGATTGCATGTATCAATGGTCAAGGGTGAGGGGAGCATGGTGTAGCATGGTGTATGTAGCATGGGTAACGGTGGGCGGTTGTTGTTGACGTGTAGACGAAGAGGAAATGTGCGGCATAGAAAAAGGTTACATTGAAGGGGTCACAAGAGCCACTAGTTACGAAAGATGCGTTCTTTATGACCAAAAAAAAAAAAAAAAAAAATCAAGCAGATGCCCGTCCTAAAGACGAGGCGATTTAGAACTCCTGACTATACAAAGTCTTTGCAAGACCCCGAGTGATCTTAAAACGCCGGGAACGCCCCTCACATTTTGCCCTCCTCAATAAAAAGCATCATGTTCCCTCGAGAGACACATCCGCCCTTGGCGGGCTGACCCTGACCCTGACCACAGGCCTCCAATCAATCATACATACCCAGTCTTTTGTACGTGTGTTGTGTGTTTTCACCATTGTCATCCCATAATATTACATGTCGATATGGCGGGGACGGGTGCCCCCTTCTCCCTCCGTTCACTCGGCCAGGCGGTAGCTGACGAGGGTATCGACTCGGTGGTTGCTGGTGCTGAAGCCGCGCAGCTGGACGCGCTCGCCGTCGACAATCTCTTTGGCGTCGCTGTCGCCCCACTCGACGGGCACCTCGCTGTCTGCGTCGGCGTAGACGAGCACGTTGAAGGTGCAGTCGCCGGCGAGCTGGGGGAGGAAGGTAACGGAGGCGGTGATTTGGCGGAAGATGGCGGCGATCTCGTCCTGGATTTCCTTTTCGGTCTTTTCGGGGGCGGGGGCGTTTGCCGATCTGTTCAACGTTTGTCAGCGAGTGTGCTTTTACGCGATTGGAATATGAAAGGAACGGAGGGAGCGTACCCTGGTGCGACGTTTTCCTGGTCCGTTGCCTTGGAGCTCGATTTCGACTTGGACTTGGACTTTCCAAAGATTTGTACCTATACAATCATGGAACAGTCAGCGCTGCGGTCTTGGTGTTGCCGTAGGGAGCGTATGCGGTTAACTAACGTCAAACTGCCAGCGCTCGACGTGCTCTCCTGTGTCCTTGTTCGTGATGACGATGACGAGCTTGGAGATCTTTCCGCGGAGCATCCAGCGGTCCAGCTGGCTCATGATCTTCTTGATGTATGCCCTAACCTGGTCATCCGACGAGACTGCGATTCGGTGCGGTTCGTTAGTTTGTATGCTTGCGTACGAGGGGGGTTGCGGTCGTAGGGATTCGAACCTAGCATGTTGAGGCCATATTTCTTAACGCTACATTAGGGGTTCAAGCATGTTAGAGAGATTCATCTTGGAGGAAAAGATTCCGACATTATGTCTGGACGGATTGGCTTACGCAGTGAAGTCCTCTGCGGGATAGACGCCTCGTTGGAAGCTGGAAGCGGGGTTAGATCATGTTGCGCGACGACTGTAGTAGCGGGGTGTGGGCGAGAATGCGTACAGGATTGTGTGTATTGAGTATTGAAACTGAAGAGGACAATCCTGGTTAGCCCAGAGTTCGATTTGCGCAACGCGGTGGAGGGATTGGGAAGAAGGAGACGACTTACGAACTCGGCGACGAGCTTTGCGCTACCCTTGAGGGCAAGCTTGTGCACCTTGGACTTGTCGGACTTGTCGTCGGCACCCATATTTGTGATCAAGTAGGGTCGTTGTTGGACCTGCGACAGTGATTTTATTCGTGCTGGAGGGTGGAGGCGGCACTGCAGGCGCGGTAGGCGTGGATGTGGTGAGCTTGATTGATTGACCGGACCGGCGGGTTTGAGGCGATTCGTTTGTTTACTTTTGGTGTCTGGATTGATTTTTGGGCTGGTTGCGGGGTGATTAGCCCAGGCGGTGACAGCTGGGCATGTGGCGTTAGGGGGCCGGGCATTCGTCGGTCCAGGGCTTCTCCCTCTATCTTCTTGGTGGGATGTTTCCCCCACAATTTCGGGCCGGCAGCCAGAAGCTCCACTAGTCGGCAGTGCCATCCGTATTGCTGGGTTTTGAGCCAATGTGTTTGTAGATCATGGACTAGGTATTTCATTCTCAGTTGGCAGTAAGTCAAATAGGTCGTCATCTCATTTATCGAACTCATCGGTCGCTCTATTGAAAAGAATATACTGGGGAGGTTCTTATGAAAAGAATGGTCCGACAGTGGTTATACGCCGTTAACAGATTTGACCATCCGATTTTGCTGGCTTTCATGCTGTCATGTTCTCACATTAGATTCAATGCAGCTTATCTCACGATTACCAACATTTGGCTGAGCCGACTCATTTCTATTCAATGACTATACCAAGAACTGAACGAACTGATACGAGATTTACATGCAACCGATTCACTTTATACTCCAACAAACCTGATTGTAACTAACAGTGGTCTTACTACGATGCATTCTGCTTTTATGAAATACTTTGTTCAAATAGCAGTTTCGATGTAGACTTCGTCAATGTGTCTTATTATTGCAAGTGAAACACAATAAGCCGATGGTGTAAGGTGTACATACATCAAGACACTATAACTCCCATTCACATATTTTCTCGTGCAAGCCCGTCTGTGACTATTTCGTAGCCCAGCGATCTGCACGTATGCCCTTAAGGGAACTGTATATCGCTATCTGAATATAGCTATCAAAAACGGAACATCTCATATTGTCGCGTATCTTGAGAAGATACAACATGAGTGCCGAGATCGATTTCTAAGAACTCAAGGTTGAGCCCTCTCAAGGTAAGTTCCCTCGGAGACCACCTAAGGATTTGCGTCTTGGGTTAAAGCTACTTTGGAAATTCTTGTTTAGTAGTAGTGATCTACTACCAACGCCAAGCCAAAACCAGCTTATCACCCTCTTGATGAATAAGCTGTTATTGAAATCCAATTACAAACTAGCACAACACATGCCAATGCCACGTCAGACGGTTTCTCGCCGGAACGGCCCGCCACAAGTTATTGGAAGATATCGAAGATTCGAAACTTGGTTTTGTCAAGAATCGATTTGGTTTACTTCTGCTTCCGGGTCGAAGCTTTGAAGTTGTGATAGCTACTGATTATAATCTCTGGCGACGGCCCATTACGTGTGCAAAGACCAACTCAAAGCTTTGTAGTGACCACTCAGCATGGCCTGCCGACATGGCCAAGTCCCTTGGGAAACATATTCGGGACTGTACAGGGAGAAGGATCTTTACGAAAATAGGTGCTACAGGCACACGGAGGCATGGAGACGTGGGCCTCAAGCCATTCAAACAGCACACCGTAACACGCATGAACCAAGCATTGGAACATCAATCTTGAAATGATTTGACTCTTCACTTAGCTGGCAGCCTCACCAACACGAAAGTTTTACCGATGTCGCTTGTTTTTTTGCCCAGTAATGCTGGAAGACGTCCAACGGTCGGGTGCTCGGAGATGTGTTGATCGCGAAATCAGATCATAGCTCCGATTGCCGCAGAACTGAGCAAAGCAGAGTAATTACCCACTCTTTGGTTGGAGGGGATAGAAATATAGTTAGTCCACCAGGATAACACTGCATTTTGAGTCTATATAATAAGCTCGCTTCCATAGTGGCAACATAATCGCAATTGACGAAAATGTTAGCGACTCACTTGGATAGTTATCCATGTGCGTTCTGCCGAGAGAGGCCGATGCGAGAAACTCGGAGATGCTAACCTCGTATACAGTTTGCGGCTCACAAAGTCTCTGTCACGTAATATAATGTCAGTAAATTGCTCGTCAATTCACGATAAACGCGCGAATAATAATCACCTTCCGATTCCATTCCGAGTGCCCCTGGCGCCAAGCCAACGGAACCCGGCTCGTTCAGATGAAAAAAAAAAAAGAAAAAAAAAAAGATATAGGTGCCACACCATTTGTACTTATTTCAAGGGTCCAAAAGTTCAAAGTAGGGTCCTTGCACAGTGAGAGTTTAAAAGCACAGGAAAAGCATTACCACATTCCTATTCGGTTTCCGCATCGGAGCCTGGCGCCATGCACGCAGGAGGGGAATTGAGTCCTGTGCGGTCTCGGCAATTGTTCAAATCAAGTTCAACATCCGTTTTCCTCGGATCCAACCGGCGCTGGTTCATATTCATGGGGCGGAGGGCGTGATACGGGACGCACGAAGGATCCTCTCATGCGCATGTACCTGACCACACAATTCAAAATGAAGTCTAGCCTCACCTCGCTAAATATTAAACCCCAGCGTTTCCCCACTCATTGAGACAAATTCATAGTGATGGAGACAATGTTAATTGGAACTCTGCTTGATCTAATCTTATCAGATTCATCTAATCCGAGGCCGAACGGAGCGGTGGCTCTGTATAGGTTGTCAGGGGTGTCCCGCTTCCTCGGGGGAAAATAAGAGTTGCCCTATAAGATGATCGCCGTCTGTCTAGTATCTTTGAAATGGTCTGCCATCTGAGTCCCCAGGTGGCTGTGTCAAATCGCCAATCAGACAAGTCATGTCCGGCAAACTTCTCGTGACAGCCGTCTCAGCGTTGCTGCTGACTGGATTCGCCCAGGGTCAAGGTCCTCTTGAGGGAACTGGTCTGGACAAGCAGAACGTCACTTTCTCCGTGCCCAGAACTCGCTTCGTGGTTGAGTTCTCTGATTCTGGTTCTGCAAAGTTCAGAAAGCGCGATGGTTCAGCTGTTCGTATATACCACTCAATCAATTCTCATGATGCGGCTTCAGACTGACCCAGCTCAGGACACTGAGGGTTTCTACGAGAAGGTGCAGCTCACCAACAACACGGCCCAACCAGCACTGAACTTCACCTCGGACATCTTCCATGGCGCCTCTTTTGAGCTTCTTAATCATACTACTCAGTCCATCAGCGAGATAGAAGCTCTCCCCGAGGTCAAGCACATCTGGCCCGTTAGCTACGTCTATGCCCCGACGCCTGAAGCGAATGACGTTGGAAAGGGGCCCCAGATTGCCAAGTGGGATCCGCACGTTCTCACGAAAGTCAACGACGCCCACAAACTAGGCTTTGACGGAAAAGATGTCATCGTTGCCGTAGTTGACTCTGGCATTGACTACACGCATCCCGACCTTGGAGGTGGCTTTGGAAAGGGTTTCAAGGTCGAATCCGGCTGGGACTTTGTCGGAGACAACTATGCAGTTGAAAGCCCCAACGACCTTTACCCTGATGACGATCCCAAAGATTGTCAAGGTCACGGAACCCACGTTGCCGGTATTATCGCCAGCAGCAACAAGGATCTGCCTGGAGTTGCCCCTAATGCCCGCCTCCGCGCGTACAAGGTGTTTGGCTGCGGCGACGGCACGACGGAAGATGTCATCGCGCAGGCTTTCATCCAGGCTTATGAAGACGGCGCGGACATTATTACCGCATCGCTTGGTTCTGACCGTGGCTTTGCTGAGAACGTTGTTGCTCAAGTCATTACTAAAATCACTGCGAAGGGCACTTTTGTTTCGGCAGCTGCTGGAAACTCAGGCGCCAGAGGTAAGATTACCCATACCGGAGGTTTCCATGTCGCCGACTAAATTATCAGGTCCATACTTCACCAGCAGTCTCGCCAACGGTTTCGGCGGGTTGACAGTAGGCAGTGTCCAACACACACAACAGGCGGCATACGAGGTCGTGGCCAAGTCGAGCGGCGGCGAGTCACGAACGATGGTAAGTATTTTGTTCGTAGGCATGTTTCGTTTGGCACGTTTAGCTGACTGCATCAGTATTATATCAACAGTGATGGCACCCAGTGGAATAGAAACGGCACTTTCAAAGCGTACATTCCTCCCGTCAATCGCGACTTCGACATCTGCTTTGGAGACTTGCCTGTGCCTGATGGAGGCATCCCTGATGATGATATTCTTGTTTTGCCGTCAGTTTTGTCTCATATCGATCACGCTCCTAGAGAAATTACTGACTGACCTAACGACAGCCGCGGAAAGGAGTTTTCCTGCCAAGACACCTGGCAGTTGATGGACAGTAATCTCATTGGAATCACTAAATGGGTGTTCTTCTACAACTACCCTAACATCAGCTACCAGCAGCCTGATAGGTCCAAGTATCGTGATGATCAACCCATTGGATGTAAGTCAGAGAGATACATGGCGATAACTGCTCGAAGCTAACAGATCAGTCGCCACTATCAATTATGAGGATGGCATATGGATCGAGGAGCAAGAAGAGGGAGGCCACTCCGTCGAGTTCGAGTTTGTGTACGAACCCACGAACGCCATTGGCATTGAAAACAGTGCAGCTGCCATCAACGACTTCAGCTCATGGGGAGCCACCCTGGACGGCCGCATGAAGCCTGAAATCTCTGCACCAGGTATGATTGCTTTTCATGGGATGGCAATACAATGCTAACTCTCAAAAAGGTGGCAGAATTCTTTCTACCTGGCCGGTAAGCCTTGGAAATTGGGCTGTCCTTTCTGGTACTAGCATGGCCACACCTTACGTATGCCTCAAACCTCTTGCGACCCAAGTTTGAAGTGATGCGCTAACTGTGGACATTGTAGATTGCCGGAGTTGCTGCACTTTACTTCAACTCTATCGGTGGACGTTCGGCTCTCTCTGGCAATGCGGCTGAAATTGCCCACCGCCGTCTTGTGGCCAGTGGTAGCCCCATCCGTTACCAAAACGGCAGTGAAGTCCTTGCGTATGTTATATTCTAGCATAAAAGCTCGTTGAGAACTTGTGTAAAACTAACAATTCTGGTCCAGACCCGTTGCCAAGCAAGGTGCCGGCCTGGTCGATGCCCTGAAAGTGGTTGCCCTCAAGACGGTGATTTCGCCAGCCAACATCAACTTGAACGACACATCCTACTTCAGTGGCAAGCACACAATCACCATTGAGAACCACAGCGACGAGGAAGTCACATACTTTGTCGCTCACCAGCCTGGCAGCACGACCCGCTCCCGTGAGCGTGGTGACGCATGGGTTGCTTCCGAGCCGCTTCTCAAGACGGACCAGGGCTTGGCTATCGTCGAGCTCTCGGCTAAGGAGGTCAAGATTCCGGCTAAAGGAAGCGCCACCGTTGATGCCACTTTCACAGAGCCTTCTGATATTGACGCCGCTGTCCTTGCCATGTATGGTGGTTACATTAACGTGGTTGGGTCGAACGGTGAAGCTGTTCGGGTTACGTACATGGGTATGTCCGCCCTATGATCCCGCACTGCGATATAACACTAACTTTTGTAGGCATCAAAGGATCTCTCTTCTCCGCCGATGTTTGGGAGATTGAGCGTGGCGTGCCTGTCTGGTTTGGTCCCGGAGGCTACGGTGATACTATCGAGGATGGCAAGGTCTTTGCCTACCCATCTATGCCAGAACCTTATTTCAACGTTCTTTGGTCTACCAGAGAGTTCAGCTTTGATGTAAGAAACTGAAAGTCCTCTCTTTTCAAACTTACGTACTAATCAACATCCCAGCTTGTTCGTCCGGACTGGAATACAACGGACTGGACGTGGCCCTTGGTCTCCGGTAAGAACAACCACGTGGGTATCACCACCTACTATGACCCAATGACAAGCGAGTACTTCCCTTTTCCAAGCACGTATATCCCTCGGCCAGCTGGAACCTACTGGCTGAGCCTGGGCGCCAACTTGACTCACGGCGAAGCTGTCGTCCCCGGCGAGTACTGCCTTTTGGCGCGCGCTCTGAGAACGTATGGCGATTACGCCAACCCCAAGGACTGGCAGTTCCGCCTCTCGCCTAGGTTTGTCATTGCCGAGCCTGAGGGACAAGCGACGACGACGAGTTCCGAGGTCGAGCCAACAGTTGCGCCAACGGTTACGCCCACTGTTGCTGCTACATCTACGACCGAGGCACCTGTGACAGTTACACTAGGTCTTCCTGTAGAGTCCTCTGCGGTTCCTCAAGAGACCCCTGTGGTCTCTGTTATCTAGGAGCTTTGTATAAAATCTGGTAGTAGGATATGATCCATAAATTTTAAATCTGTAATTTACTTCGATATAAACCACACGTACTTCTGTCGTAATCGTAAAAAATATGGCACGATGGATTGTCTGTGAACTCCAAATTTGACCACCTTCTCTTGTCGTTTGTTGAAATCCAACACTGAATCACAAAGAGAAGGATTTGCCGGAATTCAACTTTACTCGCCGGATAATCCTGTGGTAATTCGAACATTACATGTGTGGCAACACCATATGTATACTTTATCAGCAGAACACAATCGGCAATTTTACGTCTTGTGTGAGACTATTGAGCCAATTGGATCTACTTGTTTTACGACCAGTTGACTAACTAGGCAACTATACGTAATCAAACACTTGTTCAAGACTGAAAACTCCATATTATGAAGCGGCGAAAACCCAGACCATCCCATCAACTGCTGAATGGCTACAGGGTATAAGCCGTGAGAAGGAATATCTAGCCAGGAGTTAGCCCAGACGTTTTCTAGCCAACCGAATAATGCAATTATTATATACTTGTGCTGTATAAATATTCTAACTGTTGCGGAAATAGTTGCACTTACCTTGTCCAAACACATGTTTGGACGCAGCTACAACTGGGAGAAAATGGAGGATACTGCTAACATTATGTATGTCTGTCACAAGGCGTGAAAATGTACAGGAAACTGGGAACAGTGTCCCGGTAGCCATTTAGCAGTTGGTGAGATCTATCCTTAAAATAGAATCTTGGCGAAATTTCCTTCATCTCTTTGAGAATGAACTATTCAATACTTTCCATGGGAAGTAACAGATGGAAGGTCCCCTTAGTCGTGATCGAAAGTCTATTTTATTACAAGTACCGGGGTTATTACGTATAGCCTACTATGACCTGCAATGTGCCGCTTTCCTTTGTCTGCTTAGATAATCCCGGGAAGGTTGCGATCATCCAAGAGTTCTTAGTTTTTCGTACGACCTTAAATGTTGCTGTTTAAACTTTGTTTGACCTATGTTTAACTAATTAGAAATTGTCTTTCTGAAAATTTCTGAACATCCTATCCAATCTTTTCTTGTGGAACTAGATTGTGAAATTGATTCGGACACTATTAGAATAATACCAAGTTTTCTTGTGGTGTTTTTGTGGGTGGCAGGCCTCGCCGGCCCGTCACGTGGGCTGACGGCCGCCACCACTGGTCTTAGCCAGCCTCCACAGCCCTCTAGCCAGTTAGTTAGTTCTTCAACCAACAACACCACTTTTCCCATTCTGAGCGTTCTGTGCCGGTTCTCGCCCACAGGTTATGAGCCTAGCGTTATTCTTTCAGAATAACGTCGTTTTACCTATTATTCTACTTGTCTGTCAATTTTCTATTGATTCACGAATTTTTGCGATTTTATTTGCTTTATTTACCTTTTTATGCGATTTTCTTGCTTTCTTTCTTCTTTGCTAACGAATTTTACTTTCTGACGCGATATTAGTGTTACGACCCGTCAGATGCACTTAACAGACCCACTGGGTCGGGCGGCTACGACAGGACATATGTACGTAGGATCACGGGAACAAGGGTAAACCTCTCGGCAAGGAAGAACTATGTTACAAGTCACGTGACAATCGACCAATCAGGACAGAGTCGACAGAGTCGACGAGCGACTCTGTAGACTCCTGTAAAGGACCAATCAGAAGAAAGTCGATAGAGTCGACGAGCGACTCTATAGACTCTCCAAGACATTGGGAAACGGGACTTGTATATAGACCAGGACTTGAGCATCTGCTCAAGCCCTCTAGATAGTTCTTCAGCAATCAACTTGTGATTCATCCTCGAATGACTTTCAGCTTACCTCTCAGTATTGTGAATACTAAGAACCTCGTTACTATAGTGTAAGACTGATCACCTTACCCTAACCCTACGATCTACCAGAACGACCCCTACGAACCAGTGTTAGTCTCTTACTGCACCTTCTGTTAGCAGAACCCTACTGTCAGATAGCTGGCCGTAACAATTAGCTACCTAGCGCGCACGAATATTATATAGCACGCAACCGACTATTATAACCTATTAGTTTTTATAAATACTACAGAATTCTATTATAATAACAGACTTTTTAGTTATAACTATATTATAACTATACTTTTACTTCGATTTCCTCGTTTTTATAAGAATTTAACTATTTTAGCTTTAGTTTTTTAAACTAGCTTATTAGTTTCTTATATCTTCTATAAGTATTTATTCTTCCCTTCGATTTACTATATTTCTATAGTTAGATCTTATAATTCTACTTATTTCTTATATTCTTATATAAGATTCTCCTTCTTATATAATATTTATACTTCTTTAATACTATTTACTTATTAATACTTTCCCTTTCTAATAGTATATATAGGTAATAGCGAAAGTAAGCTATCTAACGTATAGACACGCTTCTAAAGCTATAGCCTCGGAGAAACGCTTATAATCAAGGTACGACTATAAGTCTATCCCGTACTATTATAATACCCTTACTTTTAAGATGTCTTAAAACGATTTTAAGACCGTCTTTACGCTTCTTCCTTGCTTGAAAGGTAAATCTAACTAGAATATATAGCGTATGCTTATTATAGCGACCTTGCGAGGATACGACTTCGAGATATTCCTTAAGACTAACGTCCCTCGCCTTGCTAACCTTATCGCTATAGAGGAATAGAGAAAGAACCGTAACGTTACGTATAGTCTCCTTATAAACGCTAGCGAATCGGTTCTTAACAGACTCTATATAGCAGGTTAGGTTAACGATAGAAACCCTTACGAATTATAGCAGGCGCTTAAGAAGTATATTCCGAGAATCTTATAAGACGCTATAGCTACCTTTATTAATAAGTTTACTAAGACTATTACTAACGATTATAAGACTTTTTATAATACCTTTAATTACTATTACTATTTTAGAAAGCGTATTAAGACTATTTATAGTCGTCTACTAGACTCTTTCCTTACTATTTTCCTTTTTAACTTTTTTAAAAACCGACTTCCCGATACGTATAAGTATTTTATATCGAAAGGCGCTACCTATCTGTTACGACCCGTTGGACATGGTCGCCAACACGACCCCGCCTGGATCCCGGCGGCTAACGCAGGGCATATGTAACCCAGCCGGACAGGTGTAACCAGGGATCCTCGGAACGGAAGAACTATGGACAAGTCACGTGGCCTCGGGGATAACGCGGGGTAAGGACAACCCGGGCTGGATATGTTGGATATGTCAAATATCCAACCGATCCCCGGATATGTTGGATATGTCAAATATCCAACATAGCCAAGATAAGGAGGACCGTTCAGGACTTGTATATAGGATGGACTCGAGCCGGGCTCGAGGACAGACTTCCATAGCTCTTCAGCAATCAACTTTGTGATTACCCTAACCGGTACTTTCAGCTATACCTAAGTGACGACTACTCTACGACTCTTGTTGAGGCCTTGACTGATCACCAAGACCTTTGAAGATCTACGATTCAATCGACCAGACCCCAGAACGACTGTTACTGTTGTCAATCCCTGGCTTACTGTTAACACAAACCCACTGTTAGTTAGCTGGCCGTAACACTATCCTACGTAAAATAAGGTAGCTAATACGATTTATATACTTACCTAAGACGAGGATTAAAAGCATAGTTATGCTACTATTCGTAATATACCTAGAAGCAAGTCTGCTAGCAATAAGGGTCTTGCCTCTCTAGCCGTTACTACTACCGTTACTTTTACTATTACTACTTTTAAAGAAAAGAAGAAGTACGACTATTATAACTATAATTACGAGACTACGAAGTACTATATCGCCTACCTTAATCTTATCCTTCTATACTATATTAACTAGGATAAGTTAATTAAAAAAGTAAGAAAGTATATATATAGCGATCGCTACCGCTAGGATTAGCCTACTTCTATTAATAATACCTACTAGACTATTATTAAAGCGTTACCTACTATCTTAGGTTAGTCTACCCTTGCTTCTATTACTAGCCTAGTAGTTTTTACTACTATTTACGATAACCTTATTACCTGTTAGAAGTATAAGTATATTATACTTCTATTTTACTTATTTATCCTATTTAGTCTTATCTAAGACTTAGTAGGACTTACAAAAGTAACTAGCTAAGAATGGCTGCTTGCTAGTTTAAACATATGATATTCTGTTGGAACGGTAGGTAGGAATCTCGTAGATAGTACGATATCCTTATAACAGGGTATTAGAGTAAGGGAACTTGTACTTATGAAGTAGGGCTTTAATAGTAAAGAATGTATAGGCTTATATTGAAGCTGAGTTGGTTGAGGAACTAATAGCTAGCTAAGGGAGAGAATTAGGCTAGTTATATAGTAGTATAACGTCGCCTATAATAGCTAATATAGGAAGCTATAAGCTAGGTTTAGTATACGTAAGTATATACGTCAACTAGCTTATAAAGCAGCTTATAAATCAGACTAGAATCTTCTTTAACTAAATAGACTTTTAGATAAGGTTAAAGAGAGTATTCCATAGAGATCTGAATGTCATATGTTTAAACTAGCAAGCAGCCATTCTTAGCTAGTTACTTTTGTAAGTCCTACTAAGTCTTAGATAAGACTAAATAGGATAAATAAGTAAAATAGAAGTATAATATACTTATACTTCTAACAAATACTCTCTTTAACCTTATCTAAAAGTCTATTTAGTTAAAGAAGATTCTAGTCTGATTTATAAGCTGCTTTATAAGCTAGTTGACGTATATACTTACGTATACTAAACCTAGCTTATAGCTTCCTATATTAGCTATTATAGGCGACGTTATACTACTATATAACTAGCCTAATTCTCTCCCTTAGCTAGCTATTAGTTCCTCAACCAACTCAGCTTCAATATAAGCCTATACATTCTTTACTATTAAAGCCCTACTTTATAAGTACAAGTTCCCTTACTCTAATACCCTGTTATAAGGATATCGTACTATCTACGAGATTCCTACCTACCGTTCCAACAACTATTAATATTGAGACTTCGGGATTCGGAGGATTTCACAGCCTCCTATTAGCTAGGTTTAACCGGTAATTAACCGAGTTTTCTAATAGTTAAGAACTCCTCGGATTTAGAAGATTTAGGACTTTTCCTATATTTCCTATTATTCTACTGCTTTTTCGCTGAGGAGTCTGAGAGGGGGTGTGGGTGGCAGGCCTCGCCGGCCCGTCACGTGGGCTGACGGCCGCCACCACTGGTCTTAGCCAGCCTCCACAGCCCTCTAGCCAGTTAGTTAGTTCTTCAACCAACAACACCACTTTTCCCATTCTGAGCGTTCTGTGCCGGTTCTCGCCCACAGTTTTCGTTCATAAAATTGCTTTATAAATTTCTAATTCTTGACGGCGTCTCGCCTCAAGATGATCCAAAGTGGTCAGTCTTCAAACACTCATTCAAACAAAAAGAGTCCAAATTACAAAGCAAAAAACAACAAACCTTCACAACTCGCGTGATGCCAATGCGAAAAACTCCAATCCCGAGAATACGCCAATACGACAAACACACACTTTCCCAAATGATACGCAATTTCTCAACCATTCAAAGAAAGTTTTGAAAACAGGAGAGGTCGGTTACATTGCATTACTAATATGTGTCATGGCACCCTGCATCGTCGGTGCTCAAAACCGCGAAGCCGATCAGCAGCCCTTCCCCCCCTGGCCCTCGACATCCATAACGTAAAAAAGACCCGGCTGGACCAACAGGGACAGGCCTATCAGACTGCGAGAAGACCGATTTTTGTAACATAAAAATGATATAATGGGTTTCCCGAGAGGCAATCCTCCCTTTTTGACGAAACTTCGAGAAAATATTACTATCGTCCACCTAGACCGGAGCCCGGGAGAACCGGGGAGAGACGGGGGTCTTCGGACCCGTGCAAAAGTGACGATGGAACCGCTAAGTCCGATTAAATGATGGTGTGTGTGGCGATATGTAGTGTAGGATCGTGTATAGTAATTGTTGTCCGTCGCCTCATGTGGGTTGCTGCTGACACACCGCTCAATCCTGGAAAGAAAAAAAAAAAGTTTTACAAAGGTAGCAGCATCATGACAGTTTTTTTTTTTTTTTTTCTTTTTTTCTTTTTTGTGCTCAACCTATTCGGCATCGCGCCGCAACCTCGGCATAGGTGACGGATACAAACTGGGCGCGCGTTGGCTACTGCTACAAATCTGTGGCGATCGCGTCTCTGAAGGTTTAAACGTTCTCGAAGGTTATTTGTTAAGCTCGACGCCTACCGCAACTTAATGACGTTTAGAATGGAACGTCATTGTGACGCTGGGGGTCCGTGTGGGTAATTGATGTGCAGTGCGTCAACAAGACAAGAACCGGGCCGGGAGGATCCGCCTTACGCTATGCACGAGTGTGGAATTTCCGGAGAGATCTTCAGACGAACATTTTTTTTCCAGGTGGCGAGAGCTTGTCATGGGCTAGATCACGTACGTTGTTGGGGTAACATGGCATGAGTTAGTTACATGGCGGAGTCACATGGCGCAAAGCCAAGCGAAAATCCAAGAGGCGCGGTATCAAATCACAATGATTGAGCGAGAGTGTGTGAGAGAGAGAGACAAATTATCGCGGCATAACACATGGGGTATTCGATTATTTACATAACTATTAATTTCATTCTCCGTGGCTGAGCTTAGCCGACAGGAGCGCAAGTGAAGGGGCTGTTGATAGCACCAGTCTTGAACTTGTGGTTCTGGGGAAATGGTTAGCATTTGCAATGGCAACATTAAGCGGCGAATGGTAAAACTCACAATCTCAACGATACTGGCGTAGGTACCGCAGACAAGAACGACAATGCCAATGACGAAGGCGAGGGCGTTCAGGCCGGTCTTGACAAGGTTGTGCTTGGCGTACCAGGGGCCCTCACGGATGAGCATAAACCACATCATGGCGGGGAAGTAGAAGGTGAAGCCGGAGATGAAGAGGGAAGAGCTGATGGAGAGAAGCTCGGAGAAGAAGGGGATGGCCTCGGCGATGATGAAAGCGAAGATAGTGACGATGGTAATAAGAACCAACCAGGTGATCCAGCCCATCTTGGTGTTAATATAACGGATGATGGAGTCCTTGTACACGCGGCCGTGGATGTAACGACCAACGACGGTGGTGTTGATAGAGCCCGAAATGAAGATGACGGGCAGGGCGACACCGAAAGCAATCTTGGAGATCAAAGGACCGGCCGACAGCAGAGCGGGAGACTGGACCTCCTGTCCGACGAAAGCGTAGATGAGGGCACCGGTGAGGGTGTAGATGAAGATCTCAATAAGACCGAGAGCCCAGATAGACTTGACGTAGTCCTTGGGGGTGTGCATCTCGTCCATGAAGGAGAACTGGCAAATGGCGAAGCTGTAGGCGAAGACAATGTTCGTGATGGCAATGAAAGCCTCGGCGAAGGTGATACCCTCCTTGGGCCAGGCAGACCAGGCCGCGCCAGTGATGCTGTCCCTGTTGATGCCAGTAGCAATCATGGTGATACCAATAGCCAAGATGATGGAGACGAAGTCGATGTATCCCAGAATGGCGACCTCGGCGAAGGAAGGCGGGATAGCAAGGACGAGGAGGATAATGGCGGAGACAACAGCAAAGACGATGGAGCATGCGCCGTTCTCAGTGATGTTACCAAAGGCGATGGCACCGGTAAGGGTGTGAGAGGAGACCAGGAAAGTCAACTGCAGGGCAAACATGACACCAACGAGCTCGTAACCGAAGCGACCCATCATCAACTGACCAGCGTCGGCGTAGTGGGAGACATGGGGGAACTTGATCTTGACCTGACCGACGACGTCACTGGTGTAGATGGCGACGAGACCGAGACCGATGCAGAGGATGACACCGGCGACCATACCAAGAGTAGCGAAGGCACCGGGAAGACTGAGACTGCCCAGGGCGATAGCCTCGACGATGAGGACGACGGTGAGACGCTTCCAGCCGAGACGGTGGAAGTGAGCACTTCCCTGTGCGGCCTTCTGCTTCTCGAGATCCGCCCGGTTGAGGTCGGTGACCTCACCTACGACCTCGCCAGGGAAGACGGCATCGCGCGAGAACTGGGGAGCGACAGCGGCACCGTCCGACTTGGTGTCTTTGGCCTCAGCCCCCTGGTTCTGTCTAATCTGATCGTGATCCATATCTACGGTAGTTGCGTAGTTTATGGCTATTGAGTTGTTGGCGTTGATGGGATGGTTTTATTAATTGTTGGCGAGACGTGGGTCCTGGTAGGGCGGACGAGTTTTTTTTTTTTTTTCTCTCTCTCTTTGCGACAAAGAGGGTTGGTTGGTGTCGCGTGTGGGTATACCAGCGGAGTTAGTAGTGGTGGTGGCACACGAGCACACGCACACACACAAAGAAAGGACCTGGTTGAGCTGGTCGAACGGCAGTTGAGAGGAAGAGAGACTGAGAGAGAGAGAGAGTCGATTGCCAGTTGGACTGAAGAAAAAAGAGAGGGAAAACAGTCGAGAAGATGGGAAGATGGGAGGAGGATATATGGTGGCGAAGGCGGAGCAGCAGCACCGACCCCGGAGTCAGACCGAGGGCTCGAAGCCTCGACTCGTCGAGCTTGCAATGAAAGCAACGAGACTGGCCCCGGCACACATTGAACAAGGGTCTTATCTATTGGCCCCCCGCGATCTTGGAGCGGTGACACCGGCAACTACGAATGCGAGTGGGCGGGAAAGGGGGGTGTGGAGGACGAGGAGAAGGAGGAGAAGGAGGATCCTGAAGGACAGGTTCACCAACTCGGGTCAGTGATATCAAAGCTCGTCCCATCCCAGTCGATTCCGTGCGTCTTGATTTTGCGGGGGAATAGACCGTTGCAGAGTTTCCCCGCGAAATCGACCAGCGTCCCTGAAAGGTTCCCAAGTGGCCTCTGTCGTTCCGACAGTTCCTAGAATCAAGACCGGACATTGGGGTTTTGCGTTGTCAGGAAAACAAGGAGGCGTCGACGAGGTTGAAGGTAACTATGGGAGCAATTGCGGGACTGAGGCAATTGGGCAAGTTTTCGCATCGTAATAGAGTGGATTTTCTGACCTCTCATTTACATAATTGCCCCAGTAGCAGAGCCGCAGAGTGGCCTCACCTTGCCCCTTGAGTCAGTCCATACCCACGATCAGCCCCGAAATACGACCGGTGGCGCTGATAACAGGGCTGTCTTGGCCAGGATACGATGGGTTTAATGGAGAGGGCCCTCGTGCAGCTTATCTCGTTGAGAGAAACTCTCTCTGACGCCCTGTTCGCAATGTTGAAACTGCGTTGGAGGGCATCCGACAAAGACATCGGACGTTGAGCCAAGAGTATGAGGCTCTTTCTTCAGATGGGAAAAAAAGAGAGCCAAGTTGACGATTGCCGAGCAAGGGGGGCCTGAGCCGTTCCTTGGAACAGCAGCCACCCATAGGCTAGCCGCTCGCCGTCGACAATTTGTGCAGTGTGCCTTGATACACTATGCCAGTTGTGGTTGTAATGCCGGTTACCCGCAGGCTGCCGCAAAATAAAACGTAATAGCGCGGCCCTGGGTCCCGTGTAATCCCGACATCCTTGAGTCGTCATCCCTGTCAGCCCACCAATCCGGTCACGCATAGGGAAGGCTTCTAGAAGATCGGCTGGAAGGCGAGGAATGCTTGTCGACGCCTCCGACGTCGTTCACTGCGCATAGAAGCCAATAGTCCCCTGTAAATCTCTGTTGGCGCTGTTGGCGACGCGAGATCTAGCGCGACGGTTGTCTTGGGAGCATCCATGCCCAGACTCCAACGCCATGAACGCAGAAAGGAACTGGCGCAGACCCTTTTTTTTGTCTTTTCTTTTATCTTCCCTTATTTTTTTTTCCCTCCCTCCTTTTATCGTTCCTAATCCACTCTGTGAGCGCTGTGACTGGTCAGTCGTTTTCTGGACTCAAAAGATTGACATACTCACATTACCAACCGTAGAGATAAAGATTTCGGACCTACTTGGGGGGACATACCGCTGCCCCAAGAGCATTACGACCGAAATGACCGACATGAGAGGATACGACACAGGTCAAACTAGGTTTCAAGGACAGTAATGCGTTCCGTATGCGGAACGAAGCGTTGGTTTCCATCGACTAAGACGACCGATGGAATGGTAAGTGATGGGTTGATTGGATTGGATAAACCAAGTGATCGACTGCGTCTAGCCGACCCCAAAGGTTCGTTCGTGCATCAATGACTCTGCCGACGTGCCGTAAACCCGAAGATGCCTGACAGTTTGACGGACCTTGCACCGGCTCTTTTTCTCTTCCATAGTTATCTGCCAGGGTAGGACAGATGACAAGGGGTGTTGGTGTGTCAAGGATCAGGGGGAAGATGGGGCTGATTTGGCCCCTCCTTGAGACTTGGGGTTTTGGTTGGGACGAGGAGGGACATTGGGAAATTCCAATTGTATGATGGAATCCGGGGTAAATTTGCGGGGATGGGGTCAGTCGTCTCGAAAAGGGTAATTTCGAGCGCGTGGTGCCCTCATTTTCTCCGTACTATCGACGCACTTCTCCCCGTAACCCTGCGGTGACTGAGTCGTGCCAAGTCCGACTGAAACGAGACGGACGAACGCATCAACGGCCGAGATTGCTGCAGCACGGGTCATCCCGGCTCTGTTTCGGCGACGAGCGGAACAAAAGTTGTCAAGATGGCCCCCCGACCAGTCCACTCAACTGGGACGAGGCGAACCAATCCGGTTCTTGTTATTTGACTGCCAGTAGGTGTTGTTGCTATGTGACACCGCTGCCTTCCCAAGACGCCCAGATCTCGTCTAGCACCGGCAGACAATACTTGTCCCGCCAAAGGAACCCGGCCAATACCTGCTGCAGGTGCTCTCGTCTGCATCTCTCCGGCGGCAGGATATCTCTGGCTCTTTGGAGGACCTTTTTGAGCCGTGAAGAGAACCACTCACGGTCCTCTGACGTTCCAGAGCCCACGATGCCCACAAAGAGTACCCACAACAGAGCAGCGTCGTGAGAGACCCAGATGAGAGCAATGGAATCCGCATCGTCCAGCGCGGCACGCATCCTCGTAACCAGGGTCCGAACCATATGCCCGGTCGTGGGGATTTCCCGCAAAACCGTGTAGAGGAAGACCTGGGCTGCGGAAACCAAGACGAGAAAGCGCTTCTGGACGGGTGTGGCCGTTCGGCGCTCTACGTACAGAAAGTGCAATATTGTGCTATCGGCCGTGTTCATCACAATTCTTATGGTGTCTGCTGACACCGACCCCGCCTGAGAGCAAATTGCTTGCCTGAGAGTTGTGAAAATCTTACGTGGTTCATTGCTCTCCCCGGGGTTGTGACCTCCGAGTTTATCCATATGGCGCAAGGAAGGCGTCATTGCGCGACTCACGACTGACGATGGGAGCGATACCTGATCCAGAGTATGGAACATGGGGAACTTGGGGACTCTACCGAGACCGGATGCAACTTGAATGTCAATCCTGAAGGAATTAAAACAAAGTTGGTGAGTATACGACCCAAGAAGAAAACACGGGTGAGAAATTTACCAGTTGATGCATCGGCACAGGATGTAGTCATGTTTGATTGTGTCAGGCCCGCCTCGGGCCTCAATCATGGCATGGAGCCCAGTCAGATGGACATTGGCGGCAGTGAAGTGGCCTTGAAATGCCTGACTCTATTTGTCAGCGTTGAATGTTGAGTTGAGTAGTTCTTGAGCGCATGCTGACCTCGACACTTCCCAACATGGCCACGCCAGCAAGGACGGAGAGGTCCTCGCTCGCGCTCCAAGCTGATTCTTGGGACTCTAAACGATTCCTAATCATTTTCATTGCTTCTCCCTTTAGCTGGTATCCCTCGCGTTGCAGCCGCGGGTTCAGCAACGGCATGGTCGCGTTCAGAAACTCGGCGGCCAACGCGAGCGTGACGCGCATGATGAGCGCGCTCTGCATAGCATAGGGAAACCATGGCCTTTGCGTATCTGTCGTCGTTGAGTTGAGGTTGAATCTTGTGATGACTATAGGGTCAGCACTCATGGTACAACGGCCGAGACAGACTCGACTCCAGAGTCTATCTGGTAAGGGGGGATGGGCACAGAGCCCTTCTTACAGTATTTGACCAAAGAGTCCACGGCAGAATTACTCGGGATGGGCAGCGTATTAAAAGGATCCGCGTTGTCGCTTCCCAAGCGCTGGACCCATGGCGGCAACGAAAGATTCGACATGACCTCAGGCGCGGCCGATAAATACTGACAACGAGTGAGCAAATATGTCTTGGGTCGAAGCAAAGATCAACATGGATGCGTACACGAGGGTCCAAAGCTGCCTGCTTTTTTTGCGCCTTGGTGGATTTCCCCGTGGAAGGTCTACTAGATGTACCAGATAGTCTGAAGCGGCCCTTCAACTGAGCCTTAAGCTTGATAGTGTCTTGAGAAGTAAGCGCCGTGTTGGCACCCATCTCAGAGGAGCCCCTCTGGATAGCGGTCCTGATGGCATGACTTCGAATGGATTTGTTTGCAGGCTGGAAGTCGCCTTCATCAGAACCAAAGGTGACGAACTTGTACTCAGGCGCCGGGGTCATGATAAAAAACCAACAGCCAGTACGGGGGATCGGGCGGAAGAGAGCGGAACGGTGGAGGTCACATCAGCTGCAACGGAGCGTTTTGGCCCCCGTGCATCTGGGCACTAAATCGGCGGGAGAAAGCGGAGTCCCGAGAGGGGAACCGTTGACTCCTTTTCCCCTCCTCCGCTGGCTGGAACACAGAGAGAGAGAGAGACAGATAGGGAGAAGACCACAGAATGAGCTCGGCAAAACGCAGCTGTGACTGTGCCGCTTAACGGTTACACGAATGGCGCAGGGTGTCTATTGTTTGATGCCCAGGCCGCTTGCGTACGCAGGTACCGTGGTAGTATGTCTCGCGAAGATCGTCAGTTAGTAATCAACCGTAAAAATGGTCCGAGTTATTCGGTAAAAGGATCAGAATGAACAAATAAAAAGGGGCGTCAGGCAACGAGGGAATGAGGTGAAAGAGAGGGAGGGGAGAGGGTAGGTAGACGACGGGTACCTTTGCGTCGTTTGACGAGGAACGTACCGGATGACTGGCATCGTGAATGGAGCTTTACCATATAGAGACTAGTTTATCCACGGAAAAATGTGAAGCCAATCAAATGATGGCGCTTAGTACCAGGAAGGAGCATTTCTGATTTGTGATTGGCTGAATGCATGTGACTCGGGGATTGATTCATCCGGACAGAGTACGTACCTCAATTTGACCTCCTTCGTCCGCTTCAATCATTTCGTCCGTCTCGGCCTCCGACCGGACGAAAGCTGCGTAATCAGATTGATTATCGAGAAACAACAAGCAATGCAATGAGACTGCCACAGGTACGGCGCTGGCTGCACCTTGGATTCCAGTTTCCTTCTGTTCTACTTCTTTTTTTTGGTCTCGGTGTCAGTCTCTGTCTTCCATATCGAGGTTACTTGCCACCTACCAGATCAAATCGTGCAACCTAGCACTAAACCAGATCCTCCAGTCATCCTCGCTCGTGTTAGTGGACATTCGAGGACCCTGCCCCTTTTATAATGGATGAGCGTCCGTCAAAGAAGCGCAAGGTTCGGAAGGGGACGCGCAGCTGTTGGCAGTGTGAGTTCGTCCGAACATGATCCCGCCCACCCGAGACCCAGAAGCCGGGTCGGATCCCGAAGTTGGAGGTGGACCAGGAACCACTAACATCTCGCACAGGCAGGAAGAGAAAGATTCGCTGCGAATTCGCTTCCAACGACGACCAGACTTGTGCCGGTTGCAAGATCCGAGGGACAACCTGTGTTAGCCAAGAATTCACCGACGATGAGCCCTCCGGTCCTCCCGAGCGTGGTCTGGCCCAGCGCCTCGGCCGTCTCGAGGAGTTGATGGTCAAGCTGGCCGACAAGATGGGCCCGGAAATCTCGAATGCCAAGGTGGCCATCACACCCGCGTCGTCGGTTGATGGCTCTCTTCGCACATCGGACTCTCTGCCTAGCCCCGACAGTAGGATACGGGCAACAGATAGTGCTGATGTGATGCCGTCCGTTATTGATTTGACACCGTCCCAGCCGACACCCGAGTCTCTTCAGTCTCTCCCAAAGCACGAGAGAATATGCAGAGACCTTGTTTCCAGGTTTCCTTCGCCCCGTGATGCCAAAACCATTGTCGAGTCAAGCAGGGGTCCGGTGTTTGTCTTGATCCTCTTCTATACGTATCAGGACATCGTCAATGGCAAACCGCCGCCGACGGCCGCTCTTGCAGAGATTCCCGACGTTTCCAAGCACCCTGCTATCTTGGCCAAACACCTACTGCAATTGACTATATGCCTCCAGCAGCTGCCGCCCTGCTTCGATGCATCCAAGCTCGGCTTCAAGAAATCCATCCAGGACACCATGTCCGAGTGGGTGACGGCCGCAAGCCAGCTTACCTCGAATGACGAACTGGTCGGCTCTGCAGAAGGCTTAGAGTGTCTCGTCTTGCTGGGCTTCTACCTGGTCAACTCTGGAAATCTTCGCAAGGCCTGGCTTGCCATGCGTAGGGCCCTAAGCTTGGCTCAGTTGATCGGCATCGAACGCAACGGCAGCCGACCCCTGAAGTCATGCGACCCAGCCGCTAACCCCGCGACATTGCCGTCATCACATCAGATCTGGTACCGAATCAACTTCTGTGACCGGTACCTGTCACTTCTCCTCGGCCTACCCGCAGGTACGCAAAACAATAGTTTCATGGCCGATAATTTGATTGCAAATGACACGCCCATGGAGAAGTTGGAGAAACGATTCGCCGCCATATCTCTTCGCATCATCGACAGGAATCATGCGTCTCCCAACGAAGCATATGCCATGACCCAGTCAATCGACTGCGAGCTTGAGACGGCGATAAATACGATGGGCAGAGGATGGTGGGAAATTCCACCCTTGCCAGACTGCACCGATATAACAACTCATATGAGCACCATGTCCCATCTGATGCTGCAGATTCATCATCACAGTTTGCTCATCCTCCTACACCTCCCCTATATGCTTCGGAATACGGCCAACAACCGCTACGACTATAGCAAGAAGACGTGCTTGGAATCCAGCCGTGCAGTGCTGAAACGCTGTGTGATATTCCGTACTGCGAACAATGCCGCGTTCTCCTGCCGTCACATTGATTACTCCTCGTTAATAGCCGCCATGACGCTCTTGCTTGGACACATCAGCCGGCCCCCTGGAGCTCGCGATGAAGAGTGGGCGCAACAGCGGGGAGAGGACCGGGCGTTGGCCCAAACGGTCATGGCCAAGATGGAAGAGCTGGCCACCCTGAACGACGATAAGTTGTCGGGAGAGAGCGCGCAAATTATCAAGCAGCTCCTGCCAATCATCGACTGCTGCAACAGCTGCATGACCCAAAAGCCGGACGAGGAATGGAACGTCCGGCTGAGCATTCCTTACCTTGGAACCATCAACATTAATAACTCTTTGAACCAAGATGCCAAATCCCATACGCTGGACCTTTCGCACTCTGAGCTCCCAACGCCCTCGAACACTACCACAGTCTCGCCAGAATCCTTCCCCCCAAGCACGGAGACACCTCCCGTAGCGCCTGTGGAATTCCTCCTGGGCCAGAATCTAGTCCCTCAGGAAGACATCAGCGGCGGATTTAGTACTGATTATCTTGGATGGCCGTGCCCAGGTATCACAGCCGAGGCAGGTGACTGGACCTTTCAGGGCGTCGACACGACATATTGGTCATTATTGAACAGCGGCATGACTAGTGATTTTTCCCAGTGAAGCTGATACGGAAACTTTAACATGACGGCGAAAAGGGGGATATTTTCGGGAGCATTTGCTATGCTTGTTAATGTCGCACTAGCCAAGGGCTGTCGTTTTCATTAATGCAATTGTACGATGCTGGAGCGCACAGTATCCAGAAAAGAAAGCAAGGAAATGGGAGCCAGTCCACAGAGCACGATGACGCGTTTGGAACCACAAGTACATGTCGAAACCATTCGATCCATTACAGGGCAAAATATCTCTGCGGTACAACGCATCAATCAGCTCGGCAGTTAACGGCAAAACGCATTGACTGATGGTTCGCCCAGCTCGCGGCAGGCAAGAATAGCATCTTACAGGGGCCCAAAGAGATGAAGGATGGGAGGAGGAGTGGGAAAGACGTGGCGCCCCAGAGCCGCACGAGATTTCGTGCAGAGCTGAGCAGATAACCGCCCAAAAACCACGCATGTCTGGGCATAAATGTCTGGGCCGTGGCGCAGCATCCACATTATCCCAGTTACTGCGGGGAGCTGGGCTCAGCGACGACTCCATCGACGTTGTATTCCTTAGTGCGCCAACAGGTCTGAAGCCTCTTGGCCTCGCCCAGCTTGGAATATGTTTGCTTCGGCCAAGAATTCACAACCACGAAAACGAAAACGGCGCCAAGTAATGTAGGCCGTTACCAAGGAACACTGGTTCTTCATGCGAAAGGGCTTATTTGCTTGGATGTTTTGCTGGGTATCGTTTAGTAACGCCAACACGGCGACTTCAGTATACCATCTAGTTGCATCACATTACTTTGGGAAAAACCGGCAGTTAATCAGGCATGATAAAAAGGCTGTCAAGGATGCGATTTTTTTTTCTCTTCCTGTTAAATTGATATAGGCACCTGAGACAACAATTCAGGAACGGTATCCCCGGGGAGCCGCACGAACATTTCATGACTCGCTGTACAATCGTGAGCCAATCGGGTCAGTTGTTCAGATGAAAAGTTATGGACACCCGAAATAATCAGTGTAGAGTCCTTGATGTAAAGAATTACAACACCAAATTAGGGTTATGCTTAAACCACCGTAAGGCTACCTATATCGCCATCTTTAACACCAGGGAACCCATATGAGCACAGAGAACCCTTCCTCCCGAAATAAGTATCATAGGGCAGGTAGTTTGCAGCTAGTTCACCGTGATCTAGATCGGCCCGCTCATGGCTTGACGCTAAGTGCATCCATCCGTCCTCACGGTCGTCCCGATTTGACATCTCACCCATGAGAGCTGAGATTACGGGGGCAGTACGGTCCTCGGCCATGCTCCGAATCGGGACTGCCGGTGCACCCTTTTGGGCGACCGCCGAGACCCGATTTCAGCTTCCGCGGAACTTCATTGGAAGAACCAAACAATTGCAAAAGGGGACTTTGGCCTCCAAGTGGAGGATAAGGGGCATTCGCGGCCCACCACGACCTGGGTCTGGCTCTCATATCACATTTTGTAGATGTGAGTGTGTTTCTAATATCGGAAATGCCAAAGAAGAGCATGAGGTTAAAGTATTTGGACATCCCCCTTCGGGGGAAACAGACAGACGGTCTCTCGTAGTTTAGTAGGAAAAGCCAACTTCAGTTCGTGTTAACCTTTCGTTCATTTTTGCCCCTAGGCGGCGGTTCACTCTTTTTTTTTTCATTCGCAATTCTATCTCGTCGTTGTTTGGAAACAAACACCAACTTGTGCCATTCTTTGCAGTTATAAAGCTGATTACGTTCATTTTCACCCTCTTCCACACGAAAGAAAATGCTTTCTCACGCACTCGTCGCCGTCCTCGGCATGACTGCTGCCGTCGTCGCCGCTCCTCCTCGTCCTCGCACTCTTGCCGCGGACGATGTCATCATCCTGCGTACCGATGGAACTTCTCAAATCATGAAGGCCGCCGACTACGACGCCCTCGAGACCGCGAGCGCTGCCCCGGCTCCCCTCGGCTCTCACAACCTCACCAGCACCCCTGGCATCTTCCGCCGCGGCTGCGCCAAGAGCACCGAGGTCCAGGTCACCTCCGACGAGGAGTTCCTCAACTGGGACGTCGCCATCTCCCCCGTCCTCTCTTCCAAGGGCAACACCCAGGCCACGGTCAGCGTGTCGACCGGCTACGAGATCGGCAACTCCCTCTCCATCGGCCACGAGATCAGCATCGGCGGCGACTCCGTCATCAGCGCGTCCCTCAACCTGGACTTGGACATGAGCTGGTCCACCTCGCTGGAGAGCTCCCTCGACTTTGAAGTCCCCGACGGAAAGTTCGGCGTCATCGTCAGCCAGCCCTACGTCCGCCGCGTCCAGGGCAACGTGTTGACCGGCTGCACCGACAGCCCGACCAAGGCCTCCTTCATGGCTGATTCCTACGAGAGCCAGGCCTACGGCAACCTCGCTTGGGTCAAGGGTGTCATTCGCTTGTGCAGCAGCGACACATACCCCATCCCCTTTTGCATCGGCGAGGGCCAACACAAATAAAAATATACCCCTTTGGAATATCATGATTTCGGGAGCCCGATTCTTGTGTTTATTGGAACGCAGGCTTTATGGGAAATTGCAGGCCTGTGTCGGCGTTCAGGTGTCGTTTTGTTCGCCTTGAGATACTTTGTCATGGGCCATACTATATACAGTGTATACAGACTACAGTCTTCTTGGGAGGCAACTTGATATCAGCGTCATAATAGACGACTTGTACCCGCAAAAGACGTGTAAAACTAGCCGCTAGGTTGTGAATATGATGAAGATGAATTAGGATGTCGTTACCCGAGAAATTGCTGATCTTTAATGTTCTGGAGTGTGCATTGGCCACCGCAGATCAGCTCAACTGACGATCCCGCCGTCAATCACTTGATTGACGGGCAGAATTGCTGCCTCTACTCCGTTTGACTGTGTACTGCAGATTATACACAACGAGTGCAGACCAGTGCAAAATCTTTAACTTGGGGATTACTCATACCTGAGAAGCATTGATTGGAATCGGACAAGAATATCGCTGTTGCTTGTTGATGTGAATGTCACTTGTTACTTCGTACTCGAAGCCGTGAAACAATCAGAGTGTTTACCTGGTAGGAAATCCTGGGGTGACCCACAAACTAATAGAATTAGGTTCAAAACTCTCAAGACTCTACATGCCGCCGTCCTGGATGGTTACATTAATGCAACGTATCGCACTCTGTCTCCGCCTTCAGCGTTACTATATTGGAATTCAACGTTTTCTTCGTCTTGCAATGACCATCCAGCGCTATTGGTAAAGAGTGAATTTAAAACTTTGTATCACATACAAATTCAAGGCACCGGAACCGCATCTACACAACTACTAGTTCACTGATATACCCAAGTACCTTTTTTTACATCAGAGTCCTATTCCTGACAGCGCAACTTGACGTTTTCGGACAGGGTGGTCAGGAGCTTCTCGTAAGCATCCAAGAATGCCTTGGGATCATCCTTGCCGTACAGGTAGCTCTGCAATTTGACCGTGACGAGGGGATCCTTCGCCGGGTCGTCGGACATTTCCAGAACGACATCATGCGGTGTCCGCTCTCGCGAAGCCCAGATCTCGGTGAACGATGCATCGCCCAGCCGTCCGGTCTCTGCGGCGCCTTGTCTGTAGTCAAAGACAGCCTGGAACAGGGGCGCGTGCTCCAACTGCCTGGCCGATTTACAAAGACCTAAGCGGTCGAGTGTAACGCCATAAGGTACCCGAGAATGCTGCATCGCCTGCCGCACGCGTTCTTTGACGGCCATTAGCTCGTCGGCGAAGGTCTGTCCCGGCTCGTAGGCATCCATTCTCACGGGTAGGAGGTTGGCAAAGAAGCCCATGGTCGAGATGTCTTGGATGCTAGACCGGTTGGTGTCGGCGATTCCGATGGCGACATCGGAGGCTTTGGAGAGACGCGATAGTAGGAGACGGTACGCGGCGAGATAGAAATGCATCGGCGTTACACCTTTCAACTTCTTGCAGCGCTCGCGGATGCGGAATGCGAGGACCGCGCCGAGGCGGAGCATGCCGACTTGTTGCTCCCAGAGTACGGGGCAGTCCGGGCTACGGGCTTTTCGGGCCTGGGGAAGAGAGAGGACAGGGAGCACCGCCGGGATGGAGGCGTACATGGATGTCCAGTACGCGATGTCGGCCTCCATCTGGAAGCTTTCGACCTCGGAGCGCTGCCGGATGGCAAAGTTGGAGTACTGCGGCGCCGCCGACAGCCAAACACCGTCGTAGACCTTACCGACTTCATCTAGGAAGTTTTGTGTCGTAGAACCGTCCCCGACCAGACGGTGGTAGCCCACCACGAACAAGTGCTCGTCTTGGCCCCAGTAGAAGTCAACGAGCTTGAGCGTTTCGCCAGCGGCAAGGTCATACTCCTCCTTCTCAAGCTTCTTGTACGCTTCTTCTGCTGCGGTTCGATCGGCGACTTGGAAAAATTTCACGTTTGACGACGCAGTTGCCAAGATTTGCTGGACACCTGTTGGGGGAAATGCTGTGCGGAAGATTTCATGGCGTTGCAGAGATGAGCACAAGGCGCTTTGTAGTCGGTCTAGATCGACCGAACCCTTCATGAAAACACCGATTGTGTTGTGGAATATGGTTGGGTCGTCCGAGAGCTGCTGAAGGAGCTTCCACGAGTATTCCTGGTTGAGGGACAATGGAAGTTCACGAGGGTTAGCCGTGTTACCGTTACCATCCTTGACACTGTCCTCAGCGTTCAGGTCAGAAATGGAGGTGTTGTTGGATGCGTCGAGTTGCGAATCTCTGCTGCTGCCTGTGTCATCCTCGTCGCTGGTGATAATTGCTCCGTCCTCGGATGCGACTAGAGGAATGGCGGCTCGTGGCAAACGTCCTGCTGCCTCTTCGGCAAGTTCAGAAATTGAAGCCCCGCTAACGACTCTCAAAAGCGGAATCTCAATCATGAGCGTTTTGGAGAACCTACGAAACACAGATCAGTAACTGCACCCAGATGAATGTATGCAAACTTGGAAGACCTACCATGATCCGACAGTGATGGCACCTAGGGAGTCGACACCTTGGTCGATAAGAGGAGCCGTGGCGTCGACCTGTTCATCAGTAGGAATATGTAGAATGCCGCGCATCTTCTGCGAGAGACCATCTATATTTGAGGTTAGAATTCTCGCAAACAAGCTCAAAAAACCATGTAGGGTTCTCACCGATAATAATGTCTCGGACTTCATCCAAGGTCTTCGCCCTCAGAAGCTGCTCCTTCACAGAAACCTAACCGCCAGAAGCGCTGTCTGCATTTACGTGAATCTCAGCAACCCTGAGGTTTCCGAAGCGAGGATCCTCGTAAAATTTGATCGTGTCCTTGTGGCGTGAGCTGAACTCGGGAATGCCAGTAATGATCTCAATGTTGGACGTATCGGTAATGTCAGCCGATCCAGACCCTGAGGTCTTTCGTCCAGAGACGACGGCCTCTCCAAAGAGAGTAAGGAATTCGTCCTCCGAGATTGTGTCTGTATCGGACGCGAGCTTGAACTCCTCCTCGCGCTGCGTTCTCGCGAGGTATCCCACTCCGATGACGGCGCCGATGTGGATTGTCGATGCAGGCAGGCCCTGAGCGTGGCGCTTCTGGGCAAGGGCTTGGAGGTACGCGTTTGCGGCGGTGTAGTTTGCTTGACCTGGGTTACCTCCCACTGTAGCGACGGATGAGAACATTACAAAGAAGTCAAGAGGATTGTCCACTTGGTTCGAGAAATGCTCGTGGAGAGTTTTGGCTCCAATTACTTTGGAGTTTACAGGCACATTCATAATGGAAAGGTCCATGTTGGAAAGAAGTGCGTCGTGCAGAACCAATGGTCCGTACGCAATGCCGGCTATAGGAGGAAGCGTTTCTCGAATTTGGGCGAGGTTTTCTTTGATTGATGCTTCTTTGGAGACGTCAATGGACATAACCGTGACCTTGCCTCCCAGCTCCTGAATTTCTCCCATCCACTTCGGATCACGGATCTCAGGGTTGCGGCTAGAGATCACGACGTGGCGAGCACCGTGTTTAACCAGCCAACGGGCCAGTGATCGACCGAGAGACCCGGCAAGCCCGAGGAGGAGATAAGTTTTGTCCTGAACAAAGAGCTTTCCAGAATCGATGGCACGCACCCGGGCTGGCACACAACTTTCAGATCTCCAGTTGACAGTGGAAAGGTTCGTGGAGAGTTCTTGGAGGTCTTTGATATCGCTGACCGATCTCATGATCGATGCACCACCTTGGCTCTCAGCAAGAGGTTTTGTAACTGCCATTAATACAGCGTTTTGAATGAATTCGTTTTGTGAAGCCCCCGTTTTTACATTGATGGGGGAGGCGGAGGGTTGGACGAAGTGTTCAAGACCCAATACGAGACATCCTGGCGGTAGATGGCTCGTAACACGAGAACTCAAGCCGGCGCTGGCGCTTTCTTTACTTGAAAAGTCGAAAAATGCCGCAAGTTTCATCGGAAGCGCTTTGGAAATGCTACCGTCCGTTTCGTATGGATGTAGGTAAATCCATGAAGCCGTCCTTGATGAAGAGGGCTGTGCCGTTGCGAAGTATACTGTGATATTCTTGCTCTTCGCTGCATCCAAGATGGCATCCGCGCACAAGTTAGGCGGCTCCATGACGAGAATTGATGCACCATGAGATAGGAGGGAAACAATCTTTTGTGCGATAAGGTTTCCGGCAACTGCTACTAACATAGAGGACTTCTCAGTTGTGTTACCGGTTTCTGCTACATCAAAGGCAAGGCTGGGGTGGACGTCAACAATTGAAGCGTTCGTATCCGAGAGTGCAATGACTGATTTGCCGGTGCTGGCAACTGTGCCTTGCAAAAGATGCCAGAATCCAATATCGCCCACTCGAATGGCGTTAGCGAGGGCGACGTCGACCTCAACATGTATCTGGGTTAAGCCAGGGGACCCTGTTCCGAGAGGAGACAGAGTGTCACACAACTCTAGATAATGGTGGTGGTTCGAAGTTTTGAGAGCGACTGGAGTCTTGTGTACGTCCACGGCGGTCTCAATCGCGCGGCGCTTCGAGAGGATGCGGTTATTGCGGTCCACATCATGCTTGATACGAGGTATATAAGCTTCAGACTTGGAGATGTAGATTTCTGGCTCCAAGGTCCAGAGGATTTCATCCTTCGCACCAGAGGACTGCTCCAAGCGTAGCAATAGTTCGGCTAGGAAAGTGATGTCTAGATGCTGGGCGTCATCGACATCCAGAGACTGGATGTAGATGGATGGGTACTCAAGCCGTGTTGACCGAAGGAATGCAATGCTCATAGCCTGGTAGGGATTTTCAGTAATCGCATTTTCAGTCAGCCAGAGAACGTGACCAGCGAGGCTATGAAGGGACTTGACTGCGCTGAACCTAGTCTCGTCGATATCCGAGAAAGTCTCGCGGTCGAGCTCGGAGAGGACAAGGAAAGTTGATCTAGGGGCAATGGAAGTGGTAAGTAGATCCTCTAAGCGGGGCACGTGAACGGTCTCGCGGCGAGACAAGGTCGTGCTAATCTCTTTGAGAATACGACATGATTTCTCAGAGCCGCCACCAACGATAACCAGCGGCGGAGACGATTCTAAGGGCGCGGATAGCGGTGCGTCCAGTCGTGCCATCTTTGTGTTGACTGCGTGCGTACAAAAGAGAGTGTTGGGAAACAGATTGCCGTGGCGATCTAAAGTACGCGTGTCGACACCAGAGAAACCAGTCTGCTTGAAAATGGCGTTCCATTGCTCAATATCAGCGAAGGGGTCTAAATCTCGACCTTCATCGATGCCAGCCCACCAGTCTGGGAATAGGCCAAAGAGGTAACCGACGCGGGTGTGGTCTCGGTGAGTAGCTTCCAGCAGAACGACATGACCGCCAGGTTTCAGCAGTGAGCGGACGTTAGCCATGGTCTCCGCCAGCTTTGGGGTGGCGTGGAGGACGGACGAGGCAACGACCATGTCGTATGAGTGAGGCTTGAAGCCTTGTTCTTGAGGGCTCCGTGTGATGTCCAGCTTCTGGTAGATCATGCGGTCTTCGTGTTTTGAGAAATGCTCTTGTGCCTTTTCGAAAAAGGCAGGGGAGATGTCTGTGAAGGTATAGCTGTTGAAACCTAGTTGCGGGATGTCCAAGATGTACTTTGTTGCCGAGCCGGTGCCACCACCTAAAATGCCATCATCATATTAGTCAAAGTCAAAAATTTGGACAAGAGTTTGGTATGCTTCAAGGAAACTCACCTATCTCAAGAATATCCATGTTCTGATAACGATGACAGATCTGGCCGACAAGATCTTGTCCATACAGCCAGCCTGGGCCACTGGTGAGATAGCTCTGGTAGAACTCCTCCAGCAACCCATCGTTGTCCATCCAAAGAAAGGGGTTAATGTTCTCGCGTATTGTTGCCAGTGAGTTCTCGCTCACTCGCTTAGCCATCTTGATATGTGGGTGATACCAGTGTCTGTGAAGAGGGTAGAGGGTTAGCGTATACTTTACAGACATGCTTGTCTAAATTACTTACTCTGCACAAAGGTTTTCAATCTGCTCGCGAGTATCGTTCTCCCAGGCTGGGTCATACCATTCGTGCCACGTTCCCTCTTTTACCTTGGAGGAAACGTGCTCGTTCCAGTAGATATATCTCTGATGAGGTCCGGTAGCATTGGCACGGTCCTCTTCAGTAAGCTGCCCTACGAAGTCCTTCATGAAGAAATAACAGACGCGTTCGATCACTGGAATTACTTCCTTGTCCTGTTCGGTAGCCCACAGGTCGGGGTTGTCCAAAAGCTTTTTCGGCTTCAATGGCCCCCAGACCGTCTTAGTAAATGCACGATGATCCTCTGACGCTGACGGTTTGGATAATGGCTTTAGGAGAAGGTTCTCAACGCGATAGAGAACTTGGTTATTGTCAATGGCAGAAGATACTGTTACATCTCCGGCTAGCACGTCACCCTTGTCGTAGGTGTTTGTAGTATTGAACCGCACAGCGTGTTCTGGAGACCCGGATTCAAGTGCTGCGGCACAGAGCGCAGGGACGAGTGTAATCCGATCAATATGAACAGGCACGTAAATGGATCTTAAGCGCTTGTCACCAGGGGCCGAGTATGCTCCCATTATGGTCTGAAACGCGAGGTCCATGGATGCCGGATGCAAGACAATGGGACGAGGCCCGTCGTGCAGCGTGGGGAAAGCCATGGTACCGGCGGCCTTAGCATCAGCCCTCGCCAAGGTGTATATGCAGCGGTAGTCCTTGCTGTAATCGAAACCAAGCTCGTCAAGCTCAAGGTAGAAGTTTTTCATGTTGATGCTAGTCGCATGAGGGGGTTCCGATTGGGCAGGTGGTAGGACATGTTCGTCTGGCACAACCTCTCCAAGAGTGACGACAATTTGACCCTTGGCAGACGTTGAAGGTTTAGACTCTTTAGCAAGACAAGAGTCAATAGTGAAGTCTAAAGTGATTTGTCTCGACTGGGCCGGATCAGCACGACGAATTCCTGCTGTAAGAATTAACTCTGCAGGGCTGCTTTCATCCTCAAATGTTACAGCTTTGTCGATGCTCAAGTTGCAAACCTCCACAAGCTTCACGGAATGCTCTGCAGAAGCCTGCATTGCTGCCTCCATGGCCATAACAATATAACCTGCGGCTGGAAAAACAGCCTGACCCTGGAGTGAGTGACCCTGTAACCACTCATGATCCCGAGGTCTGATGGTGTTGTGCCATTGCAAAGTTGAAGCCGTACTTGATGATGATAGCGCACCCAAGAGAAGATGAGGTCTAGGGCCATGAAGGTGGCTATGGATTACACGTGTCTCGGTCCAGTGGTTTCGAATATGGTCCCATGGATATTGTGGGAGTTCCTTGGCCAAGCTTCGCGGGGCTTCCTCGGGCGAAAGAACCTCAGATATGAGCCGTGTAGGGTCAAAAGCGCCCAGATCTAATGACTCCCAAAGATAGCCGAGGGCGCTGGCAAAAGCTTCCACGTCATTGGAGCCTCGTTGCATACAGCCAGTATAGGGGACGTCTTTGGAAATGACAGTCTTCAAGGTGGTGAGGCACGGAGCCTTGAGAGCTGGATGACAACCCACTTCAATGGCGGCATCAAGCGTATCATGGTTGATGGCTGCAGACTCAGCAGCCTGCATGAATCGTACAGGAGACACCAAATTGTCGTTCCAGTACTGAGCGGTGACGTCGGCTGCACTCATTTGCTTATTTTGATGGACGGAAGAGTACCATACGGCTGAAGATCCGGCACCATCGCCAAACTCGCAACCGCAATCCTTCAAGGCTTTGACGTAGTGTGATGAGCAAGGAAGCATGTGATGAGAGTGATATGCTTTATCGACTTTTAGCATCCTGGCGAACTTAGACTCATCCTCAAGGATAGCCTTCATCTCAGTGATGGCATCTGCATCGCCTGAAAGTGTGGTGCTATCAGGAGAATTGCTAGCTGCGACACATATGCGGCCCTCAAACATCTCCAAGCTGCAGAGCTCCTGAGCATCTTCAAGTGACGTCCCTGCAGCCAACATAGCTCCGTCTTCGCCGCTTGGAGATGAAGCATGCTTGGAAACGAATCCACGGAGATAAGCAATCCGGATTGCTTGTGAGGCACTAATGAACCCCCCGGCAAAAGCGCAAGCAATCTCACCTGAGCTATGCCCGATAACTGTTGTGAACTCCACACCAGCAGCGGTTAGCAGTCGTACCAGGACAATCTGAGCTGCGCAACAAAGCGGCTGGGCGAAGTCAGCTTTAGTAACGTTAGAATCCTCGCCTTCTAGCATAAACTGTTCAGTTAAAGTCCAATCAGGCCTATACTGAGATGGTAGAGCCTGGAGCGCGTTGTCGAGTTCAACTATGACATCGCGGACGTAAGGGATAGCCAGGATGAGCTCTTTCAACATGCCCGGCCACTGAGCACCCTGTCCAGTGAATACACTCAGGAGACGAGGCTTTTCCTTTGAGCTTGCGAAGCAACGTAAATTGGCCGTTGATTCGACAGGCCCTTCAATTGCAGCTTCCAGTGCATGTAAAAGAGTTTCCATGGACGAGCCCGTAATTGCTTGGCGATATGGAAGGACAGATGGCTTGACGAGCATTGTCCAGATAAGGTCCAGCATGTTGACATCTGGTTTGGATTTGATGAAATGAGTTATGTTCTTCAATAAAGCTTTAAGCGAGCGTTCTGACTTGGCTGACAACACTAATGGCAAGGCGTAGGCGACGGAGCTATGAGATGAACTGCGGGTTGTTTCCATGATCGCTACATCGCTGCTCGGGCTATATTCCTCAACAATGGCATGCGCATTTGTACCGCCAAATCCTATTACAAATTAGCATCAGAAGTGATTCATAAAGTTTAAGCAAATTCTTACCGAAAGAGTTGACGCTCGCTCTGCGCGGCTGGCCTGGTTCAATCTTCGGCCATGGCTGGGCTTCTGTGGTGATCCTCAAGTGCTGATAGAAAGGTGCTACTTTTGCACTAAGGTTGTCAAAAAGCATGTTTGGAGGAATCATCCTGTGTTGTAGAGCAAGAGATGCCTTCAACAGGCCAGCAATGCCAGCAGTTCCCTCAGTGTGTCCAATGACTGTCTTGAGACTACCAACAAACAGGGTATCGCTTTTTGTATGAGTCGTTCCATCTTCTTTACTAAAAAATGCGCTTGCAATCGCCTCAGCTTCCTGAGGGTCACCTGCAGGTGTACCAGTTCCTTCATAGTACTTTTTAGTTATTTGCTCAGAAGAGATGAGGGAATTGGCGACTGCAAGTAGATATCATGCTACTGGAAGACTTACCGTGCGCTTCGAAGAATTGGCAACGATCTTCTGCTTTTGAGAGATCGAGACCTGCTCGGGCATAGGTATCGCGAATTAGAGCTTCTTGAGCTACGTGGCTCGGCATTGTGATGCCCGTCGTTTTCCCATCCTGATTGACGCCCGTCTCACGAATAATACACTCAATGGCATCCCCATCACGTAGTGCTTGGCTGAGAGTTTTAAGTACCACTGTTGCGACACCTTCCTGTTGACCACCAATAGCGAGTGTTAGTATAACAATAACCAGAGTGCAAGGAGTGGCCTAAGCTTGAACACATCTATGGTAACTTACACCTCTGGCATAACCATCGGCCGCATTGTCCCACATGCGAGATCTACCGGTGGGCGAGAGCATATTCAGCTTGCTCTCTGTAATGTAGTTCACTATTTTCACTGTTGTTAGAATCGTCAAGTACGTGGGTGTTGAAGTTTGCGCTTATACGTACTTGGTGACAAAATCAAGTTGGAACCCGCAGCTATTGCTGTCTTGCTCAATCCACTCCTCAATTGCTGCACAGCAAGGTGCACAGCAACAAGTGAAGAACTACATGCCGTATCAACAGTCATCTACTCGCAGAGTTAGGCTTTATTCTTAATGATCTTCGGACTGTGTCCCGTGGAACGGCGGTACTTACACTAGGGCCGTGCCAGTCAAAGAAATAAGACAGGCGGTTTGACGCGATGCTGGTGGCAGCACCTGTTGCAAAGTACGTGGGGTTGTGGTTCGTGTCATTTACTTTGAGGAGTTCAAAGTCATGGGTCATGATGCCGACATATACTGCTGTGTTGGAGTTGCGAAGGTCATGCAAGCCGTATCCAGCGGCTGAAACGGCATCATAAGTGACTTCTAGTAGCAACCGTTGTTGTGGATCTATACTCTCTGCCTCTCCAGCTTGAATATTGAAGAAAGAAGCATCAAAGGTCTGAGGCGAGTCCTTCAAGAAATATCCGTGACGCGCATTCGTTCGGCCATGATGAGAGCCGTCAGGGTGATAAAACGCGTCAATGTTGAACCTGTCTTTGGGTACCTCAGTTTGTAAGTCTCTGGGTTCTTTTAAAAGTTCCCATAACTTTGAGGGGTTGTTAACGTCGCCTGGAAACCGGCATGCACTTCCCACAATGGCAATGGGCTCGTTTGGAGGCATAGTGAATATAGGTTATAGGTAATCGAATACAAATAGGAACATCAATTGTGAGTGATGCTTGCTAGACTCTAGGTACATGAAAGGAAACGCATTGTTAAGTAGTGAGGCCGCGATTCAAGACATTTCGAATGGACCCAGAGGTACAATGACCTTGTGAACAGCCTATTGGACTACGGGGGTAAGAACGGAACCTTCTCCTCATACGTCATTAATGACCGTAGTGTACGGGGCCAAAGATCATCTGTCATTCTCAGTCTTGTTATGGTCGATGTGTCCTTCTTGGCCAGTCTGCCTCGACCACTTCGACTCGGTCGTTGTGCCCAAGGTCCTAGCACACCATTAAGTGTGACATGTTTGGAATATCCTGGTTCAACTATTTACCCACTTTTCCCTCACCTTCAAAATACACGGTTATGGGTCACTCACCTAAGTCATGTTGTGTTCCTTGCCTCACCGCCAGAATTGATACATTTTGTACCTCAAAACATTGGTCTTATTTAGATAATGTCAGCAATTTGTGAAAACAAGAGTCATTCAGATATGGAGCCACTTGGATGGTACGCAGGCTCATGTCTTGGCTGGCTTCAAATGATTTCAGTCCTTGGCTTGGCATCCAATAGATATTGTTTGGATTTCCTTAGTGGAATAGGGTGGGCTTCGTCTACAATTGGTATTCTTTAGAAACGACAGGGAAGGATATATGCATTTATTCAATGCATTTAGCGTGACAAAAAGGCTACAACAACAAGTACTCGTCGATCCAGTGGCGTGGCTATAAAGGACCGACAAATGTTCGAGTATTTTCCATCCAACCCAAAGGGCTGTTCACCCAAAGGACTATCTACTTAGGCGAATAATACGCCCTTATTCGTTACCGGGAGCACAAGCGTCAAGAGAAACATGGAAAAAGCCGACACTGTGAGGAAATCCTCAGATGAGGATGAAAACGTTGGTTTGCTCGATTCCTCCACTCCCCTTGAATCCCGATGGACAGCAGCTTCGTTGACGCACCCCAAATTAACCACAATTGTCCTATCAATCACAAATGGAGTAACAATAGCGATTCTATTATGCTTCATTTTTACCTCGAGCTCCGCAGATTCCAGCGACAAGAAGCCAACGACAGTGATTTATCCACCACAGCCGGAGTGGTTCCCGCCGCAAAGTGAGACACCCTGATTTGCAGCAACAAAAGAAAAGAAAACTGACAGAATTCTAACTTTATAAATAAAGTCCCTGTCACCAAGATATTGCAAGGCGATAAGTTGTATGGACAGCCCCCCAATCCCGAAAGTATCGAGGCTTGGAATAAACTGTTACCAGGTAAGTAACTGAGAAACCAGCCAAGACGCAAGCTGAGACAATGCTTTCTTTTTCTTAAAAATGCTAAGATTCTACAACAGTTGGAAGGGGTTGGGTTGCTGTGAAGAATAAAACAGCTCTACCGGACCTACCAGGGCTAAACCAGTCACTTCCGGAGCATAAGGCATTCCCTTCGGTTTTCCACCAGCTTCATTGCCTCGTAAGTGCCACAGCCTCATGGCTCACTTTAATTTCTCCATACATGAGAACCGTGATGCCCGGTGGCTATGCGAAGACTCCACTAACGATCCAATTTCTGGTCACAGTACAGCACCATGGACAGTTACTACACTCTCCTGAATCGAGTAAACAAAGGAGAGGCGGCTGAGGCAAGAAAACGAGAGCTACCCAAGGACCCCGGATGGAATACCGAGCACCTCAACCACTGCTGGGACTACTTACGCCAGACCATTATGTGCAACGCTGATGTTACTCTCGAGTGGCGCAAGTACAACGAAGAGGTTGGCACGGGATGGGGCTACCAGCACCAGTGTAAGGATTGGGACGCTATCATCTCTTGGGCCGAAAAGTATAGATTTGCCAATGATTGGGGTATTTTGAGAGGGGGCGGTGAGAGGATCCCTCTCTCATGAAGGTCATTCCCAGTGCAGATCATGAGGGGGGTCTGAATCGAACTTTGTCCAACTCCAGCTGGCTACGACTATGCTTTCATAATCATAAAGACTATGTAAGAATGAAAGAGTGGATCCGACTAAAATGGCTCCTAAAATTATACTTTTTCTAGAACCATAGTTGTGGTTCTGGTTTCCAATTTTCCAGATGAAGACACGACGTTGTAGGTATGTGTGTATTGCGACTCGTGTCTATTCCCACTTTCGGCATTTTTCGCCGATCGTGTTCCAAGTGGCATGGCGACTCGTAAATGTGACATGAACACATCCGAGAACGAATGCACGATGGTTTCGTTACGACCTTATAGTTTAGGTGTAATGCAAAGCGTAGTGGTACATGGACTACTCTAACGGCTCTTTATGCAGCACTGGACGTGGAGATTTTCGATCTACAGTGCCGGTTCCACCACTCAGACAGTTTGATCTTTACAACTTCACGACTCGATAGAGAGTTATATTTATGCAATATCAAGGAGAGAATAATGTCAAGGACTCTGTTTCTATCACATCGAACATAGAAAAGTGAGAGCAGGTGACGAAGCTGTCTTGACGATAGATTTGGTTTTGTCTTTTATGAGTGTTTAGTGAATCAGTATGAGTGACATTCAGTCTCGGGGATTTCTCCCTCCAACGACCCAGACAGCCGTGGTTGTCAATGACAAGGACGATGTCGTTATCTGGGACCAAGCACCATGCCCGAAGCTCCCATCAGACCAGGTCATGGTGCATGTTGAAGCTGTTGGCCTCAACCCAAGCGACACAAAGATGAGAGGAGACTTTGCATCAAAATTCGGAATTCTTGGTGCGGATTTCGCAGGAACCGTAGTTGCAGTCGGAGACGAAGTCGAAGACGTGACCATCGGAGACAGAGTCTTTGGGGCTCAGAACGAGATGTACGGAACGACACCTGAGCGTGGAGCGTTCTGCGAGTATACTGTAACTCGTGGCAGGATTTGGATGAAGATACCTGAGTCTTGGAGTACCGAAGCAGCTGCCTCTTTACCCGTTGGGGTGAGTACCGCTGGCATTGCTATAAGGTTGCTTGGTTTGCCATTGCCGGGTCAGCCTCCCGCAAAGCCTGCTCAGGTACTGGTTTATGGCGCTAGCACTGCTACTGCAACGATTGCTCTGCAGATGTTAAGACTGTAAGTTTCCAAGGAGTCGAAGACTTGAAGTCTGGCCCGATAAGCTCTGAGCTAACAACCGTTACGTGTCACAGTTCTGGCCATACTCCGATCGCTGTGTGTTCGACCAAGAACTTTGACTTGGCTATAAAGAATGGTGCTGGCGAGGTCTTTGACAGAAACACCCCCGACCTCGACCAAAAGATCGTAAGACTATTTGAAGCTACAAGGCTTAAAAGCAGACAGCTGACTACTTATTGTGTGAAGCACAGAAAGACTATACTAAGGGGAATTTGAAATATGCTCTGGACTGTATTACAACAGTGGAATCGACAGCTCTCTGTTATGCCGCCATCGGTCGCGGCGGCGGCAAGTATGTTTCTCTGGATCCGTGGCCAGAGCATGCCGCATCACGTAAAGTTGTCATTCCGGACTTCACTGTTGGACCACGGATATTCGGAGAAGGTTGCACATGGCCAGAACCCTACAAAAGCGATCCTTCAGAAGACATGCGTACATATGGCGTGAGTGTATGGGAGACCGTTGGGAAGTTGCTTCACGAAGGAAAACTACAGCACCATCCCTTGCGCGTGTTGGACGGTGGATTCAATGCTATTCTGACAGGCATGGAAATGGTTAAGAATAAAACGCTATCTGGCGAGAAGATAGTTGTGAGGATGAACTGATGAGGATAAACGATACGAGATGGGTGTTGCGTTCAGTTAGAAGATGAGAGCAATCCCGTTTGTTATTCATGACTTGATTGTCGACCAGAGAGACATATCTGGATACATTTACCGCTATGAAATATGATATCAATATTAGAGTGCTACAAAATATTTGCTTCAGGAAGGAACATTAATCAAGAACACGCTGAACCCAGGAGCTTTTGGAGCCAGTAGTCCTTACAGAAATTTACAATATGGAAATAGGGTATCTGTGATTCAAAGCAGATAAAGCCTTTGCATCAAAGCCTCTTATCGCTAAAAACATCCTTAATTGCAAGCTGGCAAGTCGCTTCAAAGCCCTTGGAAAAGCCAGAATAAAACCTGACCATCTATTTTAGGACACTAAGGTATGATTTCATTGTGCTCGTACCACACCGCTTGTGCACATGTTGTACTGAGTTACTTTTACTTTTATTTTTATTTTTATTTTTTTCAGAATAGAAGTCGCATTGCGGTTGAATGTTTGTGTCATTCCCGCATTATTGCAACTTGAAGAACCTGCTGGGCCTGTTTCTCCGGGAATGAAGGGACCAACATGTGAAGCGGCTCCATCAGACGTCTGACATGGCACCTGACGATCAACAACCAATAAACCCACCATGTGTGCGCCCGCTGGAGATGACACATGTATGGAGACCCAGACACCTAGCTGTACTACAACTATCCGGGGGATGCGCTTTGACTTCAGGATTATAGTGTAAGTAAGTCATCTGGCTGCTGTCCTAACTTGTTCAGTCAATACTGGGGAAATTCATCGCCACAGGGTTGGTCCTCGTTTGTTTCAGTGTGATATGTACACCCCTCAGCAACCACGTCTTTCTAGTAAGCAGGTTTAAATGTACCCGTAAACAAACCTTCTTGACTTACTAGCATTTATTTCGTTTCCATACTGACACGGTGAATTTTACCGTTCGAGAGGCAACCCGGCCACTTTGGCTGGATGACGATGACGTCTTGCCCTTTTGAAAAGTTCCGTGTGGCCCGAGAGGCTTGAAGCTGAAGTTTGAATGACTAGGAGTGGTTCCCATCGGATGGAGGTTGTATACATCAGAAATGGAACGTAACGGAGAGAGGGGTCGGGGGTATGGGGGGATTGGCGCAATTCGTTCTCGTACAGTCAAACAGCGCATCTTTCTACGATAAAACACGGTTGGCCAGTTTGAATGACTCGTTGACAAGCATCAGTTCTCTGAAGCTGTTAAAAGAATAGCCAAGAGCATCGCTAAGCCTCAATGCAAGCTCAGTCCAGTGAAATGGCTAGCCGGCCCCAAAACATGTAGCTACACCCTTTTTTAAAGGATTCTCAAGACGCACTGATAATGGACTTCATTACGTTCTCGGGGTCTGTGAAGATCATATGGAGATACACTCACCTATACTAAGACACCCACTCTTTCGGATTAGGGCTTTACTTCATGCTTTCCATTATTCCATACATTAAGCTCAGCAAGACGGGATTCAATTTCCGAATCGTTTATACTTCATAGCCATTATAAAGTTTCCAAACTTACGGCTGCCTTAGAACACTTGCAGATGATCTCAGAAGAAGCTTAACTGCTCAAACCAACTGTTAGTACATTGCCCATGTCCCTATGCCCAAGTCACAATGATACTGCTACATTCTAACTTCATGACACAGCAAGCATGGGGGTTACTGTGAAGAAGATGCCCTCTCGGGCAATACTTTGCGTACACGGTGGCGGGGCCTCGCCTGACATCTTCCGATTTCAGCTGGCGACATTTCGTGCGGCGCTGAAAAACGAATTCGAGTTCGTGTATGCCGCCGGCCCACACAAAGCGATTCCCGGTCCTGATGTGCTCCCCTTTTTCGCTGGAATGAAGGAGTTCTATTCATGGTTTCGGAGAGAAGCGACATCAACTGACGAGGAAGTTGAGGTGTTCAATGTCTCAATTAAGGCGTCAGTGGAGAAATGGGAGCGGACAAACCCGCACTCAAAGATCGTGGGAGTGTTAGGCTTCTCACAAGGCGGTCTGGCAAGTACCATGTTACTATGGGAGCAACAGATGGGACTCCTGCCATGGCTGCCAAAGTTAGAGTTTGGGGTGTTGATCTGTTCCGCGTATAGCGAAGTAGAAGCAGAATATATGCGGGAGAATTCTAACTTGGGAGGGGATGCCATCCAAAAAATATCGGTCCCTTCTTTGCATGTCCATGGAAGCCAGGACTGTAATCTTGGGCAAGCGAGGGACACCCTGGCGACACATTACTCTGCAGATTCTGCACGAGTTATAAACTTTGAGGGGGCACATCATGTCCCTCAGAAATGGGAGGACATTGAGAAAATGGCGAATGCAATCCGTCAATTTGTCAGCGCATGAAAGTCTTATTGGTCTGTTATTTGGTTTATATATTCTATTTCTTTAAGCTAGTATCATGTCTTTACAGAACTCACACCGTTCATACACTCTTGACGTCCTAAATCAGCTGAATCAACACAGACCTCAACTTCGCTAGAACTACTGTGTGCTGAAGCTTAACTGTCATGCGGTCTCGTCATAATTATTAGCTGGCATCGTCTGACATTCTGGACGATACTTTAATTGGCAAGCGTTCTTTGAACCAAAGAGTCCAACACTTCTGATCTTCCATCCACCTATGACTTTCTGGACATAACTCTATGTCAAAGTTCGATAAAAAGTTGGCGTAGAGAAGTCGCATTTCCTGATGTGCAAGACTGCCATGCGCCAAAAATTGCCCGTCAGTTAATCCGTGTAGCTTCGAATAGCAATAAAGAAACATGTTTTGGAATACTTACTTCTTGCCGATGCATGCGCGAGGGCCAGTTCCAAAAGCCTGAAAAACACCATGTCTGTCGTGCGCGTGATATTCTTCGTAGCCAGGCTCTCCCGGGATCCATCGTTCAGGAACAAACATGTCGCCGTTTTTCCAAAACATGGGAATACGAAAGGCAGTCCAAGTCGCAATTGACATTTTGGTCTAGAAGTGGATGAGGAATTAGCGAGGGGGGAAAAGAGTCAAAAGCCCGCAATAAGATGCGCTCACATCTTCAGGGAGGTGATGGCCCAAAACCGTGTTGCCCCCTTGGCCAATTACTCGCAATCCTCCGGTCGGGACGGGTGGGTGTACTGCAATCCTTAGTTAGCAGGTCTGCAGCCGTATTACCCGCGGGTTCCGAGTTTTGTTACATCTTAGGCATTCAGAGAGGCAAGCCTGAAGGTATGGCATTCCTCTCACAGTCTCGTTGTTGATTTGTCTCCTACCTCCAACCGATCTAACTTCTTTTAATAGACGTTGAAGCTTATCTGGGTTCCGTAGCAGGAGATATGTGAGCGCGCTTAGAGCCGTTGCTGACGTCTCTGTGCCCACTATCATGCTGTGTTAGGAAAATAGGAAAATGTTAGTTGAATGCCATGATGAAAAAGAAAGCTAGAAAACAAGGATCACATCAAGTCGTAATACTGACAAGTTGTTGGCGTTATTGTTCATTTCCGTGCGCGTCAGCGCGTTAGGCCCTTCGGCTCTAAGAACAAGTCCCCAGATGTCATCTCTCGCGTTTGGTCCCTTTTCCAGCCTCTTGGTAACACGATCGTGGGATTCTTGAACATGAATGGCGGCAGCCTTTTTGTCTGCTTTTGGCTGAAATGTATTCCAGACATATGAGAGAACAGGGTGTTGACGGAGTTTCGACTTAATGATCATAGATTTGAAGTTCACCTGCACCGCGTCAACCCAAGAATTGGACCCGCCATTCTCAAGACACCCTAGCGACTCGCCAAATGCTAGGTCCGCCATGATATCAAAGGTGGCAAAGTTGAACAGCGACACAGCATCAAGAACGACACTGTCATCAGAAGATCCAGCATCGGCTATCTTCCTGTGGACGAGATTGACCATTTGCCTGGCATAAAGTGTGAGCATAGGCTCCTGCTTGGTGATGGCACGATCGCTGAATGCATTGCTAAATATTTTTCGCAGCCTTTGGTGCTCTGGACCATGAGCAGATGAGATGGAGTAGCTGTCGTTCGAAAAGAGGTTTTTGCTATTCTTGTTCTCTTTTGAATTAGCTTTGCGAGTCGCTGTCGCATGCCCATATATGTCCTTCCATGCCTGAGGGGCAATATAACTCAAGCGGTCTGGTTCGACACGAACAACTTCGCCATATTTGCGATGGAGTCTGTCAAGCCATAACACTGCGTCGCCAGCTACAAAATAGTAGACATGGACTAAAGGGGTAATGGCTGCTAATCGTGGGCCTGGATATCTAGACAGCGGATGGAAGAAAAGATTGTAAAGGACCTGGATGATAACCGTAGACAGAAGCCATAAAAAGCCCACAAGGGCTAGAAGCCCAATGATTGCCAATACTGAAAGCATTCCAGGTATATGTCGCGGCGGCCTCAGATCGCAAGAGCTGCGTTATCACCTGGATACAAGAGGTAAGAAAGTGACAGTACGAACTTAGACGAACCATACCTTCTGCGATCAAGTCCGCGGTGCTGCTGAATCAATCGATTTCCTGATAAATGTCTGCGCTCCTAAAGGAAGCTCCCGACTGTAGAATTGCGTTGGCCTACAAGTATTGGTGACGTACCGAAGCATCTGCTAGTGTTTCCTGTTACATGTCTGTGCCCGAACCCGCCATATGTTTTACGGCCTTTACGGATGACCCGTTTCTTTCTATGCACACCCCCTACTTGTCAACTAGTTACACACGGCAACCAAATCATTTCGCAATTTCAAGTCGTTTGTGTCAGTTCATGCCCAGGATTCTACCCACAAATAAAGTCTATCATTCAATTGGTATTTATCAGTTTGGTTGAGACACTGAGTGCAAGTGTCAAAATGTTACATCCTATATTTATTCGTCGAGTTAGTGTCACGGTACGGCTCTAATCAGTGAAAGACAGTAAAGATTCAAGAAATATTCTACATCCTGACGTCAAAATCCAATCATGGCAGCAGTTACGGCGTTCTTTGAGAAGAACATCGCTCATGAGAAGGAAAAGCCTTACTTATGGGAGGGGCCAGACAAAGGAAATTTTCCAAAGTCAAATTTTAAAATGAAAGAAATGGAGGTAAGCTTCTTTAAAAACCTTTTTCGGGTAATAATTCACGATAAGCTAAATGATGAGCCAACTTATAGTTGAATTTGACAGACATTCGCAGCGTGCCCGACTTTAAACCTTCTATTGAGGAAAATGGCTTCTGCTTTGCAAAGAACAAATCCAAGGAGGTGGCAGGAATGACGGGCTGTGAGGACTGCCATTCTTATCTAGGAGAGATGGCTCAGTATCTGTAAGTAAGATTACTGCTTGCGAAGCTTCTTTCGTCAGTGAGACAACCGACGACTGACAGAGAGTGACCGCAGCAAGCAGCTGTTTGGAACAGATGAAGTATGGGCAATAAACGCATACGTATGTTGTCTCTTTTATCTATTAACATCCGTGTTTTGAAACCACGCAGTTAACGAAATTTCTCGGTCATTAGTTTCGAAATGCGCGGACTTCAGGAGGCCGCACAGGGCGTCTGCTTTTTGCTCATCTAGGTAAGTGGCAAGACATACAGCTTAATCTACCCTCTTCAGTGCAGGCTAATCCTCAAGGTACAAGACAATACTGTGAACAGTTCCTGGAGCCGTATCTCCCCATTCTTAACAGTTGAAGAGCGGCAGCGCGTTATCTCAGGTCAGACACGCGCGAGGATCATCAAGTAGGCACTTAACTTGAAATCTTGATCAAATAGCGTCTGTGAGCTAACAAAACCATTCTATTTCCTTCAGCATATGGCGTCCTATGAGAGATCATGCCGAGGACATACCGTTGGCAGTGTGCGATCCAAAAACTAACACAGATCTCGGTGATGTTGTCGCTGTAGACCTGATTCAGGACGACCGGCCTGCTAAAGAACTGGCATACTTTGCGTGGAACCCTAACCATAGGTGGTACTGGCTGAGCAATCAAACTCCGGAAGAGATCATCATTATGACCCAGTACGACACCCACCCACCAGGAGGAATGTTCAACAGTAAGTTCAAAGCATCTCCACCAATCCTACCTGAGCCCTCATTAACGCTATTACATAGTTGTCCCTCATGCCGCTTTCCGAAATGGTGGGGCTCGGCCTGGCTGTCCTGCTCGCCAGAGCGTTGAAGCACGATTTATTGTTTTGGAGCCTGCACCCTATCAGAAGCATGGTCCTGGCCCGGCTGGTCCTTTTCCAGAAGACCCTCGAGCTCAACCCTGGAAGGCATTCGTTAAATTGCCTGAACCTGAATCTGCACCAGCGCCTGATGTTGATACCAGACCGTTGTATCTTTAACGGTGGACATGTCATGTACTTGCGTCAGATATGACACTGCGTGAGGGATCAGAATGCATATTTCTGGTTCAAAGATTGAGCGGCATTGCCTTACGTCACAGGTTGGAAAAAAGAGTGTTGATCCAGTGGCTCAGACGTTGCGCCGTCGAGACTCCTGTCATGGGTCGTTTTTTACGTGTTTACTATGCTTTTCACTGAAGCGTTTAGTTTCAAGGGGTACACTTCCCATCATCTCTAAATCATTATCTGCATTACGCCTGTCGTAATTTGACCCTCAAACCAAAGAGAGTTTTTTTATCCCACCCGATTAGGTAGCATGACTGACGTCTAAACCACATCGCTAGAGGCGATTTGCCCGAATCTGCCGAATCTGGTAGACCTAGCCGAAACTGAACCCATGATTCGAGAGTGGGCTTAAAGAAAAGCGGTAATAAAATTAGATACGGTCGGTAGATTTGACTTTCGCATTGATTCTGATCTCCGGACGGGATAGTGCAGCTGTAGATCCCTGATCTCGGGCGAATAGAGCATGCTAGAAGTTAACTAAGCGGCCCGGTATAAACTCTTTTCTAGTCATGTAAATCGCCGTGATTCCGGACGACCATAGCTAGCCCGGCTGTAAAGTCTGATCTTCGACCTCGCATAACTCGACAAACTCTATTCTTTCGAATGCGCCAGTCAGTTAGTTATCGAGTAGTTCGACAAGGATGCCGAACACCACTTTTGTCCACTTCTCTCCACCAGTCACGGTACCCAATCGATGATCATTGATATAAGCGCCCGTTTTCTCTGACAGAGTAGCATCCCTGAAGTTTGAACCTGATCTATTCTAGAAGAACCATTTCTGAGAATCCGCGCGTAGCTGATCGGAGCATGCGACAGCCGAAGTATTCTGTCTCGGTTAAATACATATTCTCAGCTTCGCAAGCAGTGCGACCTTTAGAAACGACCTACTGTGTGATGTGCGTGTAATGTAGTATGAGCCAAACACTGAAACTCTGTAAAACTCCAGGCCCATCAAATAATATCTTTGAACTTGGGCTGCGAGGCTTGTCTGACAGTCTTGCCCAGTCTTGAAGATAGAATACCTCTATCACGTTGGTCAATTTGCCAAAATGTCATTGACGCTTCCAGCGCCAATGAAAACACTCACACCTGGCCTCGAGTTTTCAAACAAGCCCTATGATGTATCTGCATTGGATCACGTAAAGATTTATCAAAGGAATGCCTTGCGTGTTCGTCAATACATTGAGGGAAGGCTGTCTGTACGTTGTACCAGTGGTCTGGGACTACTACAGGAGATGCCTCAAACCACTCCTGTTATTTTGGATTTAATCGCTTACAAAAAAGCAGGACTTCTATGGTCTCGATGAACTGGTAGAGCTCAGACTCGGTGATGGGTCGGAGTACACTAGTCCATCCTTATACATTGAGTCCGGACCGTCCTCGGCAAAGTTGCTTAACACGCTACCGGATGGTCTTCATCCCAGTGTTGTGGTGACCATTATGCCGGAGCACGTTCTAGATGTGATCGAAGGCCGCATGCATGCTGTACACGCATTTGGAAAGCGCGCGAAACCACCCTGTCGAGGGAGCTTTCCATTATGCTTTGCTCCGGGTGGGCGTCCTAGGCTGATCTCAAGTGCAGATGAGCTAGATAGCAAAGCTCTGCCCAAGCCCACAGAAGACATTGAGCAAGTCAAGCGCGACCTCATGAATTGGGGCTACGCAATGGTGAAGAATGCCTTGTCGCCAGAACAAGCCATGATTCTCAAAACAGCTGTTGAAGAACAGGCAGCCGGTGAGCGCATTGCCGGGGTAGCTCATATGGACGGCGCGCACGTTCAAGCAGACGATCAGCCAAATCAACGCGTGTGGTATGTAAAACTTTTCCATCGGTCGCGATGTCTCTCATCTGTCGCATATCGAGCTCATTTTAAACTTCTCCGTCTCGCGGCCCTGATTTGCCCACGAAAGCTAACAGTTCCATCAGGAGTCTTCCAAACAAAGGCGAGGAGTTTCTAGACCTTCTTAATCACCCAGTGGTCGATGCTATTATGCCCTGGTTCTTGGGTAATGCTTTCAAGCTGCATTCCATGGGTGCTAACATCGCTCGACCTGCAAAGTCTGGCATATATATGCACCGGGATCAGATGGGACTGACACCCGAGACCATTGACCACGCCTATCTCTTGAATGCCATGTGGTATCTGATCGATGTTACCGAGGAGAATGGCGCTACCCGTATTTACCCCGGGTCTCACAACAAGAATGTGGCACCTTCGGTAATCAACAAAGTTGTAAGTCTTCCATTCCATCGTATGATTGACGAGCGATATCAAAGGCTACTTGAGGTTTTCTAACTAGTCCAAGGGTACCTCCATCCCAGCTGCAGCCCCAGTCGGTACAGTTGTGCTATTAGATAGCCGTGTATGGCATTCAACAGGCGTTAATACGTCGAACGAAACTCGGCCTATTATTTTGCAAGCATTCTGCCGCTTCTTTCTGCAGCCTATGGAGAATTATCCAAGCATTATGAGCGAAGACGTAAAGGAGCAACTATCCGACCGGCAGTTGGGTCTTTTAGGGTTCCCAATTCCTGTGAGAGACGGTCAGCGGCCACAGGCATACACCGCATACAACCATCCAGGAGCAACCTTTGCGAAATCAAGGGCTCCAGTTAACGAGGCCTGGCTTCCTGAAGGCAAGCATTCTGCGTAAGGAGCCAATAGAGAAATGGACGTACACATTGCATGCTTTTGATGAGAAAACTGTTTGCCTGAAATCTGCATCTATGAGTAAACACCAAAATTTGAAAGATGTTTCCAGAATATGAACCTTAAAGATCATGAAGATTGCAGAGGAAAGAAACGTAGAGAAGATTGATTTTGTATATGTAAGACCGCTGACCGGGCCAGACTCAGTCTAAAAGATATTTCAAACAACTACGTTCAATCCAGGCTAAATCCTCATTAACTCCGGCTCTGATGAATTCTAGACTCTTGGTTTTCCAAGATTCGACATCTTCTTCAGTGCAGTCCCACACTGCTGGGTCCATCGGAACAAGCCAAAGAATGTAGATGCCAACATTCAGAGCAACTCTGAATACAAAGTCATGATCGACAATAGCGGCGCCCATGTGATGTTTATAAGCCGAGAGAAAGGAAGAAAGCAGGCCATGTTTCTCTAACTTGGTCTCCAGAATTACAACCTCAGCAACCCACATGCGAATATCATCACAAGGATCTCCGTAATGACAAAGTTCCCAGTCCACGACTGCAAGACCCGGTGCTGCATTCTTATCATCGGTGAAGTGTACAACAATGTTCATGGGACGGAAGTCCCACGGAGTTAACGTGCGAATGGGAGCCGGTATGCGCATCGCAGCTAGCACTTTCTCAGCCTCATCTTTGTCCATCGCAGCATTGATGGTCTGGTCGGCAAGCCCGCCTGGGGCGTAGAACATGCTAAGCTCACTGTGCTCAAAGCTCCATCCGTCAGGTCCCAAAGCAATGCCAGCGAGATGCAGGCAGCCAAGCCATCGTCCCAAACGTGCGCCAACCTTGGACACGTCGAGCAGTTCGCCTGTCCTGTAGGCCGTCCAAAGGTCTGTCTGCCCAAGCCAGTTCATTATGAAGCCATTTGTCGTTGTACGAAGGACGCGGGGCACCTGAACAGATGGTTCCTGTTCGCAGGCTTCCTTCACCGCTTTGCAAGTGAGAGCTTTAACTTCAAACCGCAGACGATCTGGTGAAACCTGAAAGGCTTGAGATTTGGGTGTGCTGTCGGCGCATTTCATAACGACAGGCTGACCCTCAACATAACCGTTGGCTGAGGCCTCAGCGTCTTTCATTCCCTCCAATCTCCAGAGGTAGCATGATGTGCTGGTATTGAGCGGGATCGCTTCATCATACAAAACTCGGTTCTGTTTCAGATAGTCGTCAAGTCCGACTGTCCAATCGTTAGGATGGGTAGGGGCATTTGGCTGAGGTGACATGATGAAATTGCGGTTGGTTTCGCTAGATATTGAAATTTCCAGAATGGTTAGAACCTTCGCAGTCATAGGCAACTTACACACATCGTCCACGGAGTCCCTTGGACCAATACAGTGCGCAAACCCTCTCGGAAGAAACCTAAATCTCTCCACAACTTACACATAGTGTAGCATACTATTACAGCCCGCGTTACTGACTCGACAAATGTTCATATATGCCCGTGTAATTCAATACGGCGTAACATGATACTCTTTTTTAGTTTGACGATCCTTGCAATACAACGTGAATGGGTGGGTCATCAAACCTACCCACTACTAGATACCAACACTTAGCAACCGCATATCTTATCCCCGCGCTATCCCCTTACCAGACTTCTGTCGCCTTTCGGCCCGGTTTTGAGAGTTCGTCGAACCCCAGGCCAATCTAGCAGGGTCAGCAGGTAGCTTAGTTTATAGTAGTTCTCAAGAATGTTTTGTGAAGCAAGGATGGGCCATGCTTATAACCTCCAATAAGGTCACAGCCAGCCTGGTAGATCCTCTAACATGAAAAGACAATCTCAAGCGGACCCAATCTTTACGATGCAGAACACATGTAACGTCACTCATCACCGCTCAATACACATGGGTCTACATCATGAGCGACGCCAAACTTCTCGATGTCGTCGCCAAGCTCGGCTTCAAAAGTTACTGCGAAAGAAACACCTTCACATGCCTAGCATCGCATAAGTGTCCGGCTGCAGGAAACTGCGTCTGCCATATGATCGGAGCTACTACTGGTAACAACTCGGAGCTCGGTTTCGTTATCGCCTTAACTACTACTTACACCCTTCCAGAACGGTATCAGCATGGACCTGATCGTCCGGATTGTCAAACTTTGTAAGCATGATGTTCTTACTTTACACGCCGGCGTGTGTGACGGAAAGTTATACGGGACTTTTGCCTACTTTTAGCACGACATAGAGTCTAGGCTATCGATGCCTGGCGCAGAGAGCGTAAACCGGTTAGAGTCCGTAACGACCGTAACATCCTTGGAGATAGGCCACTTGTTATTACTAATGAGTTTGAGTTAATGATGTCTACTGACAGGAATATCTCTACACATCGAACAAGATGAATTCAGTCTGATGCTTTTTTCTCCCTGGTTGTTCCCTCATTGACACTTCAGTTGCCTCAACTTCTCAAAGACTTCAATCTTTCAAAATGAACTCGGATACTGGCATTCCAGGGATGGAACTGTTCATTCGCAAAATTGATGAGAACGCGAGATGGAAGCCCCACGACGTTCTTGTTCGCTACCCGAGTGGGCCCAATTGGGAGGCGGAAGGCTACTGCTCGTTGAATTGGCGACAATACGCTGACGGCATCAACAAGACAGCTCACTGGCTTGATAAAGTCTTTGGAAAATCGGCAGGAAACGAAACAATTGCTTATTCTGGGCCAAGCGACTTGCGATATGCCTTTCTGTTCGGGGCAGCAGTCAAAACCAGCCGCACCGTACGTCACAGATATCGAATAAGACTGAAAATGAATGCGTTTATGCTGACAACTTCCAGTTGCTGATACCAGATAGTTATATGAAGGATGGTCTTATGGGCTTACTAGAGGCCACCGACTGCAAAATCTGGTTGTATTCTGAAGGAGGTGCTTTCAGTCCAGAAGCAGAGCTTGTAGCCAGCGGTATCAATGTCCAAAAGTTCCACAATCTGGACTGGTGCATTAGTGCCGAAGGGACCCATGATTATCAATACGACAAGACATATGAAGCTGCAAAAGATGATGAAATTCTCATCATACATACCAGTGGTACGACAGGTACGTTTACATATCTTACCAGCCTTAGCTTCCCACACTAATGTTTGATAAGGCCCTCCAAAGCCCATAGTCATGAACAATGGTTTTTGGGCAGCCGGGTGTTCCTCTGCTGCTTTGGCTCGTCGCCATTGGCCTCGGGGTATCTCTACAGATCCCTTCTTTGGACGGTCCTTGATCTTGGCTATTCCTATGAGGCTGCAGGGTGGCCTCGTTATGATCAACATGTTTTCCGTATTCTACAAAACTTGCGTCATCCTACCGCCCCCCGATGTGGTCGGACTACCTCCGAAAATATTCAAGAAACTGCTTAGCCTAAATAAGGTTGATGGCCTAATGGGTTACCCGTTCATGATTTCGGATCTATACAACACCGAAGAAACTCGAGAATCACTAAAGTCGCTCGAGTTCATCACGTACCTAGGTGCTAGTCTCGACCGAGATGTCGGAGATGCGCTGTGCGAGCACACTAGACTCAACTCGGTCATGGGAGCTACTGAGGCGGGTGGTCGCTTCTCCCTTCATCCCAGGGATAGGAAGTTATGGTACACTTTTCAATTCATACCCGAGCATCATATTCGCATGGTCAAGCTAGAGGGCTCTGGGGCAGCTTTGGGGGATGAGCATGATGTCTACCAGGCTTTTACTGACAGGCCACCCGATGGTAAACCATCCATCTATCAATGTGCTTTCTGGAACTACAGGATGTTCGAGAAGGTTGATACGATTGATCATAAGGAGTTATGGAGACCTGTAAAAGATAGCGATGGCAGTACCAGGTGGGAATTTGTTTACAGAGCCGACGACTGGGTGAAGCTCATCTGGATGGCGAAATTTCATGCCCAAGACATTGAGACCAAAGTCGCCAAATATCCAGGTATCAGGCACGTTATGGTCGGCGGTACGCAACGTGTTGCACCCTATGTCTTGATTGAGGTGAAGGATGAAATGTTGGCTAGGGATCCTGAGGAACTTCTCGATGAGATCTATGAAAACGCCATTGTGGGAATTAACAAAAACTCCGCGACAGCAGTGGAGATCCCCCGAGATACCGTGTTTTTGGCTAAGAAGAACAAGCCTATAAAGCTGACTGGGAAGCTGCAGGTGCTCAGGAGAGAAGTAGAGAAGGACTACGAAGAAGAAATTGATGCAGTATATGAGAGATTGGAAAGTAAAAGCAAGGGAATCAGGACAAAGTTCTTGGGAAACATGAACTAGGTAGGGGGGACAGGGGAAGTAGACCTCGTAGGCAAGCACAGTGAGCCGTAGAATTCGAAAATATTGCCATAGCGCCATATATAAACGCAGTCCGCGGCAAAGTAGCCCTCATGTGATAAAGTCTTCGTACCATAAACCAGGTCTTCTGCATGATCCATGAACCAGATCCGCAACAACAGCTTGGTAGGAACTCTGTAAAATCTGTACTCACTCCAATTATTCTTGCTTGATAAGACTAAAACAGCGTTATTTCTTTTTATTTTTTGGATTTTAGTCTGTCTTTTAACACAGTTGACGAAAGGAATCACTGGTCCTGATCGTCTCCTGGTAGCTTAATCTCGTGACCGTCGCCTTCTCTTACAAAAGGAGTCAAGAGTATTCCAATGCACGAAATGATACTACTCATCCAAAAGACAATACCGCTCGCGTTATGCGTTGATCCAAAAGCATACAGGTTCCCTGCCAGTGCTGAACTGGTAGCTCTAACCGCCATCGACATGAAAAATGTGAGACTATGCGTCCTGCCCAAGGCGGAGGGATGTGGGGATGATAAATTCGTCAATACTAGCTGCGAAGGAGTTACGACACTGGTGATGAATGACGTAAATGTCTGGATCATGACAAGGTATGCCCATACGACAACACCGGTCTTCTCGGAGGGCGGCGGGGTGGATGACGGCATAATAGCAACGTAAGGGTAGGCGAAGTAAAGAAGGGGAAAGCCAAGATAGAAGCGCCGCCAAAGTTTGATGGTGCCTATGCGCTGGGAAAGATATGGATATACAACGATCTGCATGGGAATGCCGACAATACCTGGAACTGAGGTCAGAACAGTTGTTTCTTTCGACAAAGGGGGTTTTCGAGACGAAAAATCAATAGATGTAAGCCACTTACCAAATACAGTTGTGTACCATGCCAGAGACTGAGGTGTAAATCCAGCGCCGCCTCCGAAGCGGAAAGGTAGCATTCGTGATCCCTCAGCTGCTTTGCTGGAGACTGGGTCGACCAACATATTGGGCATAGCAGTACTGACGCTGTTGAGATGAAAGTCATATATCAGGGTTGAAAAGAGCACAAGCAGCATATTGGTGGTAAACATCCGGCGAGTAGGAAGCCTAACGTCTTCAAACTTGGGTTGAGCGGGAACACCGGGTGATTCCGAGGTGGTCGACCCATCGCTGCCATTCACCTCTTTCATAAAATCCATTTCTTCTTCATTGCTATCGTCAGATTCGACGAGCAGGTAGTTCGAAGATTGGGTGTTCCAAGACGCCCCAGTGCAAAAGAGTGATTTGATTCTTGCAGAGAGAGCCAATCCGGGGTCGAATCTCCCACGCAGCGATGTTGACGTCTGTCACGGGTCAGTATTCGTTTATACCAAGACAAAGGGCTCATCATTGTCTTTGATAGGTTTTCAACTTGCCTCTTCCAGGAAAAGAAACGTAGCAAGTAAGAGAAGAAATAAGAAGCCAGCGTTCAGCAAAGCTGGAAGAGCATAAGGGTGATCCTTAACAAAGCCGTGCCCATGCCCTGACGTCCCCAACTGAACGGTCCAACCTGCCACAAGGGGACTGACAATGACGGCGATATAGCTAGCTATGGGTACCAGCGAAAATGCCCTGGTTTGAAACCTGTATTCGGCAATGGTTTAGCTCAGGTCAAAACGAAGATTTACATCAGTTCAAGTCTTTTATAATTGGGAGAACAACGTACTTTTTCTCTCGCACTACCTCCGAAACCATAGTTCTTACCATGGCGACCGTGCCATTTGTAATACCTTCGAGAATACGAAGTATGAGAGCTTGATTGTAACTAGTTATGAAGCCAAACAGAGAGCAACTAATAACTGCAAGTCATCTTCAGCGAATTGCTTTTCGTCTTTCTGATGGGGGATACAGACATGAACCAGATAGACTTATAAGTATGACAAGCTTACGACCACCTCTCGGTGAATCTGAAACCATGCCCCATAACAAAGAAGATATACACTGCGCGAGGGTAAAGGCTGTCTGAAGGTATGCGGACTGCGTGATGACTTCCGCACTTGACAGAGATGGATCAAGAGAGCGAAGCTGGTAGTAAATGTACGCAGAGATTGATACACGGACAACGGGTTCGCTGAACCTGATCATGAAAAGAAGAAACAGCTGATCTTTTCGTGGTAGGGAAGACCAGGTGACGCGGTTGTCGTCGGATGCCATGGTAAAATGATCGAGATAAGTTACTATCTGTGTAAGCAAAGACAAAAAGGACAAAGGAAAAACGAAAGGCGACCGTGCTGAGTTAAAAGTGAAACTGGGCGGAGTGGGAGTAAATTATCGGCCGCGTATCCTTGTATCTAAGTAAAGGACTTGGACTTTCCTTCTTCAGCCCCCCTCCATTACTCCAACGACGAAGCACAACAGTTTATACTAAGCTGTTTCCTTCAACAGGTTCGAGTTTAAATGTAAAATACTCGACTAGAGACACGCAATGTTAGTTTCGTTTTATCGGGAGACTGGAAAAAATGACAGAAACGATAGAGTTTGCTGCCCCGGCCAAAGTATAATCAAATTGAGAGCTGATACCTATGACCCGACTCAGTCTCAGCCTTTGCGGGCCTGTGTGATCTCCATTAGACCCATTAAATATCAGTAGCTTTTTGAAGTTCGTTTGATGAGACATGCCTAGCTTGAAGGCTAAATATAGGGGTACTGACTAAATTCTGGTTAATATTTAGCTGTTCCCCCCAGCCCGCGGAAAGCACCAGGAAATTCAATTCCTGGTCCAGTATCACTACCAAAATACTCACTCCATGGAGGATTTTCTCTCTCGAGGGCGATATTCGCAAATTGCTACGCAAGGCACCGAGCTAGTCATTGATGATGAAGAAACATCCACCTTCATAGAAGATCATGGCGGAATGAGCAAGCTTCTCAGGCCAACAGAGCTTCTACTCCTTACATGCCCCAGTATTGGACTCCAAGTTTGTTGGTTCTTGCTAACCTCCAGTGGCACGGTAACCTCTTTTTTCTGACTCGTTCATTTCTTGTTGGCAAAAACATACTAACATATAGGAGGTTTTTCTACTCTCACTCGGAATTCCTAACTTTGTCATCTCACTCGTATGGGTTAGTGGGCCATTGTTTGGTGCTTTTGTGCAGCCGATTTTCGGTCTCCTCAGCGACGAGTCCCAGGGCCGTTTGGGGAAGAGGATACCATTCATCGTAGGTGGTGCCACGAGCGCAACTGCTTTTCAGTTGGCTTTGGCCTACGCAAGGGAACTCACGGACTGGGGAGTAAATGTGAAGCTTGGGGATGGAAACAAGGGCACAGATCTATGGCAGACACAGGTCTTTGCCGTTATCTGTGTGCTCGTCATAACGTTCGCCTTGCAAGCTTACGCAGTCGGGTTGAGGGCTTTAATCGTGGATAATTGCCCACCTAGCCAGCAGGTGACCGCGGCTGCTTGGGCCATGAGATGGAACGTGTTGGGGAACGTAATATTGGCTTCTTTTGGCTTTTTGGATGCTCAGTGGTCGTTCTTCGCAGGAGACGCCACCATGAGGTTTAAGATGCTTACCATCGTTGCGGCGACTTGCTCCTCAGCAACTGTTGGCCTTGTTTGCGTCTTCATTCCCGACAGCAACGCGAAAATCGTTCGAGGCTGCTCGTCATCTTTCTTCCAATGCTGTAGAGACATGTTCTCGCTAAGTTTGTTAACAAAGCAGTGGGCCCAGCTTCCTCGGATCACTCGAAAAGTCTGCATGATCCAACTATTTGCCTGGGCAGGGTGGTTTCCCATTTTATATTACATGTCCACGTAAGTCGGTTCCTCCATCTGTACACGGACCCAAAAAACATGTTGATCTAACTAATGATGGTAGATATGCATATGAAGCAGGTAATTGATGGCGCCTTCAAGCATGTTGTCTACCCACTGACAGTAGAGTAGCCCTTTTAGACAATGACGGACGGACAGGGCAGGCAATCGAAAAACATGACCTTGCGCTTGTCGAAAACGCAAGGAAGTACAGCTTTTTTGCCTCCTTTGCCTTTGCGCTTGGGGCATTATTCTCGAGTGTCTTATTCGGCATATTAGAGCGAGCTATACCGACAGCATTGAAGCTGCCTCATGTATGGCTTACCTCACAATGTCTCTTAGGGCTGTGCATGCACCTTACGTTTTTCTCGCGGAGCGGCACAACAGCCGTCATTATCGTCGCAATGATGGGCATCACAGCACCTGTAACCATGTGGATTCCTTTCGCACTGATTAGTACGGAGATTTCTGAGGCCTTCATAGGCAAACCATACGAAGAAGTCGGACGGATCATGGGGTTACATAACATGGCCATCTCCTTGCCTCAAATCGGCTCTACACTCGTCTGTGCGATCCTCTTGGCAGTTCTGAAGCTGCTCAACGTCGCGGATAGCGTGGCTTGGGTGTTTCGGTTGGCTAGTGTGGCGGTGTTCTATTCAGTATACCTGATACAGAAACTGTGCTGATTCATGATCTGACAATACGAGAGAGCTCACAGCATCACTGAAGCTTCGGTGGTAGATCTCATTCGGCCTACAGAGAGTCTCACCAAGAAGATTAATGAAGACTGGAAGTCCGGCAACCCTTTATCAACGTATACTTACATTGCCACAGGATGCCACCTCTATTTCTCACTGTTCACGCCTTTTAAGCTACCTAGGTATAACTAGTAGTTGCTACTATAAAGAGAATAACACCGGCAAAATCTGTCAAAATCCCCCTTCAGCTATCCTCTCCTTGCTCGCCAAGCTCCTCGTACTCCCCGTCCACCATAGCGTCCAGGTCGACGCTGTTCATCATCGCCCCACCCATCTCTTCTGGGTCAACAAGATACACGTTCTCAGGTCCGCAGGAGAAGTACATTTCTTCGGTCGCAGCATAGGCCGACCTAATGCCCTCTAAACAGATCAAATACACCTCGGCAAGATTCCTAAACTTGTTGCCAAACAACAGCGACTCTGTGCGGGAAAAGTACTCGTTCGAGATGGCCCGCTCAAGCCGCAGCCGGCGGATCTGATGGGCCACAGGGCGGAACTCGTTCAAATCCGTGTCCCCGATGGAGAACATGTCAATGTCGAAGTTGAACCAGACATAGCGCTCCCGCTCCGGGTCACCCTCGGGTACAGGGTCCAGCCCCTCGTAGCGTGTCATAACGATCTCGCAAAAGGATTTCTCGTACCGATATTTCGCAACGGGGTGTGTGGTCAGGTGCTCGCGGGCCTCACGGCAAGTTTGCAGCTGGGCCGGGACTGGGGTAGGCGAGCGCAGGTGGCGAACCGGCGGCGGCCGCTTGACGGTCCAGTCTACTTCCTGCGCGCCTAGCTCGGCGGAACCTTTGACGTTGGCAGGGTTTGGTTGATGGTAGACCACGCGTACCTCGACGATGCGGGGCTCGACGGTCAACTCCCAGATGCGATTGCGAAGCTCGGAGGGGAGGCGTGGAAATGGGTGGAACGTCGGCATGGTAGCGGTAGCCATAGTCTTAGGCTCTCGACATACGTACCGTATGCAAAGTGCTTGCTAGTAGAAAAGCATTGGGTGCTGAAGAAGGGAACTGTGGGATGGGTGGATGGATGCTTCGGACAGTTCGGTTGTTTGGATGGCTGAGATGAGATGAGATGAGATAAGAGCCCCTTTTGGAGGTTCTGTCTCATTGGCCAGAAAGCGAAATCTCGGAAATCAGCAACTGGCGATGGAATAATGATGTCTGCCCTGTTGATCATTAGCGAAATGCTGCGCCGGGCGGTGAAGAAAATGATTATCATGTGACTATTGGGTGACAGTAAGATTGACTGCTTACCTTGTCTTTAGTGGTGGTGTAAGCGTAGAGGTCGTGACTTTTGGTTTTTTGGTGATGGGATGGAATACTAGAGTGTATATTCCGTCAAGTGCGGAATAGCTTCATTCTCGCCACGGGGCGGGGTAAAACCAATTAAACTCATTGCCTGGGTCTGCGTTGAAATGTTTGCCTAATTCAGTGTAAAAACTGGGTAAGAAAGACGAGGCCTGCTAGTAAAATGGAGTTATTCCGCCCTGGATGGAAGTGTACGTATCCCTGGTTGCTGTTCTACTATGTAAGGTACTATGTACTATGCTAAAAGGTGCTGACAGGGCAGTCCTCCACCACAGAAGCTAGGCCTGTTAAGGCTATAGCAGAACCCTAAGTCAACTACGATACCTAAAAGGCAGGTGGTATTAGAAGCCTAGCCGCTATAGGGCCAGCTCCCCGAAAACCTTATTTTAAATATGTATTTCTCACAGTTGATTTATGTTTATACAACCCACTTACAAAATAAGTGACTTCTCTTAGTATAAACGGGTAAAAGTGGAAGGAGTAGATTAACGAAATGGAACCCGGCTGCAAGGGACGGGAATCCTCGGTTGGAAAGTGTGTTCCGCTCCAGGGGCACCTACCTACTATATTTGCACCTTCTTCATTCAGCCTTACCCAGCGGGGGTAAAGGGGTGAAAATAGCGATTGCCCCTTCAGTCCTCGGTGGCGGTTGCAGTCCGCTGAGGCTAACTGTAATTTGCGGTAGCGGCGTACCCGGACCACAACGGTAGTGGTCTTGCCTATTCCTTTTTTTTTTTTTTTTTTTTACTCAAAGGATCCGATAAGGAAGGACCTTCCTGAATTTGTTTCTAGCCAGGCCTATAAGCATTATACTCTTGGCAACAGGTTAGGCAAGCTCCTGCCTAGACTCACTCGTAAGCACTAGACCATTCGACTAGAAATCTCGACTAGACCCTATCAAGTAATTGTCCTCGTTTATACAATACCCATACCGCTAATCGATCTAGATGTCTTGGTATGACCAGCATTGTGAGATTACCCCGAAGCCTTCCCATCAAAATACCTCGGTACCTTGGGGATCTTACATGGAGCCTGTTCCAGTGTTTTCCCAGCTTGTTTTGGTTGAGTCGAGTCTTTTTCTTGTCAGACTTTCACTCTCATCGTTGTCCGTCTTCAGTGTTTTCTCTTCTTGCACCTGTACCACTCCAACCACCTACTGAGTCAGTCCTGTAGCTTCTAGGTTCATCATGAAGACCTCTTGGTTACTATCCCTCGTTGAGCTGGCGCTTCTTGCGCGAAAAGCGAGATGCACGAATACCCCATTGCTTCCCTACGACCCAGCGACAACCTCTGACTGCGCCGACTGGTTCAACAACGAGGACGACAAGACTTGCGAATGGGTACGCGATTACTTCAGGGCCACCCCGCAAGAGTTCAGTCGTTGGAACCCCTCCGTCGGCCTCGACTGCAAGCCTTGGTACAACTGGAACTCATACTGCGTCATTACATGGACCAAATTCAACGAGACCCAGACGACGACCTCAAGCACCACTACCACCAGCTCGCCCACCTCCACCGCACCCACCCTCGGTCCTTCGCCAACGGTCTGGACAGACATGGGATGTTATGTCGAGGACCCAAAGATGCCCCTCCTCGACATGAACTTCAGCCCCAACGGCGACCCCGCCCTAAGCGTCCCCAAGTGCTGGCAGACATGCTATCGCCGTTTCTACGAGTACGCCGGCCTCCAGAACGGCAACCAGTGCTGGTGTGGCTCCTACGTCGGTGGCGAGTGGGCAACGAATCAGACAGACTGCAATTCGCCCTGCACCGGCAACCGCAGCACCTTCTGCGGCGGCCCGGCGCTCATTCAGATCTACAAGGCGGAGGAGAACGCGCCTTCCGTCACTGCTACCGCCGGTGCCGGTAAAGCCACCACTCCCGCTTCCGACCCGAAGCGTGACTCCGGGGCGGTTATGAACCCGGGTATGTTTTAGGACCCGCTGAGCTTGTTTGGATGGAATGCAGAGCAATGTATGGTTCTTTGAAACTGATTGCTTGGTTATTTAGATGGTCGCTTGTCGATGGCGTGGTTTTGTGGGTTCGCATATCTGGTCTACTCTGGCATTATGGAAATGTAATGAATGGCCACGTGCCGATACTTCTAAACACAAGTTCCAGGTTTTTACTTGATAAAATGTAGTCGAGGGGCTTAAGCCTAATTACTGTTTTTTTTTTTCCCTCTTTTTTTCTTCTTTTTTAAACATGTAAATTAATATCATTGAAAACAAAGTGAATCGAAGTCAAAGATTGACTTACAGCAACTGCAGCATTGTCCTCTGCTCGCTTCCACAGTCTCTACCAAAGTCGTAACTTGTCACATGCTCGTAATCACTGCTACCGGCACAAGAGCATTAGGCACCTCGCCACCATGCATATCTCTGATCGGCGACATCCGGAAGGCTATCGACGCTCCGTTCGTCCAGAGTCCAGGGCCTAGGTCTGGGCCTGGGGTATGCTCTTTTACGAGAGGCGAAGTCGCATTACGGCCCTCCCTGTCAGCGACTCAGCACTAGATGAACCTAATCGTAAGCGTCGGGCGATCTACCTGTTCTAGATCCCTGATCCATTTGCTTCTTCTTTTCTCTTTTCAAGGCTGCCAGAAGGCGAAATGCATGCTTGAATAAGCTTCAAGGGTCCTTCAATGCAGGGGAGCATCTAATGTAAGGCACCGACCTTGGCTGCATTCAGCATGGGCGAACTTGGCCACCTTCACTTATTAGCGGAGGGTATTCCGGCTGCGCTAAGGTAGGTACACCGATAAGAACATTATTAGTTGATGTTACCATCAAACACGTCCATCCCCAGTCAACTGCCCCCTTAACTATCCCGTCGAGGGTTAGTTAACAACAGGTCTAGACTGCCTCATTTCATAGCCCATGTTTTTCCATGTACTAACAATACTCATCATTAGGCAAAATCATACTGTCTGGATATAATTGGTCAAGGTACTCCTCTCGATCGGATAAGGCGCAGTTGCTTACGCTAGACCGCAACTATAAGCCCCATTATTATGTACACAGTGACTTCAACCTTAAATGAGCCCCATATTTAGTATGTGCTTATGTCAACCTGTGCGGATTCCATCCAGACCAGGTGTAAGGCTCAGTACGTATTTTTGAGGATTCATTCACAAGTCAACTAGGGGTGTAATATCAACTCGTGTGTATACTCGCTTTGCTACGGCCTTACCTTGCTCCAACAGAATCAATGATCAGGCTACAGCCATGCAGTAAACATTAGAGTCCAGGTTTGGCTAATCTAGATGCTAGCGGCGACACCGTAGTGCACCTCCACTCTCTAACCTCAATAGAACTGAGAACCGGGATGATGCGGATATTCCATCTACCTTTGAGGAATATTGAAGCATCAATATCCATATAACAAGACAAACCTCCCTAATCGTCTGGAAGTCACGCAGATTAGCCCTTTAGCATCCAGGTTTACTCCCGTCACTCTCTATCCAAGTTCAGCTCAGTCACTCTTTTACCATGCTTTCCTTTTCTGCATTCACTCTCCTTCTGGCCAGCGGCCTCATTGCACCCGTGGCCGCCGGCAGATCAGCTCGTTTGCTGCAGACTCGCGATGGGCCCTCGCCGGCTCTGCCCTATGCTCCCGATACCTCAACCTACTGCAGTTGGTGGGTGGATGTCAGAGCTGGGACCACCTGCGATGCCATTGCCAACGAGAACTTTATCTCCCTCGAGCAATTTAAGCGTTGGGTAAGTCTATCGTTGTGATGGAGCATTGAGACATTTCACTCCGAGTGTTGACTTGCTACACTTAAACCGAGCTCAAGCTGACCTGTTCAACAGAATCCTTCCCTCGCCGCCACCTGTGCCGTCGAGGTTGGAAAGTCGTATTGTGTAGAGGCCTATGGCGAGCCTGCGCCGGGTCCCTCTACGACGTCTTCTATTCAAACGTCGACCACTTTGTCGACTAAGACTTCCACTTCTACTCCATCCACTTCAACTCAGCCGCCGACTACCACCGTCAAGCCGTCGTCGACGACGAAAGCAACGACGACGACGACCACTGGAAACGGTATCACCACCCCAACACCCACTCAGGCTACCATTGTCAACAACTGTGATGCCTTCTACTTTGTCGTCGCCGGTGATACTTGCGACGCAATCTCAGCTAAGCATGGTATCACTGTAGCTCAGTTCCAAAGCTGGAATCCCAGCGTCGGCACGACCTGTACGGGACTCTGGGCCAATGCCTATGCTTGTGTCTCCATTATCGGCCATACGCCGTCGCCAACCACGCCCGGCAACGGCATCACCACTCCCACCCCGACCCAGGCCACCATCGTGACCAACTGCGACGCCTTCTACTTCGTTGTAGCCGGCGATACCTGCGAGACAATTGCATCCAAGCACGGTATCACTGTAGCTCAGTTCCGAAGCTGGAACCCGAGCGCCGGCACAACTTGCACCGGACTCTGGGCCAACGCCTATGCCTGCGTCTCCATCGTCGGCCACACTCCGACCAAGCCCTCGACCACCACCACCAAACCTGGCAACGGCATCGCCACGCCGACGCCCATCCAGCCCAACTTGGTTGGCAACTGCGACCGCTTCTACAAGGTCAAGTCCGGAGACACGTGCGCCACGATCGCCTCCTCGAACGGCATCACGGTGCAGCAGATCACGACGTGGAACCCTGCCGTCAAGTCCGACTGCACCGCGCTCTGGCTCGACTACTACATCTGCACCTCCATCGTCGGACACACGCCCACGACCCCGGGCAACGGCATCCAGACGCCCACGCCTATCCAGAGCGGCATGACCACCTCCTGCAAGACCTTCCACTTCGTCACCTCCGGCCAGACCTGCCAGGTCATCACCGCGCGGTACGGCATCACCCAGGCCAACTTTTTCAAGTGGAACCCCGCTGTCAAGAGCGACTGCACTGGCATGTGGGCTAATGCCTATGTTTGCGTTGCCGTGTTGTAAATGGAGGGGGCTAGGTAGACTGCTGCGAACGGAGGATATTCATGTAATTAGTGTTTTTTTTCCACGTGAAAAAGTATGTGTAGTTACGGGTAATAACATTTAATGCGTTCGAAGTAGATTGTTGTGCGTGTAGCCAACTTTGTGAACATATGGATCTAATGCTAACACTTTGCTGGATTATGCTCTAGACATATTCGAACTCGAAGTGGCTGCCACCCTCACTTAGCATATTGATATTTATGTCCGTCATAAACACTGTGACGAAACCTTGAAACCATCAGGTGAACATGTTTTCGTATTATAGATGATTCAATGAGATTGCATGACTAGATCTCTCTAGATGGAGCTAAGTAATAAAATACAGAGCCAGGAGTATGGAACTTAGCTACTCCAAGTTAAACAAAGGTAACCAAGGTTAAATAGGCTTCGACTAAACGACCTGAGAATATCCAAATAGAGACTTTCTTTGGGCGCCCCTACTAAATACATGAATTACAACTACCTAGAAACAAACAAAATGTCCTCCAACCCCATCGTCCTCTCTACATCTCGAACCTCCTCAACATCAAGAAGAAGAAAAAATGTGTCCATTGTCAATTAATGCTTCCGGCAACGGTTCGTCCGGTCCTTGATGGTCTTGTAAGACCTGAGAACCTGCCAGTGGTCCTTCGCGTTGCGGTTGGCCGTGGGCCCGCGATAGTAAGTGTCCAACCAGCCGCGTACCTGGGCGCGGGTGTTGGTAGGGTTGGGCGAGTTGTTGATGGTGGCCTCCCAGTCGACCGTCTGGAACCGCGGCGTGTCCGGGTCGACTCCTGCCGGCGGCACCCATGTCGCACGGTAGAACGGGCTCGCGCCCATGTCCTTCTGGCGAATGGTGACGCCGGGCAGGGCGGCCTGGGCAGCGGGGATCAGGTGGCGGCCGTGGTCGGCGACGCGGGCCTGCGTGATCTTGGTGAGCGTGTCGTCGACGCGGCTGAACGCCGCGTCGCCGGCGGCCGCTCTGACGCCGGGCTTGTTGTAGTTGTCGTTGTTGATCTGGCCGATGCGGTAGATGAAGTCGTTGTGGTTGTTGCGGCCGTGCTTGACCGCCTTGTACCCCTTGAAGTTGTACGGCGGCAGGTTCTGGTCCCTCCAGGCCCAGATGCAGTTCACGGCCGTCCGCTGGGCGTCCAGGGACCCGTCGGGCCTGTTGGCCGCCTGCGCCGGCATGCCCGGCCGCATGTTGCCCAGGAACTGCTGGAAGTCGTCAAAGTTGCACTGCGTCCGGCCCTGTCTGGGCCGGCAGGGAACCCAGGTGCCGACGCACTTGTTCTGTCTCCAGTTGTTGCACTGGTAACCGATCTGCTGCTCGCTTACGGGGTTCTTCTGGTCGATGAGGAAGGACTCGAAGAGCCAGACACGCTCGAGGCAATTCTGGTATCCTCCGGCCCACGCGGCCGTGATGAGGTAGGAGAGAGTGAGGACGAGAGAAACCTTCATGATTATGGCATGTGGTGGTGACGGCTCCACGGGCCAATGAAGGGAAGAAGCGGCTGAATGAGACCAGAAGACGAATGCCTCGAAGAAGGTGAGCAAAATGAATTCATGTTGAAGGGGGATTCTCAGGAACCCAACGCATATGTGTAGATGTGCTCGGCTAGATGGGGGTTGAACTTCGTCCAGTCCAGTCCTGTAAGCCAAATTAACACATCAAGCAGGGTATACCGTATTGGGAAATCACCCTGTAGTGATCTATTATGTCTTGGCATCTCTAATCCTTTTTTGAGGCCATTCTCTTTCTAGTATACACTACGCAGGAGTGAATTCTCACTTGTACTTTGTACAAGATGAACATCGTCTACATTGGTTGCCTGTCTGGCTTCTAGATGGGTTCCACAGATCCAGGGTCTCTCAACGAATCATTGCCGAGCTCAAAAGTTTTCTACTTCCCGAACAAGTAAGGCTGTGGCAATCTGCATAGCTAGCCAATGTACATTATTTTATCCTTGCAACCGAGTAAAAACAAATCCCAGGCGCCGCTTACAAGCGAGAAGCCACACCCGGCGTGCGCTCGTCCCGTCCGATGTTACATTCTACCACGACCCCCCCCCGGGTCTAGATTCTTCTGATGCAAGACAAGAGTGATTTGGGTATCTCATCTGACGACGATGTTTATGACAGGGCTGAAATTCCATGTGATCTAACCGATGGCCACTACGTCTTGGCACCGGCGTGTCTGGGCTACTTACCTACCTATTCAAGCAAGTTGTCAGCTATTAGCGGGCTGATATCACGCAGCCGAGGCTAGAGCAAGTGAGTGATCCTACGAACTATTACGGCTGTATCAAGAAGATATTCCGGCCACCCCTCGAGCTAGAAATTATAGAGTAAGCTTGATGGCAATTACAGTAGGCAACACCGCTACGCTATATCCGCGTGGAGTTTTTTCCAGGGGCTCAGTACTTTTGCTCTTGATGAATATTGTTTTACTTTGCCTTCATATTATTTCCTATTGACTGCTTACAAGCCACTCTGTCCGCTATCCTTTGTCACAATCCTCCTTTTACCCCTTCTCTTTCTCGTTCCTTATTCACACTTTTTCATACTCACACTCTCTCATCAGGTCCATCCTCTGGATGGAGTAAGACGCTCTTTCAGGCATTCACCCACACACTCTTTCAGACACTCGCTCTATCTCCTCTTCTTCAAGAAACTACCATCTTTACCTTTCTCACCGTCCATGAAGATCTCTTCTCTCTGCGGCCTCCTGGCCGTGGCAGCCAGCGTCTTAGCGTCCTCTGACCTCGACGCCCGGCAAACAGAGGATGAGCTCGACCAATGGCTCTCAGCCGTGCAGGCTCAGCCTCTTGCGGCCCTCAAGTCTTGTCCTATCTCATGCAGCACGGCTGGCGACGACTCCTGGTTTCTATTCCCAGATGCGTCCCACTTGGCTTCCTGCAACGAGACGATGCTACTCAACATCGCCGTTCAGGCGGCCGAGGAGAATGAGAACAAGGACACGCCAGCCATCATCAGGGCATGCACAGCAGACTACGACACCTCCAGGTCCATGAGAGTAGCCTTCGTGCCCGATTCAACCAAGGCATCCCTCTGCGTCACTGCCAACAAGGTGCTGGAAGAAGGCTCGATATACATGCACCAGCCCGGTCAGGGTGGCGAGTTTTCGGCGGGGCATCTTGCGTCTGCTGGCGGTCAAGTCAAGAGTTATCTTGCGTCTCAAGAGCCGTCATGCGCCAACAACGCCCTTGCTTTTGGCTACTCGCAATCCGCAGTCATTGGTCTCTTTGCCGGCGCCGAGGTGCACCAACACCGCCTTACAGCCGATGTCCTAGACAGATTTCTTGAATATGCACAGGAAAAGTCCATCTCCAGCAGTACCGTGGTGCAACTGTGCGGTGCAGAGGGCCGTGGTGCCGATTATAGTATCGGCATCGTGGCCAGCAGTGCCAAGAAACTCGATTTTGTCCAAGAGGCAGTCAAGACGTGGGCGGATGGTAAGTGTGTCTCCCAACCGGATGCGGGCGAGGACTGGATGACTGTCACTCTACGCGTTCCTGTACCAGTGGAGGAGTTGTTGTTGTCCAACAATTCTACCAGCAACGGCACCGCCAGCTCTCATCAGTCCACTCCTCGGGATCTTGATGTCTCTGTCGGTTATTCCAGGCTGCTCCGCCGAGCCGACTGCAAGTTCACAACCGTGCAAGCGGGTGAGGGTTGTTATGCCGTAGCACAACGATGCGGAATCTCTCAGACTCAACTGCAAAACTTCAACCGTGCCAACCTTTGCAATTCGCTTGTCCGCGAAGAACGTGTCTGCTGCGGCAGCGGCACACTCCCCAGCACGCTGCCTTCTGGTAATTCTGATGGCACCTGCAAGACTCGCCAGGTTGTGCTGGGTGACGACTGTGGCTCGTTGGCCAACAAGTGTGTAAGTTCAAACTGCACGGCACTGGTGCCCGACCAAGACTGACGGAAGCCAAAAAAACAGGGAATTTCTGGAGATGACTTCACCAAGGCCAACACGAAGACTGGTCTCTGCTCCAGTCTGGCGGAGGGTCAACACGTCTGCTGCAGTCAGGGTAAGCTGCCTGACTTGAGGCCTAAGCAGGGCGCCGATGGCTATTGCGCCGTATACACAACCAAGGAGGACGACTACTGCTCCAAGATAGCCGCGAGCCTCATGCTCACCGTGGAGGAGCTCGAGAGTTTCAACAAGAACACATGGGGCTGGAACGGCTGCAAACTGCTCTATCCCAAGTTCAACATGTGTGTCAGCAAAGGAGCTGCGCCCATGCCTGCAATTGTGCCTGTGAGTACAGACATATCCTTTGGCTAGCTCTTGAGTCCAGTTGAATGTAAATTGTACTGATATTATATCTTTGGCCTAGAACGCGGTGTGTGGACCGACCATGAACGGCACCATTCGACCTCCCGCCGGGACCAACATCAGCGAGTTGAACCCGTGCCCCCTCAACGTGTGCTGCAACATCTGGGGTCAGTGCGGTATGACGGACGATTTCTGTGTCGTTTCCAAGTCCGAGACGGGTGCTCCGGGCACTTCGGCTCCCGGCAAGCATGGCTGCATCAGCAACTGCGGCAGAGACATCATCAAGGGCTCCGCTCCGGCAAAGAAGGTCAAGCTTGGCTACTTTGAGGGCTGGAACTTCAACCGCAAGTGTTTGACCATGGATGCAAGCCAGATCGACACAAAAACTTACACCCATGTGCACTTCGCTTTTCCCAACGTCACGCGCGGTGACTTCCGCATCGAGATCACGGACCCGCTCGTGAAGGAGCAGTTTGGGTATTTCAAGAAGCTCGAGGGCGTCAAGAAGATTGTCTCTCTAGGCGGCTGGGACTTTAGTGCTCTCCCGGGGACTTACATGATTCTTCGAGAGGCGGCCCAGCCTGCCAACCGCGACCTCTTCAAGCGGAACATCATCTCTTTCATCAACGAGCACAATCTGGATGGCATCGATCTTGACTGGGAATACCCAGGTGCCCCTGACATCCCCGACATCCCTGCGGACGATCCGGTTAACGGTGTCAACTACTACCGCCTTCTGGCCAGCATCAAAGCTGAGGTCGGCAGCTCCAAGTCGGTCTCGTTCGCGGCCCCGGCATCGTACTGGTACCTCCGGTCGTTTCCCATCAAGCAGATGGCTGCAGCTCTCGACTACATTGTCTTCATGACTTATGATCTTCACGGCCAGTGGGACGCCGGTAACAAGTGGACCTCGCCTGGCTGCCCAACTGGCAACTGTCTGCGGTCGCACGTCAACGAAACTGAGACCAAGGATGCGCTTTCCATGATCACCAAGGCGGGTGCCGCCTCCAACAAGGTCCTCGTCGGCGTGTCCAGCTATGGACGGTCCTTCAAGATGGCCCAGGCCGGCTGCGATGGCGAGACTTGCCTGTTCACGGGCGACAACCGCAATTCGGGCGCTGCAAAGGGCCGGTGCACGGGGACGGCGGGATACATTTCCAACGCCGAAATCAACGAAATCATGGCCACGGAGAGACGCAACAAGCTCTGGACGAAAGAAGGCTCCAACATCATGGTGTACGATAACACTGAATGGGTGGCTTGGATGGATGACGAGATGAAAAAGAAAAGATCCGAGTTCTACGATTCGTATAACTTCCTGGGCACAACTGACTGGGCCATCGACCTGCAGGAATGGTGGGACGGCTCGGGCAGCATCACCGATGACACCGAGGACGAGTTTGTCTATGAGGAGTTGTCCCCTTGCACGGCCTCCTTCTCGACTCTCAAGCAGCTTGAGGACCGCAAGGGCTCCATTCCGTCGCACTGTTTGGAGCAGTACATCGTCGATGTACAGATTGCCGTTTTTGACGGCGCGCTCAAGAAGTACAAGAAGCTCATTGACGACGGCTACGATAAGAAGTTCTCCATCTGGGAGGGCTACATTAAGGAGCAGATCCCTGGTCAGATTAAGAATTTCATGGCCACCGACAAGGTCGACAAGTACTTCAAGTGCGGCGAAACCAAGACAGTTGTCTGCTGCAACACGTGCCGGAACGCTTGGTAAGTACAACTTCAAGTTTGCTGTTTTTAGCACCTCCCCCTGCAGCAAATGATGCACTGTAAGGAACACAATAGCTGACGATGCTTCTTTCTTTAGGTGCGGTACGGGTTGCGAAAGATTCGATGGCTGCAAGAATGGTAAGCAGATGGTGCCCCGAGACAAGTGTCCCAAGGCCGAGTTTGACCCTACGGGCTTTGGCGGTGGCCACCCCAACTCCACGTTCACCCTGACCGACCGGGAGGGCTTCTTCAAGGACATTCTCGAGACTTGGGGAATCGAGGAGGAGTGGATCAGATTCGACAAGCGCCAAATGTCCACCCCCAACGGCTGCCAGTTCGCCGGCAAGGATGTCAACGACTGCATCGCGTGGAATGGCATCTTCTTCCACAACTTCCCCACCATGGACGGCGGCAAGACGAAAATTCACAACCCCAAGGATGTCATCGTCAAGGCTCTCCCCGGCACCCAGGGACTTCTCGACCGGTACCGCGACATGAAGACGTTCGCCGAGTTCGAGGACGACATTGAAATGTCGGATCTCACCGACGCCGGCTCGCTGCCGGCCTTCGCCGTCGAGGAGGCGGTCGCGCAGATGGAGAAGATCGTCGAGGAGGCCAAAGAGATTGAGAAGAAGCGCCGCGAGGAGTTCATCCTCAACATGATCATGGGCTTCCTCTTCTTCATTCCCTTCATCGGCCCCGCCGGCGGCGGCGCCCTCGCGACCGGCGTGCGCACTCTGCTCCGGTTGATCGAGGTCGGCGCCGAAGTCGGTGTGGCTGTCTACAGCGTCGTCAAAGACCCGGATAACGCCTTCATGACCGTTTTCAGCACTCTCTTGGGCGCCGGCTTTAGCCGCGGAGGGTTCCGAAGCGCTGCCGGGTCAAGGCGCGGCATGAGCTCTGCGGAGTATAACAGTCTCGGCAACATCAAGCCTAAGCTCGATACGATTAACAGTCTCCGGGGTGGCATGTGTTCTCTGTAGTTGTGATTAAAGGATGTGAATATCACAGCTGGATAAAAGCAGAAACGTATTTGATAAGCGAGAGATGCAGACAAGCGGGTGATAAATAAACAAAATCCGGAATCGTGCTGCTCTAAGATATAGACAACTATTAACCAAGTAATTCAACTTAATACACCTGTACTCCTCTTCTCTTGACATTTCTCTAATAAAATTATATATCCATGTTTTGTGTGCTTTATGGTACGAATCCTGCATTAACCTAGTTTAGTCTGTAGCTTCTTGCCACTACTTTGTTATCTCTCATTGTTCTCACTATCCGGCAATTGCCCACAGATGTCTATTATTAGCTTCCAGGTTGGTATGCACTTTCGATTTACCAACAACGCCTTCGAGGGTTGCGCCAGGCGAGATCCTGTTCTGAAGACATACTAAGAAAGTCTCAAACAACAGTAATCAATTAATTGGTATTCGAACTTGTTGTACTCGTTTGCATATTTAGGGTGGTTTTGGGAGTGTTTTGATGAGATGTGAGTTGCTAGCCTGGAAAAGCTTGTAACGTAGTTGAAATCTCATGGGATCAAGTCCTTGTCGCTTTCCTTCGCGCATTTGCGCCTGGTTTCCCGGCATCAAGAGCGCTGTTTAAAGCCTCTGGGCTGATAGTGAATCACCTCCACTCAGCAAACTGCCGCATGTACATTCTCTTCCTGTAAATTATTTGGATTTACACTTGACAAAATGGCGGCGGCGCACGGTGCCCGAGGCCGCTCATCCTGTAAAGGAACAGCAGCTGCAAGGATGACTGATTTTGCCTAGCTTTTTGCTTTCATCAGGTGGCTGAGTAGAAGGGCGTAGGCGAGCAGTATGCACCTTTTGTTGTAGAAAATCAGAAAGCGAAGAACAGCCAACAACAGCGACTTGTATGTAATGATGGTGTCATTGTTTGTAAGGTCTTTAACTACGCAAAACATCTGACGAATGATGTCTCCATTTGCGAAGTTGCCCTCATCGAAGGATCAATGGCAAGTCGAATTTGCACAAACAAGTGGGATCTGATGATGAAAGCGTCTGGTTTTGTGGTGCGTCTATTACTGAAGCCTCGTCTTACTGTCTCGTAATTAGGTTGCGCAGATTAAAGTGTACTGTTTTTGTCCGATGATCTTGTTGGATCCTTTGTAGTATTGATTATAGAAGTGATAGGGTAATTGTGCATCAGCTTAACCTTCATCACGAAGTGGGAAACGGGGGTGATTTTGTCCGGCCCGTTTCTAGCATTCCGCTCTGCCTATGCAAGTCTCTACCACAACGCTCTTCGTGAGGATCTTCTGATGAGACTTGGTGTTGCACTCTTTCCAGTTCTCCTTCAGGAACTGCTGCTTGCAAATCCTTCGCTGCATTTGTCCGCCACGCTAAGGTATCTTGGCACCCTCGCGTAACACCTTTCTCATTTCTTGTCCTGCAGGCTCGCGGCCATCTAACACAGCGAGAATCGGTCTTGGGCGATCTGGGGTGCAGACAAATCAGCGACCAGTGATGCCATTTGTCTCATTTAGCCCCTTGTCGATGCATGTATGTATCAATAGCTCCAGGAAGCTAACAGTTATTCATGTGGGATTATCCCCTGTAAACGCTACAAAGTACATCTCATTTCCAATCTTAACTAGCTGCCGCAACTAATGCCAATCGACCATACTGAGCTATCAGAAAAAATTGGGTGCCATGTTCTTCGAAGACGCTAATCGCCCGGTTAAGCGACTGGGCATAGCGCAAAAAGAAACGGGCACAATTGCCCGAATCCTGAACATATTAAAGAAGACATGGATCTGTCGACGGTACCCATACTTATAGTTGATCACCTGCTTTTCTCTCCTGCAAGGCCTAGCACCGATCTTACATTGTCTGCTCATCTTTGTCACTCAACCAAAGTCTCCATCCAGCACAGTTTCCCTATTTTAAGTGGAAAATATGCGATTGAAGGCGGTGTTATCTCTGGCCGCCCTTCTGGGAGCTGTTAATGGTCAAGTCCTGGAGGACCAGCCAAAATGCAAATGCGTGCGTTGACGAATACTTCTTCCCCTTCCCTGAGGTCAGAGTTCGTAGATTGATATCCCACAAGGTACCTGGAAAATGCTGTTGGCCAGATAATTCATCTTGGGAGGCTTTTGATCGTAGCGTCGATGGGAATCTCATCAAAACTGAGCCGGTCGCACAATCCTGCTACGATGGCCCAGAAAAGGACCTGGACGAATGTGCGTACGTCTCCAAGATGTGGTCGGATCAAGATTTCCAAACGTCAAACCCCATCGGCCGACCATATCCCTACAACATCACCTGTGCGCCCGTCGACTATGCGACAGGTCAGGTCCCGACTAGCTGTTCACTTGGTCCTCTGCCGACGTATGCAGTCAATGCGACGACTCGTGATCATATCCTCGCTACTCTTGCTTTTGCCCGCCAGCATAACATCCGCCTTGTCATTGCCAGCACAGGTCACGACCTTCTTGGCCGCTCGGACGGCTATGGCAGTCTTGAGATTTGGCTGCGATACTATCGCAACAGCATCGACTTTCAAGATACATATGTCCCGGCAAACGCCTGCTCAAAGTCTGGCTGGGATGGTAGCGCAATCCGAATTGACGGCGCATATCAATGGCGGGACGTGTACAAGGTCGCGAAAGCAAACAATGTCATCGCTGTTGGCGGCGGCGCCGTGTCCCCTGGCGCTATCGGAGGCTGGCCTTCTGGCGGCGGTCATGGGCCTGCGACTCGTAACTACGGACTGGGGGCTGATCAAATTCTTGAAGCAGAGGTGATGCTTGCTGACGGACGCGTTGTTGTCGCCAATCACTGCGAGAACACGGATCTCTTTCGAGCTCTCCGTGGCGGTGGACCTGGATACGGCATTGTGCTCAGTACCACCATCAAGACACACCCCAACGTGGACATCGTTACAGCGCACAAACTTGCTTTTGCTCCGCTGCAGCAGACTGCTAACAACTCTGACCTCCTCGATGCCGTGTCCGTTATGCTCCAGTCATACCCGGACCTCAGCGACGCAGGTTTTGCAGGGTATGCCTACTGGTTCCGCAACTTCCCGACCGTATTCGTGGGCAACGCCACCTCTGGTTACTCCCACGGCTTCTGGACCATTGGGAAATCGAAAGAAGAGGCAGATGCCGGGTTCGCAACTGTTCGTGAGGCTCTGTCCAAGTTCCAGGACCGGCTGTTCATCTACGAGAGCTTTGCGACTTACAATGACTATTGGTCCTTCTACGAGACTGAGTCGGGGCTCTATGATCCCACCGGCGATACGTCCATCGTTACGTCTCGAATGGTTGATCGGTCAGCGTTGGCGGAGTTCGGCCACGTTCGTGAAGCCGTCGAGGTGCTCAGTGGCAAGCCAGAGGAATTTGCATCCAACGTGGTACTTCTCGTCTCCGGCGGACAGGTTTTTGAAGATGCCAAGGACACGACCTCGGGACTGCACCCCGCCTGGCGGAATTCTTCATACGTCCTCATTACCGGTCGCAGTATCTCCAAGACGGCGAGCAATGCCGAGCGTCAGGCGGTTCAGGACGACGTGACTTACGTCAAGGGCGCCGCTGGCAAAAGGCTAGCGCCCACAACTGGAGGGTACATGAATGAGGGCGACCGGCATGATCCCGACTACATTGAGACATTCTATGGTTCCAACTACGAGAGTCATCTTGCGGCGAAGAAGAAATATGATCCGTTGCACCTGTTCTATTGCCCTACTTGTGTGGGCTCTGAGGCCTTTGTTGAGCAGCCAGATGGACCATTGTGTAGAATTTAGAGGCCACCGTCGGTTGAAACCATTTGAGATCAGTTTCTATATCAAAGCAATACTTGTTTATGTTTTTGTTGTATATTTTCGGCCCTTCGCACTTTTGGTTACTTTAACAGTGATTATCACGGTTCATTATGAGAAAAAGCCCAAGATTATTTATCTTAATAACATCATAACTCATTGAATATTCGACCGTAATTGCTATCAACTAACCGCCTCCCATTGCCATTACTTCTTCAAGTACCTCCATTCATACCGCTAGCTTTAATACTTCGTAAGCTCAGGAGCCTAGCTTTAATACTTCGTAAGCTCAGGAGAACCCTCGGCCCTTGGTAGAGAGAACTTGGTCTCGACGAAAATCTTCTGGATACCGTCCTCGTGCTTCTCAAACTTGTAGTAGACCTTGTCGAGGTCCTCAAGCCGAACGCGGTGCGAGAGCATCTGATAGACATCGAGCTCGCCGCTCTGGATCTTCTTAAGCAAGTCTCCCCAGTACAAATGAACAGGGGCCTGTCCGTTGCCAATCAAGCGGATACCACGCTCCATCAAGGAACCGATGTTGAAGTGGTTCGTGTACCCGACGTAAACGCCCGTGATACCGCAGCGGCCAAAGTTGCGCACGCCCTCAATCATCTCGTTGACAATCTCACTCGTGTCTGTCTCAGCACCGATGGCCATCTCAATGGTGTGAATCCATCCCTTGGGATACTCGCCGGCAACGCACTCAATTCCGGCGTCGGGGCCCCGTCCTCCGCACAGCTCCTTAAGTTTCGACACAACAGTCTCCTTGTTGGTAAGACCACTAGAAAGCTTCTTGTAATCAATCAGTTCCAGCTTGTCTTGGTGCTCCTTCGGCCATCTCGACTTGACAAAAGAAAGACGGGGCTCTGTGTCGATAAAGATGACCTTGGACGCGCCTTCGCCAAGGGCGAAAGCGCCCGCCATTTGGCCGATGGGGCCGGCTCCCCAGATAGCTACCTGGTCGTTAGGGTAGACTGCGGTGTCCTTGACGGCGTTGTAAGAGGTGGCGAGAACATCGGAGAGGTACAGGGCCTTCTCATCCGGTACGTCTTCGGGGATCTCGAGCAAGTTGACGTCTCCGACAGGGACGCGGACGTACTCGGCCTGACCACCAGCAAATCCACCAGTGAAGTGGGAGTAACCAAACATGCCGGCGGTCTGGGAACCGTACATGGACTTCTCCATTGTGTTGGAGTTTGTCCTCTCGCACTGAGAAGAGAGCTTTTGTTTGCAGTAGAAGCACTGAAATGGTCAGTCATAAGGGTCCTGAGGCAATGCGTTTGGTTTCTTGTCACTTACGTTTCCACATGCAATCTGGAAGGACGCGACGTAGCGGCTGCCAACCTTTACATTCTTGACAGCGGAGCCGACTTGATCGACGATGCCGCAAAACTCGTGGCCGAGAATGTCTCCCTTGTTCATCTGCACAACCGTGCCGTGAAGAAGGTGGAGGTCGCTACCGCAGACAGTGCTGCCGGTAACCTTGAGAATGACATCACTGTCCTCAAGAATCTTGGGCTTGGGAACATCAACTGCATTGCATGTTAGATAAGGCGTAACGGCACCTAGGTGGTGTAATTGTTCACTTACGAATCTCAACCTTGTTCTTGCCCTGCCAGACGAGTGCCTTCATGAGTTCGCCGCTATCGCCTGTCTTGTTGTAGTTTGTGACATCCTGAGCGGTGATGGAGTCATCCTGATGGCCAATGACCTTTTCGACCGCATAAGCTGCTTGTGTTGCCATGATTGGAATTGATTATTAAAGTGTGCAAAAGATGAGACGGTAAAATTCTGCTTTGTCGGTTTTTGATTGTCACAAAGCCTTTGACTTATATCTGACTTTTGAAAAAGTGAAAACGTGGTTAAATAACCACGTAACCGGTCAGTCAACGACTTGGCTCAGGCCATGCACAGAACCAGATGTCGTGTAGAACGGGAACCGTCTACACGGTTGGGCAAATAGTAAAGCTCCATGACGGGCACCGGCGTCATTTTTGACAGGGAGCCGACGTCATGAATACCGGAAGGGATTGTAAGGTAGCGGAGCTCATGAGCTTGAACCAATGAGAACGACCGGCTTGGGTCGGATGGCGCGTTGATGTGGACTAGAACTGGACAAGGCTGAGCGATAACTTGTCCAAAAAAGGACATCTGGGAAGGGGATGATAGCTGGAACCGAACGGCAATTGCATTGCGCGTATGGAGCACCTATGCCAATCGACATGAGGGGACAATATCGACGTCAAGACATTAGATGTCAGGGTTGAGTAAGCCGGCAGTTAGTCGAAATAAGAACAACTTCCCGAGATATGGGTGGGGGTGGTGCCTCTAGGCTCCAGAACGATGGGTAAAGCCAAGCTCGCCACTCATCTGATGAACCTCGTCTCTTTACCAAGTCTACTAGTTGTCGAGGGGTAAATTGTGTGATTAAGAGAGAGAATCAAGAAGGAAACCAGCACAGGCTGAAGTGTAGAACAAGACCAACATGTTGGGCGTTTTATCTCAACTTTACCTGTTCATCAAGGTTCTTCTTCATCACTAGGGTAATACTGCCAGCCTGCAGACGGCTTGCCTCTCATCGTGTCTTTCATGTGGGAGTGGAGAAGTTCTTATGAAAGACGTCACCATGTCGAAATCGAGACCAACTAAGATTATTCGTAAATTTATGCTTACTCAGATTGATGATCGCCATGCGCCACAGCTACAATCATGACCAGCCACATCACCCGCCACATACTCACATGTGAATAGCTCACATGATGGATGAGTTGGAGACTTTGGGGAAAATTGGAGATGAATCGGAACCTGGCTTCCGTCCCGTCGTGCCGTCTGTGAGGGGAACGCGGAGGTATCAGGGATCATGTTTTGGGGGAACGGAGTAATTAATCTGGTGCTCGTTGCATTGTATGCCACATTGGCATTCGGGAAGCTCGACTCAATATGGCAGTACGGAACATGAACCGTCCGCAAAGGACAACAATGCCACTCAAGCCGTCAATCTGGCCTGATGGTTCTATTCGCGCCGGTATATGAAGAGCGCATCCCCTCTTGAAATGTTGTGTGATGATTCAAACGAACTGAACTGAAGCACGGTTGCAACATTTGGTATCTTCTGTTTGATCTTGAGCGTCACAAAGTAATATCGCGAAGCCTGTCACCATGAAGTTCGAGTCACTTCCTCTCGCCGCCACTCTTCTGGCTGGGGCTGCTTCGGCCTTCCAAATCGGCGGCAAGCCAATGCCGCAGCCCAAGACGACAATGGCCGACAACTTTCCCTGGCGTGACCCCTTCACCTCCAAGACGACCGACTCTTACAGTCACACCTGCGAGGCGTCCAAGACCTTTGCCGCGACGCAGTACACTCTGCATGATCTCTTCGAGAAGCCGCCTACCGGCCTGTTCCACTGGGGCGACGGCCTCAAGACCTTCTTCTCTGGCCGTGAGTACCCGGGCGGTTGGGCTGGCCTCGACCGTCACATGTACGACCGAAACTTGCTAAAGATGGAGTATGCCGACCTGCCGCTCCGCGTTCGCGAGTGGATTGAGGAACAGGAGCGTGTTGAGGACAGCAAGGGCAAGGGCCTCTTTGCCATCTTCGACAAGCCCACCACTGCAGAGGAGAAGATCACGGACCTTGTTGTTGTGCCCAAGGCCCCCAAGGACGTCAACCGTGACCTTGACCAGAAGAGGGTCGCCATCTTTGCGCCCGGCGCTCTATATCACATTCTCCCTCTCTTCGTCGCCGAGGGCAGCGATTGCCAAGGTAAGCGACAGAGATCTGTCATTCCTCTCTGATACTACTAAAGCGCATTCATGCTGCAAAACACTTATTAAGTGCGATACTAACGGGTGAACCACAGCGACGCTCACCAACCTGGAGAACTACAGCCCCACCGCCAAAGACGCAGCTGTGGTGGCGTGGCCCATCAGCCACACCCGGCCCAACATTGAGGAGAAGAAGAGGGACATTGAGTTCACCATCAAGGCTCAGGTTCTCAAGATCAAGGAGAGCGCGAAAGAGGCCCAGAAAGAGGCTGTGGAAGAACCACCCAAGGCGGCCGAAGACGCAAAGAAGGCTGCGCCATCGGAACAGGCCAAGGATGAATTGTAGACGGTGGTAGTTAGGTCATTGGTGCATGGGTAGCTACAGCCAGAGTTGCTGAACAGCCGGAGATTATTACAGTTGTTATCTAGAGGAAGAGATCAATATTGCAGCCCCAAGCCTTTAACAGTTACAAAAACGCGAGAAACAGTCATCCCCTGCTTGAAAGATACACCGGCCAACACGGGCATAGTGCTAATTAGTGCATGGCTTTGGGGAAAACAAACGGTCATTATTAATCAAGCGCCAAGACGAGTGGATTAGTGGGTACGAAAGATCACTCCGTCTCGTCCCACTCTGCATTAATAATCACCAATTGAGACATTTTCTCCGTGGAGTTCCGTGGAGCGCCGATCCCACGGTGGCTGAAGCTACCCCCTGAACTCCATGGCGTTGTCACTGATGGTCATGGAGAAGGACATTGGGCTGGGTAAGTACTGTGCAATATCAGGCCTTGAGGGGAAATCCTGATGACTTACTGGGTTGTAAACTAATTCAATGAATCTTGTAGGTTTGATACCAAAGAATCGAGCTTTAGTATTGGCGCCACTCAAGGTTAAATTCATATGAGTGATTGAATTGGGAGTTTCAAACCCAGTGCCAGGTAAATCACAAAAGGCAGTCTGTGTGCTCTATGGCTCCTCCGACCAAACTTCCGACTATGCCACGGTGCTCCGCCGGCTTCCGTGCCGCGTTCTCAACGCTCCACGGAGTCCATTTCACGGCGACGTGAATCCCGATTCGGTCGAAGAACGGTCGAAAGACAAGTCATCAGCACTGCACAATTAATTACATGGTTTGAATTGGCGTGTTTTGAACCACCGACGATGGATTCATGTCATGGGTCTTTCTCCATGGCAAATACTCCATGGCAATGTCACCCATGAGCGGTGTCTGGCATTGAACGTATAAATAAAGACCTCTCAAGCTTCTTAGGACACATTTTCATCATCACCACCATCTCCATTACTCGTCACAGACAATCCTTTACTTTGAACAGCACCCTCAATTCAACAGTTATCACAGCCCCTCAAGATGTCGACCCGCTACGAAAGTGAAGCTGCCAGCCCGGAGCCACTGGCTCAGCCCCTCAAGTTTCCGTTTTCCAACAAGACGGCCAAGAATAGATTTTTAAAGAGCGCCATGGCCGAAAATCTCGCAACTTGGAGTAGCAACGAGCTGTCAAAACGTGGTATTCCTACTCCCGAAATCGTCGAGATCTACCGCCGGTATGTAGATTTTGTTCAGTGGCCTAATAACATAACATTATGGGCGAATTCGTATGGCCAGCAAACTGACAAAACTTTGAAATAGCTGGGGTGAGGGTCCGAACAACTTTGGTGTTGTCATTACAGGAAATATCGACATCGAGTTTGACCACATGAGCGGCCTCGGCGACATGGTCATCACGCCCGAATGCGAACCCGAGGGAGAGCGTTTCGAAGGCTTCAAAGCCGTTGCTGCAGCTGGCAAGGCAGATGGCAGTCTGCTGCTGGGACAAGTCACACATGCCGGCCGACAAACGCAGAAGAAGATTCAGCCTAATCCTATCTCGGCCTCTGCTGTACCGCTCGGTTCGTGCTTTTCTCTCCCCCTCAATAACCATTATGGCAATCATACTGACACAAACCAGAGCCAAAGCTGGGCATGGAGTTTGGCAAGCCGCGCGAAGCAACCAAGGAGGACATCAATCGCGTCATTGAGGGTTTCGCCCACGCAGCAGAGTATCTCGAAAAGGCTGGCTTCGACGGCATCCAGCTGCACGCGGCTCACGGCTACCTTATTGCGCAGTTCCTGTCGCGCACTACAAACCACCGAACTGACGAGTACGGCGTGCAGACGCTTGAGAACCGCACTCGCCTCATTGCCGACATTGCCAGGGCCGTCCGCGCTCGCACATCCCCTGATTTCATACTCGCTGCGAAGCTCAACAGCGTCGAATTCCAGGAAGGCGGCGTCACCCCCGATGAAGCGCGCGAGCTATGCGAGTCTCTGTCGCACCTGGGTTTTGATTTTCTCGAAATTTCCGGCGGCACTTACGAGGCGCTCGGCTTGACCTGGGATAAGGAGTCTACGCGCAAGCGGGAGGGCTTCTTCCTGGAGTTCGCCGAGACGGTGGTCACTGGACTCGGCGATCGCGATTCGCGTAAAACAAAGGCCTACATCGTAGGAGGCATGCGAACTGTGGGGGCGATGGTGAAGGCGCTCGACATCGTCGATGGCGTAGCTCTGGGTCGACCCGGTGCTCAAGAGTTCCGCATCGCGTCGGACATTCTAGGGGGCCGCGTGACGGGAGCCATTCGCCCGGTCCAGATGATGGAGGATGACTTTGGGTTCGGAATGACGGCGGCTGTCACTCACATTCGTCAGGTTGGCAAGGGACATGAGCCCTTTGATTCGAGCGATCTGGCGTCAGTCAAGACTTTTGCCGAGGATATGCAGGCCTGGTTCCAGAAGGTTATTGCTGACGGTGACAAGCTTGAACACCATGGCGGAGCTGACTTCACTGGAAAGACGCTGCCTTACGGAACAATTGCGGCGGCTTGAGAATAGGAGATGCTTATGTTAGATTGTTTGGAGTTTGTCTTTTCGGTAGCATTTAGACATTGCTTTTATAGAAGAGCCAACTAGTTTCATATACCTAGCGTGCAGTAGAATACAGATAGTTACTGGGATATCCGGACTGTACTCCGTAAGCCAATGAGAGTTCGGTGAGCGGTGTGAATGAAGAAAACTCGTTCATCTGCCGATGTTGAATGGGAGCTTGAAAACCAGACATTGATCGGCGAACTAGCACTGAGTGGTCAGAAAAGACCCGGGACCAGGGTATTGTGGCTGGGGCCACTAACGCCATCCTTCCACTCTGGATTTGTAATCTCACATTTACTGTACGCCCATCCCTGCTTCGCATCATCTCTAATGCTAATCCAAATAGTGACCTTCAAATATGTTTTTACATCTTACAAATTAAGGCGATTTCCTTAGTTTCCACTCAATTTCCCGGACAACAATCGAAAGAGTATTGTTTGGATAACGAAGCCAACATGGAGACATCTTCATCGCGCCGCAAAGGTGAGACGGATTGTTAGAGCCGTCTCTCAACGCATTCATTGCTGACAAACGTCCAGCCTGCGACTTGTGCTTCGTTAAAAAGATCAAGTGTGACATGCTCAAGCCCGCGTGCTCGAACTGTTCACTGTATAAGTCGGAATGCCGAACAACTACAATCCGACGCAGGCCACATCCGGCCAGAGAGCGGGCACAACCGCCTACACAACATGAATCAGAAGAGTGAGTGCCCTATAGATTGCCAGTTACCCTGATTAAATCTGACAATATTAAAACTCAGTACGAACAAAGTCTCAGAATTGGAAGCTCGCCTAGCAAGGATGGAGAAGCAGTTACAGCAAGCCCTCAATGTCAACAGCCAACTCCTCAGCAACACCCTGCCACAGTCGCCACCCAACCCAACCACGACCCAAGTATCCTCAGAAGGCGGGGACTCGACAGACAGCATGGACTTCATAGATCCCGTGTCCAGCAGTGGGAGTCCGAGTGAATGGGTAACGGAGTCCGAGAAGCCAAAGCTGCCGCCGCTTGAGGACATCGTTCCCGTGATTGACGAATTCTTCAACCGTTACAACGCCGTCATGCCAATCTTTGACCAGCCAACGTTCATGCGTATGCTATCCGATTGGTATATGCCGTCATCACAGCGATCCACAGCAGTATGGGCGGCTGTCCACATTGCCCTGGCCCTTGGGTACCGCTGCACGTTGAAGGAGTCTGGTAACCTTGACGCACTGATAGACGACGAAAAGGTACAATATCATATGCGGAATGTGCAGACAGTCGTTTCCGATTTAGTCACCCGGGAGGAAGATCTCCTAGGGCTTCAAGTTCTGCTGGGAATGGTCGTCTTGTTTCTGGGAACCAAGGATCCTAAGCCGGCTTCGGTTCTGATTGGCACCGCTATCCGTCTGGCACATCGCATGCATCTGCATGACAAGGATTCACTGCAATTCTTCCCACCAGAAGTTGCGCGGCACAGATCCCGACTCTTCTGGATAACGTACGTTATGGACAAGGTATGTTCAAAGGTGCGCTTTTTGGCCTTTCCTGGTAAAGCTAACCCGCGCAGGATATAAGTCTGAGAACGAAGACGCCGTCGTTCCAGCTTGACGTGGACATTGACCTGCCGCTACCCGAACAACAACCGGAAGACCTTGCGGGTATGATGTACGCAAAGAACGGCTGCAAATTCAACTACTTTCGCGCTCGAGTAGAACTCAGCCATATTTCTGGCAAAGTTTATGACCAGCTCTACAGCACAAGGGCGCGCAAAGTGTCGGCACAGGACAGACAACAGAGGGTGGCGAGGCTGGAGACCATGTTGGAAAACTGGCGACGCAATATCCCGTCAGAATTCCAGCTGGACTCGTTGCTCCGTTGTGTCGACGAGCTCTCCATCGTGCACATGTCGTTGCTCTATCACGGATTTTTTACGGCGATGGTCATGGCGCATGGTATTTACTCGCACGACGCCGACTGGGTCAAGCGTATAAGCTCATACAGCCGGGCCACGATACACCACCTGGACGCGACGCCGATAGCAGCGTGCAGTGGCGCAAACCCACCGTTGCCGGTCGGATGGGCCAAGTGCGTCGAGCTGAGCCGCAGCTGCATGAATCTTTTCGTCAAGTCTCCAAAGACGGACTGTAGCATCTGGTCGAACGCTTGTGCGCATTTCTCCGGCCTCATCATTCTTCTGGCCAATATGTTCGTCTTCCCAGACCACCAACTGCTCATAACAGACAAGGAGTTGGCCAACCAAGCGCTGAGGTTGTTTGAGTTGATGCTCTCCATGAACCATCAAGATTCGTTTTATCGGCTCCATGAAGTAGTCAAGGAGCTGTACCGGCGGGCAATGGAGACTGTGGATGAAGTTACCCAGAGGCGAGAGGAACAAGCGGCAGCGGCGTCAGAGTTGATAGATACGACATTGCCGTTCGGGACACAAATGGAAGACGAAGTAGAATTCTTCCGAGGCGCTGAAGGAGTGGCATTTGATAAACAATTCACGGGAGAAGTCACACCGGCGTCATCAGGTAACATGGGACAGTGGAGCTTGGATTCTTTACAGGAGATACAGAATGAGCTGGGCCAAGCGGCTGTATTAGTGGGATCTAGCTACTGCTAAGAAATATGCCACACAACTATAGGGAGTATTGGAATAGAAAAGCAAAGAAATGGAAAAGCATCAATTCTGGAAAAGTTAAATTTGACTTTATGTTTGACAGAAATGTTTATTTGGTAGCAGCATAGATACCTGAACGATGGAGCGCTAGAGTAAAGTTGTGGTAGCAGAAAAGCCTTACGGAACGGGTTCGCTCGGTGCAAATCTTTCAACAGCTTAAGGGTTATAGTGGTAGTTTCCAGATTATATCCAATGCCGTTGAATTCTCACCTTCTTAGAAATCGCAATCAGTGTAAGTTATTCAGCCGAGGACTTCTTAGTGACATGGATTTTCCTTCGGCGAAATATACGACCGAAATTCCAAAAAAAATGAACGAGTGTGAACGAGTGTATTTCATTCATTCAAATGGCTCCTTATGGTTTCGAAACTGGTTGTAGGCTTGGGCATGATGAGAACCAATACCAACTAGGTCTACAGCCGCGGTGGCCGCGTGATATACCGCAGTGGGCCAAAACCGGCTACGTGAAAACAAGCAGTTGGAACCATCTGACGGTGTGGAGATTTCCGGGCAATGGTGTTGATAAAGAACCCCTTGGTTTCCAATATACTTGAGTTCGTCATTCACCAAACGTTCAGCCCACACGAACGGTGAACGGTGACAGATTTAAACCAGCTGACAGCTCGCGATCTTAGGCATCTAGAAAAACCTGATGGCTCTCTAGAACCGTGATGATTTTATTTAAATCAAGAAAAATAATTAGTTTAGTAGTTTTACACATCTCACAACATAGCCGTTAATGCTACAACGGCGGAAGCGACGCCGTATATGTTCCACCGGCTTAATTCAAGGTGAACTGCGCTTCCATACCGAGGATCCCGTCTTTGACACCTGTATTGTCCCGGAAATTTTCCGTCATCTTTGTTCTTGCGTAACTTGTCCATATCTTCACAGGAGAAGTCTGAGTTGTCGGAAGAGACTTCGAACCTCATCACCGGCCACTTGCTCTGCAATAAGCCCGAGCTGATCGAAAATTGAATCAAGTCAACAATGGTCACCAAGTTGTCATAATTGGCCTAGCCACATGAGGAAACTCACAAAAAGTAAGATGAAAAATTCGATCCCTTAAACACGAGCGTGTCCATCGCCGCCTGCGGCCACCTCCAGGCTCCGGTGCTGGTGTTGGTTTCTCCCATGTTTGTAAAGAAATTGTAAGACAATGCCGGGTTATTTTCTAAAGTGATGCTCCGGGTTTGGGGGGTACCAAATGTATCCCAGTAGCTTCCTTCATTCCCAATGTAATATAAATTAGTGAGCTCTCGATTGTTGCTTATCGTGAGAGAATTGGTCACCGAAAATGGTATATGTAGTTGAGTAAAAGAACTTTCCGTGACAATTAGGTCGGCAACAGTATCGGGAGCTGCGACATAATTTATTTGACGCATACCGGAGAGGCTGAGTTTACCAATGTTGCTGCCTGGATAAGCAGCACTGAACATGTCGAACGTGACGTTGATGTCCACCCCAGCAATGGACAAGTTGTCGATGCTTTTGCACACGATGGTGATATTAGAAACCCCTGAGCTTTTAATCTCCACGGAACCCAAGCTTGCTCTTTTGTTGCTAAAGAGCCAATCTACGCTCTCGATTCCGGACTCTTGAATAAGTACCTTCCCGTCTCTATTCATAATGATGGGGAATCCTGTGGGTCCCCACGACAATCTTCTCAGACGATAGGCGTGATCGACCTCAAGCCCCCCAATACGAATGAGGCTTGGGAAAGAAAGCGATTCTGTTGCCCTTGTGTAAATCTGAACATCACTGCTGACAGTCTCCAGGGCTGGGAGTGATAGATTCAAGGCAGCTGCAGGATTCATTTTCCCCCTAATGTAGAGGAACCCATTGACTTCTCTCAGGTCAGGGGCAGAGAAAGAAGATATATCCGCAACCACAAGAGTCCCGTCAATCTTCTCTACTCCCTGAAGTGTGATGCTAAGGTTGGGGTCAAACTCGCTCCGTGCGGTATCGATGTGGACCCGGCCAAAGTAGGTCTTGCAATTGCTGAGCTCGTTGGCTTTCGCTTGCGAGTCTATGACAAAATACCCATCTTCGGGGATGGAACAGTTGTTCGCCCATCCAACATCTGATCGACAGGTTAATTAAAAGTCATCGATAGGCAATCCTTTAATCAGGATACTAACCGATAGCGACAAGATATGTCGCTGCAATCAACCAGTTTTGGTATCTCATTGTTGTGGCAGAGGAGGATTTCGTGTATGTCCGATCCCCAAGTGACAATGAACAGGGAAAGAAACAAGCTCGCTTTTCATATGTTGCCCCAAGAGCTACATCGCCAAGAAGTCACGGACTTGCTACCCGAAATGTATGCTCATTTCCTTTAGGTCGCGGCACAGCACAATTTCTACTTTGTCCTACCACTCTAATTTTTTCAGCGCCATCCTTCGACCCCTGAAAGTGGCATGATGGAGCATTATGGGTTAGCCGAAATGCATGCCCTGCCACAGTAGCGGTTAGTCACCTGCTTCTTTGGGCCAGTCAGGCACAAGACTACTACCACGTGGTAAGCTTTCTGCGAGAACCATGCACGTTGTTTTATTATTTTATAAGATCTCAGCCACTATGTATAAGCTTGAATCCTATCTAATTGACGATGCGAGCGATCCCCCAAAGTTTAAGACTTCCAAGGGTAAAGCTTCAGTCACCAACTTCATTGAACAGTCAGCGGAGCACGTGATATATCACGTGCCCCTCGGATCCATGTAAGAGACACCCGTGACAATATCACAATCAGGATATTAATTAAGAAAAGACCTGACTTCCCTATACCTATGCTTTATATGCTTAGTGTTAGAGTAGTAAAGTAAAGAATTAGAAAATCATCAATTCCGAAGAAGTCAAATACTATTTTACGGTCGACTGAAATGCGTGTTTGACAACAGTATGGAGATCTAAACCAATCACATGCCAGATTTAAACTCAAGTGGGTCTAAATCACGGCGTCGGCGCCGGCTTCGGCTCCACTCTCGCCCAGCTTAACCGGATGTTTCCCGGACGCGGGGCTCGGCTTGACCAAAAATTGGGGTTCCGCCCTTGTTTCTCCAGATGTGGGTGAGATTGTCCCCAAACGGGCCAATTAACATCTTGTAATTTCCAAGCTGGCAAGGATTGCGAAGTTAGCTCCCGTCATAGCTACGGCACGCCACACATTGCTCTGTCGCCAGGATGCGAATGTCATGGCGTCATAGCTGTAGCCGTCAATCTCTGGTTGGGCCTGGGAGGGGTTCACGGATCTCTTTATCTGTGGCCATTGGGAGCTTCGCGTGGGTCCAGATAATGCTACTCTGAAGCTTCCTCACCAGATGTTGACGGCCTGACCACAGTCGCTCGCTCCCCCTTTGCTCGCCCAAGCTCCAAGATCAGATCCAGCCGCCATTCCCGATTGCAATCACACCACCTCGAACCTTTTTGTTTGGTCTGTCGGTACATCAGTAGTCGAATACAAAGAAAGTCCCCAAGAGCTTTCGCGCCTCTGTCTGTCAGCGGCCCGGACTTAACCCCTTCACCGCCCACGTTGTCGCACCTGTGACGCTTTGTAACCCATTTCAGTCTTCTGATTGCTTTGCTCCCTTACCCCCCCTTCCCTACCCCTCTTCTAACCCCCTTCCCTCATTCTTCATGCGCACTCCGACACTTTTCCTTCGTCACACAAACAACATCCCCAGGTTCCTCCGACAAACAAGACAAACCAGATCCTTCTCCCAGAGCATTCGAGCTATGGCTGATTACAAACTTAAATCTGTCTCCTCCTTGTCGCTCCAACCGGGCGACAAGCAGGAGGTTGAGGTCGAGGGCATTGAGGGAGCCAAAGTGCTTCTTGTCAACGCCGGCGGCAAGATCCAGGCCCTCGGCCCCAAGTGTACTCATTATGGCGCTCCCCTCGTCAAGGGTGTCTTGACCACTTCTGGCCGACTGACGTGTCCCTGGCACGGAGGTACGTTCAATGCTGCGCTTCTTTTCCGCCATATTTCCAGACTAACAGCTGTGCAGCTTGCTTCAATGCCAAAACCGGCGATGTCGAAGATGCCCCCGCGCTTGACGCCCTCCCTGTCTTCAAGGTCACCGAGCGCGACGGCGCTGTCTATATTTCCGGCGAAGAATCCACCATCAAGGGCGGCCGCCGCAAGCCAAACTTCAAGTGCAATGCGGACGGTGGGACTCAACCGGACAAGATCGTCGTTGTCGGCGGAGGCTCAGGTGCTCTGGGAGCTGTCGAGGGTCTGCGAAACGGCGGCTACCAGGGGCCCTTGACGGTCATCTCGTCAGAGGGATACTACCCAATTGACCGCACCAAGTTGTCCAAGGCTCTTCTAACCGACGTCGACACCCTGCAGTGGAGAGACAAGGCTTGGTACGACAGTGGCTCGGTGGAATGGGTCAACGACCAGGTTACGGACGTCGACTTCTCTGACCGCAAAGTAACAACCAACAACGGCCAGAAGATTACCTACACAAAGCTCATCCTGGCCACCGGTGGAACCCCCAGGCTCCTGCCTCTGCAAGGTTTCAAGGTGCTCGGAAACATCTTTACCCTGAGAACAGCCCATGACACGAAGAAGATTGTCGAGGCCATTGGCGACAAGGGAAAGAAGATTGTCATTGTCGGCTCGTCCTTCATCGGCATGGAAGTTGCCAATGCCACCGCAAAGGACAACTCGGTGACCGTAATTGGCATGGAGAAGGTGCCGCTCGAAAGAGTCCTGGGCGAGCAGGTCGGTGCTGGCATCCAAAAGACCCTGGAAAAGAACGGCGTCAAGTTCCACATGTCTGCGGGAGTGGACAAGGCCGAGCCCTCGAGTTCCGACCCCTCCAAGGTCGGCGCTGTCTACCTCAAGGACGGCACCAAACTCGAGGCGGATCTGGTCATTCTTGGAGTGGGCGTCGCGCCCGCCACCGAGTTCCTCAAAGAGAACAAGGTCATTCGTCTGGAGCAGGATGGCTCTATCAAGACGGATGAGAGCTTCCTGGTCGTCGGCCTGAAGGATGTCTACGCTATTGGCGATATCGCTACTTTCCCCTACCACGGCCCTGGAGGTGACGGTCGTTACACGCGCATCGAGCACTGGAACGTCGCTCAAAACGCAGGACGCGTCGTAGCGAACAACATCATCAACGCCGCTGTGCATCCCCCGCGCTTCATCCCGGTTTTCTGGTCGGCTCTGGGCTCCCAGCTGCGGTACTGCGGAAACACCATTGGCGGCTGGGACGATATCGTGATTCAGGGCAGCGTCGAGGAGGCGAGCTTTGTCGCATACTACACAAAGGGCGACACAGTCATCGCCATGGCGTCTATGGGCAAGGACCCCGCCATGGCCCAGTCAGCAGAACTGATGGCCTTGGGCAAGATGCCTTCCAAGACTCAGCTTGCAAACGGCCTGGACATTATCAGTTTGGGACCGGTAGAGGCGTAAATGTAGCGAACTGGAATAATTTCATGTAATAAGAATCACTTGCGGCGATTAGTTTGGAATTTACATTAATCAATCACTATCATGGTACCGAATGGCAGGCTTCTTTCAAAGCTTAGCGGATGTGTTGAAAAACGTTTAATTCCCTACTAAGCAATTTTTCACTCTTTATTTGCCTCCAAAAGGCGAAAGATGATCTGATAAATTTACGAGTCTGCGCTATGCGGCTTGTTGTGACGCGGGATTACGGATCAATGGCTAGTAGTGCCGTAGGAATAGTTTCTTAGGCTCATACTGGACAGTTTTCCTCATGTCTGGTGAAGATTCTGAAGATAGAAATGCGCCTCCCTTGCCTCTAGTTAAAACACCATTAGCTATAGTGTTGGGAAAGTCGTTCACAACCAGCCTCTATTGAAAGATTTAATCCGATGGATGTATTCATATAGGACGTTTTTATTGAGCCTAGATTCTGTAGCTTTTGGGTCTGCACCAACAACACCTGTAAATAGTGAGGGGAACCTCGTGTCAAACAGCGGAAGACGCGGCAGTCTCGATTGTCAAGGTTGCATAAAGGTCGACCCTTGCAGAGTCAAACCTCGAATAGTCTCAGCTATTTGATGGCCGAGAGGCAAGATATAAAGTTAGAATTCACGGCAAGAGTCGTGGTGTTTGAGTCCTATCCGACAAACTGTCTTCTAGATCGCAAAAGGGCGCAAACATGGATGTGTCTTTCCCTTATTCAGGGTGAATTCAGCCTATGAGCTACCTATTCGATTTGGTATCCTTTTAGATGTCACCTTGGGATGCTCAATCTCTTACCAATCTCTTGCTCCGTAATCTCTCACGTCCCAAGGCGGCTCAATGCTTGCCCTAGCTCCTTTGCACGTATCCTTCAGCGCAGCCTGGGCCTCCTCGCTATCAAAAGGCACGCAAGGGACGCCGAGGTCTCCGTCGATTCCGTCGCAGATTACCACTGCATCGTCTCCACATGGGCTCTTGATGTCGAAGTTCTTGAACTGGATGTTCTTGCACCGTCCCTCCTCGTTCGTGGAACAGCTAACCCGGGCCACAGCTCGTCCCTTGGTTCCACTTGAAATTCCCTTGAAATTCTCAAAGAGAACGTTGCTAACGCTCATCTTGGACGGGAATTTGTTGCAGGTCTCTGCGTCAATGTTGAAATAGCAAGAGTCCAAGAAGATGGGCCAGTCGTCGTTGGCCGAGTAGAAGTTCCGGAAAGTGACGTTGTCCACGAAGCCTGTGGCTACGCTCTCTCCCGCCCAGACCTTAATGCGGGCGCCGTTGTTGCCGTTAAGCATCCATACGTTTTCGATAACAACATCTTTGACAAAGACATATTCTCCCTCGTATTGACCGAGAGATCCAAGAGACTGACCGTGAGAGTTGTTGCAGTACATCGTGTTCACGTGTATGTCGGTGTTGTTGGACTTGGGAGAAAAGCAGTCATCGTCTGAGTCGACCCACACTCGCTCGATCCGGATATGCTCGACGTTAAGGGAGTTGAAGAAGTCTCCATTCTTAGGTTCGACTGTGGCGTTGTTCGACTTTGCTTCAACAATGACGTCGCGGTAGGTAATGTGTTTTGCTGTGGTTGTCAGAAGGGAAAGATGAGAGGAAATGTGTATAAACACCTACATTCGACGATGAAGTTGTGCCAAACAGGCGAGTCCCTCATCAGAATGCCTTCGACAACCAGATTCTCAATATGTTCAGCATAAAAGAGAATAGGGCGTAGGTACGCGTTGTCTGGGTCCAGAATTCTATGCGTGTTAGTTCCGCATGTCATATGTGTGACTCGCGAAGGAAACATACTCGAGTCCTGAGAACTCATTCCACCATCTTTGACCCTGTCCATCAATGACTCCCTCGCCATAAATCTTCACATCCTTGCCTCCCCATTTCCAGAACATGAGAGATCGCTGGAAGGGGTGGTAGAACGCATTGGCCTGCCAGAACTCAACGTCGTTCGTGAATTTAATGGTGCCTTCTAGATGGACGTGGATGTCGTTTAGGAATGTTAGGTCAAGAGGCTTGCCGATTATGAAGGTTTTGTCGGCTGGAAGATAGACCGTTCCGCCGTTGTTGGCGTTCTTGATGGCTTCCAAGAAGGAAGCTGACACATCGTCCGTGTCGTTCTCGGAAGAACGAGGGGTGAAAGTTTTGCGGCAATTGGGGTTCCGCTTAGCGACGGGGTGCTTAAGACGGAACTCCTCGATATTTCGAGGAACATCCGGCACAACCGCCGCCAGGGCCCCAGTGACAAGTGCAAACGTTGCGCAGATTGAGAACTTCATATTGGCACTTGTACCATACAATCTCCCGTCCTGGATACCATCCTCCAGAAGCAATTTCCTGGGACAACATTTCTGAAATATATCTTCTTCTGGTCCCAGCGACCTGCTCCCAACAGCTAACCCCTCACCTTTGGCAGAGCGGAAAATCAGCTTCGTGCATATAAACTGACAAACAAATGTACGATAGTGGAGATAGGAAGCTTGTTTCGCAGTGGCGTTGAGTGATTGATGGACTTTTGGCGATGACGGATAAATACTCCTTGGCGAGACCCATCAGACCTTGCGGCCACGAGGAACATCATGGGATGGTTGTGCTGCCCAGAAGCTTGGAACCTGAGTTCCTGAAGGAATTTCGGATCTTCGGATGAGTGCCGAGAGATCGGCTTCTGTGGATTTCCGGGGGAATAGATGGGTGGGCAGGAATGGTGCTGAATTGGTTGGATTGTCGACATCCATTAACGGATTAAACCACACCGAAGGTGTAGCTGGTGTGTTGGTCTAACAGCCTCTTGGCCAAGGAAAAGACCAATGCGATAAACCTGGTTAACGAGGTTTATTACCCCTCAAGACGCGTATGCCAGGCACAGGAACATGCGGTGTTATTATCCACTTCAGTCTGGGGCTCGTGTTTGGGTGGATGGAACTATTTCTCCGGGGATTTGGTGCCAAGGGCTTGGGAGCTTGGCGGAGGGGCCTGCACCATTCGACTTACGGATGGGACGAGGAAAGAAAATGATAAATAGTAATTATTAGTCGAAGAGAAGAGAGTTGGTTCTCATATATTTCGTCACCCTGTTCCCGAGGCGGTGTGTAGAGGAGGCTGCATTTTCGTAGGCCTAAGCTGTCTCCAATACTATTGGTGTATGCTATGGTGGTCGACTGCCGGATCCATCATGACAGATGCATGTAGTTATGATCAAGACGAACCTGATACTATGCGAAAGCCAATGTGCCAATTGTAAATGATAATTGATGAAGTACCGACTACTGAATGAGGCGTGACACCAGGTTATGACAGATATTTGTGAGATCACAGGGACGGGAGGACCGTGGCGTACAATACAGGCAGTTGTTGGAAACATTTTGTGGACTGCAGTTTCACCAAGTCACTTATATTGCTAATCCTTTAAACACGAACTAGTAATCCCTCTCCTTTGAGTTATGCTATTATTTTTAACAAGACTTTTAAAACTTGCATAAGCTTGGTCACAGTAAAGTCCTTGATATGTTTCACAATAAAATACTCATGGGAGACTAGTCATTTCACATATATTTTGATGGCATGTTAAGGATGTCAAGGGCTTTTTTGGCAAACCCAGTTCGGTCAAAGCCTCCCCAGTTGCATTAATAGTGATGCATGGCACTACAAAGAATGGATGTTCTAGTTCCAAATCATTTGCTTCAGAGGCTATAGGATAGACACACTAACCGAATATAATCTCTATAAATGGACTGGAAAAGACAAACAGCCATTGGGTTGAAGAGTTGAGCCTATACAATGTCAATGAACTGGATGGAAAAACGACTTCATGAATCACTATAATTTAACCAAATCATCAAAAACTATGATAGAGTTTTCGCCCTTTCCAAATATTACACTTCCTCCGGTTGGTTTACTAACTTCTACATATTGTAGTATCCAACAAGAACTTCATCCACTCTCCACATTGTGGCGGAACCCAAAGCTTTCCTATCCTAAATGAGCCTAGCAGCGCTACAACAATGACGTACACGAATCACGCGTGTTCGCGCCCTTAAACTTTCTTTGAACAACTGCTCTCCACAACTAGCAATCAGACCACAAACATCCATGAACCTCTTCAATTGACATAGGACCAAACAGCAAAATGTCTTTTACTCAAGAACTTTGGTCGTGGTTAACCCCTACCTCACTACCTCTATCAAATCCTCCACAAGTCGGCTCCACAACCCCAATAACAAACTCTCTAAAACTGCCCCGACCGGACTCCAAGCCAGTTGTTATCGCTTTCCTTCGCCATTGTGGCTGTCCATGTATCCTCACCTCCCTTCTACAGGCGTAAACCGTACTAACACAACCAGTCGCCGAGAAAACATTCCTTCGCCTTCGTCAGACAGCGTCTCAAAACCCGGGCATATATTTCGTAGCAGTCTCACATTCTTCAGAATCACACACCAAAAAGTGGCTTTCTGAAATCGGTGGACCGGGCGAGACGAACCCTGTCGAGATCATCGTTGACGAAGATCGCAAGTTGTATGCAGAGTGGGGTCTAGGAGTGTCAAGCTTTTTGCATGTTCTCAGTCCCGGGGAGTTGGGTCAAGTGTTCAAGCTCGCAAGAGAGGAAGGGATCAAGAATCGACCTACCGAGAGCGGTAATCGGTGGCAGACGTCCGGAGCCTGGGCTGTTGATGGGCAGGGAACAGTAACTTGGGGTGGAATCGCAAAGGGTGCATCGGAAATACCAGACTTTCAAGATGCGGTGGCCTCGCTGAAGAGCCAGAACGTGTAAAGCCAGGCTATTTTATCATGTTTCTTTAATTCTTATGTACGCGATGAAGACTGTTGAATCCAAAACCATTTCGTCACTGTATCACCAGCAATCATCAAGTACCAGCCGATGACCTTTCCTCGGCATCAACGCCTCTGAACTCGAAGTACATGTTCCATTCTGGGTCCGCAATCAAATCGGCGGCAAGCTCCTTCTCAAAGCCAATGATGAACTCGTTGCCCTCATCATCTCCAGCGGGTGCGCCATTCGTTCTTACGGGGTAGACGACGGCCAATCCAGCTGTGACCGTGTCGAAAGGGAACCGAAATGCATGCGGCCGACCGAAACCAAAGTCAGCCTCGCATGCTCTCACATCACGCCACTCACTTGTGAAGTTGCTCATGGGTGGGAAGCTATCGGTGCGTAGGAACAGCGTTGTCTTGTCGCGGACGGCAGCGATTCCCGTGAGTGCAGCATCAAGATTCTCTTGAGTAACACTGTTGGTGAGTTGACGGATATACCTTAAATTTGATTAGTGGTCGTACAAACATTGATTAGTTCAGGGCAAAATGAATTCTTACCAGGCTAGCTTCGACAATGGTGCCTCTGAGATGACTTCAGCTGCAGTGAGTTGTGGAATATGATGACTCTGAAAGCTCAACGCCACGAAAACAACGTTTTGCTGGATCCGTTGTGGCACTGGCGGATCATGGAAACGCCTTCGCATGTCTACTGCCTCGCCCCAGATAATGTTCTGTTTTAAATCTGGCTTGAAAAGCTTCGCACGGTGTTTTGATAGAACACGCCAGATGTATGCCATATATGCATCATACGTTGAGATCCAGTAACTACCGTCCGTAGGACTCGCAATCCTTTTCAATTCAGCAGCCTTGCTTTTTGGCAAATGAAACAGTAGCCATTGACCAGGCCTATGATCGGGATGTCGAAGAGGAGGCACTGGTCCGTTGACGAGTTGTTCCTCGGGAGGATCCGGCTTTGTAATTCTGGATAGATTCAGACAAGCCGGATCCCAATGTGGAAGGTCTGGATTCCCAGGGGATTTCCAAACAGCAGCGCAATTCTCAGCAAGCTGATGCAATTCTCCTGCCCAACCCATCACGTCATTGGCGTAGTGATGATGGTGCATCATAAGAACCATGCCGCCGCGGATGAATGTTGCCTTGAAAGCCGAAGCCTTCGGTCGGTTCCGCGGCTGTGCTTCGGGCTTCTCGCCGTACGTCATCGGGGGAATGCACCATGTTTTCATGTCCCCAAGCGCTTGCGAAACAAAATGACGCCTCTCCAGATCCTCGAAAGACGGAAATTTACCCTCAGGGTCATCTTCATGCCCGTCAAGCCACTGGACGTGAAATTCGACCGTGCTTTCTCTTGTCTTGTGGAAGCAGAATCCGTTGCCGTCTTGACTTTTTTCGACTGTGCAGCAAAGTTGCCGGCATTGGCTAAGTGTGATTTCCAATGCACGCTTCAACGCCGAAATAGTCTTGGGTTTGTCGTCATCCGAGATCCGAAAAAATAGGGCATAATTGCAAAATACTTGCCCGACGCAGTAGTCTAACGTGGACAGTTTGAAATATTCATCCTGGGGGTCGGACTGCCACCCCTCAGGATGGAGCTCAAAAATTTTCTGCCTTGTCATTTGGGAAATTTAAGTATGACGCCTTGTAGAAATCCGATTGCCCGAATTTTGTGTATCCTCATCAATTAGATCGGACTTTTACACGTTGATTAGCAACAGCGCGCGAAAGCATTCAGACAAAGGCTCACTCAGCGCCGTTTGGGTCTTTTTATTTGCCTGGCGGCTCGTTTCTAAGTAGTGGTGTGACAGTCCACCTAAGCCCAGAACCTAGACGACGAATGGGAGCCCCTGTAATCGTAAAAATGCAACATGCCCCTCTCCGCTGACAGAATATTGTCCATATTGAGCAACCGATCGACCTAAAGGAACGTGGACTTTGCGATTACTCGAATCCCACCGGCGTTGATCTCCGTTCTCAAAGACTGACTTCTTGGAAAGAGAGCAATGAGAGAACATTGCAATGAACGACAAAATAAATGGGCAAAAATTACATATCTCTAACATTTTGAACCTCTCCTCAGACTCAAATTTCCATATGGCTCGCCGTGAGGGTACACTATCGCACAGTAGCTGCTGCTTGAATAGAAGAGTTGGTTATGGGTCGATAGTAGCATCCTCCAGTGAAAACCGCTTCTGGAAATGTCTTCAGTTTCATGGTTAGGCCTTAATCTCAGTAGAGTGTGTAGTCATTGTTGAACGTAGATATGTCTGTTACCAAAATTAAAATGTTCATTTCCGAGTCTTCTGGTGGGGAAGCGTCCTTCTTCTTGTATATATGAATTGAGTGGTTCGGAGTTTTTCAAATCATTTCCCCCCGGCAGTAATTGCATATGCATCTTCTTCATGCGTCGGGGGCTGAACTTAGCAATAAAATTCAAAAATGCAGCATATGTCGTGAGAAGCATTGGACTTCTATATTGATAGTGATTAGTTGAGAAGATCCATACCCAAATCTCCTGCTCTCGTTTACGTGACACAGTCCAACTCTCTTAACACCTTAGCCTGCGTGTGGTTTCTGGCTCATTACCAAACGATGTTTGGACACTCTAATTCTAGTCACCGCTTGTGGTCAAATCACGTGGAATATATAAGCAATGCGTTTCGCTTTTTTTTTTTTTTTTTTTTCTTTTTTTTAAAGATGCAGCTGTAAGGAGTTCGTATGATAGTTTCAGCTGATATGACGAATCTGCAATGTCACTTTCGCAATGTTTTTGAAACTAAGCAATTGATAGCTAAGTTGCTTGGAGTTGCAAGTTACTGGCTTCATGATCTATTAATAAAGTAGAGACTAAGGTTTAGATCATCATCAATTGAACTCATTTTCATCAACAGCAACGCTGCGAACATTTCAACCGAGACCAGGACATTTTTCATTCGGATCTAATGGTAACTCGTTCAAAGAAAAACAATTGATCCGTTCTCATCCGGGACTATGGCCTGCGCCAAGTGCATCGGGCCAAGAGAATGACTGCATGAAACGGATATCACTGTATGTGTGCGAAAGAGGGGCTCTCGCATGTGACGCATTTGCTCCAATAAACAATGTTTGCGGCGCGGGGTCGATTAGACATACATGCAGTAGCTTGAAGGTGGAACGGCAGATTGATTGTGGTAGGATAAGCTCTACACACACTCGGAATAAAGCTTCCCTCTCTGACCTCCTACGTTACCCTGCAGAAGCGGGAGATATGCGGCTATCCCGATAGGAGGTGAGCTCCCCTGGAGATCTGGTTCCAAGACCCAAATAAAAGTTGACGTTTGAGGTCGTTTATAATACTGTGGATCAAAACCTGATTGCTTTTCCAAAGCTTTCCAGAAACATGCAGCCAAAGAGTATGAAAGAAAAGGCGCAAAAACGCAATCGGGATCCGCTTTTGCGTTCAATTCAAGCCTCAATTGGCATTCGATGATAGCCAAGACAATACACGGACCTCTTGAATTGAAAGCTGTTGGCAAACATGTCAAAGACTCTTATCAACAGCCAAGGACAATACTTAAGAGCCAAGAACAAAAACACCTGCCCAAAGCAGTTGGCCAAGGCTACCAGAGTCTCGGTGTGTACGTGGCAAGATGCGGGGAGTCTGGGGCGGAGTGAAGAAGAGCGGGAGGCTGGTCACTCAGATTTGTATGAGTTGCCAAGAATGCCAAGATCAGCGCGATTATCCTCCAAGATATACTTATCTTTTTCCAGAAGGTACGTTTCATTGGCCAAGATTTTAAAGTAACATCGCTTCTTGCGTGATTCCTTTCGCTCGGGTTGAGTTGGTGAGAAGCTGGAGAAAAGGCCTTGATAGCACAAGCCTCCTAATCAACACCGGCCATGGCAATTCACGGCATTTTGAGTCCTGTTTCCTAACATGCAAGATAATAAAGCCCGCATTAACCGTATTATGTCGGTTCCATGGAGTATATATGGGGTTTGACAGCCCACCGTTGGAGCTTATTACTAGCGTTTCCTCGTACCGTTTTCGTGGATACGTTCTTCACAGAGTCATAGTTGCTGTCGAGCTGCTCTGGAAACATCGTCAACATGGTCCGCATCAACTCTATCGCGGCTCTTGGCTCTGCCATGGTAGGCTTGAGCAGCGCAGCTGGCGCTGGTACCAAGGCTGAGTACGCGTCTGGCGAGGTCCATCACCGCATCATGGGCATCAAGATGGTACACAAATCCAATACTTGAGTAGATTTCCTCTGGCTAACCTTTCGTATAGGCTCAATGGGAGGCTGAAATCGCTGCTGGTGAGATGGACAGCTCACGATACCCTGAGCTCGGCTATACACCGTGTGTTGACGGCTTTGCTGCTGCCATTCCCGGCGACCCTCACCACACATTCAGATGCCGCAACGTAGGTACACTTATGCACCTTTGAGTTTTCAAGCTAACAGTTTCCAGGTCGACCTCTACCACTTCCTCTCTCATGAAGCCCTTGGCAGCTGGGGCGGACGTGGCTCATCCTCATGGGGTTGGACGTCCGCTGACGGCAGAGAGTTCGTTGCCATCGGCCAATACGATGGCACTGCCTTTGCCGAAATCAGCAAGGAGGGCAAGCTAGTCTACCTTGGTCGCCTCCCTCAATATGATCGCATCGGTTCCAACTGGAGAGAAATCCGCATTGTCGGTGACATCGTTGTCATTGGCTCCGAAGCCATCCACCACGGCGTACAATTCTTCGACATGAAGAAGGTCCTCGACCTTGACCCCGCCAACCCCAAGAACTTCACTCAAGCTGATCTTACCGGACATTGGGATGAGCTTCCAGTTGGTCGCACCCACAACATTGTCGTCAATCACGAGCTCAACTACGCGATTGCCTGTGGTTCTGTTGGCGGCAATGAGACCATTCGTGTGCGAGGCGACCTTCCCTGCCGTGGAGGTCTTATCTTCCTTGACATCAGTGATCCTACCAATGTCACCAGCCCCGGCTGTGCTGCCGGTGATGGTTATGTCCATGATGCTGAGTGCCTTGTCTACCGCGGTCCTGATGCGCGGTACTACGGCAAGGATATCTGCTACGGCTACAACGAGGATACCTTGACCATCTACGACGTTACCGACAAGAACGGCAATGTCACCAACATCATCTCCATTACCGACTACCCCGGCGCACAGTACGTGCACCAGGGTGTCGTTAACAACGAAACCTGGCAAGAGTACCTTTTTGTCGATGATGAATTCGACGAGCGTGACGCCAAGGTCGGCCCCATGACTCAGGGTCTCCCAACCACTCACATCTTTGACATCAGAGATCTTGAGAACCCCAAGTACACTGGTCATTACGCTGGAAAGACTCGCTCGATCGACCACAACCAGTACATCGTTGATGGGTACCTCTACCAGTCCAACTATGGTAACGGTTTGAACGTGCTTGATGTCAGCAGCGTGACCAAAGACCCCAGTGGCAGCAGCATCTGCGAGGCTGGCTTCTTCGATATTTACCCCGAGGACGACGAGAACGAGGGCGGTGGAACTGTTGCCTTCCTGGGCTCCTGGTCGTCGTACGCCAATTTCAAATCGGGATTCATCTTCGTGCACACTATCGAGCGTGGTAGCTTCGTGGTGAAGATGACTTCCAAGGATTGCCCCAAGCCTCCGGTCTGCAACGCCGACAACTGCCTCCGTTCGTTGCGTGCGTCTCACATTCCTAACCGCCTGAAGGAGTCTGGCGAATTCTGCGGCAACTACACCCGCCGTCTGAATACTGATGAGAGCTTGGTACCCGAGTATGCTGCAAAGGCGTGTGGTGGTGAGAACAAGAATGTCGTGGCGCGTGTCAGCAGTGCCTGTGCTTGTATCCCTACGCCTGCTGTACCTGAATTGCCTAGAACCACCACTCGTCCTCCTGTGCCGACTGTTCTACCTCCTAAGAAGGTCTGAGAGACGGTACATGGTTGTGTGAGGTGATGATAGCCGCTGATTTCAAAAAAGTCTAGCAGCGACTGGAGATACCTAGAAATAATTGAATAATGAAAATCAATATATAAAATATCTCTCGCCATGACTTTTCCATGCATCCCAAGCCATCCTTTGCCGAAAATGACATTGTGAAAGCATAAAATCATGTTGAAAAAGGGGTTCGACAAAAAAACAAAAGAATGTTTTTTTGGTTCAGAATTGAAGCGAGCCATTGGAGGTGAATGCCAGGAAAGGAGCATGGCACCTCTCGAATAAGGTCATATAGTATAGGAAAATGTTTTTGGCTAATGTGTCAGTTTTTAAAGGTTTCCGAGGATTTGCAACAAAATCTAAACTTGCATATGCTTGTGTAGGGACGTCGCAGCAAAGAATATTGACAGAAACATGAGGTGTGCAGTGGTCACTGACCCAACTATTGGTTCGTCATAGACTCAACTAGTTACTAATCCGCCAGATGAAGTGGACATAGCCATTTTTGTTGTACTAGATTTGAGGAAGTAAAGGCCCAGGTCGGAACTTGGCGAGTTCTAATAGATTGTCAATGGGAGTGCCAAATGATGATTTGGGACCCGAAGCAGAGATATCTTTCATGAATTGGGTGAGGGCATCATCTTAAGCGTTGGAAATGCCCAGGCTTTCACTACCATTTGCCTGGGAGACTACAACGGTCCGCTTTATGTACTGATAACCCTGGTAAGCAGGACTGAAATGTCTGTGAATAATTGCCATAGGAGTAATGAGCGGTCCTAAGACTGAAGACGACAGTCGGGCATGTGCAAAAGATTGTCAGGACGGCGGCGTTCGGTTTGATTAACTGTTGACAACAGATGAAAAGTCTCAACGGAGGCGGTACAGAACCTTACGACTGAAAAGAATGCCATACATCCTATGAGTGTCATTAATCCAGCCAGAGATGCTGAAATAATTGCCAATACCTTCGTCTACTTTTGGTGACCACGATCTACATGGGTATTAAAAGCGCCGGGAGCATGATACTAGCAACGCCAAGGCATATCCAGCTACAAGAAATCCAATTCCATGGTTTCATCAACGACGCAGTGTGCCGCAAAACCGGTTATATCATGGATTGGGTCATGCGGACGTTGCTTGAAGTCCTTGTCCGAAACTCCGCAAAGGATCGCTGCCCGTTTCGGTAATGTAAGCGCGACAACGTAGGTGGCTATAGTATCCACGCGTTCTTGTTGACTTGTCGGGGAAAAAAAGAAAAGAAAAAAAACCGGTCAAGTTACGAGCGATGTGCTTATGCTTGCCATCGTACATGGAAACTTTACATTCGCCGTCGGCGACGGGAATTAGACACGGATCACTCGGCAACATGCGTCCTACGGGCTCCGCGGACACGGCCTGGCAATGTTCAGTCACACTATCACCAACCATAAAAATCGTCCTTAGTCCAGAACGGTACTTGAAATTGGGCAGCATATCAGTACAATTTAACTCAACATGACCTTTTACACAGAAACAGAGCCCTCGGGGCAATTTGGCATATTGATATCAGCAGCTACTGTGTTATCAATCTTTCTCTACACAATTTATCGCCAGCTATTACCCAAACCAATTGCTGGTATCCCGTACAATGAAGATGCCGCGAAATCTTTCTTTGGCGACATTCCTCGCCTTCAAAAGGAATCTGGGAATAATACATTTGCATGGATGATAAATCAAGCAAGCAGACACGGAAGCCCCATCGTCCAGTTTTTCCTTGGGCCATTCAGCAAGCCATTTCTCCTTATTACAGACTTCAGAGAAGGACAGGACATCCTCATGCGCCGTAAAGAGTTTGATCGCTCTGATTTCACCATTGCCACTCTTAGCGGCGAAGCGCGCATATTCCATATAAATTTGAAAACGGGACCAGAGTGGAAAGCTCATCGCCGCCTTCTGCAAGACCTCATGACGCCAAAATTTCTTCAAGGTGTCGCAGCTCCGAATATTTACAAGAGCTCTACACGTCTGTTGGAACTGTGGAAAATGAAAGCCGAAATCGCTGCCGGAAAGCCATTCAGTGCAGAACAAGACATTTTCTATGCTGCTCTGGACGCTGTTTTCGACTTTGGTTTTGGAAACGCCGTGGAAGACCGAGCTCTCAACCCCCAGATCGAGAGAATTTCAAAACTAAGCGTTGGAGAACTGCGAAAACTTCAAAATGACGCCGTCGATGAAATTTCTATTGCATTTCCCACGGCAGAAATCCACCCGGCATTCAAAGCGACCTTGGAATCTGTCGAGAATGTCGCCGGGGTAGCTTCTAGTGGCTTTCCAAAACTTGCTTGGTGGTTGATTGGCCTGAAGCCAACCGTAAGACGCATGAGAGCAATAAGGGATGCGTTTCTGAAGGAGCAAATATTAGGAGCTGCGAAAAGATATGAGTGCCATGGTGGAGGCACTAATGATGATCATGTCAAGTCTGCTATCGATCTAATGGTGCAGAGAGAGGGCACATTTGCCAAAAAAGAGGAGAGAAAGCCGGTCTTTTGGGGGGACACCATGAGAGACGAGGTATGCGTGATTTCTAATAACCAGGATTATCAACTAACTTTACGCAGACTCTTGGCTTTATCGTTGCTGGGCATGATACTACCAGCACAACGCTCTGTTGGGGCGTCAAATTCTTAAGCGACAATCCTGCATTCCAAGACAGACTACGGGAGAGTCTCCGTACAGTCCATGGGTTAGCCGTTACCGAGTCACGACTACCAACACATGATGAGATAACTAGAGCAAGCATTCCTTACTTGGATGCCGTCATCGAAGAGATGCTTCGGCTAGCGCATACGGCCATCATTCAGGATCGAGAGTGCAAGGAAGACACCATTGTCTTGGGTCATCACATCCCCAAAGGAACTACAGTCCTCATAGCCAATAAGGGTCCTAGCTTCACTGAGCCAGGCTTTGAAATTGATGAGCAGTTACGGAGTTCATCATGCCAGAGTGCTGCAAAGGAACGTGGAGTACGATCTTGGAACAATGAAGGCATGGACCAATTCTTCCCTGAGAGATGGCTTGTCAAGAACGAGAAAGGCGAGGAGGTGTTCGATGCAGCGGCAGGGCCGACGATTCCATTTGGTCTTGGTATCAGAGCTTGCTTTGGACGTAAATTGGCCTACATGGAGCTGAAACTGTTGACGACGCTCTTGGTTTGGACATTTGAATTCTTGCCTTGTCCCCGCGACCTTTCAAGCTACGATGATATTGAGACTTTAACTCGAAAGCCAGCGCAATGTTTCACCAGATTGAAAGTCATCTGATGAATGCAGTCAGTTGACAAAAGGATTGCAGCTGCGACTTTTTTTTTAATCTGGCGGTCAGCTATACCAACAGCGCTTTGAGGCAACCAATCGTACATTTTCCAAGGAGTTTTGTTTGATGTAGTCTGAAGTAATAGCCACTACAATTGTATTTAGGCCCTTCTTCATCTTCTTTTGTCTTTCTGCCTTATCCGTTCTACTTCAATATTTGGTTATCACCAACAGTGGTCTTGATAAGTGAATGGTCAGTTTCTCAAACCTTAGAAATGGAAAATGAAAGTAGTGTCTGCTTCTAGATGTATACTTGCAAGACTTGGCCGATTTTTAGCAAATCCTATAGAAACACCAAGCATAGGTAATGAAATAACAATCAGGTATGAACTCATTCCGGGGCTCAGGGCGAAGAGCAAAGTGTGTGAGGATTCTGGATAGTGAGATATCGTCAAATAACTCACAACACCTCTCAAGCCTCTTTGTTAGAAACTGAAACCGAAAAAAAATGACAAAGGGATCGAAATCAGACATACAACAGCAATGGAATCAACTGTAACTTTCAGCCAGGCCGTAGGTTGCCTCATCTCCTGGGCTCTTGAGTAATTCATTAGAAGCCTTAACAAAGAGCGAGACAAGTGTAACTTCCCACGTATCTAGTGCACCACTCCACTCACTCATATCGCATTAAATCCCATGCAGCCGTTGATAGAGGACTGTGATAGTTTATCAGCTTATGCCGCACTGCTTGTGGACTCATAGCAAGACAAAACAAATATGGATAATACCTACATCTAACCAACACAACAGTATGTGTTGCAAAGTACTCATAGAGCATAATCTCAATGCAGCGGATACAATCTGTTTCCGAAAATTGTCATGCCCTCCTCTGATTCCAGTTAACCAACTAGAGCCAATGATTAATGCATGTTTGGGCTCCACATCAAAAGCTCGAAACACTATGAAACCTGATTCAGTCGGCCCACATCACATTCCCAGTAGCTCATTGAGCTAATCCCCGATGGCACAATTGGCTAGCGCGTCAGACTGTTAATCTGGAGGTTGGTGGTTCGAGCCCACCTCGGGGAGATGCAGTGATTAAACTCCACATGGGACCGGTACTCTTTTGTCACTTGCGTCCGTGAATACGTCCTACTTTTTATCGGAAAGAGCGTATGTTCATGAACACATTCCAAATAAGGCCAGTCAAGAGGAAATGTGCCCAGAGAGTTCCCTTTTGCTGCAATGATGCACAAGATCAATGATGAAGCTTTAAAGTCGAGTAGCCCAGGAACTAAGCAGAAGAGCCATATGTACTTGCATCACTTGTGTTTGGAATAGTATTTATTCTAAACTTTGACCGTCCCCTATCACACTCAGTCGTAGATTGGGGTATGTTTTGCGGATGGGCATAAGATGCATTTCAATAATACATGGGTTACACTTTTGTGAACATATTTTATGTGTTCTTGTGCATCCCTTGTGCAGTAAGAGCATGAAGTATGCATTTCTCTTTCTAACCCCCTGCCTATATCTCAGTGCCCTAATATACGCATTGCCTCCAAAATAGATCTCAAGTCTGGAGGTGGTAGATCCACTTACGGCTTGGGGTCAAACTGACACATATTGATAGGTTTTGGAGCGTCATTCATTTTTCACGGTTTGATTCAAAGCATTCATGATGTTGTGTATCTCTTTTATGGCCTCATCTTATTACGTTCAACTTCCGGTCCCCAGAAACTTATGAGCCATAAACGAAGGTACGCCGTTGGTCACCCCTCCTTTCCTCAGAGACTGCCTCTTCGGAAAACTGAGTTTCGTCCCACGTTGCAACTTCCCTGGCTCTTTTTCGATTCTCTAGCCTGTACATATACTTGAGGAATAAGAGACCGCAGATGCCGCAAGCCATGATGATCATGGTAACAATCAGAGGGATCTCGTCTATAGCGTTATGAGCACAGCCAATCAAGACGGGGAGCTATAGGGGCAACTCACATCGAGGGGCATATTTACTCTTGAAAATCTGACCAGCAATAACTCCAGCAATGTTGGACCACCCATTCACACCCATCACTACGCTTCTGGTTCCTTTCCACGGGGTGTTGCCTGCCAGCCATACAGCAAGCAGAGGACCGCCGACAAACACACCGGCCATACACACGTGAGCAAACCCGTAGCGAAGCTGTGTGTTGGTTGAGGTAGCCATGACAATACACCCGGCGATGCCAAGACACATGCCGCCAACAGTATGTAGAGACCGCTCCTTGAAGTAGTCGCTGGACCAGACAATGATGAGTAGACCGACAGTTCCACTATAGTATCACCTAGTCAGCCAGTAATGAAACATGATAAGATGGAAAATGCTTACACAACAAACGGCGGAACGCTCATGAGGGTGGCCTTGATGCCAGAATATCCCATTCCTTGCACGATTAACGGCAGAAAGGTCGTGAAGGCTGTAACCGGCAGTACTGTGGTGATGTTGCAGACGATAACCATAAGCTTTTTCCAATCCTTGGCAACATCGATAAAGTCTCGCTTGACGACGGCGGTGCTGTTGATCTCGCCTTCTTCTTGTGTTCCAGCTAAATCTATTTCCATGCGTCGAATTGCATGCGCCTTTTCCTCGGGGGTCAAAAACCAAGCACTGGAAATGCTTTTGGGTAAGACAAACAAGGTTAAAAAGCCCAAAAGAACCGTGATGCCGCCCTCGAGGAGGAACACAACTTGCCAGCCATGGATGCTGGGAGAATTAACTTTGAGAAGGCCATAGGCGAGGATTCCAGCGAATGCCCCTGCAACAGAATACATTCCGGTGAACATGCCGACTCTGAATCCGACATCGTACTTGGGATAGAGTGTGGACATGTAATACATGCCGATTTGGGTGAAGCCGGCTTCAGCCGCGCCGATGAGAAGTCGCAAAGCGATGAGAGTTCCCCTACCTCTTATGGCGGCATGGCACATACAAAGGCCACCCCACGTGATGAGCTGAAATGCCAAAAAGTATTTAACGCCGACACGCCGAGCCAAAATCACCATGAATGGTTGAAGGGGAACATATGTAGCAGAGAAGAGTGAAAGAGAGTTTGGGATGTCATCGGGAGATAACCGGGCGTCCTTGACAAACGAGCTGGTTGCTACGAAACCAACGTTCGTCTTATCGATGCCGCAGAACTGCTTCAAGTCAATAAATCACATACGCACAATGACAAGTTAGTTTGTACTAACAATAAACTCAACCGCCAAAAGAGCGACGACGATTAGATCCAGCTTGAGATTGACACGTTTGTCAAGCCGCTTTTCAGCGTCGTTCTGCGGGCGGTAGAACGTCTGACGCCCTTGAGAGACGTCATTTTGCACAATTTCGAGGTGCTCAGGGTCGATGTATCCCTTGCCATCTGGAACTGCTCGACTCATTTTGTCTGATTGCTCTTTGAATCCTGCGAGAGCCTTTCGATGGGTTTTAGTAGTGAAGGTGGGGGATGCACAAACATTGGATGAAGCAAGGCTCAGAGAGAACCTTATATCCAAACCGATACACATACTGATCACCAACCCCCAAACACTAATCACCCTGCACCCCAGATCTAAAGAATCCGGGGTCTTCTCCGCGTCTCTTGAACCGATAGCAAGTATTAGACCCAGCTGACAGTTAACCAGCGTCCTGTTAGTAAGTATTTCCCACCTCACCGACTTGGGTCCCCCACTTCCCCACACACTAGGCCACATGGATGCGAGGACTACTAGTACAGCCACGGAAAACGATGAGGCATCCTCTCCGCTTCATTAGGTCTTTAATCCAACTTCGATGGCAATATTATGGGATCTCAGATGACTACCTGCAGCTAAAAGTAAGTGGAACAATGGTCTTGGCTTCTAAAGGCTTTATTTTTCGCCCTCACTCCTATCATCTTCATCGTAACGGTGCTCTACCCAGTCACATCCTACATCAGTTCCATACCAGTCAAATATCTCTACTCAAAATGACTGTCTCAGCTGTGGAAACGTATGAGGGCAAAACGGATATACTGTTCAACATTGACAAATCTGCTGCAGTGATCAGTAACAACCCAGCCGAGATTTATGAAGAGTACCGCTATCTTCGAAAGCAATGCCCTCTTATCCACACCAATCAGTATGGGGGATACTGGCTTCTCACCCGTTATGAGGACGTCAAACGAGCTGCCATGGATTCGGATACTTACATCTCAAGCGTAAAAGCGGTAGTGCCGAGTGATCCCCGAGGTATTCGTCGACCACCTCTGAACTTCGATGCACCTGCACATACTCCATTCCGAACTGCATTAGAACGCACGGTAAAGCCGGCTCGACTTGTACGTCTCCGTGAGCCCTTGGAGCGCCACGCAGAAGCAGAACTCGCTCCATTGTTAGCCCGCGGCCGGGGCGATATCGGTGCAGAATTTGCGGCCAACTTTGTTGCTCTGATGGAGTCAGAGTGGCTCAATCTTGAACCTGACGTGGCACCAAAGCTAGCTGTTGCGGCAACAAGCTGGCTCAACGCATGGAGAATGCAAGATGGAGATACTGTAACAGAGAACTCGAGAAAGATGTACCAAATCGCACAAGACCTCTTGGCAGACCGCCGTTCTCACCCAAGAGAACCGGAAGAAGATCCAGCATCCTCACTGCTCCTTGAGCGGGATGCACAAGGCCAGCCTCTGAGTGAAGAACATCTAATGTGAGCGTTCGCTTTTACCTTTTTGTCCCCCCGCTGTGGTATCTGACTTGCCCTGTAGCGGTTGCCTTCGACAGTCCTTGGTCGTTGGTGTTGTTGCACCCCCAATCCTTATTGGGTCAATTTGTCACCATCTTTCAAAAGACAAAGAGTTACAGCAAAAGTTGAGAGAGGATGAATCTCTAATACCAGCCGCAATGGAAGAATTCCTCCGACTCTACGGGCCCTACCGAGGGTTTGCACGCACCACCTCCAAGGATGTGCATCTTCACGGAAAAACCATTCATCCAAAGGAACCGGTTACTTTATGTTATACTTCAGCGAACCGGGACCCTGAAGTTTTTGAAAGTCCAGATGACTTTATTTTACATAGGGAAAATGTCGCCGCACACATGGCGTTTGGAAGGGGCCGGCATCGATGCGCCGGGATGCCGCTCGCGAGAATGTGAGTCTACGCTCCCTGTCAAGCCGAGCCAGAAATGATTTTAAGCGCTAACTTTGATGGAGGGCTTTGAACATTGTTATCCGAGTCATTTTGCGAAACACAAAAGACTTTGATGTAGACGGCGAGCTGCAATACTCTAGAATGCCCGAGTTGGGAATAATCAGCTGCCCAGTCAAATTTGTTCAATGAGCAGTGTGCCATCATATGATCCCAGAATACCGTTACATCTTTAGAAATAGATTAAGAGGTAGATACATAGCATCTCCGAACTACATTCGACTATTGTATGAAACAAGAAACTTTGACACAATCAGCGTTTGTGAGTGCAGAGGGCTTGTCCTTTCGATGCCAAAATTGCATCTCACACAATGTACTCTGTCCATGTAACCTTGTCTGTTGTTTCACCTCCATTGGCCTCCAAGCGTCAAGAATAGTGTAAAATTGGGCTACATAGAGTTTCTGACATGACTCCGGTTGAAGTATAGCGATCAAAGAAGAGTAAACAAAACCGGACCGTTAGATGTGGTTTAGCGGCTTTGCTAAAGCTGTCGTTAGTCCGCCATGGTGCAAGAGGGGGGTATTTGCGCACCAACGATTAGATGCTCTCTCGCACTCACTTTCAACAGAGCATTAAGCGTTTAAAGACAGGTATCTTGACCCAGCTTGCTTCACCCATCATGAGTTAGCAGCATATAGGCGAAGTAGGTGGAAGGGAAAACTAAAGTTACCGAGGTGGGAAAGGGTGGGGTAACACATGTGGGAAAACAAGATCCCTGTCTACTGACTGCGCTGCGCCGGTTTGCGCGGACTCTCGGTCGGCATTTGTGTTTGTGTGATGTGGAACTTGTCGCGGAGTTTGCGGGGAAGCTGGGGAAGACTTTTTCTCCATCAACATATTCGCCGACTGGATCACACATGTGGGAAACACGCATGTGGAATTTCAACTCAACGAGATGTCCGAGGAATCCAGGGGCAGCATCTCAGCCACTAATTTCGAATGTGGCTATTGCCGTCGGCGGTTTACTAAAAAAGAACATCTGAAAGTGAGGACCTCAATTGCCGTCGGCGAAAAAGTACCTTGACTGACCCTCTTTCTAGAGACACGAAAGAGCCCGTGAGTTCATGGTGCAACAGTGATGCCTTTTGATGAAGGGGTTCTCTACCGGATATGCTTTAGATAGATGCTGACTCACAGTAGACACTGGCGCGAAGCCGTTCAAATGTGCAATATGTGAGAGAAGCTTCTCCCGTGGAGATGTGCTCAGCAGACACGTGAAGGGTCATAGAAAAGCTCCGCAATCCCAGTCCCTCTCTACAAATACCGAGAACCAGGGACCTATTCAACCTTTTCAAGCACCCAGTGTAGAAAGCTCGCTGTCTGTCGACGGTTCCCAAGCTGGTCCCGTTGCTGGAACCGGCTTGGCAACAGCCTCGGGTCACGATGCATCTTCCACTTTACTATGGCCAGATTCAGAGGAGCTTTTCCAGAGTCTAATATCGGCCGATGGAATGACCTGGGATCAACCTATTCCTGGCGTTATTCCGCCGGCTGACATTCCTCACGACTTGCCATCTGCTCTCAGGTTGCGCACAGCCGACGAGCTTGCCGCGGCGGAGGACGGCCATAGAGCTGTTCAAACCATCAATGGACTTCTAACCAACACGGTAAGAGTGAAGTTTCATCCCACTGCGCCATTCTGCTTCTATCCATGAAGAAGGTGATTCCGCTGACCAAGGAGCGTTGTGCAGCTTTTCAACGTTACGTCCCATGTAGAACTTTCCGACTTGACACCACGCTTCCTTGACAGTAGTCTGCACATGTTCTTTACCAAGTTTGTGCCTATTCTCCCACTCATTCATCGACCAACATTTGTATACCGAGACTGTTCAGCACCTCTTCTTCTGAATGCCATTGCACTCGGCTCTCTTTTTCTAGGTTCTGAAGATGCAACTGCCAAGGTAATTGAACACTTCTGTTGTTGCCTTATGTAGCTTACATGTGAATGATAGGGTGAATCATTGTGGAGGTTGGCATATACTGCTATCGCGACCTCTTGGCCTGAAATGATAGGCCATCGGAGGGAATACGATTCTTGCAGCGGAGTCGAGTTGGTTTTGACCGCTCTTTTGAGCCAGACTTATGCAGCACTTTCGAGAGTAAGTGGCGGATAGCTAAATTACCAATACCATTAATAGCCATTTCGCTAATCTTTCATGGGCAGAATCGGACGTTGAGAATGACGAGCCAAACATTCTATGGCCTGAGTATGCACTGGGCTCAGTATAGTGGAATGTACGACATTGGCCCGGTTCCCGAAATACCGCAGGAGCATGATTCCGTCGAGACGAAAATGCAAGCTTGGAGAATTTGGGCCGCAAGAGAGACGCAGCTGAGAACTCTGCTTGGCCTTTGTGTGATTGACGGTGTTGTATCCCAGTTCAGTGGCAACCTAGTCAGCACTTGGCCTGCAACAAACTCGTTGCCGCTATCTGCTGATGAAGATGTCTTCACAGCCAGCACCGTTGACAAATGGATACAAACTATGACTGCACCGAGCACCACGACTGGGCGATTTTACGATATATATCAGTCACTGATTTCAGATGGAGGACAAATTGGTCAAGTTCACTGCATCTCGGGGCTCTTCAACATCAAGATCCTCTTAGAGATTCTAGCCTCTTTGGCCACCGATTTTGAACGGTCAAATCGAGGACCGGCTGGTGCTCAATGTAAGCTTGGCGCTGTGAGGGCTCTGGGATGTCTTCGTCAACAGATTGTACAGAGTTCGAGTTTAAGCGCAGCGGAAAAGGCAATAGGGCTTCTGCGATGGCATGCTGTATGCCTTGACCTCGTGGTAAGCACTGCACGGGGAGCGAGGAGGATGTGCTATCATTACGGCATCACGCAGCACATCTTCGGGGGTAGAAAGCGGCAAGAGCCTAAACGCATCGATCCCGAGGGTTGGACGGCAGGTTTTCCTGCTCGAAAGTGTCTGTTGCATGCCCTAGAGATTCACAAGATTGCGTCAGAAGTGCCGCTCGGTGTTATACATGACACGTGTCTGTCCGGAGCTCTTTTTGCTGCCGCTACCACATACAGCTCCTTTGCTCTCCCGGGGATGTCAAAGATAATTGTACCTGGTTGCGTTGACTGGCAGAGAGTCATTTTGTATGGGCTAGATGATGCCTCAGATATCGTACTGCCACCACCATCCGACGAGGCCATTGATACATTGGCATTCTTGACCAACAGCGTCAGTCCCAAGATTACAGGCTGGGTGACACGGAACCTTGTGTACGAGCTGAGCTCCATCCGGATTCTGCTGCATAGTTTGTCGCAACATTGGGGTGTTACACGAGAGATGGAAGAGGTGGTTGGGGCGTGGGAAGCGCGTTGTATATAGCACACCAATGAGAACCAACCATATCTAGCAAGGTTGGTTACTTATCTTTCGGATACCAGTTTCTCTCTAGGATTACTGGAACAAATAATGTGACCCGTCTGTGACAATTAGATAAGCAGGCTCAGGGAATCAAGCGGCCCTTGCCAGTGTAAACTAGGAGAGATATGTAGATTACATCGTCACTATGGTGCAGAATACTGGAAATAGGGTTGGAATGGTATAACAAGTCGCTATCACTGCAGGCTTTACTCTGCAACGCAGCTTTCACAACATCAGCCAAATTACAATCTGACGAAGAAGTCACCGTCTCTAAGCTACACAACTTATAACTAGGAATGGAAAAGCCCTTGATATGCCCACCAACGTTTGCTGGGGTAAAGGGAGAGCCAACATGACTCAAGCACGTCTACTAAGTGCAGGTCGCGATGCGGTAACTTGGGAGTGCCTGGCTGTCCACAGATTCTGTCTTCCGAGTTTTACATAATTCTGGAGAGCTATGCTGGAAAGATTGGTTGTAATTCTAGCCCAAAATCAGAGAATAAGAACCCGGCACTAACTATTTCTCCAAGACCTCCGTAGCCGCAGCCTGGATGGTCGCACCCTTAGAGTCTGGTATCTTCTTCCACTCCATTGCCCAGCTAACAATCCAAGCAATGGCTGGAGAGACAAGTGCTACCCAAAAAACACTCTTTAAAGCAGAATTGAATGCCCTAATAACTGCATCCATCAACTCCGGAGGAACTATCTTCCTGAACTCAGTTCCACCGGCTGCCACTACGGCTGCGGCATCTATCCCCTGCAATCCACTCAGATTTCTCAGTAGTCTATCCGTGAAGACATTTTGACCAACACTTGGAGCCAAAGCGCCTCCCAGCATCTGGAAAAACATAATCATTACAAGGCCCGTCGGTATGTCGGCTTTGTTTAGGACAACCTGAACAGCCAGTATCGGCATTTGGCTACAAATGCCGTAGCCGAATCCAGATATGACTTGGAATCCTATCCAATAGCCGCGAAAACTGTTGACGTGAATGAGTTGATACAGACCCCCTCCGGTGGCTAAGGTGGGGGCGCCGATCCACATCAACGGTACATAGTGTCCAAACTTTGACGCGACCCAGCCAGCCAAGATTGTGCCAAGGCTGTTGGACACGATGACTGGGAGTAAGTTGATGCCCGAGTCTCTTGCACTCGTGTTTTTGACCGATTGGAAGTATATGGGCCAATAGTACGAGTGCAGCACTATAGCCACCTGAACGAGCATCATGAAGCCGCACGACGCACATACGGTACGGCTCCGGAAGATGTGAAGAGGAACGGTAGAGCTAACGAATTGTTAGAAGGCTTACTTTATGATCCGGATACAGGGGCGAATCATATAACCAACCTTTCTTTACCTCGGAATTGCAAAAACAGGAAGGTAAGCAAGAGTACGCCAAATCCGATCAGGCAGCCGAAGACATTTGCGTTAGACCATGGGTATACGATGCCGCCCCACTGCAAAGCAAGGTTCAAACACACAGTTGCGCCAAGTATTAAAATAGCTCCTGGGATGTCGAGTTGACGTAGCTTTTGAGTCCAAGGAAGGCTACCTTTTACGGCCGGTGGAGGTTTTCTCAATGTGAACCAAACCAGGGCTAGGCCAACAGCTCCAAAGGCTGAGAACAAACAGTTAGGATATGTCGCAAGACAGGGTGCTTTATCATTGGCGGAAACTTACGGAGATTGATCCAGAAAACAAATCGCCAGGTAAGCACCTTGCTATCGGTTATAGAACCGCCCACGAGTGGTCCCACGGCAGATCCGATGCTGTACAAGCCCAGTACGGCGGGCGAGAGTTTCGCTTGCATCTTTAAAGCGACGCAGTATGACAGAATAGTTGTCGTTCCACTCACTAGACCAGCAGCGCCCAGGCCAGATACTGCTCGCCCTATGATGAGCGTCATCGAATTTGGTGCAACTGCTGAAACGACAGAGCCAAGTTCGAAGACAACAAGCGAAATGCAGTATACCCATTTGATATTGTAGAAGGCATACAAACGGCCACAGGTCGGAAGGAGTGCCATTTGGGCAATCAAATAGGAAGAGCCATACCAACCGATATCGTTGAGACTTTTGAAGTCACTGGTGATTTGAGGTATCGCGGTCGCTAGATATGGACATTTTAGTCTTGTACTCTCGTTCCTCTCATCAAGGAAAACCACAAACCTAGAATGGTATTATCAAGTGCTAGCACGAAGCAAATAGACATGAATGCCAGGGTCAAAGAAGCGAGAGCCCATCCTTTCATGTGCTCAGTTGCTTGCTTTTGTTCACTCTGCTGGTTGTCGACCACGTCTGCAGTCTGTTCAAGGGGATGAGGAGTCTCTGCTTCAGCACTCGTCATGATGCCTGTTTAATTTTTGCGATAGGAAACCATTGTTGAAATTGAACGGGAGAATGAAGTTCCCTCAGCATAATTAAGGCACGAAGCCTGCAATAGGGGCTGGTGTTTACTGCTACCCCTTGGCCAATGTGGGCACTGGAAGAGAGACACCATGCTGCGCTTTTGCGACCTACAATAGGCAGTGTTTTGCGCCCCACATGAACTAACCGCTGCATATAATGTAGCACATTCTCGTATTGAGATGGCCCCGAAGTACCTAACAAGGTAACAACATCCTGACTGGTTATTAAAGTACATGGACATTACCTGGTAGTTTTTATGAATACTTGATGTTAATCTGATACCTTTGCGGGGCTTTTTTCCTATGGACAGTGGTTTGTTGGAACAGGGCATACGGGTTTTCTGAATGCAGGCCAATTGCGATGGTCTGTTAGGTTTGCCAACAGTGGATGGCATATACCTGTACGATGTTCTGTTGGTGCTTGTATTTAGGCTAAATTATTTACCCGGAACACCTCCAGCATGCTCCAGTATGTTACACAAGCTCCCTTCGATTACATCAGCAAATGAGTTGTTGGCTTAGATGATGTTGAGGCACATGCTTTATGGTGTATCTCGGCACAGTAAACATCGATTTGGTGTGTCTACCTTCACGGACGAGTCGCGTGTAAAAGTGAAAATCTTGGTTGAGCTCCGATATTTCTTTCGAACCGACGCGCTCATACCTAGGCAACATGAGTCTAAACTTGGCACCAACAACGAAGTGCATTCTTCCTCACCAAATGGATTTTGATCAATCGTATTCTGGGGACGATACTTCATGATATTTTCCCACATCCCGACTGACCGTGCTGAGCTTGACGTAAGGTCTTTCACTAATCCCTGAAGCCATGGTCCGAATGGCTAATGTGAGTTGTTCACCGCCCGTACGACTGGGCTTAGTCGCTTGGCTCATGCTATCTTTGCTTTAGCGAGATGAATCAGTGAACCTACAAGCCTGAAAAGCACCTTTTTTTAGGCTTTCAGAGTAACAGCCGTGAAACGAAGCCTGAACCAACAGGCCAATTACAGTTGCTATGGCAGTGCCGATACTGAACGAAACCTGTACCCAAAAGAGTCAATATGATTGGTCGTTCCTTGAAACAATGTCTAGGCTTCCAGGCCGATCTCCCGTGTTGGTTGTTTTCCCTGTCTTACCTACTAGAGCTAATATGGTAAGGTTTTCCGACAGGTTCTGAGTCTCAAGAGGTAAGCAAGCTCAGTAGCCGTAGATGATTAAGTTTCTCAAAGACCCCGTGGCACGGGTTTGTGTCTGTCCACCAATTACCTGGGATGTGAATCCCGAACAAATAATTTGCTGTTTAATAATTTGTTTACATGTGAAACTCGTCTCGACGCTTCCAAGAATACCTGGGTTAATGTGCATGAGATTGGAAAGGGTATGAAATTTATTTTCTCCCTTGGTTTTGACTGTTGTGTTTGCCCGAGAGTGAATGGGAGACTGACCTTGAAACCGCTATTGATTTTATTACCAACTCGGGTTTATTCATAAAGAGCTTATTCTATCGCTTTGTCCAGGATCGGCTTTAACAGCAGACTGTGATGTCAGAGAACGCACACACCCGACTCAGCTGACGCTCCTCGACACTCACATCTATGATCATTTTCTCGCCCTATTGGCGGAGCTGCCCAGTCTTAAGCTTAATCTGTATATGTTGGTATCACAGGATACCCGTGAAGTGGGATAACTGATGGGGGAACTGGTCTGTATTCTGTCTGTGTCTGTATATGGAAGAAGTTCCATCAGAAGTGCTGGAGGAAGTGGCTGTTGAACTTATAGCCGTCAGCCGGTCTGCCCGTCGCGTGGGCAGCCCGGGTGCCGGCAGGACTGCCGGCGACGGAGCCACTTCAACCCGGAGTTCCGGCTATTCCAACAGTAAAAGAAATTTGGATTCTGTGCTTGAAATGTCCAATTCAAGCCTACTCCTTTTGAAATGCCAAATTTGTAAAGGAGGTCGTACATGACACTGTTTTGCTGCGACAATTAGTATATCTTTCATTGTTTTACATAAAGACAGTAAAGAATTTAATTTTTTGTCTGTTTCTCTGCTTCCTTCTCACAAGTGTATGGCCTCGAACCAAAAGTTGGCAGTTACATGAAATGAACACAAATGCAATTGAATTTTGCTTCCGCGATAGAAGATCGACATTGAAGAGTAATTGCACTCCTTATCATAGAACCTCAGAATGTAGGTGAATGATCAGTACAGGATAGAAAACCACAAGGCAATGAAGTTTATAACAGTTGGTTCATGAACGTTGGTCTTACAAATGATTACGTTCTTAAAAATTAAATCCTACTAGTGAAATGGCGAGCTTGGTCGATTTTGTTGCTTGAGCTTCCGACTAACGTAATGGAGTTCATGGGTTTTCAAACATCTTCGTAGACCAAATAGCGTCATTGTCTTTGAAAGCCAGTTGTGTGGATGATTATGTGACAGAAGCGGAGAGACAACTAGCCACGTTCAAATTTTGGGGCGAAATTCGAGCCAGTGGGCACTTGGCGTTGACCTTTTTGCGGCCGACCAGACACATGTACATATCTTATTAGTTATAATGAAATATGGCCAATTGATATTGGATAACTCGACGACGCCTACTCTTCATTTTGATCATCGAAGCCAACGCAATTGCAACAGTTATAGTAAGAAAGGAACTCTCAGAAGTCGTCATGACTATTAGAATAGTCACCTTGGAACCTTCCGCAATATGACCTGCGACCTGCTACACACTTATAGCGTATGCCTCTGAACAGTTTCTCAAACAATTATTGTAATCGATCAGAGTACGCTGTTGTTCGTTCAATAGCTGAATATACTGCCCGGATTGACCCATATGTAAAGGAATGCCTTGGCACTGCCCCTCCAGCTTGTGGGGAAGTAGGAGTTTCCCACATGCAACTTCCGGGGCTACAACACCATTTTCCCACCCCCCACCTCAATGGCAACATCATAGCATCTTGCCCTTTGGTTGCTGTGACGGGGTCATATTAGTTGCGGAGATAGCGAAGGCGATCGATACTACCGAAAATGAAACGCGAGTCACGGGCGACCGCCCGGTTCACCTACCAACAGATAACGTTTACCCCTAAAGTTAAGCTGTATTGGATTATATATAGTGTAAACCGCACGGGGTCTCAAACGCTTTCTGTCATAACTGAAAATCCATGTCCACAATTGACTTAGCAAAGATGAAGATTTTCGCTACTCTCGCCCTTGCTGCAGCTGTGGCTGCCTCTGATCATGGCCCATCGGTTCGTAACTCTACCAAAATGTAGTTCAAATATCATCCTAACTTGCGGCTAACTAGTATGGTGGGACTGGTCCTCACAAATCGGTATGTGGATTCGAAGCTATTGAGTGGACATGCCGTTCATGCTAACAAACGACTAGTATTCTTTTGAGGTAGAATCGCTTGCCAATCACACTTTTTATCAGCCACTTGAATCTGCACTTGGTTCAGACCTTAAACTGCCAGTAATTGTTTGGGGTAACGGCGGCTGCAAACCATGGTGAGTGAGGCATTCAGTTGAGTGAAACTATGCTAACATATTCATAGTACGTTGACTCGAAACTTCCGTTCTTTTTGTCAATCTAGAAGCCGTTGTTGACCATCTATTTTAGTTGGACTAGCATTTCGTGCTTTTCTCAATGAAGTAACCTCGCACGGTGCCCTAGCAATTGCCACAGGGGCGCCATTTGTTGACCCTGAAGATTACGTGCCACCTCCATCTGATCCTTCAAACCCGGCCTCGGGACAGAACCCCGCAGCCCTCACTGCCGCCATTGACTGGGTGCATGAGAATGCAGGCAAGGGCGGCTGGAAGCACATTGATTCATCCCGCATCGGTGTCTGGGGGCAAAGCTGCGGAGGCCTGGAGTCGTATCTTGCCGGCATCAACGACACCAGAGTGAGCCATATCGGAATCTTCAACAGCGGCCTTTTGAATGAAACTTCCAGCAAGGCAATCGCGGGTAATCTCAAGAAGCCCGTCTTTTATACGCTAGGCGGCCCTACTGATATCGCGTTTCCAAACGTACGTGCAATCCCAACTATTCGTTAGATATGCTCAATACTAATCTATTACAGGGCGAGCGAGACTACACTACCCTGCCCGCTGGAACTCCTGCTTGGAAAGCAAACCATGATCTCGGTCATAGCGTTGCATTCGATGCTCCCAATGGCGGTATACCAGCTATGGTCGGCACCCAGATTATGCGATGGATGCTTCGTGGAGATGCCTCTGCCAAAGACTGGTTTACAGGCGATAATCCGAAGACAATCGGTATTAAAGACGTGGTGTACAAGGACTTGGATAGCATCACGGTTGCCCCTATTTAGTAAGGGACGACCAGGTCGGTGTTCAATACACTCTAGGTGGTCAAAGACTTGATCAGTCTGTAAAATAATAATTACGAGAAGCCAGAACAATCATGGCGTTAATACAAAATCATTGCGCAGCTTCATTTACTCCTAACTAATGATATCGAGCAGGAAAGTGAGGTGATTATAACCAGTTGGTTCATGCTACTCAGTGTCTAGGTGAAGTGAGCTTATGGCCTAATGCAGCATTATGCTAGGTAGTCTATAGCAATTTGATTCGCTCATAATTATAAACTTATGCATACGGCAGTCTACAACGTTGACGGGTTTGCCTTCCCCATTGCCGAGAGGTGGTATGTTGTAAGCCTAGGCTAAATGCTACTAGAAGTTAGATTTTGACAACAATTGCTCTCTTCACTATGCAAAGCCAAAATTGGCTTCATATTGTACCAAGGACCTCAAAGACGACTTTACATATAACCGGATTGGAACAGCATCTGGCTAGTTTTGCTCAATGTTCCATGTGTGTTCAAGATTGTTTTCGGGATCGTTTACCTTCTGTCTTATGCTACGCTATCTACCATAGGTCTACTAAACCGTTTGGGTAAAGACCTAACGTCGCACACCCACTTCTCGCACACCCCCACATTTCGCACACCCATAAATTGGGTCATCATGAGGTATTCATCAACTTCATAACTATAAGTCTGATTCGTCTCCTGCAACTGTGATACTATCGCCAGTTTTAATAGGTAATTCAGGCTCGCTAGATTCATCTGAGCTATCCTCAATTTCGCCAGCCTCAATTTGGGCTTTGTGAATTGCCTCAATGTTGGCAAACTTCGAATTTGGGCTCATTTGGACCTTACGCCGCTTCCGTACCATTCCAGCCTCAACTTCTGCTTCCAACATTGCAATCTTCTTCTCTGCTGTAGCCAATTGATAGTCCTTTTCATCAAATCCCTTTTGAACCTTCCGAAACAACAGTCGCTGCGTTTGCTGATCTTTATCCAACTTGCTGAATAAGCTAAGTTGATCATATAGATCAACTGTCTTCTTGGGCGTTGACCAGGCTACTATGGATGTAGCAGATGCCCAGTTTTCGTCTTTTCCACCATCAGAGGCCCTCATAGGCGTAGAATAGCCTGGCTTTGAGGGCTTGGAAGCATTCTCAAGCAGTAGAGGGCTCATGAGCGGTCGAGCTATCGAAATGGGCCATAGTCCTGTTGCTTTCCAGCCGCTTCTGATATTCTTGCTTGAAAATGCCATCTGGCGTGCTTTTCCATAGCAGGTAAGAAAGTTCCGTTTGCCTACAACTGTAGAATCGTTGTGTTGAATGAGGTATCCAAGCTCTTTTCGATAGGTCGCCTTGAGAGGCCCAAAGACTGCTTGGTCTAGAGGTTGGAGAACGTGGGATGTATGTGGCGGTAGGAAAAGGAGATATATCTTGTGTTTATAACAGAGATACATAAATTCTGTTGTTTCATGACTGCCATGACCGTCTAGGATCAATAGTCTCTGCTCAGAGGGATGATCAGGCTTAGTCAGAGGGATAAAGATGTTCTCAAGCCATTCCACAGCTGTAGAGTCTGAAGTCCAGCCATTCTCAGTTGCTGTGAACTTCCAACCACTGTAAATATCACGTTTATGGATATCAAGAGGAAACCATTGTTGTTGAACCGATTTCCCTCGATAAATAACAAGTGGAGGAAGCGCCTGACCAGTTGCAGAGACACACTCAAGCATAGTTGTCCAAGCCCGAGACCCAGGCTGTTTTTTTCGCATTGATGAGCTTTCTGATGATCCCAGTACTAAGCCATTTGATCCTCTGCCTTCTAGGATACCAGTTTCATCCATGTTATAGCGATGATGTGGTTTGATCGCCTTGATCTCTGGAAGGGCGAGTTGTTGAAACCATTGCCTGATTACATTAGTTGAGGCCCCATTGACACGCTTAGAATCGATGGCTCTAGCTCTATGAACCTTGATTGATGGATTTCTCTTAATAAAGAACTGAATCCAGTTTCTCCCAAGTGGCTGGGTAGTGCCTCTGATGTCTAGGATTCCCTGGGCAAATTCCTTGAGTTGTTGATGTGTTGGCGGCAGCCCTAACGCCGCCTGGATACGCACCCATTCAGCTAAGTGACTTTCCTGTGCTGGAGATAGCTTCTGGAAGCTAGAGAAAGCTACATTTCTTGCCTGTGAACCCTTTAATCGAGACTGGAGGGTTGATGGTGGAATTCCAGCATCATGAGCTGCCTTTCGGACACTCTGCCCACTTGCAACTGCATTGAGAGCTTGATTGACTTCTGTTTCCGTATACTGGCCCATTAAGCGTATAAGAGTAACTATTCAAAGAATTATAATAATCGCTGTAAAAGTGGTGAAGATATTAAAGAATGTTGAAGAGGGTAAAATTCTACATGAGCGATTTATGGGTGTGCGAAATGTGGGGGTGTGCGAGAAGTGGGTGTGCGACGTTAGTATTCAAAAACTGCATCACGCCGTATGAATGCTTATCCGTGTCTACCGCGTCTTCTTCCCGATGTTACTGCCGAGCTCGATAGTAGCGTTTCCCCACATCGAATGGCATTTTCCCACCAGGTGGGATTTACCTCGCCCATCGGTAGTGGGGAACGATCACCACCCCATTAGAATCCTGTTCAATCAATTAACACCATCCCTGCCGGTACATGGTTGCTTAGCCAAGAATTCCTAGCATGCGTAGCATGTTAATCTCTGGAAAAGAGCAAGTTAAAAATGCGACGAATTCATGGTGCCCCAATTGCGTCGACGAGTTCACCACAACGAAATAGGTTGGAATAATGGTTTCTCTTTCCCTTCTGGCTTGGGCGAGCTTTTCGCTCGCCTCACTTTGCACTTGCTCAAGTCTAGCTCCTGTGGTGACCACAAATGGAAGTGTAATCGGAGTTAGCGATGTGGCTAATGGAATTGAGAAGTTCCTGGGCATTCCATATGCTGAGCCACCTGTCGGCGACAGACGGTTGCGTCAAGCTATGCCCTTGACAAATTCGTTTGGAGTTCTTCAAGCACAGAATTTTGGGCCATCATGCCATTCTGCAAGAGACCAGGGCAACGCCAGCGAAGATTGCTTGACTCTGAACATTTGGAGAGCAGCCAATACAACTTCGGGTACAGAGACATTACCTGTACTGGTCTGGCTGTATGGTGGCGGACTGACTAATGGTTATACGGTGGGCTCCTCTCTGGTAAAGGCCACTGTCTTCATACTGATCAACGAATATGGTGAAATAGGCCGATCCTAGATTTGAAGGCACCTCTATCACGCGCATTTCGAAGGAGATAGGGAAGCCCATTGTGCTAGTTTCTCTCGTGAGTTCTATGCATCAAGTGACTAGCTTGCAGCTAATCAATCGCAACAGAACTATCGTTTGGGGTCATTCGGATTCTTGAACGGGAAAGAGATGGCCGAGCAGGGTCTCCTCAACATAGGCATGTTGGACCAACGGCTTGGACTTCACTGGATTCAGGACAACATTCGGGCATTTGGAGGCGACCCCAAGAGAGTCACATTAGCTGGAGAATCGTAAGTTCAATCATGCTCTCCTGATTCAAGTTGCCACTGACAGTAAAATAGAGCCGGCGCGGTGTCTATCTACTCTCATATGATGGCCTATGGTGGCAGAGATGACGGTCTCTTTCGTGGTGCGATTCTTCAAAGCGGTGGCGCTTTCCCACTTACACCTCCCAACACACCAGCATTCCAAAGTACTTTTGACTCTTTATTGATCAACACCAATTGCTCTTCCTTACTCAACTCGACATCTGTGGAGAAACTCGACTGCATCAGGAAGCTTCCTGTAGAAACTTTTAAAGAAGAGGTTGGGCCATCGACGGGGCAGTCAATCGACGGTGATTTTAGTCGCACATCCATTCAGCGAGCAATTCCCGAAGGCAGATATCTCAAAGTCGCAACCATTGTCGGACGTAAGATACCCCTAATGGCACTGCGATTACCGGGTTCTAATAACCTATAGCAAATACCGATGAGGGCACAACTTCTGCTCCCACCGGGATTAATACCACGGCCCAATTATTTGACCCAGTAGGTAAGTAGTTATTGAATCAAATCGGCTAAAGTTATAATACTTATATCAAGCAAACGCATAGCAAAAGGGTACTTCCGCCCTCAACTGTTGCCCAACGATACAGTATCCACCCTGATTAAGATGTATTCCACTAACCCAAGCCTTGGATGCCCCTACAATACAGGGAGAGCCAGCTTCTCTTCTGGGGCTCTCGATAAAATGGCTTGCTCCATCTTCGGAGACATTGTCCAGATAGGACCCGCCCGCATGATTGCACAAGGTTTGGTCAAAGACGGTGTTCCGGTCTACAGGTACAGATTCAATCACCTGTCCTCTAATACTTCGACATTCACCAAGGCCATCGGAACAGGAGTGGAGCAGTCATATGTTTTTTCAAACCTCATTGCCGATCAACCCTGGGATAGGAATATGGCATACCAGATGTCAGCAGCTTGGATCGGCTTTACACACGACCTGGATGTTACGGCCAGCTAACTGACAGTGGGTTTGTGTTAACAGTAAGCCAGGGATTGAGAGTAGTAACAGTCGTTCCGTGGTCCTGGTCGAATAGATCGTAGATCTTCAAAGGTCTTGGTGATCAGTCAAGGCCTCAACAAGAGTCGTAGAGTAGTCGTCACTTAGGTATAGCTGAAAGTACCGGTTAGGGTAATCACAAAGTTGATTGCTGAAGAGCTATGGAAGTCTGACCATGGGCCGAGCTCAGGTCATACTATATACAAGTCCTGGACAGTCCCTGTGTCTTGTCGCTGATCACTGATCAGGTACCGGTGAGCGATCAGTGATCGTTGGTGAGCGCTCAGTAGCTCTGACTGAGCGCTCAGTGACCCATACTACCTGCTCAGTCTTATCTTATCATCACGTGACTTGTACCATAGTTCTTCCGTTCCCGAGTGAGTCCCTGTTGTTCCCGTGATCCTGCAGTACAAATGTCCTGTTCTAGCCGCCCGACGCCCAAGTGGGTCGTTCAGCTGTTATCCTTGTTTACGGGTCGTAACACTGGATCCCAACACCGGAACTAATGGTAAGACAATCACCTCCCCAATCTATTAAACAATGCCTAACCGAGGTTTCTAGTAACTGGCCTACCGAACTGGCCGCCATACGGCAAAGAAGCTAATAGCATTGTTTTCAACGGTTATGGATCCTGGATTGAGCCGGATACATATCGATCGGAAGCGATCCAGTATATCATAGATAATGTCTTGCCCGACGGTGCATCTTAAAAACAGACTTCATCGTGATAAACAAAATCGGAAATGCTGTTTTAGCAAGTCTTGTTTATATAACCTTTAACACGAGATGCAATAGTACATATTCATGTTGTTACGACAGCGTGTATTATCATGATAACGTTTTCAGCTTAGGATGCTTGAAAACGCCTACGATGCTCGACATACCATGTCTTTGGGTACATGCATGTGGTAAGGTACTTAAGCGCCGATAAATATATTGTGGGTCATCTTAAGAACAGTGACAAATCGAGTGTTGGTTTCTGTTGCCGCCAGGCTAGGGTGCATGCAGTCAGCGGGGTCAAGACGAAGAGCGTATTTATTTTGAACGATTCCCAGGTCCGCGTCTAGTGCGGAGCTAGAACTCGTAACTGACAGTCTTCACAGCTATGGCTGATCCTCTCAGCGTGGCTTCGGGTATCCTGGCCATAGTTACAGCCACGTTACAGTCCAGCAAATTTCTGTATAACACCGTTCAAAGTTTCCAAAACCACCGGAGAGTCGTTCAACAGCTTTTTGATGAGCTTACAGCCCTCAACAATGTCTTGCAATCTCTGGAGACGCTTGTTCGCAACGGAACTGACGATGCAACGCTGCTATCGCTTAAAGTCCCTCTCCTGCAATGTCGACGAGCCTGTGCCGATTTTGACGCGTTGATAATCCGATGCAGTAAGAATTCGGGACGTGACAGAACCAGCTTTAGAGACTGGGTCAAAATAAGATACATGGAAGGCGATATTACCGGATTCACGAGCATGCTAGCCGGGTATAAATCAACAATCTCCATTGCCCTGGGCAATGCAAACCTGTTCGTTGCCCACCTGATACAGAATAACGAAACCAGTAGCTAATAGGAAAAAACCAGGCGTTCTGCTACTGTCAGTCTTAAAATATTGAATGAGTACAAAGATACGATTTCTAGCACAACTCAGGAGCTCGAGGATCATCTAGAAGATATCAACTCAAAGCTGGAGCACCTCATTGTGCATCAAAAAGAATCTTCTCAGTCTATTTCGAACACTATTGAGAGAATCCAAGAAGAAAAAGACAGCACGGAGGCTTGCTTACAGATCTGCGCCCAAGTCCAAGCCCGTATTGATGAGATGCACTTCCGGCCTGCCTCGGGTACACTAGCCCTCAATGAGACCTCTTGCCAAAGTTTAACACGGCCGATGGTCATGACTATGTCAACTTTAAGCCAGTGTAAAAGTCTCATTACTGACAACATCACTCAACTACGCAAGCATCAAGAAGAAGCTGACAAGGAGCGACTGAGAGCGGGAGCAATAGGTACGCCCGAGTCTTTGGAGATTGAGATTGAAAGGCTGCAAGGAGGACTGGAAAGTACGAAGAAACGGTTGACGATATGCAGCCAGGCATCTGAGAACGCTACCAAAGGAGTGCACGTCCTTGAGGACATGGTCACAGGTCATGATGGGCAGCAGGTGTTTGTGTCGACATTGGGGGATCTTTTCGATGTCAAAGGCGCTAGCACTGGTGACAGAGGTATCCAGTTTGTTGGTTCGGTGTCTGAACCTGTATTGTATGAGTTTTTTAGGAGCCAACGAAAGTGATGGAACAATTCAGATAAAATAGATATCTATTACGCAGGCTGCCCAATTGCCAAACCCTCGCTTGTTACCTGGGCGCCGTTGAATCATGTGTACTAATAGAGCCCCCTGTAGTATAGCCTCGCCTGCTGAATGGCGATGACTCGGGTGCTGCAGTGCGAGGATTCTGGGTCTCGTTTCTATGTGAAATAAGCATTTGTCCGAGTTCGCGAACTGATTCATCGCTCCAAGCTCCGACACATTGGAATGAGTTCTCTCCGCCCTCGACATTCTTTGCGTTGTACAAGTGATCCTTTGTTGACACCAAGAGTTGGACACCATGATCTCCAACCTTTAGGTCTTCAAGATGGTGAGTCGGTCGGAGATGCTGAAGCAAGTTATCATCATCAGCATCATTGATTTGAGAGTCCGTTGGCTGACGAACCGTAGAAGAATCGGTCTCGGGCGAGTCGCTTGACCTGTCCGTTGTAGCTGCATCGTTCTGAGGTGAATTGCCCATGTTGTTCATTGTAACTTGGTGAAAAAATATTGGGCTGCTCTTAATGGGACGGCAAGTGATTCTTTGTTCCCTTCATATGACTGTCAGTCGTTTGGTGGTGCAGGGAGAAGAAAATGGCTTACCCCGCACAACACAGCGCTTAGATAGGTTCAACCTGATGATGGCGGCCCACCGCAAATAGCTCACTAACCAGACTAGTAGGTATATTAGGCCTCGGGACAAGGACAGGGCTAATCTATCCGCACCAATCCTTGTAGGCAAGCTGCCGCCGGGCCTCTTTTCTGGCTGAAGCCACCCCACCCCGTCAACTACCTGCAAGTACCTATGAGGTCGGATAAATCGGCTGCTTTCTGTTTTTAGAGACCTACAGGCTTAGAACACAATGTTGGTTGATGTCTTACATCCTGCGTAGCCGGGTAATTGTAGGGCGGCGACCGTTCAACTGTTTCTGAGCCAGTGGATTTACTCAGTCCTGGGAACAGAGGTAAGAGATCGGGCTGATGTAAACAAGGCAAAGCAAAAGTGAAATGAGAGTGAGAAATGAAAAGAATCGCCGGTTCGGCGTTGAGAAGAACAGACTGTATTAACATCACCAAGGAAAAGCACATTAGATACCTAAGGTAGAGAAACCAAGCATTTCCGTCAAAAGAGTCATCATCATGTATTTGGAATGAAATAAAGATTTGTAATTCGATTTCATCCTTTCCTCGAGATCGGGTAATAAATGCAGCTCCATGCACTACTGGCAGAATCCGATGGTAATAGGACCTGTTCGGCGATGGAAAAGAGACTTACACCGACGTCCCATTTATTACCTATACGCGTAAGCCAGTATTTTGCGTTGAGCTAGGTTCATTCATTCACTTTCCTAAAACTTCCTAAATCAACAAGTAACCTAAGATCATTGGCGTTGAGTTTAATATCAAAGGACTTTTCGGAATCCCGTCCCCCAATGGGAGTTGGGAGTGCCTGTGTCTGTCGATACCTGCTTCCAACATCGTGGCTGATGGCACCCGCCAATACTATGCGGTTAAGGCGTAGACGAAAAGCTTACCACCTGAAAAAAGCGGGATCGCAAAAAGCTGTCCAGACCGGGCAAACAGTGCCTCCTTATTGTGACGAAAGCAGCCAGATACTCCAGGCTTAGAGCTCTCACCTGGTCAAGCTAAGCTTAATCCGGCCTTCAGCCGACCCGTAGACTTGTCTCGTCGTCCGCCCATTCCTCAGTGTCTGAGTAACTTTAGATCTGCTTTAAAGCATTCCGAAACCAAAGGTTGGCGGCGGAAGTTAGACAGATGTCCATAAGGCCTAGCCAAAAGCCACCACGAGGAATCTTTCAACAAAAGGGTCGCTCCATGAAGACTCCCAGATTTGCGAATCTTTCAACGTTCCAACCCCCAAAGTAAACTTCATATCGAAAAATAGGCATCGCGATTGCTTAACACGTCTATTCACCGACGGCGTAGCAGAGTCATTGGACTCAAAAGCAATATGCGGGCAAATACACGTCATAGGCGTGTCCTGGAGGGCACCGCACCATCAGAGCTTCCCATTAATATCTCGATGGCCCCCAATACGCGACGAATGCCGCTAATTATTCTTCTCCTCGCACTTTTTGCAACTACCGTTGTCGCTCAACAACCTGCTATCCACAATGTGTCGGGCATTTCTCTCGATAGTAGCCCTAGTTGCTCTGTGAGACGGACTCTTTCTCTGGAAATTCGACGATCAGTACTAACCACTTACGATAAAGCTACCATGCTTCACGATAGGACTGAACCAGACAGACTGCGCAGCGAACGACCAGAAATGTCTGTGCGGGAATCAAGGGTACATAAAATTTGTTGAGGGGTGCCTTCTAATGAGCTGCCCGCTCAAACACGCATTGGGTAAGTTAGAACCACCCTTTTGATCGAAGAACTGGACTAATGTAAAGTATTCAGATACACAAAACATCACCTGGGCAGCATGCGACTTCCCTTATACCGAAAATGATCCTACAAGGAAGGTTACTCGAATCGTATTGTTTGTCATACTACCATCTTTGTCAATCATACTTCGGTTTATCACGAAATTCGCAGGGATATCGACATGGGGACTCGACGATTATTCCATTCTCCTAGCATATGTAGGTGTAGACGAACGAAAATTGTTTTGTGGGAGAAAGCTAAAATAAGGCTCTAGTTTCTTCTGACAGCATACGTTTCTCTACACTTTTTCCGTAAGTTTCGGGTATTCATGCTTCAAGGTTGTCATATACTGAGATTATTTTTCAGTAGAGGATAACGGCGCTGGGCAAGACCTTTGGAGTCTCACGGATCACCAAATCAATAATTTCTTCAAGGTAAGCGCTGCATCACATCTTTTAGTGCCAGGCTCGGTTTCGTATTTTTCTGTGTAAGCCATAGCTGACAATTCGTAGGGCTTCTATGCACTACAGACTTTATATCACTCTTGCATCGATGTGATCAAGGCCTCCATCCTTTTCATGTATCTCCGTATCTTCCATCTTCCAGATGAAAAGGTCCGTGTCGTTCTATGGGCCACACAAGTTGTCAATCTCTTGTGTGGGCTTATATACATCTTCATCGGTCTCTTTCAATGTCAACCAATACATCTGGCCTGGACGTTCTGGACCGGGGAGACGATGGGAAAGTGCATGGATATCACCAAGTTGGGCCTGTCACACGCAGGCATCAACATCGGCTTGGATGTATGGATGCTCATCCTCGCCGGCACTCAAGTATGGGGTATGAACTTGGCACTCCGCAAGAAGCTAGCAATCATGGCCATGTTCAGCCTCGGCCTTTTGTGAGTACCGCCATCCGTGTTTGCTTTACTTGAGATGAACCTAGATCTAACATGCCATGCCAAGTCTCACCATTGTGAGCATCATTCGCATCACAGCTATTTTCGAGTTTAAAAAGTCGCCAATGAACCCCACTGGTAAGTTTTGCAGCCCTTGTTGAGCCGTAAATCATCTAGGAACTGACCAAATTTCTTGCTTTCAGTTGCCATGATGCCGAGTGTTGTATGGACAGACATCGAGTTGTACGTGGGTATTTTTACGGCGTGCATACCCAATCTACGCCAATTTTTCAATGCATTCATCCTCCGGAAAACAGAAAAGCGGAAGCGTCTTAATTCTGCGGTATCAGGTGATAAGGACTTACCTTTCACCCCAAGAAGAGCGACCATCACCCAGCAATTGAGCGAAATCGATAACATGGAAGATGACCGAGAACAGCCGCCTAAGGCACTCTTTGGAGCTCATCATGTATAGATAGGAAAAGTTAGACATTTTATTTTTTGTTTTTAAGACAGAAAGAAGCAAGCATTAGCGACTGCTTGTGATAAGGCCATGTCCTGAGCCATGCCAACAATTTCCTTCATGTATGAGTGATTCACAGCCCACCGCTGGCTGGAATGTTGTGGGAACGCAGGGATTAAATTCAATGGATAATTCAATGCTCATAGCCCGCGTGCCAATGTGCTTCACTTGGTGCAGCAATAGCAAAGGCTTAATTCTGTTTTAAACTCCCTGACGGCATGGCCTAGGCCCCCTTGTTAAACATTACATAATCGACATGAGTTACCAAACATGTTATGATTGCTTCCACTCTACTCCAAGTTCATCAGCGTTTACACAGATCCTTTTCTCTCCCCTCTTTGCTCTCCAATAATTTGTCGACTTCAGAATCTGCTCACACCCTTTTAGTAAGAAACCCCACTTCTTCAAAAATGCACCTGTCACCTCCCATCCGTCAACGTCCCATGGATTCTTTCCCCACGTTAATAGCGAGGGGCTATGGCTTTCGCCAGCACCGTCATCCTCCTCGGCAGGTTTCATTTCAACCATATCGTACCACAACTCGTCTTCATCAAACCGGTATGATAACACACAGCCCCGTAGTATGTTGTCCCTTAGTTGTGGAACGGGGAGCAGATCAATCCAGGGATGGTGCGGAACTTCGAGCTGAAGCTTCGTGGGCCGTAGGCTTTCGGGACATTGCGCAATCCCCTCGAACCCAGGACCAAGCAAGGGTCCATATTGACAAATGGGAGACATTGCGTCGCAAAACAGCCAGAGATGTGACAAGCCAAGAGCATGCGAATTCCCAGCCATGGCATTAAGGACGTTAACGTGTATCACGGTTGGTAAATGCTCAATACTGGGCGAACTGCGGAGAAAGCGAAGGTATGCCGCGTCAGCAAACTGGCGAAATGTATCCACCATGTTACTGGTAACAAAGCTGTCAATCTCGTCTGGTCTTCTTTCGGACGCGGCACGACTGGCGATGGTCATGACGTTCGAGGCTTGATCGACCAGGGGAGATTCCGACTTTACAAGGAGTCGCTTCCTTCTTCCTGCACATGGTCTGATTAATTTCCGTTGGACCCTTGGAATGACGTGCTTACGGGTTGCTCTCTGATTTAATCGGTTCTGCAGCTTTCTCCTCGAGCGTGTATTCGTCACGCCAGTCCAATCTTCGCCGGGGGCCCGGATCTCGTCTCGCTCGCGCATGGGAGCCAGGGTGATGGCATAGCCAAGATAGTCCTCAGTTGGTTCCATTTTCAGAGACAAGAAAAACTATACTACTTTGGCCAATGCAGATTAACGCTCAAGTCAGAGTCCAGATATATATGTCACCGGCTGACATGTGGCGCATGCAATCGGTTGAATTCCGACGCACTAGTTAGGTGTAAGAGTTTCTTGGCAATGTCAGCAGGTTGCATACTTCCAAAATAACTTGATTCGCTTGATACAAGACCGTGTGGGCCGAAATGGACATTTATGGCTAGTCAATAGCGAAGAGAGACAGGGATATCATGCTTAATTCCGTCGCTAAGTTCGTCACTTTCGTCAGCACGGAGCATTAGGTGGAAGCCACCAATGACAGAAATGCTTATTATGGCTTAATTTTTTAAGGCTGTGGTATTGTATATCGAGTGGAGGGTCTACATTTTCGTTCAGAGGTCGCGGCAAAGTGCACTACTCATGCATGCTTCTCGTTAACTAGGACATATCTGTACCGCGCCTTACCCTCCTCCATATCAACGATGGCCTGATTCGCGTCTGACATTGAGCGTGTCTGAATCCGTGGTTTGATGTTCTTTTTGACTGCAAAGTCCAGCATTTCATTTATCTGGTTAATGGATCCAATGTTACTGCCGCCGACTTTGATGCTGTTCATGATCAGAGTAAATGCACTAATCTCCGGCATCTTGCCTCCATCAGGTGCTCTGAGTATTGTTAGCCAGCAAGCTTCTTAAAAATGATACTGATTCATTTTCTCGTAGTAAGACTTACCCAACTTGAATGAACGATCCCTCCCACCTTAACAGCCTGAGATACCCCTCAAGAGGCATATCCGAGCTGGAAACAGTACAGATAATGAGATCGAGAGTACGTCGGTGTTTGGACGCCCACTTCACATCATCAGCTGTAGCAATATACTCATCCGCCCCGAGCGCAAGCGCATCGGCTTCTTTTGTACGTCGTCTTGAAATGGCCACCACCCGATCAGCGCCGAGAGCTTTGGCGAAAAGCACACCGAAGTGGCCCAGCCCACCGAGGCCGACGATGCCCACGCTCTTGCCTGGTCCGCAACCGTTATTCCTGAGCGGCGCATATACCGTGATGCCGCCACACAGCATTGGCGCAGCAGCCTCAGAAGACAGCCCGTCTGGGATCTTGACGACGAAACGGCCGTTGGTGCGGTTGTAATCCGCGTATCCACCCATAGACTTTCCCTCGTCATTGGGGTAAAATGAGCCGTATGTGTCGACGCGCTCCCGGGTGCATGCGTTTTCCTCGCCGCGAGAGCACTCTGGACAATCTGGACGAAGGCAGCTCCGGGCTTGGGCGCCGACACCTACTCGATCTCCAATACGGATGTGATTAACGTTGGCGCCCACGCGGACGGCCTTGCCGACGATTTCGTGGCCAACGCAACATGCTGTTAGGGTCAGTAAGGTCGGTCATTCTTACGGAGGAAGAAACGTACGGTACGCAGTTGCACCCCAACCTGAGCGAAGGGTATGTATGTCTGATCCACAGATGCCGCAGTGAGTGATCTGGATGTCGACGTCATTCTCGGTCCATTTCTTGGGCTCGAAAGGACCCCATTCCATTTTCCCGTTGGCGGACTCCGGGTTGTGGCCGAGCCATCCTTCAAACTTGTAGTCGGTTGCCATTCTGACCGTTCGAGTGTGAAAATTCAGCGTGGTTGATGGTATAAGAACCAGAAATATAAAGCCGGATGATCCGCAGGTTTTTGTAGGCGCTTGAGAATGGAGAAGAAGTCGATGATGAACCGGCTTTGATGCCGTGCGGGGTTTGTAAAGTTTGGGCTCTTTTGAAGATGTTGGAAGCCCGCAACGTAACTGGCTCAAGAGGACAGGGAGTTGATTGAGGAACAAGGCAAAGCCCCACTGAGCCGAGGAACCAACACAAATGTGGAGGAAAATGTCAGCCAAGTGCAGTTCTGGAGCTAGCTGCAGCGCTTCTGGGGAGTTGCACCGAGGCTTGGGATCATTCGGCTTGTCTTGATGCTCAAAGAGGAATGGCTCGAATGTTGCCCTTGCACGGATCGCAGACAGACTCTACCGCCTTATCCCGCACAACCTAACACAACAATGCTCCGGAAAGTCAGAATTGGAATTGCATTACCGACTTGACCGGGTTTAGTCAGGAAAATTAAAGTCTCATTTATTAGAGTCCTGGGTTTGCGCCCTGGACTGTGACGGACAGGCGGATTATCCATTCGGAATCAATCGCGCCAGATTGACTCTAGATCGCCTTAGATGGACAGGTTACGGATTGCGTCAGGGCTAATTAACATCTGAGCTTGGTATACTGATGCTTGTCGGCAATATGGGTTTCATTTACCCGGTGTAGATACACGCATTACATGAACTAGTGTTTACGATGAGGATTTGCAGGAGGATGATCTTCAACAACCGTAAAGTTCGTGTTCAATCAGCTTCTCCAACAGCATCGTCAGCACAAGGAGAACGAACACCATATAGTCTTCTGCTTGCATGTATGCCAGCAGCACTATTGAAAACCAGAGTACGACAACCTCATTGCCTTCCAAAGTCACAGTTTAAGATCGGTGTGATCCTGACACTAATTAAGAAGTAATGACGAGTTGATTAAATATAACAGTGTAGCATATGTCGCCATCTCAGCCCAGGCTAGTAATCAATAATATGTGTGTATTCCTCTTATCATCAGCTTGAAAATAGAGGAGAAAGACCTTGGACATCAGACAAGCAATTATTACCAAAATTGAATTCATCGGAAAAGCTCTGTCTTCAATCTAATCAGGTCATCCTGGCCGGCTCCGAACTCCGCGGCCATGCGTAACCCTTTCGATCCGTACCGCTGCTCGCACCAAGATGTCTTCCAACGGGCCGCCGGAGTTCCCAATCCAGCGAAGTCGCATGGTATATCTGGCATGCCCTACCTTGGCAACCTTCAGTCGTACCCCTCAGTATTGGCAAGGTTAGCCCTTGACAAGGCATCTGCTGCTGAAACCTTCCCGTTGGAAAAGCAAGCTATGACGCTAGGATGTCTCTGCGAATGGCTCGCGACAGAATAAAAGTATTGGCAATGGAACCTCACAGCAAGCGAGCACGTTGCAGCCTACCATGAATTGGGGGGTGTCACACTGCTAGCCTGGAAAAACTAACTTCGTTGAATTAGCCCGACAATGACTCGCCCGTACTTGTTATAGTATACTTTCCTAGGGTACCCGTAGACACAGACTTCGCGTCGCGTAGAAGTTTATGCCTTGACCCTAAACTCTGCCCATACTCAGAAGCATCGACCACCGGAAAGCCGTTTCAGAATGGCTTCTCCACACCATATAAGATTGGGAGCCCTTCTAGAGCCTTTCTAGAGGCCCTTGGGTCTTGGTTTTCTTTTGTTTGGTCTTTCGTTATCCACCCATCATTCGACGACAAATCCTACCTCATGGTGACAAGGAAGCCGCTCGGTCTCTTAAGTGCATCTGTCGGTCACTGGACTCGATCAAGGCATGGCTTCCACGACTCCCGAGATAACCCCCGCCTTTAGGGCCGAAAGTCGAGCGGGCGAGGTCTACACGGTACACATCATATTCTTCGTCCTCTCGATACTGTCGGTAATTGCACGTTTGGCCGCCGCACGAGTGTCAGGACGGAAGTTTACGTGGGATGACTGGCTGGCCGCGGCAAGCCTAGTAGGTTCTTTTTTCTGCTTAGCGCCCATTGAAATTTGGCGGTTGGTCTTTCATAGTAATCAAAACCCAATGGGCGGCTAAAGAAACAGCTATTGATTCTAATTGTGTTTTTTTTTTTTCAAACAGTTCTTCATCACCGGGGTTTTTGCGGGCACGATGATGTGGCTGCGATTCGGCCTGGGTAGACATGAAATTGTGGTCCTGGAAGAGGATCCTATGAACATCGTTTACTTCTACCAAACGATTTTCGCAAACGAGATACTGTATCCATTCGGATTGGCCACCGCGCGGCTATCGCTTGTCGTGCTATACCATCGAATTTTCGGCCTATTCAATGCGCGGTACTACTTGCACGGACTCATGGCCTTCATTATGGCGTGGGCAGTGTATGCTGTATGTTCTGATTTCTACTTTGGAGTTGTCGTAATTTCCGTTCATTTTCCTTGTTCTTGAAAGAAAGGGAGTAGCATGTCTGGGTAATTGCGTACTGACTGAGTCTTAGACGTTGCCACTGATATTGGCTTGTAAGCCAGTGTCAAATTTCTGGACGACACATAAAAACTGTATCGACATCTCCAAACTTTACATTAGCATCGCCGTTGGAAGCATTGTGACCGATTTCATACTTATAATACTGCCAATGCCGTACGCAGCAAGACTAAGGATGTCATGGTATAAGAAAGTGCTGCTTCTCATGTCTTTTGTGTTTGGAGGCTTGTGAGTGTATCCCCTATGCCGTACAGTGCGCATGTCTCCCAAGACGGAATGTGATATTGATCGTAGTATAGCAACTGCTTTATCACGATAATTCGGTTGGTGAAAGTATCGACATTCGACTACAAAGACCCAACTTGGGGAACGGTGGACCTGATGATTTGGACAGGTCTAGAGGCATACTGGTGAGTTCTCGTGTCTGTTTCCAGCATTTAGAAGTATATGCAAACAAGTCTGAATAGCGCTGTGATATGTTGTTGTCTGCCAACACTTCGACCATTGCTTCATTACAGACGGTCCGGAGAGCGTTCAGGACAGAACTCGGACGAAAATGTGAAGGACAGCGAGCCCAGTACAGAAGGCACTCTCACGCAGCAAGCAACGGAAGGACATGAGTTAAACGAACAACGACCAACCTTGCACCGTTCCGGGCGGCGCACACTTGAAGAACAGTTCAAGGACTTTGACTTTGGCACGACAACACTGAACGACCTACGAAGGTACGGTAGGGCTTCGGACTTTGATGATGATTGAAATGATAATATAGAGAAAAGAAAGTAGAGCAGAGTCATACTTTCAGACCATTTAAGCATAGATAGTTCCTAATATAATAGATACCCATACCCTCCTCTTGCTGGCCACGCCGTATAATTATTGGCAACATCCTAGTATCTATCATATTGTTGGCTTTGGGTACTTGAAAGAATCAAATTTTTCTGTCTATCGTGTTGATCTGATGGATTTCAATTACTAAGGATGCAAACTTCCGTTTCCCTTAAATGCCCTCACAAGGAACCCTATAAAGTGATTAAGCGACCCTTTGAGTCAAAGGACAAAAGAATGAGTTCGTCTGTTTGCGCCCGGGCCACTCAGCACAATATTCCGTTGCTAATTGCTTCGTCGGTAAGTACGTAAGACCTCAATTGACCTGGACGAAGTCATCTATGATTGGGTTAGCATGTACAAAACAGGCTAGCCGTACATACAAACTTCACATGCGTGATAGAATACCCGAAACCTAGTAGTGGCAAAGTTTAAAAGAAAAGTGACCGGCGACTTGTTGCTCGGACTGATGATTTAGGCTCACGTCTTGTTGTTTACACTTGAAAACACCTTGTCATGGCCTCGCTTGGGAAATCTAGGTGTATATGCTGAAAGTTAATACACCTAGGCGCCGAAGGCAAGCAAACCCTTGAAATTCCGTATGCAAAACTTCGGAAATAACTCCACAAAAGCTGTCAGCACAGGACTGGACGCGGCGTCTTATGCTTCTTCGCTCGGTCATTTTGGGCATTTTGTTGATACCCTACTCCGACTTCGTTTGCAGTCAAGACAGTTCCCCCGTCCTGCGGAGAAAGACATAAGATGGTTTAATTCGAAACTACCAGAAAGACTCATCGGACAATCTCATTTGCGATGCGTCCGAGCATGCAGCCGGATCACATGGCAACCCACTGACCCCCGACGACGTCTGAGCCTGTTACCCTGCTTATTTGAACTACTAATCTTACCTACATTGGGACTTTTTACATGCCTGATGCCAGCTTTCATTGAGCCACCCAAAATCCCCAGTGAAGTTGCCCTAGAATCGTGGTGTCAGCGATGGCGTACTGGTAGGTATATTCCGGTTTGAATCCACGATGTAAGTTGCTTTTGCATTTGTACGTTTTTCCGCAAACACAAGAAAACGTGGCGTTATATGAGACAATCAAAAGTCGAACACGGGCGAAACTGCCCCAGTTCTTGTTCTGTAGTTACCCCACGAAGCAAGTCGTCGTTTCACGGGCACGGACATGGCGGCGCATTTTTCTCCATGCCGAGCAGAGACGGGGCTGAAACAACATTCGAGCAGGAAGAAATCTCCGTGTTCTAGGCCTTTCATACTACTCTACATGGTGAAACATCGAAAGTTGACTTGTTCATACTCAATCCGTTGGATCTCACGATAGGTTGTCGTGTTGTACATACTTGAAGTTTTCGCGGTGTTTTCGTAATGCCACTGACGTGAAGTGAACCTCGAAGATTTTCCATCGGAGCCTCAGTAAAAACATCTCTACGTATGGGTGAAACTCTTCTGTTTGTCAACACTGCTAGGCTTGGCAAAAGGCCTGCCAAGTATGAATCTTGAGGAGGGGGTGGCCTTGGAGCAATTTGTGTAGCATCACTCAAAATTCAAATAGGCACAGGTCAGAGAGAATGGGCCACTTTTGAAAGACTGCTGTACCACAAGGTCAACAATCTGATGTTCTCTCAACTTTTGTACAGGACGTTGACAACCAGGAAAATGCTTTGTCTACGAGTGCTGTAATTAGAGAAGCATTATACTACTCTCTTATTGTTAAGCTAACGCTTTGCTAATATGTAGTTACACCTCTCTTGGCAGAACTTATGTAGAAGCAACCAGCTTACGGCAACATAGAGGAAGCTTCTCATCTGTTATAGACATCTGGTGCCGTCACAACGACCCTATGGTAATTGACCATTTCGGTATCATTTTGGGTTGTACCAATAACTCTTCGGCCACAGCCTGCAGGTCGTCTGTCTTCGGGGGTTCAACAATATTCGCCGCCTTCCAGTAGTCGTTCAAGGTCCTTGGGTCCAGATTTCGATCCAGACGGAGAGATATCTCATCCATCCACAAAGGATCCGGGTTCACACCTTGAAAAACGACAAATAGTTCCAGTCGACAGTACCGCTGCTTTCTGTGGCCAAGAGCTGCAAGTACCTTTCTGCAGAAAAACGGGAGGCATGGATTTATTCTCCGAAGGGCAGTGTCCCGACCGCCATTCAGCTCCCAATATTCCACTACCTTGCCAAGAGCGATCCAACTGAGTTCAAGTTCTGTTTTCCAACCATTCTGGTAGGGATTGCCGTCTTCTGTCACCACGTACAAGTTGACATTATATTGGTCATCTGTCTTGATAATGCGATGAGAAGTTATCGAGTGGATTCGGAAGGCTCCAAGGTTAAAGGTTTCACTGAGGGTTCGTAAAGGGTCGGCAGCCTGATCGGGATCTGGCTCTTGGAGCGGGTACTCGCATATCTAGATTCATTAGCTTAGCTGCAACTGAGTAGTTATAATTTTGTACGTTTGACGGTACCTTATCGATGACATTATGAGCTTCTGGTTCCATGTCGCGAGAGGATACAACGCTCATGGTGTCGGTCTTGGCCTGAGTTTTGTTTTTTGCTGGATTATTCGGAACGCGGAGAGTAACCATAAGTCGCTTTGGACTATTTAAAGGCCCAGATGGAGGTCCTTGGTCTTTAAGTTGCAACATCTGCTCGTGATGGGAGTGAAATCGATTAAGTCTGGATTGGGGACCAAGAGCATGGGATGCTAAGGTTGCCTGCTTTGGGGCGTCATTAGTGTCACAGAGACAATTCATGGTATCCAGCTGATCAATGTTGGTAGGTCTCTGAGATGTAACTAAGTATGAATTAACAAGAGCGGAATATGGGTTTACAAGCATAATGGACAAACCTAGATTCGGACTAGGCAAGGTAACAGCTCCTAGAGACTGACTGAGCTTGTGTGCTACCCAGCCATTGCTCCAATGCCCTGGTGGTGTGACCATGGCGCTGCGTCCCTGATACGCATTGGTTTCTAATTCACCTGGGTCTCCGCCAGTCGTATCACCGCCCTCCTAGGGACTGATTGACCTTTCCTGGCTCTGTCGCTCACTTGCAGGATCGGAGGAACCAGGGAAAGTGGGATGGACAGCCAAACGAGCCGACGGATTCGGTAACGGTGAGGACGTTGGCGACTGAATCGGGGGTGCTGGCCTTCGAAACAAGTTTAGTTTGCGTCTTTCCCAGGCCAGCTTCTCGGCCGCCGACTGCTGGGGATCTCTGAAGGGGTTCAATGCAGCAGGGTTATCGGCGTTAAAGTTTACCCTGCTGTGGAGGAGGGCTTGCGAGAGTCGATCATGATCTTGTTCTAGTGTTTCAAGCTCGTTGAAAGTTCTCTTTGAGGATGAAGACAAAGTCCCAGAAGAATCGACAGGCTTGTTGTTGCCGCTTTCGTTTGCCATCTTGAGGAATTGGGATGTAAGAGTAGTGTTGGATAGGCGGATGAAGACTCCGTATCGCGATCAGCAGCCAAAGAAGACACGCAGGCAGTACCAAATCGGCTATGGCCAAGTACCTTAGGTATCCATCGTTTGCAGGATGTGTCAAAAGGGGGAGTGGGAATTGGGCGATACGCAGTAGAATGGATGGATTGACTTCTCATCGACTTGACTTCAAAGCCGCCTCAGCTTCGGAAATAAATGTACTGACAAGTCAAAGGAGGAACCAGATCCTCAGTTGAGTAAAACGTCCAAGACTTAAGACTGTAAAGGAGTTGAGACTTTTTGAAAACTTCGTAGTGCAGTAGTCGTTTTATGAAGAGTGATGGAGGGAGGCAAGAGCTGAAAGGAAGAAAAGGCCTGCCTGCAAGCCCTAATGGAAGGCAATAGTGGAAGTGAGAAGCACCTGTCGTGTTCAACAAAGCCACAATGGTGCTTTTGGGTGGGGTTATTGTACCCAGAAATGGCAAGTGAGAGGTCAGGCAAGATTCAGTACCTTTGGGCATCGGAATAAATCTCAATGCAGTTTATAGTGATATATACTTGAGCGAATCGCAGCCGCAATATGGGCAATAGACAATACCAAGATATGTAAAGAGGCACATCAAAAAGCGACCAAGGATCGGCTGGGAACAATTCAAGGAAGCCTACTAAGACCACCTCGAGCGACCAGGGAAAGGAACAGAAACGTTACAACAGATCTTGAATCGCACCCAATTCAAGTCCAATTACACTCAGATTAATCAGAGAATTCCATTGTTTCAAGACAAACTATAGCTGCAGCTGGTCAAATGTCGCAAGTCTAACCTTTTTGCAGGCTGGGAAGCCACTATCCAATGTAATTCCTGTAAATGGGTCCTCCTGCAACACTCAGGATGACTGAAATACAACTCAAAAGCTAAACGGCAAAAAAATCCAAAAGATAATATTTCACCTAAGTTGGTACACCAATATCTACATATCATTTTCTTAGTCTGGGAATGCCTTCACATCTTGGAAGTGGGGCCCACAAATTGGTTCGTCGTATTGGTGGTTTGGGATTTTTAAGTATTTCACAATTGGAAGGCGCTTCCGCGTCAAGCTCGTTTCTGCCTGGTTTGGAGCTCTTTTTTCGTTCCTTCCTTGGAAGCTGCAGAATAAACGAGAAGAGGCTCTAACTTGGTTGCTGGTTGAAAGAGGCAACCGAGAAAAAAATCCCTTCCCCATCTCACACTTTTCCTTCTTAGACTCTTTTTTCCCTCATCACTCCTTTCACCTCTACACACAAGTGCATCCCGGATTTTCGCCCCAAAAATCAAGCTTTCTCCAACACTCAACTATCTACAGCAAGATTCGGCGGCCATTGTCGCAGCTACAGATCTGATGAGCCCTCCTGAGCAGCAAGCGGTTGGCCCTCCGGACGGCAAAGGTAAGTTCCTCTTTCAACGACTTTTGTTGCCATTCATTTTCTCTAATCCGAGACCCCTCGGTATAATTTATTCTCGTTATCGTTTCGAGGATCTTTTGCTGACTCCTTCACTCGCCGACAGACATCGAGGCAGACACTCAGCTCATGATGGCCTCCGTCGCAGAGCTGACGAAAAACCTTTTGGATCCGAAATCCAACCGACTTCACCTCCGTTACAGCATTCATGCCTTTTTTCGAAAGTTTAGGCCCAATTATGAAAGACATAAGATACTGGACGCATTCGATCCGAGGGTCAAAGATTTCGTCAAGGAGCTATGTGTTGAAGGTGACCGAGTCCAAGAGGAGGGCCGGATGAGGCGTTTCAAACAAGAGGTTGCCGACCATTGGAACATTACTCCCGAGGATCTAACCTCCATGTTTGAAGATAACAAAAGCCGTGTGTTTTTCGAGTATTTGGCCCGCGTATCCCGCAGGTACCCTCGTGAGGAAACTGTCAAGGCCCTTGAGGAAGCTCGTATGAGTCGAAGGTCAGGAAACACTAGCTTGGGCGTTTCCGCAAGAAGACCTTGGGCTCCAGCAGACGTCAACATGGCCGAGAAGATGCTGGAAGCGTTGGAATTAGAACACAAAGGGAAGGTTGGCACCGAGAAATCGTCTGATCAACATGGTAGGAAAATAAAAGACGTGCCATTTGTTTTCCTTTGTCTGTTAGGCTAACTGGTGCATTTGACAGTTCTCGGTTCGCAAAAAGCCAAGCATCCAATGTCTCCCTCGAGCCAAGCGCCTCATCACGATGGCAAGTCATCTGACGACGAAGAGGACATGTCCAGCAGTTTCAACTGGCCTGCGAACTCCCCACGAACACCCAGTCCACAAAAGTTCCATGCGGGCGTGGACTCAGAAACAGTTGGAACGATTGCGACAGGGAATTCAATGGTACGAAGCCTACCTTCTACCTTAGCTGACATTGCTAGCACCCAAAAGGGAACTTCGCCCTTGATCCGATACTCGTCGCGGCTGCGAGCTGCTAAGCAATCTAAGCAATCTCCCTTCAAATCTGACACCCAGGAATCTCATAAAAGCACACAGGCGAAGAATCTGGGAGAGAATGAAGACCAGCTGGAACAACAAAATGTGTCTGGTCTCTTTGATCAACAACACTCAGTACGTTCTCTTTCCACTGATCCAAGTCTCAGAAAACCCCAGACTTTTATCGAGTCTCTCATGGTGAATCAGGATGAGCCCAAGCTGAGCCGAAAGCGAACAATGAGAAGTCTTTCAGTCCACGGCACGGATGATTCGGTCGAATATCCGGAAGTAGCTACAAATCGCAAGCGAAGCAAAAGGAACAGCGAGGGCCCATCTCAGCACAGACATACCTCACCGCTGGTTCTGCTTGGTACCCCGAGCCTCAAGTCTGTCAGCTCTTCCGTGGCGGGGCGGAAGAAATATGACAAGAATGGTTCTCCAAAGGTCAGTCATTAGTGAACAACTATTTTGAGCGGCCTTACTAACGCTTCCGTTAAGAACAAGCCCCAGCTACAGGACACAGCACAAGATGATGAAGTGCAGGAAGCAGATGCCCAGCCATCGAATCAGCGATTGCCAGATGTTGACGACAACTCAAAATCAAAGGAAAACCACTTGCCACACGCGATGGCTTTGAAGACTTTGGCATCTGGACACAAGCTCGACGACGATGCCATCAATACATGTCTCCACTTGCTTGTCAGAGCGACGCGAATCAGAGATTTTCAGATGATTCCCAGCCTTTTTGCTGTGCCAGGAGCCCCGCCCCAGAAGTTCATCAAAACTTCCATCTCGAAAGCACGTGTGGTCATTGTGCCTTTACACCTCACCAGAAGTGGCCATTGGGTTCTCTCCATTTTCGACACTGAAGACCGACAAGTCGGTATCATCGACTCCCTTCCTACTCGCAATGGCCATGTCGCGGAGGAGCTCAATGAACTGTTGTTGTTCATCCTAGGGGCCTACTTTGGTGATGATACAGACTGGGAGATCAGCCATTTACCAGGTCCTCTGCAAGCCAACGACATCGACTGCGGATTGTTGCTTTTGGTGAATGCTCTATACCTCCTCACCGGTCAACCTGCGCCCGAGTCAGTCAATACTGAGTTCTGGAGACGAATCTTCATGGCATTTGGTGGATCGTCTGCACAAAAGCATTTCATATTGGACAACGTCAAAAACGAGACCCTGGCAATCTCAGATGTCGCACCAGAAATGCCGTCGCCAGGCACCAGTCTATTCTCGGAGAGTTACAGAGCGGCTGCCGCATCAATGGAGGAGTACCTGAAGCGCATGAAAAGCCGTGTACGAACTGCGCACCAGCAGAAACTTTCAATTCTACAAGAACATCAGAGAGCTGCCATCGGCGCCTTGAAGGTGATTGAAAAGCTTTTTCTTAGTCTCACAGAAGCGGAAAGGTCTGCGGAGTCAGGCAACTTGGATGCTGAGATCGCGAAAAGACGCGCCGTCCTGCAGGCAATGCGTGCAGTATCACCCGATAACCATGACCCCGAAGGGTCTTCATATCAAAAGCTACAAAGCAGTATTATCAAGCAAATGGAGAGAGATCGCATTTGCATCCAGCGCTCTGTCGAAAGACTAGGTGTCGCCATGACTTATGTACGACAAGCCAGCTCATACATCTCTCAACAGCTTGAGGGTATGCAGGAAGCATCTTCTCTTGACTGATTGCTTTGCTCAATTTCACATTTAACGACTTGACTTGGTGTGTCTCAGAGGCAAATGGGCACTGACTATGGTATACTAGTTGTGCGCGTACGCCGAAATGATTGCGTTTTAATTGAATGTGGGATTAGGATAGGCATGGAAAAGTGTTGGCGGTCATACCTGTTAATGCAAAACGGGTGATTAGCTGAGCAGGCTTTGAGTGGCACAGTCTTTGTACATAAGCAAGACAGAATGAAGTTTCCATCGTACTAGAATGCATCTCTCGGAGATGAAGTTGATGATGTATGCATAATAGGTTTACGTTTCAATGACTGTTTGGCCTTGGCGCTTCCACACTCTCATCAGTCGGGGGTTCAACCTCAAAGAATGTCAAGTGACTAGGAGATCAAGGTAGACAATCACAAGGAAGCAGCTGCGGTTTGCTTTCACTTTGATGAGTTCTTGTAAAAGCGGTGAGTCTACATATTAAAACAATTTGAGATTGATAGACGAGAGTAGGAGGTCGAGTGTGAGGCGAAAATTTGCAGTCTGCTCATTGGACCCATGAGGCTTTTGCATGTGTCTCATTACAAACATGGACGACCGAAAAATGATTTCTGATTCCCCCTTCGGCTTGACGAGTCAGTCGCCGAATATAAATGGAACCAGTGGCTTACGTAGAAAAAAAACCCGAATGTCCGTGTGGCTGGAGGTGATCTTGTAGCAGTTGGTTGGAATGATTATCCTCCTCCATTCTGCGCTGCGGATACTCATGCCGACCCCCCATGCAACGTTGTTAGCGTTTTCGCTACCAAAATTCTATCGCCCACTTCGTAGGCCGCCGGAGGGTCTCTCTCTGCCAGATTTGTGGCCTCAAGAGAACTGTTGGTGTGGCATTCAGACAGGAGAACAATGGTTTTTTTTGGTTTTTTTTGGTCAATTCTGTTTTCTTTCTCCAAACTTCCAGCAGGATTTGGAATGCAACTGTTTCAGGTGAATAATCGACGCCACTTGTTGAAGTAACATACGTAATTTATTTGAAAAATACGAATGGACAGCTTTGAGGAGCAATGTCACCAGAGCTACTGCGAAGACTGCGGAACCCGATGGGGTGGCCTGGCCTCGGCCGGAGATTCGGAACTGTCCCCGGCTCGGACCCTGTCGCGTACGGACCACATCCTCTCCGGTGGTTGGTTCGATCACGACATGGCCCGCTATAAATTGAACAGGATGCCATGGACCTGGATCCGGCTGTCAGACGCAGAAACGTCGCCCTCCATTCTGTGCGCTCGCATCCAATAAGGAGACCGTCACCGAGTGCAATGGAGGAGTAACTCCGCAGGGACTAACCCATCTGCGCTTCCGGCAATTTTGACCGTTGGGAAACGTTGAACTGGGATTGGATGCCTCCATCCACACAACGCATTCGAATGGAGGAGAAAGGGAGACAACGTGCGGGGATGATGGGTCCTTTGATAGGGGGTTGAAGACTGGAGCCTCATTTCGCTAGATTGGAAATTGGAGCCGATGGCCGGGGGGGGGGGTATGGTTTTTTACACTACGAGGTAGTTAGAGGCGGCTTCTCCCTTTTCAACGGTCCAAACACGAACCTCTCCGTGGTCGCTGCGCCTGCGATCTACAAGGGTATATACGGCCCGGACTCGAGCTATTGCGGATCGAATTTCCGTGGAGAACGTCCTCGTCTCTCTTGGGGGGAAAAAGAAAAAAAAAACTTGTCACTGTAAACTTTATTGTTTTCGAGCAAGCTGGATAATCCTGCAAGTAACTACCAGTAAGTTGTTTTCTTAGCAAAGTTTCACAGGTCACAAGTCTGGGTTAGACGCGTCCGCGAGCTACCTTAGTCCGCGTTGTTGACATTCGACAGTTCCGCCACCCACAAATCCCCCCCCCCCCTCCGCTGTCCTTAATCTCCATCGCCATGTCCGCTACTCCCGACAACGAGCCCTTGCGGCAGGACGAGAGATCGCGCTGCTGGGCCACAAACGTTGAGGAAGAAGAGTCTGAGAGCCAGCCCAGCGAAGGCGGTTTCTTGGCAGGTATCACTGTTACCACTGAGATCTCCATCAGCGATGTATGTTTTCGACCCGGGACCGTCTGAAACTTCCAGTTTTGTATGGAACTGACGGGCGTTTTAACGTCGCACACCCACTTCTCGCACACCCCCACATTTCGCACACCCATAAATTGGGTCATCATGAGGTATTCATCAACTTCATAACTATAAGTCTGATTCGTCTCCTGCAACTGTGATACTATCGCCAGTTTTAATAGGTAATTCAGGCTCGCTAGATTCATCTGAGCTATCCTCAATTTCGCCAGCCTCAATTTGGGCTTTGTGAATTGCCTCAATGTTGGCAAACTTCGAATTTGGGCTCATTTGGACCTTACGCCGCTTCCGTACCATTCCAGCCTCAACTTCTGCTTCCAACATTGCAATCTTCTTCTCTGCTGTAGCCAATTGATAGTCCTTTTCATCAAATCCCTTTTGAACCTTCCGAAACAACAGTCGCTGCGTTTGCTGATCTTTATCCAACTTGCTGAATAAGCTAAGTTGATCATATAGATCAACTGTCTTCTTGGGCGTTGACCAGGCTACTATGGATGTAGCAGATGCCCAGTTTTCGTCTTTTCCACCATCAGAGGCCCTCATAGGCGTAGAATAGCCTGGCTTTGAGGGCTTGGAAGCATTCTCAAGCAGTAGAGGGCTCATGAGCGGTCGAGCTATCGAAATGGGCCATAGTCCTGTTGCTTTCCAGCCGCTTCTGATATTCTTGCTTGAAAATGCCATCTGGCGTGCTTTTCCATAGCAGGTAAGAAAGTTCCGTTTGCCTACAACTGTAGAATCGTTGTGTTGAATGAGGTATCCAAGCTCTTTTCGATAGGTCGCCTTGAGAGGCCCAAAGACTGCTTGGTCTAGAGGTTGGAGAACGTGGGATGTATGTGGCGGTAGGAAAAGGAGATATATCTTGTGTTTATAACAGAGATACATAAATTCTGTTGTTTCATGACTGCCATGACCGTCTAGGATCAATAGTCTCTGCTCAGAGGGATGATCAGGCTTAGTCAGAGGGATAAAGATGTTCTCAAGCCATTCCACAGCTGTAGAGTCTGAAGTCCAGCCATTCTCAGTTGCTGTGAACTTCCAACCACTGTAAATATCACGTTTATGGATATCAAGAGGAAACCATTGTTGTTGAACCGATTTCCCTCGATAAATAACAAGTGGAGGAAGCGCCTGACCAGTTGCAGAGACACACTCAAGCATAGTTGTCCAAGCCCGAGACCCAGGCTGTTTTTTTCGCATTGATGAGCTTTCTGATGATCCCAGTACTAAGCCATTTGATCCTCTGCCTTCTAGGATACCAGTTTCATCCATGTTATAGCGATGATGTGGTTTGATCGCCTTGATCTCTGGAAGGGCGAGTTGTTGAAACCATTGCCTGATTACATTAGTTGAGGCCCCATTGACACGCTTAGAATCGATGGCTCTAGCTCTATGAACCTTGATTGATGGATTTCTCTTAATAAAGAACTGAATCCAGTTTCTCCCAAGTGGCTGGGTAGTGCCTCTGATGTCTAGGATTCGCTGGGCAAATTCCTTGAGTTGTTGATGTGTTGGCGGCAGCCCTAACGCCGCCTGGATACGCACCCATTCAGCTAAGTGACTTTCCTGTGCTGGAGATAGCTTCTGGAAGCTAGAGAAAGCTACATTTCTTGCCTGTGAACCCTTTAATCGAGACTGGAGGGTTGATGGTGGAATTCCAGCATCATGAGCTGCCTTTCGGACACTCTGCCCACTTGCAACTGCATTGAGAGCTTGATTGACTTCTGTTTCCGTATACTGGCCCATTAAGCGTATAAGAGTAACTATTCAAAGAATTATAATAATCGCTGTAAAAGTGGTGAAGATATTAAAGAATGTTGAAGAGGGTAAAATTCTACATGAGCGATTTATGGGTGTGCGAAATGTGGGGGTGTGCGAGAAGTGGGTGTGCGACGTTAGCATGACGATGCCACTGTGACAACGACGACTATTGACGGCGCGGATGGCGCTGACGAAGCGAAGGAGGAAAACAGTTGAAGTTGGAAGGCGGAGGAGGGTTCGAAGTGAAGCTCCGCGCGGGGGTTGGCCAGCTCTTTTTGTGTTTTTTTTTTTTTTTTTTTGTGCTCATGGCATATTTGCGACGGATTGCTGGCGTTTATCGGCATCGCGACGACGACGGATTGGGTTTATTTTCCTTCTTTTTCGGTTACTTAGAACCTTGGTAATTGGCAGGCATCATACTGTCCTGAAGACTTTTGATTCTGCATCGTCGCAAGTTCGGCGCCCCCCGTGTGGCCATCCATATGACACAGACGGAAGGCTGGTGATTGTATTTGTTGTCCCAATATGTTTGAGCAAATACGTTTTGGTTTCTTTGAACAGATTCGCAACAGTTTTCCAAGTTTTAGACTGTCCTCCCTTTGGCGCGAGTCGACATCAACAAACGCTAATTGGCTACTTGAGGATCAAGTCTATGATTGCTGTCCAGACACACTAGAGCTGTCTTCTTTCACAAACGTCAGGTCATAATTGCAGCCAAAACTCTTTTGTTTATTGGTCAAGTCTACAGCTCCGGTGTCGATCCCAATAAACTTGTTTGCGCACACATTCGGCCGTGTGACTTTACTTTGTCAGGTACATTATGTATTTACCTTTGTCGGTAATGTAGACGTGAGCAGCTCCGGGCTTCCGCTTGTTTCATATTTCATTCGTTGCTACGACAGTTTAGCATTCTTCCAGAGGGCATTCGCTGTAACGGCACATATGTTTCAACTTTCATGTGTCTTTCAGTGTGGTTAACGCAGAGCTTGGTATATTACTCAACCGAATTGTAGTAAGCCCAAAACTTCAGGTAATAGCATGCCGATCCTGAGTTTCCGGGTTTGAGCATTAGTGTACGCTACAGAGGTATTTGACGATTTTATCATGCAGTACACCGCCAGTTGATTCCATCAGGCCGTTCTATATCTCTGGCGGCAGGACGGCGGAAGGGCATAAGCGAAGCAGCTTCGACAATCCAGAGATACCTGGTTTTCATCCTTAGCGTCGAGAAGGAGCACGTATCGACAAGTAGATAATTGGAGAAACGCGGATTATTGACCTTGAGTTTTGTCACTGATTCTGAGTTAGGACATAGTTAACGATGTGACAGCTGTATCTTGTATACCTTCTTCTAGGTAGTTCCGCCGCGGCGATGTTGAATATTAAGATGAATTATTATACTCTGACTTAGCCTTGAGCTATTTGTAACTGTCATTATTCATGTTTTTTTTTAAGACATGAAATACTGACTGGCCAGGTCTCCCTGAGCACTCGGTCCGAATAACGCATTCCTGTTTGAAACAGGTTGAATGACGTTACAAACTTTTGTTCTTTGATTCAAACTTTCTGTGTATAGTGCGTCTTTCCATTCTCTTGCCTGGCTTCCTCCATTGGCACAGGGCTACCATATGTCTTTATCGCTCCCGAGCTGTATAGCTCATTACCAAAATTGATTACGGGGTAATGTTTCCATGAGGCCACTGTGTCCCTTATAGATGAGAACCTGCGGCTAGCGACTGAGAATATGAATAAGGCGACATGGCCACCCACTGTTGCTCCAAACAGTCGTATGGGCTGTGCCACTGAAGTCGCATACGAGAGGGGTGACTGGGTGTTTGTCGGTAAGGAATTATTTGGTGCAACAGTCGGAAGTAAATGGACGATAGACCTGGTTTAGGAAGCGGCCTTCTTTTGAGCATACCATCACCTGAGGAGTATCTTGAAAGATTTTGTGATGCTCACAAACCCCTGGTTCCGCCCCTAGGTCCATCTCTGACCCTTGGCACTTTCCACGTCCGTGAGAAGGATGAACTCAGCCTCTGATCGCTTCCCGGAGAGACGGTGTGCGATAGTACTCGAACCTGACACCGTGGTTCCTCCGGATTTTGAGCTTCCATAGCTGGAGGAGCCTCCCACCAATTTAGCCTTTGCCGTTGACAGCGAAGGCGCCTTCGAGCGAATGGTGGAGAAGAGTTTGTAGACTGCGGGGAGAGATGCCGTGATGATGCCTGCATAGAGTTCGATAGTACTCCAGTAAGCGGCATCTACATAGTCATAAGTGATATTTTGGGAGCTCGCAAAGGTGACGAGGGTATGAAGACGGATGATACTGGCGATTGTGACGCTAAAAAAAACTTGTCAGTCTCGACTCTTATTCGAGGTTTGCTTGGTAGACTTACAAGACTCCCATAGAGATGACACCCATGACCATCAGCTTTTTCTTGAGCGGCATCTGCAACAGGTACAGCTGGTGCAGTGGCAGTATTAGGATGATGAGGTCCAGCACGATGTTGAATGCTGCACTCAGCCATCCCTGGAGGTGAATGTTGTTGCAGCGACCAAGATGGTCCTCCTCTAATTGCAACCATGCGTGATTGATCGGCCAACATTGGAAGAGTGTAGCAAAAATAAATGCAACAGCGTAGGCCAAACAGAGGCCTATAGTGACCCAGATTCCTTTACCGACGTTATTGTGCGAGAAGACACGGTGAAGGAAGAGTAAAATGGAGATCTTGTTCATGGTCTGAGCTGCAAAATAGAAAAGTTCGCCGAGAAAGTAATACTGTGACATCCTATCAGTTGCTGGCCAATAATCGGAGGATCTTGATTCGGCACTACTTACAAAGAGCACATTCTCAATGTTCTTCAGGGGTAACGTCCAAATATCTTTTCCCAGGCCATTGTCCGACACTAGCCAAAGCAGTCAGTACCAATCACTTTGAGCCTTACTGCAATAAGGAACACTAACATGTGAATGCGAAGACGGTAGGTGGAATAGTGAGGATGACGCAAGCTGTAATCGTCCAATCATCCCAGCTCAGTTCGCGTCCAGATCCAGGCATGGCAGAGCAAAGTCGGAGAACATAGACAATGAAAGCTAGTCCGAAGCCAACACCGGCGACGAGGGGTGGTTTGAGCCTTTCATCCCGCACTGGAAGACCGCACATGGTCGCAGAGCCATTCTTGGTTTCTAAGTAGTGGAGCAGCAAGTGTCAGTACTTTTCTTAAGGTATACTTGCTTGTTTGTTTTGGCGTGATGTGTATGGAAAAGTGAGGGCCCGTTCAGCAGGAGTGAGAACATACTGAGTGCATCTTCAAAATTGCAGCCTTGCTGGACGCAGGTGCTAAGCCCTGCATTAAGCTCGACGTTGGTACAGAGGCATGTAGTATCTGTAAGTTTACAGCCTGATGTTGGCACAAGCTTTGTAAGGCAGACGAGCTAATAGAAGTAAGTGAATGATCAGCAAACACCATCTCGACGCTAGTGATATAGTGAGACATGGCCGACTTACTGCACATTCTGGGTATAGCTTCTTTGCCTTGGCCAGAGCTTCTGCGGCTGTTGGTGTACTTTGCGCAGTCACATTAGAAATCATGAGAGCGGTGGCAAATGCCACCAACATCTGAGAAAAATGCATGGCGCTGAACTTGAAGATGCTCGAGCCAGCGTGATGAACTTGGCGTCACCACAGAGACACACTCTTCCTGTTTTAATATGTACGACAAAAAGCGCAACCTGTCGAAAAATAGGAAAAAGCGTGCTTGAAGACTTTTAAATCCCCTGTCATACTTTTTGTTTATGGGCTCGTTAATCATCTCGTCGATGCAACATGAGTTTTGTCGTCCCGGGGTGCTGGGCTCATGGCACCATCTTCAAATCCCTATACTCTCTCCTTGCCCAGACAAACGAGTCATTCTACATCCGTCTACTTATCCATGATCTGCTTAGATCGTCATCCGGCCCATGAGCTAGGCAGCTTCAGATAGCCCCGCCCGGCAGATGAGAGAACTTGACGCTCTAGCATGTTGAAGAGCATGGCACGGAAGACGGCACCCAGCAGTCTGGGTCGACAGGTTGGCGGCGGAAGATGCCGTTTAACACTCTGTATAGTATGGTAAGGCACGTTCTTGGGCGGCTAGACCGCCATGGAAGATGATCCACGTGGACCAGGATATGCCCGGCAGTTGGGAAAATAAGGACTCAGCGGGCATAGATTTATTTTCCCGACTTTCCCATTCGGGGGCGAGCTACAGGGTTACAAAAGTCACAAGATTCCTATACCGGCCAATGAGCCCCTGCTAGATCATGAAGGGAGCTCAAATTGTGTGGTGTTCTCATGCCAGTAAGAGTGGGATCGCCGGTCGTCTCCACTGGGATCATCCCCGCCTCAGCGAGAACGCAAATTTTGGTGTGCTGTCACTTTATCAACACCATCAAGTTATAAATCTTCCTATATTGATACTATCAACTTAGCATCGAGTCGTTTAGGATGGCTCAACAGCACCCGAGTTTTAATGCATTCTTACAATTGGATTTGTAGTAACGTCTCTCGAACACGCAAAAGTCGCGCGATGGACTGAGGTGTGCACACAGCGGACACATGAATCGCACCCTAAGCGTGAACCCACGGCTTCGGGCCCTACTCGGAAGTTTTTAGCAAGGGTTGATGCACGTCCTCATTACGAATTCGATCCTTGTTCATGAGGGTATGCAGACTTCGCCTAACGCCATGTCATAAGTGGAAAAGAACTAGGCAGATCAGGAGTTGCTACATCAATCTGCGAATGAAAGTCTGTGGCTGCCGTAAGATTGAGAACTGCTTCCTGGTGGATATTTGGCTGACATTATCGAGCAAGGTTACCGCCAGCCGTACTTAACATTCACTCCAATACCATTCGCCTGAATCTTGGTGTTTGCATCAAACCTACCATCCCACAGCCTTTCGGCGTTCGTCACTCTTTTATGTTCGTAATTTTCTAGACTTCTAAACTTATTGTTTATTTTCAAAGCTTTCTTTTCAGTTGTAGTGGATATACATATTGCTGCTATGAAGTTTCTAACGCCGGCTCTGGCGCTTTTCGCGGCTGCGAATGCAGCGTGAGTTTCCTCATCCACGTACATCCCCCATCAGCGATGTGGTCTTAACACGTTTTAAAACGACAGATTCGACCAACCTCTTGGCCCAACCCTCAATGCTACAGGCCCCGTGGCCAATTCTACCTATGACTATGTGGTCGTTGGCTCAGGCCCTGGCGGCGCGCCTCTTGCCGCTCGTCTAGCCATGGAAGGCTACAGCGTTCTTCTTGTCGAAGCAGGAGAAGATAGAGGACAAGATCCAGCGGTCCAAGTGCCAGCTTTACACGTCCTGGCGTCTCAGCACGAGCCGATCGCCTGGGACTACTTTGTTAACCACTACTCTGATCCCGAACAGGCCAAGAGGGATAGCAAGATGTCTTACCGAAAGCCAGATGGGGAAGTTTATGTTGGCCTTAACCCTCCTGCAGGATCTGAGCCTTTGGGTATCCTATACCCGCGTGTGGGAGCTCTTGGCGGCTGCTCTCAGGTAAGACTTATCAGTACTTGAACATTTGTGGAGAATAACTCACAACTTTTGTCTTAGCACAACGCTCTTGTAACGATACTGCCCCAAGATAGCGATTGGAACAACATTGCGGCCATGACCGGCGACAGCTCATGGGAGGCCTCCAAGATGAGGGAGTATTACAAAAAGCTTGAAAAGTGCCATTATCTCCCTGGTGGTCTCGATAGCAGCGTACACGGATACGATGGATGGCTGGAGACGCAGACCACCCCTGCCGTTCTGATTGTACAAGACCCGAAGGTGCTTTCTCTTGTTCTCGCTGCTGCTACCACCATGGGAAAGTCCCTTCTAGGCAAGGTTGTCAGCACTGTTACCGGACTTCTTGAAATCCTTGCTCTCGATGTCAACAACGATTCGCCTAGCCGTGATGCTGGCGAAGACATCTATCAAATCCCGCTTTCCATGAAGGACCCTTCCTTCACGCGCTCGTCCCCTCGAGACTTTATCTTTGATGTCGCAACGGCCACAAACGACGATGGGTCCAGGAAGTACAAGTTGGACGTGGCACTGAATACTCTTGTGACCAAGATCAATTTTGACGAGACAGGAGCTAAGCCCAAGGCAACTGGCGTTGAATACCTAGTCGGAAAGAGCCTCTACCGAGCCGATCCCCGTGCCACCAAGGAAGACGGCGGTATTCCCGGTCGTGTGTTTGCCAGCAGAGAAGTAATCGTCTCTGCTGGTGCGTTCAATACTCCTCAACTCCTCAAGCTAAGTGGTATTGGTCCAGCCTCAGAGCTTCAATCTTTCGACATTCCAGTGGTCAAAGACCTTCCCGGTGTTGGTGGCAATATGCAAGATCGTTACGAGGTCGGCATCGTGGGTAAGGCACCAACCGACTTCACCTTGCTTAAGAAGTGCACCTTCTTGGACATGAATGGCACCCATGATGGGCAGGATCCGTGCTTTGATCAATGGCAGGACGGCATCGGTGGTCTCAAGGGTGGCTACACAACCAATGGTATCGCATTCGGCTACTTTAAGCACTCCTCAGTAGCAGAGAACGGCAACCCGGACCTCTTCCTTGGCGGCGTGCCAGCGTACTTCTCCGGCTACTTCCCCAACTATGCAGAGCATGCGCTGGCTGACCTGAGCGTCTGGACGTGGCTGACACTCAAGGGCCACAGTCGTAACAACGCCGGTGTTGTCAATCTCACAAGCGCCAACCCACGAGACACCCCCAATATCACCTTTCACAGTCTATTTGAGGGTGTCGGTGGCGAAGAGGACCTCCAAGCCGTATATGAGGGTATGAAGTATGGTATTGAGGCCTTTGAGAATTTGATTCCGCTCGACGGTGCCTTTGAGCGTATCTGGCCTCCCAAGGAAATCTCCTCCGAGGCTGACCTTAAGCGCTTTGCCCAGGACGAAGCCTGGGGTCATCATGCCAGCTGTACCTGTCCAATTGGAGCAGATGATGACGATCTCGCTGTTCTTGACTCTAACTTCAAGGTGCGCGGAGTTGATGGACTGAGAGTCGTAGATGCCTCTATTTTCAACAAGATTCCCGGGTTCTACATCATGTTGTCTATCTTGATGGCAAGCGAGAAAGCGGCAGACGTAATTATCGCAGAGGCACAGAATGCGTAATTCAACCTTCAAGATACCATATGTATTTAGATTATGGTTGATTTGTTATATATACTCCGCATACTTAGCAACAAAGTCTTTGTGACCCACAGAGAGATATAGGTATACTGTGTTCTCGCCGTAACCAACATTATAGGACCGTTAACGTCAGCATCATATAGAGAATATAAGAATGCTTGTAAACCGACATGATAGTAAAAACACGTCGTAAATGAGGATCGGCTATGACTTCTGCGCGTGGCATCCGTATTGGTTTCTCTGCTCATGAGCACATTTCATCACCGGGACCCAAGCACCCACCTGATGTAACATGTTTGCCTCAAAAAGCTCAGAGGCCCCATCAACCAGCGCACATCACTAGCGCGCATGATGTAAATCTCATTTTGCATCTTGGCAGTCTAGGCTTGAAGAAGAGCTAACCAATTTTGCAATCTACAAGCAAGTGGTATCCATCTACTGTCCTATTCAAGCTCCTGTTGCAAGTACCTTGAACAATCTTGTGTGGTGGGTGGTGAAAAACAGAGCTTATTCTCTTAAGTCAATATTAGTACGACCAACGTGGCTGGTGGACATTAACTATATCACGAATGGGTCTTAGTTGCCCCGCAAGCTTGAAGAAACAACCTTTTGATTATGGGAAGATGAAATTGCAGACAGTGGGGAGAAGAAGAAACACGGGCAGATTTACTTATTACAGGACGTCTCTATTAACTTCTAGCCAAGGTTTCTTTTATCTATTACCTCAACAGCCCTTATCGGAGTACTTGAAAGGACACTGATTGATTACGTCCTCAGGTGCCCCGGCAACAGCTTTAGCCGCTGTGAGATCGTACAGGTTGCAAACTGATACAGAACCTGAACCTCGGTCTTCTTTTCCGAAAGACCAGGCTAACGATTGTTCAGTAAATCTCAAGTTTTGTAGCTTTGATAAGAAATCTGCCAACTCACATTTGCAATTGGGATCATCTTCGCAGAGCGCTCGCACGTAGTCAACGCCAGAGCAACCGACTTGTTGTTCGAGCGTGCTCTCATTTTGTTGTCCGCAAAGATTGCATTGTACAGCTGCCGTGGCTGTGCTTGCGATTGAGGTTCTGGTAGTTGTTGTGACGCCGCCGTTGTTGGGGTGGACGCTTGCTTGTGTTGTGGGACTGGCCGGTTGAGTTGACATGGATAATATCTGTCGCGAGCAAGCTGCCGCAGCTTGACGCCTCTGAGCCGCGGACCAAGAAGATCGTTTTAGTCGTCTAAGTGTACTGCAGTCCGGGTAGTATCCATTCCATGCAATATCTGGGTGCATAAAAGTTGTTCCACGCGGGTGCGAGTAGGTCTTTATCAACTCCTGCATGTTCTTGGCGACACTGCCCTTCTTGAACTCATCAGAAAATTCCGGATTGGACATGAGGTACGCTGCAAGCCCAGCTATTTGGGGGGCGGCATATGAGGTTCCGCTGTCAGTGTAAAGCCCTGTCAAAGATTCATAGTCGGCGCACTGAATATCTTCACCGACCGCCCAAGTGGATAGTAGATCTCCCCGCTGACTGAAACTAGTCATCCTCCCATCAAGTGTAGCAGCGCCTACCACGATGATAGACGGCAGGTATTTGGCAAGAACAGATGGAAGGGTATTAGGTGTGACAGAGCCTCCCTTCTTGTCAGCATCGTTACCTGCTGAGCAGACGATAGGGACATCCGCAGCGAGGATTGACCTCAAAACCTTGAGTAGATCTGTTGCCAGCTGCTTGTTGTACTCGGGCTTCTTTGTTGGGTAAGTCACGATCGATGTAGTAACGACAGCCTTTCCATGAAGTCCCTTCTTCTCAATATCATTTCGAATAGTCTGCCAAGCCTTTACGAGATCAAATTCGCCTGGCGTGGTATCCATGCGCACCGTGATAAGGTTGGCTCGTTTGGCCACACCCACCGTTTTGCCAACAATTTTGGAAATGACACAAGTTCCGTGATTCGAATCGGGAGTAAAAGCGTACGGGTGGTTCATCACATTGATGTTTTCACGCGTAACGGTTGGATCGGGGGCCTTCAGCTCTGAATGCTCGAAGCCAAATGGCCCGGTGTCAAGTGCGTAGATAGTGATTCCTTTCCCAGCGGTATCATCATACGCATAGAAGTCCGAAAGAGTGCCTTGCGGCGGCGTCGAAAGCATACGTAGGTCGATTATTGGATTGCCTGACTCTTGGTCCTGTTTTACGTCTGCTCTTCTTTGTTTGGCGGCGCCGGCATCCGGATCCGTAATATCAACCTGCTCATCGGGTGCAGCTTTGTCCACAACGCGGTCTGCCCTGACTTTGTCAAGCTGAGCCGTAGTAAGAGGAGTACGCCAGAGATAGGGTATATTCTTCTCATCCAAGATAGACTCAATACTATCCTTATTCCCGACTACGCCCACAAGGGTGTTGTAGAAACCATCGGCATCTTGTTTCGAAGTACCCTCCTTGGCCCAGATGTTGTACTTTGGAGGCCCTGTGCTGGTGGGAGTTGCAGACAACGTAGCCGATGTCGCCTCTATACTCGATGTTGTGGCACTGGCTTGTGACGTTGGTAGAGTATCTCCATCATCGGGATCCGTTGACTTTTCAGGGTCTGGAGGATCGTCGTTGGAACTGCTTTCGCCAGACCCGGACACGGCCGATGTGCCAGCTGCTAATGGAGTGGTCAAACCGTTGGTAATAAAGGATCCGCCTCCAGGCCCAGCAACAACCAAAACGCCAACAGGAACGATGATTGTTTCGCCATTGCTTACAGTGACGGTTGAAGCAGGGGCGGAAGAAGTACCAGATGCTGATATGGGTGTCGTTACAGAAACTACCAGATTAGTTGTGGAATGATGCGACGTATGCGCTCTAGAGAGAGTATGGTTCGAGAAACCAGAGATCGAGGGCCTTAGTGAAAGTGACCGCTGAGCGAAGCACAGTGAAACGAAAGTGAACAAAAGAGTGACGAAACGAATGAACGTCATGATGACGGTAAGGAGCGACAATTGCAAAAAGCAATTCAAGTGACGATGGTTGTGAACTTGGCAAGTAAGGCTGAGTTATAGTGTCAGCACACTAAATTGCGACGCTCTCACATCAGTGATTGTCTAAGGTTGATTGCAGACGACATGATAAATCAAGACGCCGATCGCGTATAACATAGAGATTGCCGACCATGATCTGCGTGTTTTAATATAGAGAACTATGAGCGAAAAGTTAGTTAGCTGTATCGGCTACGGCAAAGCGCTTGCTCAAAAACAGTGGCGAGTAAGTAACTTCTACGAGGACAATGACTCAACTAAATTGTGCCTGGGAGATGGATATAAGCCACAAAATGGACCTTTGTCGATCTTTTATGCGTTGGTGGCGCGAAAGGACTGTGCATGACAGGGACCAAAGCAATTAACATGTTGCATAACCCCTGCCACTTAAACGACGGATTATTACATGCCACCCTTCGAAGAAAATCTGGTCCCCAGATAAAAAGAGTTATTAATAGTCTTAGATGTTAAGGATAAGAGCCCTTATTTGATTCGTGTAACGATAAATCGTCAGGTACTTTGACTTCAATGACCATGGGATGCTATGCTGGACATGGATACGTAGACTATGCTTGAACGCGTGGTCTGCACGTTTTTTCTGTGGTATGTGCAGCGTAGCAACATCCCGCTTAACCGGATCCGAGCATCCGGCAAAGCAGATGAACCGGAGGCGCCGGTGACATTGAATGAGACGCCGCAACGTGCAGGAAGAAGATGTGCTGTTGTAATGGGTGTGGGGTGACCGTCACATGGCAGGCCTTTCAACCTCGAGTTAACAAAAATAGGAAACTCCAATCTAACTCAGGGATCGAAGGAAGACACATATTGATTAACTATAGAATTAGGATTGATAGACAACGGTAAATAGTTGCACATCTGTATAGCTTTTGCTGAGGGCAGACTAATGTGCTCCATACAAAAGGTTTGCTGCTGCTCTGTTTGTCTTTTTGCAAAGTCTTGGAGCAGCGTGGAATGATACTTGATGCTAATTGCGCCTTCTTGAAACCTTATCGGTCTCTAGCGAAACCCATCAAATGAGACATCACTACGCAAAAGGCACTCTGAGTGGGAAAGTATATGATGCAGATGAGGATCACGGCAGCTGATGAACTCACTTACAAGATACCAGGACAAAGAACTTGTGTCGAACTTCGCAAATCACCGCTGTTTCTTACTCAAGTAACACAGAAAGCAGTAGGATGTGAAACTAATGTATTAGTCGTTTAGAATTACCATATTACTTGCTGCTGGGTAACAATAATGCTATTTTGTAGTCAATAGTCGATGCGCATGCTTCATCTTATGTTTCCTCTGTCCAACCGTATCGATGGTTGATTACCCTGGTTTTGTTCTTCAAGGTTGCCTTGTCTATGTTTTGGGTCGCCTTTAGAGCCCTTTTGAGCTGTCCCAAGATCCGTAAAACACGGATCGGAACCCCCAGAGAAGCGTACCCACATCCGACTTGCCTCGTTCTCGAGATTGTTTAGCTCTGGATGCGGTCTGCGGCCCTGGGTAACATCCATTGTCATCTCCGCTCTCATCCCCTGGTTTCCAGGCTGCTGTAGGCCGAAAAACATCAGTGGCAATACGCTTCCCTTCCATACAGGCTGCTCCGGCTCGTGATAGTTCTTGAGCAGTATCCACACCAGGATGGCGCAACAGATGAAGGTCAGAAGCACTGGAAAAGCGATCCACTGCTTGTCAAAGTATATACACATGCTACTCTCGTAGACAACACCGAGCGCATGTGCATCTTTAAGAAAAGCATCGGGCCCGCTGCCAGTCGAACGCAGCTTGTTCGTCACCGCAGTAGCAAAATCGTTAATAGCCGTCTCAACGGTCCCAAATGTGGCGTTCTTCTGGATCCATAAGGGGCTTAGCCACCAGCTCTCGCCACAGTTGATACGACCCGACTGCATATTGTCATATCTGCACTCTCCGGTGAACAGAGTGTAGGACATAAAGTAAGACATGGCGGACGCAAATTGGCCTCCCATCTTGTATAGGCAGGCATTAGGCACAGTGGCATTAGAGCCATCAGACAAGGTAATGTTGGCCCAAGTTCTGCCCGGTACTTGCTGGGCGCGAGACATATTCTTCTCTGTGTACCAAGTCCCGTTATCTAGCAAGCAAGGCTCGCGTATAGCAGTATAGTTCTCAGCCCCGGTAAAGATATATCCCCCTGTTGTCTCAATGGTGTTGAGTTTGGTTGGCTTTTCAGCCACAACCTTCTCGATGAGCTTTGATCCGTTTACCAGGCCAGAGTACTCCTTCATACACGGATATAGCGTGCAGCTTGCGGCTATGTAGTCCGCTTCGCCGCCATAGCTGGTTCCCTGTCGTGTGGCGTTGTGAGGACATACAAGAGTTCCCTCCGTCAAGTTACCTGAGCACGGGCTGGTAGACACAGCGAGAACGGTGAAGTTGCTGATTGCTGATGCAGCAGCCTCGGCGAATTCGGGTGAGAACTTCTCCGTTGCCCATGTGAGATTACTATAACCAACCCACATCCATGGTTGGTTGCCGCCAAAGTTGATATAGCTTCCAGAGTCGGGTAGTGTCAGGTTCCCTCCGTCATCAGGACCGGACACAAAGTCGGTGGTATCGAGACACTTGCTGCAAAGTCCAATACTAGCATGTGTAACACCCGTCCCTTGGTCTGGAAATGTACAGTTGCCGGAAGGGCAATGGTAAGAGACGGCGCTGTCTTTCCCGCTAGGAAAAGTGAGAGCCTGAATCATGGCAGCCTTCATGTCAACCTCTATATCCCATCGACCAGCGCCGAGGCGGTAGTACGAAGTCGATCCTGGGACCCTGTACGCGACTGGTATGCTCGCGTTGTCGGTAGATAGGAGCGAGGGGCATGAACCCGTCTTGACAGCTTGCTGAGCAAACGGACCGACAGCCAAGCTTGCAATTGTAGCCACAGAAGCAGCCACCACTAGCAGTGCGGAACTGGTGAGGCCCCTGGTCCAAATGACCACTCCCAACAGCTTAATAGAGCCTAGCACAGATCGAGATGCGGATTCGAAATCTTGCAGATGGTGCAGCGGCCGAGTACGCTCCGTAAACCAAGTCCATTTGATCTGGCCTATGATCTCAGCCAAAAGTGCAAGCATAGCTGCGCGCAAGACGGTTGCGAGGAAGTTGATGGCTGTACTGAGATTTATGCCGAACGGCCACTCAGGCTGATAGCGACCGTCATAATAGGCAAGCAATGCGATAATTGCGCCTAGGAGGAAAATTGCAACAGCAATGGTCAAAAGCTCCCATCGCCAGTAGCTAAGGATATGTCGATGGTGACGAATAGGCCGTGGCGGTAATTGAGGCTCCTGATGTTTTCCATTGAAGCCGTTTGCCGCCGAAGGAGGTTCATTGAAGTCGAATTGAAAGTCGGCAAATCGCGAGGTCGTCGTATTCTCGCGACTCTGATTGGTGTCAATGTTATTGCCTGCCATTGAGATCGCGGACGGTGACCTTGTTCCCACCTCTTGTTTGGCTTGGATCCTCCTGGTGGAATTGTCCTCAGAGTTTTGGGATGGCGCAGGTGACATTTCAAAGTTGTTCTTGGCGGTACTGCCGGGCGGGTCATTCATCAGACTACCGTGTCTACCATCGCGACCGCGCTGGTCCACTGGTAATTGTTGCTGGTTAACGGAAGAGCCTGGGTGCATGACTCGTTCGTCGTTTATCCAAACTCCCAGCCAGAGTTCTTGGCGCGATATCCCGTACTTGACCTGCTTTTAAGCTTTAGGCTTGCTTCTTGGATTCGTTTTGTAAAGGTGGACATTGTGGAAAAGGGGTAAGACAAAAGCAGCACGTTGAGAATTGGGATATCGATCATCCTCGCGATATTGTAGTGGAGCTCTTACGACCAAATAGGAACCACAACTAACAACAAAGCCAACACAAGCGAGTCATGTTCTCCAGCTGATGAGGCCGCAGTTAGCCTTAGGAACTTTTATGGGCCTTAGGGCAGACACAGGGATCTGGAGCCACCACCTCTGGCCACTGAGAATGGAGGCCAGAACTGGGGTGTACGTGGTGAGAACATGCGAGTCAAGGAGTCCCGGTCGCCTGTTAGTAATCAGTTCGGCTCCGGACGGACACTTTGCCAAGAGCTTTTGGTCGGGCTTAACATTGTACGATATTACAGTGTACCCAATAGATGAACAATACAGTAGGGTTCACTTACATAGTACTGCCTCACTCCAAAGGAAAAGGCAAGTAAACTTCGGCATATACACGAAGGCTCGGATCCCATTGGCAGAAGCGTCTATAGCGTCAAGTCTGCCCCAGTGTTCCCGTTCACCACCGCTATCAAACTTCGGACGATCTTCGTTTTGATCGTGCCAGAATCTCATGTAGATTTGCTGGATCAATCCGTAGCTAAATTTGAAGGTCTTTAATATACTGCAGCTGTCGATCCATTACTGCGCCATTACTGGGCTACGTGACTAGTGTAGAGAGTACGAGACGGAGACGACGGACAAAATCCTTTGATGGATATAAATGCGAGTTCATGGTCACGGCTAGTCTCAAAAGTTTTCTTGCTCTCTACTAGCAGTTTCACCGTTTGTCCACGATGCCACAGTCATTCACTCACTTCGGTACGCTCTTTTCACTAGTCTTGGCATCATGTCACGGAGTTCTAAGTCATGGCTCTTCCTCCCAGGACATCCGCTCCTTGGAACGAACATGGCACATGGCTCACAAACGAGCTTTGGACGGCTTCTACGTCATTGATCAACAAGAAGGCAGCGAGTGGGGTTGCACGGAGGAGAAAATCAAGGGAATAGATAACAGTATAAAGGATGCCCAAGCTTTGGCTTTCATGGCATCTACTGTGCTCGCAGAGAACGAGGCGGAGTTTTCTGACGCGTACCTCTTCTGGTTTGGTGGTATGTTGCCTATGAAATTGAAACAGTGAGTCTGAAGGGCTGACACGACAACACAGAGACAAACGCCAAGGCAAGCACAAGAAGTGCGATAAAAAGACTTCACTACGATCCTGTGAATGACATAGTTAAAGCAGCAGGGTCACGGAACCGGGTTGCTGACATGCTTATGGACAATCTCAGCCCCACGGGACTCACGTATATGTGCGCTGCTGGAGACAGCGATATTTGCGCCGGCGGCATGGCCGCTGCAGCTCACCAACACGGTGCCGGAGGTCTTTCAGGCCATTCCATCGTGTTCTGTGACCGGTTTTTCACCGCCAACTCACAACAGGACATGTTGAGGAAGTGGCAGAACACAAGAACGCTGAGTGCTTCATCGGGGTTTTGGCTACTACATGAGGTGCAACATCTGAGTGCCATCGTCAGTGATTCAGCGCGATGCATCGATGTTCCAGACCCGAATCGATCCGATGGTAGTGGGTGCTACGACCCGGGTTGGTAAGTGCTATCTCTCTCTCAGTCATTCAATCTGGCTTTTGTAGAATACTTTGCTAACACACAAGCAGCTGTTCGACGTTGAAAGATAGTGACAAAATTCGAAATGCTCAAAACATGGCTTTCTTCGCTTTGGAAGTCATGGCGGATCCTGAGCGTGGTGCAGCACCAGGTCAGTCATGCACCATCATGAAAAGAGACTCACATAACGTCTTCTCAAGAGGACAATACAACGATATGGCCGAGAGCCACTACGATTTGCGTAACGAACTTGAAAGTCTGCTTCGCAGGCAGGCAAAGTCATCGTCCGCCAGACAGTCACTATCTAGAACAAACAACACAATGTCAAGCGTGCCAAGAGCCCGATCAACCCTGTCGACCTCATCCGGCTCAAGAAGGCCTAGCAATCCCGCGTCGTCTTCTGGACCTAAAAGACAGGCTACATCCTCATCTGCTCCGAAGGACACTACTTCAGGACCTTCAAGACCTCGTCCCACAAACAGTGGTCCCAGGTTCACCACTCTCCCACCTGTATCTGTGAGCTCCGCATCTGGGGCTTCATTTTCAATGGCATATTCAACAGCTTCAACCAGAGACAGCAACGGAGTTCCAATTGTACCGATTGTCCCAGTTCCTATTCCAGTCGCGCCGGTTGCGCCGGTACCTCCAGTTGTGCCACCCGGAGGTGGAGGGAACGGCGGCGGAAATGGTGGTGATAAAGGCAACGAGAACAAAGACCCCAAGTCAGGGCAACCGTCTTCTCCGCCATCATCCCCCGCACCTTCTCGGACATCCACCCCGACATCGTTACCAGTCAGCCTCAGCGAGTCATCAGCAGCTCCCTGTTCATCAAGACCACCTCTCGCAGTTCCCTCCGGGGGCGGTGCCTCTCCAGACCGGGATGGGTTTCCTCAGGCAGTCTACGACCAACTTGCTGCTGAAGCCAAGTCGACAAAAGTCGCACCCTCTTCTACTTTCCGCACCTCAACATCTGGCCTGAAAACCATTGTCCCTTCAGCCACGCCTTCCGCTGTGGTTAATCCTGTTGCTTGTTACAATTTTGATATCAATGCCTACGGATACTGCTGTCCTGGGCCAGGGAACCCATGCGAGAAGGATATAGGTAAATGCTATTTTAATGGACAGGGAGTTTCTGGTGGAAGTAGCGGTGTTGTGCCTGATGGTGCGAGATGCCCACCTCCGGAGGGTGCTGAATATTGCAGAGGACCTTGCGAAGAGTAGTAGGAAAAATTGAGATGCATGATTCGAGTTTGGAATTTTAAGGTTAAGCAATGACTCGAAGTAAAACATAAACCTATAAGATGTTTTGTTAATAGGCCGAGACCTGGACAACCTTGAATGCACACCCTGATGATGATCACATCATCCAAAATAAGTAAGACAAAGTGAATTTCAGACAAAGGATAGAACGAGAGGGACTTCGGATGCCTCACAATCGTGTATAAAAGGACACCACTAGGCAAAGAACCAACCTTTACTCGTACCTCGTTTTCCTCCTGCAACTTTAAATGAGAACACAAGCTTGCGGGAGCCGAGGGATATGAGTGGATATGATTGGCTGAGAGCTGGAGTTGCTCCAGCCACAACCTTGCCACAGCTGTGCCACAGAAAAGCCCACTATTATTGGTCAGTCAAGGTGGCTGCAAATCCCCGCGGAATGCACCCAAATTGCAAACTCACTGTTCCTTCACCAGTTGACCCCCTTTAATGGTGAACTTGATGAAAGACAACGTCTCAACCTCCAAGCTAAGCAACCATTGAATCCTTTAACGGCTACTGATTGGCCTCTGGGACAATACTTCCTTTCGCTCAGCGGCATCATCTCTCGAAGAGTTCAAGACGTGACCCCATGCGATGGTAACATTTTCCAGTCTCCCTCCGGAGCTCATCATCGGGATATGCTCCCACCTGCAGACCGAACATGTCTTACAAGACGTGTTTGCTCTCGCTGAGACGGATGAGATTATAAAATACATTTTACAGCAGCCTTGGAGGGATGTTTTCCACTTTTCACTCGCCAACCACAGGCTTCGCGGCATCATTCAGCCTTTGCTTTACCGGAGGATCAGTGTCCACGGAGTTTTTGCAATCACGAAACTAATTGCCCTGTTGCGCTTCGTCACTCAAAGGCCAGATATTGCCGCCAACATTAAACAACTCTATCTTAATCTCGAGCCACAACTAACCGGTATCACATCCATAACGTCACGCGACATTGATTTCATACGTCAGGCTTCTGCTTCTGCAAACATACCATTCTCCGAGTCCCTTTGGGAGGAAAGCTCGGTAAAAGAGTTTGACTGGGACGACTACGACACACCTTACAGCCGCTATGTTCAGCGTCGTTGCCGCAATGAATGTGGGCGCCTAGGAATCCTCCTCATGCTTTTGCTTCACCCCATGAAACAGCTCAAAGAGTTAGGGTTGACACAAACCCGAGATATCTTCCGCATATTGAGAAAAGAGCTCGAGCAACAAGACGATGAGAATGAAGAATCTGAAGATATGGAAAGCGACTATGCTAGTAGCGAGGAATGGGGTGCCGAGCAGCCCAGCGGTATGCCGACCTTCCCAAGTCTCAACTCGCTCAGTGCAAGAATCTCGGATATAATGTGGCTCGCTGGCGAAGACATCGGAACACTTCTCATGATTTCACCCAATGTCACGCGTCTCCGTCTCGAGTGTGGAGACATGATTGCCTTTCACAGCTTTCTCGCCCGGGGGCTCCAGCACGTCACAGATTTGACACTCAACGGCCTCCCGATGCTTGATGGTGAGTTTGAGAAGATTATTGGCAGCTGCCAAGCTCTTTTGTCCTTTAAATATATCGCAAAGGACCTTGGTCAGGACAACTTCGGCCTCGACCTCAAGTCTGCTGTCGAAGCCCTAAAAAGTCATGGAGACACATTGCGCACACTCTGTCTGGAGCTCTCCAAGAGTCCGGCTTCTGATGATGTGACAATCCCCGACACATTTTCGGATTTCATCGTCCTTGAGAACTTGTGGATCGACGCAAGCTTCTGGGTGGACACCATCTTCGACGATGAAGGATACGAAGATTTAGGAAACGACATTATGTCAATGCTTTTGTCACTTCCGAAGTCACTGAAACGCCTACGATTGGGTGGAGAAATTTGGCATAAAAAACTCGTGGAATTCATAGGTAACAACCACAACATTCTTCCCAATCTCCTGACTGTTGATGTTGGTTGGAGGGACGCTGCTGAGGCATACGGATTGGGTGATTTGTCGGATGAGGAGCTGTCAGAAGGACATCTTACCGCTTTGATCACAGAGCTGTGGCCAGGCTCATCTTTGATTGGGGATTAAGCCTTTTTGATATATTTTTCATTGATTCATTGCCAGCCACGGCTGAATTTACAATTTCATGTTGGGTCTGAGAGCCGCTGATGAATAGCTTGGTCCGGTTCACCCCGTGCAACAGCGTGGTATTTATATATACAACTGCTAGACCTCTAGAAATGGTAGAAAGTGATCGTGGCTCATGATATTATGTGACAGTTTATCATTACCTCAAAAGCAACGCATCACCCGCATATGTGATTAAGTAGTTAAAGTTAACACGGCAAGGCAGAAATTTCTACTAGACAGCCAAATAGCGGGAGAAGGTTCAAGTCGCCAAGTCTAGCTACCTATCTAGTTTGAAACTCTGTATCCATCAGGGATCATTCAAGCAGACTTCATTTTCTGTTTTCGGAAGTGGTGTGTGTTTAGTTTCACGGAGGCCTATAATGATATTTCGTTCTTTACAAAGATTTCAATTCTGTTTAAGACTGCGTGCAGCAGTTGTTTGATTTGTTTATCTAGACTTTGAAGACTCTCCTAGACAGACTATATCCGCGATGAGATTAGAAGAATCTGTTCCTGCACTGTTTGTTTTCTCAAAATGTCTTCTGTTAAAACATCCAAGCCTTTCCGCCTATATGCGTCCGCTAGAGCAGCCGCGGATACAGGATTGCCCCAAACTTCTAGAAAGGATGCGTTCGTTTCCTTCAGCTCGCCGAACATGTCGAAATTCACGTCCAGAACCTTCATCCATACCTCCCTGACGAGTTGCTCGGCTCGTGCATCTCTTGTATCAACCGGTTGTTGACTCTCTACCCTATCGAAACCCGTATATTTGTAGATGACTGGCAGCAAAGGAGGTGATTTCCTATCAGTTAACGTGATGCGGTGATCAGTACACCGTGTAACTAGCTCCAAATACCGCTCAAATGTTTGTAACATTACGCCTGCCACTTCCCGAGGCAAGTTCTTCTCTGCAAACGCCATCATTAGCCGCGTCTGCTCGCCAAATGGTTCCACGTGGATTATCACGTCCGCCCGATCTCCTGGATCCATGATCTCTGTGAACTTGAACCCGGGGGTTTCCTGCTTGCCATTTTCGTCTGATGAGTGTTTTTCTGGCGCTGTCTCGATATCCAACCCTTGGAATACCAAAAGCGACGAGAAACGTGTCCACCGCCTCCATGACGTGCACTTTTCCACTATCGTATTGGCTCCGATATTCTCGAATCGCATCGACGCGATGTGTTGGGAATGTAGCTGTTCGACCAGCTCGCCGTACGTCAAGCGTGAGCTGTTCCCGTCCGCATACTTGGTCAATCGTGCGCGCGTCGGCACATGGGAAGTGCAGGAGCCCATCACGTCTTGAGCAAAGTCTATGGAGTTGTTACGGCCCCAGCCGGTAGACCCGAAGACTACGTCGTCTTTCCCCGTCAATTCGGCCAAAGTGAGAGCCCACGCAGTCTTTACGATTGTTGCTCTAGTGCTGCCGCGTAGAAATGTCATGTTGCTGTTTCTGTTGACTGAGAGGTCTAGCAGTCTAGTTTCGACCATCTTGACGAGGACACCGTCGACGAAGTCCAACCCGGAAGATGGTCTGCATTTGCCTGACTTTTCTCTCGTTATCTGTGGCATCACCGCATCTGCGAGGAGAGAGCGCCAGTATTTGATGCCTTCCTCAAGTTCTATAGCTCGCGCGTGGTAAAGGTAAGCTGGGTAGCTGCCCAACGCATCGTGCATGCGATAGTTTCCACGTCTAACCTTGAGAATGGATGCTATTTCGCGACGCAATATCGCAACGGAGTGGCCGTCATACTGGGCAGCGGACATGCGGATGACCAATCGCTCGATTCCGGTGGCGTCACCGTGGGACATCAGTTCAAAGGCGGTCTGAGGCTGACCCATTTCGACTGTTCTCGTATTAATGTCGTCTTGCATGATGGCATTAGTGCTTTGGCAGATATCTTTGAGTTGAAGTTGAGTTCTAATTGGAGGCCGGAAGGACTTGGACACAACTTGGTATAAAGTCCGACGGTGTGTAAAGAAGAACGTCCGGAGTATGGCATCTGAATCAATTAGAACCCTACGCATACAGATAATTCGCTTTATCGTCTCCGAAAGCACTCACGTCTTGCCGTCATCACCTCACAAATGTGACGGACTATTCTTTCATCTTGCGGCGTAACAAAATCGCATATTAGCCAGTTTATTCCGCGGCGCTCTTCTTTGTAGGTGGAAAACGCAACACAAGAGGCCTGTAAATCAGTAGCTTGAGTGATATCCTCAATGTCGGCAGCTACAGAAACACATTGTTTTGCTTTGGCTCGAAGTTCGTCAAATTCTGGGTGCTTAGCAATTGCATCGAATGGCTGGTATCTGTGTGCCATGGTGTTTGTTCTTTTCGATCTCGATAGAAACTCTGCAAGCTCGGAAAGTTGAGGTCTTTGAAGTATATCCTAATGCAACAAGCATTTTCAGTGTCTTCCGCTCCAATGAGGACAAAAGTAGAGCTACTCACAGGGACTGAAACGTTTAACCCAAGCTTTTTTGCCAAAGAAACAAACTTGATCCCTTTCAAAGAATCTCCGCCCAAGTCAAAGAAGTTAGAGTCCCGAGAGATTAAGACCTTACTCAAGCTGAGAGATTGCGCAAAAAGTTCCTGGATTGTTTTCTCGAACTCGCTGGTCACAGGGCTGTCGTCCCCGGATACAGCACCTCCTGAAAAAGCAATCAACATGGCTTCGTCAAGGCTAACGCCAAGACTCTGTAGAGATTTCCGATCGAGCTTTCCTTGGATGGTGATGGGTATGACTCGGAGTGGTATGAAGGCCTGAGGGATCGCAATTGGTTTCAAGTCTTCTGCCAGTTTTCTTTTGATGCTCTGAACATCAATAGCCACTGATTCATTCTGATCAAGAAGATTTATCAGAGGCCCTTCTCTGTGATGAGTACCCACGCTAGTGGCATAAAAAGCAATCAAGGCTTTGGAATGTGTTGGCCCATGTGCAGACAGAGTAACAGCTTCCACTGCAGTTACGTAGGTTCCTCCAAGAGCTCGACTAGAATAAGATAGGAGATTAGATGGGCTGCAATGATCATCTGTGGAGGATGCCAACTGACTTAATCTTGTGTTCAATCTCGCCAAGCTCGATGCGCTGTCCATTCAGCTTGACTTGAGTATCTATCCGCCCAAAGATTTCGAAAGACTGATCCGGAAGTTGTCGTACAAGATCGCCCGTCCTATAGAGTCTGCGAAACTCTGGCGTGTTCCATTGCGACAACCAGCAAGGGCTACTTATAAACGCCTTTGTCGTCTTCTCTGGGTCGTTCAAATATCCCCTGCTCAGCGTCGGACCTTGGATAAGCAGTTCACCGACCGCTCCTACAGGTAGAAGCTGGTTGTGATTTTCTGCGTTAGCAACCCTTCCCCAACACGCTCCCTCGAGTGCGCATCCAATATTATTGGCTTGCGGTGACTGTCGCGTGTATATGTTGTACGAAAAGGCACATGATGCCTCAGACGGTCCGTAACCATTAATCACGTCCGTTTTGGTTGCCCTGCACTTGGTCCACTTGTTTACAATTTCAGGGCTGTTGGCTTCTCCACACAAGATGACGACTTTGAGGAGTGGTACCTCCTCAGGATCGAGAATCTGCGCGATGGTGGCGGTGACCCCTAGGAAGTTTGCGCGAAGATCGTTTATGGCGCCTGCGAGACGGTTGATGCGATCAAATTCTGACGGGACACAAATAGTACCACCTGCGATAAGAGTGCTGAGGATGTCGAAATTTGTAGCGTCGAAGTTGAAAGAAGCGAAGTTGAGGACGCGTGAGGTGGCAGTCAGAAGGGCGGCTTTTTGTTGCGCCAGAGCATCGGTTACGTAGGCTTGGTGTTCTATCATTACAGCCTGGCCATTTGCAAAAGGTTAGCGAGTTCTCAAGAAGCGCTGGATACTTTCATACTTTGGGGACTCCGGTAGAGCCCGAGGTGAAGACTATATAGGCTAGGTCGACTGGTTGAGCAGGAGACGAGAAAGGTTCCATGAGTGCTGAAAGTTGCAAGTTTTTGAGAAAATCTTGATCAATAACCAGTGAATGGCTTCCAATACTTTCAACCAGGTGCTCATGCTGCCGACTAGTAATAATTAGCGAAACATTCGCGATAGATGAACATTCTCGCAAGAAGTTGACTGGCGACTCAGGGCTGAACCCAACGTAAGCGGCCCCGGCTTTGAGAATGGCGACTATGGCTAGAACAGCGACGGAAGTCTTGTCAAAAAGAATGGGTACAATATCGCCTTTTTTTATTCCAAGCTCAAGCAGGTGCAATGCCAGCTTACTTGACAGGACGGAAAGTTGATCATATGTGAAGCAAGGACCTTCGATCGAGGCCACCGCTTCCTTGTAGGGATCTCTCCGTGCGTATTCGTCCACATAATCGTGGACGCAGTGCTTAACAGCTACGAGATGGGAGGGACTCCAAGTCTCTAGGGTGTTGCGATTTAATGGACCGAGAATATCGAGGTTGTTTAATAACGTGTCGGAAGGGCAGGTTGAGAACTGCCTCACAACTGTTGTGAAAGTATCTAAAACTGCTTCAGGTGAGGGAGCGGTAATCGAACCAGGCATGCCTACTCAGGTTAACGCTGCGAAACAAAGAATTCCCAGATGTCTTGAGGTACTCATAGGCTTGGCTTCATCTTTTACATACAACTCAAGGTGATGCAGCTTTTGCTATCAATAATGATGCTCGCTTGAAACTGCTCTCCAACTGTCAGATTGAAGTTGGAAGCATTCTCTCTTATGAACATGATCAGTGTTCCACCATTGTGAAGTTCGTTGGCACTAGCCGACATGTGAGAGACCTCTGCAAAGTTAATGTTCGAGTTTAGGTCATTGATCTGGAGACATTCAAGCAACTTTGAAATTGTCGTCTGTGTCTCCAAGGTCGCAGAAACGGAGTAATTCTGTCTTTGTTCGTGTTCTTCAGTCTGTCGTATCAGGCTTGTCGTGATAAATGAGGCACCAGAATATATGCTCAGTACATAAGCCCATGCCGCAACGAAGAATGTCTCCTTGCCCAAGTTTTCAAATTTGCAGAAGCTCGCAATTGAGTTTGCATCCTGTTCCGAAAGGAATGTCTGTGAGGATTGCGAAGCCATTATAGGCGGAAAAGATGTGAAAAACTATGTGAATAGCTTTGGATGACCGAGATAGCGAAGCAAGTTCAAGCAAGAGCCAAAGGAGGATTAGTCCAGATTAATATGAAGGCCAGAATCCCCATTGCCCCCACCGCTATCACCTGGTACTTTTTCATTGTCATGCCGGAGAAGAGTAGCAAGGGGTTGCATAGCCGTGTTGTTATCCAATTACATTTATTGATGTCCAATGCTCCTGGTTCTTCTTGTAAGGTAGGGCTAGTCATGGAACATACACCGGTAATCTTTCGGGAACCTCAAAAAGTGCTTGATGGGGAAGGATATGGAGACACCACTCTTGAGTTCACTGGAGTAGCGAGAGAAGGGGTGAGCTTAATAAATGGAGTAGGATGTCTATGCCAGTCACCAGCTTTTAGGAGATACTACTACTGCCACTCATAAATTTGTTGTCCAATCAATTCTATAGCTCTATCTCTTGGTAAACATCGCTTCACTCCGTAATCATCAACATTAGCTGAAAAAGATTCGAGTCATGCTGATAGTGTGTGTACGAGTACAAAAGCCACATGAACAGCTCAGTCCCAAAGGATCTGAGCTGGTTGGCTTGCCCAGCGAATGCCTACGGCATCTCTATGACTCGGTCTACAGATTTGAGGTTACATCCAGGCGGCTGTAAACGATTGGAGTTCCCCATCTGGCTTCTAGAAACAGCGATTGATAGACAAAGCCTGGAGTCAAGCTTTGCCAAGTGATCTGGCAGGCAGGGATTCCCCGTCATTGTAAATTAAGGGCAGCGGTGTCCTGATTCAAGCCACGACTGTCTACACCAAACAGTCTGGACCCGATTGCATTTAGGATGGGGTCCGTGTTGCCAGCTTGATTTTTTTTTTTTTTTTTTTGAGAGAGAATATTGACCGAGAATGGTGAAAGCCATCTCCAGTAGGCCTGTCGGCCATATTGCTGTACAATATGATGCGATGAGTTGCGGGCTTCTGACAAACCTCCATTGTACTGGACTCACAAGTATGAGGTTTCGAGCATGTTCTAGGCATATCACAAGATCTAAAACATGGAGTTAGCTTAGGAATTCCGTCACTTCGATCTGTGTTGGCTGAACTTTAGCGATAGCTAAGGAACTAATGAGGGCATTCACAACCGATGTCTTGTACAGAAACAACGAAAAACCAAAAAGATCGTAAGTTGAAAGACCAAAACTTTAAAATCCTCCAAGATCCGGCATAAGCAACCTTATTGGTCTTTTGCTAAGGCCAACCATAAACGAAGAGGAATGTTGAAATCGTCCTGGTTTGCTGACAACCTTTTTCCCGAGTTGGACTAGCGTTGACAGCCATCGAGTGGCGATTAGGCAGAAAGTGGGTCAACCTGGTCTGAAGCAGGCAGCAGACATCAGTGGTGCGTTAGGACCCTCACTTCTGTGATGGGAACGGCTGTTGGTTTTTTTGCATATAAGCCTCAACGATCTTATCTTTCCTACTTCATCAACTCTTGCTACAGAGTCAAACATCAGGGACCAGTTTCTCATCGATCCCAAGATATCGCATATCTTTGCCCTACAGCCTCGGAAATGAACAGCTCAGTGTCGTCTTCAGACTCTTCGGAGCCATTGACACAATTCTCATTCTCACTGTTTGCCAAACTCCCACCCGAGCTGCAACTTGAGATCTTTTCCAACTGTCAACAAAACGACCTCATTTGCATTTCTTTAGCATCACACAGCCTTCGTGCCCTTTCACTACCACTCATTCCAGCGAAACCCTCCCTGCTGTTGTACGATCAAACACAGGCCCAAGGAGCGCTCAAGTGCAAATGTGGCAACGACAGTCTGGCTGGGATAGGTCAGGACAATCTTGCGCACCGGAAGAGGCGTCACGTACACGTACACAATAGCAAATACGACCTATCTCACGCGCGTGGGTGCACAAACTGGTCTCCTTGTCGCAACTATGGCCCTGATCACCCACTATGTCGCCAACGCTGGTGCAAGCACTGTCTGTGTACTTCGTGCCCACTTTATACAAGACTTCGTGGGTGGATGGGAGACCAGAAGTATTGTCTCCAGTGCCGCAAATTCACGAACCGGATGCAGACTAAGAAATACAAGGGGAGATGTAAGTGATGCCTTAAAACCTTGCGACAAGAGACAAGTAACTGACAAAAATGTAATTAGGTTTACATGGAAGACAACCGACCCGTAAGATTCCAAATAATTATTGGACAGCCAAAAAGGGACGGTCGTATGGCGTACGTTGGTGGAGAAGATTCGACAGTTGTTATGAGTCTAAATCATAAGTACCTTTGTGGTTGATGATATCAAGAACGCAATATGTATTTGTACAAGTATAGATAGCACTTGGAGTTTCGGAGTTTTGTGAATCAAATTTGGCCATACTGTTAATTTCTTTGCTGTGTCAGGCTATTTGGGCCCAATGACACCCTTTCTCCATCTCTAAAAATACTAACAGTTGAAACAGAAGCAGCCAAACTAAATCTGGTTGTACATTGCACGGTGCTGACCTACCTACCTGTGGCTTCATTCGATATTTTTGAAGGGCATCCCTGACTTGTGCCTAAGAAAATTATTATTGGCAGTATCAAATGATGACAAAGGAGAGACAGGAGACAGTAGCTGAACAAATGGAGCAGGACAAAGGACTCTGGTCAATGAAGAGAATGATGAGTTGGTGATGTAAACTATGCAGAAACTGGCGAGTTGTACCTAGGGATAAATTATTCTGTTTGGTATAGAGGCTCACATTGACCAAGTGATCAGTGATTAGGCGACAGGATTTATAACATTGCAAGAAATTCGAGAGTGAGAAAACGAAGAAAGTGAAATCTTTGACGTACTCCCTTCGCTCCACAATCAATTGACAGAAACCTAGAGAACAAAAAAAGCAGAGAAGTTCACTTGCCTGTCTGATTCATATTCTAATGGTTTTTCGAAGGCTCCTCGACTCTATTGGACGCTTTCTCCTTACCCAGAACCTTCTTCACTCTTCATATTCCATCTTCTCGACTGTGAGTGACCACACACTTCATTCCTTCGAGGGCTTTCCACGACTCGCTGCTCTTTCCTCATACCGAAAAACCTTTTATTTTACTCTGGCTTTCTTCTCTCATCGCTGTGTTCTGTCGTCAGTCGGAAATCTCGCCTCCTTGTCGCAACAAGTTGATTCGATCCCGCCATGTCTGCCATCATAAATTGTCTTCGGCCATTGATGCTGCTTTGTTGGGCTTTTAAACTTGCACAATACCCTCTTAGAGAAGGCTAAAACGATTTTTTGATTAACCTTGACAACTTAATGGTATAAATCTTGTATTCAAGTGAAAGAGAAGAGATAGAGTGGAGTCTGGCCGCATAAGCCGGTGTTCACAACGGATACACGTTGTGGCTCGACGGGAATCCCACGTTAGCCGAAGATCATGTCGAGCTACTGAGTCCATTTTCGATCGAAATCAACAATTCATAAGAGATAGCTAGTGCACCGAAGGAAAACACACCGGTCAAAGGTGACTGGTGCACTGTTGCAGTCCACCAGCGGGAGAAGTGAGTGTCATGAAAGCCAAGCAACCAAGACTCTAATGTAACATCAACAGATTTCCTGTTAATGATGAAAATTTGTCAGTTACGCACTCTTCATTCCAGTTTAATGTGACCAATAACTAACTAGGTCATCATGGAAGGATACGCTGAGGAACCTTGATTTTACCATTATGTCAGTGACGCCCAAATATTAATCACATGGATAATGGAAGGCGAGCGTGTGGGTCTACTATTTAGTCCTCCTGGAAGTGATAGGTCAAGCAAGGCATCAATCCTAGTGCAAAGATGCTAAACTGTTCAAGGTAAGTGCATACTCAAAGAGCTCAAAAGTAACTATCGTTGCTATTTGGATCAAAAATACAAAATACATACAACACCAGGTATTCGCTGGTCGTCACCGACCCAACTACTAATCCGGCCCTCATTGGCTTATCTATGGGAGAGCGGACGGGATCCCGAGTTTTCCAATGGGTATGGTCGTATGTGCTAGCTTATTGTTGAAAGGAGGCTTATAACCCGTTGCATGAAAATATGGGCATGATCTTACGTGTCATTTTTTCTACCCAACAGGCGATGCATGCATAATACCAGACTGATTGCTACCTAAACTGGTTATCTGGTCCTTGCAGACAAGTCTGGCTTTGGACTCTTGGTGCGAGTTTTAAACTACTTCACAAGGTCAAGACCATGATTGATCTTCATCAAGCACATAATTGCTAGTAACGGAGAGAATATTCTCCGGGCGCACCACTTTTGTACCTCACCCATTTGATAACCACTTATAGTCTACCTGTTTTATTTGTGCATTTCGTTTTCTTTGGTGTGATCACTTTTGCAGAGTGTGAACCTGGAGATCTATGTCGTTCAGTTAGGTAGATTTTGATGGTTTTCTATGCATCGAGTCCTGCCGGAAAGACACGGTGCAGACGTCATTAAGATATCTTTTATATGTACATGTTCATGAAGCACAACCTATGTACATACCAAACCAGCTGGCTTGAAATGATTTAAATTTGGGAAAAATTGACCATCCCGTGAATTATCTTTGTCGGCCCTTGTTCGGATACTGTCGACCTCCGGACCTAAAATCAACTCTTCACCCAGCAATGTTTTAAGCCGGGCACGTCTTGGTAGGATAGTTGCAGCTACTTTTACCACCTCCAGAAATATGAGTTCCAGGAAATGTAAAGTTGGAGCAGCTGCCGTCACCACAAAGGATATAGTAGTTATAGGCCGAGCTTTTGACTGTGCCTGTGACGCCAATGAACTTGATGTTGGACATCTTTACTCCATTAGTGGGCTTGCCAGTGGGACCACCATTGAGGTAGTCCTGCTGGACATCGATGCCATAAGTTGTGATTCCTTTCAGTGTGATGTTCTGATAGGTGACGTTGTTGATCTATGTCCAAAGTCAGCGATCAAACTCAACACGCTGGTAGCTATCTACTAACCTTTCCGCTAGTGTTGGAATTGGACTTGATTCTGCATCCGTTTTCGCTGTTGACGACCTGGGAATCAAGGAACGTTACACCATCCACGGTGTTGTTGCTTTTGCCGCCCACCGAGCCAACACTTAGACCGTGGCCACCGTAACAGTACATGTTGGACACAATGACACGGCTTCCAGACGTAACAGCAACGCAGTCATCTTGGTTATGAACATTAATATGGTCTAGAGTGACGCCATCACTAGACGAAATATCGAAACCGTCGGTATTGTGTGCCGCAGGCTTTCCGCCACTCTTTGAGTTGGGCTTGTCTCCAGCAGAGTTGTCTAGCGTCAGCCCGGTAATTGTCAAGTCAGTGTTCCCAGTTATCGAGAAACAATGAACTGGCCAGTTGGTGATGTTAAGATTCGTGACTTTAGATCTCGAAGTATTTTTTACAACGATGAAGTGGTCCGGTCTGGTATTCCGATTAGGTATTTGCCTATGTCTTTACAACAAGGCATAACTTACTTCTGGTTGGCGAGATTGTTGGATCCCTGGCCATCCCAATAGGCCTGGCCGTTGCCGTCAATGACATGTCCAGGGGCGCCGGTGATGGTAACGCCAGCTCCGGAAATAATAATTGGGTCAAAGTTGTTGTCCGCAGTGGTGCCAAACGTCTATCTGTCGTTAATTCGGGGAGTCTGAACAGAAACCAAAGAAGTGAACTAACAGTTTTTCCAGCAAATGTGACGGTGGCGCCATTCTTTAGATTCTGTAGATTGATGGCGCTTGCGGGTGGAACGGCGATGGAATCGAGGATGATGTCTGTGCAAGTCGCAACGGCATTGGCGATATCGTGATACGTGGTGATTCTACAAGGAGCTCGCGGATGATATTGTGGCTGATTATGTTAATTACATCAGTGGCATCGCCAGACTTGTATGATCTTACGGGTTTTGGAGGCACTGTTGCACCTAGAACAACAGGCAGAAGTGATAAGACGGATAGCAAATGTTTAGACATGTTGCATTTGGTGCGAAAAAGACAACGAGAACAGAGAATCAAAAGACTGATTGTTTCGAGAGGATTAAGATGCCAAATCTTGTTTGGCAAACCTGGGGAACGGCGACTTAAGAATTAACTATCTTCATTATGCTTAGATTACGGTCAATCATTGGTGGGGTAACTCTTCATCCTGCTTCCTGGCTGTTTGACATCCATAGATTGTACTGTAATCATAGCCGTAGTAGCCACTGGCTGATGAACAATTATGGAAGAGTTGCCCATACTGTTTTCGGCACACAGTTGCCGTACGTGCCATCGCGTGATGGAGGAAGCACGTACACTCAGCAAAATTGCAACGACACTTTAACCCCATTGGCTTAGACTGAACTAAAGATCCTGGCCCCCCCTGTCAAAGATTTCTCCTCGGCAGCTCGTCCACAGTCCAGATGCAAAGAAAAATACAATTGTGCGGGGAAAATAAACACAGAGGCGCCTTTAATTCAAGTTAATTAATGACCAATGAAGGAACTCGTGATGTAGTTTCCATGCATTTGATAATTCCATTTACCGTTGCATGGTACGCCCACCAATTATTTACAGAGTTCCTCAACCACTCATGAGTCGCGTGCGTCTGTTTGGGTACAGAGGAAGTCTCTTCAGCAGCACCTCTGGTGACATTCCCTTTGTTTTGGTTTGCTGGACCCACGAAAGTCGAGTTCCTGAAGCTAACAATCAACCCCAATCCATGGTATGGTAATCTTGCTTGATTAAAGCTGGAAAAACTAGATTGAATGTGCTAGTTAGTTAAGTTGAAAAATACTCATCGGGTAAGACGCAAACTCTAAATATGGCCTCTCATCTGCAGCTAAAGGACAAACGTACCATACGAAATAGACTATTTCCAATGATTGGAACGCCTGACTACCCAAATGGCTATTCTGATTGGATGATGAAGGGAAAATGAATCTGCTTTTATACTACTACTTGTGAGTTTCCCCCACCATCTGACTAATTTTGAAGAACGATGTTTCAATTCATCTAAGAGCATGCGACCAGTCGTGTAATAACTAACGGTTCCCTCGCAGCAGGATTATTACCCGGCGGCCTGCCTATCATGGTTCGACACTTTCATTGGATTCGTTTCTGATAAATTGGCTGTAAAGCTTAAAGCAATCTAGACTACTACAGAACTTCAGCCCTATCAACTTTTGCCTTGCCCCAGGTTCCATATTCATTCCTTCGTTACCCCATAACGGCGAACAATAAGTAGTAAGCTTTACCGCCAATACTACCACTCTGGGGAAACAGCAAAGCGGTAGAGTTTCCCATGGTGAGGTTAAGAATCTCGTCATGAAAGTTTTCCTACTTACGAAACTGGTTTGCTCGTATTCAAAATCATGGATAGATGCATATTCCGAGTCAAAAGAATGAATTAATTAAAATAAAAATTAAATACAAGAGATTTGTACAGGTCTAAGCGTCCACATATTCCCACCTGGGCCGTTTACTCCCCCTTTTACCAAACACCCACACCGGTCTGTGTCGATGAAATAAATCACCATGTTTGAAGCGGTTTTGTCGGCTGAAAGCCGTCTAGCCTACTCGACAATTAAGAAGAGCAGAAGCTCCAGCTGCTCTCGACGCTCCACTTGATACCGCCGGAGAAGGCAGGCTTGTAGGAAGCGGCGGAAGGAGCATACTGCTGGCTGAAGAGGTTGCAGTAGGTACCCTTTGCGACACCGTTCTCCTTGATCATGAAAGCGTTGAAGAAGTTGCACTTCAGGGGGCTGTATCCGAACCAAGAAGCCCAGGAGAACAGACCAAGAGACTTGGAGTTCTTGGAGTTCTGGGAAGCAGCGTAAGAAGCGCAAACGTTGATGTCGAAGGGACCGGGGAAGAACTTCTGGCCCATGCAGGTGCTGGGGTGGTCGTGGACGACAGTGCCGCAGCTCTGGGGGTTGGTCCAGCCGGAGGGGGTGGAGGGCTTGGTGTTGTTGGTCTTCTCATAGCCGTTGGAGCCGGTGATGACCACCTGGAAGTCGTCTCTGCCCTGGCCGGTGTTGGTGGCCGAATCCTTGTCGACGCCGGAGCCCCAGAGGGTGCACTTGTAGTTGGTGATTGAGGCAGGGTTCTGGCAAGAGCACTTCCAAGGGTTAATGGACGGGTCACGCTCGACGTAGATGTTGATGCCGGTGCACAACTCGGTGCTGTCGCAGTGGGCGGCGCATGCGGCAACATCGTAGCTCTTGAGAGTGTAGAGACCCAGGTAGGTGTTGGCGCTGACGGCGGCGTCGAGGTTGGTGAAGGTGGCAGCATATCCATCAGGTGCCTTGGCTGACAAGGCATTCTGGTGGAACGGCTCATAGGCCTTGAAGGCTTCGACGGTGTCGGGAACAACGTGAGGTCCGTATCCTGTCAGGCTTGTCAGTATTCATGCGATGATAAAGAGTGTGAAGCCAGGCTGGAAGCCCCATCCCACGGGGTCGTCGAGACTTACCGTCAGGCTGAACAGCGCAAGGGTCTTCAGGGTTGATGAATCCACAGAAAGTGCCAACCTCGAACGGCTGAGCGCAGTCGGTGGCTGTAGTGAAGGCGAAAGTGTTGGTCCAGCTGATGGGCGTGCAGGAAGAAGGAGCGGTGGTAATGGCGGGAGGGGTGGTGATCACAGCAGAAGATGTGGTGCGAGTGGCGGTTGCGACAGTCAACGACGAGGTCGTGCAGATGGTGGAGGTGGCAGCCTTTGCAGTCGTCTTCGGGACGCCCCAGCAGAACCCAAAGAAACAGAAAGTCCGCTTCTCCAAGGCGTCATGAGTCTCGACGTCACGGGCCTGGACAGACTGAGTAGCACTGGCCGAGGCGACGGCAGTAACAGCAGCGGAGGCGACTGAGGCAGCGGCAGCGGCATTGTAAACACCGGTCTGGCCAGTAGCAGTGACAGCAGGGCCTGTCAAGGCCGGGGTGGTGGCAGCCAGAATGGCATCAAAGTCGATAGCCATGGCGGCGGGCGAAGCAGAGCCAAGGCCCGCAAGGGCAGCGAGGAGCATAGGATAATGCATTGTAAGAGCGTGTTACTCTATAGCTCAGTTTGAGCGGGGAAAGAGAGAGGAATGTAAAAAGAGTGTTTGGCAGACAATGTTGTCAAGAGAGTGAGTGTTGTAAAGAGAGTGGTGTGCCCAAGGGGAGAGGAGTTGAAGGCTGCTGAGGTGAAGGACAAGAATAGCATCTAGAGGTCGTCGGGATAGATGCAGTTTTATAATCAAAATGTGAATACTCTACACGGCCATATGCCTTGACATCACAAAGTCTCCATGATGTTGGAACCGACAATTCTTCTTTGTCGCGCATCCCGGCAAGCAGACGCCGAAGACCATCTCGTACCGCTCTGGGCGCTCTCCAACACGTGGTCTACCTATCCGTAGTTCAGGTCACTGAAGGTCATAGCTCTTAGTCGACGGTGAGACCGATTTCAGTCTCGTTCGTCCCACAATAAGTTGCACAAAGATGAAGAAACGAGCATTGGATTAGGAGTATTACGCCGTCAAGTGCATTTAGGCCTACCGGTAATGTGGGTTGTGGATATTCAGGTGGCGCATCAGGAGCGTCAGAATTTTCTTGGGGATAATTCAAATTGTGCACAACTCGACCATCAAATTTTGTAACCGTTTCTTTGTTGGAACGGGCGTAATACAGCGACTGAACTGACGTATTGACGGAATCAACCCGAGCCGCCGGCTTCACCCCAACTAGCCTAGAAAACGCTAGAGCGGGTAACTCGGGATCTTCACAGACGCTTTGAGCTGCACTACTCTAAAAGAAGCATGGTACATGGCCAAATTTCATTTCTTCAAGCCGTCAGTGAGACCCTTGATCACCCTTCTGCAGGCACGGCAGGCACTTAGTACACAGCCGGATGTGAGACATCTCCATCATCCCATAAAAGTAGCACGGAAGCAGCACTTCAGTTCCAGTGGGGAAGCGGCCTTCTTTCAGGTCTGTTGGCTCAGCGGAGATGCTCCTGAAATCGCCAACTGAACGAAGTGGGTTCATGATGCCCATCGGATCAGGATATCTTTGAAAAAAGGGGGGACCCATTTTCGCATCTAGTCGATGTAGTAAGACCAGATAGAAGCGCAAGAGGGAACAGATTGGCATTGACTCGTAGATGACTTCACAGTCTGCATCGCATCAATGAATATAGAATCAAGCAGTTTTGTCCAACGTATTACGTCAATAGGACAACATCATTAATTAGAATAAGGGGACTACGCAAGCTCCCGACCTATCTGACAACAGTATATTTGCTCCTCCTCTCAGGGGGATTTCAAAAAGTACGCAATGCACTCAAGTCCAACTCCTTTTGTTTGTCAGCATCAAAGACCTGCGAAAGTCAATTCGAGAAGACACACCGGCAGGCTTGAGCACGGCTTCAATCGGGTTGTCAGAGTCAAATGCTTGTTTTTTTCAGCCATGTAGGGCCGCGGAGGCAATTTTCCTGCACCGACCGTACAAAAGTTAGCGTCAGCCCGGCCAGTGAGACTAGACAGTCGTATTCGACACGATGGATTGTGGTTTGTCCCGTGTTCGGCACATCGGCAAGAACGCCGCTATCGTGGATGACGGCGCCGATAAGGGCAGTGGCTGTTCATTTTTACAGCTCTGTTGTATGACAGTCCGTGGTCATTCCAGTGGCGGCCGCGCGTCAACGGTCATGACCCCAATGCCGCGGCAACGGAAAAGCGATTCAAAGGGTTGCCAAATGTGTTGTGGCGGCAGTACGTATTTGTGCGTCGCGTTTTGTTCTTTTTATGAAGAGAATTTTGCCGCTAGTCTCCATGACACCAGGTGTTTACAGTGAATACGTTTCCTCGCTATTAATAGTGTCATGACCTGACCACAATGTCTTACTACCGTACTAGGTACTAGTGCTCCTTCACTTGAACCTAGGAAGGTAACAGGATTCGGGACTATCGGATGTTATGATACGTGCCGACGAATGCATGGCATAACACTGCATATAAAGAGCGTAGAGGGAGATGATTCGGCCGAGGATCAAATACTATGATGTTGAAAAATCTCTTGATGGCAGTTAAGCAATTTTTTGCAATTTTATATGTCTCTATACTATCAAATATCTTAGTTGGCGCGGCTACATGGCGGGTGATTGTATTGGGCAATGAAAAGAGGCAACCAAGACAAAGCGAATGGCAACCGTGAGAAAAAGTAGATAAGCTTGGCCTACCAGCCAAATGTGGTATGTACGCGTCACCTTCATCCCGAATCAGTCCTTATGGTATTATCAACCCCTGAAGTAGCAGTAGGCCGGCTTAAGGATGTATCATGAAGATGATATTAAGGCGTAAACGAGGCGTCGTGGGCGTAGTATTTCCACTCGTCGTTTCGCAAGTAACAAATCAATGATGTCTGAGTCGAATGAAGTGAACTATATTTCCCTGACCAGTTGACAGAGGAGGTTTTGTAGACTTCCCTCGACAATCTTTGACAGGGAACCCAGAAGCTACTCGTTCGGATACAAGTCGCAAGAGGCTGGCCCAATAGAAAAATATAGAGCCTCGTCAAATCATGCGGTAGACATTATGTAGAATAGCCAAGTAAGCCAAGTAAGGAGAATAGAACCTAGGACATGTTCCATGCATGGTAGATGCGGCAACAAGTTCACGAGTGGAGGTGTTCATGCGGCTTTTGCGGAGTATATTACCTAAAGTGTCGGGATACAGGCATTCAGAGAAGAAGTTGAGTGGCCAAGCGGCGAACTGAACTAAATCGGACAAAAATGGCCAGGACCAACCGCGATCTCGGCTCCCATCGTCCTATCTTGCATTTATGCTTAATCGCGTTGTTGAACTAATAGAAATAATCACGTTTGAGCCTGTTACACAGGATCAGCAGCCTCCTCTGAAACGAGGAGTCCAGAGGTACAAAATCCACAAGATGCAATCCGACATTATGATTTCGACAATTACTGCCATCTCAAAGATAGGTAGCCAATCAAAAAGAAGAGAGTGAAAGTATAAAACTGGCCCCGTGTCGCGAGTGTTCTTTTGCATCCCCTTGCAGGCTAGACTTTGGCTTTGCATCCTGGTTTTCTTGGGGTTAATCAAAGATATCTACAGGCTCGCCCCGCCATGGCTCGGTTTAACGCGGGGAAATTTATCCCAAGTTGGCAGGTAATTTGATATTACCTAAGTCCAGAAGGCCATGCGTTGCTTTTTAAGAGTCCAGCTTAACCGAGGGTAACGTAGGCTGGCTTTAATTAATAAGGGAAATAAAAATAAAAATAAAGGGCGGAGCACTGTCATCCAATGTGCCCCTCGCCGCCCTCTGCGTGGTTGGATGATAACGATTTCCACCCCGAAGAAATCGCGGCCTTGGCGGAGGCGGGGACCGCTATTGGCTGGTTTCCCCGCCGCGCCAGTGTGGAAGGCGCCAACCACCTCGTTACAGCACCTTTTGGGTTCTGTCTTGGGCTTACTCCGTACTTTGAGCACCTTCATGACTCAGTTTCTTAGTAACTCTGTCTTCTATTTTTTTTGGGGCGTCTGCTACGTGTGTTTTATGTATCATTTTATAGAAAGACGGAGCCGCCTCCATAGCTACGAAATCCAGTCAGGGGGTCGCTCACTTTGCGTAAATCTATTAGTTATGACCTGAGATAAAGATACAGTAAACCTGGGGGTAGGGTGGGGCCCTGGATTACAGACACAGTGACACCGCCCCGATACTCATGACAAAATTTGACTGCAGGTGGATATCGCCAAGGTAATAGGCATTTCTAGCCCCCCATCTGTTCCGCTGACTGGTCCTTGGCATCTTGGGCATGCAGGTCACGTTTCCTACACGATTGGACAAGACAGAGATGCGTTAAGCACACAATTGGAGAAGCGGAATAGTTGTGTAGGCGGGATACTCAGTCGGTGGCTCCGAATCTTGAGGAGTTACAAGTTCCTATAGAAAGAAAAAAAAGAAAAAAAAACCCCTTTGGGTTCTCTAATGGACACAACAGTCAATTAGGCTTTCACCTCGCTATTTTCAGGTAATAGGTATCCCGAACATCAAAGAAAGATTATACTTTGTTTCCGTTTCTCTTAGTTCCTGCTTAAACACACTCTAAACCACATCATAGTTTCGCACGTGACTTTACTACTATGACGACACATTGTGAGAGCTGCGAGCCTCCGATGAAGCGGAAAAACTGGAGCAGCATCTTGGCAAACTTGGCGGTTCTCAACCATACAAGAGTCGATCGCGCCCCCGTCAAAGAATTGCAAACACCGTTCCCGTTTGTTGTTTCTTACATCACCACTCAGTCAAATCACTGATTTGTATCCCAACCAACCAAGTTTGCGTTATCACGCTCATATCTCTCATCCTCAACCAAAAACACTTCTTCTGTCTTCAGTTATCGCTACTGAAGTCTTCATTCAAGCCTCGTTTCCTCCATCCCCAATCCCGCCGCAAAGGCCAACGACTATACACCTAAACCGTTCCCTACACTCGATGGAGTTTGCTTCAGTCAGGGACCTGCTCCGCGTTGTCGTCTGTGCTTCCGCCTACATGCGACAGCTCACCACTACCCCCAGATAGATTGAGAATACTTTCACCAAGAGCTTAATCCCCCCACGTAATTGAAAATCAATACAGCCCTACCGACGGCTTCAAACTCAGAACAAACAGCGCCAAAGACATCCCGCCAAGCTCTCTTCTCGATCTCATCATGGGGTCCGAAAAAGCCAGGCAGACCTCCGGTGAGGGGCACGTCAGCGGGCAATCCAATCGCCCAATGACCCAGCCCGCTCACTGTCTGACCTTGGCCGAGGTGGTCAACGAGCTGCAGGCCGATCCAGCCAGTGGCCTTTCCACTGACGAAGCAAACAGACGACTCGCGGAGTATGGTAAGAACGACCTTGGGGAGGCCCAAAAGGTTTCCCCCCTACGTATTCTCATCGCACAGGTTGCCAACGCCATGACACTGGTCCTCATCCTTGCCATGGCTGTCAGTTTCGGTATCAAATCATGGATTGAGGGCGGCGTTGTTGCCGGCGTCATCCTTCTTAACATTGTTGTTGGCTTTTTCCAGGAATATTCCGCCGAGAAGACTATGGATTCCCTCCGGTCTTTGAGTTCCCCGACTGCACGTGTGATTCGCGACGGACAATCCCAGACTGTAGCCTCTTCCGATTTGGTTCCTGGCGATCTTGTTGAGTTGAAAACGGGCGACACCATTCCAGCCGATATTCGGTAAGTTTTGTCTTTTCTTTTCGCTTGTGTTTTTTTTCTTTTTGTGATATTAAACAAATGAGAAAAAAGACTGGCCTCTGTTGACACATTTTCCCAGCGTCTTTGAAGCAGTCAACTTCGAAACTGACGAAGCTTTACTCACTGGAGAATCTCTTCCCGTTCGTAAGAAGGAAGATGCGACCTTTGAAGTGACCACCGGCCCTGGTGATCGCCTAAACGTGGCATACAGCTCCTCAAACGTCACCAAGGGTCGTGCCAAAGGCATCGTTTTTTCCACGGGCTCCTTCACCGAGATTGGAGCCATAGCTGCCCAGCTCCGACAAAAGGAGACCAAGATCCGTGAGCCCAAAAAGACACGTGAGGACCCCAACGCGCGCGCCAAACCCCATCGGTATCTCGAGGCCTACTTTTTGACTGTCACCGATGCTGTTGGTCGTTTCCTTGGTCTAAACGTCGGAACGCCTCTCCAGCGGAAATTGTCCAAGCTTGCTGTCTTGTTGTTCTTCATTGCCGTCGTGTGTGCCATTATCGTACTTGGAGCGAACGAATTCCGTGCCACCCAGGATGTCATCATCTACGCAGTCGCTACAGGCCTCTCAATGATCCCAGCTAGCTTGGTCGTCGTTCTGACAATCACCATGGCGGCCGGTACTAAGCGGATGGTTAAGAGAAATGTGGTTGTCCGTAACCTCAAGTCTCTCGAAGCCTTGGGCGCCGTCACGGATATTTGCTCCGACAAAACCGGCACTCTGACTCAGGGCAAAATGGTCGCAAGGGGCGCCTGGATTCCTTCACAGGGCACTTTCACCGTCGAGAACTCTACCTCGTCGTTTGATCCTACTTCAGGAGATGTCCGGTTCCACACCTCGGCACCTCAGTCTATTGACCTAAAGAAGGCTGGAGAGGCTTGCGGTAATGTTATCAACCCTGTCGAGCATATCTCTTCAACCAACGCTGGCTTTGGACTCGCCGATTTCTTGAACGTCGCCTGTCTCGCCAACCTTGCTACTGTCAACAAGAACAAGGAAGGCGCTTGGGAAGCCCGTGGCGACCCTACCGAGATTGCTATCCAGGTCCTAGCTAGTCGCTTCGGTTTGAACCGTGTTGCACTGACCGGTGATGAAGATTCTGAATGGAGAGATGTTGCCGAGCTGCCATTCGATTCAGACGTCAAGCGCATGTCCGTCGTCATGAGAAAGAAGGACGGTTCTCACCACGCTTTCACCAAAGGTGCCGTCGAGCGCGTCATTGAGAGCTGCACCACCTACACTCCCGATGCTTCTGGCAAGCTTGTCGAGATTGGAAATTTCCGCCAGGAGATCCTCCAAAACATGCAGGCCCTGGCCAGTCTTGGTCTTCGTGTTCTGGCTCTCGCAAGCAAGCCCATGCCCGGCGAGGTGAAGAATGATCCCGAGACTGGTGTCGACAGAGCCTCCATTGAGTCGGACCTTGTTTTCCGTGGTCTTGTCGGTCTCTATGACCCTCCTCGTCCCGAATCCGCCCCGGCCGTCAAGCAGTGCCACGAGGCTGGCATTGAAGTGCACATGTTGACTGGTGACCACCCCGAAACTGCAAAGGCCATTGCCATTGAAGTTGGAATCCTTCCCTCGAGGATGCACCTTGTCGCCCGAGATGTCGCAGATTCAATGGTGATGACCGCGACGCAGTTTGATGGCCTCACTGACGACCAAATCGACGCTCTCCCTGTTTTGCCCCTCGTCATCGCAAGATGTGCTCCCAGCACCAAGGTTCGCATGATTGACGCTCTTCACCGCCGTGGACGGTTCTGTGCGATGGTGAGTCTCTTCCCGGAGCAAATTCAGTTTGTTGAAAGTTTCTAACTTTTGTTATTTTTTACAGACAGGAGACGGTGTCAATGACTCCCCCTCGCTTCGCCGCGCCGATGTCGGTATCGCAATGGGTATATCTGGTTCTGATGTTGCCAAGGTATGCAGTTGAGCCTGGCGACGGGACGACGATTTGATGAACAATACGCTGACATCTTCCAGGACGCTTCTGACATTGTACTTTCTGACGATAACTTTGCTTCCATCCTGGCAGCTATCGAAGAAGGTCGTCGCATCTTTGACAACATCCAAAAGTTTGTTCTCCACGTTTTGGCCGAGAACGTCGCTCAAGCCGGCACTCTCCTGATCGGTCTCGCTTTCAAGGACCGCACTGGACTTTCCGTGTTCCCTCTTGCCCCCGTGCAGGTTGTCTGGATCATCATGGCCACCTCTGGACTTCCCGACATGGGTCTGGGCTTCGAGCGTGCGGTCCCTGATATTCTTCAGAGACCTCCTCGTTCGCTCAAAGCCGGCATCTTCACAACCGAGTTCCTGGTCGACATGGTTTTCTACGGTCTCTGGATCACCGCCCTTTGCTTGACTAGTTTCGTCCTTGTACTCCACGCCTTTGGCAACGGAGAACTTGGCTCCCTTTGCAACGAGGAGTACTCGGAATCGTGCGACTTGGTCTTCCGCGCGAGAGCCACTACGTTTGCCTGCCTTACGTGGTTTGCCCTGTTCCTCGCGTGGGAAATGATCGATACCAGGCGCTCCTTCTTCCGTATGCAGCCTGGATCCAAGCGTTATTTCACCCAGTGGATTGTCGACATCTGGAGGAACCAGTTCCTCTTCTGGGCCGTCATCTTCGGCTTCGTCACCTTGTTCCCCCTCATCTACATCCCGGTTCTGAACACTGAGGTCTTCAAGCACAAGCCGATTACTTGGGAATGGGCCATCGTCTTCGTTGCCGCCGGCCTCTTCTTTGCCGGAGTCGAGGCTTGGAAGTTTGCTAAGCGAGTGTATTTCCGCAAGCAGGACAGCAAGCGACTTGGCAAGTCCTGGAAGGAGAGGGACATTGAAGAGCGCGTCTTTGGCAGATACTTCACTGGCAGCAGCCTTGGAGGAACATCTACCGAGCCTACTATTGAAAAGTCTCAGTAAATGAGCTTTTTCACATTCTGATTGCGTCGACGTTGGACGTTATCGTCTAAGCTCAAAGAACGCGCGCGGTCACGTTTAGCCCAACTTAAACGCCAGGAGTACCTGCGTGAAAGATTGTGGTACTAATCCATCCTCTTTATTTGGGGGTTGTATAGAAATACTACCCATTTATTTGGTAGCTCGGCCTTGGACCTGGTACGATTCAACATCTCCAAGTTAGGGCTGGCTTGTTTGGTCAACCGAAATGAATGTTCTGGGAAACCTAAATGTTCCTTTACGGTGAAAAAGTTTTAGAAATTGTCAAGTTAGAAAAACCAATAAATATTGTTTTGCAAGCTGCATTGTCTACATCAGCGAACAAGATGTTAAAGTTAAGAGAATAAGTCTCGTGCCTATAATTATACCGCAACATTGTAAGGAAACCAATTTTTAATTTTGCCCTCACGTCAGATACACTCACAGCTACACTATTGTATTTCTCTTACGAGGACGAGAAAGTTGCCGTTTCTATCTCCTCACTAAGGGCGCCTAAAACGTTTGGGTCAACTGAGATCATCAACCAATCAAAACTCAACTGCATGGCTGTACATACTCCTGCTCCATGCCCGAATCCCACCTCAGCGCTTACTTGCCAGCCAACAAGCGACATTTATCCGATGCAAAGAAATGACTTAAAAGGATTTTCCAATGACCAACCGTTGGATACTCAATCAGCCTACAATAACATTTGTATAAGCCCTTATCGCAAAAATGACTAGACCAAGCAGAGACGGATTGGTTTGGAAGGAAGGTGGCTTCGATCCCGAACCCTGCTGGACACGAGAGCCATCGGTAGAAGCCATCGAGAAAGTCTGCCGCCGGCAGCTGGGAATTGACATAAGCGCCAGCTGCCAAGTCTCCTTTTACGCATCCGGAGCATTCAACAAGTTGTATTCTGTTCACTATGACAACAGCAAGCTCCTCATGCGCGTGTCTCTTCCGGTGGACCCCGGCGCCAAAACTCGCGGCGAGGTTGCAACTTTGCGCTGGCTTCAGCGCTGTACCAACACTCCGGTCCCTCGCGTCATCGCTTTTGACGACACCAACAGTAATGAAATTGGCTTTGAATGGATTTTGATGGAGTTCATGCCAGGTGTCTCGGCATACAAAAGATGGCGAGGTATGTCCATGGCGCAGAAGACGGCTTTCGTTGAACAAGTAGCCGATCTTCAATCGCAAATCTTCCATCACGAATCAGACGAGTTCCAAGGCATTGGAACTCTCCAGAGCAGTGGAACTGGCAATTTGGAGCAGCAAACACAGAACGACATCTCACCGGGAAGAATGGTTTCCCTGCTTCTATTCTGGGGCGAGCACTACGAATACGACATCGCTCGAGGACCGTTTCGTTCCAGCCATGATTGGCTAGAATCTTATTTGAAGGTTGCCACCCGTGATTATACGAAAGCCCTTCGAGAAGCAGAAGATGAAGAAGACAGGGAAGATGCCGAGGTAGCCATTCAAGTCGCAGAGAAGCTCCTAGCTCTGCTGCCCAAGATCTTCCCCGTCATCCAGCAACCTCCCGAAAGAACCTTCCTATGGCACGATGACCTGTCACTTCAGAATATCCTGGTGGATGACGACGGGAACATCACTGCTGTATTGGACTGGGAGTGTGCTTCTACAATGCCCTCCTGGGTGACCACCCAAGTGCCTAAGTTCCTGGATGGAGCACGAAGAGAGGAAGAGCCTGTCCGTGACCAATACGGGGATGACAATGAAAGCGACAGTGACAGCGACTTGGATAATGAGGGGAAAAACGAGCTGTACTGGATTCACCTGCTAGAATACGAGCAGACGCAGCTAAGGAAAGTCTACTCAGACCGAATGCAAAAGTCAACGTCTGAATGGACAATGAAGGTCCAAGATAGCTGCTTGAAGACGGATTTTCTGGAAGCAGTCCATCGCTGCAGTGGTGGTTTCTATCTGAAGCGCATCGCGCAGTGGGCAGATGCCATTACAAACGGAGTCTTTCCACGACTTGCGGAAACGCTACAGACAGGGCGACTATAATGAAAAGGTTGGAGAGCTCCCTTGGTACACACATGTCACAGACAAAACTGGCAATTGAATCGGTATATTATTTCGGACACTTTTAAGCTAACACTTCTTTGGTGCATCCATATATTTAAAATGGTAAAATGACTTCAGAGGGAGAGATAAAAACGTTCCCTTTTAGATGACTTCTAAATATTGTGATCCTGGTTACGGCTGTAGGTGATGTAGTTCAGCTTTGAATCACTGTGGTGGGCCTAGTCTGATATTATTTGTTCGTCCTGGTGTGTATCAGGATGCCCAACCCGATTTCCTTCTTCTTGTAAGCCTGGCTGATTTTGACCAGTCTCAGAGGGGTCTGCCAAGGGGCTGTTGGCCTCAAATTCCCCTTGGTCCTCATGTCGATTCTCTTATTCATCTTCTTGGTAACTTTCGTGTTGGCTCTCTTGGTGACTCCCCTCTTGATCCTCTCCTTCTTCCCTTGTTTGTGTAACTGACTGCTTCTCTTCTTTCCCAGTCGGAATTTTAGTAGCGGAAGCAGAGGCTGCATGCTCAAGGGTGTTATCCGCTGAGCTAGGTTCAGCTTCAACAGGTTGAGCCCCAGTGGAGAATCGAGCACGACGTGGTGGGCGCCGTGGCGGTGTTTGAAAGAGACGAACAGGGCTGGATTTTTCAGGCTCAGGAGTATCATGCTCTTCCTCTCGTGTTCTTTTGAGACTCCGGGGTGGTCGCCGAGGTGGCGTCTGGAACAAGCCAAGTCCAGATGGTGTTCTTGGGGTTATATCCTCTGTAACCGAATTTACGGGACGTTGGGGAGTCGAGGGATCAGTATTGGTTTGGTCCATTGTGACAATTCCTCAGTTCCAACCAACTTCTTTGCAATTGGCCCTACATGAAAGCCGCAATCTGTCGGACAGTTGATGCAATATTCTTCTTCAAAATGGCAATGCATATGCAACGCGAAAAGTACGCGTCATAACGCGTTGATTGGCTATAAGAGTGTGCGTTACCCCACATAACGTCAACCATCCATTGTCCAATTGTAACGCAGGTATCAGCGTTATATGGGGCTCTTTAGTTGCTTAGTTATGATAGGCGTGGGTTTAAAGATAGATGAAAGATTAATGGTGTTCAGAGAATCATGCCACGCACGCAGTCAGGCGAATACTTAAGTTGATTTCCGATGTAGATTCAGTCTCGCTCTGATACCTAGGTCATCTAAATCAAATTCTAGATAAACCTCTGGCTTGCCTTGCTTGAAACTGCGAACATCCCATATGCAACGAAGAACTAACAGGTCTCTCCATTAAAAGTTTCGATCATTAGAGAGGGTTGCACCCGACAACGTAGTTAATAACAGTCATACAACCATCACCCCACTGCTTTCTTCCGCAGGTCTTGCAATCATTGTTCCTGATTTCCTGGTAATCCGACCACATTTGGTTGCCAGTACGCATGCATTGAGATCCGCCCTGGATGTAGACGCCACATCCTGGAAGCTGCGGTCCGACGATTGAAGTGCATTCACCCTTAGGCTTTCCGCTTTTGTTACTACCACCGAGGACTCATGGTTAGTCTTATCATTCACTTCATGAAACAAACAGTTTGAATGAGGAGTAACAATATTTACCCAGAAGCTCCATAATTAACATCGTCATTACGGATTAGTTTGTTTGCTGCTTGATCGCAAGCGCTGACCGGAAGAGCGCCACACAGACTGTGGCCTTCGCAATCAAATGTATCGCGCCGCTCAAAGGGGCTTTTAAGTCTAGGAGAGACATCTCTTGAAAGCCCATGAGCGTGGTCGGGAATTACTCCAGCAGTGGAGGAGACAACGAGCCCCACCACGGAGAACAAGCTAAGCTGCATTGTGAACGGGAGTTTCCAATGAACCAACTAAATACTTGCAAAACTCAACAACTTGAATGTGATGTGTTGGTTTGATCGTTCAGTCTGTCATGTTCTCGTCTTTTATATTGATCAGGAGCCCGTTGATTGCCGTTTGGATATACAGAGCTTCAGATCTCCACTGCATAGAGGTGCATATCCAAATGCTAACTTAAGGCCTGAGTAATCAGATTGGAAAACAGCTCACACTGTCTATCTCTGATTGGTGGTGCGCCTATATACTATGCGATGCAACCCAGCAGCATGCGACGAAATAGCGCTTCATTACCTAACTCGGCCGAAGTTGCTCGGCTTTAGAGCAAGAAGGATACTGTACTCAGAAAATCAGTGTGAGGGGGATTAGAAGAATATTTTCAGAGTGCTTAGCAATAAGTAAGCCCCTTGCTTTGCCAAGAAGCAGCTGAAGATTGACCAAGTTGTTTTCGGGTCAAGTAGTTACGCTATATCTGCGAGTAACCGTTTCAAACAGTATCTCTCTAAGGTAAGGTAGTATCATGAATAACTATAGCCCAAAATTCTTCAACTTTGAAGTCTCGATTATTGGCGCAAGATCCACTTTCCCATGTCATAGTGGTGGTCTCGAGAGAGAGCAACTTGGATAATTATGTTCCCAACATCCTCATCCATAACCTGTTTTCTGCAACCATGATACCACCTCAAAAAATTCCCCCTTGCTCTAATCAAACGAGCTGCACAAAGATGCCACTTTTAAACACCCACATGCATAAGGTAGGACTAGGTGGAAGCAGAATAATGCATGCTGCAAAGGAAGCCATTTCAGTACTTGAGACCCGAAACCACCCATGAATATTGCTCCGCCTTTCTTGGACAAGCCGGCGACAATTTTGACTTCAATACGGGGTAATGACACCTTACATTAACGGTGGTTTTTTCGGCTTCCTTCGCCTGTTTGCACATCGTTCTTCAATAAAGCGGCGATGTGTAAGCATCATTCTACGTACAACATTTCACGCATTGCTAAACCTAGGCAACTCAATATAATCAACGTACAGCCAGCCCGCCATCGGTTGCAGAGAACTTCCCAATTTGTCAACTAAACCGAAAAAAAGGACGACGAAAAACAAAACATACAACACCAGGTATTCGCTGGTCGTCACCGACCCAACTACTAATCCGGCCCTCACTGGCTTATCTATGGGAGAGCGGACGGGATCCCGAGTTTTCCAGTGGGTATGGTCGTATGTGTCAATTTGAGGGACGTAAGGCACCTAAAAAGCGCATCATTGCTGATTCAGTCCACGTGGACCTTGCATCACAATGTTTCGTGAGGTAGCAATTGAGCGCCACCTCAGCGCAATTTTCCATCCCGTAATTATAACAAAAACTACCTTAAAATTGTGGCAGTACAAACAACGCAAGGTTACAATACCTGGGAAGCTGATCGGTAGGGTATAGCGAAGAAAATTTTCGGAGAAACAGGATACTCTCTGGATTGAGAGCCCTCATCAACAGCACATATGTGATGAAGGGACCTGATCCACTAACATCATCTCAGTCATTTCTGACTTTATGGTGTGCTTAAAATCAGGATATATGTCAGTGAGCAAATGGAATCCATCGTTGGTGGCATCGGATTGCGTAGCGTACTAACAAATTGCATCCCTCCTTGCGCCTTCAAAACAAAACAGGCAGACTCTGTTCTCGTTATCTTCGCATAATACTAAACTCTTCAAACAACACCAAAGTCTGAAAGGATGCACCTGCTGATGGCATGTTTCTGCTGATGTGGTGGAACTCTGCTATTGCAATTCGAGATGTTGGAAGTCTATACGGTGGTTGTAAGGGTCTGTATCTGGCAATTTGCATATGGAACGTGGGCTAGCCAGTTCAGCTATGTCTCAGCTCGCCATAAGCCCGCCATCTCTCATTTGATGATTTCTCACGTACCACGAGCGGACCTGGGGAATGCCGGCCTGTCTAAAAAGACAAAGCTAGACATGGCTTCGGCGATGTGTGATTATCTGAAACAACAAACCATGGTTTTGGGGGCTCACAGCTTTGACGCTCGTAGTACAAAACGTGGGCTACAAAGACACGAGATTGGTAAAACCTAAGGAGCTTGGTAAGACTACTCGCGAGCATCTTGTAGATTTTCTTCTAGATATTCCTACTGAACAAGGAGATACCTGCTATTCGTTTGTATCGATACCTCTTTTAAGGTTTTCATGTCTCAGTGGCACTTCCCCACAAGGTCAGGCATGTTTTGAGCACTCTAAGGTCGTCAATTCTAACAACAGGGAATGGCTTTTTTCTTCTTCTTCTTTTGAATATTGTTATCATGGTCTCGTCGCCTCGCTCACCAATACTGACGACGATATTGGCCAGCCCATTACATGTTGGTCTCCGAATGGCCCTCCATCTCATTAGGGCGTTAAATTAAGTTTGCTGCATATTGAATATCTTTCTGATCAATACGCGAAATTTAGCATGATGAATGAGATGAACATATGGAAGAGCCTGGCATAATCTGTCATACAGAGACGGTCCACATCGTGGAGCAGAATCTGCTGGTTGTCAAGGAACGCTTACCTGATCCGGGGTAATGTGATATAAATTGTCGGTTTCACATGGGCAATCAGCTTGCCGAGCTGTGGGGTTTCCCGGGTCCGCGGCCAGAAGTATCATCCAAACCATACGTAGCCTACAGCCATAGCTTCCGAATAAATTGATATTGGGGACGGCGTTTACCAATCCGCTATTCTGAACCGATCGACTCCTTTTTGAGCAAGTGTAGTGCCTATACCAGGGCTCTATTCCTCCGTTCAAGATGGCATCTTGCCCATCATCATAGAAGCTCTCAATAAATTATCACTGTATCCACATATGCTCCATAAGACAAGTACCGTACGCGCTCGGGAAACACATAATAGTGCGGCGTTGACGCAAACTTTCTACTGCACTTAGCCCCTAAAAGTAAAGATCAGCGTGCTATTCCAACGACCACTACGGAATTGTACCCCCAGCCCCGGTACTCGACAGGATAGCCCATGCTCCCTCGGGACGAACCCTCTGTCAGCCAATTAGGAGGGTTGCCAAACGCAAGTCGTTTGTCTGACTCAACGCGTTCCTAATCCCGATCCGATTTACCCTTTCAATTTGTTTTCTCGGATTGTACGGTACGGCGGTTCGCTCTCCGTAAAAGCGTTCCATTCCGCGCTTGTGTGTGGGTCTTCTTGAGACGGAGAGAGCGCGGTTACTCACAGTTTCATCCTGGAAGAGGGCTCCAGCAGCCAATTGTACAACAAGTGTCTTCCGCTCAAGATCCTCACATGCGACTGGGCCCTTAAGATAATCAAGGTGGTACTTGAAGTGGACAAAAGTAAAAAACCTTGAGCTTTTCAGGTAGTACTTGACACCATTCCCATCACATGTTATTGATAAGACTGAACAGTATCTTGTTTGACGAGCCTCTCTCAAATGGATTTGTTTTGAATGCGAGATGGATACTTCTAACAGGGACTCAAAAGCAGATCTAAACTTGGTGCTTTGTTTGAAATTTTTGAATTGCGAAAAGATTAAACAGGATGTGCTATATTGTAATGATTGTTGGTGAAGACCCAGTAAACAGGCTAGGTACCACTGACGCTGGCCTTCAATGGTGGTTTAGAATATGAGCCTTCCCCCAAAAGATAAATCCACCGTTTAATCACAATCAGAGCCGGTTTGGTAGAGCTGGCCGGTTCTCCAGTTCTTAGGAGCGAAAAGCTTGTTCGCGGTGGTATCAACAGCGCCGTTGACAACAGGGAACCAACCTCCAGCACCAGTGGACTTGCAGTTGTTGTAGAAACGGTCGCCATCCAGTCTGGTATGGGGGTTGGCAATGCAGTGGCCGGAGCCAGTGTCATAGTCGGCCTGATGAATGTTAATATCAACATCGGTGAAGCCATCCTGATAGAGGAGAAACATACAGTCTGGGTGTAGCTGCTCTTGCAGACGTTGAAGGTCAACTGCCAGTCGTATCTCCAATCGTTCTTGCCAGGGCCGTACTGCACAGTGCACCAGCAGTTCTTGTGGTTAGCGGCCAAGGCGGGCGCCAGGAAGGGAATGAAGGCAATGAGACTAGTGACACGCATTTTTGCGGTTAAAAAAGACTGAGCTGGATTGGAAAGAGTGTGAGAAAGAGTGTGATGCAGGATGAGAACAAAAGATCATCACTGGAAGCGGATGAGACACGCCTTTTAACTTGTTTCTAAGATGCCTTGGTAATGGTGAAGTCAACCTCCATGGTTGAACGAGTGCGTCAGCAAGCATGAACCGGTCACTTCGACTTCGGTAAATGAGCTCGGACAGACCGGACAAGGGATGAGGGCCTCATGATGATGTGTGTTACTAGAGTGAGGCGAGCCAAACTAGGGTCTGGCCATCAAGAGACTGGAAAGCCGGCGGAGATGGAAACTCAAACAGTACTTGGAAAAGTCTTTTAAATTTACTGATGGTTTATGGTACTCGTGATACGGGAAGTTCAGCCCAGTATTTTGTTGACGAATCCTCGCCAATGCCCAACTGCCCTGCGTCATTTTAAATGGCGGAGAAAGCTTCTGTCAGATCAATCTCAACTAGAGGGCTTCTTTCTTCGTTGAACATGCCAGGACAGGAATTAGTGTAGCCGGCGTCCCCACCGAGCTGCGATAACATGCTTGTTGGCAATCATGTACTGAATCGCCAAAAGTTAGGTACGCATAAAGCCGTACATTTGATGTGTTGGGCAATCACCTCAAGTAGCTGGTCGTAATCAACGTACCAGTCACGCACATAGAGCTCGCCAATGCTTCTTATAGTTGCTCTGGCATCTCGCAGATCGGGAAACGAGAAGTAAAAATCACGTACCTTCTGACTTCTATCATCCAACACCAGCTTTGCTTGCGAAAGGCCCATATCATATGACTCCTTGGAACAAATATGGCTCCGTTCAAAAGAAAACACGATTGTTTTTCGCATTCATAGGTTGACTATGTAACTGGTGGTGGGCCTAACCATTCACGACTCGCAACTAATAAATTAAACCTTACTTTGATTGATCGGAGTTCTGATTCGCCAGGGAAAGAAACCCCAGCTGTGCTGATTCATGAACCAGGACCCACATACCAATTCCGTAGTCAAGTCGCAAGTGATACATTGGTTGGTAACCCGCAATTACGAATAAGAGACTTGTGCTCACCGATCAACTAACGAAGCTTATTTGCAACAATTCCCTGATACCGTATACTATAAGTAGAGTTTACTGAGTTTCCTAAACTGACTCTTTATGGAAAGAATCCGAATTGCACTTTCTAGATAGAATACCAGGGAAGCCATTTCATGAATCTCATAAATGATCGGTCTTCTCACCATCATTTACGAGGGCAAATGGCACCACAAGTAACTCCATCAAACTCATTCTTTTGATCTATTCGCTCTTTATTCCCCAAAAATGAAGTTCTTGGCTATTCTCGCTGCAGTCTCTGCGGTCTCGGCATTAGCTAGTGATGCCAGCGAGAGAATCGATAGTAATCCTGGTGCCATTGAGCTTCACCCAACAGCCCAAGAGCTACAGAGGTCATCCTCAGGATTTACAAAGTATGACAAAGATATCTTTCTTTTGACCTTTGCTAATGTTAAATAGGGTTGTTCGCTCCGATGTTGAAGGCTTGCCGCTTGGCAAGCGTCTCAACGGTATTCCTATTCCTTACAATGTGGAGCATCCTGAGAGAGTTATTTTGGGTGGCGTTGTTATCACCTTCACCATGGTTGGAAAATGGATTCGTCAGGGAACCGGCAGTGCGTACGTATATGTGTGCAAGAGCATGACCCTCACCAATACTACGGAACAGAAGAAGGCAATTTCCGTTATTGGAAATGGCATCAGCTATTTCGTGAACAAGATTTTCACTGGGCACCGTATCGACTCTATCAGGGCTCCTGAGGGCGGGTTCCCTGCCCAGGTCGACATCGTTGTTGGAAATGCTTAGCTGCAAAGTCTTCGTGGATACCGATACCTCATGGTAGCGCTATGTAAAGTGTGGGTGGCAGGCCTCGCCGGCCCGTCACGTGGGCTGACGGCCGCCACCACTGGTCTTAGCCAGCCTCCACAGCCCTCTAGCCAGTTAGTTAGTTCTTCCAACCAACAACACCACTTTTCCCATTCTGAGCGTTCTGTGCTGGTTTCGCCCACATAAAGTAAACTGCAACCTTTCGAATTCCACTTTAATCAACAGACCTTATAAAGAATTAAGAGGACTCATGTGCATAAAAAAGAACGTATGAAATGCTAGTTAAAGAAAACCCATACACTGAAGTTGGAAGAGACGATGCAAAAAGAACTGAGTTTAAGGTGCCTGAAATAAGCTAGGTAAGCAAAGGTTCAAGCTTTTAGTCCCACAATTTCCCTGACAGCGCGTCTTGTTTATCCGTGCATTAGAATAGAGTTATGCTTCTTCTACGGTAGACTGACGATCAATTGACTAAAGGTGGAAAAACCTTCATGATCCTGCTGACGGGTGCAGGACACTAGGGAAACACAAAAATAAATCAAAACTTGGGGAAAAAAAAAAAAAAAAAGAAACCTCCGAACCGTGCCAAAGATATTAGAGTTCTCCCCACATCTGGTCAAGTCGCCCTCAAATGATTCCTGGAATCATCTTAAGCTACCTATTCGAAAAACTGTACTGAGTCTGCCATTGTCTCCGGTGAATCGCAAAACCGAAAATTGTTCACCAAACTTCTTATTGGGCATCATCATTTTCGTTGCGTTCATGGCCAACAATGTAATTCTTAATCTGAAATTGAGTGTCTGGTACCTTGCTTTGCCGTAGATTATAGGTTTCTCACACATACCCATCGTTAGAAATGGTTTAATTTCATGATTTAATTCATGACACAAGACATGTTGAGCAATCCGAAGCAAACATCAATGTTGACAGTTCGCTATGGCTGTAATACAGCGTTCGGGTCGGGAAAGCGGGCGACCACACTTTGCGGAAAGATTACCTACCTTTTACTCTGGTTCCCGCTACGGAAGTTACAGTTCCTTCTGTGGCGCTGTCACTTCCGTAGCACTGTCGAAGGGGCAAGCAAGCCAATCTTTACTGTAAAAAGCAAAAGCACACAGAGCCCCACACCTTATTCCAGTGCAAAATGTATGCGAACAGTCGGACTGTAGATCTCTCAAAAGGTCTTGCGAAACCGTTAAACCAATGTGCCTTTATTACTGTCATGGTTTATGCATGATGGCGTTAAGATATAAGGTTATGGGCGGTCTAGGGGTTTGCAACTCTAATGCAATACAACGGAACTAGAATAACGAATACTTTACCGACAGTGCATACCTTACCTAGGTAGTTTAGACTGCACACGATACCATAATACAACAACCCTCGATAGAATTTGCACAGAAATGAATCCTTCGTTTGTAGTATGTATACCCTGATGTTAAGATTCGCCTGGTGGAGATTTTTACTGTCTTTGAACCAGAACTATCAACTACGTAATCATGTCTTCGCCAGATTCCGTATAATCATTGAAGTCAGAACGTACTGCTAAGAGACTGTTTGCAATCTCTGCATACCAAAAGTTCAATGAAGTTTCTAGGAGATTACCCGGGTCCCAAGAGGCTCAGTTGATAGACAAAGGGCCAATGGCAGCTGACATGTTCTGCGAACAATTATGGAGTGAAATTCGCCATAGAAGAAGACGCCGCGACTCCAAATGTCATTGTAGGGTTACAATAGTCCAGTTATATTCCAGTAAACGCATCGTGGCATGATCAATTTCGCGTCCATAGTTAGCTTCGAATTTCATCCAATCCTGTGGAAGCTGGCCTCAGCCGCACGCGGAGACTTTTGAAGTCAGCTGGACAGCGAAGCACATCCGTTTACAACGTTTAAATGCCTCAAGTCAGCCACCTAGTAGTAACAAGCACTTGATGTCTTGAAAAAAAAATACAAGGACACGAAATCGGTACTGTGAGACTATCTCTAGTGTCCAAGCCGCCCAGTGATAACCACAACTTCGCTGTAGTCTAACTAGGTAGTCTAACTAGGTACTACAACATCCGAATCGATGCACGTCTCGGAAGACTCAGAAGGCATCACATACCGTGCCCTAGATCATTCAACAGACGAATTTCGCCTTTTGTATCTCAAACCAACCGTCAACACCTCTTCCTTGGGCAATGACCTTGTCGTCTGTGAACTCCAACACCATCGCCTCTCCGACGCGCCCCCCTTCGTTGCCTTGTCATATTGTTGGGGTAGGGCATTTGCGCAGAGCGCGCTGGTAATCGACGGCAAAATCAACGAATGTGGCATCAATGGCGAAGCGGCTTTGCGGCACCTTCGCAAGAAGGAAGGGGTCCACGTCTGGATCGACCAGCTCTGCATAAACCAGAGCGACAACATCGAAAAGAATCATCAAGTGCAGATGATGCTGCGCATCTATGTCGCTGCATCCCGCGTCGCTGTCTGGATGGGAATGCCTGCAGATGACAGCGACATTTTCCTACCTCACGTCCGTGCTATGGGCGCCTTACTCCGCGACAAGATGTATCTTGACGTGATTCAAAGCCATACCGACACCGAATTCCTACAGAAAATGTCACATGCATTTCGTGCATTCTGTGAAAGGGAATACTGGACTAGACTTTGGATTATACAAGAGTTTGCTGTCGCGCGGGAGCTGGACATATTCTGTGGGGACGCCTCTGTCGACTACACAGACCTGCGGGAGTTCCTGGTCTTCATCAGCCAGATATACCAACACTTTCCAGCGGTTCAGGAGCAAGATGATCACGAAGTGATGAAGGCGTTCGTCGGGATGCTCAAGGCCTTTTTCAAAACTCCCGCGAACAGTTTTCTTGAAGGTGTATTTACCCGGCGACGCAGGTACCAAATGCGGCACAACCCTTTGCTGGGGCAAACGACAAACCCTACGGTGAAGAACGTGGAAGCAGCAATGGCAAAGGATAGAGAGAGTCTCTTTGCAGTTCTGGTAACGACACTTGTCTTGGAGATCGACTATAACCACACGCAAGTGACAGATTCCCGAGATCGCATTTTCGCCGTGATGCATTTCGCCGATGACGTCGATGAATTCGAAGGCCTTCCAAACTACAATCTCAGTTGCGAGAAGATTTACCAGAACGTTGCAAGACGTATTCTCCAGCAGGGGAATATCGATCTTCTGTCTTACTGCCAGTTCCCGCGGGAGACCCCCCTTGCGACGTGGGCACCGGATTGGAGAATGGGGATCAAAAGGCCATGCGTGGGAAATCCTTGGCTCTCCAAATTTGATGCATCGAGCGGCTCTGCCTCTAAGCAACTCGTTCAAACGCCGGACGATGTGACAATCTCACTACGGGGCGTGCTCGTGGACAGTATCCAGGAGACGGGTGAGGCGTGGAACCCGGATTGGATCTCAGAGCTGGATTGCAAGGCTGCGTTGGCCTACATTGACCAAGTCGAGGCCTTTTGCACAAAATCGCCTCTTCTATGCGACAAGATCAAGGAGCAAGATTTCAAGGATGTCATGCGCATTTGCATCGCGGATCGTTACTACTACAAGGAAGCAGAGAGACAGCCAGAGCTGGTGCAAGGGTTCGTGGAGGCGGCGACGCATATGCAGAAAGAAGTAGCAGCAAACGAGCAGAAACAAGGGGGGACTAACGAGTTGGCCGATGCCATTGGATGGCAGCAACCTTGGTACATGTTTGCAATGAAGAATCTCCACTCCAGACGTCCTTTTATCACGAAGTCCGGCTACGTTGGACTGGCGCCAATGCACGCGCAGCAGGATGACAAGGTGGTCATTTTCCTAGGAGGGAAAACGCCGTACGTTGTCCGGGAGAATGGCCATGGCTATGAGCTAGTCGGAGAAGCATATGTGCATGGTATCATGTATGGCGAGGCCATGACTGAGGACGTTAGTTTTATTGATTTCTCCATAATGTGAGGAGAGAAGTGGGAATATCTTCTGGCACGTTTTACACACTTACTATCTCTCCGGGTATTACTTTTATAAATTGCTATCAAGGAAGAGGTTACGGATGAAGGTGGGCTTTAACGTTGCCATCATCCACATGACTGATGTCAGGCTGACTGAGTTCCTACTTCTCGTAAGTGCCCTTAGCCGAGCGATGACTACCGCTTTTATGCATTCGGGTGAGCGCCAGGACGATAGGATGCCGACTTTGAGGATGGCGATGGAGACGCGGTTGAATTTTATCGAATTTCATCTTCCCTTCACAAGTGGATCGGACTGGTCCAGGTGTTGCCTCTATTATACTACCTTCATGTCTTATTGCCGTTGTTGACGACAGGAACTTGAGTATGATCAAACTAGTACCGAGATTTGCGGCACAGCGACATGGTGGTGTGGATTGTGGTATCCACCGGTATCTAACGAAGAAGGACGAGTAATGGCACGAAATGGATTTTTCCTGGAAAAGACACTATTGCAAATATGGCGAAGTGGGGAGGGCAGAGAATCATGGCGATGGTAGAAGCGATCAAAAAAAAAATTGTGGGTGGAGACGATATAGGGCACATTGTGCTTTGCTTCCTTCAACAATCTGCCTTGTGGAGTACAAATCCCACAAGGGGACGTGGCGCAACGGTAGCGCATCTGATTCCAGTCCAGAAGGTTGTCCGTTCGAATCGGGCCGTCCTCAGCACATTTACTTTTGAATTTTTGTGATGTTGCTCTCTGCCTCTTATTTTTTTTTTTTTTTTTTCAGTTGGTGGTTCTTATGAAAATTCCCAATAGACTTTTTCTCTAATTGTTTTGCTTTACTTTCGACCGCGCCACCAATATGGGGTTTCTGTCAGTTCCCCAATTGAGTGCTACACAATGACCGAGGACATTAAACAAAGCTCCCTATTCTATCCATTGGCCTGGTTGGCATCAAAAAAATAAATCGGCGGCTATCTAGTAGTTACGACCAACAATAGCCGCAATGATAGCCCCATTGTCGTGTTGCTGCTCTGTGCTACTTGGGAAAAAAGATATAGCCATGGTAATAATGTCGCGAAGTCAGTCAATAATTGAATACCGTGTTTCGATTCTGATCTAGGAGGCCAAGAGAGGCGCTCCGAGTCAAGTGTAAGGAAAAGTCCTCGAGAAGCGCGATCCTACGTCAATGCCACCTTATTTTCAATCAGTAACTACCTGAACTCAACCTTCAAAGTGCAGTCTAGATACTTTCCACCACAGATTACCATATTCTTCACCGAGGGCAAAAGCCTCCCCTCTCATTGATCGAACCTCCAGTAGAAGGTGTTACGACTTCCGTGAACCGAACGCGAAACCCTGCCGACCCTGGCCCATGGCGTAGAAAAAGAGTCTTCGCCGGCAAGCCAGTGGCAGCAACAGTTGTTTTTCGTGGATTTTCATGGCTTAGTCGATTCAGCTGCCCCGGGCCAAGAACATGAAGTTATTGGAGGAAAACAACCAGGGTTAAGCACATCATCTCCCCAATCTGATCACCCGACCGAGGCAAATTCTTCAGCTCAAGTTGATTAAGGACAACAGGATGGACACAAAAGCTGGACTCACGCTAATAGAAGAGACTTGAACAGGTAGTACCCGTTATGATGGACCATGGGGCAGTGAATCTCCTTAGCCTCTTTCCTGGACAAGATGCAAGAGACACTTTGACTGGGGCAAGTGGGAAAGACATAAACTGTCATGTCTCCTTGATCATACCGGTGCATGTTTCCACCTTGATTGCCTGTATCACTAGTACGGGTTTGGAGTAACTAACCTTTGATTGTATGGATGCTTTTGTCAAGATTGGTTAAACATAGTTGGTTTAAAATAATTTAGTGCTTAAATTGATGGACGACAAAAGAAAGATGATAGGAAATATGGCTAATCCATGATCAAGTGAACGTAGTTAAAGCTTTCCTCCCCATTCCAATGGCTATATGCGCAACTTGGCTGAATCATCCTCCATTGATGTTGCCTTAGATGTGTAAGTCCGGTCTAGCTGACTAGTCCAAATTCTTGGAAGCGGTGGTCTTTTTAGACGGGTCGGATTTGGTGATTCCTTCGAGGTCTTTGGAACGCAATTAGAAAAAGTTCAGAATGACAATAGAAACAAGTATGGGCAAACTAACTTTTCTTGCGCATGGTACGGGCATGAGCCGCGCGGGCGCGAAGAGCCTCTTTGCGAGCTTCCTTCTTGGCCTTGGCAGAAGCCCTAGCGGCACGGGCGTGAGCGGCGCGGGCCTGTTTGGCCTGGATGCTGGATTCGGCCATGATAAACGGTGTTGATCGAGATAGTGGGGCCGATGGGGCCGTTGTGTGGAGGGAGGTCAGAGAAATGAGGTTGTTGAAGTCGATGAGCTGAACTGATTGTGTGAACTATGGAAAAGTATCAGCGACGGTACGTTCTTGTATTGACAAAGGGAAGTAGCGAGTATCTGTTTTGGGTTGGAGGCTTCTTTTGAAGCTATTCGGAGACTTTAAAAAGGTCGGGTGCTCTCAGTGGACAGTTTTGGAGCCGTTGAGGCCCACCACACCAAAACCCCGGACTCTCGACGGTGCCAAGTACCCACCTGATGTTTGTATATGTCGCTAGCTATCCTTTGAGATATGACAAAGCGTTACGAGCCCTGGTAGGGTGGATTTCTGGCGGGAAGCGATGGATGAAGTTGTTGAAGCTTCAGGGTATTTCGATTGTCGGGATTTAATCGACTCGATACGTATGCGAGAGGGAGGGAGGAAAGGCAGGAGGTTGCCTATGGCCTTTTCACAGTTGGCAAGAACGAGGGGAAACTTCAATTAATGATGGTTTTATACGTAGGAAAGAGAAGATAGAACGAGTCGAGAACTGAAATTGAAGAGAAGAAATTCGACGTTGTCCTCACCGGGCAGGAGTTGATGCAGGAACAGCTACGAGGGGGAAGCAGCTACCCTGACGATCTAAGGGAACTGCGGGGGAACAGTTTCGGCTCCACCTCTTATCCGTGTCGCGTAGTTCCACGCGTTTTCGCGTCATCTAAAAGGTTTATCAGATTAGATTAAATCAAACGCCCAGAGCAATATTAGGCACGTGCCCGTTGTGGCTTTCGCTGCAAGTTGTCACGCTCGTGGCTTGGGCTCTGATTACCTAATCGAGCTCGCTGTGGCTGGTGTTAACACGTTCCATTCTGGCTATGATTCAGGTTTCATCAATTACCAAACATATAACTTGTATAGAGAACTATAACGGCTGATAGCTTGAAACTGTGTGTCTCTGTTGTGAGAGGAATGGATGGATGTAAATCTAGGAACAAGTACCTGTAGCCAAACCCTCCAAGAAGGGATAATTATTTGACTAGAAATAACCATACAAATTTTGAAGGGCCACAATCTCCACACTGGTGGTGTTTTATGTCATTATAGTTGTAATGGCTGATGTCCACCTTGCGCCTACCTATCAAGTCTCATTGTGGCGGCAGAGAAACTGGTGAGCAAGCGAGCAAGAGTCTTCTTGACTCCTGAAGGCATTCTGAATATCTGGCTCTGGTATCATCTTTGTCAAGATCATGTTGTACCATAAGCCACCATCTGTGGGTGGCAGGCCTCGCCGGCCCGTCACGTGGGCTGACGGCCGCCACCACTGGTCTTAGCCAGCCTCCACAGCCCTCTAGCCAGTTAGTTAGTTCTTCCAACCAACAACACCACTTTTCCCATTCTGAGCGTTCTGTGCTGGTTTCGCCCACAGGTTATGAGCCCAGCGTTATTCTTTCGGAATAACGTCGTTTTACCCATTATTCTACTCGTCTGTCAATTTTCTATTGATTCACGAATTTTTGCGATTTTATTCGCTTTATTTACCCTTCTGTGCGATTTTCTCGCTTTCTTTCCTTCCTCTTCGCTGACGAATTTCACTTTCTGACGCGACATTGGCTGCCTGGCGCGCACGAATATCACGTGGCACGCGACCGACCACCACAACCCACTGGTTTTCACGAACACCACGGTCAACAACAGACTTTTCAGTCACAACTACAACTTTTACTTCGATTCCTCGTTTTTCACGAGAATTCAACCATTTCAGCTTCGGTTTTTCGAACCAGCCCATCAGTTTCTCGTATCTTCTACGAGTATTCATTCTTCCCTTCGATTCACCGTATTTCTACGGTCGGATCTCACAATTCCACCCATTTCTCGTGTTCTTACGCAAGATTCTCCCTCCTACACAATCCAACAGCACGCGTAGGTGGCAGCGAAAGTAAGCCATCTAACGTACAGACACGCCTCCAAAGCTGCGGCCTCGGAGAAACGCCTGTGATCGAGGTGCGACTATAAGTCTGTCCCGCACTGTTGTGATACCCTCACTTTCACTTCAAGATGTCTCAAAACGACTTCAAGACCGTCTTCACGCCTCTTCCTCGCCTGAAAGGTGAATCCAACTGGAACACATGGCGCATGCTTGTTACAGCGACCCTGCGAGGATACGACTTCGAGATATTCCTCGAGACTGACGTCCCTCGCCCTGCTGACCCTATCGCTGCAGAGGAATGGAGAAAGAACCGTAACGTCACGAATGGTCTCCTCATGAACGCCAGCGAATCGGTTCTTGACAGACTCTGCACAGCGGGTTGGGTTGACGATGGAAACCCTTACGAATTGTGGCAGGCGCTCGAGAAGCACATTCCGAGAATCTCACAAGACGCCACAGCTGCCCTTGTTGACGAGTTTGCCAAGACCACCGCCAACGATCACAAGACTCTTCACGATGCCCTCAATCGCTGTCACCACCTCAGAAAGCGTATTGAGACCATTCACGGTCGTCTGCCAGACTCCTTCCTCGCTGTTTTCCTCCTTAACTTCTTTAAGGACCGACTTCCCGATACGTACAAGCATTTCACATCGAAGGGCGCCACCCATCCCACGTGGAATGAGGTGGCTGATACGATTTACACGCTTGCCCAAGACGAGGATCAAAAGCGCAGTTATGCCACTATTCGCAACACACCTGGAGGCAAGTCTGCTGGCAGTGGGGGTCCTGCCTCTCCAGCCGTCACCACCACCGTCACCTCCACTGTCACTGCCTCCAAGGAAAAGAAGAAGTGCGACCACTGCAACTGTGATCACGAGACCACAAAGTGCTATGTCGCCCACCCCAATCTCATCCCTCTACACTACGTCAACCGGGATAAGTTGATTGAAAAAGCGAGAAAGCACGTGTGTGGCGATCGCTGCCGCTGGGATCAGCCTACTTCTGTTGATGGCACCCGCCAGACTGTTGTCAGAGCGTCACCTGCCATCTTGGGTCAGTCTGCCCTTGCCTCCATCGCCAGCCCAGCAGTTTTCACTGCTGCCCGCGATGACCTCATCACCCGAGACGATATCGTTCTCGATTCTGGTTGTACTACTTCAACCTTCAACAACTTGCGATATTTCGTCAAGTACGCTGAAAAGAGCGATTTGACACCTTCCACTTCTGCCTCCGGCGCCCCAGTCCGGTCACTTGGCGTGGGCACCGTCTTCTTCCAGACCCAAGACCCCACCAACCCTGACGTTATTCACGATTGGACACTTCACAACGTTGAGTACAACCCTTCCAGCCCAGCCAACTTACTGAGCCCTGGAAAACTTCGTCGTGATCACGTGGAATATGATTGGCAGACCTCAAGCCTCATACACGTGACACAGCGCACTTCCCTTGCCAAAGTTCATTGGGTTTCTGACGTCTGCGTCGTTGAGACTCATGATACTGGAAATCACGTGCCTCGAGATATTGCTGTCAGCCTCGCCGCCTTCCGGGCTACCCAGCGACCGTCTCTTGAACTGATGCACCGCCGGCTGGTTCACGCCCACCCATCACGTGTTGTGGAGGCTTGCCGCCGTGTTGGCATTCGGTTCACAACGTCAGAAATTGACGCTTTCTTCTGTGAGTCTTGCCATCTCAGCAAATCCACTGAACGGATTAGTCGAGACCACCCACTTCCACTTACGAGTATTGGCGATGAAATTCACCTTGATCTCGTTGGTGTTCTTCCCCTATCAACAAAAGGGAACCGTCAGGTTCTACACCTCATGGATAAGTATAGTGGTTACCACTGGGTTGTTTTTCTGCCCAACCACAAGTTTGCCACCATCCTGGCAGCTATCAAGAAATGGGACACTGAATTCTACAGTCTCACCGGCCTCAAGCCCAAGGTTTGGGTTTCTGACAATGCTCCCGAGCTAATCAAGGTTTTCAACGACCCCTACTTCGAGGGTACTCGCCACAACACGACTATTGCCCACACACCTTCCATGAATGGGACTATTGAGCGTGCTGGTCGTACCATCGTCGAAGGCGCTCGAACACAGCTGATTGACATGTCCCTTCCAGAGGAACTGTGGGATTACAGCATTGATTCGGTGACTCAGATTCTCAACCTCTTGCCCACACCCTCCAAGGGTAACTTGAGCCCTCACGAGATCATGGCGAGAGAGCTGAACTTGGCTGCTGAACGTGAGGCCCCCCACATTGAACATCTCCGAACGTTTGGCTGTGCTGCCTACGTACACAAGAAGGGCCCTCGACGCCCTATGCGCTCTGCCAAGATGGAACCACGAGCAATCAAGGGATTCCTCGTCGGTTACGGTTCTCTTCGTGGCCACATTTACTACGTTTACCTGCCTGATCGAAAGGAGGTTATTCGCTGCAGAGATGTTCGATTTCGTGAGGAACCGCACAAGACAGTGTTGCCTCCAACTACTGGCACACCCAACATTGATGAAATTGAACATGATGCTGCGTTTGTCGAACCAGATATCATCATCCAGTACACCATCCGTCAGAAGCCTATTGAAGGTGAAAAACCCGTGACTGGTGATCCCAAACCAGATGAGACCATCGTTGAAAAAGCGATGGCACCCACTGATACACATCTCATGTCTCCGCCACCAGAGAACCTGTTGGAGACCACTGCTACACCTCGTGACAGCATTACTAACGAATTGAATGATGACGAATTCGTCGCTTCCGTGGAAACAATGGAAACTGATCACCAGGACCCTGATTCCCTCTCCACGATTGTTGAGGAAGCAACGAGTCAACCGGCAGAGTCCTCTCGACCTCGCCTTTTCTTCGCAGTTGTCGCACTTCTCGATCTTGAATACGAAGTATATGATTTCGACACTGCTTTCCTAGCCGCCTCGATTCCAGAGGGGGTTAAGGTGTACGTCCGGCCCCCCGCTGGCTACGCCACTGCAGACAACAAGGTTTGGCTGCTCCACAAGGCACTCTATGGATTGAGAAAATCACCACTTTGGTGGTTTCGACTTATCAAGGGTGAAATGGAACGAATTGGCTTCACTGCTGTTGATGGGGAGGTTTGTCTCTTCGTCAATCACAAGATTAAAGCGTACGTTCTTATGTACGTCGACGACAACGCCATCGCCGCTCCCAACAAGCAAGTCATGATGGAAGTTCGTCGTCTCCTCGAGAAGGTCTGTTCTCTTAAAGACCTCGGCGAGGCTACCGATTTTCTCGGTTTCCAGATTGAACGCGACAGAGCTGCCGGTAAGATTTTCGTTTCCCAAGCCAAGTACGCAAAAGCAGTGCTTCAACGATTCGACTTTGATGGTTTGAGTGCTGTCAAGACGCCTATGGCGACCACTGACGATCTGCCCGTCACCTGGGACAAGAACGAGTGCTCGCTTGACGAACAACAACTTTACATCGAACAAACCGGCTGCCTTAACTTCCTGGTGGCTGGAACTCGCGTTGACATGGCCTACACCGTCAGTAAATTGTCACAGGCGAATTCAGGGCCTTCTAAGGCCCATCTTCGTGCTATTAAGCACTTATTCCGATACCTCAAGGGCACCGTTTATCTCGGTATTGTACTTGGAGGCATCCCCACGATCAACGAGTTGGGGCTCTACGCTGCTGCAGATGCCTCTTTCGCTGACAACAAGCCATCACGAGTCTCGACAGGTGGTTACGTCGTCTTCCTCGCTGGTGCGCCGATTGCTTGGAAGTCAAAGAAACAGACTTTCGTGACTTTGAGCACCACGGAGGCTGAATTCATCAATCTCACACCTACGGCAATTGCTGTGAAGTGGATCAGACGTTGCCTCTCCCAACTGCTCGGCAAACCCATCACCACGCCTACTATCATGTTCACTGACAGTGCCAACGGCTACGACAACGTCATGAACCCACTCAACGAGGCACGAACCCGCCACATCGACGTCCGATACAAATGGATCATACAGGAGGTTCACACTGCGAAAAGCATCGAACTCCGACTCATCAAGGGCGCTGATATGGCCGCCGATGGACTCACGAAGCCACTGGTTGCGGTCAAACACAAGGAATTCGTTCGTTTGTTGGGCATGGCGGAGGGATTGGATTGAGAGGGGGATTTTGAGACTGTGGGACTATTGATATTGAGACTTCGGGATTCGGAGGATTTCACGGCCTCCTATTGGCCAGGTTTAACCGGTAATTGACCGAGTTTTCTAATAGTTGAGAACTCCTCGGATTTGGAGGATTTGGGACTTTTCCTGTATTTCCTATTATTCTACTGCTTTTTCGCTGAGGAGTCTGAGAGGGGGTGTGGGTGGCAGGCCTCGCCGGCCCGTCACGTGGGCTGACGGCCGCCACCACTGGTCTTAGCCAGCCTCCACAGCCCTCTAGCCAGTTAGTTAGTTCTTCCAACCAACAACACCACTTTTCCCATTCTGAGCGTTCTGTGCTGGTTTCGCCCACACCATCATTCCGATCCATCTATATCCTCTTTCCGCTTACTGTCGATTGTATGACGGAAGCTGATAGATGTTGTGTATCAATTGTGACGTCTTCACATAATCTAAAGGGCTGATGGAGACTGATGACGCCCAAGCAAATGGCCCCGGACCCGATCTTGACTCGGTCTTTTTCTTCTAATTCTGGACTGTAACCACAAATTTACCCAGACAAACCCAAGCGTTTATGGAAAAACTGAACCAATCTTCCAGAACTCAAGTGAAGGTGCGGAAGTACAAGTGAGTAGCCACAAACCTACCTCCACCCGCAATTCCACACTCGCCTGAAATATCCCACCTGAAATACCCACGACGCAATAAGCACATTAGTCTCAGAAGGATGTCGGTACGTGTCACCCCCACACCCAACATCTAAACCTATCCATCTGAGATTCAGCCACCCAAGATCAGCCATGAGGACAAAACGCGGGGATAAATGCAGGGGTCTGCTATATTTGGTAACTAAATATCGAAAAAGTCGACAGGGCTGCAGATGAGCCAATAACAATGTGGTTTTGCGGCTGAATTGCGTCCCAGCTGAAAGAAGCGTGCATATCCAGCTATTTAAGGTTCCTGTCTGACAGGTGTTTGAATTGAAAGATTGTCCAACGAGATTGAGCGAATGGCATGCTCATGTTTCGCCTCTTCGAATCCCCCGCGCAAGGCACAATTTCCCACCAAATACACCCTCGACTCCAGACCAGCCAAGGCTGTCGATTGATCAAACAGCCCGCCGTCTTACTCCTGGTTCCCTCAAGTGCTGCAGGTGCACTTGCATTTGCTCCATCCCGGCACGCAGCCGAATCTTGCAATCTGAGAGCTGATTTTGCTGCAGTTCTTCACACCATTCTCCCTCACGTTGGTTTTACAGACGGAGTTGCAGTTTCCTCCCCAGCTGGTAAGGCATGTGCCTCCGGTGTAGATGGGGGCATAAAACCAAAAGGAAGCTCGTGCTTCAATGTCGCGCTCAGTGAGCTCTGCGAGGGAGCCGCCGTCTCGCTCAGGAAGGGTCGGGGCGGGAGGTGCAGCTTGGACTGCGAAGATGGCGAGCGACGAAAGAAGAATAGTCTTGAACTGCATGGTGAATGTGTAGGTAATTTGTAGTAGGTTGTTTGTGGTTAATGTACGGTTATGTAGAGAAGTGATTGCTGTAGGAAAGCTGTTTGATGAAGGCTGCTGAACAATGACCTCAGGAGGGCTTTCCCAGAGACTTTTATACTTTTAGAGCTCTGTTATGATAATGCTGAACAGTTCGACACTTCATAAGACGGTGTAATTAACTGTTCCTCGCCGTTCAAAATTCCTTCTCGTCGCCAATGGTTTGTCACGATGCTCACATATAGCGTGAGAGATCTATATTCGCTTGGTTGCTGCCCCCCACTTAGGCTGCCCCTCAGGAACTAGGAAACTCAAGCTGACAATTCGGAGGAAAACTAGGCCGACCCAGAAGGCAGACTTAACTCCAACTTCCTATTAAAGACAGAAATTGAGTATTCTATTGGTGCAATAGTTGCAAGCCTGCGTTTTTGTTTTCTATAAATGAATGCTTGTTTCTGCTTGGCAGCTTCTACATTTCTCATTGACGATGTCGGCTACAACAACTTTTAAAAGCTTAAAATAACCTGCATGGATCACTTTGCGCTTACCCAAACTTGCGCAGCTGAACTAAACCTCCACATTTAAGCGACAAAATGGATGTCTTACTTTGAATTTGAAGTACACCGTAATACGAAGAACATGACTTTTCTCCCGAGAAATACGGCGCATGACGAGAGTCGTCAGCACAGAAAGGCGAACTGCATTTAGAAGGTAATTATATCGTCCAAAATCCTGTCGAATAAGTCAATATGAAGGCTATCAATTGCATGTTTAGGAGGTTCAGCCGAGATTTCGTGGCAGATTCCCCAGGGCAGTGCAACTGAAGTCTGCACAGCCAAGATATGCAGGCAGGCTTTCGCGTGAAAATCGTCCTCATACTTGATAATACTAGGCGTCATCGTGCGACTGGCATTGGCGCAGGGCTCTAACCCAAATGGTGACAACGCGAAAATTGTACAGGATATGACAGTGGAAAAAGAAAAGTAGGTAAAAAAAATGTATTGCGAGCTTCTATGCTGCTATCGAGTTAGACCGAGGGGTGGTAATCAATGGCATCTATGGCATCTGCGCTGGGTTAACGCATCAGTATGAGGTTCTGGCGGGGCATGAAGGACAGAAACATCCCCTTGAGTTTTTGTCGAGAATCAGTCAAACATTTAAGCTATTCTACAAAAACTTAATCTAACTGAGATCTCTATCGTACAGGTGGCACAGAATATGTCACAATAGAAATTTCAGCCTCCGGTGTTCTGAGCGATAAGCCGGGTTTCTGTCCAAGTTGAAAAATCCACACGCGCCCCACACATCCATATGACCCACACTGGAACGAGATTTTAGCCAATGAAGCCATTCTGTCCTTGGGATATGAGAAGAGTTTTCACTCAAGGAAACATCAATCCGGAATGGTGTAATGGTCAACATTTGACGCTCTCATACAAGGGCTCCGTCAGGCTCGGGGTTCAATTCCCCGTTCCGGAATATTTTTGACTTCCTGTGCGAATGGTTTGAGATTCACGTAGTCTCCAGCTTCATTGGATCCCACTCCGTAGTTCCTTTCGTCTTTTGGTTGCTTATGTTGCACAACCAAGAAATAGTGTCAGACATTAGGGTACAACGTTTCGTAGGTCAGTGAAAACCGCATTTTTAGGGCTATCGGCAGAGCACTACATCAGTCGTTCCCATTCACTTACTCGTCGATTAGACTAAATAATATCTTAGTTCCAGGCCCTCGGCTTGTCTCTAGCTTAAGTAACCAGTGAAGAACGCAACTCTTTTGTGCCCTGGCTGGGCCATATTCCCGCCCGCGTCATTAGTTAGAGTCTTATTCTCGCAGACAACCACAAATCCACAACCGAAAATTGGCCCTAGAATCTTTCACGTGAAGAACCGCCGTAATTTGATCAAAGCGAGCTATCATTGGTTGCTGAACATCCCCTGCTTAGTATCCACAGGCTTTGTAATGACCCAATATTATATACCTTCACCTGCATTGTTCAGGCCCCTCGAGAACCCCATCGAGAACCCCATAAGCTACCATCCCGAGTTGCATTACCTGTCTCGATCAGCCTACTCGACTCGGGAGTCTCCATTACATCGGTATACATCCTCCAGGCGGCACATAAGTAGCTAGAGCTACCAACTCAGCCGCCGCTGTGCTTCACCGCCTTTCGAGATGGCGTCTGTGAGTGCAGTCACCGTATCTGACGGTGGCTTGTCCACCGTCACTCTGTCGAAGAAGTCCATTAGACGCGAGGTGGACATCGTAGCGGGCGTGACTATGAAAGAGCGAAACAAGCAGAGCCTTACGATCTGTGTCGTTCGTGAAGAGAGTGTGAGGAAGCTAGAAATGGCTTGCAAGTATATCCGTGGACTTTTTGAACGAGACTGTAAGGGTCCCTTCCCGCCGCCGGTCGCAAACAATGCCAGAGAGAGCTGCTGACAACCCATCGAAGCGCCGCCAATGGCCTACACATCCGTCGCACTTCTCCAGCAGACCATCGACGCAGCTGAACTCTCGGGCAAGCATCGCGTCTTGAACCTTCTCTTCAGCCCCGAAATTGAAGATGTGACCTTTGACGTGCCTTCTCATTTCAGCCACCTGAAGATTCTCCGATGTGCTGCAAAGGGCGACAAAGGCAGACTGTTCGTGGACGGGTCATCCACCTACAACAACGTCCGTCTGGACAAATGGCAGCAACACCGACACAAGAACCACACTCTTATCGTCGGCGACGAGAGAGGTGTTCGGATCAAGCTGAATGATATCGTCAGCCTCCCTCACTGGGCCAGATGCCGCAGTAACTTCGATGAATCGGAGCAACAGGAACTCTTTCAGCAATTCGAGAAGCTGTCGGATAAAACTGCCTGGGACAACATCAAGGGAGTTGTGTCCACCATTTTGGGCATTGCAGTCGGTGCCGTCAAGTTCGGCGTCAGGTTCAATGGAAGCGCTGGCGGCATCTACGTCAAGTACACGTTTGGAATGCATGCGATTGAACTAGGGGCTGCTGGTGCCAAGGTCAGCGCTGTGGCCACAGCAGCAGGTTCGGCTGTCGTTCTCGGAGTGGCAGCTGCAGCTGCGGTCTACTTCATACCATGGGACAGCCTTTTTGCCTGGTTGAAGGGGGCGTTCAGCAGCTTCTGGGACAAGATACGTAAGCTCTGGCAGCAGTTCAAGGGCTGGGTTGTGGAGCTATTCACAAAGGAATCTGAGCATGAAGTCAACCAGCAAAAGATGTTGGTCAAAGCTGCCTAGCTTCATACACGACCTGAATGTTTTTTCTTTTGTATGGGTTGGAATTTTCAAGATTGATGCAATGGGACTACGGTACACGAACTACTTTAACGAAATAGACACATTTTTCACTAGCAACTTCTAATGAGACGCGGGAATCATCTTACTATGCTCGCTATGGTCGATGCATCGCGCTCCCGCTCTTGAAAACTAGGTCATTGCCACTGAGGGCTGTTCTCCCAACCAGTGCTGGAGTCAACGAGCACATTGCTTGCAGTCTTCTTCTCACTCCTACTCCTCACACATGATGGCACATCAGCAACATCCACGTTCCTCCAGTTATGGCAGCTGCAGATATTTTTCCGATAGCAAGACTATCTAGAACATGAGAAGCAGGCTTTTCAATTTTACTCATCTATGCGGGTGTAAAAAGCGATCTGACACCACTTCCTGTCGAGCTGTGCAGATAAATAAAGACAACATTCTGTTTAAAGCAGCACCTGAAAAACTGGCTTTTACGACTTCGTGTGTAGGTATCATGATGTCGAATACTTTCATGTTAGGCGCGCGAATCCCACCTGTTGTTGTATGTCGCAAGTGATGCAATCTGCACCAACCAGAGGGAGATGTTCCCAAGAACCCGCTTCGTCACCCATGACGAAATATGATCAGAAATAGTCAATTTTTTGATTCCAACAAATGACGTCTCTCTGTAAAGGCCACACTCATGTTTTACTGGCGAGAGGCGAGTGTATTATATCATCTCTCTGCCAAATCTTTCATGTCGGGTTGGGGCTTTCTCGCTTATCTTTTGGGTGTTCGCACCGTTCCAGAACCAGACAGCTGCAGCTTATCTGCAGCATTATTGCAGATGAGTATGCCCCTTAAAACCAGATAGTTGGCATAATCAGCGAATATAACCCATGGTAGCAAAAAAACTCGCTTCATGGCGCATCCGAAGAAGTACGCCAAGCCGAACGGTGCCGAGCCTTACTGTCAGCACAATGTCTTCGGTTAAGGAGAGATTTTCATGAACATTGTTTTCCTCTCTTCCTTCTCAATTGCCGTTTCAGGTACGAAAATTTCTACATCAATCACAGCTTCAGACCATAGATAGCCAGCCATCACAGCACGCCGATACGGCGCTTGATTCGATAGGTCTTGTCTTAGCCCTGGTCCCTGCAGCATGCGACCATGCCGTGCAAACACTTCTTTTTCGCCCTCGCGTTGTTTGTTTTGTGCTCCAGCGCGGCCGATGATGGCCTGTCCGACTTCACCAATGACTTAGCAACCGATCTTGGCCCTCTTCTTGCACTCTTTGGGGAGTTCATGACGAAACAATATCTCAGCGAAAGCACAACCTTTTTAGATTATTTTATTTTCGCCATGTGCCCTATAGGTATTATTACTACAATTGTCTCAGTAATTCGAGTTTGTGGAAGTCAGTCCCTTCGCGTCTTCATCGGTAGATCATATGAAGGAAATGGCGTTGTTGAAGCTGAGCTTTGCACTTCAACAAGCCGCTATGTTTGCGAGCTTTTCGACCATGGTGGCATCACTCGTGTTCTCGGCCGGCCCAAGATCCTCGAACTAGTCTAAAGACCTAATATGGAAGCTTCAAAGTCAGACCCATCAGCTAGATTGTATCTCTTTCGCCATTACCTAGCATCCAAAACGAAGGCCAACGATTGGCGAGAACACAACTCCGGCAAAGTCCAGAAGCCGAGTAAAGATGCGCAGTCAGACCTTCCTCCTGGAAAATATCGGTTCCGTCGCTACCTAGAACGCCTGCCAGACCCTGAAGATCGGCGAGAGTACAAGTCCGTCAAAACCGAATAGCCGGACAAATCGTGCCAGAGGTTAGAACAGACGGCTAAGAAAACGCTTAAAGAAGACTTCAATCCAATTGACAAGTTTTCATCCATCCCACCTAATATTTCGCTCAATGTCGGCATTGTGAAACGGGAAATTTCAACTTTCCGGGCAGCTGCTTTGTTTGGGTTTATACTCCAAAGTGGAATCATCGCCTTAGCTAGTGTTGGTACCTGGGTTCTGGGTTGGGATCGGAACGAAGCTGAGGATACGGCCACGGCAACCATTGGATGGAACCCAGCGTCGAAGAACTATGCGCCTGACATGTTCACCTTGGGAACTATTTTCATGTGTGCTGGCTTATGGGGTTGCGCAGCTCTCATCGGGGAAGCCACCCAAGAATGCCGATACGAGCGCGTTTCAGGCGTTCCTAATCCCTCCCGGATAATCTAGTTGCAGCCAAGCCAGAAAATTGGAGACCAAAGCTTCAACCCTTTTTCTCATTTTGAAGATGGGAAAGATACTCTTCGAATATGGACATCCTCGAAAAAGCATGACGACTCAGACCAAAAGCCCCATCTGACTTCACTTGCTGTTTTGGCGACCCTCCTTGGCTACATCATGCAATTTATCGGGCTACGGGGAATGAAAGCTTGGGTTTCTCTAGCACAACTACTCACTACCGTAATCATGAGCATCGTGAGAGGATCACTTCGCATGCGACGTCTTGATAAAGAACACAACATGCTTCTGGATATGCCTGATTTGGTTTAAGGACACGAGCTAGACTGGCTAGCAGTTGAAATTCTCCGACAGAGCAACGGCTCACAACATGTTGACGGCAATACCACTCCTGCCAACGTGAAAATTAGTCGATACGTCACCAAACTATATAATGTTTTTCGAGCGTCTGTTGTCTTCCAGTAAAAAAATGACAAAAGAAGAAGCACCTAGCCCTAGCGAACCCTACATCCACATAAGTTATTCAAAACTGCTGACCACCCCAGAAGACCACGTAACATTCTATTCTGGGCTGACTTGGGACTCTCCAAGAGCACCAGTCGACTGGGTAAGGCTGTTTCTTATCCGAAGGCGGTTTGCTCACTTGACTGGCCACTTTTCCGAATCCACGCAAATGCGCAGTGGAAAAAACGGGTTTCAGCAATGGCCGGACAAAAGCGTCAAAACGCGTGAACAAGCTAAACTTCTATCTTCTGTATTTTGCTCAGCAGTGGGCCGTATCTTACAAAATAAGATCTTGGAGTCTATAGGGCGGCGTGCAGACTCTACAACAATGAAAAGGAAGAAAAAGGCGATAGTTTGGGGAGTTAGACGGAATTGACAGACGTGAAACATATTCACAAATTGCTTCATTGAAAGGCTTCAATCTCGGCTACATTCAAAACATGGAGAGGACCAAACTTGCCGATTCAAAATGTTTTACCGTATATCAATCACCCCCAAAAACAGTAAAGGTAATAAGTATCAACTTTCAGCAAACACCAGCGATTCCGAGCTCGATTGAATTTGGGGTGCTGTTGCACGCATGAGTTTGCGAAAAACGCAAAATGGTTGACATGATTGCCACTTGTTTGCTAACGACACCTAAATCTTCAATAATGAAATGGGCTAGAATTGCTAAGAAACAAGAAGAAGATCAAAAGCTTGCCAACAACGAGCTCTTGCTTACAGAGCCTCTTGTAGTTCACAGAAGAAAATTCCTTTGGTGATAGTATTAGACTTTGGAGCGTATCTAGTAACACAACCTTGATTATTCATGTATACCATCCCTGGAACTATCAGGAGCAAAAGTCTAATTTGAATGAGAAAAGGTGTTTCGAGTTTGCTTGCTCCTTTAGACAGCAACAACCCGCATCCTCTTGAATATGCTGTGAATGATTCTTCTCAGTGTTCCGACGGCTCACACTGACTTACTGTTCAAGCTCCCATTTGGCACTTTCCTTGGACTAGCATCACTTAAGCGAAGAATCAGTATCCACCTGGACTCCATCACGCCATGCCTGACGGACCCGCTGTTTCTGATGATAATCTCAAATGTTGTCTGGGTTGTCAACCCGCCTTGATGGCTCAGTGGTAAAGCGCCTCACTAGTAATGAGGAGATCGAGAGTTCGATTCTCTCTCGAGGCATACATAAGGATTAATTCCAGTTTCCTTTTTGACATTTGTCTTAAATAATGGTACCTGACTTGCTATACTGTCTTGTTAAGGTACAGGACATCATTTCCCTGGCAACTTCTGACGGATTGCTTTCTATTTTGTGAGTAGTCTGGCAAGAGAATACGATGAATTATAGGCGTTGTTCTTGCGTCCATTAGTACATTCAAGGCTTCTTAAGTGAAGTCTTTCTATATGACAGCCACAAGTGAATACGTGTGATCAGTGTCTAGTTGCAACTTTGTTCTATATTGGGAGCTGTGGTAGCAATGAATAACGTCCCACACCCACTTCTGGGCACCCCCCACATTTGGGCACCCCATTTACACCAAAAACGCCGTTTTTCGAAATTCTATATTAAACTAACTACTATACTTACTAAGAAAAGAAAATATATATAAACTATGTTAAGTATAATTATAGCCATCTAATTTTTTATAAAGGTTTAAATATAATAATAGTTATAATATAGAAGTTTAAAACTAAAAGCTTTAAAATGTTAGTAGATACTAGTAACTTACTAGTATTCCTTAACATTAGAAAAATATATTTTCGCTCATATATACTTATTTAAAAAATCTAGGAAATTAATATTTATACTTATTAAAAGTATATAATTATATCTAAAAGAGATTTAAAAGTATTACTTTAGTAAATATAGTATAATTAAGGGTTAAAATTCTATAATAGAAACTTTTCTTAAGGGAAATTTTAAAATATTATTCTAAGCTTAAAGAATTTTTTACTAAGTATAAGAATATATAAATCTACTATATCTTACTTAAAAATTCTAATCATATTAGTTAAATATCTCTACCTATTTTATATATTAAGATATAGGCTAGGTAAATTAGTATTATAAATGTTAAACCTTGAATTTATAATACTTATTATTAATAATACTAGTATATAGCTACTTAAGTATTATAATTAAGTCTTAATCTATTTAACATATATTTATTCTCTTTAATAAGTAAAGTATTTAGTTTAATATAGAATTTCGAAAAACGGCGTTTTTGGTGTAAATGGGGTGCCCAAATGTGGGGGGTGCCCAGAAGTGGGTGTGGGACGTTAACTGTTTTTGATTCGTTGGATTCGCTATGACAATCAGTCTGAAGATTAAGTTAGAACCAATCGCTTAAGTTAAGATTTGTTTCTTGTGAGCTGAACAAAAAGGCACGTTCACCACCATGCGGTAAGTACCTTAGTCATCTGAGGAAGCACGGGATCTTTAGGCCACATTTGTGCAGAAAGTCGGATTATGCTCGTGGTTTCATCACATCACTATCTTCTCATATGCTCATTTGTACTCGCTAGCCAAATAGCCTCATTGCTGCAGTCATGGAACTTCGACGAGACCACCAGTTCGATCCGTTTTCTTTCGATGAACAATTTCAAGGGCGCGGCGATGACTTGGATTTTTCTCAAATGGACTTCAACGACCCCGCAACCATGTCCAAGATCCTTGGCATGGACGTCCCCCACAAGCTACCAGCTGAAGTTCGCCGTGATGCCCAACAGCTATCCATATCTGTTTTATCTACCTACGAGCGGTTGCAGGCTATCGTCAAACGTCATGAGGCTGTGGTTCAACAGCAATGGTTGAAAAAGAAGAAGCAGCAGAGGCTCGCCATCCTCAGAAGTGCCTGGGGGCCAGGGATGCCCTCAATCCATCGTCCAGATTTTGAAGCTTTCCGCAGGCAGTCAGGCCAGCACATGCGTGGGAGCACAGATTACAGGACCTCATTCATCTGGCCGTACATCAACGAAGAAGATCTTGTTAAGCCAAAGGCCTTGTTGTTGTTTCTCAATGCGCGGGCATATCATCATCCCTCAGAATTTGCGGGAGCCGATTATGAGGCAATGCACCTCGGACTTGTCACGAAAAATGTTGTTCCTGTGTTTCTCAACGAGTATGTCATGATTCTCCAAGTGTCGAGCAACGTCCGGGAATATGGAAAACTGCTGGCCTGGAGCGAACACCCCGATGCCTTTGAGTGGATGCACACCCGCAAGCAATTCCTACCAGGCGAGGGCCTTCTCGTTCTCGAAGCACAACAGAAAACCTTGAGTTTCTTGGTCAATTGCTGCCAAAATATCCTCCATGATATTCCCTCCAGCGACCTGACCGCTGATACCTTTCCCCCTCAACCGGTCCCTTATTTGAAGAGCGAGAAAGAGAAGGATGGCTTCGAGTCCTTGGCTGTCATGGCAGCGGAGGCCCCCTATCGCCTGCCTGCACGAATCGACTGGGACAGAATCTGTTCAGTCTTGCAGGCCAAGATGATGGCGGCAGGAGATCATATTTGGGCGTTGCGAGAAGACCCGGGATACTTTGCCGAGCAGCTGGCTGATGTCAAAGAGCACCGCCAAGAGATTCTCAAAGATACCAATGGCGATGTTCATCCCACACTCGGGCGTCTGAGACCCATCAATCTTTGGGCTCGTGTCACGGGCGAGACAGTATTTGAAGCCTATTACGAATATGAGGTGTATACCGAACTTCATCGCCTGGCGAAGCAGTTGCGAGAAACACATTCTGCTCATGCAGCGTCAATCTCACCTGAAAAAGACTTACCGGACGAGTTTCTCGATGCTCTGCTCAAGTTCCGCCACTATCTTTCCCAAGCAGCAAAAGGGCCGCTGAACCAACTCAAGCAAAGCGTAGTCGCTTCCCCGCCGATGCGAAAATTCTATGTGCGGGACCCGCCTATTTCTGCTGATTCAACCAAGATCTTCATAAGATCCAGGACGGATGTTAAAATGACCAAGGTTGAGAGCCAATTGACTTGGTTACTCCGTATTCTATGGGAGGACGGAACAGACTTGTTTCTTATGAGTATGCCATTGGCGTTAGACGAGTTGGACCGACTCCTGCAAGCTGAGCCAGAAGCAAAGGACCTTGTCACGGGACGTATTGCCAGCATGATTGGCAACCTCTCCATAATCGCCCAATGCTTCTCCCAGCTTGAGTTATATCAGCCGTGGGCGAGAAGCTTCAAATCACATCTCGTCGAAAGAAATGACGGAATCATGAAAGAATTTGCTGAACGGACCAGTCCATGGGGCAAAATGATGGCAGTGATGAGCGAAAGTAACATTCAGCACATTGTGAAGCTTGCTGACCCACCCAATCACAAGTTTTCTTATCCATCTGAGAGGCGTCGTACCAAAGAAAACACGAAACTTCTCATACAGGCAGAAAACAATCTCGACAAGTTTTGGGCTGCTGTTGACCGTCATATGCGCTCTCGGCTTGGGGATCAACTGGGCATTGCGGTCAAGCGACTATTATCACAGCAGCGTGGCTTGCAGCGCACTCCCGAATGGGTCGAAGCTCCAGTGACACTCAAAAACAAACAAAAACAGGAACAATCCCTAGACGTCCAACTCGACAGCATTTACAAACCATTGTCCACACTATACTTTGGAGAATCGGGAGACAAAAGGGGGGATGCAGTCCAACCCGATGCCCCCTTCAAGGTGAAGGAAAAGACAAGGGGAGTAGCAACAAAGAAAACTCTCGTTGCTACTGAAGCTGGTCAAAGTACTGGGGTATCTGATGCCAGTGGTGCGGTTTCAATCCCCGTCGACGCACGCTCATTCAAGGTGTTCCGGACACTCTTTTATGATCCTGATGTCACATCTCATCCGGGAGAGGTTTCCTGGAAAGACTTCCTACATGCCATGACATCGACGGGTATTTTCGCTGCCGAGAAGTTGTATGGGTCTGTATGGCAGTTTCAGAGAGTTGACGGGCTTGATCAAAGCCGCATCCAATTCCATGAGCCCCACCCGCATGGCAAGATCCCGTTTGTCGTGGCAAAGAGACATGGTCGGAGGTTGAATAGGAACTATGGCTGGACTGGCGACATGTTCACTTTGAAGGGAAGCGAAAAACACGAAGCCACATGATCAAGGATTAGAGAAAGGACAAATTTCCTTCTACATGTGACGATCTCAATCTACCTCTACATTCGCCCACGTGGTTCAACAGGAATTCTTTGTTCCAGTTAAACTCCATTATGTACCTCATCCCAGTGCACTTCAGGGAAGTCATTCGAAGGAGTATCCAGAAGCGGCTGCTCAGCGCCAAGCAAAGTTTTATCAAAAAAGGCCCTGATGAACGTTCTAGAGATCTTGACCATTCTGTTGCCGTCAATGGTGCCCGATGCGCGGGTTGTGCCGAAAATCTTCCAAAATGTCAGGTCGGACCAGTCACTATGCGTAGTACCATCTACAGATAACAGACGCCACCATCCCGTTTGCCACGCGCGGTAGTTGTTCCAGGTGCGATCGGAGTTCGCATTATGATTTTGGAAACCAAGGATCATTGACGGTTTTTTCAGATCCGAGTCCGAGGTCCTGTTCAACCGACCCCAGTTTGCACCGTCTACGTTGATGGCGGCAGCTACCGCGTCGCTCTCCAGAGCCACAGTCAGAGCAGCGGAGCCTCCGAGGGACACACCGAACGCGCCAAAGTTATCGGTCTTGAAAGGCGCCTTGAGGCTTTCCACCAAAGAGGGGAAGTAGTCTACGAAATGCAGTTGGTGCTTGACCCTGGTGGCGTGCAGCTTCTCGTTCCAATCATTACCGGGGCTACTGAAAGCCGGCGAGAGGCCGTAGACACCGGTGCCATTGGGGTATCGCACAAAGGGCTGTTCATAGACGTGGTCAAATGTAGCCACAACGTAGCCTTCAGCGTTTAGTCAGCAGCGGTAAGACAGAAATGCAGCAATCGTCAGCTTACCGTAAGAGACAAGATCGGAAATAACAATGTAGTTGCCATCAGTCGAAGCCCAGCCACCGGGCCCGAAGAGAAGAGTTGGCCCTGTTCCTTCGTTCAGATAAGAAGCGTTCCATCGCACTGTCGAAGTCAGGTGGGAGATGTTGTAGCTCCACAGAGAAGCGTAAAGCTCAGCAAGCTCGGCCTGCAGGTATGGCTTCGGACAAGGCTTTGGGTCTGACGTAGGATAGTACAGTGTGACGAGATATTCAGTTTCGACACCATTCGGCCACACGAGGTCTTCCTCGTTCACGAAAGGAACAACAAAACGCTGGGCACCGACATTGTACTTGCCCGTGGGAGCAGGGATTGGTTCTCCGAGAACTACCTGTGCAAGTGACACCCAGAGATGAAAGGTTAGAGTCCAGGGAAGTTGAGATTTCATGACGATCAATTGAAGGCGCAAGATGACGGCTTGATATCTTTAACAAAACAAAACATCTCGCGCGAGATGGTAATCTGTTTAAATAAATAAGCATTGTGGCAAGCTTCTCTTCTTCTGCTTGGCATGACACCTTTGGATCTCGAACCCCTCCCACGAGAAAAGCTTGGGACCACTAATAGAAGCAATGCAACGGCACAGTCGAATCAGAATGACATGCATTAATCCTTAGAAGCGGCCTTACCTCGATTAGGCAGTTGGAAACTTCGTGCTGGAGCCCAACCCTGGTCTCGACGTTACCCGAGAACCAGAGGTGTCAGATTCAGCGGGCGTTTTGCAGATGCTGATGGGGCCGAAGGAATCAACAACATGTCTTGCTACTTCGTACTGTCTTAATTACCATGCAGGCCTCCCGACTGACTGGCTAGGTTCTTGGCAATTAGGAACTCCATCACGTACTTTATCTTCTCTTGTGCTTCAAGTACGCTTGTTTTAAAAGGGGATTGCAGGGGTTTGATGGTGATCTTGAAAGCGGGGCAAGGCGTAGCATTCTTGGTCATCAATGTTCTCAATAAAATTCACCGAAACCAGGGCAAATCGTAAGACAGCAGACTGGTCTTTGGTCTTCTTATTCGTGAACTACGTTGAACTGTGAGTGGGGTATGCTGGGACATCCCTTTCTCTTCCTAAGTGCACCACCGTGCAAACTAAATGTGCCGCTGTGATGCCCGTGGTACATGTCTCACATCGGACAAGGTGATAAGCACATGGTAAGTTGGCAGATCTAATTGATAGGGCAGACCTGGTTGAAAGCACCACAGTGTTAGATTGTTGTAGATGATTGGAAATGAAATTTCACATTTTCATGAACTTGGGACGTTAATAGAGAGCGTTGATACGGCACCTGCTTGTCACTGTTGTCTACCTCTACCTGATGCCTTTCTCTACTAGGCAGCAAACATGCTGTTTAACTAGGTATATAGAAAGTCTTTGTCATAGACATGCCGTATAAACCCACTTGAAAATCTTAGCGTGTCCGAAGGACAATTAAGGCATAAAAGAAATTGGAGCTAATCGTAACTCCGATCATAGAATGATCTTCTCTATCCCCACACATGACACGAATGCACACGTTAGCAACCGGTGGGATGTCTTGTGCTAGACCATATGTGGTTTCGCTGGAGGGTAAATTGGTTTTTTGACTTACCCGAAAGCTCCGAAGTCCGTCTGTAAAGTCTCTGTGTGAATTTTAACGTGTCAGATGGTGGGATCTGTTCACAAAACTTCATCCAAACTGTAAGTGTCAAAGGAATGAGAGTTTCAAAATTTACAGATATAAAGCCGTCAACTTCTTCCTCGTACTATCCTCCAAACTACCACACCTTTCACAATTTCTACTTACCAATTCATTTACAATGCCTTCCCTCTATAAATATACTGACATTCCTGAGCCTTTTGACCGCAGACCTCCTCATGGGGGTGTAAATTGGATCGAGATACCCTCCAACAACCCAGACAAAGCCAGAGTATGTACAGTCTTACATTTTCCGACTAAACACTCAAAGTCTGCCTTTCCGTTGTTGTACAGCTACTAATGAATCCATTAGGAATTTTATCAAAGCATTTTCCCATCATGGAAATTTGAGAACCCTTCGAAATGCCCACCACAGTTCATCCAGCTATTCAAGGTCGAAGAGCCTTCGTGTCAGTGTCCATCACGTCGTGCTTGATTGTACAGACCTAACCCTGATAATTTCGGCAGACATGGAAGGCGCAATTTTGAAAACGAACAAGCAGTCAGTCTCTACCACGAATGCTTTCAATGCCGACGCTATTGGTTGCGTGCCCTCCTTCTTTGCCGATTCCATCGACGAGGTAACTATTGCGCCCCGTTGTTCGATTTATTGCCAGACTGCTTACTCCGCCACAGATACATGATAAGATTCTATCACTGGGTGGAAAGCTGTGCTGTCCCAAAACAGATGGTCGCGGCGATGGATGGTATGCAAAGTACTTCGACCTTGATGGCAACGTGTTCCAAATATGGGAAGTGCGCGTCAAAGAATGAGTGATGTAAATGTAACCTTGCAGTACTTGAATCTGTGGTTTGAACTCGCAACTTTTATATGAAATGCTTTCTCTCCGCTAACTTCCGTCTCGCTTGTCGTAATGCCCTATTGCAGTTTGCTGTTTTCCTTACGATAGTAACTGTGAAGTAGTTTTTTCTTCTTTTTACGCTCGCCATGATACCACGTGATACCGACATGTCCGTAGCATGAAACCCTATCAACTAAAAGGGTAATGACACACCCAGCTTGCCCATATGTTGAGTACTCATACCACACTCAGAGAAGGAGGATGCTCGGTATGGCTTCTGGTGAAGATAATATTTTAACTGATTGACAGAAATAGTGTAGATTAATTCGATACTAGTATACTAGCCTCTTTTCATAAATAATCGAGGCTTTTTCGGATCGCAAGTAAGTAACGATCGGAAGAGGTCAGCCACCACGGCGTGGAAATAAACACTGACTCAAAAGAATGCCAGCTTCAAGGCTATGCGAATAGACTGTTACGGGCAATAAATTAGTAGAAACGGCGAGCCTACTGAGTCAAGACGGCACTTCTGAAGGGCTTACCCCCTTCTCCTCAGTTCCAAGGACAGCTTAATGCCTACATGAGTAGCTTCTTGTAACAATCTTCAAGAGATCTAAGAAATAGCAAGTACGATATCTCACAACAAGCGGTGCTACAGCACGGTGTAATAGGGAAGTAGGATGTCGTCTATATTTTAAACTAAAGGGAGTTAAGCAGTGACAACAGTATACTTCTATAAATATTTAAGCTGGAAGGCATTCAAAATAAAACATGAATTTAGTTATTAAAGAACTATTCACAAAGTCTTGATATAGCACGAACTCTGGCAGCTAGGCTTAATCATTGCTCTTCATGTTCTTTCACACTGCTTATTGATTAGTCAGCTATGGTAGACATTATCAAGTGAATGACTGTTTAAGTTTATCTACCTTACTGTAGCGGGGCAACCGGGCGGGGCCGTGAGACCGGCAGGTGAGGGCACCTGTTGAGTCCCATGGGGTATGCAAGACAATTAGCTAATCAAACAATTAAGCTCCCTTGCTTCTCCCCTCACGTGAACCTTCACCCTTCATCTCCTCATCGTCTACATTCCGGCATAACCAAATTTAGCGCAGCGTGGCCAAATCGACGGACCAGTCATGAGTCTCGCAGCACCCGTCATTCGTGACGACTTCTCTTACGCCGGCGATTCCTTTTCCGTCTCAGCAAGCGGCCACGTACATCGTCGATATACGCTTCCAGAACTCAAAGCCCACTTCAAAGGGACCGGAACTGTTAAGGACCATCCCGCCCACTGGTATGAGGCCCAGCTACTTCATTATGGCCTCCCGAAATCTAAGGTCAAAGGGACTGCTAAGCTGAGGCTTATGGACGCCGTCAACGCTGGCACGATTGCTGTACCGGCCTCATTGACTGCCTTGGAGCGGGAAATGAAAAAGGAATGGACCAAAGCAAATAAATCTCTTTCAAAGCCATCGGGAAATTCAAAGGTTGGCGCGACCAAGAGGAAGGCAACTGATGTGCAAGTCTCTTCTACCGGTGGAGCATCTGTCAGTGTCTCCGTTACCGTCAAGCACGAATTGGCGTCACCATCGCCAGCGAAGAAATCAAGAACAACAACGAAACCAGCCGCGAAAGTCCCGACTGTAGCGGCTAAAAATACACCAAAAGCAGCTCCCCAAAGGAAGCCAAGCACTTCAGCCCCCTCTTCGTCCACCCCACGCAAGCAGACTGCCCGCCGCGGGAACTCGAACGTTGGCGGCCGGATCAAGCATGAACCCGACATCAAAGATGAGTTTGGCGACGATGCTCATTTTGGCTCTTCCTCATTCTCGGCGTCTTCATACTACGATACAGCTCCTGCAGCTTCTCCGCCACCCACAGCTCGGAAACAAACCGCACGCCGCGCACGGCCTTTCCTCAGCGGCCGCATCAGGCGTGAACCGGGCCTCAGAGATGAGTTCATTGACAACCCGTTTGATCGGCTACAAGGACTCCCGTCTGGAGGCTTCTACCTCGATGAAGCGGCTAATGGGTTCCCGCCGCTCGGCTTTATCAATGGCCGTTATGAACTTACCTTTATGGGCGGTTCCATGGGCGGCAGCGAATGTGTCGAAGCGTATCGCTGGCTAGTTTGTACCATCGAAGGCGATCGCTTATGGGTTTCCTTCGACTTCGGAATGGTGCGTGGTATCATGCGGAGGGAGACCCGACCTTGGAGGTCAGGGCGAGAGGGTCTGCTTTTCGAGTGGTGCGGAGAGAAGCCAGACGGACAGACTCTCGATGACTCTCACCGGGCGGCATTAGCATTTGTCGGCGGTGGAGTTATTGAGGGGATCGTTGAATTTGGCCCCTGGACCTACAAGTTTACTGCGCAGCGAGTGAGTGGACAGACCACAAGAAGCGAGATTTCTGCCAACCAAATGTGGGATGAATGGAACGGCCGGTGTTGGCGGAACTGAAGGCTGCTAGGAGAAGATGTGCGGATGTTAGGGTGGCGGGAGAGGGTCATACAACGGAACGATTCTGGAATGATAGATGAATTAAGTCAGTCATTTGAACCAAAAGACAGTACCTGAACATGAGAGATGCTTCTGCTGTTGTTTCCCAATGGCGTCGGCCACTCCAAATCTGGGCCGTGTCAAGACAACAAGCGCAACGGCTTTGGCGTAGGACGTTTGAAAACTCCCTGACATGACTTTGAGAAGCTAAGACGAACATGGAATAGCGTTAGCGCCATCAAGTTCAACTCCTCGGCCGTTCTCATTAGCGTGGAATCATGATGGTGAATTTTAGTGCTGCTTGTGTCACCTCGTTAGTGATCCCTCAGAATTATCTAGGTTAGCGGGACAGGATGAGCCCCAAGAGGTCAATCTAGTGCCACGAGGGGATATTGATTTCAACTATCATCAAAATGAAGGCCCAATCACAAAAAAAAAAAAAAAAAAAGGTATTAAATCTTTGATTATGAGTCTGGAATTGCTTCCCTCTGTCCAGAAATGATGCATTCTGACCACACCCTTAGAAGGGATTTGGAGAAGCCCATCTTAGGTCTAATGACCTGAGACGCCATGATTCACTTCTTGAGGGCTGTCTTTTAACCAATTTTCAAGCGTTCGGTGTCCAATTCGTTCGCTTGAGTTATCATATAGTAAAAGCGCCGATAGATCAGTTTCTGTGTTTGGCCATAATTCTGCAAACTTGCGTAAGTTGTATCCCGTAGGAAATTGTCACTCAATGGGATGGGTTCTTGAGCATGGGAAATCATGATTGTTTAAAACTACGGGTAGTTATTGAGATGTTGGACCTAGCCTATCCTAGCTAGTACTTCATAGCCCTCATGATACCTCGGACTTCGACCTCTTCCTCATCTCATACTATTGCCCGGTCCCTATCTCTCAAAACCTGTGTCTACTTTCTCTGTCCCTCAATACGGGCGTATGGATGTCATGCATTACCTGGTTCATACCGCATAACCGGAAGCTAGGCATGACAACTTGCCAAGAATGGCAGTTTCCGTAATGGGAAAAATCGGCCGTAAGAGGCCTTAAATATGCAGTATGCAATAATTGAGACTGCATTCATGTTTGTCTGATTCTTATTGGCTGCTTCCGTTGAATCGCTGCCAACTGCATCAACCCCTGGTCAAGTCTCGTGCCGACAAATGTAAGTCAACAGATGGTTCCGATTCGACGCCTGCCGTTGTCACCGTTCGAGAATCGTACGTCCTTCGCCTAACCACCCGAAAAAGATCTAGCCACAGTGTTCATGGTGTGAATTGGTCCAAGTGTATGCGGGGCATCGGTGAGCCTTGATTGAAACGGCTCCCTGTTTTCGTTGCAGGTAACCGAAGCTACCTACCTTAAGATTGGGCTTGGGTGGATTGGACATGGATGTGAAGTAATTTCTTTTACTGGCTTTGGCCTGTTTTCCATGGTTTAGTGAATCGTGCAGATATGGAAATATGATGGCTGCCTTGTGAGCCTGGAGGAAGTCTGTCTTCGGGAATAATGAGAGAAGAGTAAAATGTCTCCTGGAAGCATTTGTAGACCGACAATAAAAGAGTCGCCACCCCATACTTTTCTTCCGGTTTTGATGTTCTGAAATACAACCTAACTTCAATTGTCACTTTGTTAGTGTGTGAAGATCAGATTTGAATGAAATCTGGCATGTACACGATAACACCATCAATATTTATTCCCTCGGGTTCGAACAATCCACTTGTCATACCAACTCTATCCCATCTATCAGAACCCCTTCCAAGTCTTGGTCAATTGCCACCAAACCCACCGCGGCTGGTGCTATCACAGGCCGGCCAACAAAACAGCTTCGTGTAGTGGCGGACGAAGTTGAGTTTGAAATGGAACCCATTCTGGACCAAACCCGAAAGCGCAAGCTGCTCGTCATTGCAGACGAACCATGTCTAAGGCAAATGACCGATGGGGACGCCGAGCTCGGCCAAGGACCCCAAGAATCGATAAGTGAAATAGATCTCGAAGACCAGCCCGGACATTTACTTGCACACTGGGACCGCTATCTGGGTCGACTCAACAGCCACATTGACATACTTGACAAACAACGGCACGACTCAACTTCACCCGCAGCAAGCCGAAGACTTGACCTGACAGCTCGTGTTCAGGATCTAGCAAATGTACTCAAGACGATACATATTGGCATCCTGACAGACCGATTGCGACAGTGCGCCTTTGAGCCGGAAGAAAGGATCGTTTCCTTGTACCGAACCATCAAAAGCCGTCTCAAAAGAATTCAAACGATGGCTTCACAATTGGAAACTGCATTGAAAAACCAAAGCCATACGACCCAAGACTTGCTGCGCATGTTGGACAACATCCTCATTGATATGAACCTATTGAACATGGATAACGAGGTATACTACCTTCAGGAATGGGAGATCCAGGTATGTTCACAGTTCTCCAAAGAGAGTAAACAACGGGTTTACTCTAAATTATGGAAAACGCGCTCTTCTAACAATAATGCAGGATGATGAGTGCTGTTGTGGCGAACCAGGTTGTGAGAGGGTGACTCTATATATAGGAGGATGCCTGTAGTGGGTAGCAGAAAAGACACCTAAAGGCAATTTAAGGCATGAGTTGATACGAGGATGAGATGGAATAAAGTATTTATAAGTAAAGCAGGCCAACTACTGATCCGTGTGGGTTTTGTAAAGTAAAGTCGCAACAGAGCTCTGATACAGGCTGACCAGGTTGACCTAGCGACGCAATTGAACGATACGGCCATTTGTTACGGAATGTAGCCGGCCATTTACACCAACCCCGCTTCTCCCTATCGCGCCCTAGTCTTTGTTACGGAATGTAGCCAGCCATTTACACCAACCCCGCTTCTCCCTATCGCGCCCTAGTCTTCAAGCGAACTTCCGTCTTGTAAATGGATTCTCGCCTTTACATTCCCAGTTTCAAATGGCCCAGTGAACAGCTCGAGTATGTTGAACACGCCTGGCCTGACTCGTGATGAACTGGAACGTGATCTGTTTGTCATTGAATTTTGAGAAGACGTTTGAAGGAGCAGACAAATATCTTTGTTACGTATCTAGTCACGAAGTCTTGAATACACCTTTACATCAGTTATCACATGCAGCATCAAGACTGCCAAAAATCAATATTGTTCATTGCCACTACGAGTATTTGACTAAATGGGAAACGGGAACTTGACTCGTCTTACATACGAGCACAAACAAAGGTAAGACTGAATAATTATCACCGCCGAGTCAAATGACTGAACGGAACCTGTGTCACTTCGCCTGCGTCCAAACCAGCATATGCATGCTCCACACAATTAAGTTTGCCAATCCTCAGCACCTGTGTTCGAAATGCATAAGCGAAGAAATCTCGGACAAGCAAAGGTGACATGGAGCCTCACAGTGAGAACACTACATAAGGGGCAATTTAAATCTGTAGTGTGCAGTATATATAGGCCTCATGTCTCCCAGCAACTGCAGGCTAAGTTCTTTCCGCATGCTTCAATCTCAAATCTTGATCTTCACCAATCCGACAGTATGAAAGTCAATTTCGCTCTCCTATTTACCATTGCTGCAGCAGTTTCTGCTGCCGCCGTTGACGATGGCTTACTTAAGAGACAAGGCGGTTGCAGTGATAAAGGGCGCAAGTCACTTCCGAACCCCGCAACACAAGTTAACAAATAAACTAATCTTATGTAGTCTTGTGCGATAGCCCCGGCGATCCTCCATGCTGCAGTGGTCTACGGTGCCGCCCAGCCACCGCGCCCGTCGGTGGAAACGGTCGAACATGCCAGTAGCCTTTCAAAACGTACGTGTGAGAGAAGCAACTACATTAGGGAAAAGATACCTGTTCTGAATTCGAGTACAGAAAACTGCTACCAGAACACGGAAGCTATTATCGAGAAATAGAAATCACAAGATCTACCATGTTAGGGATGTCACTGAACTGAATGATGTATCTATGAGGCATAAATATGTTGCTCATCTCAAAGTGAACAAACTATCTCAAGTTATTAGCAAAACCCGGAAAAGGGAAAAGAAATTAGATCAAAAGAAACTAGTTGCTGCTCTGGAAAAGTACTGAAAGTTTGAATAAGTTTCCTATTAGATCGACAATCCGGTCCTCTACATTGGACGAACTATTAGACTTGTATGCTTCACATTGCGTATGAGCTCTTTGAGCTCCGTTCCAACCTCTTCAGTAATGTAGCGGAAAATGGCTAGCGTTTTCTCATCCACATACGAGCTGGAGACAAGAGCAACCGAAAATCCAAACAAAGCGTTGAGGGTCGGTTACTTTCCCTGAAATCTATAGTTTTCTTGGTTCAATCCATCGTTTTTTTTTCACGTTTCGTTGGCCTTTTAGCAGCTAGGTCTTAATCAAACCCCCCTCTCGTTCTGCAGTGGATTGATTCTGGCTCACTGAACCCTATTTTCGTGTATTTCATAACGGAGAAAAAGGTTACATCAACTAAATCCAATACTTGTATTCTGAAAGCTGGCTTAACAGAATGGCTGCTTATGCAAGGTACTACATGTTGTTTGATGTGTACCACATACTAAAACCTTCAACAATATATGCCGCGCTGCAAGGCTCGGAAAAAGCATGTATTCCTAAAGAATCTAGAGGAAAAGTCCTAGCAAGAGTTAAGAAAGTAGCGATTGGTAGGGCAGTGTGAAAGACTTATATCCCCAATCTTGTAAGTTGCAAAGATTTGGTCCAAAGCCTGGCCTCCTTTTGCTCATCGTATGCAAACAAGGCATGCCCCGGGGCCCAAGGTCCGGCGGCAGGATCAGCCGGGCTGGAAATTTGGCAATCCTCAAGATATTTGCCTCCCTTTCCTTCCAAAACTTTAGCGGTAGCAGCCCAAACTGTGGTGGCAGCACCTTGGGCGACAGATTTGAAAGCCTTTGCCAGAGCCGGGTCGGATCGGCTTGCTGCTACGTCTTCTTCAGACATGTGTCGGTACAATCCAGTACTCGTCGGACCAGGCTGAACGCTCCAGGAGTGGAGGCCACGAGGCCCGTACCGTCGTTCAATCTCGTTCGCAGTCCAAATGTTGGCTGTCTTGCTTTGGGCGTATGCAACCCACGGGTGGTAGTTGCTATTAAGGTTCAGGTTATCGAAGTTGACCTCCGAGGTACGGTGCGCGATGGAAGATAGAAAAATTGCGCGAGAGTGAAACTCGGTTGTCGACGAGGCCAATAAAAGAGGCTTCAACAGTTCGAACAGCAAAAAGTGTGCGAGATGGTTTGTGCCAAGGTGGGTTTCGAAACCGTCGGCAGTGCTGCCCTCTGGTACCATCATCACTCCTGCGTTAGCGATGAAGATGTTTAGTTTGGAACTCTTGGCATTGAACTCAGTAGCGCAAGCTCGCACGCTTGCAAGAGAGCTAAGATCAAGCCGGAGCAGATGGACACGGTCGCTCTGCGCGAGGTCGCCAAGGGCAGCCTTTGCCTTTTCGAGATCTCGAGCAGTCAGATAGAGCGTAGCACCGGTTATTGCAAGAGCACGCGCGGTCTCTACACCTAGGCCAGATGAGCAGCCAGTGATAAGAATGACTTTGTCCTGCCAATTTCCTTCAAGGCCCTCGTCTTCAATGATTTGCGTGGCAACAGGGCGGTCGTCGCTGGGCCCGGCGGGGAACTCATGGACTTTGGAGTACCTAGAGGCCATAATGAGTTGTTTGATGTGAAATTATCAAGAGATATGTAAAAGGGACAAGTTTTATAATCGATGGACTCCGGATGATAACAACAAGAAAGATGGGAAGTGCGTCGTGGGATGCACACCAACTTTATAAAGAGGAAATTTCAAGGCAGATATGCCATCCGGCCTATAACAGGAGGTCAGTCATCTAGAATAGATTGCTGATAAATCATAGAGCTGAGAAGAAATCATTCTATAATTCCATCATTCTGCTTCATGGAGAATGGTGTAAGAATACATCGGAGCAACTACTCATGATCCAATAGATCTGTTGTGTTGTCTCTGGCAGTCTAGCCTAGAATATCTTAGCGTCCGCTTTATCTGCATACCATCCTAATTTGGAGCTTATTTTGCGGAACCACAGATTTGCGAAAGACCGGCATGCCCCCAGCTTTTTTTTTTGTATTTCGCAGAGCCGGTTCTTGTTCTCTCCCTTTTGCTCCTCTCCAGACCACACCGTCACATCCTTGAAACTAGTGCAGCAAAGAAAACATGTTACCTCTCCCAATGAGAAAAAGGCACGGAAAAAGATCCAGTTACCATGTGATCATACTTATCAGAAAAAGTCTTTTTCATTAAAAAAAAAAAAAAAAGGGAGCAAAAAACCAATTTAAGTTGTTCAGCCGGCCTTCCAGGCTGGGCCCACTGGCCCTCTTTTCCTTCTTTACATCAAACATCAATACAGTTGTTCGTCTCCCAGCGCCGTCTCCACTCTTTCATCAGATCTGAAGTTTGTTTCAATCGGCCTTGGTTCTTGAACGTCAACGCCAGGTTGGCCATGCTAGTAAGTGTGTCAGGATGCCCCTCTCCAAGTACCCTTTCCCTTGTCTCCATCACCTGTACCTCTAGTTTCTCAGCTTCTTTCCATCGCTCTTGCTTCCCAAACATCGACGCGAGGTTACTTATGCTTTGTAACGTGTCAGGATGCTCTTCTCCAAGCACTATTTTCATCGTCTCAATTACTTCTACGCTCAGCTTCTCGGCATCCTTATAACGGCCTTGGTTTATATATGTCGATGCTAGATTGGTCATGCTGCTTAGTGTGTTGGGATGCCTTTCTCCAAGCACAGTCTGAAAGCTCTTCGTTAATGATAGCTGCAGCTCCTCGGCTTCTTTCCATCGCTTCTGGTTCATATACCCTGTGGCTAGGTTACTTATGGTCGTTAACGTATCAGGATGCCTCTCCCCCAACAGCTTTATATTCGTTTCCTTTACCGATAAGAGTAGCTTCTCCGCCTCCTGATGTCGATTTTGCTTTATGTAAATTGTTGCTAGGTTGTTTTCGATCATGAGTGTGTCTTGATGCTCCTTTCCGTGCACCTTCAGACTCGACTTCATCACCTGCACAAAGATGTCCTCTGCCTCTTCCAATCGACCTTGGTTTATTAATGTCGATGCCAGATTGGCCCTAATCGTCAGTGTGGCGGGATGTTTCTCTCCAAGCACTTTCGTCGTCTCCATCACCCGCACCTCCAACTCCTCAGCCTCCTTCCATTGGCCTTGGTTCCTATATGTCGACGCCAGGTTGGCCATGCTTTTCAGTGTAAAGGGATGCTCCTGACCTAGAATTCCCTTACGAACTTTGACAGCTTCTTATATAACCGACTCAGCCCTTAAATAGTCGCCTAGCGTAAGTAGGTACCAACATATATTCGTTAATAGCTCGCTCTATTCTAACTAGTCTCTTTTATCTAATAGCTTTTTATTTAACAACGGCTCGATATAGGGTATCAATATTTAATACTATTCCTACGTTTCGAATACGCCTAACAGGAAGTATTGCGAGGCAGACTAAAGGAAAAGTTTCTTCTATCGCTCTAGGCAACCTAACTCTGAAATCCATTCTTTTATACAAAACTATACTAGTAAGTACATCTCACAGAACCCAGATACCGCACCCAGTGAAATAAGCGAATAGCTTCGGAGCATATCCAAATCATTCTCAAAATCATAGTTATCGCCTACTTCGTCGTCGTCGTCGTTAGTTTCTTTAGTATTTGCGGAGCTACTATTATATCTATATAGCATATACTCCGGTATGTTTTATGCATGGAAATAGCTTATTAGTGAAAGAAAGGTTGGAAGCTCGCGGTTCCTCCCGTTTGATCTACTCAAACGTCACTTGCTATGTAATAATAATAGAGTTGGAAACGCCTTCGTATCGCCTAATATCCCCTCTATTACTACGAAGCAGAGTACCCTTCCGCTTTTCACTATTCTAAAACTCGCCTAGATAGGAATTAATAGTTACTCGGGGACTTCGTTTGTAAATATATACTACTACTTGATTTATAGCAAGCGGGATATAGTCGAAGGTATTAATCAGACGCAATACGGCAGCCTTATTCATGCCTCGGTCTAGCTTATTTTGAAGAAGTAGTAGTGCCTGGTCTTTATCTATTGTAGGCACTACTAGAATCGTCTTGCCGCTGCCTGTTAACCTCTCTGCGGCATCCTGGCTGCGCGACGTAAATAGAATCTTGCCGTGGTTCGATTTAGGTAGATACGATGCGATCGGCATCGGTGTGCTGTCGCTAATGCCAATACCGTCTTCGGAAAACAGCATTGCGACGTTATCTACGTTGTCGACAATCATTAGCCACGCCCCTGTGTCCTCTCTCTGCAGCCAGTCGCGGACTAGCGCTGTAATATTAACGCTAAGCTCGTGGCGACGGGGAAGAAGTAGGACGTCTGCTATAGAGCGGTAGGATTCTTCGAATGTTGCTTTTGTACTGCCGCGGACCCAAAAGACGCTAGTTTCGGACGAGGCGGCGTGGACTTGGTAAGCGAATTGAATAGCCATCTGGGTTTTACTATTGCCGCATTAACGTTGGCGCAGCTCCTCTAGTTTGACGAAGACAACATACCCAAACCTACCCAGGCCTACAAGGCCGAAGCGGCTATTAGGCCTAGCGTACTGCTTTTCTATCTATTCCTATATACTGGGTCGGTTTACGAAGTTAGGATCGGAAGTAAACGGTATGATAATATAAGGTTTACGGTCGATAGATAGATCTTCGACTTTTATAAGTTTGAGATCCTGTATACCCTATTGTACGTTAGAGAGAAGAAGCCTAAAGGAGTTAGTATATTATTACTATAGTAGGACGGAGGTTGCTCTTACGAGTGTTTTGAGTGTATAGTCTGAACGGCTATCTTCGTCTTATCTGCCGTCTGGTTTAAGCGGTGTAAATCTTCTTGAACTATTAGAGTTTAGCAAGCATTGACAGAGTAGACTAATAATACTAACTGGTCTTTAATATAGGTTTCTCTGTCTCAACGCTATTTAGTGGGATTTGAAGCAATATATCCTTCGCATAGGCTGCCGCTATCATGGCTGCGAAGCCTTGCTATTCCTTATTATTGTGTGAGTCGGCGTAGTTGCTAATTCCCCGGATGACTAGGCACGGGAAGTGGTTTATCAAGCCTGCGGCCTCCATCTCGAAGCAGAGGACGTCTATTTCCGCCGCTAGCTTATCCCGGATACGCGCATCCTTTATTAGTTGGTTGCTGCTAGCGATCAAGCCGTAATGGATGGCAGGGTTGTCCTTCTCTATGTCTTGTTCTTATCGGGCTATTAGGGAGGTGGTATTATCGCCGCACGCAACATCGTAGTTTGCTGATGGGTCTGAGGGATGCACGATATTAGATTTATATAATCTGTCGCTTGCTAAACTAGGCCGTGCGTATCTACTCCTCTCCTTGATCTTGTCTAACTTTTTGTTTACGTCGTCAACTAGCTGGTGGCTTTCTATTTCATATTGGCTTTTGAGTGTGCTGAGAGCTGCTCGTAGGATTTTCGGCGGTAGGTTTAAGAAACCGATTTCTTGGAACGAGAGATTCTGAATGGTTTTGCTAAAGTCGTATTGGAATATGCCTCCTTTCCTGCCAATTGGGCTGCTGACAACAACATCACCGAGTCGTATATCATGGTTCTGGCTGTGCACGCCGCCTCTAATGCCGACCATTAGCCCGATGCGCACGTTTGGAAAGCTATGAATCATGTCTCTAGCTACTGTTGCCGCCGAGGTCGCGCCATATTCGCCGTCGGGCAGAGTCGCAACGACAACGTTGTGACTGCCGATCTTGCCCAAAATGTAGCTGTTGTTGTCGTGCTTAGCGACCTGCTGCGGGAGTTGATGTTCGTCGTCAAGGAAAGCTCGGGCGGCGACAGACTCTGGAGTGATAGCGCAGATCCAACCAACAGTATAGGCTTGGGGATCAGGCATGGCGGTTATTTGGTTGAGTGAAGATTGAAAACCTGTCTGCTTATAATACAAACGGTGATTGAGACATCAACAAGAATGTTGCCGAAGTAAGACGGCCAGACATGCGAGGGGATGTTTCCTTATATCTGTTGGGCACAAGATCAGGCTGGCGCTAGGCATACCCGGATGTGATGAAGCCTTTGCTACACGCAGCTGGTTGTGCTACGTTATTGGTGGAGAGCCCAGAGCCGGCCCATCACTGGGTCTGAAATGAACCAAGAGAACCAACGGTAGACCTCCCTCAACATGTAGGCGTGCGGCGGTGCAGCGATGGCAGTCGGGGCCATGACACTTAGCGAAGGCATGGCGAAGCTGTTAATTGGTGCCATGAGCGAATGCACATGGGCGGAAGTAGGTTCAAAACGGCTGATATGCATATAGAAATGTCCTAGATCTTAACACACGCGGCGCTTAAGCGCTCTTTTGTTCTAGGTTTTTCTTCTATAATAACTATTATCTGTTTAGTCTGGCGGCCGTGTGATAAATATGCCGGCATGGCGAAAGTGACCCTTCGCAACGTCAGCGTTGTCCCTAGCCATGTTGACGCACCATTCCAAAAACATTTTGAACTCTGTTGTGATGAAGTCTTCATTCTCGTATCACTTCTTGATGAACTTTTTGAGAACTCCAAACTACTCCTCGATAGGGTTGAAGTCAGGCGAGTACGGTGAGAGGAACTCCAAGATTTACCCCGCCTCTCGGCACAACTGCACGATCTTCTCTGAATGATGCCACGAAACGTTGTCCAGAACGATAATGGATCTCGGCTCTGGGTATCTGCCACAATGATGTAGCAGCTGAGTCATAGTAGAGCAAGTCTGCCATCTCGTATCGATACATGTACGGCTGTTTGATTAGTCTATCACAAAGGGTCTTCTGCGTGCTTGTTGTTATGCGGCTGCGACGGCCGACACGGCCTGGTTTGTAAGTGAGCATTTCAGAATTTGGTTTCTCATGGCACATCTTCTGTACAACGGTGCACACAGAGCATAAAGCTTCGGAGGCTACTAGCTGAGGCTCGAAGCCATGGGTGAGGAGAATTTTGATCTGGGCATGCTGCACATCATCCAACTGCGGCGCCATATTCGCAGCTGGCAATGATGCAGGCTTTTATGTGGGCAGATAAAGGGCAAGAAGGGCAGGACGAAGGCCAGGGAACAACTATGGGGTGCCAGGCAGTTTTTGGACGGACTAAGATCTGGACGGATTACCAGGAGCCAGTTCTGGCTCTGTTAGTGATCATCGCATGGGCACTCCATCCCTACAAAAGTAATCATCAGCTCATCCACATCAGCCGCAGCTACATACCACCATCACTAAAGATCTTGTGTAGCTTATGGAATCAAGCGAAGCCCATTGCGCCTTTTACTGTAATTTCTATCGTTTTTTAAGAGATTTTACCTCCAGTTTATATCTGGGGCTTTTGGTTAAGCTTTCAGTTTTTTATAGGTGCGGCTGCTTCAGTTCGACGATGCCGAGATACCATTTTATTGATTAGTGATACGGGACAAAGGGAACGGACAATCACGGCCACTGCGAGTCCGACTCCGTTTGGCGGACTAACACACTCTGGAGCATTTCAAAGCAAGTTATGCGATTACTGAACGAAGTCTAATTTAACAATACACAATCTCCTTTTGTTCCCAATATTTGTCAGCGTTAGCGGGAACACCATCAAACCGTTAAACTTTGGTGGGTATCCTGTTCAGGCAGTTGATGCTTATACAGCAACACACCATTCAGAAGCAGAAAGATAGTTTTGGCGAAGCTATAGCGTCCAAAATTTCCCCATGCCCCCGTCTACTGATATATAGGATCTTTTTCTACAGCACAATGCTCATCATGAATGACGCCGATCATTGCTCATCTCTCTCCATCTCTTTTAGACGCACATATTTTACGTAAAGATACGAAGACTCAATGACATTCTCCCCAGCTGACGACATCCCGGACTTGACTGGAAAGGTCATCATCGTGACCGGTGGTAGCAGCGGTCTGGGCAAAGAAAGCGTGCTGCAACTTGCAAAGCACAACCCTCAGGCTATTTATCTTACGGCCAGAACAGAAGCTCGAGGGAATGCCGCAATCAAGGAAATTCAGGAAGCTGTTCCAGCAGCGAAGAATAAGATCAAGTTTCTCGAGCTAGATCTCGCCTCTTTTGCATCAATAAAGAAGGCCGCCAACACTTTCTTGGGGTTGTCAGATCGTCTCGACGTCCTGATGAACAATGCAGGACTGATGGCGTCTCCCCCAGATGTTACAACCGATGGCTATGAAGTACAATTTGGCTCAAACTACATGGGACCTGCTCTCTTCACCAAGCTGCTGCTCCCGATTCTCCTCAAAACAGCCGAGCAGCCTGGGGCTGATGTTCGCGTGGTCAACTTGAGCTCAGAGCTGTTCAAGACTGCCCCTAAGGAAGGAATCATACTTTCCCGTTGCAAGACGCCTCTCAACGATGTTTCCAGTTTGGCTCGCTATGGCCAATCGAAGCTCGCGGATTACTACCACACCCGCACTTTGAGCGAACTGTATCCTACCATCAAGTTCGTTGCAGTACACCCCGGCGTGGTGAATACCGGTCTGTTGGATGAGTTCAAACAAAGACACCCTTGGCTGGGGGGATTCGTTAATGTGGTTGGGTCAGTCTTTCTGACGGATGTCCACGCGGGGGCTCGAGCGCAACTCTGGGCTAGCACAGCCGACAGAAAGGGTATTAGGAGCGGTGGGTTCTATAATCCCAAATTGAGAGAGTATAAGGAAGCTATTTTGTCTAACGATAAGGCGGCCAAGGAATTGTGGGATTGGACTGAAAAGGAGTACCAGGATAAGGGAGTTTGATTTTGTGGATGCAAAGCACCACCCTCATGTCTGCTTTGTGAGCTCCTTGTAAATAATGCAAAACAAGGGCGGATAACACGAATAATCTTGCATCTGTTTGAAATTTAACGACTTTACTGTCAGTAATAGTAAGTGATTTTAACCCGAGTGCCTGTGGATTGAAAGAGAAAAACGGTGGTGATTCTGGTCCGTCTGTGGTGCCACGGTCCACCAGAGAACCCCAAAGGCACAGAAGAATTGCGTATAAAAAACGCATCTAGTTGTTTTTAGAACCTTCCGTTGTGAAGGAAAAAAATATACAAAAACATACAACAACAGGTATTCGCTGGTCGTCACCGACCCAACTACTAATCCGGCCCTCACTGGCTTATCTATGGGAGAGCGGACGGGATCCCGAGTTTTCCAATGGGTATGGTCGTATGTGCCGGATGAAGATGTGAATCAAATTTATTAAGACTACAAGATACGGGAGACATTGAGAAGGCTGGGTCACTGGGGTTGGTTACGATGCCGAGCATACACCAAGAAGCTGTATATGCTCGCCACGAGTCCAACCACTAAAGCATAACTGCGGATACCACCTTGACTATAAAAGTATCTACGACGATAATACAAGAGAACCTTTTTGCTGCCAAGGCTGCCTTGATTTGCATTTCTCGTTAAAGACCACGATGTCGTCAATCTGAATATTGAGTCGCTCTTTGTCGGTATGTGCAAATGATGCCGAAAGACCTAGCTATACGTTAGATAGCGGACACGTGACGAGGCCAGGAATGTTCATCTGCTCCAACAACCGGTCACTCTTCAACACTAGGAAACACATTGGTGACCTACCCTGAAGACTGCCGTGACTGCCTCATTATTATTTCGATGATTTCCAGAAAAAAGTAACCAAGTTGATACACTACAAATGTAACTGAACATGACGGAAAGAACACTCTCAGCAGTCTACCTTCCCGCCGTGGCGCTGGCTCATGCAGAGAAACAATAGCTCCAGATGCGGCAGGCGCAGTGGGGAAGAGTCGGGCCTTCTGTAAACCGCTTTGTAAGTTTTGTTAAGGAAGTTGGTTCCTTATGGCAGGTGCGGTGGCTGGGCAGCATGACCTTTGAGATTGCTCTTTCCTACACAGAAAATAACGATACAACTCAGCTTTCAATGGCGGAGGAATTACACCCAGGCTTCCTCTTTTCAGAAAAAGCCAATTGATCCAGCAAAAGTCCTTCATCTTTTCTCTCATCTTTCTTTGTCACCATTCAACTAAAGAGACTCCCAACAGAATCAACCAGGCAATTCAGCTTCTTGTCACTCGACGCTGCGACTGTAGCCTCAGCTGAGATCTTCCTTGTCGCCGAAAACACAGGAATCCTTTTCAGTCCTGCAAACTTGATCGAAGAGTATCCCCAGTCCTCGGTACTAATGATTTCAGCTGCAGCATTAACCAACTCATCAAAAATCTTCGTTGTCAGTATTGTGAGTCCATCGAATCCTCTCACCGCCCGTCACCAAGATCCACGGTTTCAGCGCTATTTTAAGGCTGTAGTCCTGCTTTATCTTCCTCTCACCTATGACTTTTTTTTCAGAAAATTCCGAAATCCATAAACGGCAACTGCCTGTTTTTCAACCGAAGCTTTCGAGGTTGCTAACTTGAATTCAGTCTCGACAAAACCATCTCCACGTTCAACAGGAGATTGATGCATCTACACCTGAGGCTATTCTGCTGAACATTACTCAGACCTTGGCTACTCTGCATTTGAGTATGCTCCCATCGGTGGCTCTTGTTCCCTCCTATCTCATCAGTTTAAGTTATGGAATTGACTTTTGTGGATTAGCATAGCTCTCATCGCGTTGTCCATCTCTCGTTCTCGTCGACCTTTGCCTCACCTTTTTCGAGCCACTACCACCGCTGCACGGAATTTCAATGAATACCACTACATAAATTGCATTCTTCAGGGTCACATATACGCCGCGATCTTCCAGGGCTCTCAAACAATCAATGCGGCTTAGACGCGATCCTTAACGATTTGAAGTCTCGGCATACAAGACACTACTTCCAGCTTGCTAGATAACAGACCCTCCTCACTACGCCTCATTTCAAGATTGAGGACATGTCTTCAATTTCGACTCAAACTATCAAGCGGCGGTCGAGCCGTACGTATTGGAAGCACAATCCATATTTCATCTTGAAAGTGCTAACGTGTACAATAGGTCTTGCAATTGGTGACCCGAACACGAAAGGCTAAGACCACGGAGTTGGCGCCAGCTGAGAATGCTCATAAGCATACGAGAAAAACGCTCAAGGATTCCGATAAACAACAGGAGGCTGCAAAGCCACTAGCTACTCCTGGAAGGAACAAATCCGACAAACAAAAGACAAATGCTGAGCCTGAGGAGGCTGAGACCAATGTTTCTGAGCCATCTGAGCCATATATATCCATTACAAATCCAGCCACTGATACACAACCCGAAGTCCTCAGGCGCTGTGTCGAAAAGATGCTCATATGCGATGAAGAGTATCTAGTCGTTGGCTCTCAATCTTTGGAGTGTATCACCAATGTTGAATACGTTAAGCAACCAGAGATACTTGAAAAGCTCAAGTATGCCAGTATAATATTCCTTCTGCTACTTCAAGAACACTGGAAGGTTGCAATCATCAATGTGAGCGGTGACACGATTACCGTCGAATTCTACGACCCAGTTCCATCTGACCTCAGTACCCAAGCCGCTAGGCAGGTGATCGACAAATTCTTTGAGCAGTACTTTGCCGGCAAGGATTACTCAGTCACCTATCTTTTTGAACAGATGTCTACTCCAAATCATCACGACGACCATGATTCAATGGTCATTGCGTTTTTTGTATGCATCAACTTCCTATCAGAAGATCCTATGCCGCTACAAATAGATCTTGTTTTATGGCGTCATATCATGGCGATCATAGCTGGCGAGAAGCCAGACTGGAAGAAAATCTCCCCTATCCCCCGAGAGACACCACAGGTGCTCAGCAATATCCCAAAACTAGCGGTCAACCCCACTTTGAAGGATTATATTACCTGGAAGACAGCATTCGATGATTGGCACGAAAGTCAACGGGTTACTCTGACATCCCAGGCGGCCATAGAAAACCTAGAATACCGTGGTAGGATTCCCAAGGCCATGCGCGCGTTTTCTATTTTATGTTCCGTTAAAGATGAAATGGAAAAAAAACTGCAGTGCGGCAGTGATGCTGTTTGCAGACAGCCGAAGGATATCCTAGAGCTGAAAGCCAGTATAGCTATTGTGGAAAAAACATATGAGCTGGTGGATGACGTGACTATTGAACTTGAAAAAGGAGCGAAAGCATGTCTTGGAGGAGATGAAGATGCTTTCGCAATTGGGTCAATCCAGCTGAGAGAAGAGGACTTAATGGATTTTATCTCTACTGGCTGTGGAAGACGGTCTACAGAAGAAGTAGTTATCTTGTGGTGTCTAGCTTAACTCAGAAGAGTTTGAGTTTGCTTTTGCAGTTTAAGCAAGTTAATACGGATTGAAGATGAACTCCGTAAATGCCAATCCGATCTCCCAACTGCAGACAGAGGCCCAAGCACCACATTGACCTTCGCTTGGGTAGGAGAGTTTGCCACAGTACCGATTATGACCCTTCCACAAAGAATGAAATGGACTTCCCTCAGCCGAAGTATAGCATATTGTCATTGAAAAGCCCTTGACAGCTGGAGCTTCACCATAAGTGAACCGTTTGTTGGCTGTAGGCCTCAAAAGATTGACTGCACAGCTCGACCAGGAAGAAATATGACGACATCAAGGTAGCAGGACTAGCGGTACACACGCAGTAAAAACAAAGCACAGCCTATGTCAGCAGCAAAAAACAGCTGTTCTATTTGTAATGCAAGCCATTAATCCCTTATTTTCTATTTCGCGTCATGTAACTCGTTTACTACTTACGCTACTCTTGTCACTTCTCCCACTCCCGCCACTCTAAGCACCCTGGCCACTACCAACTCCCTAGCCACTGCAACAGTCCACTGTCACAATCACTGCTAGAGCGCCTAACTTCGCACTTTAACTGCCACTACCAGATACTCTACAGCACCACTTTCGCTGTCATTCTAGCCACTTTAGCCACTTCAATCTCTCAAATCTGAGGAGAAGTTCCAGTAGAAGTGCTGGCTGAAGTGACCGGGGAACTTATACCCGCCTGACTGTCCGTCTGGGTTGTCGGTAATGGAACCACTTCAAACCGGAGTTCCATTTATTGCAATAGTACGTTTGAGCGAATATGCTTTATTGCACATGTCTTGTGAGAACCATGTATATATATGATTTACTAGCGAAATAAAAAACCAAACTTGCATATAGAAGAGTATGTAAAAGGAAAATAGCCAGTTGACGAAATGACTAACTGCACCAAAACAAACTTGTAGAAACAAACATGTAACCACCGAACCACAAACCCCCCCAAACAAGCAGACTAAAGCACACGTTGCGCCAAAACTCCAACGCCGGAAAGCAGTCGTTTAGAAAGACTCGAAACTTTCTGACCACGCCAATGAGAACCCTCTATGAGTGGAGTTGGTTTTTTTTTTTTTTTCTTTTTGCCTTTTGTTTCTTTTTCTGCTGTCTTTTTTTTTTTTTTTTTTTAAATTCTCCCCCACCCATTCCCCCCTTTCTTTTCTTTATCTTCTATTGATACCCTTGATTTACTTGGAATGTGTTTCCATGTGTTTTAACCCTTTGCAAGGGAGAGACTACCGTTTGGAACAGCTGCTGTTACTAGGGTCTTACTCCCTGTGCCCATTGGATGCCTGTTTGACATGACCGTTGGATGATTGATTTGCAAGGCCATTGGATGACTGGTTTGTGTGACCATTGGAAATTTGTTTGGTGTGTCCGTTGGAAGTCTCAGGCGTCGGATCCTGAAGAACCGAGTACAGCCGTTGAATGTTGTTGCAAAGATCAATGAGCATACGGTCGACAGTTGCCTCCTCACAGACTTGCCGGTTAGCACCAATAACAACCCGCAGATGAACTCCGTCTGGCTCGGGCATTCCTGCAATGTCTATATCGTGCATGGAAACCTCTTCAGAGACCTTTCTATCCATGGTAGGATCATCCTTGATAGCCTCGCGTTGTTCGGTCACTCTGTCGAGGTAGTTCAGCTGAATTCGCTGACCCTCCTTCTCACTATGAGGACGCATGTCGAAATTCTGATAAGCCGAGTAGAGGCTAAAGTTGCCTGTCGAATCGGGCCACTCCGTGCAGTTGTCTCTGATATCGTCCAGACCCAATGTCTCATAGGGCATGCTGTCGATGTATTGTTTCTGTACCTTTCGGAGCAGCTCCACTGGCTTGTCGACAGTGTCTAAGCGGACGCGAACGGGAACCGCATTCGAACAAGGGCCGACAATAGACTGGCTACTGACGGGCAAACACTGCCGGCCGGACACGACACGTCCAAAGATGATGTCCTTGGATTCCAGCTCCTGACCAAACATCATGGCGCTGGCCGCAGTAAACACCGTGGCTGGAGTGATGCCGTCCAAGTTGGCCGTTTGCGGTGCCTTGATCACCTTCTCCACTACCCAACTGCCCTTGGGCTTTTGGCTCTTGCTTCCGTTTTGGATACTCTTAGTGTTGGCGTCCTTCCACTGGGTTATTGAAGAACCTTGGAGAACGGAACGCCAGAATTTGAAGCCCTCGTCACGGCTATCCATCATGTGCTGGATATAGCGAGCGAATTTGATTGATTTTGGCAGACGCTCGCCGATTGTCAACGTGTGCAAGGCACGCATGAGGTATTCAAAACTCAAACCGTCGTAAATAGCGTGATTCATCCGGAACACAATTCGCACAGGAGATGCCCTCTTCTTGAGAATGGCGATACGTAGAAGGGAGTGTCCCAGGCGGAGAGGGTCGCGTGCATCTACGCCTTCATATTCTCGGGTGGCGGCGGTCATATCTCCCTCAACATCGACAATCTCAATGGGTACCTTGAGTTGATCGAGAACCAGCTGATAGTATTTACCGGCAGCTGTCAAGATGACCGTGCGTAGGATATCGAAGTGCTGAATAAGAGTTTCGGAGGCACCCTTCAGCATCATGGGATCCGTGTCGGCTGGGAAGTCTATGAAGAAGAGAGCCGGCGTGCGCGACTGTTTCAGAACTGGATCATAGATCCAGATTCTCTGCGACCATGATGCGGGGTATGCGTTCTGGATTGAACCATAAGACGGGTCAAGCTGGGGAGCCAGTTCTCGGTGCACAAAGGCCTCAGGGTCTTCTTGCAATAGGAGCTGGAAGGGCTCCTTGTCAACAACTTGGGACGCACCGTTCCTTTGTAACTGGATGTGCACAAGCTTGCTGGCCAGCTCTACAGGAACCGGATGGTTGAAGACGTCTCTAACGGACACCTGGACATCCAGTCGTCGGCTGATGCGAGCAGCAAGTTTTGCGGCCATCAGGGATTGACCGCCGAGATCGAAAAAGTTGTCGGTAATGCCGACCTCAACGCCAAGCACGTCAGCAAACTCATCGCAGAGCATCTCTTCGACATCGTTACGCGGCTCTACGCGTTCCGAGGGTGGCTTGCCGACCGGAGCAGCCTGGGCCTTGCGTGTGAGTTCACGTCGGTCAACCTTGCCGTTGGCGTTAACCGGCATTTGGTCTAGGGCTATGATCTGGGCTGGGATCATATAAGGCGGGAGCAATGACTGAAGCTGCTCCCTGATTTGTGCCTCTACCTTGCGACTTTCGAGCCGCTGGAGCGGGCGGTTAGTTAGGAGGCTTGCTGGCTGGCCTTGATCTTCGGCAGGGAATTGGAACAGAACGCGGGATTCTTGGTTATCGAGTTGGTGCCGATGGAAAACAGCATCAATCCCGCCGTTCTGGGATCTCTGTCGTGCCCAGCTGAGCTCCACGCGGAAGCCCGTTTCTTCAGCCAGTTGCGCTAGGTCCCAGGCAGAAAGAGCTACACATCGCTGAGCGGCATCGCGGACATCCGAGATCCAGGCCGCGCCGTCAAGCGTCTCGTCGTCATTTTCTAGCGATTCAACCAGCAGTCGTTCAAATGCGGTCTTGCTGTAAGGGATATTGCTGACAGCGACTGTGGATGCGTCTGAAGAGCCCTGTAGCAAGGTAAGGAGGCTCTCGCGGTCTAGTGAGGACGCTTGGAAGTTGACCCAAGAGTTGGGCTTGATTGAATGCACGGGATGCGTCGGCTCATCTACGCCTCGTACGTGGATAACGGCCGCGTATCGATATCTGCTAAGCTCGTTGGTAGCCTTCATCCTCTTAGGGAGAATTTCCACATGCCAGACCAAGTCTGGGATCTTATTGAGCAGCTCAGTAAAGAAGGCCGGGGCAACCAAGAGCTCTTCTTCGTTTTCTTCCAGTTCGGTAATCTTCTGGCGAATGTTGTCTCTGCCAGCAGAATCCCCAAGTGAGGATAAGGCCCTGCCAGCAAGGAAGTTCTTGTTAATAGCGTGGGTTCGCATGTCGCCAAAGAAGATTCGTTTTACTCCCGGTAGTTTTGCCAAGGTCTGGATTACCTGGAAGAGGTAGTCGGAAGACGGGAAGTATTGCGCCACAGAGTTAATAACCACCATATCGGTATGACCCTGTGTTACCTGACTTAGTCGACTGACGTCTGTAGCCGTGCCAACAAGGACCTGAGCCTTGCTCGCGAGCGTAGGGATTGAGTTGATACTGTCGGTGACAAAGCTTGTTGCCGAGCTGGAGGGTTCAAGGCCAATATAGGTTTCTAAGCCTTGACCCAAATTGAACAGGATCATACCAGTACCTGTACCGATTTCGAGTACACGACCGGCAGGGTGGCCGTCGAGTAGAGTTGACATTGTTTCGTCGAGCCATTCCTGCATTTCTGCCTTTTCAATCAATGTTCCGTCATACATTGAGGTCCAACCCAAGAAGTCGTTGCCGATAACGGATTGATCAATAGTTTCGAGGTCGGCGTAGGTGCCAATCTCGAAATGGGTTCCCCAACCCTCCACCTGCTTACTCGCCTCGTCTTGATCAAGCTGGCTGTCTTGGCTGGGCTCTTCGTCATGAACCGTAACAAATCCAACAATCTCCGATTCTTGATCAGACTGGCTGCGGATAACGACGGCCGCGTCGCGGACGATGGGATGCCTCAGCATAGCAAGCTCTACTTCGGCTGGTTCGATGCGATGTCCTCGGATCTTGATCTGCTGGTCTATGCGACCAAAGAATTCAATTTGGCCATCCGAAGGTCGCAACCTAGCACGGTCACCAGTGCGGTATGCCCGCATGGCCTGGCCGTCAATAGTGATTTCCACGAAGCGGTTTTGATCAAGCGTGGGGTCTGTGTATCCGCGAGCAAGCCCATCGCCTGTCACAACCAGTTCGCCCATCACACCAGGGGAGACTAGGTTTTGGCTTGAGTCCATAACAAAAGCGCCAGAATTGCTTACAGCTCGACCAATGGGCACACCATGTTCAAAGGTATCGCCCTTTCTGATGCTGTAGATAGTGCTTGCGACGGTGTTTTCCGTGGGCCCGTAGGCATTGTAAACACTATTCTTGACGAGGGCGCGAGCATTGATGGCATCAGAGGGGTTGAATCGATCTCCACCAACATATAGCACGTCTAGAGCGCTGACTGTGTGTGGGATGTTGGTGAGACATTGTTTAAGGAGCGCAGGTGATAGCATAGCCACATTGATATGCTCTCGGGCAAAAACCGTCTCAAGAGCTTGACTATCCAGGGTAGTGAAGTAGTCAATGCAAATAAGCGTCGCACCGTTGAGGAGGGCGGTGTACATCTCCCAAGCGGAGGCGTCGAAGGCGATGTTGGAGACATGGGCGAGGTGTGCCTCTTTGGGAAAATCGCGTACAATATTGCTCTGCTTGACAAGCCGAACAATACCACGATGTTCAATCATTACACCTTTAGGCTTTCCCGTAGAACCCGACGTGAAGATGACGTATGCGAGACTGGTTGCTGAGGGGGATGTGACTATAGCTGGGACACCTGTCGAGTTATGGCGAGACTGGGCAAAGGCGTCGGCTAAAGAGACAAACTCAGTGTTGGGTAAGCGGACATCGGGGATGGGCTCGTTGGAACCAAGAAGCACAAGTGAGAACCCCGGGACCACTGAGAGAATTGCCTTGAGTCGGGCAACAGGTACCTTTACATCGAGCGGCAGATAGGCCAGATTTGCCTTCAGAACAGCAAGACAAGCGACGGTTGTCTCGCACGACCTCGGAGCAAGCACACCTACCAGCGCCTCGGCTGGAATTTGCCGCTGCAGAAGCCAAGCCGCAAGCTGGTCTGAGTTGTCGTTGAGTTGGGCGTAGGTTAGTTGTGTGTTGGCATCCTTGACCGCAATTCTCTCAGGATGAGCAACGACATTCTGGCGGAAGACGTCTATGACGCTAGAATCTCTGGGATAATCTGTCTTCTCAACCTTGAGTAGACCCATGTCACGTAGAATCGGCAGTCCGTCGGTGAGTGGCAGGCTTGCGATGGGTACTTCTGGTTGCGCTAGTCCCCGGCGAAGCGTTTCTTGGAAGACGTCAATTAGTCCTCGGACGGTGGCAGACTCGAACAGTTCGGCGGCATAGAGTACGTTGCCAGCTAGATAGCCTTCTTCTTGAGCGAGATGGAATTCCATGTCGAAGCGAGTTGTGATTGCTGTAGGCAGAGGCTCACTGACAATACCCTCAAGGTTAATGCGGCCAAGATCCCTCTGCGAGTGAACAGCAAACATAAGCTGTACCAACGGGTTGCGAGAGGTATCTCTTGATCCGGGCAGAAGTGCCGAGACAACACGCTCGAACGGAACATCCTGGTTCTCAAAGGCGGCAGCCGCCGTAGCGCGAACTTGTTGAACGAGGCCATCAAACGACTCATCATTAACAGTGATCCTCATACACTGTGTGTTGACGAAGAAACCGATCATGTCTTCCAGCTCCGGCCGGTTACGGTTGGCTATAGGAGTACCAATTGTTGCGTCTTCAACGCCTGTTAAGCGGAAGTGTGTAGCGCGGAAGGTGGCTAGGAGAACTGCGAATGGCGTTACTTGACGTGTCCGGCAGAAGGTCTGGAGGTTTTCGTAGAGGGGTCCGTCGATAACAACTCGGACAATGCCAGCCTCGCCAGATAGGATTGCAGGCCTTGGTTTGTCACAGAGGACTTCTGCAGGCGAACTGTCGGCTAGTTTCTCGGTCCAATACTCCAGTTGTCTTTGATGTTCAGCTACCTGTTCCTCCGTCTTTTGCCACATGGCAAAGTCGCGGTAATGAACAGGAAGTGGCGTCACCTTGGCTAGAGGATTTTGATCGCGCAAAGCGACAGAATAAAAGCTGCCTAGTTCCTGGCGCAGGAGATCAATAGACCAGCCGTCGGAAATGATGTGATGCATAACGATGGAGAGAATGTGATCCTGCTCGCCGAGCCTGAAAAGTGTTACTCTCCATCCTGGTTCCGAGGTCAAGTCGAAAGGAACCATTTGCTCTTTCCGCAGGAGGTCTAGAGCAGTAGCCGGGTCCTTAGCTGATACATCGACGATAGTGAGCGGCTTATTCTGGCTGCTATGAACGATTTGAACGCCAACACCTTTGATCTCTTCAAAGGTCGTTCTGAGTGTCTCGTGCCGTTCTTCCAAAGCATGTAAGGCAGTCGTCAGAGCTTTAACCTGGAGGACTCCACGCATCCGCACAGAAAGAGGCATCATGTATGCTGCGCCGCTAATGCTAAGCTTGTCCAAAAACCAGAGGCGGCCTTGTGCAAAAGATTGTTCGACAGGCCCGTTATATTCTGATGGAACAATTGGGCTGTGAAGGGCCGACCCTTGCTGTATGACCTCTGCGAGGTCAACAAGGACAGGGTGGTCGAAGAGAGTTTTGACAGAAATACGAGCATCTAGACGGCGGTTGATGCGAGCGGCTAGCTTCGTTGCCATGAGAGAGTGACCGCCAAGGTCGAAGAAGTTATCAGTAATACCTACTTCGACCCCAAGAAGATCAGAGTATTCTTCGCAGAGTGCCTCTTCCTTTTCATTACGCGGCGCGATAAGCTCCCGCGCCAGGCTAGTCTTGGTTGCGGTCAAGGCCCTCTTAGCAAGCTCTCGTCGGTCGATTTTGCCGTTTGCGTTGAGTGGCAACTGCTCTAATACAATGATCTGTGCTGGCATCATGTATGGCGGGAGCAGAGATTGAAGGCGGTGTCGTATTTCTCTTTCTAGGTTCGAGTGAAAGCCCTGTTTCTTTTCTTGGCTCTCGGAATGCGAGCTGATATGGCTGGATGTAACGAAGCCTACAATGTCTGAATCTTGCCCTTCTTGCTTGCGAAGAACGACTGCAGTTGCAAGAACACTGTTGATACTGAGAATAGCTTGTTCAATCTCAGCAACTTCGATACGGTGGCCGCGAATCTTAACCTGCTGGTCCATTCGGCCAAAGAACTCAATAAGACCATCGCCAGGGCGGTAACGGGCGCGATCACCCGTCCGGTATGCCTTAACAGACAGTCCAGAAATTTCAACCTGCACAAAGCGATTGGAATTCAATTCTGGGTCTGTGTAGCCACGGGCAAGACTGTCTCCGGTCACAACCAGCTCTCCCATCACACCGACGGGGACAAGCTGTTGTTTCGAATCCATGATGTAAGCGCCCGCGTTAGAAACCGCTTTTCCGATAGGAACGCTATTAACGCATTTTTCGTCTGCGCTCATGACGTATAGGGTACTGATGGTTGTATTCTCTGTCGGTCCGTATGCGTTGCAGAAACCCTGTTGAACCAGGCCGCGGGCTTTCAAGGCGTCGTTCGGGCGCATTGCTTCACCTCCTACCATAAGAAAATCAAGGCTGCTAATAACGTGCGGAATCTCCTCAAGGTACAGGTTGAGGAGAGCTGTTGTGATGACGACGTTCTTGACCTTGTTGGCTGTAAGTGCCTCGCCGAGGGCAGTGGGGTTCAACACCGTCATGTGGTCGATGCATACCACGGTGCCTCCGTTGAGAAGTGGTGTATAGATCTCCCACGTAGAGACATCAAAAGCTAAGTTGACCATGTGAGAAAATGGCTGCGCTGCTTGAGATTGGGTCATCAAATCAGTTGACTTGGCAAGGTTCAGAATACTGCGATGCTCAATCATAACACCTTTGGGGTTACCAGTTGAGCCTGATGTGAAAATGACACATGCCAAGCTCGTGGCTCTAATGGGGAGGTGTGAACTGGGGTTGTCGGAGTTTGCAGTCTTTCCAAGCAGTAAAGCGTCACTTATCCAAACTGGCTCCGCGTCTAGAGTTTCGGAAGTAAGGGTCGGTACACTGTCACCGAGCAAGACGAATTTGTGCCCGGGTACCGCCGATAGGATGGCGTTAACGCGAGCCGAGGGGCTGTTGACATCTAACGGTAGATATGCAAGATTTGCTTTGAGAATTCCAAAGAATGCGACTATTGTCTGGCAGGAGCGGGGTGCAAGAACTCCCACCAACGTCTCTGGCGCCATGTCTTTGTTCCGGAGGTAGGCGGCAATTTGATCAGACTGTTGATCTAGTTGGCTGTACGACAATTCGGAAGAAGCATCAGTAACAGCTATAGCGTCTGGGCAAATCGAAACTTGGTTTTTGAAGACGTCTACAATGCTCGAGTCGCGGGGATAGTCCGTGGTTCTTATATCAAGCAGACCCAAGTCGCGTAGCTCAGCAAGACCATGCGTAAGCCGCAGGTTAGTAATGGGCGCCTCTGGCTGCTTGATGCCTTCGGCTAGGACCTCCTGGAAGACATTGACTATGCGATTGATAGTTTCAGCCTCGAATAGGTCTGTGGAGAAGATGACATTTCCACCTAGGAAGCCATCCTGCTGGGAGAGGTAGAACTCCAAATCCAGTCTGGTAGTTGGCGTCATTGAAAGCTGCTCACTCTCAAGGCCATCTAATTGCACCTTGCCAAGATTTTCTTGGGCGTGAAGGGTAAACATGAGTTGTACCAGAGGATTTCGGGACATATCCCTTGACCCAGGCAGCAAGGCAGAGACGATTCGTTCAAACGGTACATCCTGGTGCTCGATAGCAGCTGCTACTGTTGACCGGACCTGTGTGACTAGCTCATTGAATGACTGCTTGTCTGTCACAGTAGTTCGCATGCACTGCGTATTAACGAAGAAACCGATCATGTCTTCAAGTTCTGGCCGATTTCGGTTAGCAATAGGTGTGCCGATAGTAGCATCCTCCATGCTAGTTAGGCGATAGTGCGTAGCTCGGAATGCGGCAAAGAGAACGGCATATAGTGTCGTTTGGCGGGCCTTGCAGAAGGTTTGCAAGCCTTCATATACAGGGCCGTCGATCATAAACTGGACAACACTAGCATTGCTAGATAGCTTCGAGGGCCGGACCTTGTCGCAGAGGAAGCTGGCTGGCTGGCTTCCGTCTAGCTGTTCTTTCCAGTAGGCCAGTTGACGCTCGTGTTCAACCACCTGTGATGTTTGCTTCTGCCAGATAGCGAAATCACGATATTGTATGGGAAGAGACGCGATTTGCAGTAGGGGATCTTTACCCTGGAGCGCGGTGGCGTAAAAGGCAGCTAGCTCACGCTGGAGAATGTCAATAGACCAACCATCAGATATGATGTGATGCATCACGATGGACAATACGTGGTCTCGGTCTCCCAGTCGAAGCAAGGTGACTCGCCAGCCGGGTTCATTCGCCAGATTGAACGGAGTTCTCTGATCTTGCTGAAGTAGCTTATTAAAGTCGGTTCCGGTCGGCACATTAACAACCCTGAGTGGCCTGCTGTTTGCGGGTTGGATGACCTGCAGACCGACACCCTCGTAACCCTTGAAAGTCGTTCGAAGGGTCTCGTGGCGCTGTTCAAGAGCCTGAAGTGCAGTCATGAAAGCCTCCATCTGCAGTGGGCCGCGTAGACGGACTGCAAGCGGCACAAGGTATGCTGTGCCACCGAGTTCAAGTTGTTCGAGAAACCAAAGACGGCCCTGAGAGAAGGACTGCTCAACAGGGCCCAAGTACTCTGTTGCCTCGATGGCTTTATGCTGTGCCGAATCTTGTTGAATAATGGCTGCCAGGTCCACGATGACAGGCAGGTTGAAGATGTCTTTGACTGAGATTACAGTGTGCAGACGCCTGCTCAGGCGTGCTGCGAGCTTAGTTGCCATAAGTGAGTGCCCGCCGAGATCAAAAAAGCCATCGTTGATTCCAACGGCCTCAACGCCAAGCACGTCTCTAAACTCTTCACATAGGGCCGCTTCGATTTCGTTCCGCGGCGCCTCATATATGGAAGTCTTCTTGGCCTTTGGCGCCACGTGGGACCTTCGCGTGAGCTCGCGACGATCATTCTTGCCGTTAGCGTTGAGTGGCATCTGGTCTAGCAAGATGATCTGAACGGGAACCATGTACGGCGGCAGCAAGCTTTGTAGGCGTTGCAGAATGCTCTTTTCCGTTTGCACAACGGCTTCGGGATCAGAATCAGCGGTGATACCCCGGGCGATGACAAACCCGACAACATCTGCCTCCTCGCCTTCCGTCTTCCGCAGGACAACAGCAGCATCAAGAACGGCAGAGTGGCCGAGCATAGCCTGTTCTATCTCTGCTGGCTCAATGCGATGGCCGCGGACCTTGATTTGCTGGTCGATACGGCCGAAAAACTCGATTTGACCGTCGCCGGGTCGGAACCGTGCCCGATCACCGGTCCGGTAGGCCCTGACGAGCTGATCCTTAATAGAGATCTCAACAAATCGATTTGTATCCAGGGTAGGGTCGGTATATCCACGGGCGAGGCCGTCTCCCGTTACCACGAGTTCACCCATGATGCCTGGAGACACAAGCTGCTGGTGCGAGTCAACAACATAAGCACCGGTGTTGTCAATAGCCCGACCAATAGGAACGCCGTTAATAAAATCTTCATCTCCCTTAACCTTGTAGATGGTGCTGGAGACCGTGTTTTCGGTAGGGCCGTATGCATTGTAAACATTGTCCTGGATCAATGCTTGGGCTTCAACTGCATCTCGCCCGTCAAATCGATCTCCGGCAGCCAAAATAACGTCTAGGGCAGCAATCGCAGCAGGTGCATGGAGAAGGCACTGTTTCAGGAGAGAAGGGAGAATCATTGATGCTTGAACTCTCTCCTGGATGAACACAGACTCAAGCGCCTTGCTGTCCAAGGTTGTGTAATAGTCGATACAGACGACTGTGCCACCGTTGAGAAGAGCGATGTAAATCTCCCAGGTAGAGTTATCAAAGGCAGTGTTGGATAAGTGTGCCACGCGGGGAGCCTGGGGCATCTTGTACATGAGACTGCTTTGTCTCACCAACCTGTTGATTCCACGATGCTCAATCATAACGCCCTTAGGGCGACCGGTCGATCCCGATGTAAACATGACATATGCCAGGCTCTTTGCGTGAGGTTCATCGACACCACAGCCTGTGTGACTAGGGTCAATGCTGGCGGCGAAAATATCGTCCAAAGAGACTAGCTCGACATCCGAAAGTGAGAGCTGAGGTACCGCCACGCTGCTACCAAGGAGAACCAACTTATGTCCGGGCACTGCCGAAAGAATTGTCTCATTTCGAGCGGCCGGAACGTTCACATCGAGCGGAAGGTAGGCGAGGTTAGCCTTGAGGATGCCAATAAAGGCGACAATAGTTTGGCAAGACCTTGGCGCATAGACGCTGACTAGAGTCTCTGCTGCCAATCGGCGTACACGCAGCCAGGACGCAACCATGTCGGACTGCTTGTCAAGCTGAGCGTATGTAAGCTTGGAAGCTCCATCTGTTACCGCTATAGCCTCAGGACAAGCAGCTGCCTGCTCACGGAAAAGGTCTATGACGCTAGCGTCACGCGGGTACTCTGTCTTGTTGATTTCGAGCAAGCCTAGATCCTCAAATGTGGATAGGCCGTCGGTCAGTGGCAGGCTTGAGATGGGCGCCTCTGGCTGCTCAAGGCATCGACGGAGAACCTCCTGGAAGACATCCACGACATTCTGGATAGTCTCGGGGTTGAACAAGTCTGTTGCGTACAGAATGTTTCCGTTCAAGCCTCCTTCCTTGTGGAACAAGTGAAACTCAAGGTCGAAACGCGTAGTAAGTGGTATAGCAACAGGTTGGCTATCGACGCCTTCAAACTGTATTTTACCGAGGTCTTCCTGTGAGTGGACTGCAAAGAGCAGCTGAACAAGTGGGTTGCGCGATGTGTCTCTCGAGCCGGTAAGAAGCGATGAAACGATACGCTCGAAGGGTACGTCTTGGTTCTCGAACGCTATTGTGGTGGTTGACCGGACTTTTCGTACTAGCTGATCAAATGTCTCCTCTTCGCCCTCGACTGGGATTCGTATACATTGGGTGTTAACAAAGAACCCAATCAAATCTTCCAGTTCCGGTCGGTTACGGTTAGCAATCGGTGTGCCAATAGTAGCGTCATCTACGCCGGTGAGACGGTAATGCGTAATACGGAACGCAGTAAGAAGAACCGCAAATGGCGTGGTGTAATGGCTGCGACAGAACGCATTGAGTTTGTCAAAGAGTTCCCCCTGGATTTCCAATTGTACATAGCCTGCCTTACCAGACATCACTTCTGGTCGAGGCTTATCGCAGAGCAGACTAGCGGGCTGGCTACCCTGAAGCTGTTCTTCCCAGTATGACAGCTGACGTTCACTTTCTGACACCTGCGCATCTTGCTTCTGCCATACTGCAAAGTCGCGATACTGAACGGGTAATGGCGCGGTCTGAGATAAGGGATCCTCTTTGCGAAGAGCAATAGAATAGAATCTTGCAAGATCCCTCCGCAGGATATCAAGTGACCAACCATCAGAGACAATGTGGTGCATGACAATCGATAGGACATACTCTTCATCGCTTAGTCGCAAGAGAGCTATCCGCCAACCGGGCTCTGACGATAGGTCGAAAGTGGTTGTTTGCTCCCGCGCAAGAGCTGATTCGTAGGTATCATTGCCTGAGCCAGAAACATCGATCTGTCGTAGAGCCTTAGCTCGACTTGGCTGGACGATCTGCATGCCAACACCTTCGTGATCTGTAAAGATCGTCCGTAGTGTCTCGTGACGCTGCTCTAGAGCCTGAACCGCAGCAGTGAGCGCTTCGATATTGAGACGTCCACAGAGGCGAACAGCGAGCGGCACCAAGTATGAAGATGTAGCTAGCTCAAGCTGCTCAAGGAACCAGAGACGACCCTGGGCAAAAGATTGTCTGACTGGCTCGGTGTATGGCGTGGGAATGATAGGGCTGTATTGCGTTGAGCCTTGTTTAATCTTGCTGGCGAGATCGGCCAACACTGGTGAATCAAATATGTCCTTGATAGACACACGGGCGTGAATGCGACGGCTAAGGCGGGCCGCAAGCTTCGTAGCCATAAGAGAGTGCCCACCGAGGTCGAAGAAGCTATCCGTGATGCCAACTTCAGAACCAAGTATGTTGGCGAATTCCTCGCAAAGGGTGGCCTCGATCTCGTTTCGCGGCGGTACACGCTCCGAAACAGCAGAAGGGGCTACAGTGTTGTCGGCCATGATTTCTTGGGCTCTACCGGCCAACACACGGCGATCAACCTTGCCGTTGGGGTTCAGAGGCATCTGGTCTAGCCTCAAGATTCGCGCGGGGACCATGTAGGACGGAAGAATGGTTTTCAAGTGTTGCCGAACGTCCTTTTCCATCTTGTCGGCAAATTGCTCTTCTTCAGTTCTAACATCCTCTGTAAAGAAGGCGACCAGTTCCGGGTCGCGGCCATCATCTGGCTTGGAGATGACAACTATAGCATTGCCGATGCCAGAATGGCGAAGTATCGCCTGTTCGACCTCGGCAAGTTCGATTCGATGGCCGCGGACTTTGATCTGTTGGTCTATTCTGCCAAAGAATTCGATCTGGCCGTCGGTAGGTCTAAAGCGGGCGTAATCGCCCGTCCGGTAAGCCCGCATTGCTTGGCCGGCGACGACAACATTAACAAATCGACCAAGATCGAGTTCAGCATCAGTGTAGCCACGGGCAAGGCCATCGCCAGTGACGACAAGTTCGCCAATAACGCCAATAGGTACCAATTGCTGTCGTGAATCCATAATATAGGACCCTGAATTACTGATACTGCGACCGATAGGAACACCATTAGCGCCTTGCTCCTTTTCATGCATAGGATAGACAGTGCTGAAGGTGGTGTTCTCGGTCGGCCCATAGACGTGGCAGAAGGACTGGCGTACTAGTTGTACTGCCTTCTTCGCATCTTGCAGCCGCATCCACTCACCGCCTGCAAAGAGCAGATCAAGACTGCTAAGGACAGACGGTGAGTCCTCGAGGAATTGCTTCAGGAGGGCTGTTGTAAAGAAGGCAGCGGTAACCCTGTTATCGGAGAGGATTTGGCCGAGGCCGGCAGGATTAAGAACTGCCAGGTAATCAACACAAACAACTGTACCTCCATTAAGTAATGGGGCGTAAATTTCCCAAGTAGCCGCATCAAAAGCCAGGTTAGACATATGAGCAACAGCTGTGATTGCCTCCGTCCGGGGGACCAAGTTGGTGTTCTTTACCAGACGGACGATACTTCTATGCTCAACCATAACACCTTTGGGCTTGCCGGTGGAGCCAGAAGTGAAGATAACATAAGCAAGACTACTAGCATTCGGTGACGAGATCGAGTTCACGCCATTGGGACCTGTGTTGGCGGCGAGGGCAGCGTTGATCCGAACCAAGTCAATGTCGGGAAGCGCAACATCCGTAGAGACGTTTGAGCCGACTAAGACTAGCTTTTGGCCTGGGACAGAAGAGAGGATCGTCTCGACACGGGCGGCTGGGACGTTGACATCCAGCGGGAGATATGCCAAATTAGCCTTTAGGATACCCATGAAGGCTATGATGGTCTCGCATGACCTTGGCGCCAAGACACCGACTAAAGTTTCTGGAGCCAACTGACGCTGCCGGAGCCACTTGGCAAGCCTGTCGGATTGTTGATCTAGTTCGGCATATGTCATCCGAGATGTAGTATCCGTGACGGCGACGGCGTTTGGCTGGGCAAGTGCCTGTTCATGGAAGAGTTCAGCAACGCTTGACTCTCGAGGGTATTTTGTTACTGCAACGTCAAGCAGACCCATGTCGCGGAGGCTCTCCTCAGCGTGACTGAGATGCAATGTTGCAAGAGGTGTCTGGGGCTCCTTGAAAGCCTGGCGGAGTACGTCCTGGAATGTGTTGACGATACTGCGAATGGATTCAGACTCGAACAGGTCGGTGGAATAGAGGACAGCTCCGTCAAGGCGTCCAGCGCCCTGGAAGAGGTGGAATTCCGCATCGAAGCGACTTGTAGCAGCTGTTGGCATAGCCTCGCTTGTCAGTCCCTCCAGCTGGATTTTGCCAAGGTCTTGCTGCGAGTTGAGAGAGAACATGAGTTGAACCAATGGGTTTCTGGATGTATCCCTAGCTCCAGGTAACAGAGCCGAGACAATGCGCTCAAATGGCACATCCTGATTCTCGAAAGCCGCAGCAGAAGTGGATCGAACCTGGTTAACAAGACTTTCAAAGGTCTCGTTATCCTCGATGCTAATTCGCATACACTGGGTGTTGACGAAGAAGCCGATTATATCCTCAAGCTCAGAGCGGTTACGGTTGGCGATAGGGGTGCCGACTGCCGCATCATTTACCCCGGTTAGTCGGAAGTGAGCTGTGCGGAAGGCTGAAAGCAGCACAGCAAAGGACGTAGTCTTGTAAGCCCGGCAGAAGTTTTGTAAGTCGTCGTAAATCTCGCCCTCGATGCTGAAAGAAACGGCGCCGGCACTGCCCGAGAGTACTGCTGGCCGAGGCTTATCAGCCAGCAACGTTGCTGGCTGGACACCTTGCAGATGATTCGTCCAATAATCCAATTGGCGGTCGTGTTCGGCCATCTGTGCATCTTGCTTCTGCCAGAGGGTAAAGTCACGGTACTGAATCACCAAGGGTGCTAGACAGTTTTGGAGGTCCTGGCCCCTATTTGCTGCGGCGTATAGGATTCCCAATTCGCGCTGCAAGACCTCGATAGACCAACCATCGGAGATGATGTGATGCATGACAATTGAGAGGATGTGGTCTTCATCACCAAGTCGTAGTACCGAAACACGCCAGCCTGGCTCCTCTGCGAGGTTGAAGGGAGCAGCTTGTTCTTGTTGGAGAAGTTTGATAGCATCACAGGTGTCTGACGGCGCATCAATTACTCTCAGCGACCCTCCATGGCCCTTGTTGGTGTGTACAACCTGCACGCCTACACCGTCGTGTTCCTCAAAGGTAGTTCGGAGAGTCTCATGACGTTGTTCCAAGGCGTTCACAGCCAAGTTGAGCGCGTTGATGGAGAGAGGTCCGCGCATTCGCATAGCGAGTGGCATGATGTATGACGAGCTGAGCTGCAGCTGGTCAATAAACCATAAACGTGCCTGAGCAAATGACTGCTCGACAGGTCCGCTGTAGGGAGCAGCCTCAATAGCGCTATGCTTCTTCGATCCCTTACGAATAGTGGCGGCGAGGTCCGCAAGGACAGGATAGTCAAAGACGGTCTTAACGGAAACATGGTCGTTTAGCCGGCGGCTGATACGCGCCGCAAGTCTTGTTGCCATGAGTGAGTGGCCACCAAGGTCGAAGAAATCGTCATCCACGCCAACTTCCACACCTAGCACGTCGGTGAACTCATCACACAACGCGGCCTCGACATCGTTCCGCGCTGCAATACGTGTTGACCTCGCAGAGGCGGAGGCCGAACTACTGAGACTCTGAACCCTATGTGTAAGCAGGCGCCGATCAACCTTGCCGTTGGCATTGAGAGGGAGCTGCTCCATAACAATAATCTGTACTGGCAGCATGTATGCTGGCAACACAGTTCTTAGCTGTTGCAGCATCTTCTTTTCAGTTGCGATTACAAACTGCTGCTTCGCAGCTTCTGCCTGTTCAGGGGCGACCCCATTGGCGTACGGGAGTGCGACGACACCCACAATCTCTCCCTCCTTGCCATCTTGTGTTCGAATGACGACGGCGGCGTCGCGGGCGGAGGTGTATCTAAGGAGGGCCTGTTCCACTTCGGCTGGCTCGACACGGTGACCACGGATCTTGATTTGCTGGTCCATACGCCCAAAGAACTCAATCTGTCCGTCGGGACGGTATCGCACGCGATCGCCAGTTCGGTATGCCCTCATCGAAGACTGGCCATCAACGGTGATGGTGACGAAACGGTCTTTTTCTAACGTTGAGTCTGTGTATCCTCGGGCAAGTCCATCACCTGCAACAACAAGCTCTCCCATGACGCCTGTCGACACAAGTTGCTGATTTTTATCCATGATGAAAGCCCCGGAGTTGCTAACGGTCTGCCCAACAGGAATACCGTTAACATACGGATCCGTGTTGCTAGTCAGGTGAATGGTGCTAGCGACAGAATTTTCTGTTGGTCCGTAGGCGTTGTATACGCTTCCTGGAATAACAGAGATAGTCTCGGCTAGATCGCGCGGATCAAATCGATCACCGCCAACAAACAGGACCTCTATGTTTGCAAGTGTACCAGGGGCATTGGTTAGACATTGCTTGAGTAGCGATGGCGGAATCATGGCAGCCTGGACTTGCTCACGCAGGAACAAGGCTTGCAATTCTTTGCTATCCAGGGTGGTGAAGTAGTCGACACATACCAAGGTGCCTCCGTTTAATAGAGCCGAGTACATCTCCCAAGTTGACGCGTCGAATGCGATGTTGGATATGTGCGCCACACGAGGAGCTTCCGGGAGCTTGGCTACTACGTTACTGTCCTTAACGAGACGGACAATACCGCGGTGTTCAATCATCACACCCTTGGGCTTGCCAGTTGAGCCGGAAGTGAAGATAACGTAGGCCAGGCTTGATGCTGACGGTCGCGAGGCGACAGCTGAGGTGTTACTCGGCCTCTCAAGTGCTGTGCCAATGCGAACGAGCTCAACATCTGCGGGCACCGGATTTGGATCGGGCACATCGGCGCCGAGTAACACCAGCTTGCAGCTGGGAGCCGCTGTAAGAATAGCTTCGAGGCGAACGGCAGGCATGTTGACGTCAAGCGGGAGATAGGCCAAGTTCGCCTTAAGAATACCCATGATGGCAATAATAGTCTCGCATGAGCGTGGGGATAACACACTAATCAGAGACTCATCTTCTATGCCTTGAAGTTGAAGCCAGATAGCCAGCTTATCAGATTGTTCATCTAACTCTCTGTACGTCAGAGTCGATGAGCCTTCAATGACAGCCAGCGAGTCTGGGTGGGCAAGAGCCTGATCGCAAAAGATGTCTACCACACTGGCATCTCTGGGATAGCTTGTCTTTGGAATTTGAAGTAAACCCTTGTCATGTAGCTCGGAGATACCGTCGGTGATAGGTAGGGATGAAAGCTTTGCCTCAGGTTCTTCCAAGCCGCGACGAAGAACTTCTTGGAAGACGTTGACCACGCCGGACACGGTTTCGGAAGTGAAGAGGTCAGTTGCGTACAGAAGGACACCTGAAAACCGCCGTGATTCTTGGAACAAGTGGAACTCCATATCGAAGCGAGTCTTGACTGCGTTTTCTAGGCGTTCGCTCGTGACATCCTTGAAGTTGATACCCCCTAAACCGACCTGGGAGTGGACAGCAAACATCAGCTGCACTAGGGGGTTGCGGGATGTGTCCCTGGATCCAGGCTGCAGGGCCGATACGATACGTTCAAAGGGTACGTCTTGGTTCTCGAAGGCACTGTTAACTGTGTCACGAACCTGTTGAACAAGCGATTCGAAAGTTTCCTCTTCATCTTCCACCGTAGTACGGATACATTGGGTGTTAACAAAGAAGCCGATCAGATCTTCAAGTTCGAAGCGGTTACGGTTAGCAATAGGGGTTCCTATGGCTGCATCTTCAGCTCCTGTAAGTCTGTAATGAGCAGCCCGGAAAGCAGCCAAGAGAATGACAAATGGGGTAACCTGTCGTGCTCGGCAGTAGGCTTGAAGGTTCTTGTATGTCGCGCCTTCAATGACGATGGAGGCAACCCCAGCGTCGCCCGAGGGAGCAGATGGCCGTGGTTTATCACAGAAAATAGTAGCCGGTTGGCTACCTTCCAGTTGTCTCCTCCAGTAAGATAGCTGCTTTTCCTGCTGAGCCGCTTGTGTTTCCTGTTTTTGCCATACCGCAAAATCTCTATAGTGGATAGATAGAGGCACGACCTTGGCAAGGGGATCATGGCCTTGAACCGCAGCGGTATAAAATGCAGCGAGCTCGCGCTGAATGATTTCGAGAGACCATCCATCGTAGATGATGTGGTGCATGACGATGGATAGGATATGGTCTTGCTCGTGTAGACGAATTAGCGCTGGCCGCCAGCCCGGCTCGGACGAGAGGTTGAAGGGCCTCTTTTGCTCCTTCTCCAGAGTTTCGGTGTAGTCACCGTTCTGGCCTGCCGGTATCTCTATAATCCGGATTTGCTTAGGTTCAAAGGGGTGAACTATCTGGACCCCGACACCATCTTGTTCTTCAAACGTTGTTCTCAGCGCCTCGTGGCGATTCTCTAACGCCTGCAGGGCTGCGGTGAGCGCATCAATCCGCAGAGGGCCCCGTAGACGCACTGCGAGAGGCATTATATACCATAATGATCCGAGATCTAGTTGATCCAGGAACCACAGGCGACCTTGGGCAAACGACTGTTCGACCGGGCCGGTGTAGGGCATAGAGATGATGGCGTTATGCTTGCTGGAGCCCTGTCGGATGGTAGCGGCCAGGTCTATAATAACGGCCTGGTTAAAGATGTCTTTAACTGAGACATAAGTGTTCAATCTCCGGCTGAGGCGTGCGGCGAGTTTCGTAGCCATGAGAGAGTGCCCGCCGAGATTGAAGAAGTTGTCGGTAATGCCTACTTCCACCCCTAGGACGACCGAGAACTCTTCACAAATCACAGCTTCTACCTCGTTCCGCGGCTCAACAATCTCATGTATCGTTTCCGTCGCCCTTGCAGCCTTCGGAGCAGCTTTAGCCTTGCGTTGTAGCTCACGCCTATCAACCTTGCCGTTTGGGTTAAGCGGGAGCTGATCCAGCACCACAATTTGGGACGGAATCATATACGGCGGAAGTGCGGCTTGTAGCTGGCCCCAGACTTGTTTCTCAAGGCGGCGACTCTGACGTTGCTGCAAGGGACGATTGCTAAGAAGCTTAGACAGTCGACCTTGGTGTTCTGTAGGGAAGTCGAATAGCACCCGCGTTTCTTTATCGCCTGGACGATAACGGTGGAAGATGGCATCCAGACCTCCATGCTGGGATCTTTGTCGGGCCCAGCTGAGTTCCACGCTGAAGCCGGCTTGCTTACCGATTTCGACAAGATCGACCGCAGAGAGGGATGAATATTGGTCTGCTTCGTCGCGGATCATCGTAATCCAGGAATTGCCGTCTACAGAGCGTTGAGTTTCTTCGTCGTCATTATCCAGTGACTTGATCAGGAGTCGCTCGACGATTGTCTTTCTGTAAGGAATATTGGCAACAGGAACAGTCATGACATCTGTCGAGCCTTGCAGCAGGTTAAGAAGCCAAGAATAATTCAACTTGGAATCGCTAAAGTCAACCCATGCGTCTTTTTCAATCGAATAGATCGGCTGTTGTGGTTGCCCCCCTTCTGGGTCTCGCATATGTATGACGGCCGCATATCGATACGCGCTTAGCTCGTTGGTGGCCTTCATTCTCTTGGGAAGAATTTCTACGTGCCACACGCTATCAGGAAGGCGGCTTGTTAGTCCTGTGAAAAAGGCTGGGTCAACAAGCAGCTCTTCCTCACGATCCTCGAGCTCAGCTATCTTGCGCTGGATTCCGTCACGCGTAGCATTAGAGCCTAAATCGTGAAGTGCTCTCGCTGCGAGGAAGTCCCTGTTGATAGCGTAGGTCCGCATATCACCAAAGAATAGCCGCTTCGCACCTGGCGAGCGCGATAGGTGCTCAATAACCTCGAAAAGATAGTCTGCCGATGGGAAATACTGTGCAACGGAGTTGACTATAACAAGGTCGGCTTGAATGTCAAGATTTCTTACGTCCATTGCTGTGCCGACAAGAGCTTTAGCCTTGCCTGCCAGCGATGGAATCGACTGAATCTTGCTGTTAACGAACGCAGCTGCTGAAGTTGATGGTTCCAAGCCGACGTAGCTTTCAACTCCTTTCAGGTTAAAAAGGATCATGCCAGTACCTGTGCCGAGTTCAACGACGTGCTTGGCCGGTTGCCCATCATGGAGTGTTGTCATAGTATCGTTGAGCCATTCCTGCATCTCGTCCTTATCGATTTCGGACTTGTCGTACATCGAGACCCAACCTAAGAAGTCGTTGCCTACGGCTGATTTGTCGATACTCTCGATGTCGGCATAGGTACTGATCTCGAAATGGTTGCCCCAGCCTTGAACCTGGTCACTGGCCTCGTCGTCCTCTTGAGATTGGTCACTCTGCGCAGCCACGAAGCCAATCATCTCTGGTTCCTCGCCATCCTTGCTGCGGACGACGACAGCGGCATCGACAACATCGCCATGACGTAGCATCGCCTGCTCTACCTCAGCAGGCTCGATGCGGTGGCCACGGATTTTGACCTGTTGGTCCATCCTGCCAAAGAACTCAATGTGGCCGTCTGTCGGGCGCCGTCGAACACGGTCACCCGTACGGTACGCCTTGACGACCTGGCCGTTGACTGCCACCTGAACAAATCTGTCTTTGTTGAGTTCGCTATCGGTATAGCCGCGGGCAAGGCCATCTCCTGTGACGACAAGCTCTCCCATCACACCCAGCGGAACGACTTGCTGGTTCTTATCCATGACATAGGCGCCAGAATTGCTCACAGCATGGCCAATCGGGACGCCGTTCACCAAGGGGTCTTGCGCAGATACCTTATAAAAGGTACTGAGAATACCGTTTTCCGTAGGGCCGTATGCGTTATATACGCTACCCGACACCAGTTCTGTTGCGGCTGCGGCGTCATGGCTATCGAATCGGTCACCCGCGGCATACAAGAGATGGAGGGCGCTGAGAGTGCCGGCCATTGGCTTGAGACACTGCTTCAACAAGGCGGGAGGCATCATCGTCACTTGAATCTGTTCCCGCAGGAAAAGGTCGTTAAGAGCTTCAGGCTCCAGCGAAGTGAAGTAGTCGATGCAGATCAAGGTGCCTCCATTCAACAGCGCCGTATAAATCTCCCACATGGAGACGTCAAAGGCAACATTCGTCAAGTGGGCAACACGCGCCTTTGCTGGCAACTCTGAATTGACGTTGCTCTGTTTGACCAGCCTGAGAACTGCGCGATGCTCAATCATAACGCCCTTTGGCTTGCCAGTTGAGCCGGATGTAAAGATAACGTAGGCAAGGCTCGTTGCAGTCGGTCCTTGGTGGTGAGGGTCAAGGTTGTCTTTGGGGGCGTCACGGATCGCATCAGGAATCGATACCATTGCCACGTTCGGCATTTTGATATCGGGTCGCGTGACTGTAGAATTGAGCAAAACGAGGATGTCGTCCTCCAGAGCTGAAAAGATGGAGGTAAGCCGCGCAACTGGAACCTTAACATCCAGAGGGAGATAGGAGCGGTTCGCTTTGAGGACACCAAGGAAGGCGACAATGGTCTCGCAGGAACGCGGGGAGAAGACAGCGATGGGCGTCTCAGAGGCAGGACTCTTCAGATTCCGAAGCAGCCAAGCTGCTAGGGCATCTGATTGCTGATCTAGCTGCGAGTACGTCAACTGCGAGATCGAGTCTTTGACAGCAATCGCAGTAGGGTTGGCAGCAACCTGCTCTCTGAAAATATCTACCAAGCTCGAGTCTCGCGGATACTCGGTCCTCTCGATATCCAGTAGACCGGTGGTTCTCAGATCAGCCAGCCCATCAGTGAGGGGCAGGGATGCAATGGGTGCCGCGGGGTTCTCGAGAACGCGGCGCAGAACTTCCTTGTAAAGATTGATGATACCCTGAATCGTAGAGGGTTCAAAGAGGTCTGAGGCGTAGAAGACGGCACCACCGAGTCGGTCCTCCTCCTGGAACAAGTGAAATTCCACGTCGAATCGAGTTGTCGCAGGCGATGGGAGACGCTCACTAACAAGACCCTCCAGGTGAATTCTTCCGAGGTCATTCTGCGAGTGTAGCGCAAACATGAGTTGCACTAGCGGGTTACGGGACGCGTCTCTCGCATTAGGCTGGAGGGCTGTCACAACAGTCTCGAATGGCACATCTTGATTCTCAAAGGCAGCAGCCGCAGTGCCACGGACCTGCGGCACGAGACTTGCGAACGTCTCATTCTCATCAACAGTTATCCGCAGACACTGGGCGTTGACGAAGAAGCCAATCAAGTCTTCGATTTCTGGTCTGTTGCGGTTAGCAATGGGTGCGCCAATCGTAGCATCCTTTACCCCGGTAAGCCTATAGTGCGTAGCACGGAATGCTGCAAGCAGAACGGCAAAAGAAGTAGAGTTTGTGGCTCGAGAGTAGGCTTGGAGTTTGTCGTAGACAGGACCGTCAACAGTGAGGACAGCATAGCCAGCCTTGCCAGACGGTATAGACGGGCGTGGCTTGTCGCAGTAGAACTCGGCTGGCGTGCTGTCTGCCAGATTCTCGGTCCAGTAGTCCAGTTGTCGCTTTTGCTCGGCTAGTTGAGCATCGCTTCTCTGCCATGTAGCAAAGTCGCGGTATTGAATGGGTAGAGGGCGTATCTTCGAGAGAGGGTTGTCGCCTCGGAGTGCGATGGCGTAGAATGTGCTCAATTCCTTACGCAAGACATCAATAGACCAGCCGTCAGAGGCGATGTGATGCATAACAATAGATAGAACGTGGTCATCCTCTCCAACCTTGTATAGCACTACCCTCCAGCTGAAATCGGAGGCCAAGTTGAAGAGAGTTGCCTGCTCTTCCTTGAATGGCTTGATATAGCTATTGCTGTCCCGCTCGGCGGAGAGGTCAATTACCTTCAACTGATTTCTGCTAGGCGGGTGGATGATCTGTACACCAACACCATCCTTATCCCCAAAGGTTGTACGCAGCGTTTCATGGCGCTCTTCTAGGGCATTGATGGCAATAGAGAGGGCCTCGACCTGCAGCGGCCCACGTAGGCGTGCTGCAAGGGGAATGAGATACCAGAGTGCCCCGATACTCAGGTTTTCTAAGAACCAGAGGCGTCCTTGGGCGTATGAAAGCTCGGCCGGCCCGTAGTATTGTCCCGCCAAAATGGGACTGTGAAGTGCGGAACCCTTCTTGATGATGGAGGCAAGGTCAACAAAAGTTGGACGGTCGAAAATGTCTTTGACTGTGACGCGGACTTCCAGCCTACGGCTTATACGTGCTGCCAGTCTTGTAGCCATCAAAGAGTGCCCGCCAAGGTCGAAGAAGTTGTCGGAAACGCCAACGTCGATACCAAGCAGCTTTGCAAACTCTTCACATAGCACTGCTTCGACCTCGTTACGTGGGGCCACGCGTTGTGACGCAGCGCTTGTTCTCGGCGTTGTCAAAGCTTTCCTGACCAGTTCCCGACGGTCAACTTTGCCATTCGCATTCAGCGGCAGATAGTCTACGACAATGATTTGCGCTGGTATCATGTAGGACGGCAAGGTGGCTTGGAGCTGTTGTCGAATGCTTCTCTCTGCCACGTTAGCGACAGCGGGAGCGGTAGTAGGAGAGTCGTCAACTCCGTGGGTCGTAACAAATCCAACAATGTCTGGCTGCTGGTTTTCGAATTTTCTTATGACGACAGCTGAGTCACGGATCCCAGGAATTCCAGCCAAAGCCTGCTCTACCTCAGCCGTTTCGATACGGTAGCCTCGAATCTTTACTTGGTTATCAATACGGCCCAGGAATTCGATCTGACCGTCAGCTGGCCGGTATCGGGCACGGTCACCCGTCCGGTATGCTCTTACTGATCGGCCGTCGATGTTGACATGGGTAAAGGAACGCTCGTTTAGCACAGAGTTAGTATAACCACGCGCTAAGCCGTCGCCTGTAACAACGAGCTCGCCTGCAACACCAAGGGGCACAAGTTGCAACCTGGAATCCATAATGAAGGCACCAGAGTTCTTGATACCCCGTCCGATAGGCAGACCGTTGACACAAGTCTCGTCAGGGCCCATTTCGTAGATCGTACTAAAGGTTGTGTTTTCTGTTGGTCCGTACACGTGACAAAGTGCTTGTCTGATAAGCTCACGACCCTTAAAGGCGTCTTGTGGGCGCATGGTCTCGCCTCCGGTTAACAAGACATTCAGACTGCTAACGATTGAGGGCATGTCTTCGAGAATCTGGCGTAGGAGAGCAGTTGTAAAAAAGGCGAGGCTGATACCATTCGAGCGGATTGCATCTCGTAAAAGCGAAGAGCTTAATACTGTTAACTTATCGAGACACACGATTGTTCCACCATTAAGCAGCGGTGAGTAGATTTCCCATGTTGTGGCGTCGAAGGCCAGATTAGAAAGATGAGCCATGGTACCCCCAAGCGGTGTTTGCAAGTGCTTATTAGTACTTTTAACAAGTCGAACGATGCTGCGGTGTTCAATCATAACGCCCTTGGGACGACCCGTCGAGCCAGAGGTGAACATGACATAAGCAAGACTCGTTGCATGTGGTCGTGCAGCGTTATGGACGCCATCATCCACCTGCTGAAGATGTTGGTTCATGGCCTCAGAGATGTACACCAGCTCAACATCGGCAAGGTTAACCTTGGGCATAGGCACGTTCGAGCCAACAAGGACAAGCTTGCGACCGGAAACTTCTGACAAGATGTCTTCAAGGCGAGCGACAGGCTCATTGACATCAAACGGCAGGTAGGCCAGGTTCGCCTTGAGGATTGCCAGAAGAGTTACCACAGTCTCACAAGATCGAGGAGCAAGGACTCCGACCAGTGTCCCTTCGGGAAGCTTAAACTGCCGCAGCCAGTCTGCCAGCCGTTCTGACTGGTTATTCAAGTCGGCATAAGTCAGCTGGGACGAGGTATCCTTGACAGCAACTCGTTCCTGATTAGTGGCGGCCTGCTCGAGGAACAAATCCACCACACTGGAGTCTCTGGGAAAATCCGAAGTTTCAACCTCGAGTAGGCCCATGCTCCGCAGGGCTGGCAGCCCGTCGGTGAGAGCAAGACCGGCAATAGGCGTGAGCGGCTGCTCGAGGCACCTTCGAAGCACCTCTTGGAACACGTCCACGATGATTTGCACCGTCTTGGGCTCGAAAAGATCGGTGGAATAGAAGACCGTTCCCTTCAAGCTCTCTTCTTCTTGAAACAGGTGAAGCTCGAGATCGAAGCGTGTGGTAGGTATAAATGGTAAATTCGAACTGGTAAGCCCCTCCAGCTGAACTTTGCCGATATCTTGCTGAGAATGCACAGCAAACATGAGCTGAACCAGGGGATTACGCGACGTATCCCTTGAGCCGGGTAAGAGGGTTGATACGATACGCTCGAACGGCACGTCTTGATTGTCAAATGCTGATGTAACCGTTAGTTGCACCTGGCGCACAATTGCCTCGAATGTGTGGTTATCGTTAACAACAACTCTCATGCACTGGGTGTTGACGAAAAATCCGATGAGGTCTTGCACTTCCGGCCGGCTACGGTTGGCAATCGGCGTACCAACAGTCACATCGTCATCGCCCGTCAGACGATAATGGGCTGCTCGGAACGCTGCAAGCAGAACGACGAAAGGCGTGGCTTGTTGTGCTTGACAGAATGCCTGGAGTTTCTCATAGACGGTGCCTTTAATCGTGAATTCCGCGAGGCCCCCGGAGCCGGAGAGAGCATTAGGGCGAGACTTGTCACATAAAAATGTAGCCGGATGACTGCCAGTCAATTCCTGTTTCCAGTATGCCAGCTGCCTCTCGTGCTCAGCCACTTGTGCCTCTTCTTTCTCCCATAAGGAGAAGTCGCGATATTGGATAGGTAGTGGAGAGACACTCGACAAGGGGTCCTCGCCAGCTAGGGCTGCCGTATAGAAGGCAGCCAGCTCACGCTGGAGAACCTCGAAGGACCAACCATCAGAGATAATATGATGCATGATGATAGAAATGATGTGATCGTCTGCACCCATGCGGAGCAGTGCAACACGCCAACCTGGCTCTGACCCGAGGTCAAAGGGCCTCGCCTGTTCCTGTTGTAGTATCTCCTCATAGCGTCCGTCGGTTACATCCAATACTCGGAGCTCTTGACCGTCTGTAACTGGCTGCACAATTTGCATACCCGTGCCATCGTGCTCCTCAAAGGTTGTCCGCAGTGTCTCGTGGCGCTTCACGAGAGTATTGAGAGCGGTACGAAGCGCGCAGATATCAAGCGAGCCCTTCATTCGCACTGCGATTGGCATGTGGTAAGCAGAGGAGTTACCCAATTCGAGCTGATGAAGAAACCAGAGACGACCCTGCGCAGAGGATTGCATGACTGGGCCGTCGTGGATCTGGGAGGGAATCTTGTTGTGCTTCGAAGAGCCCTGGCGGATAGTTGTAGCAAGGTCGGCAATCACAGGGTGGTCGAAGATGTTCTTAACGGATACCCGGGATTCAAGACGCAGTGTAAGTCGTGCGGCTAATTTCGTAGCCATGAGAGAATGTCCGCCGAGGTCGAAGAAGCTGTCAGTGGTGCCCACCTCAACACCAAGCACATCGGCAAAGTCTTCGCACAGGATGGCTTCTACCTCATTGCGGGGCGCAACATGGGTTGTTGCGGTCCTAGCTCTCGGTACCGCCTGGGCTCGTCGAGCAAGATCACTACGGTTAACTTTACCGTTGGCATTAACCGGCAGGTGATCGAGAACCATAATCTGGCTCGGAATCATGTACGGGGGGAGTAGGCTCTGAAGGTACTCGCGGATCTGCGCCTCTACCTTACGGCCTTGCTCTCGCTGCAGCGGCCGATTGGCAAGGAGGCTAGAGGAGAGGCCCTGATCTTCGGTTGGAAATCGGACCAATACACGGCTATTCTCGTCAATAGGTTGGAGGCGATGGAATACGACATCAACAGCACCGTTCTGCGACCGTTGGCGAGCGCAGCTGAGCTCTACGCGGAAGCCTGCCTCCTTACCCAACTGCACGAGGTCATAAGGCGACAGAGATACGGACTCTGCGGCTTTCTCGTAAATGCTCGAGATCCAATCAGCACCGTCCTTAGAGTCTGGATCGTTATCATCGTCGAGAGACTCAGCAAGCAGCCGCTCAACAACAGTCCTGCTGTAGGACACATTGCTTACAGCAATGGTTTGCGAATCTGGTGAGCTGTGAAGGAGATTGAGAAGCCCATTTCGGTGGAGTTGAGAAACCTGAAAGTCAATCCAAGCCTCCGGGTTGATGTCGTGCACAAGCGGTTGAGTCTCCTCACCCGACCGTATGTGTACGATTGCTTGATACCGATATGCGCTAAGCTCGTTAATAGCCTTCATGCGCTTGGGGAGGATCTCGACGTGGAATATGCGATCGGGAAAGCGGTTCTTGAGGCCTGTAAAGAATGCCGGGTCCACGAGCAACTCTTCCTCGTTCTCTTCGAGGTCTGCCATCTTTGACCGGATCTGATCCTTGGTTGCTGCCGGTCCTAGTGTAAAGAGAGCCCTGGCTGCTAGGAAGTCGCGGTTGATAGCCCAAGATCGCATGTCGCCGAAGACAAGACGCTTTACGCCAGGAATCTGACTCGCAGTATCAATAACCTGCAAGAGGTACTCTGCGCTGGGGAAGTATTGTGCGACAGAGTTTACCACAACTAGGTCTGCTTGCATTCCCTCAAGCCCAGCTATGTCCGTCGCGGTGCCGACGTTTACCTGGGCTTTGCCAACGACACTAGGAGCGAATCGAATCTTGCTGTTGACGAAATCCACGGCAGAGCTAGAGGGGTCAAGGCCAATGTAGCTCTCCAGGTCGTCTCCAAGGTTGAATAATATCATACCGCTACCTGTGCCAATTTCAAGCACGCGGCCGGCTGGGCGGTTGTCGAGAATAGCTGCCATTGTGTCATCCAGCCATTCTTGCATCTCCCTTTTATCAATATCTTTTCCGTCATACATAGACGTCCAGCCCATAAAGTCGTTACCGATAACAGATTGATCAATGGTGTTGATATCGACGTATGTGCTTGTCTCGAAGTGATTACCCCAGCCTTCGACACGCTTGGTCACGTCGACCTGGGCATCCTGGGCCAACGGCTCGTCCTGGGCAGCGATGAAGCCGACCATGTCCGCTCCTTGTTCTTCGTTCTTCCGGATAACAATAACGGCGTCACGGACAGCCGGGTGCTTGAGCAGGGTCTGTTCCACCTCCGCCGGCTCAACACGGTGGCCGCGGATCTTGACCTGTTGGTCTATACGCCCAAAGAACTCAATTTGCCCATCGGAACGGTAACGCGCGCGATCGCCGGTCCTGTACGCCCGTACAGATTGACCATCAATAACAATGTGCACGAATCGGTTGTTGTCAAGCTCGGGGTCGGTGTATCCTCGGGCAAGGCCGTCGCCCGAAACGACTAGCTCTCCCATAACGCCGATCGGCACTGGGTTCTGGTGCATATCCATAATATGCGCACCCGAATTACTGACAGCCTCTCCGATCGGAACGCCATTGGTGTAGGAATCCAGATTGCTGACTCTGTGGGTGGTACTCAGAATCGTGTTCTCCGTTGGGCCGTAAGCGTTAAGCACGTCGCCTGGAACGATGGCATTGACCTTGATGGCGTCGCGGGCATCAAATCGATCACCGGCAGAGAATAGAAGCTCCAGAGAACCGAACATGGAGGGGGCGTTCTCTAGGCACTGCTTCAGCAAGGCTGGCGTAAGCATGGCAGCGCGGATATTCTCCTGTTCGAACACACGCTTGAGCATAGCCACGTCCAAGACAGTGGTGTGGTCGATGCAGATAACCGATCCGCCGTTGAGCAAGGCAGTATAGATTTCCCATGAAGCAGCGTCGAAGGCAACATTGGCGATGTGGGCTACCGGTACGGCTGATTGGGCCAATGACTGGATATTGGTGTTCTTAACCAGCCTGATGACACCTCGATGCTCGACCATGACACCTTTGGGACGTCCCGTAGATCCGGATGTAAACATGACGTAGGCTAGACTTGTTGCAGTAGGTGTTGGTAGCAGCGTTACAATGTCTTGTTCTATGCTGGCCTTATTATCACACGCTTCTGCAATCGTGTGGAATTTCACGTTGTTCTGTCGGATAGGTGGTACAGTTACGTTAGTACCAAGCAGGACAAGCGTTTCGCCCTCAACAGCTGATAGGATGCTCTCAAGACGGCCCAAGGGAACGTTGACATCGAGAGGCAGATAGGCTAAGTTAGCCTTGAGGATTCCGATGAGGGCTACGATCGTCTCGCACGACCGCGGGGATAGAACGGCAATCATGGTTTCGGGTGCAAAGCCCTGCTTAACAAGCCAGTACGCCAGCTGATCTGACTGGCAATCCAGTTCGGCATAAGTCAATGTCGAGTTGCTATCCTTAACAGCTATAGCATCTCTGCAGAGGGCAACTTGCTGGCGGAAAAGAGCTGGTATACTGTCGTCCCGAGGATAGTTGCTTCGCGAGACCTTTGTGAGTCCCTTGTCGGCGAGCATGGAAAGGCCGCTAGTTAGCGGCATAGAGGCAATCGGGACTGAAGGTTCTGCGAGGCCCCTTCGGAGAATCTCTCCAAAAATGTCCTTCATGGTAGTGATGGACGCCGGGCTGAATAGCTCATTCGAATACATAATAACGGCGCGGAAACGGTCATTCTGCTGGAAGAAGTGGAACTCGAGATCGAATCTTGTAGCTTTGGCAGCTTCCAAGGGCTCAGAGTTCAGCCCATCAAGTTGAACATAGCCAAGATTCTCTTGATAATGAACAGCCAATGTCATCTGTACGAGCGGATGGCGCGAAACGTCACGCGTTCCGGGCAATAGTTCGGCGACCAGACGGTCAAAGGGGACGTCCTGGTTAGCAGAGGCCGCAGCTGACGCGGAGACCACCTGTCTAACCAACGTCTCGAACGTCTCCTCATCCGCTAGGGCTGTACGGATACACTGCATATTAACAAAGAAGCCGATTAGGTCTTCAAGTTCTTGTCGGTTTCTATTGGCAATAGGCATGCCAATAGTAGCATCTTCTACGCCGGTCAAGCGATAATGCGCCGCCCGGAATGCGGCAAAGAGCACAGAGAAGGGCGTAGTCTGGTACTGCTTGCAATACCTCTGCAGATCCTCATACAGTGTACCATCGACAAAGAATTCATGCACGTTGGCTGTGCCTGAAGGCAAAGCCGGTCGAGGCTTGTCGCACAGCAGAGTAGCCGGCTGGCTTCCATCAAGATGATCTTTCCAGTAGGCTAGCTGGCGCTCTTGCTCAGCAATTTGGGCTTCTTCTCTCTGCCATAGGGCGAAATCGCGGTATTGGATAGGGAGAGGGTTCACCTCCGAAAGCGGTTTCTTGCCTGTGAGTGCGGTAGCGTAGAACGCCACAAGCTCACGTTGAATAATTTCAAGAGACCAGCCGTCAAATATGATGTGGTGTATAGCTATAGATAGCACGTAATCCTGTTCGCCCAGACGTAGGAGGGCTGGGCGCCATCCAGCTTCGGTCTCCAGGTTGAAAGGTGTAGAGTTTTCATTCCGAAGAACCTGCATAAGCTTCTCTTCGGAGCCTCCATCAATATCAATGATTCGGAGCTGTTTCGGGGAGAACGGGTGAACCACCTGGACGTTCACACCATCTTGTTGTTGGAAAGTAGTGCGAAGGCCCTCGTGGCGTTCCTCAAGCGCGAGAAGTGCCGTGCTCAGCGCCTCGAGATCCAAAGGTCCTCGTAGGCGAGAAGCAAAAGACGAAAGATACCATGTGAGGCCTGGATATAAGCGCTCAAGGAACCATAGACGGCCCTGTGCAAATGACTGTTCAACAGGGCCTTCATACGGCCTCGGCACAATTGGGTTGTGTTGTGTTGTGCCGCGGCGAAGGCTTGATGCGAGGTCGAGCAAGATAGGCTGGTCAAAGATATCTTTGACAGTCACGCGAACTTCCAGTCGCTTGCTAATACGTGCAGCTAGCTTAGTTGCCATAAGGGAATGGCCACCAAGCTCGAAAAAGTTGTCGATAATGCTGACCTCGGTGTCGAGAATCTTAGCAAACTCCTCGCACAACGCGGCCTCGACCTCGTTGCGTGGCGCCACCAGCGCCGGCTTTTGTCCCGAGGTTACGCTTCTCCTTGGTACTGTTTGTGCCCTGCGTGTCAGTTCTTGGCGGTCAACCTTACCGTTGGCGTTAAGGGGTAGCTTGTCTTCTATGACGATACGCGTCGGTATCATATAAGACGGCAGCACCGCCTTGAGCCGCTGCAAAATGTGCTGTTCCATTAGTGTCACAAACTCGTCTTCTTCCTCCTCGCCACCTACCTGACCCGGGGTCTCCTCGTCGCGCACCGGGATATGCTTGTTATCGTCGCGGGCAGCCACAAAGCCGATGATTTCCGACTCCTTGCCCTCAGACTTGCAGACAATGGCAACTGCGTTGTGGACGGCGTTGTGGCTAAGCATCGCCTGCTCGATCTCAGCCGGCTCGATACGATAGCCACGAATCTTGACCTGTTGGTCCATCCGACTGATGAATTCGATCTGGCCATCCAGAGGCCGGTACCGCACTCTATCGCCAGTTCGATAGGCTCTTATAAGCTGACCTGCAATTGAAATATTGACGAAGCGGTCCTGGTCTAGCTCCTTGATTGTGTACCCTCTTGACAGACCATCGCCTGTCACGACAAGCTCACCCATAACACCGACGGGGACAAGCTGTTGGTCTGGGTCCATGACGTATGCCCCTGAGTTGCTGATACTCAGGCCGATGGGAACGCCGTTGGTGTATTGATACTGCTCCTTTGCGCGCATCGGATACATGGTGCTGAATGTGGTGTTCTCCGTGGGTCCGTAAACATGGAAGAAAGACTGGCGCACTAGTTGCACCGTCTTTTGTGCGTCCTGCGGCCGCATCCATTCACCACCCGCAAGCAGGATGTCGAGGCCACTAATAATGGAAGGCATATCCTCCAGGAACTGCTTTAGCAGAGCCGTTGTAAAGAATGCAGCAGTGACCTTGTGATCGGAGAGGATTTGGCTCATATTAACAGGGTTGAGGACTGCCATATAGTCAATACAAACCACCATGCCCCCGTTGAGAAGCGGGGCATAGATTTCCCATGTGGCTGCGTCAAAAGCCAGGTTGGAGATGTGGGCAACGGCTGCCACGGCCTCCGCCTGAGGAATGAGGTTCGTTTCCTTGACTAGGCGTACGATGTTGCGATGTTCAACCATCACGCCCTTGGGCTGACCAGTTGAGCCTGAGGTGAACATGACATAGGCCAGGTTTGTGGCCTTTGGGCCCATCACACTGTGGACATCGGACTGTTGAGTGAGCCCGGACGCCTCGTCCAGAGCCTTGGTGATATATACAGGCTCAACCTCAGGCACCTGAACATCCGGCGCCGGCGTGCCTTCGCCGACAAGGAGTAGCTTGTGGCCCGGCACCGCCGACAGGATCGTCTCAATACGACCGAGCGGCGTGTTCACGTCAAGCGGAAGATACGCGAGGTTCGCTTTGAGAATTGCAAGGAAAGCCACGATAGTCTGGCTGGATCGGGGAGCAAACACGGCGACCAAGGTCTCAGGTGCCAGTTCGCGCCGGCGTAGCCAGCCAGCCAGTCTATCAGACTGGTCATTGAGCTCGAGGTAGGTCAGCTTGGTTGACGAACCCGCGTCCGTCACGGCCACGGCGTCAGGAGAGACGGCTGCCTGCTCTCGGAAAAGATCTACGAGGCTAGCGTCTCTGGGGTAGTCTGTCTTGACGATTTTATGCAGGCCCAAATCGTGTACTTCAGCCATGCCATCAGTCAGCGGCAGAGTGGCGACGCGTGTCTCGGGCTGGGCAAGGCCACGACGCAGCACCTCCAGGAAGATATTGGCGACGCCTTTGATGGTCTTGGGCTCGAACAGGTCAGAGGCAAACAACATATTGGCACGGAACCGGTCCTGCTCCCGGTATAGATGGAATTCAAGATCGAAGCGCGTCGTCGGTTCCGTAGAGAGCGATTCACCTTGCACGCCTTCTAGTTGCATTCTTCCAAAGTCCTGCTGCGAATGCAGGACGAACACAAGCTGCGCTAGGGGGTTTCGCGACGAATCTCTAGATCCGGGCAGTAGTGCTGACACGATGCGGTCAAACGGCACATCTTGGTGCTCCCACGCTGTCGTAGCTGTAGCCCGGACCTGCTGGACTAGGCTTTGGAACGTCTGGTCATCATCGACAACTGTTCGTAGACACTGTGTATTGACGAAGAAGCCAATCATATCCTCTAACTCGGGATGATTGCGGTTCGCAATGGGGGCAGCAATGACAGCATCCTCTGCCCCTATCAAACGGTAATGCGTGGCGCGAAAAGCGGCAAAGAGAACAGCAAACGGGGTTACCGCATTATCGCGGCAAAAGGCTTGTAGGCTCTCGAATAGGGAGCCTTCGATGGTGAAGTTGACCTCTCCTGCGTTGCCCGATAAGGTGTCGGGGCGGGGCTTGTCGGACAGGAACTCAGCCGGCGAGCTATCGGCCAGTTGTTTAGTCCAGTACTCAAGCTGTCGCTGATGTTCTGCTACCTGTGCGTCTTGTTTTTGCCAGGCCGCAAAGTCGCGATACTGGATTGCTAGGGGCGGCAGCTGGGTCAAAGGGTCCTCGCCGCCGCGGGCAGCGGCGTAGAAGACACTGAGCTCCCTGCGCATGATGTCAACCGTCCAGCCGTCGGAGATGATGTGGTGGAAGACAATTGAGAGCACATAGTCTTCCTCTCCCAGCTGCAACAAGGCCACGCGCCAACCAGGCTCGGAAGCCAAGTCGAAAGGCGTGGTCTGTTCCAGCCGGAGCACTTCCTCGTAGCTGTCGGAGGACGATGTCAAATCAATGATTCGGAGATCCCTGGCATGAGTCTCATGGACCACCTGCATACCCACGCCGTCATGATCCTCAAATACCGTCCGCAGAGTCTCGTGTCTCTGCTTTAATGCATGTAAGGCAGCTGTGAGAGCATCGATCTGGAGCGAGCCCCGTAGGCGCTCTGCAAACGGTACGAGGTACCACGAAGAGCCTTTGTTAAGCTGATCGAGAAACCAAAGACGACCCTGGGCATACGACAACTCAACAGGACCCTCGTAGGCCGCCGCCATGATTTGGCCGCTGCCCTGACGGGATTCTTGACGAATCTTAGCCGCCAGGCCCGGCAGAGTCGGGTTCTGCAGGACATCGGTCACGGTCAGGTCAATCCCAGCCACCTTTGCCATGTTCACCAACTTGATAGCTGCGATGGAATCGCCACCCAGCTGGAAAAAGTTGGCTCCGTGGCTGTTAGAAGCAGAGGGAAGTTGCAAGCTTCGGAACCACAACTGCCGCAGGTTGTCCTCCTGTGCACTGATCGGCTCGCCGAGCGCTGCATCGGGCGGAGAAGAAATGGCATTGTGAATGAGTTCTTGTACGAGCTTTGTGCCGATGGAACGGAGTCGTCTCCTGTCTGTTTTTCCAGTAACAATAGTTGGGCGCTGCTTCATGCGGATAAAGTATGATGGGACTGCATATTCCGGGAGAGCTTGCTCCAGGGGCGCCCTGATACGGCGGGTCTCAGCATCATCGAGGATATACGCCTCCTCGTTGACGTGAGCAGCCTCATCCGACTGGAACGGCCCGAAGAGGAACGCGACCAGGACTGCACTGCTTGCCTCTTGAGTCCGCTTGATCGCTTCGGCCACGGGTATCATGTGACGAGGAAGGGCTTCACGCAAGTGGCTTTCCACCTCACCAAGTTCTACTCGTTGACCTCTGATTTTGACTTGCGAATCCCTGCGGCCTAGGTAGGCAACAGTACCATCAGAACGGTAACAAACCAGGTCTCCGGTGCGGTAGAATCGATAGCCGTTTTCCTTTTGCTGATGACGCCAGTCCTTAGGATACCACGATGGGGCGTCATCGAGGAAAGGTGACTCTTCCGGTGACAGAGGCTTGATATAGCCCCTAGCAATTCCGTAACTCTCAATCATCAGTTCTCCGACACATCCGACAGGAGCAAGCTGGTTAGGGTCGCTTGGGGTAGTGATCCAGTACCGGGCGCCCAAAGCACGGCCAATGGTCCGGAGGTCTGTAGTATCTTGATAAATGCGCGTACCACCACATGTTGTGGCGCTCTCGCTCTGGCCGTAAGAGTTGAATAAACGGACCCGGGACGCGAAGGTGTCCCTCTGATAAGCTGAAAATGGTTCACCTCCTGACAAAAGAGTCTTGAGGCCGGCAAGGCTTTCCGGGGGCATAGTAGCTGCGAAAGAGGGGGTAAGCGTTGCCCAGTTGACACGAGCGCGCTTGATGAATCCTGCAAGATCATTCATGCGCTCATCCTCCGATGGGATGCAGACACAACCTCCGTGCATCAAGGCGCCCAGAGTCTCCGTTAGGCTGGGGCCAAATGCATAGGAGGAGAACTGGAGGGACCTGGTGTCTTTATCGACACCGAAGAATGTGGTGAACTCGAAGGCGCACGACGCGAAGGCGCGGTGCTCGAGCATGGCACCCTTGGGTTCTCCAGTGCTACCGGACGTGAAGACAACATATGCTAGGTCGTTTGGCCTCGCGACGGGCGTGAAATTTGCCTCGCTAAGCTGCGGCAACGATTGGATCAAGGCGTCATCGAGAACAATTGTACGAGGCACAAGACCGTCAAAAGTCTCACGATGGAGTCTAGAGGCGAGGGCGAAGGTCGCGGCGGTCTGGCGGCAAATTTGGCCAACGCGAGCCGTTGGGTGCACCGGGTCGATCAAAGCAAAGGCATGGCCGGCCTTGAGCACAGCGAGAACTCCTGCGACCATCCACTTTGACTTTTCAAAGCATAAGGGTACCGCATACCCAGATTCCAGATTCAGGGACTGGATATACCTGGCAAGTCGCGAAGATACGCTGTCGAGCTCGGCATGAGACCACTCGCCATCCCAGGCATACACAGCTGGGCTTTCTGGCGTCTCGACAGCCTTCCGGGCGATGAGTTCGTGGAGACAGATGTCCATTCGCGGAAGCGACGCTGAATTCCAGCTCTCGACCTCGACGCGATCCTCTGCAGTGAAAAAGTCCAGTTCCGCGAGCTGCTGGTCAATCGAATTGCTCTGGAATTGTTGGATCAAGAGCCCCAGCTGTCGCAGGAAACGAGCTGTTTGTTGAGCGTCAATGACGCTGGGGTCGTATCGCGCTTTCATTGTGACCGAGTTCTCGGTTGCATGGCAGCGGATAAAGAGAGAACGGTCACCATGATGTGTAAGACTTTCTGATTCTCCAGTGACTGCCAGCACCGTTTGGAAAGCGCACGCGGCAATGCCAGATTCCCCAACTTGGCGGACGATATCCAGGCCGTCATACCCAAGCTTGCGGACAACAGCGTCATTGGCCGCGATCGCAGTGAAAAGGTCGGAAACGGATTGGTGAGGTTCACAAAACACACGGGTGGGCAAAACCGTCTGGGTCGAGCCCGGCCTCTCCAGGGCAACGCCAAAAAGTGCTTCTGAAGCATTAGTGTAGCGAGCTAGGAGAACCGCAAGGGCAGCTCGACAGACGATGGTGCTGTCCCATTGATGTTGAGCGGAGGCCGGGTAAACGATCTTATGCTCAGCATGAGCAGTGGGATCGGGCTTCTTTAGGTGAGAGGGTATTGCGGGAAACGAAGCAGCGTCAAGGTTTTCAAAATGGCGCTGCCAAAACGCCGAAACGTCTTCTGACGACTTCTGGAAGCCAATGGCACCCATTTTGCCAGTCAATTGTACAAAGGGGGGCTGTTCGGTGTTGATATCTTGGTTTTGGGTGAGAAGAGAAAAGGGGGCAGTTGTTGTTTTTTTGTGATTGGTATATTTTGATATTTGAAAGAGAAGTAGTCTTTCAACAAGGCGATGTTGAATATTATTTGATTTTTGCGACTGTTCCCAAGAATCTCTAATAACGATTTATGTGAAATGTCGGCGGCGTTATAGATTCCTTCTCCTTTGCAGACTGTTCTTTTGAATGGTCATGGAGATGCTTCGTAGTTAAGTAAGTACCTAGGTGTGTACAATAGCTTCGTTGGATATAGGTGGCAATTGTCGGTCCCATTTGAAACCCGGCTCTATGTAGTCCCCTTGTCATCTAAATTATCTCATCATAATCCAAATAGGGTGAACAGCCCGTCAGAATACTAATCCTTCGCCCCGCGTTTTCGTTTTCACCTTCTGCCTGGACTAGTGGAACGAGGGTAGGTATGCTATCGGGTAAGTGGGAGTGTATATTGAGGCTCGGCGCCACACCGGCTCCTTCAAAAGGTTATGATTTGGGGGCTTAGAAACGGGGGTGGGAGGACCAGTTGTCGCCCGAAGTATCGAGTACTTCGTGCCAAATAGACCGCAAACTGTATACCTAATCAAAAACTGCAGTACTTGTGTAGTGCATGCATAAAAGGGAAAATTCAAACAAGGCTGTAGGTGTCAATTCATTTTCTGTTGCTTCATATGTCACGAGGAGGCTTAATAGATTGACAGCCCAAAGAGTCGGAATACTGGAGGCTTAATACATTTTTGAATGACGGATATGCTTCAAACAGGCCATAGTCTAAGAACAATTGTCCATCTAACTACTTTGATGAAAAATCAGTCTCATCTCATCTTGCCCATTCTCTTCCTCGTACTGTACCTGTTGCGTACAAAGATCCTCGAATGTTAGGCCTTTGGTCCCGGGATTTCGTCAAAAACGGCAACTCAAAATCCGGCGATGAAGCGGGCCCGCCTCCGGAAATATGGTCCGTGCGTCCTCTTCCGCACTGGGCCGACCACGATGTCCATCCTCCGGCCTTACAAGGCACCATTCCTTAACCCCGGCAACCGTGTGAAAGGTATTTAATGCAACATATACTTACGAGGTGTTCGTATAGACAGCCCTGCTGGGCGAACGGAACCTCCTTCCCGTCTGTATGCCGTCTCCATTTCCCCACCACCCAACATGGGTCCAGGGCACCTTTTTGACCCTGCGCAGCCCTTTTGACCAGGATTGCCGGACACACAGTTACAAACATATACACAGGCATCTGGGAGAGTCTATAACACACCCCCTGGTGGGCCAGAGAATTGGTCTACTCCACGCGCCCTCCTGGGTGGGGGCCACGGCTGGACCATCTTGGCGGGAGGCGCTGGCAGCCAGTTCTAGTGGTACACTAACCGCAGCTGCTGCTGCTACCTTCCAACCATGTAGCTGGACAATACCGCCGGGGCGCCTTTTTGTCTTGAATGTAACATCACTTAGGCCCAAAAGGGAGTTGCGTACTGGTGCCAATAACCACCCTTAGTGTATGAACCCGAACGCCTCGGTTTCGGCTCTATTGATGTTGCTGTAGATCTTGATCGCGTAGCATTAAACTCTTTGTGTTAACCGATATTCAAAACCATAAGTGTCAACTTATCAACAAAAGAACTGACCAGGATGACGACTGCAGCCAAGACTAAGACCATCAGAGTAAGGAAAGCGGTGGGGGGTGCCTGTTACCAAAGTTCTTTTCTCAACTCTAGCTGCACGCAACATTAATACCATACATACCCAGTTGATACCCCCATATACATAGCACTAAAGGAATTAGCCAAGATTCTCGGATATTAGCCATGTTCCCCCGTGTCCTGAAGGATTGATCAAATGGCGACAGGATGTCACTGGTGCAGGATGGCAAACTGATTTGTAACATGCTCGGCAAGTCGGCCGAACACAACGTTATTAGGAAGTGGGTCATTTAGCCATCTCGTCTAGCAGGCAACAAGAAAACTACTTGTGAAAATACATTTTAGAAGCGCTCCATCTGACGACGGCCAGGGACATGGGCTCAAACAGGGCTTTTGTCAATACATTTCCAACCAGTCTTACGGAACACATCATCCACCTTTACCGACACAATCCTCAAGGGTTTACTCTCTCTCGTCCCCTGTTATTGTAAGCAATCTTGACAGTTAATCTTCCTACGTTTGAGCAAATGATCTTTGAGTTAGGGGTACGTGCAGCACCATTGGGAGCGACCGCGGGAGTGGCAAAAGTAAGCAACACACTTGTTAACCAGATGTTTCGGTGCCTGTAGGCTTGGATTTAAAACAAAGTTTCTGCCTAGAAAGCTGATACGTATGTATGTTGAAACTCGATGCATTTAATCAAAAATGCCTGGTTTGGTAAATGAACAACCCTCCACTGTTTATTGGACTGGATTACACAAAAAAGGCAACCTCGGATGAACTCATATTGCAGGTCAGAGAAGAGTCTTTCACAGCAGCTGTGAAAGCTCCTTCAAAAACACAAGATGACATAAAGCGGGCGGGTAGGGATATGTGGCGGGCGCTGCGGTGTTGGGAGTGCACAGGAGCTATGGGGCTTGTGCATTTACGTGGAGGCGATCCAATCTGCATACCGCAGTCGTTCTTAAAATTTATCCTTATTCTTACCCTGGACCAGGATATACACGCCAAGATTCGAATAATGACTTTCAGAGATTTTCAAATGGTAGGGCTTTCATATCACAAAAAGACTCGCCGGTGGACCAGCCTGGTCTAGAATCGATCTAGTACCAGCGGTTCTTCTGGTACCCTCTGCGAGTGACTTCAGATCATTGTTTGATTACGCATCCACGAAATGAACCCTACCTTCATCATATTCCTCCGTGAGGCCTCCAATTCTCCAAAAACCTAGGTCATCAGTTCATGTCAGTGTGGCGCTATATGTAAGGGGTTTCAGAGCTTCAACACGACAATAAATACAAGATACAACATGACTGCAGGAGCCAGCAGCTTGAAGAACTGCAGGAAATATGCGAAAGTGGGTTTAATTGACCCATGAGTTTGGCGTTGAACATCACCAAGTCTATAGTTCGCATAGATGGGGTAGAGTTTGGGCTGGGTCCCTTATTTTACAGAACCACAAATTTAACGTTGCATATTGCTGTGCTATAGGGGTCTCGACTCTAACTTTCCTGCACTGAACCTTTATCCCATACATCCGGTCCCATGGTTGATGCTTATTTGATCTCCCTAGAAATTTTGCTCTTCAGCCAGATGCACTCGGCCCCATGCTGCTTTTTCTATTTGCTTTCAAGCCCTTAATGTCTGGCATTCAACGGCAGACAAAAACTCAACTTGCTGTTGGCATGTCTCATCTTCAGTAAAAGAGACCCTGACAATGTAGTTCTACTTCCATACACAACACAGCCACACAATACTCAGCTTTTCCTTCCTTTACAGGCGAGAATCAAGTCCAAGGAGTAATCCGCCCTTGCACTGTGACATAAGCTGCCAAGGCGTGCTCTCACAGTTAAAGGGATGTCATCTCCGCACTCGGGTAGAGAAAACCGGGATTCAATGCAGGCTCATAGTTACAGAAGTCTAAAAAACACTTCCTAGGCCCTTACGAGTTCACAGTTGCCAAACACCAACTTCTCATTCAGTCTTCCTGGGGCAGATGACAAGGTATACTACAGCCGGCCATTCATGATTGGTAGTGAGAAGCGACCTGCCATATGAAAAGGAGCCACCCAAAGCACAGAACAGTTACTACGCAGCTATTTTACGTCGTTCGGCTTTACCCCCCTGTCATCATCCTAGTCACCGGACTTACCCGGCCTTTTGACGTCTGGTGGCATCCTATACTTACGAAGGATTCGGCCCATAGGGGTCCCTGGCTCCACTGGTCCACTGACCATTGACAAGGGACAATATCCGAAGTACTCGGTGGTTCTCCGGTCGGCCCTTTGACGACAGTCATGTATCCCTTTTGGCGCTACCCCAGGCGCAGTAAATTGCTGGCCTTGAGGCAGGCTTCCTTCCTACCTTCATCTGGGCACTTTGACATAGATACCTTATCCATTGGATCGATCTGTGGTTAGCTGTCTTGGACTGATCCCGGCTCCAATCGAGTCGGTCGACAGTGATCTGTTGGCAAGGCTGAATCTGAGCTACATGAGGTGCCTCGCCCTCTGTTTGGGATCTGAATCAAGGCAAGCAATCCCAAATGGAATGGAACCCTCGTCGGTGACGCAATGCCCCCCACGCAGCTGGAGTCAAACTCCAGCAGTACTGTATGCTGCCTGCCTGCATTACCCTCCGCCAACCCCATATGGAGGACTGCAATATGTTCTTGAATCACGGTGTCAGATTGTTTCACTCGTTTAGGATCAAAGTCTCAAACCTTGAGGCTTGATTATTTCTGCATTTGCACTCAAAAGTGGATATTTATGAGAAGGGGGCTATGGGGATCGGGGGCAAGGATGGGACAAGATGACAGTGGCCCAGGTGTGCAGGTAGCAGAGGCTGAACCAAAGTCCCCTAATAAGCCTGGCTCCCGCATTAATCGAGCTTCTGGTTGCCTGTTTTCTAGGCAGGAAAGCAGAGAATCCATATCCATACATTAGAGCCCTCGCGTAGCCGCCATACGACTTAGCCATGTCACTCTAAACGTGGGGCGGGAATGATGGCCTCACCACGTTACATTCATTTGCTGACAATGTGTATCTCCGCAGCTGTTGGACCCGAAATGTATGGCGTGTCTGTGCACACTTGGGGATTGATATGTACCCTTTTTTTCGGTCTGCAAACATCGGTAAGAGGATCATGTTGTTAATAGGCAACATTCTGCCTATTCCATGGGGTGCGACTGGACTTGGATTTTGCCTAGGGGTGGAGAAAGGTTGAGCAGGGCCCCAATGTTTATTATTCCTATCAAATCATTTGCTGATACTTATGGCACACCTATTCTTTGTAGATTGCGGGCACGCCAGGGGTACCTGAACGTCCTATGGATGCAGAACGCTGCATTACAAAATTGGGAAATACATAGAGATGAACAATGTACTGTTCAAGTATCGATTTTGCGGCGAATAAGTGGTGTACTACACCGGGATTTATAGCCTTGGCGGAATTGGGGTCTAGCTGCGCTCGATTATATACTGGAAGGATTACGGTATTGATGTGTTTAGCTTTCATAACGAATCAACTGTGCAGTCATTCTGTGATAACCACTTCACTGTTCTTAACCTTTTTCCCTCCCACTCCGGGAATATCATTACGGAGCCTTGCAAAAGTTGATTATTGTGAAGACGCATCCTCAAACAATGTCTCCTATCGAGAGCAGTACTACCACAGATAGCCAAGGCTGCGGAGCTGAAAGTGTGATCTTTGCGGCCAGCACCTACAGCACTCGTTGCTCATCCGTCTCAGGAGCAACGGAAAAAAAGAGAAAACAAGATGATTCCAACCAGAATATCTATTGTACGTACGAGACATCGTCATACACCGTCGTAGTCCATTCAAAGCTTGACCCAACAGCTGACAATTCTCTCGTCCGTGAGGACAGGCCATGATCCAAGGACCAAGCTCCAAAAGCTCCAGGAAAAAGTAAAAGTCCATCAAAAGTTCACACAGGAATCTGTCGAAACGCAAAAGGACAGTACCACAAATTTGCCTTTGGGTGCAGCCTCAACATTGGGGAACTCAAACTTGCAATCGTCACCGACAACGCAAAATGATGCTGTCTTAGGCACCAGCTTTTTTATGAGTAAGCAAGCTGCTCACACAAATTCATACAGGAATAGATATACTTACACCTCGTGTGCTAGCACCGCCAGAGTCCTTCGACACAGATTGCTTATCCTCTGGTGCTCGGATGCCACACCAAGATGACATTCTTAATTCGTTTCAATCGCCCGCAACGTTCACGAACGCCACGCCGATTCCTTCGTGGGATGCACTTGAAGACCTGTATTGCACGCAACACCCGACTCCGAGTGCTTCATGTTCGCCTTCGGATATATTATCGGGATTAGATATAGGTGGCTCTGTCAACTCCAAACAGAGCGTACAAGGCTTGGACCACTACGTCGCGAACAGACGACCACAACTTTCACCAGAGACCAAGGGAATCGCACGGGAAAACTGTCAGCAGAATACCAGCACAGCTGACTCACCTTATAATCGTGTCCGCCATGTCATGGAGCAGGCCGCGGTGGTGGGCTTTAAAAGTTTAGACGAGGTCACAACTGCATACTACACGGGGGCGTTTGAAGATCGACCTTCACTATGTCATGAGCAGAGGCTGAGTCGCAACCGGCGATTGCCTCGGCTCCTATACAACATTTATGAAGCTGCAAAAGGTTGGGGCGACTGGGAGCGGAGAGGCTTCCAGGAACAGATGATTCTTGGTGCTGAAGAACTTCTTGTTCAAGAGCTCGACACGTTCGTCTCGCGGCAGAAACCTGGACCCAACCGAAACTCAACATGTCATGGCATGGAAAAGGACCTCGTCAGAAACACTGAAGACGGTAGTACAATGGCGAGGAGTCAAAATGTGCAAAACGATGTAAGTGGAGTCTCGATTGATACCTATATGAGACCCTTTGTCGTTAACCATGCTATGCTTCACAGCTCCCTAATCTTTGGGCTCTGATAACTGCCCTCCTGTCAAGGGCTGGCCCGCCAAGACAGGAGAACACACCAGAAACCGTTCTAGGCATTATCGAAACTCTTTGTTATGGGTCAGAGAGCCAGGCTGAACGCACGCAATGATCAAGAAAGAATCGGTAAGGCGTATCCCCTTAAGGGTAGATGTGGGGGAGGGGGTGGGGGACGATTTTGCAATAGAGGCTCACTGCCTTGCCTTACGCAAGCTCAAAATGGCGGGGAACTGAAGGATTCGCTTCGTTCCATCAGCTAGTCTGCATCAATTGCCTCCCATCAAGTGCCAGATGGCGACAGGAACGTGGCCTGCGGGGTATCAGCCAGGGGGTATTAGCCAGCCCCTTGACATTATGATTTTTGGTTGAATGATGGATATCATGTAGCCAGTACTGTATAGACATAAATTTAGATCTTAAATTGGGTCAGCCTCTACATCCCATCACCTGGAACTCGATGGGATAACAATCCCAGACATTTGAGTGGCATGAGTGGCAGTATCTGGCGGCGCAGTGGCAGACCAAGACTGTTGAAATTGGTGAGTCTCGACGGCTCCTCCACACACACACGCTTTCAACCCGGCACATCGCTTTGCGAGGAAGTCGGCCGCGCATTCGAAATTTTGGCAGATTTGATGCAAGGGGTAGTGGTGGGGGATGCTCGCAGGATTCTGCAGGAACCTTGTCAGCCCCTTGTAGTTCAACCCACCTCCTCCACTCGGTCAGTTAGAAGCACGAATAGCCCCCCTGCAGAGCGGGCCGATGTGGCGCCTGCATACAAGGATTGCTCATGTTGTGGTCTGATGTGTCTCCATTCCATCATGTTGTAAGCTCTGACCAACCAACATTAACATAAATCCTTCGAGTCGAGACGCAAACCTGTGAAATGTCTCTGTGCAGATACAATTTTGATGTGGTTGATTGCTCTTTGGCTGAATATTGCGATAATTATACTTGAACACCGTCACGAGAAGCCTAAACACAGATACGATACAGGGTGTCTCGAGTAGACATAGAAAGAGCGAGCACAAAGTGAATCAAACTGTGAAATGGGCTGAAGATGGAACATGGTTTGCCCCGGAGTTGTACTACTAATACATACATCCTCAATTTGCTGCGTCCATCCACACGCGTTCTACTAGTAATGTGTACTTTCCTCCCTTCCATCACACTCGCAATACTTTAAACAGTTCCCGGAGTTGATCCATATGGTTCGGGCGAAAGTGAATGGTGTTCAGGTTTCTGCTGCTGTGGTTGAGTGGATGTACCTGGCGGCATCTTCTGGTGTCATCTGGAGTGCCCTTGAACGGCGTCTAATGTAACGTCGGCTAGACACTAGCCTCCGCGGTGGATCATCTAGCGCAAAGCCATCGGCTAAAAGGCCCCTGTAAAAAGGATGTACCCGGCTGGGAAGGAAGAAAATACCGACGGGGTTTATGTCCCCTGCAACCAACTGCAACACACCCACAACACCCACTTTATTTCCTCTCATCCATCGTCATCGCCACCATCGGTGAGCAAATTCCGGTTGCCTTGCTGCAGGTGTGAACCAATTAGGATGTGTTTCTCTCTGTTTGAATCGACTTCTTCCTCCAGTGAAAGGTTCTTCTTTCGGAGGATAGAAGATCGTTTCCTGAAGAAACTGAAAAGGGTGTCTCAAAGAGTGGGTGGACTATTCAGAACTCGCATTCTCCATTCAGTGTTATATTCAGCTCTGCTGTCCCAAACACACTGTCAAAAGCCCAAGAACATCATTCTCAACGAATCACCAACACCCATAAAATCAGTGGTTTTCTCGGCATTTGATAGTTTACCCTGGGCAGTATCGAAGACTCGCCCCACTAAATCATCGCACGAAACGCGCAGGTGGCAGATGTAGCCAAGGTTCTTGGGGTCGATATATGTGATCTGGAGCGCATATCCCACAGTTCCATCTAGACCTGCCAAACACAGCTAGACTACCTAGTTCTTGGAACAATTTTCGCACTCGCTAATGTTGCGAAATGACTAGGGATATCTCCACCCTATTTGACAGGGTCAGTGTTAGGAACTTCTCCAAACGCTTTTTTCAGGTGAAGCTGTATGCAAAGTTCGTGTTATTTCCGTTTCACGTAATGAACTTTAGTATGAAGGAATAGGCTCCCAAGGCTAAGGCTCTGGAACAGATTTTGTTATTCATGTCACCATCTTCTCAGATCCATTTCGACTGCTGAGGTTCTGTGCGAACTAGTGCCTTGAAGATACGTAAAATACATTGAATACCAAGATTATCATTCCAAAAACATGTCTTTCCCCCCTACTTAGATCGCTTATCGCCGTACTCACAAGGGGTATCATGCCCAGAGGGCGTAACTAGACACCATTCTTCGAATATCACGATGCTTGCTGCTAGTGGCTGTGACCGAGCCTAGGCAATAGACAAAATAGAACAACGTAGCATTGCACGGACCATCGACCCCAATTCATGGTCTATGCTTCTTTGTGTAGCTTGGAAATGGATTAGTTAGTACTTACTGATTGTAAATAAAATTTGAGTTCAGCCAACACAAACATGCGTTGGTGAGGCTTCAGAACAGGTCTAACGTTGAGCCCCACTATCTGGGCGAAAAAACCCACATTTGTAACCTTGTGAGTACCAGGGATCGGAATCCGGCAAATAAGAAGTTTGCTTTAGGTACTAGTACGTAAGGCTCGACTGTTGCGGGCTCAGAATGGCGTGTGCAGAAGTAAACGTCAGTGTCAACTACGTAATGTAAGAAGGCGGAGATCGTACCACACCAGCCAGCCCTGTAGTTCAAGGGGTCACGTATGTGAGTGGCTGTTCAGGATTGGCAGCGTGTGATTGTTGGTGTATGGCTACATTGACCCCGCATACCATTCCTTCTTGGTCGTCTGTTTCGACCCCAACAGTTCGATTGACATATTCAATACCATGGCGACTTAACCCCTAGCCAAATTATAGTGGCTGGATAGATAGGTACCGTCGTGAGTCAGACAGTACTTCACAAGTCTTTGTTACATGCTGTGAAATTTGACTTGTATCTACACCAACTTGCAGGAAGAAGTTGATCCCATGTTCACACTTGTCTTGTCTTTCCCCACATAAACATTTGTATGGCGCCTTTTAGGTTGTTACGCAGCTTGATCCTACGCAAGGGTTTACGCCTTCGAATCTCAGCCTTCTTTGAATAAATATACACCCAGTGTACGGGTGCCTTGTACATAGGTACAGAATGCAGGCGACTTGAAGTCTGGCGAGAGCTCTATTGACCAACCAGAGCTCTGAATTAACGAGTTACCAAGTAACTCCAAGCCTGATTTGCATCCTGGTACAACTATATGGAGAAAATCTGCTTTGGAAACTGGCATTTCAACACTAGCGCTTACTCAACCTGATCCTACACACCTATGCCGGCTCCATCTTAGCCGACGTGGGGGACCACTTATTTAGTCAACATGTCTCAAATTGCGGGAGAAATTTGGTTCTTTGGTCATGACTTGCATGCCAAAAGATCTTTTTGTGATTTATGTGAATCTTTTTTTTGCCCCCAAAATATTCCATAATTTCAAGAAAGGGGTGATGAAGGAGTATGAAAACATACACTGTGTAATCGCCAAGAAGCCTACAGATCTGCACAAACAGAGCCCCTGGAGTTAAAATGACGGGAGACTATTTTTTTATCTCATCATGTACAATACCTGTATATCCCAATAATAAGTTTCAGTGCTTAAGGTAGTTGTAACGTACTCCCCCCGTTATTCGCCTGAAAGCATGCCGGCATCTGAACCGTCAGAGGCGCAGCCAGGACACTATTTGGGTTCAGCCCTCTCACATGGCGGACAGGTGGCTGCAACCTCACTATGCAAAGCACGCAAACTTTCTTCTTGTTCCCTAGAAAGTATGGAACGGCTAGCACTGGCCTTTGCATCTTACATGTGTCTCGGTGGGTGGAGAGGCCAATCCGTGGCTAAGGCCGTGTCCATCATCCACATCCTTTCATCGATCTGCGTGCTTTCCGAGGTTACCCATACTGTCTTTTCATTCATTCACTTCAAATAGAGATCTGTCCTCCTAAGTAGTTTTGAGTTTCTATATCGCTGCTAGCTAGCTTCTCTTTGGTACCCTTGCGAACACGCCCACGTGATTATATCGCCTCCCACAGCCAAACCAGCTATCATAAGGAGCTTTCGACATTTTTATTCTTTTAAAAGGCACAAAAGAAGAAGATTAAATACAAAAGAAAGAAGATATCACGAGTTGCAACGTTCATAATGCCATATAATCGCTCCCCCGTTGCGGCAACCACACGTCACACAACCGCAGCAGTCTCTGTAGCAGTTCCGGCCAACCCCACCAAAGGCTTCAATGGCACCAACGGAACAAACGGTGTTCATGGCATCGGCACGCACGCAAAACTCAAGGTCCTCCAAATAGGCGGACCTGTCAAGTACAGCTTGGAATCCTACAACGTCTTTTCGTCCCGATTTGAAGTCATTCATCTCTCAACGTCCGAGCGCCAGCGGCCAGCCCTCATTACCGGCCTCCGGGACCGCAAGTGGGGCGACTTTTCTGCCATCTTCCGTCCCTCCTGGGGCTCCGGCGGCGAGATGGGCAGATGGGACTCCGAACTCATTTCCCTGTTGCCTCCCTCCTGTCGTGTCTTCGCGAGTGCCGGCTCTGGGTTTGACTGGGCTGATACGAAGCTACTGGGTGAGAGGGGGATAATCTACTGTAACTCCGGCCCCGCCGCAGCAGACGCAGTGGCTGATTTCGCGGTCGCCCTGACTGTTTCTACTTTTCGGCATTTGCAATGGTGTATAACCGCTTCTCCTGACGCGACCACATTTCAGGACTGCCATGGCCGTATTGCACCCTTCTCGCATAACCTGAGAGGCCGGGCACTGGGTATCATCGGCTTCGGCAATATCGGCAAGCAGATTGCACAGCGTCTCGGTGCTGGGTTCGGCATGATAATACACTACCACAACCTAAACCGCAAAGATCCTGCTACTGAAGCCCTCTACGGCGCTACCTTCCATCCAACGCTCAAGTCGCTCCTTAGCATCTCTGACTGCGTCGTTCTCTGCATCCCTGGAGGCCAATGTATTATCACGGCAGAGTCGCTCGCGTGGTTCAAGCCCGGAGCAAGATTTGTTAATATTGCACGGGGAAGTCTTGTTGACGAAGACGCCTTAGCAGACGCACTTGAGTCTGGACATCTAAGTAACGTGGCTCTTGACGTGCATATGGACGAGCCGAGGCCGAGTCCTAGGTTGTTAAAGCTCTCGGGGACAAGAGCGACATTGACATGCCATAATGCGGGCTGCACGGTTGAGACACATGCTAGTTTCGAAGAGCTCAGCATGAGGAATATTATGGCCGTTCTGAGTGGGAAACAGTCAATCTCGCCGGTAAACTTGCATTATCTCAAGAAATGAAGCAAGCAATTAAGGTAGTTCATTCGGCTTTAATTCGAAGACAACAAGAGAACACGTGTTATTCAAAGAAATAGTTAGGCCAAAGCTAACCAGGTACAAATGAAACATTTATCTAATTTTCATGTCATTTGTCTGAGACTATTTAATTAGTTGTGTATTGAAAGATCAGAAAGGGGATACCAGAAAAGATCAAATGGGTGAAAATTGATATTGTCAATGTTTGAAGTTGCTGGTTACACTAGCCATAACTTGCAGCATGTCATAACTAGATGTTGTGATGATCAAAATAGCAACGTCTCCATCGTTCTATTTCATCAAAATGATCTATGTCGCCGACGGGGTGGTGCAGTCTCAATCGTTCTCTCCCGAGATGTACTGTTTGCCTTCTAGTTCATAGACACCAGTGTGTTGACTAAATATCTCTATCGAAGTGAGTGTAATGATGAGTTGAATGGTTTTTGAAGAATATGATAGCCACTAGACTTGAGACTCTCCAGGATTCCGTCATCATCTCTTGATGCAACTGCCTTGAGGATAAGGCGGCATTTGTATTTGAGTACACGGCGTATCGTCGGTTGAAAATATCTGAAGCTATACGAACACTTTGGTATGATTTTCCTGCATCATAATACAAGTGATACATTCCTCAGGCTTGGGTCACTCGATTCGTGTTAATTCCAGGTCCTCGCTGATAATCGGCATGAACGATACGAGTACTCCGACTTGTGACGACAAACCTGAGACAGTTCCGGAATTCTTTTGTGTGATCTTATGTTTGAAACAGCACCAATAAAGTTATCTATATATCTTATAAGCTAGAGTGAGAGACTATTTCAAACTATTCTGCATTCCATGCTTTTTGATAGTCGATGTGGACGAATATACTGGCCAGAATCCCTGGGTGCTGCAGGCTACGTCAAGCCTATCAAACTATATTTAGGGGTTTCTGAACTATCTACTTGAGTCACCTCGCAGTGTAACTAGAGCTCATATACTTATTGCAAAGCTACCTTGGTGCACTATTCAGGTAGTTTGCCTCGCTTGAGTCTGTATGTGAAATCGGATATGTCAGGGTTGCTGGTACAACTGAATGAATCAGATAGGAACTTAACAGTGATTACATTCATCTCCGGCCTCCGTCAGCTTCTTTATCTATGGAACCGTGCTCTTTGACTAGCTAAAGCCACGTGATTGCATATAGCATCCGGAATGCTGCCCAAACTTAACGTTACACCGCGAAAAGCAAGCCCCTTACTGCCCTGGCCCGAGTATCAGTCCATGCTCTGGTATAGGAGATAATCTTGATCTCGTAGAAATATAAGCTTTGTGAATTATATTAATTCAACAAGAAATAACAAGCTGTCAGGACACTGAAAAAGTGAGAGCTATAGCCCGTGAAGCATTTGTAATATCAAAGAGGCAATGATGTGCATTTGAGACTTTAGTATGCGCCAAGTTTGTGACAGTGGTTATGCGGTCAAGAATAATACATAGGGCTTTAATCTCACTTGTTTTTGGAATACAGGATTAGAACTAAGCTGTAAACAATAGCATGACATGGTTACAACCATATTGTTCTTCCGCACATCTACTGTCAGGCTCATGTTGCATTTTTGTAACCGACATTGAACAAGGTAGGAAATGGTATTTAAAGGTATCTAATACAGTCATGAGCATCGAGAAATTTTGCATAAGCAACGTCAACCTCAGGAATATGACGACTCATGCATGCGCAGTGAGTATAAGCTTCCATTCCACAAACAACAGACATCGTCTTGCACTGGACAGAAATCTAGATTCACATTTCAAGTGGAAAACCTTGTCCTTAAAAAGTTGCGGCCAATGATCTGTAGCTACAGTAGTTTACAGTAGTTTGTTGACCACTTGCAGTTGACCCGGCAAAGCCACCCGGGAAGAAGGCTAGCTAGATTATAGTTTCGATTATTGCTTGATTTGAAGTGTAACACAATTCTCTCAACACAAACCAATGCTTGAATATTATCGTGAAAATTCTAGTAAATTTGTTTGGGCGCATTCAAGCCCGACTTAGGAGAAGCGACGATAGCGAACATTCAAAAACCGGCTGCATTTGACTGGTTCAATAGGAGCACGAGCAAAGGGTGTCAGCGGCTAATGTGGGAGTGGTGGAGACGAGCCGGGATGATGAAAAAGAATCCTGCTTGGCCCTAAAGGCTGGGGCTCTGGGATTTTGAGGTGAGAGTATGAAAATCTTAGAGGCTGGTACGTAGGCAGCAGGATGTCATCCTTCCCTCCCAAGAGTGGCTCGGCACCACAATGGGTGAGTATCTATGGGAAATCTGTTTTCTTGTGAGGTTTTCTATTCGTCGAGTTGTGTGAAGGATTGCAATCCAATGCCGAAAATCCGATGTCGACGAATTAAATAAATGGCCCAGCGCGCCGGAAAATTTTAAGAACCCGAGGGTTCTCGCCAGGAAGAGTTGGACGACTCAAACTTTCTATCGATGACGAGGAGCTAAGACGCATTACCTAGGGGGTTTTCTTTTCTGTGGAAGAGTTTTAATTGCATTATTGTCACGGTAAGATGCCATTCACAATGGGGAAGTACGTACTTGACCTAACAAGACACTGTGAATGAATCTTCTCATGACACCAAGTCTTTTATACAGAGGATGCCCTTCTTGAAGTATGGGTGAATTGCACTTATGTGGATCACGGCAACAAAGCCTTGTTTATCGATTCGCCTTGTCGCTTTCTGGAGTATCTCGAGCCGGCTAGTCAGCCTACGGATGCATGTTTTGCAAGTTTGTTCTCGTCAGCGCCGATCTTCCTCTTTTACCCCTCAATTTTGCTTTCCATAGCTCCTGATACGTTAGTGCATCATGGTCTGGTATCGCTAAGCCGCAGAAGGAGGTTTCATTGATCTGGGGTCACTTGCGCGTCATGTTCGTCTGATACCTTGGGATGCTTTGCCATTCAGCCACCCAAATTTCTTCCCTGTCTTTGATGCATATCATACCCAGAATTATTTGAAGTCTATAATCCGATGGGACTCGATAACAATAAAACAGTTACCCAGCCTGTCATACCTTGACCAAAGGCTCCTGATTATATACCTAGCGGCTAGTCATCTCCTCATCGTCGCTCCTTTATCAGTTACAACATCGTGCTCCACACGGTAACTCTTCTCACTACTTTCGGGGCAAGTGACACCCTCACGACTCGCTTGCTATTTCACATCTTCATACAACTGGACAGGTTTCCCACTCTTTAGTTGTAAGTTTTCTGTCTTGAAGGACCGCGCCGGCACAAATAGCCATGTCAACCAACGATACCTTCGTCCCATCATACGAAACATGTAAAGAAGTATCCGAAAGTTGCCCTGTCGAATTCACGGCTTATGGGACCAATCTTTCGAAGCCTGCTGCAACCTTTTTTGGGATTGCATTTGGAATATGTGCAGTACTTCAGCTTTACTTTGGCATGCGATCTAGAACATGGTCATTTATAATATGGCTCGGAATTGGGACCATTTTTGAGGTTATTGGGTACTGGGCGCGCGTCAGTCTGTCGAAGAACCCCTGGGACGTGAACGCTTTCACTCAACAATACCTCACCCTTCTTCTTGCTCCTACTTTAGTCGCCGCAGCAATTTCTGTCACCTTCAAACACATCGTCATCTGGTATGGCACGGAGTGGTCCGTCCTTCGCCCTTCACTATATCCATGGGTTTTTGTGGGAACAGACTTTCTCTCGATCTTTATCCAAGTAGCTGGCGGTGCCATCACGGCATCCAATACTTCCGGTTCAAACACCAATGAGACCTTGTCAAAGATCGGCGAGAAGCTGGTCGTCGGAGGTGTTGCTTTCCAGGTTGCCAACATGCTTTGCTGCGGCCTGCTCATGTTGGTTTACGTCATAAGACGCAAGTCAGCTCTCAAAAGGGGTGGAAGGCATTCTAGAGGCGGAAGACATTCGAGAGGCGGACGGCACTCGAAAAACGGACGGCACTCGAAAAACGGACGACGCTCGAAAGGTGGGCGGCGTTCGAAAGGTGGGAGGCGCTCGGGTAGCGACGCCTATTCATCGAGCCGCGATGAACCCGCCATGTCCCGAGCCTCAGCATCTAGGCGTGAGGCTAGCCGTGTTCGGAAGTTTGTTTATGCCATCACTGTGGCATACATCGCAATTCTAACACGGTGCTCCTACCGGTAAGTTTAAGATCGCTTAACAAAAAGATCTCTTTTACTGACGATTTTCTGTTACAAGGATTGCGGAAAACATACCTGCCATTTCCCTAGAGATTTTGCGCAATGAAGCTTTGTTTTTGGGCCTCGACAGCACGATGATTCTCATTGCCGTCGGTGCAGTCTCTGTTTTTCACCCGTACATATTCTTTCCCTTCCTGAAAGAGTCCAAGCACATGGATAAAAGGAGTAGACATGATCATGGATATAGCATGCGCCAGATGGTATAGATGTACTTAATTCTACAAATTAAACAGCAATTTTCGCCCCGGGTAGAACTTGACACGCCATCCCTCGGATAGTCAGCACAATGCCTAAGGATACATATCGTGTGATAATATAACAGCACATAATGGGTTGATCAGCCGATACTCTTTGTAGGGCCCCCCAAAGCCCTGGTTATCCAACTAGGACATGGCTTCAATGCCTGGACCTGATGGAAATACGTATTTTCAATTTGTGGTTGTTGAGCCATGCGTTTCAGTAACAGATCAAGATGTCAGAGCCAGTGTCCAACAGGTCGGATTGATTCCATATTTTGTCCCTAAGGATGCAATACGACTGTGATGACTGTAAATATTGCACGTTCAAGATCGCCATGCGACACAATGAGATAAACCTTTCACAGACACAGGACCAACGGCTGTTATAAGTTTCCTACCTACTATGTCGCTGGACTTTTCGCGAGAAGGGAGATGAAGCCCTTAGATAGGTAGGAACGCAAGATTGTGTTGGGTCATCAGCATGAAAGCCTTCATACCAAACCATTCCATTAAGGTAGTTCAAGGGCCATTTACAAGTTCTAGCCTCCATGCTCTTGTTATCATAAACAAGAATCCTTGTCACCGATCACTAGGTATGATGCGCATAAAGAATGCCTGTTACACTGAAGCCCGTGCCTAAATACGCGTATCTGTAATCAGGATAGTAAGTCATCGCCCCTCACCAGTCCGGCCAATCATTCTAGAGTCCACAGCCGCACCATGTTTTAAGGTCCTAATTGTATTGTCGATCGAATATGTTTCCGTGGTACGGGCAATGCATACCCAAGCGGGGTGAACCAGCCGCCGGAATGCTACCCCCACCGAAGCCGTAAATGGCACATTACCGGCCCCACCTTCTCACTCGATCGATTACACTCATGCTTAAGTCCCATTACCTTGTGCCGGAATACAGGTATTGCTTGCGATTGAAACAAACAAACTTGGCGGTGAGAGCGTTTGTTGCCATTTTCTTACACTCGGACCTCTCGTCAGGTCTATAGGCTGCAATAGGGTTTGTAGGCGGCAAGCTAAGAGTTCGGAAAACCCACCCCCAGAGGGCTTGATCGATAGCACTCATCCAGGACAAGTTCTACTCTGAAAGCAATTAACATTCAGATTTGCTTATAGTTAATAGTCTATCATCATGTCTCTCTCTGAGTGTAGATGGGTTGTTTTGTTACTTTTATACCTTCTTTTATGTTGTACCTGCTAAACCCTCTAAAGGAAACACAGACTCGACGTTAAACTGTAGAGGGAATCTTCGAAATTACATACACGGAGAATATCCGTGACGTCTTGGGCAGGATATTTATCCGACATATACACCTCAAGAATTCAGACAAGACGTTTATTCTTGCGGATCTTTTGAGTGCTTAGTGATTGATCTAGTAAGCTGATGCCAACTTCGTGTCCTAGCTACGCGGGGAACCATGCTTCTAGGCTTTGCGAGATATAGAGCTTAACGCAACCTTTAAAATATTTGTGGGGAAATGCTACTTACGTCCCATTTGCCATGTTGTACGTGAAGCCGATCCTACTTCTTTTGATCCTCCACATTCCGCACGAGTCACTATGTTGACGGCAGTTGGCAGCGGTTGAATCGATTTAGATTCTTGGAGCTTGGGTTTCCATGTTGTGTCGTTTGCGCTTCCCAGTATAAGTAGTTGAAAATGACCGCCTATTTATATGATGTATTAGCAATAAGGCAACCTACAAAAGTTTTTTTCAATACCCTAGACGACATGGCACCGTCGACAAACCGCCTTACGAAAGCTCTACTGGCTTCGCAAGTCGTAAGAGATGCTCTTGCTGTGAGCCCTGAATACAACTTTACTCTACATCTCCCCAGCCACCGGCCAGAATGGGCCGAGAAACTATCACCTCAACTCGCTGCATTCAGCATCGAGATGGACCGATGGCCAGACTGGGCTGGTCAGGAAGTTGGCAAACCAAATGAATACTTTAACCAACTACTCCGTAACCTGGGAGAGCGAACAGGGCATATGACTTTCCTTAGAGTTGGAGCGAACTCTGAAGATAGAGCTACCATCGACCTCAGTCTGCAGGTTATGAACAAGACTTTTCCGGCACCTAATAAGGAAGTTCCCAACCCAGAGGCAGACCACATCTTTATAGGCCGCGACTTTTACGCTTTGTCAGGCAACCTTCCGCCGGGAACTTCCTTCATGTGGGGAGTCAATCTCAAACCCTTGAACAAAACTGAGACGGTCGCTCAAGCCCGCCTCTTGGCGGATAGCTTCCAAGGAAGTCGCGTGAATTTGACAAAACATGTCCAGCTTGTTGAAGTCGAAATTGGAAACGAACCTGACTTTTATGGACCAACACGAAATGGACGTCCTGGCTCGTACGGACCCGAATGGAATGTCTTCAATTATACTGACACCTGGACAGAGTTTGCCAAGGCTGTCAACAGAGAGTTAACATTCGATGGCGCCAAATCTGACAATCCCAGATTATCGCCTGGTGCTTTCACAGGCTTCAATTCCCCGGAATGGATTCCGCAATGGCCACTACAGGACGGACTCCTCCAAGACCCCGAAATCAGGAACAAGACCGCCCAATTCACGGAACATGCTTATTCTGGAAGCTTCAGTGCTCATTTTATTCCTCATCCTGGCGATCTCATGCATAAGCAGCATGTCCGGAACAACCTAACTTTCAGAACGGCTGGGATTCGTTCTGTTCGGTCTGTTGGCCTAGATTACGTTCTGGTAAGGCTCTTCTACCCAACATACAAAAGTACACCATAGCTGATCGTTCATTAGGCGGAAACAAACTCATATGCCAAGTAAGACGGTGTTTTCTTGGTGCGATTGATGTGCTAATTCTGTCATAGCCACGGCATACCAGGTCTTAGTAACACCGTCGAAAGCGCACTCTGGGCGACGGATTGGCTGCTTCTCGGAGCTTCCACCGGAATTCAAAGGCTTCACTTTCATCACGGCGTCGGGTTCAGATACAACACGATTCAGCCCACAGATGAGTCTGACGATGGTCTTAATATTACTCATCCTCATATCTTGCCATCATACCACGCCTTCTTGATTGTCAACGAAGCCATTGGAAAATCTGGTAACGCATATGTTGCAGAACTTGCAACTACAAACATCACCCTCACGGCGTACGGGATATGGGAAAATGACGAATTGGCACGATTGGTCATACTGAATACACAGGTGCACCTTGGCGGGCCACAGAAGCCAAGCATCAACGTCAATATCAGTGGTATACTGGCAGATCAGCCCGCTAGCGTGAAGTTCTTACTGTCGGAAAGTACTACTTCCCACACCGGAGTGTAAGTAGACTCTCGGCTAGGTACGAATTACATTTGCTAACACTTTTCAGAACATGGGCAGGACAGAGCTTCGAAACTCTTTCAGGCAGGCCTGAGGGGGACGTCATTGAGAAGAGTATTGAGAATGGAACATTTAACCTCCCCGCGTCATCTTCAGCCTCGTAAACTTGAGACCGCAACATCGCACATAGGGAGTAGGTGGGGTCAAAAAGGCGTAATCGTGTCTCGTCGGCATACTTGTTTAAGGTTTCAAATAATAGATATTCACTGAAGCATTGGAAAAGTATTGGAATCTGGTTCAATTAGTACACAAGATAGCCTGAATACTCACGGTGTCTGCTCGCTGACCTTTTGCCTCATTCAATCGGCAAATTATGACTAGCGTCCCAACAGCTTTTCTAGACCAGCATCGCGTCAATAAAAGAAAGCCCAGATACGTTCCCATGTTATTTCACCACCCATTGAATAAGATTTGATGACAGTTTCGATGTTCAGCTAACCTGGGGATGAACAGACAAAAATGAAAAAACATACAACACCAGGTATTCGCTGGTCGTCACCGACCCAACTACTAATCCGGCCCTCACTGGCTTATCTATGGGAGAGCGGACGGGATCCCGAGTTTTCCGGTGGGTATGGTCGTATGTAAATATCCTCAATCATTATTCCGAATAAGAACCTATACCCAGATGTTAGATGAGTGCTTTAGTTCTCTCAACCATTCCATGCAACATGACTACCGTTAACTTTGGATTCTTCGCATTGGTCAGGGACCCACTATACGCGAAGCTTCCTAGTGTAACTGCTTCTTAGTAGCCTATAAGCGCGTCTAGCCAGTGGTATTTAGTATCAGTGTACTAAATACCCATTGTTGGATTGTTTTACCCCTGTTACATCTCAAAGAGGGCGAATGATTGCCCAAGTCTATAGCTGGCCAGATGACACCTTACTCTACTAACTCTGTAGACCTAGAAATGCTTTGGTAGATACACAGTGACGGTAAAGAGATACTCATATGGTCATTTGCAAGGATTAAGTCATTGAAGCTTGGCTCACTATCATCTAACTCAGCTCAAAAGTTCGTATCATCTTACATTGCTGCAGTGAGTTCGAATCAGACAGAGGACTTTTGTTCTTAACACGCCGGTAACACCCAAACCCAACTCCCACAGGATTCAAATTGAGGTCAAATACAAGCTGCAGTACCATCGTCTGCGCACATAACAGCCGAATTACAATTACTTGTGGTCATTTATGACAAGACACAAAAGCCAGAGGCAAAAAAAACTCTGTCTAGTTGGAACTGCCTCTTCGTATTATCCAATCTGAAAAGAAGCTGTCGCCTGGACACTGATCTTTTTGTATCCTGTCACCAGGCGATTTACATTCCTCAAAATTGTCGACAGGCGATAATCTATCAATTCATACTCGTGATAGTTGAACCCTTCGGCCAGTTTTCCTTTAATAAAGTTGGTCACCGTGATACGTTATTGACGCGGGATAATGTCGCAGTTCGGACCGTTCAGCATAGTGGAATAATTTCCAGTTCTACTAGCACGCAGGACCTTATGTCATGCACATTTGCGCGAGGGGAATTTTGTGCCGCTGCCCGGCATGTACTAATACTATTCAGGCATTTAATTAGGTCTTGGTACTTGGCATTGCTATCATCTTCCGGCTTGGTACCTGTGGCAGACAGTTGGGACGTCGCCCCGCTCCTCGCGGTGCATCTTCATCATAAACGCTCGCGTTCGACAGAGAATCTTTTGTCAAAATGGTTTATTTATTGGTGCCTAGCTAGACCACATATCTTGTTCCAGCATTCCCGGCGCTCAGCTTCTCGGTTCAAATGCCACGATGAGTCAGCTGGCGGCTAATGTACGGCTTGTTGGAAGATATCCCCCGAAGCTCACGCACTTCACCCGCTTACCACACTTACCTATCTTCGAGAGATGCAATAGCCAGACAATAGCAACAACAGCAACAGCCAAAAAGGTGATCAACATCAGATATCCTGCTATTGAGGCCCTTAGACTTTGAATATTGCGATTGAAACCTTTCCCACCTTCTGAACTGGGTGCTTGGCTTACAAACAGCCTAATAAGGCGCGAAGCGAAAATGAGGAAGACTTTTTGGGATAGGTTTCTCCACAAGAATGCCTTGGCCACCAAAGGCAAATTCAGTGCAGACAGGCAGACAGAACTGCAAGGGTTTAAATTCAACTGACATACAAATAGGATTAGTAGATTGCCACGAAGCTGTCCCTGGGGCTCTTCCTGTCATAGCTAGTGGTCTCTCCCTCTTTTAGTCTCTTATTTCTTTCTCCCAGCTGTTCGAATCATGATGGTTCCTGCTAGCCGACACTCCCTTCTGTCTTTCGTGGGCTTTATTATCTCCCGCGGCGTTGCGTCACAGAAGGACATTTGCCCAACCACATGCATGGCTTCTGGCCCTGACCCAGCCAACTGGACAACCGTCGAAGATTACAGCCAGCTAAAGGCCTGCAAGAATCCTCTGATGCTTGAAATCCCCATCCCTGTCACTGATAAACAACTTATCCGAGTATGCAATGTCTGGGCCGACGATTTCAACTTCGGTCCGGTTGAGACCCCGACCGCAAGCCCGACCGTGGACATTGCCCCTATCATGGCTTGGACCCCAGCCAGGTCCGAGAAAGAAATTGGAGGACGGCTCGCGAGCCAGGCGGTCGAGAATCTGCAAAGCTACTTCGTCAACGTCATAAACCGGTCCACGAATCGCACAATTCTCTTCTCTACCGTGTCCGACGTCACCGTCGGCGCCTATATCGGAGCCAACTTGCTGAACCCTAGCGTAGCTGGAACCTTCTTTAATGACTTCCTCGCTGTTCTCTTTGGGCCCGGCATCGCAGACAACAAAGCTGCCCTCATCCAGGCATGCGACGGCCGCAACGACGACCAGATTTTCGGTCTTATCGCTGCATCCAGCCCGAATCTTACCATGGCCTATGATGCCGTCTCCCTCTGGTCCAGGGGTGAGTGCGTCGACACTACCACGTACCGGGAGACCCTTGAAGTCGACTCCAAGTCTATCGGCGTAGTCGACCCCAGCAAAACCCCGACTCCTTCGAGCAACCCCGGGGCTAACTCCGACAACTCGACTGGCAGCAACAACGCGACATCGCCGGCGGTCCGTATCATGCTACAGCCAGCTATTCTAGTACTTGCTGTCTTATCACAAGTTTAGTGCCTTTAATTCTAGATTACTTACGGGTTGCAACGGACATGCGTACAGCTGCAAGCCCAATTTGACGATAGTGTCAACGCTCACGGAACATAGGTACCGAGCAAAGGGTGTTTACGTAATCCATATGAAAAGCACATCATAGACATAAAAGTATGTGCTTTCTCACGCATATACGCTCTTTCTAAATCAAATCACTCTTTTACACCTTTTCTAGTCTGATTGCTATGTGCCTAGTTCGTCACACCTAATAAACGAAAGGATGAGACAGTTTTAAGGTGGTACTAGGCAGGCCCTCTACTGTTGTGGTACAGTATGGCACGCCAAGAGGGGTTGCGTTGGCCCGGCATGCCCTTTTCATTAGAGCTGCGCTACGGTTGATGTGGCGTGAGGCTGTTCCCACCAATTATCCCTACTTGAGTTCAACCAAACAAAAAAGTGAGCGATTTTTATTATATATCATTTTGCGTTTAGCTCAATGGGATATGACCTCTGTTTAACACGTGCTGAAGGCTGGTGTGCGGCTCTACGTGGGCGGGGCCTGACCCTTCTTAAAAATAAATTCATGGCAAAGAGAGCTGAAGACAGGCGACCAAACATATATCTGTAAACGATGCAATAGTCCCTGAAAATTTAAGCACTAGTCTCAAATGATCTTAGGGCGAGGTCAAAAAAGTGCATTTTCTCTATCTCTTTCCCCTTATCACAGCCATAGCCATGCAGACACCGAAAGTTATGTGTTTGATATGGACGAAATGGAATATGTGGCTGCTTATCAAAGACATTGGACGCTGGGTATTTTCTCATGCCAAGGTGTGATAACCAATGATAACATTTCTTTGATACAAGTGACTTCTATGGTGTGGAAGACCAGGCTGTGGCTAATAAGTATAAGAGCCTCAATTTTTGACGGACTTGAATCTGTCTACTTCCACTTGCACAACTCACTATTATTTATTCATTGTTCTCACCTCTTTTCTTTTGACCTGGATCAGTACGTCTAAATTTCTCGGTGCCACCATGGCCCGAACATTCCCAGTTGGGCAAAACCAACAACACCACTCTAACGCCAAATCAACCACACACGCCACCTCATATGAACTCACATCACAAGGTCATAACGCAGACATTAACGAAGGTGACTTTAATTTAGTACTTCTTATTCGTTAGCTTTTCTGCTAATGGACGTTTGTTATCCAGGCCACGATGAACGAGGCGAGTTGATGTGCCCTAAAGAATATTCATCGAAACGATACAAAATTCTCGTTAAATTAGGTCTTCTATGCCTAATACTCCCCTTAGGAGCTGGAAGTCTTGTGAATACTGGATTTAAGATCACATTTTCACTCACCGATACCAAATCTTTCGAACCAAACAGCCCTGATTTCCCACTTTACAAGAACACTCGATTTCACTACTGCGCAACGACGACTGTGGAAAATGCCAACTGCACCAAATGGACGAACATAACTGATATCGAAACGGATCCTGTTAGGATCATAGCACCAGTCGGCAAATTCGGCTATGGTCCTGATTGGTGCGACATAGTATATTGTTTCAAAGACTTCAAAGTCGCACCATCCGAGCCACGAAAGTCGGCCTTTAGGCGAAGCGGCTTGGATAATTGGGCAAGTATAAGCCAACCTGCCCTTGCCGCAATATTATTCTTCTGGTCGGAAAGCTTCAGCAAAAGCCATTACCAAAGCAGATGCCCAGACAAGGGCTTCTTTAAATGGAATAACCTCATGTCAATCTGGAGTGTGGCTGCTTTTATCACTTGGTGGTGGAAGTACCACACGTTTAATACGTCAGCTAAGGACGTCCAGCCTCTTTCTCTCTTCGCATGGTTAACAACATGGAGATTCGCAAAGAGCTTTCATTATCACCCAATCAAATGCTTTCTCTATAACCGTGTAAAGCTAAGATCAATTCTTCTTATCCTTCTTTACATTGTATCGGTCGCACATTGGATTGCTAGTGCTCGAGTTTTCTCTTTCGAGAAGCTAAACCCGTTTACCGGTACAGCGAAGGGGCTGGACGGTGGCTACGAATGCTTGCAAGATCAAATAGTTGCCGCTCCTGGTACAACAAAATGCTCTCCTGCAGAGATCTGCACCACCAACGGAATGTTCGACGCTAAAGACTTTGACTACATGCGAATGGATATGTCTTGGTCCGCGTTTCATTTCTTTGCTTTCATCTTTTTCACTATGGGTACAGTTTTGGACTCAGCCTGGGCCATTTGGAACGCCATCTGTTTCCACAAAGGCCGGACAGAGAAGTTGGTTCCATCACCTTGGGGGATCAAACATACAGCTATCTTCTTGGATAGTTTCCTGGGTCTGTTTGGCATTCTTAGCCTTGCCTTTGGCCTAAAAGAAACAGTACGAGACCTTAGGCTTGGGGAAAGGGTGGCACGTATGGCTGTAGACCATGCTTGTCAAGTTATTCATGTTGAGATGAGTCCTTGGAGGCAATACTATGACGTGGATACAGATAGAGCATGGAGGATAGCTAAAACATGGCTTAATGGGTAGTAGGACCCCGGAACCAGGCCAGTCTGACTGGGATAATCTTGGAATCTGGTGCGACATTGAAGACAATTACAGCGAAGAATGAACATCGCAGGGTTTTATTTTACGAGTTTTTTCATTTTTGCTTTTCTATAGTAATAAAACTCCTTGGATTTAGCGCAGTAGTAAGAAGTTAAAATGCACAAGCGATTGAATCCAAATCCAAACCTCCTGAAGTGGTTGTAGGAAATTTAGCATGCGAGACAGCATTTGTTAAGTAGCAAAACACATTCACGCCCCTAGCTCAGTCCATGGGGCTTCTGGCCAACTCCACAAAGCTCGGGTCGACTACGCTGAGCTAATCGAGCTCACAGACTGGGCCAAGGCTTACCTGTGTCTGCTCAACTGGTATTGCAAACTTGTGAGTAGCTTATCTCTGTGGTGGCTACTAACAGCAGAAGAAGAGGGTGCGATGAGTGGAAAGAGGACTAATACCGCGACACCATCTAGGTAGTAGTAGAATGCAGCACAACTGTACACTACGGGATTAAAGTCAGCACAGGCGTTCTTGGCAATACCTGTCCATTCAACAACAAAAAGAAGACAAAAACATACAACACCGGGCATTCGCCGGTCGTCACCGACCCGACTACTACTCCAGCCCTCATTGGCTTATCTATGGGAGAGCGGACGGGATCCCGAGTTTTCCAATGGGTATGGTCGTATGTGACAGTTCCAGTGCGCAAGATTACCTTGAAGCTACCGTGGAGGGAAGAGAGTTGACACTAGGTTCTGGCGTGATTCCTCTGCTTCCTGATCTAACAAATGAAAAAGTGCCATAAACGGCGGAGCAAGTGGATCAGTGTGAGACAGAGTGGGTCTCATTAGTCGTTCTCCTTTACTACAAATTGACTGGCAATGGATCGCAGGATTTCCAATGATGGAAGGAAAATTCACCCTGACCAACGTTGGTTCGCTGATTATTATACGCCATGAATATGTGATGCACAAGTGTTATTTTGCTAGTTTAAATTTTGCAATGGGAGGATGAGAAATCTGTCGTGTTAAATGTCCACATCTTCCCCAAAACACTCAGCATGGAGCATTGTTAGAACCAACAACACACAACGAGGTTGCTCACGCATATTTGGTAGTGCTGAGCACATTTCATCGGGCACATCATGCATTCCGTGTGGTCCAAACATCTGACTTCCGCCAATAAGTAAGCAGCGTCTATCACCAGTATGAGATGGAGTACGATGGAGACAAGAAAGACTGCCTAGATGGATGATGTTGTTTCTTCCAATTGTCTAATCATATAATGCAAGTACATAATGCCAACTTTTAGTTAACTCTTGGGCATAATAAGTCTTTACATTCGTTGGCTGTGGTCTCTCAGCTAACATGTGATGCGGCCAGGATCGACACTCCGTCTGACATACCGAGCATAGGTGGAGCCGAAGTGCATAATGTTGAAATAGACGCGAATCAGAAACAAAAGGGTAGTATGCTACTGCTCAGGCCTCGAGAATACACACCGCTTTAGGGAACACGTGTTTGCTTACAGTTCTAGACAGCAGGGCTTAGAGCTGGCCTTGTTCAGCCTGTAAGCTTAGTTACCACATGGAGCTGTGATTTGCTTTTTGTCGGCCCACTGGGGCTCAGCTTACCGCTGCTGAAAATCTATATGCACTACATTGTAGATGGAACTGTAGGAGATTTCTGAAACATAACCTCAGAGGTTGATGTCTTAAAAGCAATGCCTCAATCCTTCAACATTAAGACCACAGACTTGGGGCAAGTCTATCGTCATCGTGCAGTCGACGCGACTGAAGCCTGGCTGCAGTGGTGCTACAGAAATTGACTAGTAGATCTAAAATGTACTTAACATCGCCATTTGCCGGTCGGAAAATCAAATTCAAGAAGCATTCCAACATCGCCAACTTTAGCACTCAACTCACCATGAAACCCCAACACGCTTTTCTCAGCTATGCCCTCCTGGGTTCCGCCAGTACGCTGACTGTTCCGAGCGAGGTGCATGTCTCTTTGAGCAAAGAAAAATCCCACTCACCTCCATCTAACAAATCTTCCATCAACTGGGTGGAATGCGACCTAGACTTCGGCGAGGCATACAACGCTGCCCTTGCCAAGTTGCCCGAGAAGCCAGCTTGTGCCAAACTCGAGGTCCCTTTGGATTATACCAACCACAGCTCAGATGAAACCATTGAGCTCCAACTGATCAAGTATAATGCAACCAAGACGCCCTTCAAGGGCAGCATCCTGTACAATCCGGGTGGTCCCGGGGGTTCCAGCGTTGAAAGTGTCGCTTTAAGTGGACTTGACTTGCGAGAGTAGGTTGAAATACAAGATCTCGCTCTTATGCTTGGTATGCTTACCCATAATTTCAGCATCGCCGGAGGCCATTATGACTTGATCGGCTTTGACACTCGGTAAGCGCATTGACGTTGTAAACACCCAATACCATGACTGACAATCATCCAGAGGTACTGGCAATACCATTCCCTTTGTCTGTAACACGAGCTCCCCGGATGCTGGTAGCCTTCTTCGCCGAGACTTCAATACACTGGCGCAAGTCGACGTATGGGAGTACTTGAAAACTACGTACTGGGATATGGCGGGAACCTTCGCCGAGGAGTGCTACGAAGCGCAGAGAAAGTATGGCCGTTTTATCAGCACGCCATTCGTGGCACGAGATATGATTTCAATTGCGGATGCTCTTGGCCAAGGCGCAAAGGTGAATTTCTGGGGAGTATCTTACGGTACTGTGCTCGGGCAAGTGTTTGCTTCCATGTTTCCCGACCGCGTGGGACGACTTCTTCTTGATGCCAACCTTCTGGCCGAAGACTATGCTGTTACTACCTGGGTGACCAGTCAACGAGACACAGAACGGGCTCTCCACAACCTCTTGGACGAGTGCGTCAATGCTGGCCCTCAAGTCTGCGGTCTGGCCAGCTTCGCCGGCAACGGAACCACTGTCGATGATCTGATGATGGCCGTCAATAACGCAATCGAAAAGTTGATGACGGTCAAGAATGACACTAGTGGATACGGCGACCCTGCAACCGCCTTCAAGGGCAGCCTCATGGCGGAGCTTTACTCGCCGACCATGTTTCCCAACGCGATAAAAAGAATTCACCACGCGTTGACTGGAAACTTTACAGCCGCTACAGCCCCGGCCCCTCCGCAATTGGAATCTTTCTGGAACGAAGCCGGATCCTCTGCGGTCTTCGGCATCTCCTGCGGAGACTCTTCCTTTCGCGCCGAGAATCAAGATGATCTCTACTCCATTTATCAAGCTCACAAGGAGCAGAGCTCATTTGGCGATACCGTCTCGCAGAGCCGGCTGCTGTGTTCCCGGTGGAAATTTGATGCGGCGGAAAGCATCGACCTTAACTCGCTGAGAAACGTCAAAACGAGCTTCCCTGCTCTCATTGTCAACGGCCGCTACGACCCAGTCACCCCGGCGAGCACCGCCTGGGAGGTGTCCGCGCGTCTGCGAAACAGCCGGACTCTAATTCACTACGGCGCCGGTGTAAGTTTTTCCAACATTATGAATTTGAAGCTTGCAATTTGTTCTAACTCTTCTTTCTTAGCATGGTTTCACCTCACATCCGTCAAACTGCACGAATGCAATTGTCAAAGACTACTTTCAGGATGGGAAGCTTCCCGAAGTGGGTACTACCTGCGAACCCAACATGACTGCGTTTGAGTACTATGCCGAACTGGTGAGAAAGGCACGAGAGGGCAAATAGAAGTCATAGTTGTGACTCTGGCTCTTGATGAATAGATCTCTGTTGTAGCAATGGAAGGTAGAAGTGGGGGCCTTGGGACATTAGGACAATACGTTTGGGCCTGATTTTGTGGGATAGAGGCGCAATGCGATAAATTTCCAGCAGTACTTTATCAATACAATTAGTTTCTGGGAACTGGCGGAAAATGCTTTCCTTGTTGTGTTCTTTGAGCTCAAAAGGCGAATTCAGCTACGGATCGCGTGGCCTATACTCTGAGCCGTCACTTAGACGAATATTATTGCGACATTTTAGAACGTGATAAGATATGATAAGATATGATAATGAATAATGGAAGGCACTTCTAATTTATACTCAAGAACGCAAGTAGCGCAAAAAATTTTTAACAGGAAAAAGAATTTGGACACACAGGGGATTGAACCCTGGGCCTTCCGCAAAGATGATCGAGAACATGCAAAGCGGATGTGATACCACTACACCATATGCCCAGTTGATGGAAACACTCGGACACAAATCGCACCATGTACTTCGTTTGATTGATTGCAATTTTTCTGCAATTACTGCGTCAATTAGAAGCTCTGTCTTTGTACTGGTGTTGCGAAAAAACATGAAACGACGGATATTCAGACAGACATTTTTCTAAACCTACGAAACCTACAAGCTCTTTATCTTTTCAACAATTTTAGGAATGACCTTTCCCTGCATTCTACAATGCATGTTAACATTCCATTCTTTCGATGCGATAAATTGACAAACATCCTGCTTTCATCATGCACGCACCGCGCGACTTGCCTGGAACACGTCCCTCACCGCCATCACTGTTGCAAACGCCCATCAACCAATTAACAGTTACCTCAAGAGAGCAGAGCATCCTCTGAACAATTGAAGGCAGAAATTTTGCATGCTTTTTGTACAAATTCGACCTTCTACTCTCATTTCACTCATCATTTGATTACACTTTTTCTTTTTTCAAACATGCGCCGTATGGCATCACAGAATCGAAATGGAGATGATACATCTCCATCGCTACTACGCAGAAACGGACGCAGACGGTTCATCAGAGTTGTCGAACTGCTAACGGATAGCGAAGAAGAAGGCAGTAACGCAATGTGTCCGGCCAGCTCAAGACGCGGTAATGAGAGATATTTATTCCCAAGCCCGCCACCTTCGCCGCCACCACCATCCACACATCAAAAGGCACGATACAGAGGTGGTATTGGGTATCTGCGCGAACATGTCGATTTGGGATCACGCCTTCGTTACGATGGGCAAGAAGCCTCGGGTCGGCGTCAGGTTGATTCCACAGTGACTACATTTCAGGGAGGCAACATCCGCTTTAGCCCTCCTTTTCCTCCTCATACTCTACAAAGGAGATATCGAATGGCTGGAGGGTCCAAGGGGTCGAAACTTCTCAACATGTTTCGACCACAGTTCTGGGACCGCTTCTTACGAAGTTTTCTTCTCTTTGTCAAGACAAACTTTGGCAACGGCACATCCCAACGCGCCCTCAAGATCGTCGCGGTATACCAAATTGGCCTGTGGATTATTACATTCTTCTCTGCCGTCAGTCATATAAGGGCAGAGCAAGGAGGCGGTGAGATATACGCGTACATTGCTGGTATGATGGACGATGTGTTAGAGCACCGGGGAGTCTTCATGTTGGGTATGTTGTACGGGTGGCTGGTTTGGTAAGGTGTGTTGTTGACATTGGTCAAGACGAAACTGAGCACGCAGACAAGCGAACTGAGTGATGGTGTTATCCTGGTGGTATGGGAGAATAACGAGGTGGAATTGTAATGACCTCTACCTGAACCAATAATGTCTCTGTCTGTAGCAACTTAGTGGTGATTGAAATTGTAAACCATCGTAGACCAAACAGCTGATTGGTTGCCTTTATGCTTGCCAATTCTGGCTCTGCCAACAAACCCTTACCTACCTCATCAGATGAAAATTTACCCCTACCTGTACGTACCAATACATAAAACTGAACCTGAAACGATTTGACGTGTTGTCAGTATCGTACTTGCTCTTTCAAGACGGCGTGATTGGTTTGATTGGCCTAGCCAGGCACTCAAAATGCGGGCACGAGAAGTGGCCTGGAAAGAACGCACTTCATAACAGCGACTGCTGGAAAGAACTCTTTTAATAGGTCGTCAACTCCGACAATAAGGCAACCTCACTATTTGCTGTTTCTTTCTCTTATCCATTCTCTATATTTGAATCTTAAGTTGCGATAACCTCGTCAAATAATTCTTCAAAGCTCTTTTCCAGGCCCTGAAACCTGCCGCCACAGTTGTCTGTGTGATTGATTCAGCAAAAAATGAGAACGAACAAAAGAAATGCAAAAGGAAATTCCGGAACGGGGAATTGAACCCCGAGCCTGACGGAGCCCTCGTATGAGAGCGTCAAATGTTGACCATTACACCATTCCGGATTTATTGATGTCTAGGGCTTCACCACGCCCACTTATTATCCACGGACTTCTCCGAGTCCACCGACTGATCCACACAAATCCATCTATTGCTTATGCGTTTTGTTACAACCGCTCAATAGTCGCAGAACTAGGTTATCCCAGTCATGGTATGGTGCCCGTGCTTATTTATGTCCAGATAGGGGCGTCGGTTGATTTGGTATAGGCATGGGCAGCAGGCAACACCAAGCAGAAATCTATAACCCACACAACGTAACGAGATACCAGTATATTACTAACTTCAATATTGGATTGTTGTCCCTAGCGTAAATTTTACGAGCGAACGGGATTCTGTGATACCCGCAGAAGATAGAGTGCATGATCCACCCATAAATTTGCATTTTCGTCATCGACAACACAGGAGATTGCTGACGAAGGTTCTCAGGCCTTTATTTCTCTTACGTCTTGACATATCGTATGAGTTTGAATGCTGTGGTGAAGCGCAAGGCGTGAGTTGTCATGCTAATTTGGCGCTGAAAGAGGCCGTGAGGTTATGTGTCCTCCATCTTGTAGTTTTGGGGGGGCTGTCACCGCATGGTAGCCTCAGCCCGACCTAGAGGTCGCTGAACACGAGGCTTCAAGGCAACCTTTCACACTTGACTACAAACCGATCCTGACGAGGAGCTATCACGAGGCAAGCCTCTTTCAGCTTTGGCGAATGTGGTATCAACACGAAGGCAAAGTAAGTTCAAACAAGAATGCTGAGTAATCGGGGCGCGTCTCTTTTCAGCATCTTGAGTAGTATCTAATTTAGACAATACCAGTATTGAAAATGCACCAACTCCAAATTCTTGTTCTTGTGTCTGTCTGTGACTTCACCACTGTGAGCTGAAAGGTCACGACTCGTCATAATCCCAACGCAGGTTCTGGTGAGTTCCACGTCTCAAATTCTGAATCGTCTTCTCTTTGTTTAACAAAATCAAGTGGAAAGTCCTTCCTTCTTTAAGCTAAAAGCTACTTCCTTTCCTCCTCTTCACGTCTTCTTACTAAACTCTTTCTCAATTGCGATAAACAAAACCTTTCTCTCACTTCTTCATCACCAATCTTACCCTTTTCTCCCAAACCATCCACTCTTGAATCGCAAGGATTGCTTTTCTGAACATCTCCACCAAGGAAATCAATCCCGCATTGCTCTCATTGTAAAACTCGTGGCATAATCTTCTTGCATTTCTTTTCCATGTCCGCTAACTTATGTCTAGAAGCCGCATCACTACGAGCTCGCAATGCCTCCCAAGAAGAACGCCGACGACGCCGCTGCCAGCACCAGCCACAACTGTTCCGAGGCTGACATCAATCTCATGATTGCCATTATTGAGATGATTCCCCGCCCAGCTCTGGACTATGACGTCCTCGCGGAGAAGCTAGGATCTGCCACTGCCAACGCCGCCCGCATGCGCGTGAGCGCTGCTATCAAGAAGCACACCAACTGGTTCGCCGGAACCAACGCGACTACCGGAGAGGGCGGATCCCCCAACAAGGCACCCCGTGCCAAACGCACCATCAAGAACAAGGAGGACCCCAACGAAGAGTCTCTCGACGAGCAGGTGATGCCTTCCAAGAAGAGAGCTCGTAACGGAAAGGCGAAAGCCAAGGCTGCGGTGGAGGAGACTACCAAGAAGACGGCTGCCAAGAAGGAGAATAATGATTTTGCCGATTGCCAGATTTGAGAGGACTTGTAACGGCTTTTGGGGTTGGTCATTGAAAATAGGATTGGGTTCAGTTGCTAGGGTGTGTACTGGTGGTTCAATCTTGGGAACGGCTGGTCTAGGGCTCGCATCGCTTTCTAATCCTCCTGCAGGTGGATTTCTGAACTTGACAAGAATAGCATGAAGCATTGAAGGTGTGCTTTCACCATGGAACGCTTGCCAAAGTCTACATGTGAGATGGTTCTTTTCGTCGTGAGTGGCTGTACATTGTGATCTGTGTGCAAGACGGGTAGTCATCATCGCTACCGTTTGTGCCGCGTCTAATACGTTTCCTCAAGTATTGGTTATTGGCGGTATCGAAGACGACCGCAGACATTGCTGTTTCTACTTTTATGAGACTGCCCGGTTGCAATGCGACGACTATCAAAAAAGAAAGGCACATTTAACCTCGCACAAGGACAACTAGTTGACCCTCATTAGATAGAAAGTGACACTTGAACAGGCAAGGTCGACTCAAGCTTGCCGTTATCGTCTTTTACTATTCACGTGATGAAATTTGAGGTATCGTTACCGGGTCAAGGTATCGCCAAACGGCGCTTTCTTTGTGAAATTGAGGTGTCTGTGTATCTTCGAGGACTTGACCGTACCTACTTTTGAAATAATCTGTGCATATATGTAAGAAGACTGTGTGTTCAAGATGCGATATGTGCTTGTGTCCATGGCCCAGCATATTTCTTGAGGACCCTCAAGTTGCTGTATCGATGGATAGAATGCATGACCAGCGGATAATAATGATGGCGTAGAATCATGGTTATTGACACTCTAGAATGGAGCATATGGTGCTTGAACATGCCACAACGGAGGTTCGGCCGCCGTTAAACATCCACGATTTCAAATAATATCATGGTTTTCAATAATATAGATAACGACCGTGCATTCATCATTTTAACAAAACTACCAAAGTACTCTTCCTTAATACCATAACATTTGTTGCTCCTGCACCTTACTGGAGCAATCGTTAGACTTGAAGGCAATATCAAGGGAGTCCACTGGATAAAACTTACTCAAGGGCAATTCCGGCATCGTAGTCGCTCGAAGATAGCTTTTGCAAGAAGTCGTTAGACCATGAACGGTCATATCTAGCGCAAACACAGCCATTAGCTAGATTCATTTTCGGGTAGGCAAATTCCACGGATGTACATCGAGGAGAAAGGCACCGTTGAACTTACTGATTACAGATGTAGTAGATGTTGTATCCCTTGCTTCCTTCTTGGGCCACGCGAGTAAGGAAAACAGATTTGCACCCGTCTGAGTCGGAGTGATTAGCCTTGATAACCATATTGTTTGGAAATCACGTCGCAACATACCTTTACACTTGTCCAAACACCATGGCAGAGGATCACCGGTATATCCCTCACTGGAGGAACTGGAGGAACTTGTGTAGTCGAAACTGTAACTGACATCGCCCTCATACTGCTTCTTCCACGTGGATGGGATATTGTTCCAGGTAGGCTTGGGTGGCAATGACGGTTTGGGAGTTGAAGTTGTCGTTTGAACGGCTGCGGTTTTCGATACCAGTGACGTCGGAGCAGCAGTTGGTGTCCCACTCGGGGCTGCACTGGAGCAGGAGTCGCCCTCTTGCCTTCGGCAAACACCAAATACCGGCTTGACGCCGTTCCAGACGATTGGCGGACCGCCCTCAGCCCGCACCCAAGCCAGTCCTTGAAGTAGTTCCTTGACATTGGACGCAACTTTACCGGGCTGCTGTAGCTGCTCCTTGTACTCATCCTGAGCCAACAGAGTAGCAACAACGCCGGCGACAGTTGCTGCTGCGACACCCTCGGAGTAGTAACGTCTTTCCAAGTCTTGCATCTCCTTAGGGGTGGCCCTGTCTTTGGGGTTGAAGGCCTTGTAAGCACAGAAACCAGTAGCCGGGGCCGCAACCGTGACACCATCCTTTTCTGAGCCAGGCGACCAATTCAGACGTAAGCCCTTGGAGCTGACGGCGTTTACGGCAATGAGATCCGTATCCTTGGCGAAGGCGGCAGGGTATTGGTCGTTTGCTTCGGAGCCTCGGTTGTTGTTGGAGATTCCGGTTGGCGCAACAAGGACGATGTCATCTTGCATCATCTTTACCAAAATCTCCTTGTACGATTCGATAGATTCTTTATCGGCAATTGGAGCTTTTTAGCGTTAGTACATTGCAAAAGAGGGCATTATGCTAGGAATTCTCTTCGTTCGAAGCAGAACTGCTCAACATTGGCTTACTGGTATAAGAGAGATTTACGACAGCCTTCCCCTTAATGCCGCGTTTGTGTATATCGTTCTTGATGAGGGCTAACGCAGTGAGCATCTCCGTCATGGTGATAGCTCCTATCATGCCGCTCCGTCCAGAAAGTTTAACCATGACGACATTTGCTTTCTTTGCAACTCCAAACTGAGGCCCAAAGATCTTGGATGCCGCGCAGGTTCCCTCAGGATAGCCGATATCGGGATAGTCGTCTGTCGGCTTTTTGTCAGCACCAGGTGCATAAAGGAAATCCTTGCCACCGACGGCATTTTCGATGTCCTAGAAAGTAAACAGAGTTTAGCTTAAGAATATGGTGAATGAGGTCTACAACTCACTGGACTCTTCAAGTTCATTCCCGATCCCAGGATATACACCGTAATGCCTTGGCCGGCCACTTCGTCGTACACAAACGTATCTGTCAAGGACTTGCCCGGTTCCTGTGAGAGGACGGACAACTCGAGTGCCTCTTGGTACTCTGGATCCATGTGGTCTGTGGGATTTCCATATCCGGTTTGCCTCACTATTTTCTTGGGCTGCTTGGCTACAGAGAGCGGGTCCTTCGCCAGAGCTGGGGGCGGACCAGACGGACCAGCAGCGTCTTCTTTGTTGAATGGCGGTTCCGACTGGAGATCTTTCATCTCTCCCAAGATGAAGTCTTCGCTAACTGATCCGACCTTTTTTTTCATTGGGTGTTAGTACCTTGACTCATGTAAGTAATTAATGACGCATGCTTACCCCTGCTTTTCCTGTCAAGTCTTTAGCAGCTGCAGGCGACAATGGAGCGGTCAAAAACAGAATGCTCTTGTCTTCATCGTCCGAAACAGAGACAAGTTCATTTCCAACCGACTCGGAAAGGCTAGATCGGACGGACTCGAAGTCATTATTAGAACCTGAGCTGCTAGACTCTGGGACGATAATGTATCGTGGAGCCGCGCTGGAACTAACGGGCGATTGCGAAGAGGATGTAAATGAGATGGGCGAAGAAGAAGTGGGCGTGAAAGATGACATGGGTGGTTGGGTGGTGTTCTCCGGGTCTTGAGATCTCTGCCCTGTTGGAGTAGGCTGACGATTGCCAGGATCTTCCTCCGGATTTTCAACTTGCTGCGGCTCTGGACCGGAAATAGAACTGACTCCAGATGCGATACCACTCGCTCCGGTAACTTGAGCAACGCTTCCGGCAGCTAGGCTAAAATACTGGCCTGCAATGAGCAGATAGCCTCCGCCAACGCCTGCAGCAACAATCATGCCTACAGCGAGGTCAGATTCGACCTTGCCATTCTCGACGGTTTTTGATGCTGCACTGGTGGTGGCGCTTGTCGAAGAGACCGTGTTAGATGAGGCGATTTGACTAGTCTTGGATGGGGACTTGGAAGACACGGCTGACCGGCTCGTGTGTGGCGGCAAGGAAGTATGGTTTGCCGGAGCCGAGGGCGTCTGTTGTGGAACTTTTGAAGTGACTTTGTGCGATTTTGACTGAAGGCTAGAATGCAATGGGGCCCGAGTGCGTTGCGACGTGGGCATTATGGAGGTTTCGTTAGTTACACCCCGAGGCCATGAACCATGCTCAAAGGCATGGCGTACGTGTAGAGGCGCATGTTCGTGAGGTCTTGCAAATATGCCATCACCAAAGGACAGGAATGAAAGTAAAATGAGCGTGTGGGTTTGCATTGTGTTGAAAACGAATGTGGTTAGTATGAATGAATGGACTATGGCGGTCGGTGCCAGTGGTAGCAAGAATACAATAGTTGACGCCGAGCAATGCAGTATTTCATTCTTTTAGTTTATAGAATGTCCGTCAATACCGTCGGGTGCTTCGGGTCAGTCAATGAATATCTAGCGAGGTGCATGAGGCGAATATACATGATTTGCTATATATAGTATGCAAGTCGGGCTATGTGTTAATTAATTGTGACTTTTGATATCGCCGACCAGCAGATCATTTCTCAATACTGCAGCATTGCTGGGCTCTTATTCTACTTGCCAAAAGTTAAACAGACGCAAATTCAGAGATCAGCAGTGCATTTATGTTTGGGGTATATTGAATCGACTGGCCAGTGCGGAGTTGTCGTCTGAACTAGGTTCAGGGCAGTAAAGAGTCCGACAGCGTCAGAATAGCAATCTGAACAGTTCTGGCTTCCATTGATAGTTAGCTGCAAGTATCGGTTAAGAATAGGGTGAGGAAAATTTGGGCTAGGCTTTCAGCTACCGGTAACGATCGCTGACGCTTACATGAGTGCCCTTGTAATTTTTCCGCCTTCTTTTTAATTACATGCTTTTATATGCAAGACATGGCAAGTCCGATGAACTATTCAGCCTTGGCGATTTAATCAAAGTTGGTCTATGGTGGCTAAGCGCGTATGGTCTCTTGGTCTTCTACCATTATTTGCGCTCATTCATCCGCACGCACCTGGGCATTATTATTAAGCGATGTGGCATAAAATGCTGATTTTGTTACTTCAACACGAAGCAGACAAGCGGATGCACGCATCAATGCTATCCTATGTATGTGGTGGTCAATGCTAAAATCCATACTCCGCCCACATGTTTCGTGCGACACAACGACTTACAGACAGTCCTTCTCAACAGAAAGAAAGATGGTTTTACTGCAAAAACAACCAACCCTGATAATAAGATATGTATACAAGCTAGGCACTTACTATATCACCGTACCTGCGCCAAAATAATTTTCCTTGCGCCTCCAATTTCCATCCATGCACGTCCATTTCTTTTACAGTCCGTCATTGAAAACCATAACGTCATGAGACACCCTTGTTCTCCAAAATGCTATTCAACTCCTTAAGCCGCACTGGCTTCGTAAGAAAAAGATCAATGCCGCTCACAAATGCCTCTTGCTGGGCGCTGGCCGACGCCAGGCCGGTGAGCGCGAAAATGTGACATCGCGATAGTCCGCGTTCCGATTCGAGGGCGCGGATACGCCGGGCCGACTCAAAGCCATCCATCACGGGCATTGATATATCCATCAAAATGCATTTAAACTCTTTGGCACCCTGGCCACTGCTTTCTTGAAAGGCTTCAAATGCTTCAAGTCCATTTGTGGCGCAGGCGAATTCATGGCCGAGCTTCCTCATGTAGGACATCAAGATCCTAAGGTTTATCGGGTTATCATCAACAAGCAAAAACCTCGTTCCACCGGCATGAGACCCCTAGGTCATCTTGGTTGGAGCTGCAGGCGCCAAAGATGACACACAGTCTTTCTTTGGGCGTTCAGAGAGATTGTCGCTCTTGGTATCGACTTCTCGGGCGAGAAAGTCGAGTCTCGCTGTTTTTTGAACATCCTCCTCAAGCTGCGAGTCATTTGAGGTGCCGTCCTCAGCGGCAGGGACTGCGAATGTCTCATTATTTATAAAGGGTTTGCAGAAGTACTCGACCTCTGGCGTCAAACGAATGCCATCGTCAGGCGCCAGGTCACCGGGAGTAGCTTCCACGGTACCCAGCGACGAGGGGGTTGGAATGGACATCGTGGCGGCTTGCAATTTGATCCACCGCCTCAGGCTTAGCAGTAGGACCTTTGCAAGTTTTCTAGGACCGATGCTTCCAAGTAGGTTAGCAGAGAGTATGCCTGTTCGACAGGCGAGGTGACTTACGGCTGTGAGACGAATTCAATAACAGTATCGCTGTTCTTGAATCTCGCCGAAACGGCTAGTTGTCGCGCGACCAAAGAGTTACGACAAACGACTATGACGGGTGTTGACATGCCGCCGTGAGACTGTTCTGACAGCAAATCTTCGAGGAATGCCTCTGTAGTAACGACCATGTCTGCGAGGATGTGTTCGGAGACGGAGTGTTCGACGACGTGCATTTGCAGCCACTGCGCGCAAAAGTTCGCGAGGAGGGCACCTTCGCTTCGGGTTCCCTTCAACCAGTCGGGGTCACCATCTGCGTGAGCATTATGCTCGGTTGATGGCCCAAAAATCCGGACTCGAAGGCCCTTCAGCTGGTCAGAAAGCGACCTGAACTCGTCAAAACCCGCCGAGTATGGGTTGCCTGTCGGCGACGTCGGGGCCGCTTCTTGCAATGGCAGTACTACAGTCACCTTTGTCCCATGGCCGAGCTTGCTCAGAACCTGAATAGACCCGCCCAACTTGGCAACAATTTGGTTAACAAGGCTCAAGCCTAGGCCCAGCCCAGTAGAAATGCTGTCCTCTTGACAAAATGGTGAGAAGATGTGGTTTTGAAGGTAATTGTCGCTGATCCCTCGCCCGGTGTCCGTCACGATAATTTTCACCCTAGTTGAAGCCGAAGGTTTTCGCTTATCTTGGAGCACCTGGAGGACTTTGACGTTGACTGTACCTTTACTAGTGAACTTCAATGAGTTACCAAGCAGATTCATAATGATACGACGGATTGCGCCCGACTGAGTATGAAAAGTCCAGGAAACAGCTGGACTGACGTCGAACGTTACGGTGACTTCTCCGAGAAGCGACAGCAAGTCTCCACGGCTCTGCGGTTTGAAAGCGGCGTCTTCGATTGCTTGGAGACTGTCAAGTCTCCGAACAAGGTCTGGGACCTCGGCGTGTTCGGATGATTGCTGATTGACGTGATGGGCGATGGACAACTGTTGGTAACTGAACCCAGCGCAGACACTCTCGACGACCTCTTCGGCAAGGATATCGAGTTCGACGTCGGAGGCAATGCTCATCATTCCTGCCTCGATCCCGGGCCGCTGACCACGGTTCGCCACTGATCGATCGTTGAGAGCCGTTGTATCATTCGTAGCGATGGCGCCTTTGGTGTTTTGGCGGCTTGGCGAAGAGCCGATGAAATTGTTGATTCTGCTCAAGTCCAGCAGATGATCCATTGTCTCCAACAGCGTCCTACCACATGTTTCAATCGAAGCTAGCATCTCTTCTTGGAAGGCGTCCAAGGAAGTATCGCTCAGTAGTTCTGCGCCGAGGATGATGCCATGAAGAGGAGACCGTAGTTCGTGGGAGAGCGAACTTAGAAGGTCGGTTTTCGACCTCTCGATAAGTTGAGCCTTCATTCGATCCACTTCAGACATGATGACAATGCCGAAAGCCCGGAGGTAGCCTAGCTCGTGCTCGATAGTAAACGTCCGGCCCGGGGTCGTGGTACTGACAAACCCTCCGGCGTACCAGCGGTGCTTCTGCATATCCCAAAGAGGCACGATACACACACTACGGGCATCGGGAAATATGGACATAATCTGTTTCGCTTCTTTCAGGCGGGAGAGTTGCTCTCTTCTCCGCTTACGGGATGACTCGGTTTTTTGCGGTTGTTCAGGAGACCCGATGGAGCCGTTTTCCAGATTCATCGCGCTCAAGCCCAGGATGGTCTCGTCGCTTGAGTCGTCGCTGGATTGGACATTGCCCTCGGCGTCAAAATTGAAAATCTTACCTTTTGGATAACGCCGCAGAAGCTTGGCGAGAAAACCCTCCGATACTGACGAGAAGGCTCGGCAAGGTGGGTCGCCGTCGATGCTGGCTACTGACGAGCTTGAAAATCCGAATATCCGACAACGGGGTTTAGCCTTTCTCTGTGAACAGCTGCTGTTTACGCATCTTTCCGGGTGTTCCGTCTCGTCAGAAGATGAAGACGACGATTTACTTCCGTCCGCAGATTTAATAGCGTGGGTTGATGATTCAGTCAACCCGCCGAATGATCTGATGCTGGCTTCAAGGAACAGCACATCCTCCACATCGATAGCCTCACGAATGACGTTGGTAGCCTTGGAAAATAACTGATGAACTCGAGGATCCTGCGGATGTGTGCGTCCGAAACTAGACATGGAGAGGTCGGCCGTGGTAGGTTTATCAGATGAAGTCGGGTTCGATATCGGGGTTGGGCCTGGCCGGCGCAAAGGTTGGGGTTTGGGTGGCTGTTGGGCTTTTAGACTACCGAGCTGTCGTTTCGCGGATGCTGATGAGTTATCTATTACGGTATCGGGTGACTCGGGTTCAGTGTTTTGCTGAACATATTGCTGTACTTTATGAATCCCAACTTCCCGAGGCAGAGCATCGTCCAATATCCCCGGGGTCTCGGTGGTCTCCCACTCAGAAATAGTGCTTTTACCTGCGAAAAAACTGCCGACTCCGCGCAGCATGCGGTCAGCGCGGTGGTGGTTGTCTTCTTGACGCCTCGAATCCAGATAACCCACCACGACCTGGGAAAGGTCTTGTAGAAAACGGATCGAGACATCATCCAAGTCTCCGCGTGGCTGTGTGTCAAAAACGCAAAAGACGCCAATATCGATGCCCTTCGGAGTACGTAATGGTACTCCGGAATAGAAGCGATTCTCTGGCGCAACATGGCAGAACGCGCGCTGCGAAGACCTGGGATCGGCGGCAAGGTCGGGTATAACGGTTATGGGAACATTGCCATAGTCCAAAGGACTTTCGCTGGAGGGGGACTGTGCGATTCCGAGGGCGAGCTCGCAAATACCAGCGGCGCGGGGTAAAGCGGTACCGCAGAGCGCAAGATGCTCTCCCACTTCGTGATCAACAAGTTTGGCATAAGGCGTTAATGGAAGCGAGGGCGTGGCCTCAGCAACAATGTACTGGTAGTGTCTATCAAATAGAGAGATCAGAGCACGAGAGGTCTTCAGACGCAAGACGGCGAGCTCGGCGAAAGCCGTTAGTGCCGGGTCTGGTGACGCGCATAATTCGGAGGGGGGAATGAGGTTGTTCAAATCGTTGTGAACAGTTTGGGCAATCAGAGAAGGATCATATCTGGAGTAATCAATAAAAGACAACTTTTGTTAGCTTGAATATGGTGCAAACCTGAAAGTCTCCCGTTCACGACGACCTTCGGACACAGCCCGTCCTAGCGTAGGTATTGACGAGACCATGATGGAAGAATGATGATAACCTCCTCCGACACAGGCGGTGGGTGTAGGTATATGCAACGATGCTTGGCATGCGACCGTGTTGATAAGACTCTCATCAGTCCGCAAAGTTCGCTTTCGGTTGTCAGTGGCGGGTACAAGGCTACTGTTGTCCAACGCCAATCGTACAGAGTCAATTCATCGACAAATTTTGGCCGATATGCAGGCGGTAGCTGACGGCTCACAACTAATCAGCCAGACCGTACTTGAGTTCAACGACGTCAGAACCTCAATGATCAATGATTGACCGGAAGAAGGGTTTGGCAAAATCAGCAATAGTTGGTGGCAGGGACGGGACGTGGTAAGGGAGAGGGATTCGTTCGGCTGGACGTCTTAGCGACGAGCTACTGGTGTGGAATCAAGAAAGTTGAATCTGTGGCAATACCGTCGCAAATTTCCGCCCAATGTAAGGTCTTTGTGCCTGTTCGGTCGGTACATGCAGGCCAGCTTTGTTACTAGTCGGTTAGTCTCATGCCGCGCTACTGTCGACCAGACAAGGGCTCGCCATACGGACGCCGCCAGGCCGCATTTCAATCGGGCGAGGAATAAACCCAACAACTCACTCATTTCCGGCCGCCTGGCTGCGTCGAATGTAGGTCTTAAACTAAGGAAACAGAAAAAGGTTGAAGGGTACCTGACAGCTGGCCAGAGCGCCGAGAAGGCCCAAGACGCAAGGTAAGCACAAGCACGGGTCATTCTCTCATCCCACCTAGGAAAGTGAGCCATGGTGTTTTGGCTTTGCAATCGGATGATCCTGCACAATAGCCTGCCCGTGCTGTGCCTCTCTACAATGCTGGGACTTGACATGGGAAAGACAAAAGGGCGAGGTCACGGTGCTAGCTAGTTCCCACCGGCGACTAGGCATGTCTAGAAGGAGAACCTTTTCGAGAAGACAAGGTCCCGGGGTAATGGACAAAGGCCAGACCCGTCGAACATTCCCAAAGTCGACTAGCAGGGATAGCGCCTATGCTAAGGACCCCTTGTTAAGGATTGGAATCGCCCCAACTAGTCTCCAATCGAGTTAGCGGAGTAGGGAATCTCAAATGGAGGGCCCTGGAGCCGAGATTTCAGAATGCCATCTTTGTGTCCGTTGATCAATTAGCATCCCAGCCACAATTGGCACTAAACCCTGATGCAGGCTGAATTTGGAGACTGGCTTTGTCACCTACTAAAGTCAGCACTGTTACCAAAGTCGACGAAAGATGACTGGAAAGCAGCTGATGAAGAACGTTTGGAACGTTTTCTCTCTCCCTCCCTCTCTTACGAATAAATTTAGTCTTGAATCACATGTTCCGTCGAGTTTATGGACGATATTGCAAACCAAATTGCCAACCTGGTTCTGCCGCTTGTGCTGCTGTGTGCCGCCTGAGGTGCGTAGAAGGCCAATACTAGTATACATTGTTCAAATGTACCTCAGAACTCTTTGCTGTGACTGGTCAGAAGGTTTCAGATTCCTCCGCCATCAGACAATGGTGGCAAAAACTCAACGTTCAACCTCGTCTAGCTTGTTATGTAAACAAGGACACAAGCCAACTAGGGTTCGGCCACCACCCCTCGACAGGACGCGTAGGGTAGGTGTATGGCATTGCAGCAGACCGATCTTGACGGACCAGCCTCGGCTTTTGCTTTCTCTTGCTGGCACCCACCATTCGATTCGTACTTCCTACAGGCCTCGGGGGGGTGGTGCTCCTTTACAGCCTGGCGCTTCTGCCCGCATTCTTTCCAGACTCTTCCTAATGGCCGTTACATTGACTGGCATCTATCCACCTTGACCTCGGCAACGGGCTTACCAAGACTTCTTCCAATCAAATCCATCCAAAGTGGATGGCAAATGATGCACCTTTCCATCCATCCCCTTTTTCCCCCACAGCCTCTGACAAACATCGTAATGTCAGATCCGTCTTCCTCGGTCATCGTATCCGCTACACGGTCGGAACCGCCATCTGTGAGCTCGATAATAGAACAGGCTGCGAGGTCGGTTGATGCTTGGTCATTTCCTTGTGCTCCGGACGGTCAGTCCTGGTTCTTGTTGCATGTTTAATCTCCCCGTTCCGAGCTGACACTCAGCTAGTGGGACACGGCAGGAGGAGTGGTCGGCAGTTATCTGCGTCTGGCATCTGTGAATCTCAAGCTACATGTTTTGAAAGGCTTGAGTACGTTGGAAATGTTGACGACCGCCTCATTTGTCCCATATGCAAATGCTACATGATCACTCCCTCAGTTACGCCGTGCCACCACGCGTTTTGCCATAACTGCCTTCGTCGCCACCTCGACTCCAGCATGACGTGTCCGATGGATAGAAAAAGGCCCAGAAAGAGTGACATCAGGTCATCAGTCGAGCTATCCGACCTGCTCGACAAGTTGGAGGTGTTGTGTCCATATTTCGGGCAAGGTTGCGGATTAAAAATCCAGAGGGTGCATCTGATGCAGCATGCAGAGAGCTGCCAGTTTTCCCCCAATTAGTCAAAAGGTTTACTCGGGACTAGATCAAGGGAGGGTAGGGTTTGACAACATGGAAATTGACATTTGAATTAGACTAACGTTGCATAATAGCGTGATTCCATCCAATAGCCAAATGTTGAACGACTTCCCCAGAACACCCAACGCCTCCAGTTTCCATTATTGATAACGCCGTGCTCCGTGCTATTTATTGCGAAAGAGGGGGAAGAACGAGCAAAAGAAAAAACGGGGAGGGAGGGGGCTATCAGCTGCTGACGGCGACGGAAAGCATCTCAGTTTCAGCTCTCCGCCTCAGTTTTCTCCGGGAATAGAGCAGACCGCACACGTTGCAGAGGGTCGCGGGTCCTTGGGGCCCCGACCGCCATTGAGGTGTATCTAGGCAACCGCACATGGAACAGCACGGCTCGTTCTTCCGGCTCATGGGCCGGCTCGACTTCTTCCAGGAAGTCTGAACTCTGGAGTTGGACGGACGACGTGCTCTGCTGCTCACGCCTTTCGCTTGTACCGCCTCCGATTCTGAACAATCAAACCTGTCGACATGGCGAACAATGTCCCCAGCGAGTTTCTGCATTGCGCCTAACGTCTCATCGCTGACTGACGAGGCTTGAAGCTGGAGATGGAAAGGATTGTCGTCCCTGTGGGAATTATCGCGGGTCAGTTGGGAAATGCGTTGAATTTCCTTCGCGGCGTGACTGATCTGATATTACATGCAAAAAAATCAGTCCATGCTCTTAGATAAGAAAAAAAAAAAGGAAAAAGAAGCAAGTCCATGTCGAAAGTGAAAAGAGTTTTGTTAAATGCGGACCTTTTGCATAGCGTTGACTTGTGTTAATGATAGAGGGACTGATTTTGTCTCCAGACTCTGACCAGATGCCACATGAGAAGGACGCTCGTGTACGATGATATCGGGCCTTGGGGCTGGTGAGGACATTGGCGTTCGCAACTCACTCTTGACAGGGTTCATGGCGTTTGGGACAGAATGGGCCTAGTTGGCAGTTGAACGGTATATAGAACGGACAACTTCGATTCGTCTGCGACTGTGGTCGTTGCAACAAACTGTTCGAGATCTGACATTCAAGGAACGATAAAGTAGAGAAGAGTTGTGCATGGAGATCTCAAAAACAGTGAGTGATCGGGGCCAGCAGACTATACCGTAGAAACTGGTAAGGGTGGTGTTACATACGTACTCCAAAAAGGAACGGCTTGAGACCCTGAATACATGGCATGTACCCCACTCTTGGCAAGACCCTTGGCCCCTACATGCAGACTGTGATGTCATATTCTCCTAATGTTCAAGTCATAGCAGTTGAATATGCCTACACACTTAACGTAGGGGGTAGGGCGCTACCCTACCCTACCACCCTACTACCCCATGGAAGCACGGAAGTAAAAAAGACCCCAAACTTGCAGGCTTCAGGCTTTATCTCTACCCGAAGACCCCGTTTGCGTCCCAACTGTCGCCCGTAGTACCCTGGTGTTGCGCTAGTTGGTCTCAGCTCGTACTATGTACACATGGGATTGTGTCTTGGCGATGGCATTCTCCGTGCGTGGTGTGACTGACTGCAAGCTATCTTAGGGACCAGGCTCTTGGGACCGACTAAAACGACTTTTTCCCGTCTGCTTTCGTTTAGCTCCCGTGGTCCGGCCATGCGCCAACCTGACGGGAAGTGCATAGGCAATGGAGAGTGGGATACGTTGGAGATCTGTGTTCCGCTTATGCCATATTTGTTTCTCTCTTCCATTTTCATTGCCGGCATTTGTTCATCCCCAAGGTTTTAGAGGATGAACTTGGCGGAGAGTACGAGCACATGGCTTTATACTGCTGAAAAAACACTTTGTCTCTCTGTCTCTGTTTCTGTTTCTTTGTCTTATCTGCGCAGCCAACAACAGGTAACGCTATCGATCGAGGTGTGCATCCCCATGAGAGACCCACCTGCGGGGCTACAATAACTTGCATCAGTTTTCGCACAGGTGTACGACATCAGTGACTGGGGTTTTTCCTGCAAAGGTGCTCATGGCAACTGTGTAAACATCGTTCGCGATTCCATTCGTTTATCTTGCAGTTTTGCTACCTTTTTGTGATTGCTTCTGCGGTTTAGATGAGACATTGTCCACGTTTGCTTCGAACGGTGTGTGTTCCGGTTCGGCGTGCATCGGAACGTCTTCCAAGTCCGAAAAAACCACCCCGAAGCGTCCAATCTTGATTACCACTGCAGACTGTCACATGTCTAGAGGACCCGCGAGTCATCAAGGGGCGCCGTTTACCCCGCTAAAAGTGTTCCTGGTGGTTTACCTAGTTGTTAATAGCCTTGAGCTGGATTGCCAGTTGAAAAGTGCCATTACGACGGAAGAAACCGACCTCTAAAAAATCGAAAAGCCCTGTTCTCAGCCTTGAGAGCTTGATTCCAAATTCTACTACTGCTCTCTGAGGTATATCCCCGCTAGGGTCTATCGGAAGCTGTGTAGTACATTTTTTTTCTCGACTATTTTTTGCAATGTTCATAGCCATTACCGACCGCAAAGTAGTCCTTTGCAGCTAGTAGCCGTTTAGTATTAAAGCTCTCGTCCCACGGGGAGGGGAGTTTAGGTAAGTTGACAGGTTGATGAAGTTAGACTGCCACGACTGCTTAATGACAGGTTTCGCTTCGTTCCACCAGGCTATCCTTGAGCAAGATGGTAAGGACGCTTTATCTTTGATCGACTAAAGGTCGCAAAGACAAAATTAGTATTCTACCAGTCAGTATCAGTAAAATGGGTACCACCAGAGATACACGTCAAGGCAAGGCGAAGAGTTAGAGAATATAGGTCCGGTTGCTAGTGACTACAATCATATACGACCATACCCACTGGAAAACTCGGGATCCCGTCCGCTCTCCCATAGATAAGCCAGTGAGGGCCGGATTAGTAGTTGGGTCGGTGACGACCAGCGAATACCTGGTGTTGTATGTTTTTTGCATCGTTTGTCTAATGATATTGACGGTTTCTTTTTTTGGACGTTGAGTGGTTTCCGCGTTCAGTAGAGACATGAAGCTGTAGGGGTGGCTCCACGCCGAAGTTGTGGGTGTATGGTGGCGATTTGGGTACAATCGGTTGAGCGCACGTGTTGGGAAGTCAGTCTTCGTGAGAGTCGTCATTTAAGGCTAACCAGATATTATGAAATACTGGTATGTCTCAAAATATTCTCTCCCATCCTGGGTTCTGGGGTTATGGGCTTTTCAATAGACTGAGGGGTTTTATGGGATTCTTCCATGGGAATCAGTGCCACATCCGCGCACCGTTTGCAGTGAGACGTTGAGGGGAAACTTCTCGGAACTGAACGATCCATGCCACTATGGCCTACTTTAAGCCGCTTTCATCATGATTGTCATTTGAGGGGCTTCGCACGCCAAATTTTCAGGTCGCCAACGACCTTCCGCTAAATATACTGGCCTCTAACTGGCTTGCCAGCCAAAGGATCTCTCCCAGCGCATTCAGCAGCCTCCTCGTACCTGAACAGTGAAGACTCTCGCCTGGGAGGAACACTGGCGGTCTTCCCTGGGTGACACCTACGCCCCTTAACCCGGCAGGGGTCCACGGGCATGATTAGGTGGCAGACGGGCCTCCCAGAGCCAGCGGGTGTGAACTTTCGTGACTGGCAGCGGGAGGCCCTTGCCAGCGAATTCCCAGATTACATGATAACATGGAAGCCCATGGGTTGTCATGATGCTGCAGGGTTTACACGCATCCTGCGGCTTTTCGATTGACTTAACCGCGAGGGATTTGCCTCTTTCGCTTTCCGTCTCCATCTTGCGCAGTTCGATGAGGAGGAGACTCAACGCTGTTGGGCAGACAAGGTGGCGAATTATGTCAAAGGTGAGGTGAGACGCCGCGCATAGACTCTTGCGCTCCTGGCGCCCATAATCCAAATTGATGGTATCGTATTGAGTATTGCAGAAAAGCGCCATTTTGTCGAAAACCCTCCTTAAATCGCCCGTAGGGCAGCTGACTTCTCGCTTGAGGCCCTTAGAAGCAGAGTTGCAAGGCCAGGTATCCACGCTGCCGAAGTGGCGCACCTTGTCTATCCAGCGAGCGACCAGTTTAGTCTTCCATGGGTGTAGCCAGGTGTCGGCAACGTAGTCAACGGCAGCAGCGGGAAATCCATCTGTCGCGAGAGCAGCCACCCTATCTTTATACGCATCGGTCGTTTTGCTTTGCAAGACACTATTCCACTTATCAAGGAACTGCCGATGCGTCAGGTGTTGGCCCTTTGTAACCTTCGGAAAGTGCCTTCGCGTATTGGCCGAGATATCGAGGTTCACCTGCCGACTGCAGAGTAGATGGGGAACGCTGTGGAATTTCGGGTTCGCATCGAGGCCTTCTATGAGTGCGGGCTCGCGATTCGTACATACAGCCTCTGGAAAATGGATTTCATGTTCTACGATTAGTTCAGCCAAGGTGGCTAATGCCTAGGTATAGTCAGGCTTCTCTCCAGACAGGAAATAGGAAGCAACCTGGAAAATGTGGCCGTCGAGCGTGCGGCTACGAATAACGAAAAGCGGAACATCGAAGCGGTTGAATGTACACATCCAATCCATCATTAGAAAGTCTGGGCTGTGCAGCAGAAGGCTTATGGCACGGCGTGGAGAGATGAAGAGAGCAGTTACGTGACCAGAGTCGTCTTGTAGGCACCGAGACCAGTAGTCGGGAGAGTCTTTCAAGTGATTGGAAAGCCACGCAATAGGAGTTTTGCCAGCTAATTCGGCTTGGCGATGATCGGCGAGGAGGTTGTCAATGTCTCGAGAGGTGAATTTTGCCAGGGCCCGGTCTTCAGCTTGTATGTGTGCTAGGATCTGGGCAGCGAGTTTTCCCTCGTTCCACATCTTGACAATCTGGGTTTGTCGTCATTGTAAAATCTGGGTTGAATTTTCTGCGGCCGTGCATTCATGCTCGAAGTCGTGGTAGTGGCAGTCACGGTCGAAGCCATTAACAACCGTGAAAACCCAACCGCCGTCAACAAGCTTCGAGAGGGCGATATTCCAGCGGCACTTAGTTATGAAACTAGAGATTTTCAGCCGTTTTCAAGGATGACTTCCGCTTAGCCGAACTGGCTCATTTCTTGGTGTGTGATCGCAACTGAAAGTATGTGTAACCGGGCTAGTTTGCTCGAGACGTACAGGAAACCCTATCTCCCGGGTGACAGCGTCAAGGGAGACGCGGGCATCCTCGGACGTGGGAATCACCTGGCCTAGGAGAGGAATCTTCTTCTTGTTCGTAATCAACTAAATCGTAACCATAATCAAATTGGTCCATCATGGTGGGCAGAAGAAGGGGACTTGAGCAGGCGGTCAAGCGGTTGGTGATGGCTTCATACGAAAGGAAGGGACGCGCCGAATCGCGTCGGACGCGTTAATGGCCAATGTGGCTAACGACCGAGCCACAAGATATAAGTGGGTCCATGAAGTCAAGCCACATACGGTAAGTGGTCCCTGCGTTGTCACCTACACCACAAGAATGTTGTCCATGGCCATCCAACATAGCACTCCCTCCCATCGTAAGAGAGCGATATTTTGCGATGTACTAAATGTATATTCTCATCTCTCAACAACCTATCGATGCTTCATTAGTTTTTTTTTAGTTTTTTTTATTTTTTATTTTCTTTCTAGTATCCTCTATAGCATCTTAAGTTGCTTCCACTCGTCACCCAACTCTTACTAAGACTTGAACCGTAAATATCAACCCCTCAAAGGCCTGATGAGTATCAAAGCATGTCGACTGCCCTTCATACTCATGATCATCCAACTTTCGAAGCATTAAATTATGCACTGGTTTTGATTTAGTAAAATCACTCACACACTACGCCCTCGAGAAGGATTCCTCTTTACCAGGTGTTTGGTTCTTGGTTCCAAAAGCCCTCGTGCAGTTGTGTCGAAGGTCATCCGAATATCGATCCTCTTTAACTAGGTGCTTCTCATTTTTTAGCTGTTCGATTTTTTTTCTTTCAAACAAATTTGAAATCATCTTTCTTAAATGAATACCAACCATGCATGGCCTTTGAAGGTCTTTAAGCGCGCTCCTACGCGGCGACTGGTAGACTTCAAGAATGTTGTTTGCAGACAAATACCCTCCAGGATTTTCACGGCTATGGATGGAACTGCCCTTCTTAATCACGTCACGACTGCCGTATCAGATTAGGGGCCAAACACGTAGACGCCAGATTGAAGGAGGAAGGAGCTGCTTCTCGTCAACGCCTTCCTACCAAACGATTTCCTCGAATTTCCTCCTTTTCCACTAAAACTCGATCCTCACACTTCACCATTGACCATCTCAGTATTAATTCTTCACACGCCCGCCTTCTGTCTTCTTTGTGGAGGAATTTCCATGATCCTAATGGAGGTTTCTCCAGGTCGCCGATCCATCCAAAAAGCCCGCCATTATCGGCGCGGCAAGCGAGAACAGTCACCACCAACCTCTCCTCTAATCGCCCTATCTTCTGAGGACGAGCTGACGTTCTATACCAATACTAATTCCCACAAAGACAGCCAGACACCGCGTTCAAGAGGCCCCTCGCTTGCTAAGAGACGTCGTAGCAAACTGCCCAAGAGCTCATCTGCTCCTTCTCTCCCACAAGAAAACGTCACATCATGTTCAACACACGCCTACAAAATTCTAAATCGTCCCAAAACTCCAGAGGTATGTCCAGTATGCTGAACCATAATATTTCGTTGCTTGAATTGTACAAGACCAATAACTAACAAAGGATTTGACGTCTTATCATAGGCCCCTTCCTACCTGCGAGACGTCTACGATATCGAAGAAACTCCGAGTCCACAATCCGAACACTCTACCTACCTTTCAACGGATCACCATGAAATGACGAGCCTGTTTGGATCATCCGTGACAAAACGATCAGGTCCCAATTCAAATATGTCTTTGAAAACTGGGTGGACTCCAAATAGAAGGCCGGCTGCTGGCCACGCTTTTAGCACGGCGCTTGAGAGCGATGATTTCAGAACAGCTTCTTTCACAGAGTCAGAGATCTCAGCAGTCATTGCTGCCCTTGATTATGTCTTTTCTCGCACAACCGGAGATGAGGAAAAGGAGGTGTTAACAGGCTGCGTGAATTTGCTTTCGCGTAGAGCGATGCATTAAGGGCACATGAGTGGATGGGTCAAGCCGTCGATATGCTGAGATGTAATTTGCTGGAATGCCGTTGATTGGCTAATATTGTTCTGGTTAAGGTGAAAGGCCCATCTGACAGGACCAGAATCGGAGATATCATTCGCTTGCGTTTTTCGAGATTTTCTTTCGTGTAACCATCAATACCTTGCTGGATCCTCAGATACTTCGCATCTAAGAACAGCGTTCTTCAGCCTCAAGCTTTTCCAGACTCTCTGCAACGCAAACAACAGACTTGAATGGCTTTAATTTCCTCCTCGACTGTTCTTAGGGTCTCTTCAATTTGCGTCCAATGAAAAGACTCATCAGTGAAATCATGACTACTGTTATCAATTCCTGTAACCACCTACCAGCTGGAGCCTGCATCTGCCACGAAGTTCAAAGGAAATCCGAGATTCTGCTTCTATAAGCTTGGGCATCGACATTTATTAGCTATTCTTAGACTGAATCGTCGACAAATTTGGCCACTGGATCTTTCAGCGATGAAAACACAGCTCAAGTTACAAATCAGCAACATATGACAATGTCTAACTAAGAGACGACGCACCTCACTTCGTAGCCTACGGTAGGTACCTAAACAATGCTCGCTGAAGCCGGCGATGATAAACCGGTCAACCTCTTCCTCGGTCTTCGACAACAAAACATTCCCATGCGTAGTGTCTGGAACTTTGGTAGTAAGAGACTGCTAAGGTTATGTTGTTGACAGGCTCGAAACAAACCTTTTCTTCTGATAATATGAAGAGGATCTCTTGAATATTATGTAGTTCACCATTGCTTTAAGGAGCTGACTGTTCTAAGGCAAAAAGTTGGGCGCTAACCTTGAGAGGAATCTGGCCCCGCCGTTTGTGTCGGAAAGCAATAGGCAAAGCATCTATCGAATGCATAGTCCTGGATTATTACGCAATGTCAGCGTCTAGACAAACGTGTATTCATCTTACCCCGCACTTCTTATCTGCTTATCGACAATCCTTTTCTACCTGGCCGGTAAAGATCTCTTGTACCATGATATAATTGATTAATAGCAACTTTTCACTTTTCGATATCCTACCAGTTATCAATCGCCATGCTCTGCAACGTATGTAAGGATGGACTCGAAGGGATGTGGGACCCAAGTCGAACCAAGCGGCTTGCGCTACTAGAAGACTTCAAGGACAATGAAGGCGGCGACAACAATAGCAAGGCTTTAGGCTTGCTCGATGCCGGTCAGTATGAGCATCTTCCTCGATGGCACTGTCATAAGAGTGACAAGCAACTTCATATTGAACAAATGAACAGGGATAGAACATTCGAAGAGTCACGGAATTGACGAGTACGTCTACGGTCACCATAAAGATAAAGACTCCTTCCGGGCGTCGGTGCGAGAGGGATGCGCCATGTGCAATAGGTTCAGGTCCCCAGGTCTGAACCGTGAAAACCTCAAGTTACAGAGTCTCGGCTACTATTCGGTATTTTACGTGGAAATTCGAAAGAAGGGCGATGTGGACACACCACTTATGTTCGTTGAAGTGGGAATCTCGTCGGGAGGTTTTGACTTTGTGCCGTTTGGAGGTAAGACACATTTAGCACTCATGTTAATTTGTTTGTAGCCGTCGGGATAAGGTTGAAGGGACTAATCGTATGTGAGCACATTTTAGATCCGAAATTCGACCATAACATAAACTTCAACTTTGGGCGTTCTAACCATGATCACATGGCATGGTCCATCATGGACAATTGGATGAAGACGTGTTTCGAGTCTCATACCCAATGCAAACTTCCGGAGATATCACCTTCATATCGACCTACTCGTTTGATCAAGATAAATAGCCAAAGAACAGTCCGTCTTGTCCAGGGGGTCGAGTGTCCATCCATCATTCGATATGTAGCATTAAGCTATTGCTGGGGCAGTAAGCCTGTAGAGAACCTGCTACGCCTTCTGCAATCAACCTTGGAAGAGCTGAGCCGGGAGCAGCCAGTCGACATTCTTCCAAAGACTTTCAGAGATGCAATAGAAGTCGCTCAACATTTCGGAGTCAATTACATTTGGATTGATCGACTCTGCATCTTTCAAGACTCCCCTGAGGACTGGCAGAGAGAGGCTTCAACAATGCAAGACGTATATCGCAACGCTCTTTTCAGCATTGCCGCCACTGGGGCCAAAGACGACGAAGGCGGGTGCTTCTTTGAGCGAGATCCAGCAAAAGTGGCGCCGACGATTGTCCGCATCAAACTGACTGAAGACAGCGAGGAGAAAGCCTTTAGGTTTGGCCTTGAAAAGGCCTGGTCTTGGCGCCTTTCATTTAGGAACGAGCCTCTGGTTCAAAGATCTTGGGTAGTTCAGGAACGGCTTCTCGCGCCTCGAACCCTGCATTTCGGATCCAAGCAGGTGTTTTGGGAATGCCGCGAGGCGAGTTGCTGTGAGATGCACCCTCAAGGTGTTTTTAACTTTGAAAGCGTGTTCAATGGCGACGAGGGGATCGAAGAGGCGGACCCATGCCCAAAACACCCTTTCCTCTGGAAGCAGTTGCTCGACGCGCCGGATCGGATCGATGTTAGCGACCCGTATGAACAGCTCTTTTCCGACTGGAAATCGATTACCAATTACTACGTTGCTCGGAAACTGACGGTTGCCAGCGATAAGCTGGTTGCTCTCTCTGGATTGGCAAATGATATGAAGACTAGACTTAAGCAGCTGAGACCGGGGCCGCATCGTTATCTGGCCGGCCATTGGGAGGAGACATTGATGGATACAATCATGTGGAGCGTCGGTCGTGGCGAGGCCAGGCGAGCGTTGCAGTATCGAGCACCGTCGTGGTCTTGGGCATGCATGGACGGCGGTCTCGGCCTGATGGGAGGGTGCAGACAAGGGAATGGCGTTTCCTTCGCAACCATGGTCTCTGTGAAGACGGCACACTCCGGTAGTGAAGATACAGGAGAGGCCGTTGGGGACATATTGACACTGGCAGGTCCATGTGCTGTGGTCCAGATAGACGTCGAACAGTTCCAGCCTAGCGGTTACCCGAGGTATAAGACTGAGAAGTTTGTTCAGAGTATCGAGGATGACGAGGGAAACAGCCTGTATGAGAGAAATGAGACTGGAATCAAAATCTCCTTTGATACCTTGGAAGATTTTGTTGAGGAAGCTCTTTTAATGTGGATGTGTTCCCATATGTATTATGGCGGAAAATGGTATGGCCATGGCCTAGCACTCAGTCGTGTGGAGGAGGATAGGTATCGTAGGGTGGGATTGGTGCGTAGAAGATTTAATAACGAGAACGATGTGCGAAAATTCAGCATAGGATTCTCCCATAAACAGGTCGAGATCATATGAGCCAAGTAGAGGGCTCGGAGGTCACCATAGCTAGCCTTAGATATGAATTTGCTACCTGTCTCGAAATTACTTCATATTCCTCGGCTCGATTGTATTTGTGTCCCAGCTGTGATAAACTGTCTAAGTCTCATCCTGTCATATTAGAGAAAGGCTTTGGGCTTACCTTATCGACCGCGTCTTAGGAGATTGGCGTTGCCTATTTTATCAGCGGACTCCAATAAGGGGAAGACAATCCAGTTAGTACGTGTTGGTGCGGGTAAAAGTGGAGAGAAAATAAGCTGCGACATTAAAGAATCTCAGTAAGGCTCACGACTCTCAAGAACCAAGGTTGATGAACATGTCATCTCAACCAGTTAGGAAGCTATCGTAAGACTCTTGTACCATGAAAGAATCGAATCGCTGCTAACAAAACGTCGCATAGTTGTAAAAGATGCCAGTACCGCAAGGTGAATTCTGAACCGTCTTCAATCATATTACCCAACTAACTAACCTCACTCAGCTAAAATGCTCCCGCACCGAACCGTGCCAAAACTGCGTGACCGCAAAGCAGGCGTGTGAGTATCGGCAAGTTGATCGAAAGAAACGACCTGCTACTCAAAAATACGTGACGAGTCTTGAAAATCGTGTTGCTTGGCTCGAATCGTTCATTATGAATCTCAAGTCAGAGTCAGACCTGGAACGGGAAGCCATGTTAAGGAGTGTATCATTCGGAGATCACTTTGAGGCTAACGACGTTCCGGCGCTTAGCCAAGCAACCAACAGTGAAAGTAAACCAAGCAATCATAAAGGTGATAGTTCTGCTCATCTGCAGGTCGACCTCGAAGGCTCTCTCATTTACCATGGCGCGACTAGCATCTATCGAAGCGACGTGGTCAACCCTACAACTAGTGCTGTTTTGGACGATTTAAGCCTTCTTCCGTTAAGTTACTACACCTCTGACGCGAAATTTGAGCATGTCGCGGAGCACTTTGGCATTAATCTGCAAGACGAGTTGGTGGAGAATGCTCTCTTGCAATTCTTCAAATGGCAATACCCCCATTTCATGTTCATTTACCGCGAGGCCTTCTTGAGAGATCACTTTAGTGAGAGAGCCAATTGTAAATACTGGTCTTCAGCGCTGTTGCTGTCAATCTGTGCTTTGGGGACTTTGATGTCGCCAGAGCAACGTCATCGTCAGGCAAGCGAACAGTTTTTCTCCGCAGCAGAGAGTATTCTCATTGTCTCTGGGTTTACCAAGCCCTCAGTAGTCACTGTACAGGGCTTTTTATGCTTGGCCTTTTATGAAATTGGGCGGGGGAATCTGTCCAAGGGATGGGGGTTCTCAGGTAAGTTCCTGGCTTCTGAAAGGTCCTGCACGGGTAGACTTAGCACTGACCTTGTCGATCAGGAATTGCATTTCGAATGGCACAAGATTTGGGCATGCAGAGAGACCCTAAGCAATGGAAGTCACATGATGTCACCTTGGTAACAGAGGAAGACATGGAAATTCGAAGACGCATCTTTTGGGGATGCTACACTTCGGACAAGTTGATCAGTCTCATCCTCGGAAGACCTGTGCATCTTTCCCATGATGATGCGGAGGTCCAGACAGCCGAGAGACTTCCGTACGGCACCCACAAAGCCGCTTTAATCAATTAATAAGCTAACAGTCTAAAGAGATTTTCCAGAAATGAAGCCATGGTTGCCAGCCGGCTTCGACGACTGCAATAGCGGGCTTGGCGATGTCAATCCTCTCATACCTTGTTTCAAGGCACAAATCGGACTTTCGAAAATAATCGAAAACATGCTGTCAAAGTTGTTCTCAGCAAAAGCAAGCCTTAAGGGTCTTGGCCGGCAGACATGTCTGGACGATATCAACTTAGCACTGTGCAAGTGGTATGAAGAATTACCCAACTGCGTGAAATGGAATAGATGGGAGCCGACAAGCAATATTCTAATACCGAGTGTAGCGGCCTTGCAGTAAGTTGTATGCCAGCTCTGTTCATATAGGTACTTCACGCTAAGATGAACAACCAGTCTTCTATTTCAAAGCGCCCGTATTGCGCTTAACTACGATCAAGCAACGTCGAACCAATGCAGTGAAGAAACAGAGAGCGCTCGTAAATGCTGCATTTCGTCGGCAGAGGACATAACTTACATCATGCGAAAATATAGGAGCCAGTATGGGCTGAATCACAGCCCTTTGGTCATGGTCTATGGAGTGATGCAGGCGTGCAGAGCGCATACGGTTTTTGGCACGCACGATGAAGCTCAGTATCTTCTTCGTTCTTTAGACGAATGTTGTGCTGCATGGTGTTTAGCTCACCAAACAAGACTCAGACTGACACACGATGGAACCTAACAGCTATCATACCTCCAAGCATCTACACAGTGTAGTATCTAGTAAAAGGAAAGTTGCATTCGCTTCGCTGTTTTCTTTTGCCCAGAAATAAACCAAACTTGTTTAACGATCGGTGCAATTGGTGTACTTTTATGAAATTGGATATCTGGTGTCTTGTCTCATATTGTGGTATACATCTACGATGATGCATGTCAATGATTACCCAGCCATCAATTGTCTAGAGCAACGTCGATGCTATCGATACAAAATACCAGTAGTTCGTATTGGAGACCACGCGAATTCAATGTTGGGCCGAACCTCAAAGATCAGATAACGTCCCACACCCACTTCTGGGCACCCCCCACATTTGGGCACCCCATTTACACCAAAAACGCCGTTTTTCGAAATTCTATATTAAACTAACTACTATACTTACTAAGAAAAGAAAATATATATAAACTATGTTAAGTATAATTATAGCCATCTAATTTTTTATAAAGGTTTAAATATAATAATAGTTATAATATAGAAGTTTAAAACTAAAAGCTTTAAAATGTTAGTAGATACTAGTAACTTACTAGTATTCCTTAACATTAGAAAAATATATTTTCGCTTATATATACTTATTTAAAAAATCTAGGAAATTAATATTTATACTTATTAAAAGTATATAATTATATCTAAAAGAGATTTAAAAGTATTACTTTAGTAAATATAGTATAATTAAGGGTTAAAATTCTATAATAGAAACTTTTCTTAAGGGAAATTTTAAAATATTATTCTAAGCTTAAAGAATTTTTTACTAAGTATAAGAATATATAAATCTACTATATCTTACTTAAAAATTCTAATCATATTAGTTAAATATCTCTACCTATTTTATATATTAAGATATAGGCTAGGTAAATTAGTATTATAAATGTTAAACCTTGAATTTATAATACTTATTATTAATAATACTAGTATATAGCTACTTAAGTATTATAATTAAGTCTTAATCTATTTAACATATATTTATTCTCTTTAATAAGTAAAGTATTTAGTTTAATATAGAATTTCGAAAAACGGCGTTTTTGGTGTAAATGGGGTGCCCAAATGTGGGGGGTGCCCAGAAGTGGGTGTGGGACGTTAGTAGTGAAATGAGTGAATATTTTGCATTAGACTCTGACGTTGGGAAACAGCGACCATCCTTTCTAATACTCCTAAAATCTGGAAACCAACTAGATTGGCAGTCCTGATTCAATACCGGATTTTAACACAACTGCGAGCTTCCTTACATCCTCGAAGTTGTTAAAAAAACCAAAAGACACCCTGACTCCTAAGCGGTACATTGTCACAAGTATTTGGTTCTCCTTAAGCAGCTCCATCCATCGTGGGTCATGAAGGTCTAGAACGTAGAGATGAGGGGCATGCTCTGTCCGACTGACTGGCCCCACAATCTTGACACCGAGGCTATCGCATTCCTCACGCAAGACATCTCCAAGTCTGTACAGGTGCTCTTGAACACGCTTTGGGCCCATGGAATTGAGATAGAAGTTCAGAAATGCCTTCGCTGACGTAGCAGCAATTAAGTTGAGGTTCAAGTGCTCGTACCTACGGGCGGTGGGATGGTAAATGAGAGGTTCGTCTGGGACCAAGAGGTCGGCGCGGACGTTGCTGACGGCTCCATACCCAACAATGGGGGGAGTAGGATCTGTTTCCATAATCACCGCTGGGTCGACGTAAAGAACTGCGAAACCCACAGGGCAGTTGAGGCCTTTGTGAAGGCTGAAAGCTGCTGCCGATACGCCTAACGACTTGACATCGACTTCTGCGAAGCCGACTTGCTGCGTCAAGTCGGCGAGAACATGAATACCATGGGGTCTATATGTCTTGCAGATGTCGGCAACATCGTTCCACTGGCCGCTGTGGAACATAACAGAACTGATGCCAATCGCACGGGTGCGCTTGTCAACATACGGAAGAAACGTCGACGCGTTCGCAGCAGTGACCCTTCCTGTCCTTTCAGACTCCGGTATCGTAGGTATTTGTCTGACTTCAAGGCCAGCTGTACGCAAAGCCATCCAGCCGTAGGCATGGTTAGGGTGCTCTGAGTCCAGGATGACAACGTTGTCGCCTGGCTCAAACTTAAGGCCACGAATGAAACAGCCCAAGGCTTCGGTCGTGTCACGTGTAAAGGCGATTGAAGAAGTATCGGCATTGATATAGCGGCCAACAAGTTCCCGGGTTTCCTCAACAGCATGTTGCCAGGACGGTTTGGGATGAGGGTCGAAAAGGGCTTCGGAGGCATACTTGTTGATGGCGCTGTAGACTATGAGGTTGGAGGGTGGTTGATAGGAGGCATTGAGGTATGTAACCTTGTTGTCCGCAACGAGAGGAACAAAGGATCGAAAAGTAGAGAAATCAGCCTCAGTGGTTTCAGTTGACGCGGGGACATTGCCTGGTTGGTCCTGGACGGCACTGTGTGACATATTGAGGGAATTGGATAGAGTAAAAGAGTAACGTCTTGGGGATTAAGAGCTTGGTGAGTATCTTTGTCCTCTGATTCATGAGAAAGGGGAATCCTTACTTTTATCACTTTACTTATCCTTATGCCGGATGAATGAATCCAGTAATACGTCGGTATAACCAATATTGAACCGTGACTATGTAAGAGCATTCTCCGCGACATGTCATGCAATCCTATAAGTTGTTAATAATGGAGGCCGAAGTCCGTTCTTAGTGCTAGTTACGTAGCAGTCTGACGAAGAGAATCACAAAATAAGCCAATCGGAAATATCTTATCTAATAGAAATGGTTTTCCTTGTATGGCTTAAAGGGCCTGTCTGAAAAGATCTTATTCGACAATTTGGGATAACTCAATGTAAGGATAGCTAATCGGCTACTAATAACAGATGCTAAATACGGACTTTGACCTCCATTTGTGGGTCTGAGGTGATAAGAAACGCTTTTCCCTGCAGTGCATAACCCCTCCATGTCTATGCCGTGTTCCAACGACATGCTGATCGGCGGCACCAAAAAGGACATAAGAGTGCCAGAAATTTCTTAAAATCTTTTGTCATTATAAGGGCCAATTCAGTCTTACGGGGAATAGTTCGTTTTATTCGTTACAGTTCCAGCACCGTTTCATAATGGCGGGTATTTTCATGTGAACTCCCCCGATAATGAAGTTGTTGCGCGGAAATAATAAGCTAAATGCTGACAGGTTACAATGCATTTACCCCCAACTTCGTAATTTATACTCACATTGACTCTTCCATTGGGGTTATAACTTACGCGTCAAAGGTTTTAGGTCTTAATCTACATAGTATGTCAATTCCGAGATTGTGGGCCTTGACACCTGTAATGATTCGGTGTGACAGCAGACATTACTAACCATTGAGCCAAACGGCCCAACTATGCTTATGCTACTCGAAAAAGGTGCGTAACTACAAACTGCGTGCTTGTGGCTCTGCCATACTTAAGTAGGTGGTATTAATTCTTGGACACAGCTCATGCCATATAACCGTGGCACAGCCCGTAACAACACCGTAGACTTCTCTACCAAAAAGCTTGAGGATGACGAGGTCAGATAAGGAAGGCAAAGAATGCTCATGCAAATGAATTGTGGGCAAGAACCGGCACAGAACGCTCAGAATGGGAAAAGTGGTGTTGTTGGTGGAAGAACTAACTAACTGGCTAGAGGGCTGTGGAGGCTGGCTAAGACCAGTGGTGGCGGCCGTCAGCCCACGTGACGGGCCGGCGAGGCCTGCCACCCACATGAATGATGTACATTTGCAGCGTCATACTCGACGTCTTTGTTATTACTCCATACTTAAAATGCTAATCGTCACATGTATCTTCAGTAAGTGTAATAAAAGCTTTGATACTCTGTGTTTGATGTGGTCATAGATGTAAATTAAGGACTCTCTTACAGCCGCTTATCTATAATGCATCTCTATTATAAGGCCTGGAGAGATCCAAGCTCAGTTTCATCGTGCAGCCTTTACATAGATGAGTATGTGTAGCACAATGGCCCAGCCTGAGTGTCCATGTAGTCCTTCACAATGGGCTCAGTGTCAGCAAGTTCCAGCACAGGCATCGTATCCGTGAGCGAGGCAGGAATAGTCTTATTGCGATCCTGGAAGCCGGTGTAATCAGCCAGACGCGTAGCATTGCGCCCTTGCCACTATAACGGTATTAGTATTGCATAACTCATCTTGAAAATTGGGGATATAAAATAGTACCTTAGCCCAAGCACGATCAACGTTGCCATGGTGCAAGAAGAAGAGGGGCTCATTGGGAGAAGTAGCTGGGCCCATATCGCCAAAAATGCAGCTGTGGACTATTGAGATGTTAGTATAATTCGGTGGCCTTGAACAAAATGAAGAAAACACATACTCTGTGCATGCGGAAGACCCTCGAGCATATTGACCATTTCATTGAAATTGTCGAAGGCATAAATGGCGTTCATGACTGCCGAATTATACGCTCCCATCTGCATGTCACCTATAATCATGTCGCCGTTCTCGTCTGTGAAACCTCCATTGTTGAACTCGCGCGTGAAGCAATGCTCACGGTTTCCAGGTTCGTTCATGTCGGGCCATCCCATAGCCAACGTGAGGTTTGTGTTGGCAAAGGGGCCGTCGACCACGCAGCGCTGGAAACCCGGCACGTTGCTGTTGGTACGCTGACCGTTGCCGCCGAAACCAGTGACTGGGTCGAAGAGAGGCGAGTTAGGCATGTTGTTCGCGTCGGCGTCGATGGACCAGTCCCAATACGGCTGGACGCCGGTGAAACCACATTCATCCCGCAGCAAGTTCTCGTGCAACTGCACATACCAGCGGTGCCAGGGGAGGAAGTTGGCAACGAAATGGATCTCTTCGTTGAGAGCAAAGTGAGTGTACACAAAGTCGTCCATTCGCGTTTTGACGGCGTCGATGGTAGCGTACTTCGACTTGGGCAGCTTGCGAACACAGACGGCAGCGCGGAGATATTCAGCCTTTTCGGCGTCAGTAAGCTCGCGCCACTCCTTGCGGACAGCTGGCTCTGTGCAAACGCCATCCGCGCGTGGAATAGCGCTCGCGGTGGCCGCCGCTGCGAAAGAGGCTGCGAAGAGAGCTGATCTGAAAAGCATCTTGTTGAAGGCTGGGTGTAAACGAGTGACAAAAAGCTGACCTTGGGTTAAAGGGTCACTAGTAGAAACAAACTTCTCCGAGGGTTGGTAACTGAGTGTAGAACCTACAAACAACAAGCCTCCTCTTCGTAATGGTAAAGTCCTCACATATATGTGTTTCACTGTGGGACTTCTGACTTCATAATGGGCCCTCCGACGCCCTTTTCTTAACTATACTCGAGACTGTCAGTAGCATTGGCATTGAAAACAACGGAGGCAATAACTTTTACGGTCGTGTCCCGTGTCAGCCCTAGTGAATCTCTTCGTATCTGGCAACGGTTTCTCCACACTCAAGATACACTGTCCTTGCTAGTGCCGGAACTATCCCCACATGTTAAGATCGGCACTCTACACGTGGGTAATGTAGGTTAAATTTAGGCTCGTATTGTCATCTTGGCATGTTCGTGTCTGCTAGTGTAGTATATTTTACTGGAGGAAAGCAGTTATACGATGAGTCTCTTGTCGTACAGCGAGCGTAAATTAGTCCTGTTGCGAAGGGTGAGTGAGGGAGCTTGCTGTGGCGCATATCCTTATTCTGTGGCGCGGCTGGGCCTGTTCGGATGTTTTCGCCTGTGCTGCATATCAATCATATCCCTGCCTCACCCAATGGACATTCCAGAAGCCGAAAATTTCGGTTAGTGCTCTCCCACTTTTTCTGTGGCTGAGAACATTTGGGACGCGACCATGGTTTAGCCAGGTAAACGAAATGAGGTAAAGGGTATAAAATCACAATATAATAGATCAACCGAGGTAAAATAGATTGCTTTTGTCAGCCCCTATTAAGCGCTTTGCACGCATTTTCTACTAATCTGAAATTCAGTAAGTGAACTTATCTTCTTGACCATTAATTGACTACAAACATGTTTTATCCCCGAAGCTGTTGCCAAAATTATCTCCCAAGCCACTACTCCCAAGATATTCTGCGATTACCTATGCTGTTACTTGACTTGAATTATACAATCTTATTCTAGCCATGTAAAACAAGTGACATGTTGGAAAAGCTTTGCATGCATTGCGACTGGCGATTCTGAAAATTGAAAGTGACTTGGCTTCCTCCTCATCAAGCTGTTCTGCTTCAGAAGCACAGACCTTGGTGGAAATGATGGCGTTTATTGGAGAGATGTAGGATGAAAAACAACCCCCCGGGCGCATTGTAAATGCCGTAAGCAGTTGTTTTGGCCTACTTCATTCTGTCCTATTGAGGCCCGCTTGGCTACAGGTATATTATCATCAAGAGAACTAGCAAGTCAGAGGATACCCGAGACCTGTTATAACCATCCAAATGATCTTGAGAAAAGTACGTATTATGTTTGCAGATTCTGAATATGATGTGTACCTGCGGATATCGGAGCTACAAGAACGCAGCTAGAGAGAGACATAAGATGGACAACGTATAGCCATGTATCCTTGATATGAGGCAAGAAAGGTGAGCGAAAATTGGAGAATATGTATTTGTAGCCAACCGGACCTCGATGGGATACGTATTCACAAGTACGAAAATAACAGAAAGCAGATTTCACGTTAAGTTGCCCGATAAGTACAAGCTAAGTCGAGCCAAGTCTCAGCTGCTCCGATCGTTACATGGGTATTGTTAACCTTCACAATACATATCTCTCCACTCTATACATCAAATGATTTAAAGTTATGTGTCCTTCTCGATACTAGGTAGGCATTGTCCCATTTCTGAAAGGGATGGAATACAAGAACGCAACATTGAAGCGATAAGTTTGTTATGCGAAACAGGCATCGCATATTTGAAAGACTGAGTTTTCATTAGCTTTTTTAAGACTGAGCCGCCCTTTGGTGAAACAACGTATAATGGTTGGTTTGAGATGTAGTATTCGCATGTCATTATCCCAGCACCATTACCTGATGACTTGCGCACCGCGCAATTGTACTTCAAGTATAGTGGACTGAGCTTGTACTCTCAAATTACATATTTCATCTCCGCCATGTTCATCCCAGCATAGCTTATCCCACAACAAGCTTTACCGTAAGATTCATCACATTTCGGCTCTAGCGGATCTAGTTGCCCTTTTTGCCCTTGTTGCTCTTGCCACCGTTAAGAGCCTGTCATATGTTAGCTTTTATTTGTCTGGCCAAAAGATCACCGACCACACTTACAGCCTTCTTGTTGCCCTCGTTCACCTTGATGCCCTTATCAAACTCACCCTGAAGGGTTTTGAGGGTTTTCTTATCGGACGCAGAGTTGTTGCCTTTCAAGCTCTTGGCTTGCTTCTCCTCTGTAGCCTGCGCACCTTGGACCTGAAAGAACAACATTAATATCTTGCCCGTCCAGTGCCCAGGTTGGTTCACAGGCTTGTACTCACCTTCTTCAGACCATCAGTGAGCTGCTTGTTGCTCTTGTCGGCTTTCGCTTGATTCTGCTCGCGGACTTTCTCGCCGGATTTGACGGTGCCGACGAGCTTGCCCTTGGCCTTGTCAAAGTTCTTAGTCCCCTCGGCCTTTGCCACGTTCTTGGCGTCCTGCTTCTCCTGCTTTTGAATAGCAATGTTTTTATCGATGCCAGCGGCCTCAGCCTTGGCATTCTTCTTTCCGCCTGTGTTGGTACTCCCCTTTTTGTTACTGGCTCGCTCAACGAGGGCTTCCACAGGTGCCGGCGTAGGCAGAGCGACAACGAAGGTGAACAAGAGGAAAAATGAGAGAAATAGCTGAGTATAACGCATTTTGGCGAAGCTTTTGTGATAGAAAAAAAATAAGTTAAGTGAATGAGGAGATTGTAGCTGTTACTAGTATTATTCGATGACTTGAAAGGAAGATGATCTGCTGAGAGAAGAGATTCGGGTGTCTATGGGTCACTTATATAGCTGTTATTTCGACTCCGGCCAGACATGTGCATCTCAAGTTCATCATCTCAAACAGTTGGGCACATGCCCTTCATCCGCGGGATTCCGAAGTCACTAACAGCCTCACTCAACAGAAACGCAACCCTTACAGCTTCCAGCCGTGATACTTTCGGGAATAGTTTCGCGTTGGCGAGAAAAAAATAAAGCTTCCGATGTGTTGTCTACGACTGCTATGATGCGCGCATCGCCGCGTCTCGTCTGAAGTTGAAAATCGATTGACAAGTGACAAGCTTTTGGGTGGAGTCAAGACGAAGAAAGTTTAGCCGCATTGATATCTTGGGTTCAATCTTTGCGTTTCGTCTCAGTGTTGTTGCTCCTGAAGAGAAGCGGGGGAGGGGTTGTCTAGGATGCATATCTTTTCTCAATCCATCCTAACCACAAATCCCATGTCGCGAAGTCTTGGTGTGTCTACTCCAGGATGGTCATGGCTAATGTGTCTCGAAAGTTGGTGTGATGACTTCGAGCACTACAGAAGATCGCCAGCATCCTATGAGAAGAACGATTGCCCTTGGCATGGATCACACGGGCGTGTTCCATTGGGCTGGATCTGGCTTGCAGGGCAGGATTTGTCGTCTCACGTTGGGTTTCTTACACTCAGGCATGAGGCCTTTTTTCATGTTTGCCGAATTCGACGTGCTTCAAGATCATCGTCACGAACACGCTTTTGCCCGTCGGCTTTAAGCGCTTTTGTGACATGACTCGTCAGAACGGCCAGTCGCTGTCACATATGTCCGCCGGCCGTGTGTGCAGGTTTCAATGTCAGCTATGGCAAATCTGTCGATCGCTCCATCAACCGTTACCCACTTCAAGTAATTTTGTTTGATATCTTGGCAAGATTATTTAATAAATTAAGGTTCTGATATATATCATACGTTCTACAACAATTGTTCGGTATAGTGCTATTCATCTTGAACAACGCAAGGTCAGAGGAAACAGAATGGTTGGAACACTGATGATGGCCATAACGGCTGAGCAGGTTGACAATGCCATTCAAGTTCAATACAAACCGATTCTGTCGCGTTTCACTCCCAATCCTTCATAGAGTTTGACTCACACTTCACCGCCCGGTCGAGTTCTCCAACACGTGCAATGACCACCCTCGGCAGATTGTGTAGAGTTGGAATGGCTTCAAAGAGAAGAATGTCTGGGGACTAGTATCATTCAAGCTTAGCCTACTAAATCATTACGTCTCAAGCTCGCCGGTTTACCGATTCATAAGCTTGGATGAACTCTCCGTAGAAAGGGTGACCCTGTTCGATATGGGACCTCCGCTTCGTCTTCGTGTTGCTGATGTCCCCGCAAGAGCTGGAGAAAAAGAGAATTTAAGCTTCGGTGACATAATTTGCTCAAACCTCCTGACTAGTGCCGAAATCATTAAGCTTCTCTTTCATCATTGTTTTAGCCTTGTCGTAGAACTGAGTTTCCGGGAAGCTCATTCCACATCAAGGTCTTGCAAAATAACGATTGGGGTGGAATGCAGGTACGATGTTGAGTCTCTGGTAGTTTAATCAGGGGACCCCTTGGGTGGTCCACTGATCATCGTCTGAAAGTCGTTCTCGGGTCATCCACCATGAGATCTTCGTCGTCCAAACAATCTCGCCAACAGATCCGTCGCCAAGCTGCCACCGTTACACCCTTCAATACAACCGTCGAACGTCCTCCGAGCGGTCGTTTTCATAACGAGTCACACAACCCAGTGCATTGTTCCTACAATGCATGTCATGACTAAAGTGCTTCATCAAGTGATTATCTGGCCTGTTTATCGTGGCTAACACCAGCCTGGTCACAAAAAAGGCAGCACTCTCATAACTTCTAGCGTGATTCAAGCGCACATTCAAAGTCGAGGACAGCCCTGGTACTAGCCAGAGGCTATTCTTAATGTTGTGTCTCAGCACAACGGCAAAGCGACTTTCCGCGTCTGTCTAATGCTCAACTTTGTAAAGACAACAACACAGATTGAATTTGAGGCTACATGCAAATCAACTTGCCGCTTTCGACATGACGCGCGGCCGGGAATCCGGCAATCTGGGCCGCACAATTGAGCCTAGGCCGTCTCTATCATCTGCAGGCTGCAGCCAGAAAATTTCTTGAGCCCCCCATCGGAGACAATATCCAAATTTGAATCATAGCGGTTAATCTCAATAATTCGTGTTGGAGATGGCCCTTAGAGTTCTTTCTTTGCTACGGTAGTAAGAAGCCCGACTGCATATTATGTGTTCAGATTTTGTCGGAGGCAGCTCAATGAGGAAGCGTCCCTAGATTTCTGCGAATCTGATTGGTACTGGTAGTGCCCTGAGGAGGCCCTTCTTAGCGTTAAACCACACTACAAGCTCTTCAAATTGATAGTATTGTAACCAGGCAAATTAGGCTTTTTGACTGCACGTTGCCGGAGGCGTCAGAACGTTTTTCGTTTATGTATCTAGATACTGTAAATTGTGGCTCACCCGGCTTGGCGTTCCACTTTTGCTATTCTCGGGAGTCCGTGATATGACCGCTCCCGCAACCTTGGCAGGTGTCCGTGAACTTATTACAGTAGAGGCTTTAAACCCACGGCTGTTGCCAGCAAATTAATATGCTTATTCTGACTTGGGCAAGGGGAATGATAATGGTCGGTGATAAATTTCAATAGGCATAAGTGTTGCATCTGACAAAGTCTAGAGTCTTTGAGCATAGCATAATGCTTCATTTGGCGCCTTTGTTGGAGGCTAAATATATGCGTGGTGAAGCCTTTGGTACGTTGGAGTTGGTGAGTGCGTAGATGGCAGCCTGGTAAGATACACCTTAAGCTGCGAGCCTTTCCAGTTCATGACTTGGTCGCTTGCGATTGATAGCGATACTCATTCCAAAATGATAGACCACCTATTTTGTCAAGTTGAGCCTGGCATGACACACTGGCTTCCGATGAGCATGGATACAAGCCGCACAGATACATTAGTCGCAAAATTTCCCTTCAACAGCCAAAACATATAACTCAGCCTTGACTTTCGTTACTTGGCTTACGAACACATCGAGGGGACATTCAGTGAGCAAGTATTGGCGGGGAAAAAAGCACCAAAGAGTCCAGGGATAGGAACTTGGATTACAGAACTTTTATTGCCTCAGCCGAAAGTGTGTTGCTTTCGAGGACCCGAGCTGGAGCGGGATGCCGAGTTGTTGGTTTAAATTTCAACATGCCTGATCTCATGCGAACTTATTGTCAAGGATGAAGGTTATTCTTAGGCAAGCAAGTGATAATGCCTGATATCATTGTAACAGGTGCTTCACTCTCGGTGGCCAGAGGTCATATGCCAAAGCAAATCGGTTGCGGCCTGGTTTGAGTGGGTTATACTTTTTCCAAGTTTCCCGCCATGCCAGGGTTGGCGGAGCCAATGGTGAGTGACAGGACAGGTGTACCAGAAACCAGAGTGAGATCGAAGATTTCAATCAACGGACTGCCACAGATATTGCATGTGAAGCGTCGTCCAATGATCTGACGTCGTCGCGTGCGTAGGTGGGGGAGATTTTCCCCGTGAGTATATATCACAACTCAATCTTTTTATTGACTTTTGCGGGGTAATCAAAATGACGATCTGGGCTGAGTCAAAACCCACCAATAATCAAGCCATGGGGAAGCTTCATGATTTTAAAAGAGGTTGTGTAATGATTGGATTGTGAACACCAGAATGAGTCAATATTGCTATGACTGTTAAGGTTCAGGATGAAAACGATTTTAAACGTTTTTAGATACCTTACATTACCTGATAGTGGTTTTCCGCATTGTTGTTATGGCCGACTAAGTACGGAAAGCATTGAAAGTGTGGAGAATAAGTAAAGAACCTCGGGCCAAGTAGAGTCATTATGCGGAGACAAAACAGCTGACTAAACTGATCTCGATTAAGTTATCAGTCGAAAGGAATAGTGCACGACTTGGCGATTCTGGTTTGTGCAACCTGATACCAAGCCAACACCATCTCTTGTGCGGCTCACCGCCTTGTTGTGGAGGTACAATTAAAAGGGACCATTGGAACCAAGCAGAAAAAGAGGTCTTTGGACTCAACAAAAGCACGAATGTGTTTGCATAAGGGTTTCCAATATAGCTTCCAGAGTGTGATTGCCATTCACCTAGGTGTTTTCAACCCTAAAAATGATTGGTGTCGGTCGCTGTCGACTGCTCTATGTCTATGAAATATTTCGTGTGGGAAACCGGACAGGCTACGTATCACTACCGCCCATATTGAACCAAATCATAGCTTGAGTTCAGAAAGTGAAGGAAATACCGGAACAAGAAAATGTGATATTTAAAAGCCACCGATCAGAAAAGCATGCCTCTATCTGCGCTCTGGGTACAAAATTCCAGGCTCCAGATATCAAGAGAATGTCAACAGCCAGCAACACTGTTCATGTTCAAATATTTCAACAATTTGAAGTCTAAATGAGAAAGGTGGCAAAGTCACAACCCTAACGTAGATTAACACGAACAATACTCGTGGCTAAGTATCGGAACTACTTAATCAACGGAGAAAGGAAGATGAACTGAGCCTGTAGGCGAAAAAATGCTCGGCATCAGAGCAAGCCGTTTAGCCAACATATAAAAAGCCATCAGTCTCAGTGAACGTCGACTCATTATTCTGATAAGATGATCCAACATAAGGGCCATGACTAGAGCTGAGATAATTGTAATGAAAACAGGAAGAAAATGCATCTCATCTTAAGCTAAAGCTTCATGATACGGAAATCGTCGTGATGGCTTCAGACCTCTGGACCCACTTTGCCGCGTCTCCGCCGCGAGTACACTGACGACCTCGCTCTTCAGATGAGAGAACATTTGTTAGGCTTCCATTGGAAGGAAGGAAGGGAAAGAGAGAAACAGAATTTTCGTCAAAGCCATATCTCAAGTTTGAGCCCTGAATTTTGGAACTTTCCTCAAGCACAACCAGAATAGATGTGAGCCCAACAATTGAGCTGTAAACCGTCAAAGTCTTTGCCTTGGGATTTCAACTTACCACCTGAGCACCGTTTAAGAGAATCGAACCTCTGCTGGATGCACCCTCTTTTGAAAAACCGCCCTATACGACGACCATTCTCGTTATTGTTCTTTCCCCACACATCATTATCAACAGTCCACCACGAACTTTCGAGCACCGGAAGAGTCTCAACAGCGAGGTAGCTCTCCTTCCTCGCTACACATCATTAACAGAACACCAAGCTGGAGGCATATTGCAACAGGAAGTCTTGGAGCCACATAAAGGCATGCCCAAGCCGCTCCTTCCGATAACACCACAATTTACAGGCAGTACGGTTGGCAAGAAAGTGTGAGGTGGCTCACAATTGAATCTGGAATTCCAAAACTTCAAACTTTGGCTTAATCATTCTCACCATCAATCGACTGAATCCGATGTCATCATGAGAAGCTCCAAGAATAGTCAAAAGATCAAAGAGGAAGATAATGCCTCAAATGAAAAGAGAGCAGCATCCTCGACCGCCAACCCATCCGGCACGATCCTCAGGCACCGAAGAAAAAGAATGAAGCGCAAAAGTCGTAGCAACCATCAGCACGACTCCGAGTCTGAGCAGATTCGTGACGAGTTTGAATTCCGAGTTGCATATTCGAGCACTGAGTTCCGCTGGCTAGACGAATCTGACGCCCAGATCTCAATCCCTGAATCAGTCTGGGAGTTTTGGGAGGCCATCGGCGGCCGAGCGCGTCACGCCAGGAATCGCAGTGAACCATTAAGAATCCGATCAATGCAGCCTTCATGAGATAGGAGCGGGAAATTCAGCTTTACGTTCAAGGTCGATATGCTAGGAGAGCGTGTGCCGCGCATCCTTCACCCAACGCAGCTGAGCAAAATAATGCAGGAGAGATTTTGGGTGGGCATTGAGGCCAGTACTAGGATGGATCGCGTTTCGGTCTTGCTTAATCTGAAGGAAAAGGCATATAAACAGCTAAGGGACCGACACCACAGGCAGGCGACCGGGTCTTGGATTCATCAGCGTTCCAACAACGCTGTACTACTACCGAATCGACCCAGTCAGGATCGTTGCATGAATTCTGCAGCCCAGGTAGTTATCAAGGTCGAATCAGACGAGGAGCTGAGCACTGCCGAGTCTCAAATAAAACTAGAGTTCACAGAGCAGGTCAAACCGTGGCAACATAACGCCTTTTGTCTTCCCATTGAATCCGACGGACGACAGGGTCAAGATGCGGCTATTTAAGATTGTGATTGATATTCGTCCGAACCTACACATCTGGCTAGCTCCATTGGCAGGGACTGAAAGAGCCTCCGACGGTAAGATATGATACCTCTATTTTCAAGACGCCTGCAGTCCTGGCTTCGCGTTCGGTATGGATATGCCACTAACACGTCTGTACAGAAGATCCATGTAATATATCAAGCGTCGAAAAGACAATCTCCAGCTGGATTTCAGCTTTTGGGCTTCACTAAACAATATACTAGCTTATAATGCCCGAATTCTATGGGCTTTCGGAAGAAGAGTTGAGCCGCCAGCTTCGCCAGGAGACAAAGGCTGAAAGTAAATTTGCTTCGTACCAAAGTTCTACAGCAATGGATCAAATGGCCCAAGTTCCAGGTCATTCAGCCAATTTGCAATATGGGCGGCTTTTACACCAGCTCAGCACTGACTGAACGGGTGAACTCCCGGGCAGTAGCGTTATTCAGCACATACAATGTTGTAACTTATGAACAAATAACAACTGTTGCTTGATTTCATTTGTTGCCAATCCTTTTCCGGAACTTTCATGGGTGCACATATCTTGGTAAGACTGACCCGTGAAAGTCCTCCAATAGAGAATTACTTGTCCATATCAGGTACTGAAGTGGTTTCTCCACGACGGCGACAAGAACGTCTAATGAATGATTTGAATCATCTCCCCTCAGCTCAACTTAGGTGAATTAGAGAAAAAGGGTCGTCATACCTTTGGGTGAGTATTTGAGAGAATAAATGAAGATGACACACTCAGTATAGATGCATGGAATGGCGTGACGCATTGTCGTCATCTACAATCGTGTTTCCTCAGGCACTGACTCAACTTGGTCAACCAGCTACGGACGACAGTGTGGGCAAGAATCTGCCAATCAATAAATGCATTCCACGCAAGATATTCAGCTACTTGGCTGTACCGTTTATGTAAAGGTCATGATATGAAAGAAAAGTTTATTCTATTCATTGCGCCGGAAGCTATTGAATTAAAACGATCCATCTTGATGGTATGTTTCATAACAAATCGGCTGCACAAGTAAGGCAGGCAGTTCAGATATGTTGTCCAATACTCTGTGCCTAGTAATAAACAACCAAGTCTGTGTGTTTCACCCTCTATCGCCTATACGTCAGTCTCTAATATGGGATGCTTCGGGCGACAATTTTCTTACATGTGCATGACTATCTAGTCTCGGTCGACCACTAGGTCATCTCGGTTTAAAATGGGCACGACCAAAGGTTAGCCTTCATATACATGACATCGTCGCACTCAAGGAAGCCGCCTTTGAGCTTTGTTCCAGCTCGTTCTCTCGTTCGGGCTGACGTGGTGTATTTGCCGCAGGCCATTTTGGTGTCGCCGCCAAATGTACAAGTGCCAACCTGGTGTGTGTAACTGGCGCCTCCAGCAACACCCATCTCGGTTATTCGGCCATTCTTGGCGTCCAAGGCCCAGGCAATGTCACCTGCCGAGATGGGTTGTCTATCGGGACAGCAGTAAGACGTAAAGTCTGCAGAAGCGGCAGAGATTATGGAAGCGAGAATGAGAGTGGCGAAATGCATTTTGATGGTTAAAGAAAGTGATTGAATAAAGAAGTCTTGATGGTGAGCTGGAACGAGGGAATAAAACGGTTCACACAAAGTCGGGCATCTTTTATTATATCACCCGCTCCAACCGTATCCATAATTTGAGCAGACAAATTTCATTAAGATTCTCGGAATAGGCTTCTCAAACCATTTCTCCTTTATTTGATTAACCTCAATACCAGTGAATTGTGGCTCTAGATCCCCAGCGTGACCCAGATTTATTGTCAGGTTGCCATGGGACAAATGATTCCCAGTAAGTTGAATTAGCTGTGGGCAAATAAGCTTTGCTAGTAAGCTTCATGTTGTCTATTTGCCTTTTTCCTCATGAGACAAACTGAGTTGACGGAAAGACGAAATGCCTGATCAATCGGAAAAGAGCAATAAATTAAATTAGTGGGTCACTCGAGCCGGAATACCCGTCTACTCGATTCATTGGGGATGTAACGAAGCGTTGCTGTTGAACCCTGTGCCACATCGAGTCAGACGCGATGGTCATAGCGAGGGGTTGCCAGATTGTTACCGTGATCATTTGCTAGGGAGAAATTTGTCAATGATAATCTGTGGAAGATGAGGTCTTTTAGTCAAGCCCCTCACAGTCTAGTTTGACGGATTTATTTGGGTTTATTGAGAGTTTGTAGGAAAGAGGACATAATGCTTGGGGAGTTTAATTCGTCGTAGATCATAGAATTCGGTTTCCCATAAACTACTAGTTAGCTGAATTTCCAAAGCCCGTGTTGCGGGGTGGGCTGTACACGTCGTGCGCCCTGTTCCAGGCCGGCCTGTTCTCACCATTTATGTGGAGAGATCAACGCTGAATCCTACAGGATGTCACTCTCAACGACCAAGTTTTGTCTTACCGAAACTCAGATCGTGTATGATCTGCTGTAATTTAAACTGCTAACATAACTCTAAGCGGGCCTTGCTGGGTGTTTTACTATGACGGCGCAAGATTGTGCTTCTGGCCTGTTGTCATAATCGCATTTGTTAGCCATTGCCCCAGGAATTCCCTTTTACGCATGATATTCAGGAGTGCGACGTTGTTAACCAAGGCATCCTTGTTCTGGTTAGTTACGAATGCGCACTGACCAGTGGTATTTCCACCTTTGTGACAATGATTAGCTGCTGCGCTTCATACTAGATGCGATCGGGCAAGTATTTGGCTCCGTTAGCCGTAACAAAATGCTTGTAGTATATTTCCAACAGGCTAAGCCGGCGACGACCGAACACATGGTACGGAGCATTTTGTGGTTCGTGTCCAGTGGGACTGGACTACCGAGTCATTTAGCTTAAAATTGATTACCACATTATTGCGGTACGCTTCGACAAGGCTAACTGGACTTTGGTTATCCAAAATCTCTTACTAATAATCCTAATAACACCTATGGGATGGTGCCAGGCACCAAACGCATCCTACTGGGCGGCCTGCTGCCAGGACCACCGATGTGTAGCGAACAGAGTTTCTCTTTTGACCGAAGGGCGGTAAATGTCATGATTTTGTTTTCAACCTAAGCGGGATTATGTAAACCGAGACGGATTCGCATGCGGCGGCCAGGTACTTGGCAGAGGCTGCGGTTTTCTTGGTTGATTCTTTAAAGAAAAGGGCGACGGTTTACGCTCATGTAAGAAGAATTCTACGCGAATGTGTCTACTTTGATGATAAAATGATTTGGTTGACGCCGGGTCCATCAATGCCGGCCCAGTTAAGTCGTGGCCGAATGCGCCGCAGACAGGTATTAGCTAATTTCATGGGTAAAGAAACATAAATGTTGAATGTGCTTCAGTAGGGTCGTACTCAAAATATACGGCGAACTGAAGATGTCTTATTCCGTGATTATCATTCTAACTATAAGACTTGGCCTTTCTTATGAGTAGATATAGATCTCGTGCGTTTCTTGAGCCAGTCAACAGGAACATAATCCCCCCCACCCCTTCAGTTGGATAACCAGGAGCCGAGTATCCAGTCTGTGCCGTGTTCTCTTGTATGTTCCTGAATCATGTGTGTGATATGGCCGTGTGTTATTGTTGTTCCAACAATAGACTAAATTTGGTATTTTTCAACTGCTGTAGGTTAGTAGCGCAGGTATTCATTGCTTGTTTTATTGGTGCCATTCACCAGTAAAATTAACCCGGACGAGTGGCGATGACAATTTCACTCTTACTTCTCTTCCTGATGAAGAAGCCTCTTCGTCCAGAAAGCTCTCCTAGACCTTGTCGAATGATATTTCCTGTTTGGGATTGCACTGAATCTCCATCTGTCACACCAAATATTTTATCAAATGATCTCGTGTTCCCCCGCACACAATTCTTGCGTAGGATGCTAAACTTCCACAAGGAGATGCCATGCCAGCTCCGCGGTTCAGTGTTGATACCACAAGGGTTCACGCGCGAGGAGCCGGGGTCTAAAAAATGAAGGGATTGGATTTAGGTGGCTTTGATAGTCTGTCTTGGGACGGTCAGGTTGTTGTTGATGATGAATTGGACCGTGAGAGTCTCACAGAACTGCGGCCAGCTAGATTCGATGTTTCAGTTTCATCTGATGTTTCGCAGACTCACGCTTTTTCAACCAGTTGAACTTTAGGTAGAACGTATCCATGATACTTGAGCCCCTCTTGTAAGACTTGGCACCTGAATACACGACCTACACTATAGATATGCTTAACTTCTGGAAACATGAAGAAATACAGTTCAGTGTGAGAAGTATCTCGAATGTTCAACTTGGACTTGGATGATATTTATTAAAATGATAAACGGTTGTAGTGAGCAAAATTCTATCCCAAAGTGAGTCATCAAGCGGGCGACTCGCGGACTTGTGCCCAGATTTTGCCATAGAGTGAGGATATTAACCAGAAATGTGGGGAATGTACAACTAGAAGATCCTTTAGGCACAAGTAGAACGTAGCTATACTAAACCAGAATCAGGCCAAGTTAGCAGAATGGCTATCGGTGCTCAGAACTGTATTTTCTCTATTGGCCGAGGTCCCTGCAAGTTTTCGTCCCCCGAAGGACACATGTTTCCTGCAAGCGGGCGTGTTTTTGACCGGATATGCAACGACATTCTCGGCAAATAATTCCATTGAAAATCAGTTATCATTGCTATAAAGTAAAAGGGGTGAGAATAGTTCCTATTTCGGGGTTGTACTGTCTCTATCATTTAATTCCTTCAAGGTCTGGAGCAACTTTAGCCTTCTCTATTAACTAAAACTGGATGTTATCCCACGTTATGACCAAATATTTTGACGACGAAGCATATAACTATCGTGGTGTGATCCTATCATATGTGTTTCGTTCTTTGCTTTTGGCTGTTCTCCCATGACAATGAACCAGTTTTTTACGATAAGCGCAGAGAGCATATGATAGCCTGAGGTTTACTTTTGACTCATCTGCCGACTCGATGTCCCTTAAAAGTCTCCTGCAGTGTGTAAGTATGCTGGGTCGGGCTTTTCCGGGCTTAAAGATGAAATCGGTGTTGTAAGCGTAGATTTAATCTTGGGGGACTTCTCGCGGGTGATTTGGCTGCCTATCCCCAGATCGATTAAGCTCGACAATATTGGCCGGAGTAGAGGTACACATGCACATACAATGGCGGAGGTCGTTTCGGCTTGAGATATTATAGACAATGGTATGCAATTGTACGTGATGTCAGTATCGCGAAGGCCCGTCGTAAAGTTGGTAAATCTGTACACTGATATTGCACTTGTGCTGATGATGCGTGTCAATATTTAAGGCATTAGGTGACCAAGAAAAGTTACAGAGGGAAGTTTGGACACTCACAAAAGCCCAACACCAAAACACGAAATCAAACCTAGCTTTTGCGCGGGGGCGAGGTGTAATTGGATCAAGATAGGCATAGGTAGGAGAAAGATGATAATGTCCGTGACGAGCGTGATGCCGCTACTAATGTAGCCCCATACCACTACTTCCAAGCTTCCATCGGTATACGACGATGGACCTAGCAGGAGTGGCCCCCAGATTACTCCGCTGTATATCGTCATGCCGAACATAGTTATTAGAACGACAACCAGGAAGCTGTCAAAACACTTGAACGAAATGAGTGCCAAAGGCTCGACGGTGCTGGAGAAGAAATGACTTTGATGGAACCAAATGCAACTTGGTAGAGAATGACAGAAGCAAGAACGCACTACATGGTTAGTCAAAATGTGCAATCCAACAACAGCTAGCATAAGGGAAGCCTTACATAGCCATTTACTTTGAATCGTTCCGGTGGTACATCCGAGTAATGCCAACTAAGGGCGCCATATATTGTGCCTGTAGGCAGCAGAAGCAATTTAAAAGAAGTGTTCACCGTGTAAACATACAGCTCATGCTGCTTTGTTCACATACCTGATATCAGCGAAATAGATAGTCCAATTGAAAGAATCTATCCAGCTTCAGTAACTACACCGCTCAGTTTAATCACGAAGCACTCACCGACGAAAGTATGAATATAGAGTCATCCAAGCCCCATATCTTTAAAGAATATCCCCTGATGTATACTCGGAATCCCATGGATGTTAGGATAATTGCGATGAACATGGATGAAGTTCCCACAAAAAGTGACTGCCTGTTATCGCTTGATTGCGATTCCGGCGGTGTTGAATTTGAGGATGAATTAAACATAATTGTTGGAATAACGATAGTCACATGACCGTACGACAAGGCTGTCACAGGCAGACGAGTGTATGGGTAGCATGACTAGCACCTGTAACACTTACATGTCTGAGGAAGGGATCATGGTTTATTACCCAACCGGTACGACTCATGTCTAGGTATGGACAGAGATATATCTGTTCGTACGGAAGGCAACATCTAGTTAGGAAAGGTAATCACGGAAAATAGAATCTTTGGTTCACCCTACATTTATGACAGTACGATCGTACAGAGAGCCCATTCAACAATAATGATATTATTGGTTTGAGCTTGCTTCACAAGCTTCAATGGTGATTCAGGGGATGGACTTGGTGACCCTGAGATAGATGGATTTTCGTGGCTGGATCGACGTCACCGTGGAATGATATTTTTTGAACAAAAATACCTAGTAGTATAAGTGATGGCGGTGCCTGCACAAAAACGACCACGAGTTTGAGTGATACCGATGCCAGTGTGTTGCGCGTTGGGTGGTGGAAAATGGCTGAAATAAATTCGAAGAGCAAGCATTTTGAGCCGAGGGGGTCAAACTCCGAAGTGGAATATTGGTCGCAACTTACCTTACTTTTAGGTGAGGCTGCGATTTTAAGTTGACGGGCTAGGTGTCCGACTGACCTAAGTGAAATTCGAACTGAAAACCGGAAGGTCCTCATGATTCCAACCGCATTCAGCGGTAGGAGTAGTGGCTGGGCCATTCTCTATATGCTCTGCCATCCTTTCTTTGTCTGTAGCCAAAGCCACGGGCAAAGGTGCTGGCGTCGCATCTTACGAAAACTCAAAAAATTGGGTTTTCACCCTCCTATTGTTTCTAGACAGGAGAAAACGGCACAGAACTTATGTCCAATAGAAGCTGGAGAGCGGACATTGGAAATTCAAGTTCACACGCTTCCAGATCCGGACTTCCTTGAACTAATGCTGTGATAAGAGCTACAATTCCTATAGAAGTTTTCCTCCCATCTTGTATCACCTGACCCAGCTTTTGCCTTCACTAAAATCAGAAAGCCCATCCTAAATCGAGACAAAAGAAAGGTATGACGAACAGGCTAGGCGCGAAAGATCTAGGCTACAAATTGCGTTTTCCCAGTACAGAGCTTTCCAAATGGCGGAGAATAACTACACAGCCAGACACACAATGATGTCTCTGCTACAGGCTATCTCATAGGCTGTCTAATTAGAGCTCGCGCTATCTAACGTATAGACATTCTGTTGTCACACATATTTAAACATATTCTTGGGGTTTAGGCTAGACTGTTCCACTCTGACAGGTGAGGTTTTCAGGGCGCCGTCACTGCCTAGATAAGACGGAAAAGTTAAAATGGCGTCTTTCATAAGTCTCGAAGTGTCTCGTCGTTTGCATTCATCTTTCTGAAAGTTGCACTCCCTAAGATTCAAGGGCTCCTTGACTCCAGAACGTCCTGCCTCCAAGTAGGTAGATAGTTACCATGAATCACAACGATTTCGCGATGAAACAATTGTTTTCAATGATATTCTGAAGTATCAAGACCTAGCCATGAATAAAAATGGATGCTTTCGACCAGATAGTATTAGGGTGAAGTTGCTGTCTTTAAGGCAGTGCTAAGTCAAGTCTTTAATTGGGGGGTTGCCTCAGCCGCCTGGTCGGTGGGTGGAGTGTCAAAGAAAACCCAGTACTTTTGTCCTTTTTGTGTGAGAATAAACCAAGCTAGAGCATCTATTACCAAGTACCGTCGCTGGCAAGGTACAACCTACTGTCGGTTGGGTGCACAGACGAAGTGCCAAGACATGCTCTATCCTTGCAACTGTAAGTCCTTGCATTAGCGAAGTGGCTGAGTGGGTTCAAATGGATCCTTGCGCTGGATAAGTTGAATTGGGTGTGTGAGACTTGACGTAAAGGTCGGAGAAAAGACAAAGCCGAAGAATCCGTGGGCGCATGAGCACCTGATGAATCAACTATGGATCGAGAGCGTTGCATTTCTTCAAGAATTGAGTGTTTTCACAGTTTGTGAGATGCAGAGGCGGGATGGTATGATTTTAGCTTGGACATAGGTCCCCTCGAAAGCTTTGAACGACTTGAAGTCCCCATTGGGGACCAACTGGCGGACACGCCTCCATGGCACATATTCCAGAGGCCATTCTCAGGAGCAATTTTTTGGTTTGTCTCGGTAATTGAATGGAGATCAATGTAAGCTATTGGAGCTCGACGTACAAGGGGAGAGTTATTGAGAATCCAACCCATGTCTTATGTATTGGATGATGCTGCTTACTTGTGATCAAACAGTAAGACGTTATGATGCTTTTATTTAAGCATGACCCTGCAATCAGTGGGAGGCAGGGAGATTATGAAAAGACCGGCATTGTGAATGAGTTGGGTAAAGAAACCCGAAGCCTGACCGTTGAAGAACCAGTCTGATAAGTAGGTGAAAGGATTGGGAGGGTGAAAGGCACCTCCAATGATTGACACTCCGCAGCGCACGCCAGGCAATCAGGCAGAAGGGTTTACAAGAAAAATGCTTGAATATAATTATCTCACTACTTCACTAGCAGCCCCTGCCCGAATGCCCCGCTGCCGCTGGCTTCTTTGCTGATGGCATATCTGCATTGTTATAAAGGCTTGAGATTGCTGCTTTCGACGACCCTGATTGTTCCCAAACCCCAAAATGGCCTATCTTGAAGGCTTAGGTGTCCGGAAAATCTGGTCTTCTCTCCTGGCAAAAGCCAGTTTTCTTTCTCTCTGCAAAGAAGTCACGATGAACTTGCTTCAATGGCTTGAAGCCAATTCTTTAAACAGGTTTCTTACAAGCTCAAACGCATTACGGCTTCTTGGAGGTGCAGTACTTGCAAACATATCCTACAAAGTCCTACGGGGGTTGTTTGAGTGGCTTCCACTTCAGGCTCCGTTGACAAAATATCAAAGTTCTGGCCGCTCATGGTCCATGGTCACCGGCGCCTCGGCTGGTATTGGCTTTGGATTCGCAAAGGCCCTGGCATCTCGAGGGTTCAACGTCATCCTCCTCGGCCATAATCCCAAAGAGCTAAGACAATCTGAAGACGAAATCCAGAAACAATGCCCCGGGATCGAGGTCAAGTCTGTTGTACTGGACGCGATAACTGCATCCGCCGCCGATATTGACGCGACTTTGAAGAATTTGGGTCATATGAACCTTACGATTCTCGTGAACAACGTTGGCGGATTGAGCGTTGAGCCCTCCAAGTATTACCGTAGGATTGACGACACAACCGCAGAGGAAATGGACAGAGTATTGTCTCTTAACGTACGGTTTATGGCCCAGCTAACACGGCTCGCCATTCCAATACTCGCGAAAAACGGCCCATCTCTCGTCCTCAACGTCGGCTCTGCTTCCATGCTTGGGATGCCCGGTGTGGCAACGTACTCAGGCTGCAAAGCCTTCGTCATGGCATTCACAAAGGCCATAGCCAGGGAGATGAAGGCTGATGGAGTTCCCGTGGATATACTCGCGCTCATTTTGGGAGAGGTTAAAACACAGGTCAACGCCGGCGATTTGCCACCTGGTACACCATCTGGGAGCGAATTTGCAGAAGCGGCGCTGCGTCGGGTGGCAATAGCCGTCTCACGTGGCGCTTTGTCTATGCATCCTTGGATGTGTCATGCTGTTCAAGACGCCATAGTGCACGCGATGCCAGGATGGATGACAGAAAAGGTGCTTAAAGCGGTCTTTCAAAAAAAGCGGAGAGAGCAGACTCTTTTGCAGGATTGATTTCAATCGACACTTGAAATTTGGGTTTGTTCACTCATTCAGAAGACTCCAATTCTCAAGCTTAGGCCAGAGGCTGTCTAAATCAAGATGGCAATACCAAAATATACATTGAATCAAACCCCGCAGTGCTTTATGTATAAATAGATTGTTTATCTTCTTTAAAGAGTCTCCCCATTAAGTAGCAAGGACATGAGGTAGCGGAGGAGGATAGGCTTCACGAATCGTTGAGTAGTGTTTGCAGGCATGCCAACAAAGTAAAAACGATTGTTGATCATCATTCCATAATACAAGGCAAGGGAAATCATTGCCATCAGGTTTAAACGATGCTACATGGTGAATTTATGTAGAGTAACCGAGGTTAAGTTGGGCTAGGCTGCCTCGTTCATTTGCAGAACCTGGCAAAGTACCACCGCGATCAGGCAACAATGGCCTCCGAGAAATTAAAACTGTGACAATAAGTGGATATGGCAGGTGAACTAGACCGAAAAATTCCGTCATGGATAGTCCATGGATATTTTCTGCTGAGTGGCATTGGCGCCAGTTGCATTTCTATGTCCCGGATGAAAGTTTCAACTTACATATCAGATAAATTGTCCCACTCAGAATCTCTCCAGTTGGCATTGTATCTTACCAACCGATCCATACGCCAGAATTTTCTTAGTTGACATTTTTATCTAGTGTCTTTGATTTTTAGCCTTGATAAGTTGATGAATAAATTGTTGTTTTGTCCCACAATGTAAGCGCTTAAGCTAAAATATCGCAACTTCAACCCCCTTTCGACGAGCCGCCTTATCTAAGTCAAAACTATCAGATGCTGTCATCCACGCTTCGTCCAACAGTTCAAGTCCCGTCCTGCACAAGTTGAAGGCGGATCTTTGACTAACGTAGGAGCGCACCTTATCTAGCAACTTTTTCCAACAGGGGTAAGACTGTAGCAATGGAACCTCTAGACTGGCCATCATGAGAGGATAGACGAGCGCATTGCCAATAAGTAGGTTCTGATTTTGAGGTAGCTTGACACCTCTAAGCACAGCGTCAATTGCCGCCATCAAACGCCCGAGAACAATGTCTGTACTGGGGGCTATGCTTGACTCCGGCTCCTGATAGACTGTGGTAGTCAAGTATTGGTTTCTTTTTTTATTCGATTTGCGCCTGCGGACATCCAAAATCCCAGCAAGGCGCCAGCAATCCCACGTTTGGCATTGGACAAACCTGCCTATCTCGCCTGGCCAATCCCAAAAGCGTCCTTCAAGAGACTCTCTGTCATGGTAAGGTATGTCCGCGAAGATGTCCAGGAGAGACATGGGCATACCAGTCAGAGCTTCTACACCTTTAACTCTTCCCTCCTTCCAACCATCTTGGGCTTCACGTAGATGTTTCCATATATCCGCGGAAGGAGCCTGTCTTCCTAGGATAAATGAGGTCATATCTAGGATACCAAGGAACTCCAGAACACGACAAATAGGTGTGTGGTGCTCTGGAGAGAGAGCGAGGGAAGAGATTGCGGAAGGAATGTGTTTGAGATCAGCAAGCAGCTGAATCTGCGCGGTGCACGAGGTTGACTGAAGAAGCTGGAGAAACATTAGTGGGGATGACCACGTTTTAGTAGGCAGATGGTAGCCATTATGGGAGCACTTGTACCAGCTGTTGGATAGAAAACGTGGTAAGAGGAAGAGTACTTACATTAAGAGCACATACTAAAAGTCCTGCACATACGGTCCCAGTGTTGATAAAATTGTGCTGAGCAGATAACTCATCCCGGAAAGCCTGTAAACCTACGCCGATAGCCTCTAACGATCGCTCCAGTGGGTAAGCTTGATTGTCATCGAGAAATAGTTGGATGGCTCCGCCAACAAGTATCAATGCTCGAATTTCCTTGGCCATTTTCTCAAAGAAAGGTTTAATCCATGAACGAATGTCAGTGTTGTATAGCCTGCATAGTCCTGCTGCTAAAACTAACTACGGCTTAGATAATCCAGACTAAATCATTTGCGCAGAACACCAAATGGCAAACCTTACATTTTTTATACATTTTCCATTCTTCGTCCGAAACACCATAAGCAGACGAAGCTTCCGCTGCTTTGGAACCGCCTGTGGGTGACACACACAACGTGGGGGATGCATTCAAGCGCTGTTGGACCTCGCCTATGTTCCCTCTGTCCGGAGTAGTAACGCCGGCAAAACGCCCTCGCGAGGCGATCCCGTTTGCCCATTTCACGGTCGCTTGGTAGCCATCGCATTTGATGCCGCGGCGTCTGCAAAGGCCGCATTCCGGGCGTTCCTCGTCGCACTTTCGCTTACGTTGCTTGCAATTTGTGCAGCCGTTGGTTGAACGGACCATTGTGGTTCGATCATTAGACTGCGTGGTGAATAGGAAACTGTTTTTCGTTGGGCTATGCTGCCAAGTCGAGGCCAGTAGAGAGGAGGCTGGTTTGCTAAGGTGGAAGACACCTTGCTAACACGAGAACGGGAGAGAGAGAAGCGGGTTTATTAGACAAAACAAGAAGATAGAGCCCATAACAACGCATTGGCCCAAGTGGAAGCGGACTTCACTAATGTCCGGCGTCTTTACCTTCTAAATTGGGACGATTAACCGCTAGCGGCCACAGTTCCCAGGGAAAAGCTTTGTCCACAGCTTGGCATGCGAGGCTACTCACACACAATTCCCCACTCATAGCGTTGATCCCCATGCCTCCACGGTACATACCAGGATGGTGCCACACAAAGATGTGGTGCTGGACGGTCTGGTACAGAAGTAGTCATAACGAAACAGGTTTTTTGAGCTACAAACGGAGGTTAATGCAGCTCGCGAGCTTGGATAAATGACAAGTGGCGATAGGGAGTCATCGGTTTCGGGAAGGTTGCAGGCTCTTTTGTTGTACGAGATGAAGTGCCGCTGTCATAGGTTCCAATGAGAGCAGGATTGCTCTAGATCATAATATATGCTCACATTTTATCAATCGTTAGTTTGAGAGAAGTTCCAGCTCTTTTTTTTCGGACAGCTAATTCATGCTCCTTAGTATGTTACACATAATGTCATAGGCAAAGGAGCATCGTTTGTACCGTTTCATACTTGACTTGACATGGCTGGCAGCGCGTAAAATACAAGAAAGTGAAATAAACTTCAGTCATCAGTTTGCTGGAAGTACGACTTTCATCAATAAAATCTTCCACCTGCCTGTTGCCTTAAGAAACGATTTTTGGTATCTTGAAAGCATTATTGATCATGTTTTTTTTGCCCAGTTTGACCTTGAAACCGTCTGGCCTAGTAATGTCAAGTATTTAGCGATCTTTTGTAAGATTGAAAGATGAACGTCTTCACAGCCCTGTGCACATCGATGAATCTAATCACGATCCGTCTGCCCGTGCGCGGTTTTTCATGATAAACCCTAAGCCTTTATGAAATTCTGTGAATCTTCAATAACAAATAGACTTTAACCCCGAGTATAACTCCCAGATTGGTATTGAAATAAGTGTACATCTCTTGCGAACCCTTCGCAGAACTCTATAGTTGATCTGAAAAGCAAAAGGTGCTAAAGCCTTTCTTAAAAGAGGAGTTCCTCCATGACTACAGTTGTAGCCTTCCTGGAAGGGTGATTGGTTACACTTGATACCGGACATAGCCTGTAACAATGATGACCTCCAGTGATCTTCGTGGTCTTTTGTATATTTCTTGTCCATCAAACAAGTCGACCAGGTCATTTAAACCTGTTTAGGTGGATCCGTACGTTTTGTGGTTGGTTCTTGTAAACCCTAATTTGATTTAACCTTTTTCAACAGCGTCTACGACACGCGTATCATCGAGTTCCAGATTTTCTTGAATGGTTTCTCATGCGACGTGCTGCAGGCTGAGGCTTCTATTCTACCTTAGGATCTGGCTTATTGGACTTCTGAACAGTGATAATATATAATGGATGAAGAAAAGATGCATGGTCGCAGGCCGTAACTTCCATCTGTGAGGTGCTTGAAGTCCAAGTGATCAGATTTGCATTTGGTTGATATGGATTGACTTGGGTAGATTGGATGCCTCGGTATGGTTGATATGGGAGGTTGTGTTATGGATTGTGCATGATAATTCTTTCTGGCTTTATTAGAAGTAAGATTCGTCTATCATGTAAAAACTTGGATCTCCAAGCCCAAGTCTTGTCATTGTGTCTTAAACCCAGGTCGCTTGTTCTTGGGTAAAGTTGATAATGTCTTAAGACAAAATGAGTCAACTGTACCACAGTGGAGATGAAAATCCAAATAATTAAACAAAAGCTGTTTGATACCTGTTACTCAGGTCCTTGGTTGAGCAACAAGGCAAACCTCTTGGGAAATCAGGTGATCAGTTGCTGTCAGACTTGCTATTTGCGCTCCATATTATCCATCTCATACGCCCCTTTGAGACTCAATCTGTGTCCCAGCCTCTTCTTTTGACTGTACCATCTGCTGTGGGTTCTCAAAGCTCTTCTCCGATTGGCTCGGCCAGTCATTTGCCGTCTCGGGCCTTACAGGAACTGCCGCCAAAGCTCAGGCGGCCATTTTTGCTGCATCACGGCAACGCTTCCGGATCGAGAAAACTGCGGTGACATGGCCGACCACCCACCAGGCGAACAAGACTGGCAATACAATGTGAAGGTCTTGCCCGCAGCCTGACCACGCCGATATCAAGAGCGCGTAGATCGAGTGTGCCGGCATTGCCCAACCAATTCGATACCAGCCTGGCATCAGTTCAAAAGGGAAAATTGTGCTCGAAACGTTTAAGATGATCCAGGTCAGAAGAAAATGGGGCATAAACGGCATTGATACAAATGATCCGGTGAAAGTATCCAGAAACTGCCACTGCGTATCCATATACAACAGGTACGCCAAAAACGTCTTACCAAACTCTTGACTACCAACTGGCCACTCGCCGCGGAAAGCCCAGATATAACCAGGAACGACAAGGCTGATCAATATAGTATACAGCTTGCCACACACGAAGCGTAATACCCAGACGTCTCTTACTCGAACTTGTGAAAGAAAACCGCTGAATTGGCCGATGATGTTGAGGGCCAGCATAAAAAAGAATTGCCCGAGCGTCGGAATGATCATGTTGACGGTGTTATAGAGAACTCGTGCTCCTTGTGGTGTGACTTGAATGAGATCCGCTGCTGCTTGAATGGAGGTTGTGAACACGGCTTCGCCGGAGAAGCCTGTGAGATTTTGAGCCCCCATTGCTGATAGGTACTTGTTGCGAGATGAGTTGATAATTTTGAGAATATTCCCTTGTAGAAGTCCGTCTGATATAGCTGGAAACTTGGCTTGATTGTACGAGTACGTCACAAGAGGGATTTCTGCCTGGGCGGCGACGGTTCCGTTCAATTTGCCGGCAAACCATTCGGAAATACCGCTGGGTACTACAACAGCCGCCCAGTATTCGTTTCAGCAAACGGCAGCTTTTGCTTCCAGCTCATCTGGAAAGTCAAACTCATGTCCCTTTTTGACTGTGGGAAAGCTAGGGCTCTGGAGGTCGCCAGAGGCCTGCCAGATCGAAGAACCAACCGGACCTCCGTCTAGGTCTAAAAAGAGAATGTTTAGAGCGCTGGTTCTTTGTTGTTGATTATGTGTCGTCCCACTAAGATAGCACATGTTTGCGAGTACCATCAGAAGAAGTGAAATGGACGCAAGCAGCACGGGAGTCGCGTAGGTTTGCTTCAGTGGCTCCCACTGACGAAGGCGCTGTCGGTGTTGTGCCTCCATGGCTGGCTGAGGCTAAGCGAGTGGGATAAGATGAAAAGCTTTTTTTTCTAGTAGTTGGCTACGAAAGAAAAAAAAAGCCCCCCAAAAAATGGTGAGTTGATAATGAAGAGTAGACGTTGTGATGTTGCTACCTCTTTTGACGAGCTTGCTTCAACTGCCCGAAGGTACTGATACAACCGACAACCGAATTCATCGGAGGTTCGCTCGCCTGCAAATCAAAGTTTCCAGCTTTCTCAAATTGATATTGTTATGATTCCTAAACATTTTCTCTAGAAGATGACTCATCTAGTTGCCATGTTTCCCTCGGCAGCCAGGTCTATCTCGCGTTTTCACTTCGAGGCGAACTCGCGAAAGCACGGAGTCCGAAATCGTTACCTCAAAGGCTCCGCTTCAGTGTTGAATCTACAGATCCACTGAAAAAAGCGGCCAGAAGCAGAAACAATTTGTCGTTGATCTCCGAGCATTCCTGTTTGGTCAAGCTAGAGGACGCATGCTGGATCACGCGGGTGACAAAAACCGGCACAGCTTTTGGTGCTGGCCGTAGGTAAAGGTAATGTTTTTCTGTTGTCACTCAAGTGAAGTGAACACGGGTGGTTCTTTTACGGAAAGGATGTGTACAAGATGTGAGCTTCAAAGACAAATGCTACATGAATAAGGCCAAGAAATTTTACGAAATGCTTTACGCGTTATGACGTCCTATATTTTGCCTACATTTCGACCAGTCAAGTGATATTCAATAGCTGTCAAGAATCAGATCTTTCCTCTTTTCAGCTTCGTACCCTCCTTCTGTTGAGGTCAGGATATTAGGCTTAATCGCAGTAGGATTGATGTTGCAGACTGTAGAGAATTTGCAATTGCGTCTCAAATAATCTAGTACAGACTATTTTCAAGGTTGTGTCAAGTTAAACGTGGGCTACTATTTTGTTTCACATGTTCTGGTGTTTGCAAAGCCAGATGAAATGACGAAGCGGGACTTGGCAAATCCATCTCCGCCCCAGTAGGAGACTAGGGTGCAGCAGGGGTGACTACGCGTGGCTAACCAAATGTTATCAGCTTGTCATGAAAAAAAAAAAAGAAAAGTGGGAGGATCTGGTCCCCCATTCTGAGTGTCACTTTACGACAAGTTGCTCTGTGGGGTTACGAACGACAAGATCTACACGCAGTGTTTCCTGTGGGCGTGGAGTCTGAGTCTGAGGAGTGAGACCATGCAACGGACAACCTTTATCCCGTCGGGAAAAGAGGAAAATTTCAAGTTACTGGCGCGACACAGTTGTACAATCTATTTAAAGGAACCGGCAGTCGTGTCAGATAGAATCCCCGAAAAGCATCGACTAGTTACAGACCAAGCAAGCCGACTTGCCTCGTCACTCAACATCTTTGAAACTTCCTCCATATCTACATAGTCCCCTCCAGAAACAACTTGAAAATGACCGGAAAATACTTGATCACCGGCGGGTACTTGGCGACGCTCGATGACTCTCTGGGTGACTTCGCTAATGGAGCCATTCTGGTTGAGGACGGTGTCATCAAGGCGGTCGGCAAGGCTGAAGAAATCAAGGCTCCAGATGCAGAGATTATCGACGCTACGGACGGCGTCATCATTCCTGGCATGGTTGACACTCATCGCCACGTCTCCATGTCGTTGACGCGCTGTGGTGACCGACGTCAGGCACGGGCGGCATCAACTAGGAACAAAACGGCTTGTATTCTCTAAGTGAGCGAGCGGAGCGAAGGACGCTTAAGAATACGGTCGCTGGAGCGAGGTCACGTGACCTCGCGGCCGAGACGCGGCAGAGTGGGTCCGGAGGCCCGGAGCCAGCACGACACACCCCCCCAGACGGCGCGTAGTCGTCTGGAAAACCGCGCCTCGAGGCCATATCGCTACTATCGCCTAGATACAAGATTATGAGGCTATTCAGAGCCTCTTGTGAATATATATATAACAAAAGAGAGGTGTTGTTGTATTCGCCTCGGTCTTTGTGCTCGAAGTGATGTGAATATGGCGAAATTCGCCCTTGCGCGCCGCCTGGCGCAATAATCGCACTTTCCTTTATTCAACCGTCGTACTTGCCTCTTATTATTGCCAGTTGAATTTTCTGAAAATCCTGCCTTCTGATTGGCCCACAACGTGGGTTGCCCATCAGTTATTATTTCCTCTGCCCGTTGACTCTTCTGCAGCGGTTCCGGCCGTGGCCGAAGCGGCTGGTCTCCGTGCTGCCATTGACAGCCTTGTTGGAGGACACTTGCCGGCGGCTGTTCTCCCCGCGTACAACGTCCTGATGGACACGTACGCGGCCTCCCTCCGAGGTCGTTAAAAGAGCCCGCCCTACGGGGCGTAAGTACGCTTGCTTTTGCTCCTTTGGGAGCGTATCATGCTTCCTGGCCAGGGGCCAAGTCAAAATTTAACTTTCGGCCTCCGGGCCAGCATTGCTCGCGCGCACCTGTTTCTCTTCGCTTCTTGTGACTTGTGCCCGAATGTCTTGTAGGTTTAGAAGTGCCCTGAAGTGTTCGAACTTCGCTCGGGAGAGTGCTTTTGTGAGACCGTCTGCTGGCATCTCGTCGGTAGGCATATATACCACGTCGAACGTCTTCTTGGCATACTCTTGGCGTAGCCACATGTTCTGTATATCAACGTGGCGAAGGCGCGTTGAGATGCGTTCCTTGTCGCCTACTACCAGGCGAATCGTTTGGCGATTGTCACAATGGATCTTCCATACGTCTCCGAGGTCTAGTTCAATATCCCGAAATAAGCGTTTGAGAGCGATGGTCTCCTTAGCAGTGTTTTCGAGGCTAAGGAGTTCCGCTTCTGTAGTAGAAGTGGTAACGGTATTCTGTCTCGCGGCTTTCCACTGAATGGGACCGCCGAACAGTGAGATGATGTACCCTTGAGATGAACGCCGCGTCTCTTCGTCGTCTGCGAACGAGGCGTCGCCCGCAATTAGGAGAACTTGGGCACCTGCACCCCCCGAGCTACCGAAGCAGAGCGAAAGGTAGCGAGTGTGATAAAGATATCTAATGACTTGGTTCGCGGCCTTCTGATGTTCGAGAGACGGGTTCGTTAGGAACCTCGAGAGTATAGCGCAAGCGAAGGCGACGTCGGGGCGAATCATGATCGCAGTGTACAGAATTGAGCCGACCTTCTCTTGGTATTGCTTTACCTGGTCAGGGGTCTCTTCAGCGGTGTTCTTCTGGAGCGGGACGAATGGCAATGGTGTATGCGGCACGATCGAGTCGATAAGGTTGAATTTCTTCGCTACGCGTTCGATATATTGGTCGTGTGCGAGGTTAATTGTTCGCTTCTCACGGTCACGTATCACGCGAATGCCTAGATACCACTCGACAGGGCCTTGGTCCTTGAGTTCATACTCGGCTTTCACCCCGTTTATAACGTTTTGAGCAGCTTCGCGGTGGTCCCTATGGTATAAGACGAGGATATCGTCTACGTAGAAGAGTACCATCACTTTCTTGTCGTTTGAAGTGAAGAGACAGGGGTCTTCGCTTGCAGGCTTGAGTCCCAGGCGCCGCAGCGTTGATGAGAACTCCTTATACCAAAGGAGGGGAGCGTCTCGTAGCCCGTATAAGGCACGGCGGAGCTCGACGTACTTCCCGTTCTGTTTGAAGCCGTCTGGTAGGTAGCAGACGACAGGCGGGTCGTTCGGTCCTCTTGTTGCGTTTAGAAACGCATTGACTACGTCGAATTGGTCTACTTCAAGGTCGAATTCCGCCGCGAGCGCCATCGCTACTCTAAACGTCCTTGCTGCGAGGGTCGCTGCGTAGGTCTGTTCGAGAGGATGCTTCGCCTGGAGGTCGCCGCGGACGCAAATTCGTGCCTTGCAGCGGTCGAGGTAGCCGTCTTGATCAAGCTTGTAAGTGAACACCCACTTTAGAGGAATAGGTTTCGTAGACGCTTCGTGTTCGTCAATGATTTTCCAAGCGTCCATCTCCTCTAATTTACTTATCTCGGCTTGGGCCGCTTCGTAAAACAGGTTTCGGAGGTGGGTCGGCATTTTTTCAACACTTTTCCACGTTCGTGGGGGCTTTATAAGCTCATCTGTGTGTATTTTCACTCGCTGTGGAGTGACCGCTCTGGAGTGCTTCGCTTGGTGTATTGACGCGAAGACGAAGCAATGGAGCGTATAGTGGGCTTGGTTCGCTTCCTCCACAGCCTTCTGCTGATCAGGCATATAGGTATGGAAGAAAGTTTCCCAATTACGTTCCGTTTGTAGGAATGCGAAGTGTTGGGCGAAGCGAGGTGATCGTCTCGGTTTGCCCTGTTGTTGGCCGTAGTCCTTGCGGTTGTACACCCGCTTGGTCTTTATCTCGGGTTCGCGCCCGTTCCCATTATCCGAGTGTGGCCGCACCGGGTGAGTTGGGGAGTCACCCCCGAGATCATTACTCGAGTCGGCCTCCACGGCCGGTTCTCGTGGAGGTTCGTTGTTGGTCTTGACGTATATCACGTCTTCGACCGCCTCAGAGAGGGCTTCGTGCCCCGGGTCGGGAACGCCGGCGTCCATCGCTTCGGAGCTTTGTTGGCCGGTCGTTTGCCCGTCCGTCCCCTCCGGCGCTGCGGCCGGCTCAGGGGTCGGTTCCGGGGTGAGCAGGCCCTCTTCGCGTCGGCTGTTAACCGCGGAGCGTTTTACCGTTGTCTCTTCTGAGATTACGGTCGACGGCGCGAAGGCAGGTGGCAGGGGCTGCTCTTCAAGTGAAAATACGAGTTCGCTTGGTTTTGCGAGTCCGAGGAATTGGAGTCCTGGGTTCGCCGTAGCCGGAGGTTCCGAGATCTCCGTGGAGACTGTCTCGGCCACCTCCGCTTGTAAACTAGCTTTTGCATCGTCCTTCGAGTAGAACTTCGTCTCGTCAAAGGTAACGTTTCGCGTGATAATCACTTGATCAAGCGAGGGTATCCAGACTCTGTATAGGTTGTGAGCGTCCATAACGTAGCCCACCAGATATCCAATATGTCCTCGCGGTTCCACCTTGAAGTTACGTCTGTTCCTATCCGCTTCGCGGTCCTTTTTCAGGGGATAAGCCCTACACCCATACGCGTACGTCCAGCCCCAGTGGGGGCGAAGGTCGCGGGCGAGGCTCGCGCTGTATTGTGGTTGCCACCAGCGAAAATACTGTCGGAACCAGCTCTCTTCGACTTGAATTGGTGAGAGCCAAGCTCTTCGCTTCCGTGGTGACATATTGTACAGGTAGGCGGCTGCCATGACTGCTTCCACCCAGAGAGTAGTTGGCAGGCCCGCTGCGCTGAGCATCTTTATCGCTCGGGTTATTAATTCCTGGCCCGCTCGTTCGCCTCCGCCATTGGGTTCCTTGGTGTAGGGGGGTGTCTCTTCGATTTCAATCCCGTTATGCTGGGCCCAAAGTTGATACTCAGTCATTCCGTTTATCGCAATTACCGCGCGTTCTACGTCTTGTCTCAGCTTGCACAGGGTGACGCCTCGTTGGCGAGCGACCCATCGTTCGAAGTGCCTGAGAGCGTCGAAGACGAAGGTGTGCGATTTACTTACGCGCGGAAACGCGAAAAGACGACCGGTATATTCGTCTTTGATCACTAAGAGCCAGCGGTTCTTGTCAAAGCTTGTCGGGTAGTCGAAGAGATCCCATGAGACCCTATAGTACGGTCGAATTGCTTTCCGTTCAGAGGTTCGCCTCGAAATTAACTGTTTCGCGTGCGCTGTCGCGCAGTATTCGCATTCCAGACGCGTGGGTCCTTTTATCTTTACTCCTCTCACGTTTGACACCATTCGTTCTAGTGCGTCTGGTGCGAGGTGACCCGAACGAAGGTGCCATAACCAGGCGTCATCATACCTATCAGGTGGTTTACGAAGCGAGAGTCGAGCGGGATCCTGTACTGCAAGCACCAAATGGTTCACGATTCCTGCGTTACTCGAGGTAATTCGCTTCTGAGCAATATACTGGGAACCGGTCTTATATTCGAAGAAAGTAATGTTCATCTTCCTAACAAGATGCTTGACTACCACGCTGTTTTTGTACGTTCCCTGGCGAAGTGTGTTATCCAATCCGGAGTACCAGATGCCTGTCTTTCGGAGGAGTGCTTCCGAAACGATGTTAACGTGAAAGTTCTCTACGTATCCAACGTTATGGAGCGTAAGGTCTGCTGTGAGGTCTCCATCAGGGCCATTTAGTGCTTTTGGCAAGATCCACGTTCCCTTTGCTAGGATTGGGTACGAAGCAGTTCCTGAGTCGACTCTCTCGTCGCCGATGCACGTTTTAATAGAAGACGATTCAAGCAAGTCAAGGTTGTTAACAAGGTGCGTAGCTCCGCAGTTGTCGAGAACCGTGCTTCGTGACAGAACATGGGGTCCCGTCAGTGGGGTTGCAAATACGCTTGGTTGGTCGTAGTCCGAGTCGAAGTCGTCCGAAATTTCCCGGAGAAGTTCACGGCTGATCGTTACTGCGTGGATATTTCTCTTCAGTGTCACCTCTGACTCATTCTCCTCTTGCTGCGATTTCGCTTTAGAGCCGGTATTTCCTGACGACCTATTGCGAGGCGGCGCTGGGTTTCGGAAGCTGGGAGGTTCCGTCGCCCAGATCCAGCCTTTCCGAGCTAATTCGGCTCGGAGATCATAGTTCTCGGACTGATTGATACGCTTTCGAATCTCCTTGCACTCGTCCCTCGATAGTTTGTCCTGGGAAGGCTTGATTCGCCCGGTAAGGGCGTACTCCACGCGGGTGCACTCCAGGGGGTTTGCGTTGTGGGGTTTGTTGCAGGGGCACGCTTCGGATTTGCCTTTTCCTTTCGAACCGCTTTTTCCATCTGAGATTGCTTCGCTCGGGCGACCGGCAAGGGTAGCGTACACACCGCTTGTTTTACCCCGATTTTTGTCGTATAGGGTGTCCTCATACAGCAAGTCCTCCAGCATATCCCTGTATTCACTTACAGTAGGGATGCGGTCCCCCTTGCGCTCCATTTTGACAATTTCAGTGAGCTCGGAGGTCGCCCAGGAGGGGGCAAAACGGTGTCCCACCGCTCGAAGAAAAGTTTTCGAAGCGAGCGTTCCCTGGCTTTCCGGTATTCTGAATCGAAGCGCGCGGAGCAGTACTCGATGGAAGTCTCTTAGCCAGGTCTGGGGGTTTACGCTTGTGTTGGCCTTTTCCAGGAGGAGAAGGTACTCTTCGCGAACTGTAGTTTGACTGCTTGATTCGCTTGGAGCGTAGCGTTTCCGAAGGTACTGAATAAGAGCACGGAGTGAACGTTGGTTCTTCGCTAGGATCTCCGATCTCGCAGCGTAGAGGATGTCCTTGTCGACCGTTTCCTTAACCCAACGCTGAATAGAGTCGAAGTCCCGCTCCCGACGAGTTTTGAGGACGTCGCGGCCTGATTTTGAAGCGAGGTAGTTCGTATATCTTTCAAAGATCCCGGGCGTGTTTTGCGTGAGAGTTGGTTGTGCTACAGGCTCCTGGAGTTCTTCCCCTGTATCGTCACTCGCTTCTGCCCTATGCTGGAGAATCGAATCGTAGGCTTTCCGCTTCCGATCATAGGTTCTACGCTGCTTTTCGTTCTGCTGCGTGATCCATGATTCGATCGAGAGTTCTTCATCGTCCTCTCTTGGGTCTGACGGAGACGTAGTGTCGTCTGGGTCTATGAGATCCCAGACGTCTGCTGCGTCGGCTTCGGCGTAGAGAGCGTCGTACCAAACGGGGAAGTCCCGGCGGCAGGTTAGCCTTGTCGTGCTCGTGAGAACAGATATCTGCGACGACATCTTCGTTGTAGAAGTTGCTGTTTGAAGCGAAATTTGTGAAGACCGTAAGGAGTTGATGGTGTTCCGCCACGAACCCTTCGTCTGGTTAACAGTAGAAAGGGGTGATGTGGTAAGCTGGGCTCATAACTGTGGTGACCGACGTCAGGCACGGGCGGCATCAACTAGGAACAAAACGGCTTGTATTCTCTAAGTGAGCGAGCGGAGCGAAGGACGCTTAAGAATACGGTCGCTGGAGCGAGGTCACGTGACCTCGCGGCCGAGACGCGGCAGAGTGGGTCCGGAGGCCCGGAGCCAGCACGACACGCGCGGAATTGGGGCCGATCAGCCTTTGATGCACTTTTTATCCAACACCTACACCCGCTGGCTCCCGGCAACTGGTGTCGAGGAGATGCACACCTCCGCGCTTGTCGGCGCCCTAGAGGCGATCGACAGCGGCGTCACAACCATTTTGGACTCGTGCGAGACTTTTCCCTCTGCCGCGCATGCAGAGGCAGAACTCCAGGCACTAAAAGACTCGGGAATTCGGGCCTTCTATTGCTACGGCATGAGCGACTATAGCTATGGAGAAGTCAAGGGGGGAAAGGCTGGTTGGGAGGCCCGCATGGCGCATGTGAAAAAGCTCCGGGATGACAACCCTGACCGCGACAGCCTTGTACAAGTCGGGCTGGCACTCAGCCAGATCGGCACCGTCCCGTTTGACATGACGGTGGCTGAAGTGAAGCTGGCGAAGGAACGCGAGATGCTCTGCTGTTCGCACACGGCAGGTGTCCGCAATTCGGTCATTACCAACGGTCTGGAGGAGCTCAATGACAACAATCTTCTGTTCCCAGGACACGTATACATCCACTGCACTGGCCTCACCGAGCGCGACATGGATCTTATTGCCGACTCTGGAGGTAAGATCTCTATTGCGATGGAGACAGATATGCAGATGGGTATGGGAATTCCACCATTGAGGGATTGCCTTAACCGCGGTCTTAAGCCGTCGCTCAGCATCGATACGTCTGCTGCCGTGGCGCCGGACTTGCTGTCGCAGATGCGCCTGGCTCTACAGACGCTGCGCCTTCTCGATCACGACGCCGAGCAAAACCAACGCAAGGTGCCGTTGCACCTCAAGGCCTCAGTTAGTGATGCCCTTGGTTGGGCAACGCGCAACGGCGCGGAGGCGGTTGGTCTTGGGGATAAAATCGGCACCCTGACACCGGGCAAGAGGGCCGACATCGTTGTCATTTCCAACAAGCGCGGCCTTAGCGCTTCCGCCTTCCCACTTGGAACCGCCGTTCTGCATTCAACTCCCGCTGACGTGGAAACCGTTATGATCGATGGAAAGGTTGTAAAGCGTGATGGACGTCTTGTTGGACAAGATGTCGAGGCTATTCGCGCAAAGGCCCGAAAGGGGCTTCAAAACATCTTAGAAAACATGAAGAGCATGCCCGCAGAAATGAACCCCTCCGAGTTCAGAGCATATCACCTCGGTGCTGAGCGCATGACCCGAGCCAATTTGGCCTTGGCCTACGATGCGGGTCACAGGGCTGGTGACTGGTTAAGGCCCGTCTAAAAACGCCGTGTCTTTGAAACCCAGGCATGCCAGGCAATCATCCAGCTGGTTCTAGGAGTCTATGAGACGTTGCGCCAATGGCCTGCACCCACGCGCCGGCCACTTGGAATCATCGATGATGAGCCCCTGGTCCTAGATTAAAGAGAAACCTTAGCTGTAGAAAGAACATAAAACCACAAACCTTCTTCAAGCCCTCATTTGACCAGTGTTTTCCAAAAGTAGTAAAACTAGCTCCTTGAAGAATCGCAGATCTCGTGCATTATGCTACACATCAAAGTCACTCAGCACCTAAAATCTCGTAAGTTCCCCTGGGAAATGATAAAGATCAAGGGGCACAACGAGTCTTTTACAGGCTTTTCTTTTAACTCTCAGACTTTCAAATCGAGCCATAGCGTGTTCTTTCTTCAAGGAACGATGTCAAGGTTATGTTTCACATTGGAGAGGAAATTATCATGTACAAGATTCAAAATATTAATCAGGTAATGCCCCTGAGACATATTTTATCGTAGCCTTGAAACCACACGTCGACCAATTTTCCCTGGAGTCATCTGGCTGCTGTCTTTTAAGTATTGATGGCTGGAATGGCTACTTTATTCTACTGTGTAAAGAAGATATCCACGCCTGTCTAGGAGTAATGTTATAAAAGTATAACCTCTGAAATATATATACAGGTTACAGTTAACACTACTTTCTTTAACTGAGGGCGCTAAAGGCTCTTATGCTTCCGTACTCTAAAAACATAGTAGAGAACAACGGTAACAAGAACATTGAACACAAAGTAAGAAACAAAAATGCCATAGTTACGCCACTTTTCAGAGACCAAAATCCTGCGTATCGAAAAATAGTCTTGTGCATCCGTCATGGCGCAATACTCGCAGGCGGAGGTGGCATCGGGGTTGTAAACGCTACCTCCTGCAGCCTGAATGAACTTTGCAAAATATTCGCCACAGGTTTGGCCCGAAGGGGGATCAATCACACTCAGCTCGGCTGCGGAGCAGATAATCTTTCGTTCGCAAGAGCCGCTGCGGAGATTCCGGCGACGTAGTAAGTAAAGGGCGACAGGTGATACATAAAGATCCAAAATCGAGGTAGCGCGTCTGGCGGTTGCATAACACCGTTGAACAAAAATGAGAGGCCAAACATAAGAGTGGCAAACATAGCCCCCACGACAGGGGATTCAATAGCCGCAATGACCATTTGCGCTAAACTTGAAGCGTAAACGTAAAACTGCACAATAAAGAGCAGCACGATCCCAGTGTTTTCTGAAGATATTCCACCGCCGAAGACAGGAAAGAAGGCGGACGCCCAAGCACAAAGGCCAACAACTGCCTGCCATGGGATTTCAACAACCACCTGCGACAAGATGAACACCTGCCACGAGTAAATGCGTGATGGCCTTTCCCGCACTTCGTAGAGAGATCTTTGTTGAACGAATTTGGGCATGACCTGGTTGACGAGTACGGAGAAAATACTGCAAAGCAAAAAGATACTGAACAATGCGTTCTGAAAACCCTGCTGTGAAGAATCAACCTTCCAGAAGGAGAAACCGATGAAGAGACCAGAAGCTATTCCAAGACCGAATTTAGCATAAATGTATTCCGGCTGCCGAAAGTACTGTTGAAAAACCCGTTGAGTAACGTACCGGAGCTGGCTCAGAAAGGCCATGGCGAAGTGACTCTCGAGAGTTTCCGGTGTGGCTTTATTTCCTTCCCCGTTTTTGAGACTCTCGAGCTGCTCCAACTCTGCGAGAACTTCTTGAAATTCGGTGCTTTGTTTCCATTTAGTCGGCCAGTCTATGTTGCTCTTTTCATCAGAGACAACTCGCAGAATGTATTCAGCAGTGTTCTCGGAGACGTCACACTCTTTTGCACCATTCCGGAAAAAGTAATCGAGCAAGATGCGTGACTGAGATCCGATATCCCCAAAATACACCGTCCGGCCTCCTTTGGCTAAGAAAAGTAGGCGGTCAAAGGTCTGAAAGAGTAAAGCACTGGGCTGGTGGATAGTTGCAAGTATCGCCTGGCCGTTGTCCGCTAGTTTCCGAAGCAAGCTGCAGATGGTCCAAGAGCTTTGGGAGTCGAGACCGCTCGTTGGTTCGTCGAGGAAAACGAGAAGTGTAGGTTTCGCCGCTAGCTCTACGCCTATGCTCAGGAGTTTACGTTGCTCAACGTTCAAGCCTTGTCCCAGGTTGCCGACAACCGTCTCAGCGAACTCTTCCATGCTAAGCATCCGAATGACTTCTTCGACATACTCGAGTTTTTCCAATTTTGATACGGAGCCAGGTTGTCGTAAAATTGCGCTAAACTGAAGAGCTTCCCGCACTGTTGTAGTCTCGAGGTGCAAATCCTGTTGCTGGACGTATCCGGTCCTTCTAGGAAAACTGGACCCAAGGGCATTTCCATTGACCAGAATATCGCCATTTACCACGCCAATGGACACCCTCTTCGCGAGAACGTCCAAAAGAGTAGTCTTTCCAGCTCCAGATACGCCCATAAGAGCTGTTAATGTCCCTGGCTTCACCCAGCCATTGACATCGTCCAACAACCGCCTTGTGCCGTCCTTTATAGGTATATCGTAGTTAACCCCTCTCCACATGAGGATGTCTTGTTGCTTGGGCAAGTAAGGAACGTAAACCTCGTCAGTGACCAATTCTGTGCGTAAGCCGAGGTCTTTCCGCTGGTTTTCCACGTCACTTAATGCGGTTTCTTTGCGCTCATGCCCTGGTCGGTACAGCAATGTCTCGGCTTTTGATCCTCCAAAGCGGATAAACTCCGTTGCCATGAAGTATGAACCGTGGAAAACAATCATGAAAGACAGCAAGATAGCATAGTTTCGCCACAAGTGAGAGTGGTGGTAATTGTAATTCTTGGCAATGTATTCGTCTCCCTGGATGAACTGCTGGCCAGGCAATGCACCGACGGAAGAGCAGATTGCCGAGTCTCCGCTCCCATATGGCGGAATATACGCGGCACAGCCAAATTGTCGGTCATGAAATTCGTTGGAAACAAGTGATTCAAAGGCGTAGAATATGTGATTGATCCATCTGATCCACGAGAACCAAGGTCTCATGTATGTAACAGGGATGGTGAAACCGGTGTAGACAACAATGAGAAGCACCATGATTCCTGCTAGGCCCATCGCTTGACCCACAGATTTGGTGAACGAAGCCAGACTTCGGAAAATGGCCGACATGGTGAAGACGGCAGTGATAAAAAAGGCCCGGGTTCCCGGTGGAGATTGGCCATAAAGTAGAGAACAACGCTGAAAACAGAGACCCGTAGTATTTTAACAGGGGCGTCGACAAGCACACTTGCCATGGCCTCGGTAAATGGGTGAACAAAAGCATACCGCGCTTGCTTCTCAACGATAGGTCGCTGACTGTACAACTGTAAGATTTCGTTGATTGTGATGATGGCGTTCATGAGAATTGAGAAAAAGAGCACTGCTCCCTTTTGAAAGAAAGCACTGCTGTTGTTCGGGGATTTGAAGAACATGGACCCAATAATAAGGGAAAGCGACACTTGGGAGCCCACTACAGATCTGACGGCCTGTACATCGTTCCGCATACGTCTAAATGCTCTCCAAAGCCAGAGTCGGATCTGCATGGGTATCGACAAAAGATAGGGGCTACCTTGTCTTGTGTGATTGGCTTGTTGCTTCTGGTGAACGTCGAATATTGTCTCGGCATCCTTAGCATCAAAGGGATGCTCATCTCGAAATGTTTGAATTTGACCGTTGAGCTCCTGATAGTCCTGGGACCTCTGCCAATACCGGGCAAACTCCTCCGGGGTGCGCGGTACTTTGTGTTCCATACCGGTCCGAGGGCGGCGTTCTGTTGAGTTTGTGATGGCGGTCAAGAAATCTGGAGCCACCTGCTGGGGGTCTTTATACCATCCCATTTCCTCGAAATATTGGACGGCACGCATTGTCGGACCAAAAAAAATTTGGTGGCCAGAATATAGAACGATCACTTTGTCGAAAAGATCATACATGGGCTGGGAGGCTTGATAAGCTGCTACTGCATGACATGCTCTCCCAACGTCTGCTGAGTTTCGTAAAGACCTGATGAACTGGATGGCGGATGAGGCGTCAAGTCCACGGGTGCTGTTGTCCCACGCGCCGAAGCGAGCCCTGGACAGGAACATTTCTGCGATGCTGACGCGTTTTCGCTCACCACCACTGACTCCACGGACAAAATTGTCTCCGATCTTTGTGTCGCGAGCGTGGGTAAGACCGAAGATGGCCATACTGACTTTTGTGACGGTGTCAATATATTGAGATCGGGTCATGCCTGCTGGACGTTGCTCTGGTGTTCGAGCCGCGGCCGCAAAGTGAAGGGTCTCAGCGACAGTAAGATGGGGGAAATGCTCATCCAATTCTTGGTTGTAAGCCACTTCACCGCGGTACTGAGTGATCATCTGCTCGTAGCTGAGACCCATATAGTGAATATTGCTTTGAGGGTCCAAATTCAAGCCGTTTAGGAGTCCTGTGATGACCTTGAGGAATGTAGTGCATCCACTTCCTGGACGACCTAACACGAGTAGGAGTTCGCCACCCTTTAACAGTCCGTCGAATCCAGAGAGAATGGTCTTGGCTGTGGCGTGATGGTTGGAGCTCACAAGACTGGTGATGTGATGGATTGGTGAGAGCAGGCTGCTGATGACAGTGTGCTGCACTTGCACCTTGGCATCAGAGCCATTTACGCCCAGCCCGGAGAATGCAACAGCCTGGCCCAGGGGCGTGATGTCTTCTTGGTTGAACGTAGAAAGCACCGCTTGAGCCCAGCGGTAGTGATCGAAATCTTTGGATTCGGGATCCAGGCGCGGATCATTGGGGATAATCGTTTGACGCTTGAGGTCAGTAGCAACCCGCTGAAGGTTGGAGAGTTCCTCCAGCTCATACTGCTGTTGCTCATCACTCGAACCCGCCATGGTGAATAGGCCGAGTAATTTTTTGGCTGGCTGCTGGAGAAGGAGGTGAGCCTGAAATACAGATCGAGTTCTGAGAAGGGCTAGAATATATACCAAGCTGGGTAATTCTTAAGGTACATGGAAGGCAGAAATTCTCACATTGTCACATGGTTTGGTTGCGCCGCGGACCATTCGAGCCAATCACTTTTGTGAAATAACTAGGACTAAATTGTATAATAAATTCCTCCTGAGTGTCGAGCGCTAGGGGAGATACCGTCTCAAAGAACGATACTTGCGGGCCTTCGGGCCCGGAGGGTCGGACCGGAGGGTCGGACTGGAGATCCGGGTACGTACTTGTGGAGGATAACAACAACGGCCCACCTTAGAACTCCATGTTCCGGATATCATCAATACCTTGAAAGAGGAATTCCCTGGAAAGATCGGCAACCCGGAGCGTTTGAAGCTACCTAATCATACATCATACCCTGTAGAGTTTTTTACTTTCCTTAGGTAAATTAGAAAATTCATTGCATAAGCTCATGTACTAAGCAATGGGAGTTTTCAAGCCATCTCTCGATAATTGGTTTTGATGGGCTTCGACTCTATCAGGTGAATTTCACGTGACTTTTTACACGTTTTTTCTAGGCGTTATTCAGATCTGTTTGGTTATTGGTGTCATAGAATCAGGGTTTTCGGCCTTAGCCGAGTACTGGGCGACATTTGTTACTAACTTCGAATTCACCGGCACAGTCTAACTCAAGGGGTTTGAATGTATAGAAAATCCGTAGGCTCTGTAAGGGTAAGACCCAGTCTTACGTGATGAAAGATTAATTTTATGAAACATGACTCAGAATTCACGTTGAAAAGTCATTCTCAACATCTAGATATAACCTCTTGAGGGTAACTACGACCAAGGAACTGTCACAGCAAATCAGGCTCTAGCGTAGCAACAGAGCTGTATCAAATGGGTGGCCTAGTAGCTTGTTGAAGCCAGGGTCGCCAATTAAAGTTAGCCTCCCTCAGTGGAGCCGGAATATCCCGTATATTTCATCAAAACTCTTTTGGTCAATCCAAGACATGCCCACGAGGCCCACAATTCCCTTTTTCTTCGCATGATGCAAAAAGAACAATGGATGCTCCAACACCTTAACACACCACCAAGTAAACTACGGATATCGGACCTATTGCCAGTACTCCGAAAAACGACCCAATGCCCCCTATTCATGTCAATATCCCTACGAGTATTTTCTAGCGAATTTTGTCTTTTTCTTCTAGTCAGCGCCAAGAGAAATCATGGTGTCAGAACGCTCTGCCGAAGGCTTTCCATCATTGACACCACCACCACCATCAGGACGGTCTGTTGCGCCAAACAGGCGTAGGGATAAAGTCCAGCTTTCTTGCACCTTTTGCAGACAAAAGAAGTGCGTAAAAACCCACGCTCTCACGATAAAAAATTATTGCCAACAAACTCTGTCAGACTGCGATGCGATCGCTCAAAACCATGCCTAACCTGTGTCGCCCGAGGTCTAGGTAGTGCTTGCACTTACCCCGCCGCCAGCATCGCACGGCCACAGGGGGGTTCAGGCTCTCGCACTGCTGGCGACCCCAGTCTCCTAGAAAGACTCGCCACCCTTGAGAGCATGCTAAGCTCCCTTGTCAATGGCCGTGATAATCCTGGAGCTGGGGTAGTTATCACCCCTGGTGCAAATGTGAAAACCCCATTTCAAGTGTCTACTCAATCTTCTCAAAGTCCAAAGCCCTTTGATACTGCCTCTGGAAAGATGGACGTTGGATCTTTGGGCACGAATTATGTTAGCAGTGCTCATTGGACGTGCATACTCGACAGCATGTCAGAACTAAGGCAATGTCTTATACAAGAGAAGGAGAGCGAAGCCACAAAAGCACTCAGTCAGACGGACAGGGAAGTTCTCGACCTTCCAGAAGAGTCGAACCCCATGGATTCATTACATTTGTTTTCTACAAAAAGACAATGTCGGACAAAGGCCCAGTTACTCGAAGGCTTGCCACCTCGAGCTGTCGTTGACCGGCACATTTTTCGTTACTTCAACAAAGTGCCACATGGTACGGATATTTGAGGAAATAGTAGTTTCAATACGTAAACTGACGGCAGTTATTTTTAGCGCACATCCATCCTCCTTCTTTTCTTCGGCAGGTATGTTCAAATCCCATCTATTTGTCGGCTTCTTACCTTGCCTTGTCGAAACCACCATCGCCCAATCGAGCATCCATAGAGAAAGCCCCTTTGTAGCGTGTTTTATTGAATACTTTCAGGCGCCTTTCTTTGACTGACACCAAGTCATAGTATGAAGCTTTCTGGTAAAACCCTGCCGAGGTCCCCGTCATGTGGCTGGCCCTCCTTTATAGCATTATGTGCTTCACAACGGCTAGCAATCTTGGGATAGGAACAGAGCAGGGGGCCTGGAGGTCTAGCAAACCTAATACGTCTCATCCAGAGTACCTGGAACAACTCATTGACTGTCTCATCCTTGGAGATTACAGTCGCGGAGGCCCTCATGCTATGGAAGCGCTCCTCAATTACTGCTTATTTGAACACGTAAGACGTCGCGATCCCGACACAAGGAACTGGTCACTTCTAGGCGTCATTCTACGCCTGGCATTCCGAATGGGCTGTCACCTTGAACCTTCACGCTTTCCTGTGATCAGTCCGTTTCAAGGGGAGCTCCGAAGAAGGTTGTGGATGATGTTATACGGCATGGACATGGTGTTCTCTTTACAAATGGGAATGCCCCGCATGATTAAAGACGAGAATAGCGACATTATGCCTGCCCGCAATCTTTTCGATACTGATTTCGACGAAGACACAATGGAACTACCACCATCGCGCCCATTTGGGGAGATTACACCCATGTCATTCTGGCTGGCAAGGCATGAGTTTATGGTCATTATGGCCAGTATTGCTGATCTCGCTATTTCAACTACAGTAACCAACGAACCTTGCTCCGAACAGAAAATGCGACACTTGGACGAACTCTTGAGGAACACTTACGAAAGACTTCCGGGGGGCATAAAATTTACCTCCATATCAGCCTGTCTATTTGCTACCTCGGAAGATATCAGCAACAGGCTGAGTCTCGCCGTCATTCTACGCAAATGTCTCATCATTCTCCATTACCGGCACGTCATTGGAGGGACAACAAATGGCCAAGAGCACTCTCCCGCAGGCGCTCCCCAAATGAAAGTGAGTTGCGGATGTAGCTCAGAATTTTGTGCCGAGTCTGTGCGAAAGTGTGTTGATGCCGCCATGCAACTTCTTGAATACCAGGATTTGATCCACTGCGAGACTGCGAGTGGCGGCGCCCTTGCGTCGCAAGGTTGGAGGTTGTCTGCGTCGACAATCCTCCATGAGTTTTTAATGGCAACCTCAGTACTCTGCAAATATCTGTATTCCATATCCAAGAGTCAGAGTGTGGACGGAGCTTCAAAAGATTCAGAAGTGGTGCTTAACGTCAAAGCGGCACTTTTACGAGCAAACAACATGTTGCAGTCGCAGAGCCATAGTTCAAGAGATGCAGAGAAGACTGCCAACAAGCTTGGAGCTCTTTTGAATATGCTTCAGGTCTACAATCACAATGAAAATGCACCACTGCCAGCCACTACCCCAGACGACTTGACAGATTTTTCACTAGCGTGTTGGCCGTTAATGAATCAGGATAGCTTTATGGACGAAAGGAATTTGTTTTTCTTGTAGGGCGCTGCTATTATATGGTGAAGAATTCAAAAGCGCTATAAATTAAGATATAAAGTTTAAGTGGCCAATGCGTCGTATGACAATGTAGTCAAAGAATATATATCTACTTTGAGTCCAAATTCATAATACATAAGACGGCTAGAAGCCATAGTTATTCAGTGTACGAGATTTCCTCTCGATCACCCTTATTTTCCTTCCGCAAGTGGCTTTTTCAAAACACAACTCATAGCTTTTCGCCAGAAAGAAATTCGTTCAGGCATAATGAGGCGTATTACCTACCCGTCTTGGAGTTGACTGTACATGTCGCGGCATAGATGGCATAACAACACCGCTACAAAGATAGCTAGCTTTGGCCCTATTCTTGACATTCATTTTACACCCAGGATTTCTATCATACTGGGCCATCGTCTACCTCCATGAGACTTGAAAAGGTTAGTCAACTATGCAGGTTCGTTCGTCACTGTTGAGAATACACAGTTCAGTGTAACAGTGCAAGCTCTCACCAACGGTTTCGGATAACCATCCATATTATATACCGGAAGGACAAAATAAAGAACTGGAATGAAACCATCAAAAACATACAACACCAGGTATTCGCTGGTCGTCACCGACCCAACTACTAATCCGGCCCTCATTGGCTTATCTATGGGAGAGCGGACGGGATCCCGAGTTTTCCAATGGGTATGGTCGTATGTGCTCATTTTGTTGGAAAGGAAATTTATAAGGGGATGCCCAGGAGGTAAAGCTTTTGGGCCTCATACCAATTTTTTTCCACACGCTTAAGGCGACATAATAACATAGAGTTTAAACAAGTAATCCGAAGGTAATAAATAAAACTAGATACTCAAATGCAGTCATCATGTTATTTAACCTCTTATTTATCATCCCCTTTGTGGTAATACTATCATGAATGTCTCTTAGACAGGTCTGGCTGGCACATGATACACAGGCTCAATTATAAACTGCCCCGTGGAACTGTGACGTTAAGGCTATTTAACAGTCAAAAGAGCAGGCTATAAAACTTCTTTGTTATTACCGCCAAGAGAGCAAAGGAACAGAAATCAAAGTTTAGTTTGTTCTGACATGGGTTTCTGCTTTGTTTGTCTTGGAATTCAATGAAATTACCAAAACTCACGTGGGGCATATTCCTATCTGAAAGCGGGGTAAGCGACTTTTGCGATGCTCACTCTGCTTGTGCTGTCGGCGCATCCTTTAAGTTCAAGACAGAATAGCGCAAGCCCTTTAGACCACGAGCCACATAATCCTTCGGCAGATGAGTTACAATGAGACTTGAGACCATCTCAGGCGCCGCCACCGGCGATAGTCAGTTTCTTCTTATAAGATTGGTCAAGGCAGGAAACATAACCCATATAATTGATTGGAAGTTGATTGAAGTCGCCCTCATTCCAAGCGTCAGTCTAGTAGCGAAGCCATTTAAGTTGAAGCCCCGCCACCTACGTGACTTAACTGACTGAATTGATAATATGTCTTGGCGCGTTGGTCTTGGCAGTGCCTAATATGTATCTGTTCCCTGCACACTGCTTAGCCTTTTGCAACTAGTTGGAGCCGTCGACGCCTCAAGGCATGTTCTGGTTTCAGCAGTGCGGGGGAAGCCCGCCATATCGGTATTCTATGGCAAACTGAGAATTTCACATGGATTAAATGGCATATTCCTCGTCAGGAGGATCACTCTATGATATCCTTGACGACAAAGATGCGATGCGCTGATCATTCTGCACGAGGCAGATCAGACGCTACGACTACTTGGAACATGTCTCGGTACTTGGCTGTTCCGTTCTCACAAAGCCGCGTTGCAACTTGTTGGCATACAGACCAGAGTGTCAAACAAGAGTCCTAGGGCGAGCCGTGCATGTGTAAAGATTGCATGAAATATAATGATTCAATACCACAATCAAAACATCTGTGGCGAACCATGATCTTGTTTTGACTTTGTGGCTTCTCGAGCTGAGCTCGCTAGTAGTCTCGAGGGCGAATATTTGCGCCAAAACATTGCAAAAGATTGTCCTCGATCGAGTGATGGGCACAAGATCTTCTTATATCTACATGTGGGGTGGCAATCACAAGAATGCTGTGATGTAAGCGAGCAGTAGTCTGCCTCTAGCCCATATATGCCACATTTATGCTTGATTCTTGGGTCCATAGTAAAGTTGGAAGATGTAAAGTAAAAGAATATCGCACCACAATCTACTGCAACACGAAAAGGCGTTGAATCTTTACACTTTTTATCAATTAACCAAATTATCCTACCACACTGTAGTTACCACAATGAACGCCAGCAACTCCAACCTCACCGACTCCAGATACGGTTACGATTTCGTGGTCTCGACAACTCAGGCCAGTATCAATTCCGGCTTGCTAGAGTATTTATGGGAAAGCAATCAGCCGGTAAACTATGTTTGTTATCTCTTGGTAAGTTAATACACATCACAGGCGACAGCAGAAATGAACATCTATTTCGTGCTGTTGAGAAATGCACCGAGCAATAATTTGACCGGTTTCTGACCCGTTTAGGACCCCAATACCGGGAACGCCACAACTCAGATCAGCCTTGAGGAACTGCTGAAGAGGACAAACGGGGTCAACCCGTTTGACATTCTAGATTGCACACCAGCGAGTGATCCTCGAGTCGAGGCCCTCACTCAGAACAACTTCGCTGTAGGCGTGAAGATCCGTATTGGGGTGCCCCCCGGGAAGATACCCAAGGAGCTTCCCCCAATTCTGGAGCTAGGAAAGAGTGGCGGCAAGTCTCTCTTCAGGATGTTCTGCTCCGAGTTCCAAGTTATTCAGAACATTTCAAGCTGCGAATCTTCCATCAATGGAAGCTGGAATGTCTGGGACCAGCCTTCCGGATCGCCTTGGTACATCGAGACGGCCGTCGACGTCGTCAAAGGGGGCCTTGACCGGAACCTTGAAACGCCCTATTTTAATCAGCACCCAGAGCTCAAGAGAAATCTCCAAGCTCAGCTTACCGATTCATTTTCAAGCACGTCTTTCAGCCTTCAACAAACTCTTTTGGACCTAGAAAATGCCGCTTACCATAGTGCGCCCAACTTCGTAGGAATCCCAGCCGGATCCCACGCACTAGAAGTCTTGCAGAAGAGCTTCATCGACCTGTACAGCAAGGCTGCTAAAAGTTATGGAGAGCCACTTCTTGCGGTGACCGCCGTCACTCAAGATAGTGAAGATCATTCTCAGCTCAAGGTGACTTCGCTTGAAGTTGGTATCAGCCGGTACAAAGACTCCAATACTCAGGTGATCAACGATCCGACGCCTGATCAGGCTGCCGCGACGACCCTCAGTCATCTATGCATGACTGACGGCCATGGAGCTCCTGCATTCTCGGATCCGTACTGGAACTGGGTCCAGCCCGGGGAAGTGAAGAACGAAAGCGGCGTCATTGCCATCAAGCGAGCCGTTTTTGCTGAACAGTTGATTAAGACTATCTTGCCATTGGCAATGAAATCCTGTATTAAACCCCAGATTAAAATCAAATTTACTGATTTCTGGGGCGATTGGGAACCCGACTTGCAATTCATCTCCAATCAAACACCTCAGAAGATTGATATCCGGTCCCCTGACAATGAGGCATGGATAATCGACATCACCTGGTCTGCTGAGAATGATCCTGGAGTGACGTCTTCGAATTCAGAACACGGATTCTTTGACACTCTGACAATTATACCTCATTACACCTGCGAAGTTTTCACGTGGGACAGTACCATCAAAATCCAACAACACCTGTGGATCTATTTATCAGTCCGTTGTCAAGGTACTAACCAGAATCTGACAGGGTACGATGTCACCATCACCGACTTTTACGACTTGTCCGTGGACCAGACAGGGCGATTGAAGATTAGCCGTGACCCCAACAGGTCCCAGAGGGAGGACAAATCTCAGGAACCTAATGCCAGCTGGATAACAAATATGTTTGCGGGCGTCAACGACGCCGTCAAACAGATCAAGGAAAAGATTCAAGGCCTTGTCAAGTTTGATCTGGAGAGTTTCGACTTCGCGACGCCCCAAAACTTTGTCTTCCCTGGCGGCAAGGTTTTCACATACACATCGGCCAAGTTTTCCAAACACCAGGACTTGATCTGTGACATTACCTACGCTTCGCCAAACGAATCCTTTCAGCCGCCCCCTCAAGCAGATATACCAATATCCGATCAGTCGTGGGGGAAGCCTGCAACAGACAATGGCCAAACACCTACCTCAAAGCCCCCCGAAACAGCCAGCCCGCCGTCATATTCAATGACCCACACCACGGAGCTGATCCAGAACTACATCCAGGGAGAGATTGTATCTCCAACGGAAAAGTTCGAGGCGCTCCAGACTGACGATGGTCACTCCTTGCTCTTCGCATTGAGCACAGACAATGTCTTGAATGTCATCATGGAACAGAGCGGCACGACCAAGACGGGTTGGGTCCGCACCGCTCTTTCGTCCGGTTTCTCCTCAGTGCGCACTTTTGACGTGGGACAAAGCGTCACGGACGGAACCATCGGGATGGCTTTGGTGGTATCTGAAGGAGGTTCGGACCAATTGTTCCTCTCCCTGTTTAACTCTAGCTCCGATACATCATGGACAGCGAAACCCAATTGGTCTCTGATCCCTTTTGATGCTGAAGGCCACACAGGACCTGTCGACATCATCCGCGTTATGTTCGCAGAGCCGCAGGGAAGCCAGCAACACATCATTGTCGACACCTTACGCTCGTCGAACAAGGCAGACAAGGAAATTGACCGCTACTACGTCGATCCTCAAAAGTCCTCCGGCAGATTCTGGACCTCGCATAGTCTCCCGGTAGACGTTCAACAAAGCAACTACCAGACCTGTGTGGGTAGAGTCGCCAAGGGGTTCATCGATGGGGTTTATACCGTTGGAACCGCTGGTGGCTCAGCCCAGCTTGTTTACGTGCCCATTGAGAACGCCTTTGGCGACGGTCCTCCATTACCATGCCGTCTCATCTTGCCACAGGACACGCGGGCATCTTCCATTGCTGCCGCCCGCAGGCCTGGTACTCTTGCGTCACCTGATGGTACAACAGACTTATTCGCTGTCGGGAACTCGACTCTGTACTACTTTCCGGCTGAAAGACAGACTGACATGTCTGTGGCCACGCAATTGCTCAGCAGCGACGTGTTTTCGGGCACATCGGAGCTCGCAGCCATGACGCGTGAAGGCGTGACGACGATCTGGGGCAAGAATGCATGCAACGAGGTATACTACATCTCGTGCCCGTCCAATCAACTCAGCAACCAGAATGCTTGGAGTGTCCCTGTGCCAATCTTGTTCGGTGTCGAGCGAATGACTCCATACCTCAATCGCAGGGACGGCGGCAAAGCCATCTTTACATCCGGGTCTGGCAAGCTGGAGAGACTGACGCAGGCCACCGGCACTGACGCAAAGATGTGGGTTGCAGATGAGATAAAGCTTCAGGCCGCGGAGCGTAAGACGAGGCCGCTCTCGTTCAAGTCATACACGACTACCATCCACGTCCTCGACAAACACGATCTGCCAGCCCCTGACGTTAAACTGTCAATTTCCACTAGTTCTCAAACACCCGTATATATCAACGGGACTTACTACGTCCTAGGGCAGGCATCTGTCACAGTGACTACGGATGCCTGTGGATGTCTGACCATCATTGAGGCCCTCCAAGATAGCATTAACGGCACTCTTATGACGGTCATCTGCAACGGTGGAGACGCTCAAGTCATTATCAACCCCATGGAGAAGTCCTTCCAGACTATAGCCGCACTCAATAGCGAGGGAGCCCTCCGAGATGCAAAGGTTGCAACGAACACGGTTGCAGGCGGCATTAGGGGCAATCCGACATGGACCGCTCTCGTCGAGAAAGCACTGCCAGCCGAAGTAACCGCTGCCGCTGACAGCCTCAGCAGACTCGGCACAACCTACGGCCTTGTGAAGCCGACTGTGTCCTCCGGGTCGTGTATGAGCGTGATCCCACACACCCTCTACAAGCCCTCGTCTTCAGACAGCAGTCTGGTGCACGATGTAGCGATCGCAGCTGGTGACCTCTTCCGCTGGCTCAAGTCAGATAGCCAGAGGGTCGTCAAAGTCATCAAAGACGATGCAAGTGGTGCCTGGCACTTTGTAGCCACCATCGCCGACAAAGTCTACCGCGCAGCGCTGACCTCGGTCGACGCTATCGTCGGGGCAGCCGAGTGGGTTTTCAAGAATGTCAAGACCGACATCAAGAAGCTCATGGGCTTTGTGGAGTTTCTATTCGATTGGGATGATATCGAACGGACTAAGAACGTCTTCTACAACATGACGAGGCAGTGGCTGCGTGGTCAGGTTGACTATCTCCATACCGCGAAGACGGAGTTTGATGGACAGATTGCGCATGCTGAGAAGAGTATCGAAAAGTGGGCGGGCATCACGGACTGGGGGTCGCCACTCGGAAGCAAAGCCTCTCAACCAGCGGCCGCGAGCGGCACCAATCCTGCGAAGGCGCATACCTCGGGGTCGCAGATGATGATAACCCATTTCAAGAACCACGTCGCCGATACAGAGGTTGTGGGCACGCTGCCGAAAATGAATGTAGCTTCAGAAGTCGTCAATGACCTGCTTGAGGCGCTGGACAAGGAAGAGCAGACCATGTCAAACGTCTATACTCAGCTGCAGAAACTATCAAAGAACTTCAGGACCAAGACAGTTGGGGAAGTTCTCAAGGATCTCGCTGGCATCATTGCCCTCGGGGTGCTTTCCAGCGTCCAGATTGTGATAGATGCACTATTCGATGTTCTTGTCGATGTTGCTGATGATGTCATCGGTCTCCTGGATACAAAGATTCATATCCCCGTCATCTCTGACATTCTAAACGACGTTGGCATACCCGACATATCCTATATGGACCTGATATGCTGGCTCCCATCGTTCTCGTACACGGTTATATACAAGATTGCTCACCAGAAGGCCCCATTTGCTGCCGACGACGCCGAAGTACAGGCGTTCATTGCCGCGGATTCCTGGGGGACAATGCAGGCGATCTTGAGACCGGACTCCTCAAAGTCGCCGGTCTCGGAATCTCTTGGCATAGCTGCTACTCATCGCGCCGTGAACGCCGTTCCCAAGTCAGCAAATGCCTCTGTGATGCCTCAACAACTTGACAGCGCATGCATCAGCGAGACCTCCCCGACTTCGATCTCTTCCTTCGCCTCGACAAGGGTGGCTAGCACAGCACCCACATCCCCTGCCTCCCTAAAGTCACCGCCATCGCCGCTTGCTGAGCGCATCTATCAACTTGGCCACTTTGTCGGCAGCTGTACGAGCATCATGTCAATTTTTGTCGACGCCGAGGAAGCTTCACTTGAACCAGGCAACCCCCTGGCCATGCAATCAGCGTGCATAAGTGTTGTCGGCGGCGTCTCCTCAAGCATAGCTGACTTCGCCGTACCAAGAGACCCCATTCAGAGTACGGCCGCAATTAAATGGTCTTACGGGATCCTTGGAGTCCGATTCCTCAGCATTCTTTTTTTCACCCCTTTTGCACAGGGACGCCTCGAAGCCTATGGCGCCCACCCTGTCTTTGTCGACCGTGAGGAACGCCCCAAGGGGGCAAAGCTCGATGCTATCATCGCCATACCGGCAGTGTTTGTAACGCTTGAGCATTTCTGTGAGCTTTATCACAACAATCTAAGCCTAGATGCAACGGCGGCTGTCTTGGGCGAGTTGACCAATGTGGCATCCTATGTGTCGCGGATCTGCTATGGTATTGCCGTCAATATAAATATAGCGGTAGAAAGGGAGGAGCCAATCAAATACATGTCATATGCAAACGCAGCTTGCGCCGCCCTGGAGGCCGCGCAGGGCGCAGTACCAATGTAGGAGGGAGACATCGAGACTGGGTGCACCCGGCTCAATGACAGGCAAGCAGAGCCGCTTTCAGTAGACCCTTTTTATATTTTTACTGTCATTGATTCGACTTTTCTCTGAGCGTCTTTTCTTCGATGGCAGTTTGCATACTGAGTCTTGGCTTTCTTCCGTTTCCTTCTTTACTGAATAATTGCTCTGGTATAGCCACCGTAAATCCTAAATTTCCTATGCATGCACTACAGCGACGCTATGTTTCTGTTCAAACAGTCAAGAAGACAACTAAGTCAATTTCTCAAGGAAGATATGAACGAACACATCGAGTAGTGACGTCGGGGAAGCAACAAGATTGGGTGGGCATGGATACTGGAGACCTAAAATCTGGAGCGAGTCTGAAAAGACATCTCTGCGCCTACTCCACGTTTCTGTGTCAGAGTAATGAGGGGAAAGCATATATATCAGCACAAAACCTCTTGGAGGAATCTGGAGTGGGTGGGCGGAAAGAAACGAAATCCCGAGTTTTCCAATGGGTATGGTTGTACACATAGACCAGCCCATTACAGCAATCACCAGCTGATCTAAGACATGACCCCATGGGGTCGGATCACCCTTCCCTTCAGAGTCAGTAAGGGGCCTAAAGCCGGAGTGATTGGCTCTTACATAGGCAGAAGCCGCACAAGATCAAAGACCACAGCCTGGACAACTTAATTCTGGCTAGGATTAGTCGTGTCTCAATATTTGGCGTGTGTCAGTTGACACTAGAAACAGCAAATACTAGTATGTGCAGGTCTTTAAGAAATGACGGTGAGTTTGGTATCGCAGCAGCCCAAAAAGGGGTATAGGTAATGCTTGGAAGGGATTGGAGCCAGAAAATGAGGCTTGGTGAAGCTGAATGCTAATCAGGTGTGATTCATGATTCCAACCCATGAAAGTCTCATTTTCAAAACGAGACGAAATTCTCAACCACGCTGCAACAACGTTGGCTCTATAAGAAGAGTCTGTTGCGTACTGCGTACGTAGTAATATTCCCAGCAGCTTTATCACTGCGTCTTGGCGGAAGTACAACAAGAGGTCAGCCACAGACGAAAGGCCTATTTTATCCAAGATCGTGTTCGTTCGGTACAACCTTCCCACCTATAAGATGAAGTCCGTATTGCTCGCCACTCTCATCAACATTATCATTGAACATGTTTCCGCATCTTATATGAACCAGCTACTTGGCCTTCAAGCCGGGTGCAACCGTGACAACTGCTTCCGTGCTGTACTCGGCTCACGACCCGGACCTGCGTCGGCATTTGCTGATTGTTCCTCGTGGATGCAAGTCACTGAGACTCCTTGCGCGTCAACTGTAACGGAGACGGCAACCGTTACATCTTTTACCACCACTCTAGCAAATCCGTTTCCGGGCATTAGCAACATGAAGCGAGGGCAGCTAGAAGACCGACAGGTATCATCAACCCCCCTCGGTACCACGTCTTGCACGGTTTTGAAAAACAGTCCGAGCAGCTTGGCAGCATACATCCAAACAGCCTGCCCGTCTGTTGGCACCTTCGCCCCTTCGGCGCGCTACTCCACCGCTTGCTCCTGTGCTGGTGTCACCGCCGCAACGACAACACTCGCTGCATCCATAACTACTGTGACCACTACTAGTACTTTTCTGACCGCATATACACCCACGAACACGCCGACGGCATTTATTTTGCAAACATCGATTGACAGAAACCTGTATGTTTCGGTTGACGACACCGGAGCTCTGCGTTTGGTGCGCAACGCCACAGCTGCTACGCCCTTTTATATCGACGACGCCAGAGAGATGCGCAACCTGAACAGTCCCAACAAAACATTTGTCAACTACTACGACCCCGACCCGTATACCGCCGACGACAAAGTTTATAGTGACGTAGAGGGACCAGGAAAATACCAAATCAATTGTGGGATTGTAGGCCGTGTTGATGGGGGGTTCTACGGCAACTGCCAGTCTAGCGGCTCTCCTAGCGGAAATCCAGATGTCTACGGCTTCAGTTCTTGTTCCTACCACGGCGAGTATGTGTACATGACCCCGAACTTCTCTAATGTGCGCTGTCGGCCAGGAGGTTTTACCTTCAGCGGTTTCTATCTAAAGACATACACTGGTAATCAGGCAGGTGGTGGAAAATAAAGATTAACCATGCTACTTATCAGGAAGGACTTGTTCATTTTGCGTAGGATTGAGTTTTGCTCAACATTCTCGCTGTACTGCCATTATGACAACCCTTCTGCAAAGCCTGGAAAAGAAATTGAAAAATAAGTAGGAAAAGTCGTATTATTATAGAATGGAAATACTTAATTGCGACTGTCCATAATAATGATGATGGGCGAACGATGGTCATGACTCGTTGTTAAAGCTGAGGCGTCGTCTGCTCGTTTATCGTTCTCGTTTAAATTCCTCGTTTATACGCCTCGTTTGTCTGCCTCGCTCCTCGGTCTCGTTTATCGTTCCCATTTTGGAGATCAGTGTTAAAAAGCTGTGGGTCATTGCCTAATGTTCATTCAAGGCGGTTATGAGTGTCGCAAGTAAGACTAGTCTTTCACAAGTGTTAATGTTAACATTTTTAGTGTCAAGTACTCGACTACGCGTCAACTTGTACGAAGTCAACCGTTCCTACAGTAGCACAAACTATTTCCGATGTTCACGTGGCATAACTCTCCCACAACGTCACCCGAATGAGATGTGTTGTATCCGCTGAAAAAAAACCACACTCAGTGAAGAAAACCGGCTCGTAACCTGTTGTAGCAGCTCGTTCTGCGGTGCCCCCTAATCTGTCGGTCTGTCCGGAAACCTTTGTGGATGTTTAGTGGCGAAGCATCATATCAATTCAGCGGTCAGGCCATCAGCCATGCTCTGATTGATGTCATTGTATGGACAAGCCCCAGCGGATCATTGACAGCATAAATCCGTTTCGTTTTCAAGGCAGTCATGAGAAACTATAAAGTTCTCAATAAAATTCACCTTGTGATCACTTCTTCTTTATCAATAGCATCCCAACAGTCAAACATTTCGCTTTACAGAATCATGAAGGCCACAACACTCTTTATCGCGCTTCTCACTGTTACTGAAGCAGCCGATATCGTTCCCAGCACTGGCACCACCGCATTGAGAGAAGAGGCGCAAAAGAAGAACGTTCTCATCGGTTCCGGTGCCATCAACCCGACCTACCTCGATGATCCCCGGTTTGCATTTGTGCTTGCAGAGCAGTTCAACAGCCTCTCGCCTGAGAATAAGCTCAAATGGAATTTCATCAACCCAACCCCAGGCCAGTATGACTGGGATAAGATCGACCGCCTTGTTGACTTCGCCGAAGAAAACAATATGAAGGTCAAGGGACATGGGTTCATATCGGGATGTTGTAACCCGGACTACCTCCTCAACATCACCGACGCTACAGAAGTGCGTACTGCGATGAAGACTCACTTCGAAGCGGTTATGCACCGGTACGATGGCAAGATGGATCGCTGGGATGTTGTATCCGAAGCCCTGGAAACGCAAGGGGGTGGCTTGCAAGTGAACAACTTCTTCTACAAGACACTTGGTCCTGGTTACATTGCAGATGCCTTCCGCATCGCCCGGGAAGCAGGGCCGGACGCCAAGCTGTACCTCAACGAGAACATGGTTGAGTCTAATTCTGGCAAACGTCAGGAACTCTACGACCTGGTTTCTGGTCTGGTGAGGGACGGCGTTCCGATTGATGGAATTGCTCTGCAGATGCACGTTACTCTGGAACCCTTGGTACCGGGCGTCATCACAGAGATGGTAGATTTCTTCAAAGGACTTGAACTAGAGGTTACTATCGCGGAGTTGGATGTCCATACGTACAATGCTACACAGCAGACAGAAATTTACGGCGCCGTCATTGAAGAGGCTTTGGCATCGGGAATAACCGACATTTCTTTCTGGGGTTTCACGGACAAACATCTTTACACCTGGCTTCCAGGCGCGAAACCCTTGATGTTCGATGAGGACTACAGCGCGAAAGGAGCATTTTACGCTACTCACACTGCCTTGACGAACTTTGTCAATGCTCCCTAGAACATCGAACACTGAGCGATGCGTTGAAAAGTTATCTTTTCGTCAATAACTTTCACCAGTGTATTTAATCTGTACCTTTCATCAGTATCTTTTTAGGGCTACCACCATTTGCAAAACATCTTTTGTAACTACAACAGCTACATCTCTTACTAGGGAGTAACTAAAAACCATGTACATATACTTCTAAATCATGAGAATTGCTCATAATAATCTTGATGCTGGCGAATCGGTGAACAGCACATCAAAGCTTACCATCGTTAAGAAGACACTAACTGACATGACTTCTTCGGACTTGATCTCCGACTGTTACCACTTGTAAGGTTAGGATCGTGGGGATCGCCGATCATGTGCCAACAAGGCTTAGTCTGTATCCTGGTTAATGGTTCGATCCTTTTGTAACGGCAATAGGGGCCCAGCTGCAATAAGCCGTCCCTAGTGGAGTGTGTGAATGGAGTGTGAGAATCACACGTATGGCTAGGCTGAAAGGATTTAGGAATATGGAAGGCACGCTGCCGTTTCATCGTTTATTCATTGCCTTACTGACCCGGCCCAGTCCTCTCATGTTTGAGTCTGTGGGGTGATAATTCAGCAATTAAAACTGGGGAAATAGAAATCTTCGCCCTAGATGAGGCGGTACTAATGTATGCTAATTTGTGGTGCCCATGACCGATGGCAGACCGCTGACTCTATGAATATCCCTGATGTGGGAGCTACGACTGCTACGTTGTAATGCAGGTCAAGGTACCGCAGGAGACTCCGCACTTCATATCTCGCTTCTCTATCCTAGTGCATGTGATGGCAGGTAGTTTATGAGTATTCCATTGCTACTGGAAAGGAATCACAAGTTATGGCCCATATCGCACCCTGTAGACTCCCATATCATAGCATTCAGTCAAATCAAGCGATGTTGGTTACGCAATACTAACCTTTACAACTACCTAATCGAATAATCTGGGTTTATTAGAGCCAAAGCTGAATAACGCTACTCACTATAGATCCGGGTGATTTAGAGACCCAGAAGCAGCAGAAAGAAGTGAAACGGGTTAAACAGCCAATATAGATGTTGATGAGAGAGACGGAGTATACAAGGCAGCATGTCACGCAAGGTTTCTACGTCTGTGACGGGGAAAGATGACTGCACGAAGTCGATAGCTGCAAGAGTCAGTGACTGGGAGCATAAATTTGCAGCAGGATATTCGTACCGGCACTGTAATCGATTCGAGGATCATAGTTTACAAACAGATAAATCAGCTCATCTCTAGCTTTAGGACAATCACTGCATATCTTTGCCATATGGAGTCTACCAACGGTAGTAATTAACCGTCTATATGATCCTAAGTTCCTTAGACTGAGCATCTGAACAAACAGATGTGAAACAGAAGTGATACGGAGGATTAAAGGAAACCTTCGCCGTAATGTTCGATCCCTGTTACCTTTTATTTCATTAAACCAAAAAGATGATGGAATTTAACCATTATGTCTCCCCGAGGTGGGCTCGAACCACCAACCTCCAGATTAACAGTCTGACGCGCTAGCCAATTGTGCCATCGGGGATACTCCTATGGAGTTAACTGGACGTGGGTCAGCTGGTCACAAGCTTTGTCATATACCGTGCCTCATCATGTATTCCCCAGTCTTTTCAATGTAATTCAAGCATCGCAACAAGCTAAACTCGCAAGGACTTGTTAGCAACTAGTTACCTATGTTTCTATCCTCTGATTTGCTTGGCCTGGAGCGGTCTTATCCGCCAAACATTGGTGTTTCTATTGTAGGACCCACAGAACAGGGCCACAAGCTCAAGGCCGCTAGGAGGACCTGCGCTAGGATGTGACATGTCAACCATCTTCGCCTCTTTCTCGTCTACTTGGGCTTCCTAAATTTGTTGGTTTCGTTTCTATTGTTCTGGTGCCTACCTGGCCATGTCCATGAGCTGTGTAATTGCGTCTGCTCTGAGGGTGTGGGACGAACCCGTTCGCTGTTCAGCGCATTCCCCACCATAGAGTGGTTGCTGACACACAGACAGCTTCTTCATGCTCAAGATTGTCCCCGAATCTGCGCAGAACCTGCACTGGATATTTATAGAAGCAGTCATACGTTAAGCCTAGGAACTCCCAAAAGTCGTATGCCTTGTGGTTTCTTTTGACATCAATGCTAGAGCCCCTCCTTGGTTCTTCACATCCACCGACAGCGGCGTGACTCTGAACAGGTCTGTTTGACATCAACTTCTCTCGACTTGCTTAGGGCTGAATTATTTGGGTGCAGATTCAGTCATGATATGACCATATTGGATAATCGACTACCGGTGGCTGCCTACCATACAGCTTGCGGTATGAGAGCACCAGCAATTCTTTCATGGCAACAAGAACTAATTCAGGTTGCAAAATAGTCATTCTCACAGCCCTCCTCAGTACCGGTCTGATTGCAGCCGGTGCCCAGTACGTTACGGCGGCCATTCCCTTCAGCATAGTTGCGTTGTACTTTTCGGCTAAGTTCTATCTCCTAACCTCCCGACACATGCGTCATCTCAACTTGGAGGCCAAGTCGCCGCTGTACACCCTGTTCACTGAGACCATAAATGGTCTTGCGACCATCCGTGCTTTCAGTTGGAGGCACCACTTCCTCGAGGAAAGCCTGCGTCTCCTTGACTTATCTCAGAAGCCGTTTTATCTCATGTTCTACATCCAACGTTGGCTCAATTTCGCGCTCGACCTCTTCGTCGCATGCATCGCCGTTGTCCTGGTGGCGTTTGCTGTACAATTCCCTTACACTACTTCGCAGGGAGCTATAGAAGTCGCGATGATCAACATCATCATGTAACAATTGCCTATTAACTTGATATAATTATCATTACGTATAACTAGGTTGTAGTTGTAAAGCTAGGTATAATTATAGAGTCTTATAGTATTCCCGCTTTTTATGTTAATGCAAAAGGCCTTTTTAAGCTCTACATAACGCTAGTTAATTTACTGTCACTTTCAGACAAGATATCAGTGGGAAAAAGCCTACTCTGAAATAAAATATTTTACTGCTTTTGCCGTAACGTTCCAAAAACACAACACTATCAACACTAAGAAACTCAGACCACCTTTCAGAAGAGGCAATTGTCCCTGAGAAATACTACGTCAAAGAGCTCCAAGGTCCAGTCGGTGTTCTTGAGACTCAAACTCTAGTTCAATGTTCCTTCAGGTCATTTTTTTTTTTTTTTAGGCTGTATGATTAGAAGTTAAACAGCACATAAAAAATAGCGCATAATTAGACATACAACAAAGCTAGTCCGGCTACTGCTACAAGGATGATTTCTATTCTTTCTTCTTTCCCTTTCACCTTCCTTCTTTATTTGGGGTCCCAACTGATATTCTCAATGATGAGTAATTACAAAAATTAGTAGAACCTTCCTGTTTGCGCATTTCCTCAGAGTGGTGCTTCGACAGACGATAACACGCGAACCAACAAGCCGGTATCCGATCGACTACGGATGGCAATAAGGACGACCAGCCCATTCAAAGGCCCACATTTCTCCAAGTGTCAAATATGGCTATTCGTGTGAAAGTTGCAGCATCCGTGTCTGATTGGTTAGCCGTCGCAAGCCATGTCCCTGTTGACATGTCCAGCCGGTGGAATAAAGCCCGTAGTCGGGCACATTCGGACGAAGTCCGACAACATTTCTGGGGTATTTCTGTGAAGAACAGGGGACCCATACCCATTTCTCGGTTCAAAGTTTGAGCAGCCCACTCGAGTAAACATGGCCATCCTTAGTTCAACTTGGATTTGGGTTCAAAGTAAGTTACCTTACTAATCCCAGACAGTTATCCGTTTATATGTCACCGTGTTTGCCAGTGGCCTGAGCCTGATGCTTCAATTGAGTTCCTGCCAATTTCTCTTGACAAACCGCATCATTTCGCCCGGAGATGACTTGTTTGACTTTCTCAAGACCCTGTCTAGGACAAAATGTAGATAGAAGAATGCGGCATTATGTGGCAGCCCAACAAGGCTTTCATCGCGTACGGTGTCAGAGCACTGTATACATTGCCTGAGAAGGAATGTATCCTTGCTTTGGGTCGCATCGGTGGGATGATCACTTGCCCTTAAGGATTTTACCATCTGATTAGATTGCAGCTTTCTTTGCTAGTGGATACGAGAAGGATCTGATAAAAAAAAATGCAAAGAACATCAGTTCAGTTTTCCTTACCCATGAGCGCAAACCCTGGGATCTTGTGGCAAACCGATGCCAAAATGTGCGGAAAGAAACCTCTAAAGGGACTTATGTCCATGTCGCCCCTGTTATGTTCGTCCAGTCCCCGTCGTTAGCGATTTGTTCTCGACCGGGCCAACCAGACACTGGTAGTCAGTCCCACGCTGGCAATGAACCCTGCTCACTGCCTGTTATTCTCCCTTTAACCTCCGGTCGCGGTGGGTGGGGGCCATCAACCGCCAGTGGTTCAATTTGCTAGATGTAGCTGTAATAACGTAAGGCCAGGAAGTATACACACACACTGCACTATCGCCAAGACTGTAGAATTTTCACTGTTCTCTTTTCCTCCTCTTTTTATAACTTCCGCTTCGTTTTCTCCCGTGCTTCCTATCTTGTATTGCCTCAACTTCACTTCGAAGCCTCGGGTACCACGACAAGTCGCCAAACATGTCGAAAAAGGACGTCGACAAGGAGCCACAGGCTTCTGAGGCCCAAATGGCCCCCCCTACTCAGAACACTACATCCCAGCAATTTTTTGAGCCGACCGAGAAGCTCAAACTATCCGTACCCGATGATGAGAGCTCTAAGGAAGCCGGCGTTAGCAGGGTCGAGGCCTTCAACAAGGTTCTCTACCATTCTGGCCGAAAGGGCAAGATTTTGCTCTGGCTGCTTGGTGTTTCCATCGGCCTGACCATGTTTGCCTACGCCCTCGACATGGGTATCACCACTACCATCTTCGGCACTTTAGCCGCCTCAACTTTCAAAAAACATAGCCAGCTGGGAACTGTCAATACTGCGAGTCAAATTATCCGAGCCATCAGCAAGCCTTTCATCGGAAAGCTAGCCGATATCACCTCAAGACCCACCACATACGTCGTGATCCTCGCCTTCTACGCTGTAGGTTTTGCCGTTGCCGCCAGCGCCCACACCTTCGCGGCCTACACTATCGGTATATGCTTCACATCGGTCGGAAAGTCAGGTCTCGATCTTCTCAGCGACATCATTGTTGCGGACTTGACCCCTCTGGAATGGCGTGGCTTCTTTGGTGCGTGTCTATCTCTGCCCTTTATCGTGACAGTGCCCGTCAATGGTTTCATTGCCGAGGGCTTTTACGATGATTGGCGATGGGGTCTGGGCATGTTCTCCATACTCGTACCCGTTCTTCTCGTCCCGGCTATCCTCACCCTTTACGCAATGCAGCGCCGTGGTGAGAAGGCGGGCATGGTCACCATGGCCCACTCCAAAGATGTTCGCACAGGTGTTTCTGAAGCCAGTTCCAAGAATTTAACGTACTGGGCCAAACTTGCGTACAGAGGCCTGGTTGATATCGACATCATCGGTCTTGTCCTCCTTGGCTTCGCCTTCTCCCTGATCCTCTTGCCCATCACCCTGGCAAAGAGTGCTAAAGAAGGATGGAAAAACCCGAGCATGATTGCCATGATCGTCATGGGTTTCGTCATTCTCATCATCTTCATCCTCTTCGAGCATTTCCTCGCTCCTAAGCCCCTGATGACTAAGCGCATTCTGAAGAACCGCGCTTTCATTGCGGGTGTCATTATCCATACTTTCAACCAAATGGCCTCATCTGTCCGCAACACCTACTTTTCATCTTACATCCTCATCATCAAGGAGTGGACCACCTACCAGTGGACCATCTTTTTAGGTATCACTACCATGGGTCTCTGCTTGGTCGGCCCTGTTGTTGGTCTCATTCACCGCACAACTCATCGTTACAAGACCCTCATGATTTTTGGCGCTGCGGCCAAGATACTTGGTTATGGCATACTGATCCAGCCGAGTGGTAAGATGACTCAAGATACTGCCAGGCTTGTGGCAGCACAGCTCATCTTTTGCCTTTCCTCTCTCAACGTAGTTGGTGCTCGTGTTGGTGTCCAGGCATCCGTTCCCCACGACGACGTGGCCTCGATTATTTCCATCATCACCTTATGGTCTACATTGGGATCCAGTATTGGCAGTGCTGTTGCCACAAGCATCTGGACGGAGCAGATGGTCGACCAAATGCACAAGGAGATGCCAGATGTTTCTGATAGTGTTATCACAAAAATCTACGGAAACATCAAGACGCTCAAGACCTACAAGTTCGACGATCCTATTCGTCAGGGCTCTATTCATGCTTACGCCATTGTCAATGGACACATCACTATCGCTTCAATCTGTCTGACCTGCCTTCCTCTCATAGCCTCTTTGTTTATGCCCAATTACTATCTTGGCAAACAACAGAATGCTGCCAACAACAAGGGTCTTGATGGCGAGATCGTCGATGTGCCGGATCAACGAGAAGATAGAGATATAATTGCTTCTCAGCCAGAGACTAAAACGTTCTGGCAAAAGCTGCTTGCCCTTTATCGCAAGTAGATCACAATCGACTTTATGCTTCTCCGCAGTGTTGTTAGCGGAATGGTATATGGGAAAACAGTTTCGAAGATGGATTGGAAAAGGTCAGGGACCTTTAGATTTAACGAACACCGTTCAAAATTAAAAGCTAGGACATAGGTGTCGGCTATTGCATGCCATTCGAACACAAAGTCGTACTGTCAGGCGCTTTGCTTTAATAAATAGTAAATTTTTCTTAGGAGGACACACTTTGTTTAACCTAGTACCACAAAGGGTCCCTTTCAGTATGGTGTGTAATTTTCTAGGTTTCTTTTCAGTAGTGGACTTGTAGGGATCATAACGCGAGTGGTTCTTTGACCTTATCTTGTCTGGGCAAACATGAATAATTACATTGCTGGAGACACTCAGATCGGAAGGAAATGCTGGTAAATTGAACTATGTTGTTTACATGATGGAGACATGGGAGGAAGTATGTCAAATTTGACTGTAGGCTGTTGGCATCCAACACAAATGGATTCTTCAACCAGCGCCAGATATGGCATTCTCTTCCTAGAATAAGGATTTATCAGGACACATGGAGGGCCAACTAGCAAAACAACCCAGGAACTGAACTTTGAACCTTTGATGAATGTTGTAAAGCATATGAAGTCTAATGAGCGGACCGCGTCTCCTCAACTTGAGTAGGATCCGCACCTATGTATCCTACGTCGCAGTAATACAAGGATAGGGTGACCCGGCTATGCATATCCCTACCCCGTGCTACCTGATATGAGCAATTCTGGACTTGAAAAATGGTCACGTGATAACTCTACCCCCACAACCCCCATTATCTGATCATCTGATAAATATTCGTCCACTGGCGATAGTCCAAGTGATCACTCACCATGCCATCCTCTAAGTTGGCCAAGATACTACACCAGAAAACTTCAGCACTCAAATCTACTAAGCAGAATGCGATATTGGCAGTTGGCCAGCACAATAATTTATACCACTCTTCTTGCCTCTAGGCCTGCCCAGGCAGCCGCCCCTACTGTAGACGGCAAATTTTGCGGGAAAGCCTGTCGACAGACATTCCGAACACTACGATTTGCAGATGCCCCCTATGGTGCATTTTTTGCAGTGCAGGAGTGTAGCAGTCGTCTATACCAGCAATCAGTCTATCTCTGTTGGGACATCCACTGCACTAAAGATGTCTGGCTTGCAGAGTCTCAGAGCATGAACGAGACATGCCTAGACATGAGTGGCTCACCTTTTCCGCCACACGACATTGTAGAAGACCTGGATGACGAAAGAATTGCTCGAATTGCTAGGTTTAATGCAACAAGTCCGGAACGTGCTCACCGCCTTGAAGAACTCATGTTGCCATCACAGGCCTACTACGACCTTTGGGGCCGGACGCTAGTAAGTCACTCCTTGGGCTTGAGACACTCTGCTTGAAGAACATCTGGCTTACTGAAAATAAATCCAGGACGCACACGATTATGTCTGGTACTATCACCATTACTACGGCTGGGCGATGGGTGCTTTCTGGGCGGTGGTAGTGGCAATGGGGATCACCAACCGAGCACTCATGCAACGGGAGAACTGTTCAGCGCCGCCATTTATCACACAAAGTCAAAAGCTGTTCTGGATCAAGCGCAACATTTTTACGCGGGCGACGTTTGGTAGGCGCTGCGTGCAGGACTTCGGAGGATGGGGTACTTTGCCTCCACGTGTGCAGACGTTGGCTTTGACTTTGTTCATGCTCATCAACGTACTTTGTACCGTAAAAGGGTACCGAATATTCGAGGGTTATGGATAGTGAGTACATGCAAGAAGTATGAACCTGCCTTTCAACGAGATGCTGATCAAATGGACCCCAAGCTACCCTTCTCGAAAGATGCAAATCCTCCGGCATGTTTCCGACCGAACAGGCATTCTCTCTTTTGCCAACTTTCCCCTGATTTGGTTGTTTGGAATGAGAAACAACCTTGTTATTTGGCTTACAGGGTGGGATTTTAAAACATACAACAACTTTCATCGTTGGATAGGTCGAGTGACGGCTCTACAAGCCATCATTCATTCGATAGGATACACGATTCTCATACTAGAGAGTAAGTCTGATTATTTGTAGCCTGTACTATTACTAATTTCTTTCAGGAGGTGGTTGGGACTACTTCTGGCGGATGTGCAATTTGACCTATTGGTGGACTGGTGAGCTTGTGAGTTAATCCATTCCCTAGAGGGTTCCTCGATTGACAAATTTTCGTTTGATAAGGCCACTATCTTTCTGTGCTTGCTTGTTGCTCTATCGGCGTTTTGGTTCCGGCGCAGGCAATACGAGTGCTTCCTCATAGTTCACATACTGCTTTCGATCTTGATCCTTGTGACAATGCTGGGGTAGGCTTCCAATCGCGTCAAGCAGTGAGATTATGGGCTAACCATATTTCAAGGCATGTCTCAATATTTAGAGGTGATTACGATGCCTTGGTATTTGTTCCGGCCGTCATATGGCTGTTAGACCGCGTGCTTCGAGGAGCTCGGATTATGGCGTTCAGTCCGCGGTTCTGGAATGCATGGGCCCGAATTACCTACAACGAGGACGCCCATATGGTGCGCGTGGTCGTTCCAGTGTCATCGAGTCTTTACGCTATCGAACCGGGGACGTTTTACTACCTCATGGTACTCAACAAGTGGAACTTCTGGGAGAGCCATCCATTCACAGTGGCATCGGTGTTAAGGTCTACTCAACGTAACATGCAGGGTTTGACAGAAAACTCATCTCTGTTGGGCAATGGCTCAATGTCTTTCCTGGAGACGAGAGATGACGCAGAAACATTGGGACAAGAGATGACCTTTTTGATTCGGCCGTATGACAGCTTTACTTCGCGGTTACGAGAGTACGCCGAGAGCCAGCAGCCAAAGCCGGCCACAGTACGTGTGGCTATCGAGGGACCTTATGGAAAGGCTCTGCCATTGGAACAGTTCGACAAAGTGCTTTTTGTCGTTGGGGGCAGTGGAATCGCAGTCCCACTTTCATATCTGGAAAAGCTTACAACGTCTTCCACACGGCCAAGACTCATTGAAATTCACTGGGCAGTACGACAGCTTGCTCTCGCATTTGACGTACTCAAACATGAGTTGAGTGGCGCACTTCACACTGGGCAAGTGAAGACTCATGTCTACGTAACGGGAGTCGATAATATGAGCACAGACGAGGAAGCAATACATCGTCTTGTCGAGTGGAGGACAAAGAGGTTAAACGTTGAGGAAGTTATCAAAGCCGCCTTGATTACCGGAGAGAAAGGCAGTCTCGCGGTAGTCGCAAGCGGGCCGGGCGTGATGGCCGATGAATGTAGATCCGCAGTTGCAGCTAGGATGATACCTTCCCTGCCCCGTATAGAATACTTTGAGGAGAGTTTTCAATGGTAAAGATGGGCAACATGATGGTAAAGGGCAACTAGGAGCGGCTGAAAAGCCTCAACTCGACGTGTTGGCGTAACTGGCTTCCTATTTCGTTCCACATCGCAACATTGTGCTATTCACTTTATATCCATTGCCATATTAACTGAAGGATCTCGATTATTAAATCAAGTACATACTTATTGCTGGTGCTCCCTTCAACAAGTCGACTTCGAAACCAAGAAGACAAACTGTAGCGCCTCCAGAATCCGAGTCAAAGATCTCAAGAAACAAGGCTACGGTTCTCGTTAATCATAACGGGTGAATTGCCCTTCATGCCGTCTCAGTCTGAGCTTTGATGATGCCTGCAGCTTTTCCTGTGAACCCAGCTCCACCACTGAAATCAAAATCAAACTCCTTTGTGCCTCTGATGGTAACACTGCTTCCCAAGAGCTCAACAGTCTGCGACAATGTCACATTCGCAATGGTGTTCGCCTGCCCTAAACCCGAAGTCTTTAGCTCATACTTCTCGTGATAGGTATCAGGCCAAGTCCCTAGAATTGACTTACGGACGTTACCAAAGTCGTATGTAAAACTCGAATCTGAGCACGAAGCAGTTTCGGTCTTATCCCGTGGGTTGTAAAGGTAGCTGCAAGTCACCTCAATAGGTGCGTCGAGCTGGCTGTTGTGATATATCACGTCGACACTGTAAGATGTGTAGCCGCTGACAGGAAAAGTGGCAGATCCGGAGAAGTCCCAGTAGCCATAGTCCGAGCGGGATATGACTGTAGCAGTGGAGGGGGAGGCTACGAGAGCGAGTGCAGAGATAATAAGAAGGCGCATCGTAGTCGATGATGAAGAATTAATTCAAGCAGAGAGTTTATAAGGCTCCAACAACTCAGTATAACATTGTGAGAAGAGATCATCATGAAATATCACGAATAAAATTTCTGCTTCTAGTACTTGTATTTATATTTGTACAACCATCATTGATCGACTTTGCCGCATTGGACTTAGATATCAAGAAGCCAAACTGTAACATAAATCTGCACTTACAGGTATCATTGCAGAGCCGACTTTCCGAAATACGAGAGATTGACTCTGCGTTTACCGTTACGGGACTTCAGCTAGGGTAGCTCCGGTGGGGTGATAATACAGGAACTGCTCCCCCGAACGAAGCTAATGGGCGGCATCCCGTCCGGTAATGCAAGGCACGGAGGCCTTAGCTTAAGATCCATGCTGATTTTATTCTTAGACGCTGAAAATCCTTGATTCGGGGAATGGTTACATTTACTAATGCATTGTCCATGTCTTATAGTACGGTACCCCGCACGCTAACTATGTAATGTTGTCTTAATGCGTTTAATGCATCTGTGGGTTACTACCCCTGAGTTGTTGTTTATTGGTCTCCCTCGTCGGATTCGCCCCGGACTCTTAGGTTATGCGGAATAACCCGATATTATAGAATAGAGATAGTCGATAGTAGCTGCTTTCGCTTTCGCTTTGAGTGGGTTGGATATTCTTTTCATGTAAAACCACGCTTGTTAGAATACTGAGGCTATTAACGCGGTCTATGTCCTCCGTAGATTGGTCTACAAGCAAAAACAGTCGACCGCGGTGCAAATCTTGAGAAAATGGTTGTAGTCCGCTCTCGCATGTTTAGTCGTGTATGAATAAGGAATTCCCCAGACTTTGTGCTTTGTACTTTCTTCTGAACATCTAGTCAGTTTTAATTTGGATACTTCAGTAAGCTCAACGTAAGGCACATAAGAGATAGGCTGAACAGTAGGTAGTTTGTGACAAGTCTGTGAGAGGCAAGCTCGCAATCTACTTGGTCATTTATTGATTCTATCATAGGAGTCTAAGCAACAGAGGAGACATCTTTGCGATAATGTTGCGGCAGTTTCACCATTTGTGCTTCAGAACTATTTAATGTTTGCAGGTCACCTGCCTCTCGTTCCGTAGTCCATTTTCGGAATGGTGCCCTTTCTCATGCGGCTTCTTCAGGCAAGGTCCGTTACAATACTCGGTAATGGCTGAACAGACTTAATGGCTGTGATGCCAGATGGCTGGTCTTGCCTTTGAATTGGGTACACAACATAGTGACTTGAAGCGGCAAAACTCCAGAAAGAGACATAGCACACTTTCAGAGCATGGCTTGGTGAATCATAGGTGCATTGATTGGGAACAATTCTGCTTGGTCGCCTTGCTCTTCAACGTTCGATGAACCAACGACGCATCGCGGTTTGTGCTAACCATCATAGTCTCGGTTTTCAAGGTCATTTAGCTCCTGAAGAACCAAGTCATCGGCCACCTGGGTATGAAGATTGGCATCCATACCTCCTTTTACGCTGTTGTTCTGTTGATATCAACTAAAAGGAATATATCCCATATAGTTTTCCCTTAATTACATCGACAGTCTTTGAGGACTTTGTTGAACTGCTGTGTCAGTCGAATGAGACAGCAAACCAATATGATGTGGAGGTGGAATGTTAGTTGTTGAGTCAAGACTGGACGATATTTGTAGATGAGATGGATTGCTGTCAAGAGAATCAGCATCAGTCTCGTATATAATGTACTCGTAAGGAAGAAGGTTGTTTTCCTGAGATAAGTCAAATAGCCCAGCAGCGCCAAGGCGAATTTTCAGACTCACCGCCGCATGCCGAGAAATACGGCTCCCCTCGAAAAAGAGACCAACATGAACAGAAAGAGAAAACCAACAAATCACCCTGAAGATTGTATCTCTGACGACAGATTTAAGGTGTTCTTCGGGATTCTATGCCGATAACATTGGAGTAAGCTTAACGAGGTAGAGGCTTGTTACATTGGCAAGGAACTTTGGTAAAAACACAACATACAATCATTAGCTAATATTCCACCCAGACAGTCAGGGGTAGTTCGCCCGACTCCAATGCGAGGGCCTTGAATTCCCCTCACGCTAACGCCCGGTATTTGCCCGACCTCTATGCGAAGGCCTCCAATGGTGCACTCATGTCCACGCAGTATCCTTTGCCAACTCCACTTAATCTACACTATGGCCGCACATCAGATAAGAAGCCAAGACTTTTCGGTTGTCGCCCTTCCGATGCCGCAAGAAGGACTCTCTGTTCTTGTACGACATCTATAAGCCGCGCAAACGAGTACGTCATGAGGAGGTAAATATTGATCTTGGGAGTGGCAGTGCGAGTGATATTGCTGCCGATTCCATCTGTCTGCATCAAAATTCCGACCTCAAAAGCCTAATGCAGAAAGCCCACAAGATGGCATACTGCGAAAAAAGCTATTCGGAGTAAATTGATATTTTAATACATATCCTATAAAACTACATCAAGTGTATAGAGTTGACAATAGATTTTCTGCCGAAGATAAGGATTATTCTCTTCTGAAGTCTTTCCTTCTTTAATCATAACTGTCAATGTCTATGAGCCGGAGCTATTCACCCCTAGTCAAAGCCGAAAGAAGCCACCATGCGTTGTAATCATCAGGTGTTGGTACCCATCATTGGTAAGTTTTATAAGATGCAAGTATCACAGTGAGCGATCAGCTAAGACGTATCAGCACTCATCCATCTCTCCCATGCTTTGGAGGCAACTATTCTAGCGGACACGAACCGCGATGGGAAGATTGACATCCAAACCGATGCGGAAGGAAAAGACTTTTGGTCTAAGGACAGAGGCGCACTATTCTTGCCCAATATCGGTGATTCTAGTCAGCGGTGCTCAGGAGAAATTCGTCGTATGCGAGACATTTTCGAAGCAACATACAACATTACTCAACTTGACGCCATCAACGCCTTTGTCGACACGTGTAATGATGCTTCCGACAACATCCAGCGCAATCCTAAGTACCTTGCACCTCTTCAGGTTTTGCCGAACAGCGAGTTGAGTTCCTCTGCCACCGGATCGATTCGCGTCAGCAGCTGTGCGGCTGCGAAGAAGGTTCGAATTTTCCAGAAAGACGGCAGCAACTGGAAGTATATCGGTGCAAACCACACCTTTACAGCGGACGAGCTCAAAGTTGGCCTGGATCTTGGCATCGACTCTCGTGATGTCCGCAGACCAGATGCGTGGGACGGCAATGTCGTTGTTCATCTTACCGTATCAGATGGGGCTGATGCTGCGACTGATTCAGTAGCACTCCGCGTGGCTCCAGTCCTGACACACCACCACGCCCAGCCAGTATCAAAGGCTTTCACAGTGGCTGTGAATTATGACATTTCTCAAGTTCAATTTGTTGCGGACTTTAAAAACAATGTTGCGGATGCGGGCATTGATGAGCCTGTCTTCGTATTCAGCGGGTTTGACAGGTGGGCACAGGATTTCTTTGAACCAGGTTATGCAAGCATACCAGGGCCTGATGGTCCTGTGGTCATTCGTGTCATGATAAGGTCAGCTCAAAAATACCGCGACTCAGGTTTGAACGTTTTTGAGCACCTCCGATCGGACACCGTTGGAGCTATCCAACAGATGTCCCAAGGGGGTACCATCGATTCCCTTGGTAACCTGGAAACAATCCCTCCATACACTCATAATGGAAACGCATATCCCGCAGGTCGAATCATCATGGGACAGTGGGATGGAGTTCACCCCTTCATGTTCGACCTTTTGGAGGCTCAAGAGGTTCAGGCACCAATAGCGCTCGATACTTCTTGGCTAGCTGTCGGACATGTGGATGAGTTCGTCCAATTTCTTCCTGCGCACAACCAGCGTGGATGGGTTATGATGGTCGACGACCCCCTTGCAGGGCTTGAGATCCTCCAGAAGGCGGCTCGTAATGGACACGGTGGTGAACGAGCTGTTTCGCGCCCCAAAATGGCAACGGATGCCGCAGGGTCTTGTCTTCCCGAGCACACCGTCGATGAAGTTTTGAATCTCAGCGACTTCGCAGCCATCAATCGGAGGGCCGCCGAGCGTATCGAACACAACATTGAAATCCTCAAGAACGAGACTGGCATCACTGATGACGAGATATTCCGTGTCCCGTCCCTCTTCTACTACGAAGATCAACCCGTATTCGCATGTACCGATGGCGCCTTGAAGCTAAACGGAGGACCCTCTGTGAAAGCCCTGTCGATACTGGAGGCTGCACAACCGTTATCAAAACAAGGGATCAGACGCCGCCAGACATCATTTGGAACTCAAGTCGTGGCGTTTTATCCAGGTACCATCAACAGTGTCGTTTTGACCGACTCTTTGATTCTCGCCCCTAATCCCTGGGGCCCCATAGTAGACGGTGTCGACATCCTTGCTGAGGCGGTCTCTTCGGTGTATGCCAAAGCTCAGTTCAACGTGACATACCAGGATGACTGGTTTTCTTATCACTTGTTGATGGGCGAGATTCACTGCGGCTCCAATACATGGCGGGACACTAGCGCAACTTGGTGGTGAACTATGAGAAAGTACAGTAGTTTCTAAGAGCTACAATTTTTGCACCAATTATAATAACTGGGGTCTGAGCCGCTAAGATCTTTCAATACCAAAGTATACCCCATCAAGAAATCTGTCCATGGCTTCAATCGGTTGCTGAGAGACGACACAAATGTGTTACCAGCCGCATATGGATCCAATGTGTCCCCCAAAGTTCCTAGTTAAGGAAGATCGGGTTAGACAACAACTCGCACAATCTCATTTTGATTGGCTGAGGCCCCACACACTATTTGCTGTAGCCTAATTGCGGTTGATGGGATATGATCAAGATTTCTACCCTAGTTTAGCTTTTGCTCATTCGTACCTTAGCCTGTGATTGTTTCCTAGATAATTCAACACCAAGACAAGCCTACCTGCGATGACAGAATCGTGGAACACGGGCTCCAACTTCGGGTCTCGAGAGGGGGATTGGCCCGAAGTAGATGTAGACTCCGATGAGGAGGGTACTGAGGCTATGCGTCGTGCCGAAGCTGCTATGCACGCCACCATCGAGCGCTCCATCCCGCAACGGAACCAGCACCCAACCCACGAGGCTATCCCAGAGTCACTTTATATCAAAGCCGAAAAGCACCAGGACCAGCTCACGTTGGAGGAACGTCAGCGCTTACTCAGCCGCGGCGACGTAGTGGGCAAGGCGCTGGCCTACCCTGATTCCCTTACCATCGATGAGATACATGAGGTTCTCCTCTGGCCGCCAGTGGATGTAGTTCACGCCAATATCCAGCAAGCCACATGCGGAACGCTCAGCACGCCTCGTGAGCTATACGCCAAGGCCAAGGATGCCCTAGACCGCGGTCAATTTGACACGATGCTTAACGATTGCGAGATTGCCCTGCTCTCACGTAGTTTCCACCCCGTGGACGACCCAAGCTTTTCTCCTGGAACAATCATGGAAGCTCTTGGAGAACCAGGAAATGGAAAAGCCCTGGCACTGATGTCGGAACGGATGGGGCTAGCTGTGGACGTTCTTCAGGCTGCCATGATACGCCAGATGCGGACCAGTACGCCGATGTCTCTTTTGCTTGGTTTCAGTTCCGCTGCCGGGCCATCTTTATCAATGCCGATCCCGAGAGTCTCCTCTGCAGAGCCACTACAAGACCGATTGAGACATAGACACGAATTTCAATCACTTAACAGGGTCAACGCCATAGGGTATCCTGAACATCAAAGCAACCACAACAATGTAACAGACGATGGGACCACCTTTCCACAAACAACCTCAGTTCCGTTTCCCTCTTCAAACGGATTTCCCCCCGCCAGCTTCCAATCAGCGTCTCCGTCATTATTACTGCCTACATCATGGCCTGCAGCGCCTCCTCCCTCACGCGTCGACCTCTTTGGTGCTGGACCTTGGCCACCGATGGCCACGCCATGCGATCCCATCGCCCTCTTCCGAGATGCCACGCAGCTCTTAGGCTACGACGTTTCCCCAGGGTGGTCTACCCTGACTGAAGACCAGAAAGAAGTATATCGCGGTCGGTCAGAGACGCTCCGCCGCGAAGCTTGGGCTGAACACAACGCGGCCCTGGCCCGGCAAACACCGACTATCACTATTTCCAGCAGAGAAGAGGGACAATCCCCGCGACAGCTACACCAAAGAAACTTTAGCAGGGGAGAAAGACTGCCTGGGGTACCCCGTAGACCAGCTCTTATTACAGGGCTCAGGGTGTTTCATGCTGAGCTGGGGCTGGGGATGGATTTCCAAGACGTTCTGAGAAGGTGGGAGGGCTTGGCTGAGGAACAAAAGGTGGCGTACGACGGCATGGCTGCAAGGGATAATGCTGCTAACTGGGCGGCGTACCAGCAGGGAATGAGTTGATAGCCACATGGTGCATAGATGCATGAGTATCAACGGACTTCAAAGATGAATTAGGAAAAGACTTCCAGGGATACAAAACGAATAGACTGTGTACTTAATTTGTATATCTTCATGCCTACACCTGAAATGTGTTTATGTGAGACTTTTGGGCCCCTTTGTTGTCATCCTTCTGGCCCTGGGAGGTGGCATGAATCCTTCATCACAGATGAAAAGCGTTACGAACAGAAATCAACACTTATTGGGGTTTTACTTAGTAAATGTCAACATTGAGGCGTATGATTTTCCAAATCTCCATAGTTGAGCGGCCAGTCAACCATCTGAAGCATTGAAGAGAACCGTCAGTTTAATGGCTCGACAAAACATTATGGGAAAATGTTTTAGCTCTTTAGCGAGAGTCAAATGTTGCTAGGGTACTTTTTATTAGCTAGTGCCAGGAGTCTGGCAATATGATGGGCCTAGAAGCCAAAGTTGTTAGCACGAGGACGAGGATGAAATTACGAGGCGAAGAAGCATGCTGTAAAAATCACTTTTTGATTATGCTCGCTTCTAAATTCATGTGCGTTTTTGCCACCGGTATGTCTCGACATCGTCATCACAAACTAAGTCATTAATTGCTGGATGCAGGACTCTTCGACTTGGCGCCGGAATGTATCCGGGTATCTCCTTCATCGTCGTCGCCATTGCATGTCTTACGTGCCTTGGCGTGTAAATCCGCCCCCGCCTCTAGCAGCATCCATACCGCGGGTTCAAAGTCCTTCTCGACGGCAATGTGCAGCGCTGTCCAGCCGAGCTCATCGTAAGCGTCTAGCCCGTGCTCCCAGTTCCGCTGCGAGTAAAACTCGAGCAGCAACTTTAGTACAGCTTCGTGGCCCCCAAGCACAGCCCAGTGCAGCGCTGAACGCTGGCGCCGGTCAAGGTCGCTGATACGCGCTCCCTTGGCGAGTAACATCCTGGCAACGGGCTCGTGACCGTCAATGGCTGCATGTATCAGTGCGGTACGGCCGTCGCTGTCCTTCTCGTTGCAATCGATATCCCGCTCTATGAGCGCGCGGACGATTCGCTCATGGCCTCTACGAGCGGCGATGTGGAGAGTGCTCAGCCAGCCGCGGTCATGGACTGGCGCATGGCTGTCGTCAGACGATGGTGACGCATGAGCCGGGGCCCCGCCGCCGGTGCCGGGCGTTGAGACGGAGGAGGACGACGGCGGATTTTGCGGCGGAGCGGGGCTTCCCCCGTTACTGGATCCGCCGCTCTGATAATGTGGGTTCAGCTGGTGGCTCCTCGCCTCATGACCACGGGACGGCCCGAGACTGCTGGCTTGTGTTAGCTGCGTTGTATGTAGCTGCTGAACGTCAGGATGACCAGGGCCCAACCCTGGGCTGTTACGAGGGCCGCCTGAGCTTAGGTTGAGAAAGCAATCCACATCAACATGGTTGGCCTGCGATGGACGAGGCGAGCCGAAATCCAGTGGCGGATCGAAACTAGAAGAATAGCTGGATAATGAATTGTTACCGCCGGTTGTAAAGCTTTCTATGAAGCTAAACTCGCCAAGCCCGGGACTGCCGCTGCCGCTTGAAGACCCTCCATTGTGGCCGGGTGTGAAAAAGGGCGTACTTCGAGGCTGGCTTTGCACAGACGCTGGTTGATGGAAGAATTGGGGGATAGATATTGCTGCGCTGGGCGACACATGGGGTTGATGTTGTTGGAATTCCAGAGTTGTTGCCATCGGCCTCGACGGCGGTTGGCCGACGTTGGTTTGAGCGATCCCTACCTGTTGCTCATCTGCTGCCCTTGTTTGATTGGATGCCTCAGCCCGAGCTTCTGGACACATTGATAATGATTAGAATGATGATTACTACCCGTATTCCGGATGAGGACAGGGATGCTTCATCTTGGCGGTCACTTACGCCGAAACTTGCGTTGCGCCATACGATTCTGCAACCTGCGCCGGTTGGTCCGATCGTTCTCTAGATCGATGTGAAGCTCCATTTTGGTCACAGGACAGGCTTCGTGGAAGGATTACTTGGTCAGCAAAAGTTGAGAGGATATAATAAAAGGGGACTGGATCAGGATGGCACCTTTAAAGCGCCATACCCTTGTTGTCTCTTTACGGTTAGTCAACACGGCAAGATACGGCAGGCGAGAGGATCCTGTATACCCGTCCAATGAGTGATGGGATTCCCACAATCTGCCCTGCAACCGCGCCGGCCTGGACCAGGCTTCGCTGTTTACACGTGTCTCCTCACCAGAATGACAGGGATCTTGTCCAATCGCTTAGGGTCCGTTAGTATGTATTCTTGCGCCATAGGCTCTCGCGGGCGCGCAATAGGATAGCGTCTTAGCCCTTGTCGTTATCAACGCATTTTTGAGGATTGGTGACTTGAGGCAACAGCTGAGACATCGGAAGACTCATTTGAGCTTCTTTACCAGTCATACAGTCACCGTAAATATGAAGCTATATCCAAATAAACATTTCAGTAGCAAGGCCGCGGCGAAGCCAGGTTTATATCTCGAACACCACGAGACTTGGAGCGAATTGCCAAAAGTACTTTATGATTTAATTAGAGAAACTAGCTTTCGTAAAGAGTTGTTGTCGTTTAAATGCAACCTGATAATGTTTTTTTTTATTTTTATCTTGAAACCAATTGAAAGGGAGAATCTCAACCACAAGTAATAAATGTTCTCCCAGCAAAATGCAAATATGCAGTAAGCAAATGATCACTAACAAACGGACAGATTCATCCGCAACGGCCAAGAAGTAAACAAGATACCCAGTTTAAAGAGTTCCGTTATGTTAAGAGCTGGTCGCAACATTCTGTGTCAGCTTCGTCACCAGCTTATCGCCTAACGCATTCAGAGAGCTAGCGTTGGTGATGTCAAGCGTTGTCAGTTCAGCGCCAAGCTCCAACCGAATCCAGTTGCGCAGCTCGACCGCCGCCAGAGAGTCCAGACCGAAAGCCATGAGTGGCTTGGCGGGTTCGATTTCCGACTCTAGGCGCAGGATTTTGGCGAGCTGCGCCGCAACCACCTCCACACCAATCTTTACCACTGCGGCCCTGTCAGAGCCTGACTTGAGCAGAGTGTGGAATGCGCGCACGTTCTCGTCGCCCTGCTTTCCGGCACCGCCTTCTTTGCCGTCGGACCCGGCCCCGGTGTTCTGGAACAAGTAGCCGAAGCGGGCATCCCGAGTAAGGTCCGAGTCTTCCGGCAGCGGGAATCCGATGCCCGTAATCAGTTGCGCCACGCTGTCGGCGTTGATTGGTTCCGAAGCCTGGTCTTGCTGCAGGATCGAGTAGCTGAGAATCTTGCGAAGAGTGCCTTCAGTAATGGGCGTCCACTGCCTGGTGTCGAACCTGGCCTCGAAACCCTCCTGCTCAGCCACGTAACCCACGTCTTGGATAAGACCTAAGTCGACGGAATTAGCCTTGAGACCGAGAGAGCGTCTATAATCGGCAAAGGCGTCGAGGAATGTGTTGCCTGCCGCGTAGTTGGCCTGTCCCTTATTTCCTACGATGCCAGAGATACTTGAGAGCAAAGTGAAGAAATCAAGGGGTTGAGGCTGCTCCTCAGAAACCCGGTGAAGGTTCCAAGTGCCAGTGAACTTGGCATGGATAGCGGTGTGGTAGTCATCGAGACTCATGGTCTCGTATGGCTTGTCCTGGTATTGTTCAGCATTAAGATCGCAAACACTATATGATGCACTTACCCTTAATACCATGGCGCCCTGAATAATACCGGCGACCCGAGGCGACGCCTCATTGAAGACTTCGCGAAGGAAGACAATATCTGCGACATCACCCTTGGCTTCAACAACCTCGCATCCATAAGCGAGACAGTTTTTCACTGCCTTTTGCGAAGCGACGTCAGCGGTGCCGCTGCGGCTGACCACAATAATGTGTTTGGCTCCGTGTCGTGCAAGATGAATGGCCAACGATCCACACAGGCCCTTAAGACCGCCTACGATGACATATGAAGCGTCGGCCCGTAGAATTAGCTTCTGAGTTGCTGGCCTGATGGGGACCTGGACATCCTTCTTGTCTCCGTCCGATATGACCACCTTCCCAATGTGCCGACCACTTCGAATGTACGCCAGCGCGGCTGGCACGGCGTCAAATCCGAATGTGGTAATAGGGTGAATAGGCTTGATGTGGCCTTCATTGACAAGAACAAAAATCTCATCAAGAAGTCTGCAAATAGCGTTAATATTTTACGATGTTATACTAAGAATGAACAAGGGGTATACATACCTCGAAATCAGTGGATCTGTGATATCTTGCGTGTAGGAGAAATCCATGGCCCTGAACGATGCATTGCGGTCAAATGGCTCCATGGATAGTGCGTTACGGTCAACAATGTCTTTCTTTCCGATCTCAACCATGGTTCCGCCATCGGCAATGATTCTCCATGAGGCATCTAGCAATTCTCCGGTGAGAGAGTTGATGATTACGTCAACGCCACGGCCTTCGGTCGCGACCAGGATCTCCTTTGCAAATTTCGTGTTGCGAGAAGAGAACATGCGAGTTCGAGGAATGCCGTAGTTGTCCTCGAGGAACTTGCGCTTTTCTTCTGTGCCAACAGTGACGTAGATCTGTGTTTTGGTTAGCGCACACTATTCATGCATGGAGCTTTATGGCGGGAGTAAGTTTTGAAAACAAACCTCTGCTTTCTTGTACTGGGCTAGTTGGATGCATGCAATGCCAACGCCGCCAGATGCCGAGTGGATCAGTACGGACTGTGGTTGTTAGCTTGTTGTTCTCTACCGTGTGAATGACGACCATCTCTTACTTGTCCTTCTTTCAAGTTTGCAATGTCAAACAAAGAGTAGATAGAGCACAGGTATACCGAGGGAATGGTTGCCGCATCCTAAAAGATTATCAGTCTCGCATGCTCTGATATGCATCAGGATCAAACAACTGACCTCAAAGCTCATCCAGTCAGGAATTGTGTGAGCTCGGCCGACGGGAACCTGAAGGCGATTGGCGTAACTTCCACCGTTCAAGAAGCAAACACGGTCGCCAATCTTGAATTTGCTCACGCCTGGTCCAAGTCTCTTGACAACGCCAGCTGCCTCGTAACCAATAGTGTACTCGTTCTCAGGCACAATTCCCATGGCCACCGCAACATCCTATAAGAGAGTCAATTAAGAACTGTTTGAAGCATCACAAAGTGCTTAGCTTACCTTGAAGTTGACACCGACAGCGAATACTTCGACCTCAACTCTGCCCTCTTCCACGGAAACCTCGCCAACGGCTGTCTCGTTCCAAGTCAGGCTCTGGAATGTTCCGACACGCTCGGATCTCAGTTGCACGGCTGCCTCGGTTTCGTGAAGGTTCTTCAGTGTGGTATCGGCGCCCTCTTTTTCAGCACGCTTGAACTCATTCACCTTGTAATCCTGTACGATTCTATGAACATAGAGAATACCATCACGTTCGGTGAACTCGGTTTCGACTGCTTCTTTGGAGCTAGGTTTGCCACTGGCTTGGGTGGCCCGCAGGACGGAGTCGATAGCCCACGTGGTAGTTGACCCGGTGCTCGATTCCACATCGAGGACAGTGAGGTTGACGCTAGCGTCTTCTCTCCGAGCCACGCGGAAGAGGCCGTGAGCCAGAGCAGAGCTTGGGTTGGTCACCTTTAGCTGTGATCCCTGAGTCACCCAAAGGATCTTGTTTCCGGCACTGATTAGTGCTTTCAAGGTATCCCATTGGGAGTCGTTAATCTGCGTTAGGACAGGAGCATAAAGCTCGTCTAAAATCAGAACAGAAGCACCTGAAGGTACATTGTCGACAGAAATAGAACTTGTTTGTTCGACGAGATGCCAACCTGAAGCCTCTAGCTTGCCCTTTAGCGACAGCTCCAGTGTTGGAGTGTTTGAAGAAAGACGAAGAACATAGAGACTGTCGGCGAGCTGTTGGCTGCTGACAGTTGACTCTGGGTTATAAAGCGTCCAGTTAGCGCCATGGAGTTTCGAAAGGAGGCCAGATAGTTTCACGGTAGCTTGAGAGGGAACAGCATCAAGTAGACGTTGAACTGCTGCGCCTGAAATCTCTTCCTGCTCGGAAGATTGTTTTTTGACCTCAATATCTTCGTTTGGCGTAGAAACATCCGTGAACGGAGTCTCAGGAGAGAGTTCTGATCCAGCTGATTCAGAAGGAGTTCCGGGTGTGATTGGAGTGTCTGCGTTCTCTGGTGTAACGGATCGAGGAGAGGAAGCAGTAGTCACTATTTTGTTGTCGTTCTGAACCACCAAGACGTACCCATCATTTGAGACACGTGTTTTGAGTTTATCAATCAACTGTTGGAAGCCTGCGGAAGAGGAATTAGAAACCTTCACAACGGCCAAGTCGTACGCAGCATCCTGAGGCAACCCAAGGTCTTCGCTTTCGAAGTTGACCAGAAGAAACGATGAGTTTCTTTTGTCTTCATGTTGTGTTTGAACACCAACAAGGAGCTTTGCATCAGCTGAGGCAAAGTCGTAGTGCGAGTAGGCGGCTCTGGCCGCTTGATCTTCGACTTCAAACCAGGTTGACAAAGAGTCGTTGCTGTTGAAATCAATCTCAAGCACACGCAAGGTAGGTTTCTTGTGCCCGACCAAGTCAATGATCGTGTTGAAACTAGTTTCAGAGCCCAGGTGAGCCAAGCCTTCTTGCAAGAGGAACGTTACATCCGGCTTCCAGCTGATACGATCGAACACGTGAGCATCCGGCTTGGGAATCACGTCCAGCTTCGCAAACCGAAGGCCTTGCATTTGCATAAGCAAAGAGCCGGTCTCCGGATCATAAACAGAGCAGTTTGCAAAATAGCTCTTTGCTTCTTCAAGGCGACCACGGCCGGAATACGTAGAGCTTGCAAGTGATAGGCCTTCCTTGAGACCCTTGTTGACCTTGTTGATCACCAAATCGTCGATGATTGATGGCACCAAGACAGAGTTTAGAGAGCTATGCTCTCCAGCCCATAGAGATGGTGTAACCGTCTGGAAGCATCCGTCTAAAGAAGCTGGGTGAATGGGGTAGTAAGACTGAGGCGACCACTTGGACTTCGGCTCATCAAGAGCAACTAAGCTGCGACCGCGTCTTTGACCGCTCAAAGACTCGACCTTCTTGACCTTCTGGAAATCAGGCCCAAATCCGTATCCGATATTTGTCTGTGCCTTGTACCAGATCTTGGCAGACGTTGGAAATTCGAGAGGACGGCGTTCTGCCTCAGAAAGAGGCTCGTCAACAGGATCTTGTACTCGGATCAAACCAGTACAATGTTCGATGAAAACATCTCCCGTATTTGTAGAGACACGGAACTCATGCCAGTCCTTGCTTCCCGGCTGCTGGGTCAATGACAACGTGATTGCCGCTTCTACGCCTTCTTCCAACACTAGTGCTTTGTCGAACCGGACGTTTCTGAACCTGTATGACAGGTCATTCGGTGCACTTATGATGACATCCTCAGGGGCTGTGGCTCTAGTCTTTTGGTAAAGTGCTTCCACGGCCATAGTTATGAAGCCAGAACCTGGGAGTAGAATGTCGTCTCCCATCTTATGGTCCTTCAACCAAGGCACGTCGGCGATATCCAGTAGCTTGCGCCATGTAGGAGATCTCCATGTAGTGCCAAGAACCTTGCTTCCAAGTAGATCGTGGTTTACATACTGCTTGAATCTCCAGTCTTTGCTTGCCGCATTCTCATGCCAGTACTTAACCGAGTGGTTCCACACGTAGTTGGGAAGGTCGATGATGGTGTTTGGAAGGTTTCCGGCCTCCGGCTCATCAAGAGCGTAGCCGTTGACCTTTGCCAGACTGACAGACCCTCCAGCGACGAAAAGGCGTCCAGCAAGGTCGAAAAGGGTCTTTCCAGCATTGGCACCACGCGACCATGCGGCAAAGGACGAGACTTCGGAGCCGTTAGGGAGAGACTTCAAGATCTGCGAGACTGGCCCGCCTAGAGCGCCTGACGGACCAATCTCAATTACAAAATTGGGACTATTCTCTCCAGAAAGCATTTCTTTGGCGGCTTCACTGAACTTGACAGGTGAGATCATGTTGGCCTTCCAGTAGGCGCCATCCGCGGTGGTGTCCTTTTTTCTCCCGGTAACAGAGGAGAACATGGATACTTTGGATGATCCTTCCAGCGAGGCGAAGTTTGCTGACAAGAGTTTCTCATACTCGTCGCCAATGACTCCCATAAGAGGCGAATGGTAAGCCAGATCAACTTGAAGAAGACGAGCAAAGTGACCGTCTGCCTTTAATTCTGCGGCCAAGGACTCGAGAGGAGCTCGCTTGCCAGATACTGTCAAGCTGCTTGGGCTGTTGAAGCACGCAATCCAAGCCTCATCTGCATACTTCTCCAAATAAGGCGAAAGCGCTTCAACACCAACGCCCACGGCCAGCATGCCAACGTCTCTCTCAGCTTCCTGTTGGCGATTCAACGCTGCCCTGCCACGATAGAAGGAGGCTTTGATGGCACCCGCTCGATCGAGGAAGCCAGCGGCATAGGCGGCAGCAATTTCACCGGAGGAGTGGCCAACAACGCTCTCTGGGGTAATTCCCCAGCTTTCTAGCACCGCTATAAGGCAAAGCTGGAGAGCAGTAACAAGAGGCTGCGAGAATTCGGGCTGACGTAGGTGTTCTGGAGATCGTGACTCAGTCAACTCATTGATGAGTGACCATTGAGGGGACTCTGGGAGACTCTGAAGGACAGCTTCAAGCTCTTCCAAGATACTGCGAGTCCAAGGGAAATACGTGAGAAGGTCCTTGCCCATCTGAGGCCACTGAGCACCCTGGCCGGTGAAGACAAAACCGATACGCGGGGTCTGCGAACTCTTCTTCCCGACAGTGAATGCATTCTCGTCCAAGTCCGTGAGGCTTCGCGTTGTGAGGAAGGCCCGATGCCAGAGTTGCGATCTTCGCTCTGAAAGGGTGTATGCAAGATCGGGAAGGCTAACCTTCACACGTGGGTTGATCAGATGGTTGCTGAGTGCCTTGATATTAGCACGCAACGACGCACCATCATTGGCGGAGACTACCAAAGTGTACGGGCCTTCTGAGTCGTCGTCATCCAAAGAGAAATCGTCATCATCAGAGAGAAATGACGAGATGTGACGCGGGCCGCCGGGAATGCTTTGCTGTTCCAGGATCAAATGAGCATTTGAACCTCCGTATCCGAATGAGTTGATACTGGCTCTGCGAGGGGCCCCTACAGGCCACGGCAAAGCTGTGCGAGAGGCCTTCACCTTCAAGCCGGCGAAGTCAACTACATTTAATTGATTGATTAGCATATTAACTTTACCAAGGCCATTCTTTTAGCACTATATTTGCTTACTCTTCGGGCTTGGAGTCTCAAACGTGGGATTGCCAGGAATTATTCCAGACTCAGTGGCCAAGACAGCCTTGATGAGACCGGAAATACCAGCCGAGGGTTCGGCGTGGCCGACGTTGCTCTTGATCTAGATTAGGTTGTTTCAGTTTTTTGTTCACAAGCTTACATGAATGGGGAACTACTGACTGATCCAATGATAAGTGGCTTGTCAGCGGGACGAGTTGCTGCGAAAACGGACGCCGCACCCTTGACCTCAGTAGGGTCACCAGCCTACAAGAACAGTTAGCCCTATTAACAAAATTAAATAAACAACAGCCTTACTTGTGTTCCAGTGCCGTGGCATTCAAGATAAGCCGTGTCATTAAAGTTTGTGATGCCGGCACTGGCGTAAGCAGCTCGAATGGCCGCTGCTTGGGCTTCGGCGCTAGGGCTGGCAATGCCTGGTGTTCTGCCATCGCTGTTGGTAGAAGACCCCAGAATTACAGCCCTGATGGGATCCCTGTCTCTGATGGCATCCGAAAGCCTCTTGATGATGACAGCACTAACTGCCTCTGCCTTGACGTATCCGTCGGCAGAGATATCGAAGGTGTGGCAAAGACCTGTGGGTGAATGGGCATGACCAACACCGCCAATGTCCATAACATGCTCTGGATTGAGATATAAGTTGCTTGTTGCGATGATTGCAGCATTGATCTCTCGTGTCTGCAGATAACGGCTGGCAACATCGATGCCGACCAAGCTTCCTGAGCAGGCAGTATCGATAGTCATGCTAGAAGATTTTAAGTAAATGAAATCAAATGAGACAGGCAACGGATTTCGTACCTAGGTCCTTTGATATTCAAAAAGTGACTCAACCTGTTGGCCATGATTGAGCGGCCAACTCCAACAGTGATAGCTGCTGGCCTATCCTCTGGATCTCTTGCTTGCATGTCGCCGTAATCTGAAGGTATACAATGAGTGATGTACTATGTCTTTGGTATCAGCCGATCTCACCTGATGCATAAGATCCGACGAAGCAGCCAACTGATGCTCCGTCAAGACTCTCCAAGGGAATGCCGGCATTCTCAAGGCCTTCGTAAACAACCTCGAGCATCTGGCGCTGGTTTGGGTCCATAGAAATGGCTTCTGTTCTTGAAATTTCAAAAAAAGAGGCATCAAAGTCAGCCGGATCGATATCTTCGAGGAACATACCACCAAGAGGTCTCATGGTGCGTGGTTTTTGGGAGCCATCCCAGTGACCTTCCAAGTTGAACCTGGATTTTGGTACTTTGTTTGACGCAATTCCTCCTCTCTTGAGAAATTCCCATAGTTTGTGGGGGTTGGTGTTGCCGCCTGGGAGTCGGCAAGCAAGGCCGACAATTGCCAGAGGCTCTTTGGACTGATGTGTTACTGACATTGTGTCCTAGTTGAGTTGGTAAAGACAAAGGTACCAATTATGAGAGTAATAAAACAGATTTCAAACTTTATGTCTTTTCTGATGAAGCTGAGTAACTTGATTCTGAATCAACTTGATATTGAGTTGACTTGAGATCATATTCAGCGATAATACTTGGGAATGTCAACTCATATATCCTCCAGTACCCGTATACCTCTTATCGCTGTTTAACTCACGTTCCCGGAGACGTACTCTTTGCTGTCGGAACGATGACTCCATTGAATGTGTTAGCCAGCTCATGCTCGGTTGAATCTGACCCGCGATGCAATGTCAACACCAATGCCTCATCTGCAATCACAAACTCATTCAAGGGTCCAGTTGCCCCTCGTTATGGATACAACACTTTGCGTCAGGATCTATGCATGCCTGTGTGACATGATTCTCAGGGTCATACAAACCTATGATTCTTCAACCCCTGAACGTCATCAAATCTCAGGTATGTCGCCTTACTTGCATGAGATACATCACATCAGAGTCACATCGGCAATCGCGGATTCTGGAATACACGTAGATAAGAAGTTAGATACGAGTCATAATCCTCTACAAGCCAATGTGTGCATCCAACCTTTCAGTCTCAGATAGCCTATTGCGAATGTCGCAAATTCAGCCCCAAATCGCGCGGGATCCGCTGTTGTGGTCCTGATAATGCATAGTTACATGCCCGATCTAGACATGTTTTCTTTTGCACCCCTATCTGCAACACAACGTCTCCAAATCCCAAGTCGGCGATGAATCTGCTGCAGAGTAAGCCGTTACACTGCATTCTGCAATCCTCCGGCTTCTCGATGCAAACTACAACTTGATAATGATATATGCCTTGTGCAAGACTTTGAGGGACTTTCGTACCCTGGATAATGGATCACAGAGATCCTTCATTGAAAGGGAGATACAAAAACACTAATCATGCATAGCGGGGTTCCGGGAGGGATCCGGGCCGCCCTCGGGTAATGTTATCTACCCGCCGACAGCGCATTGCGGGTCTAGAATTGCGTGAGATACTCCTGCACAATCGATGCAGTCAGCCCGACAGGCTGCATGTCACCTTTCTTCATCCCAAACATGAATGATTGGCTCGGCTATGTTACCATCGGGTGACAACCTGGGCGAGAAAGTATTGGGGTACCTTTTCAAATCGTTTTCGGATCCGTCAGACACTCTGTTAGACAATTACCATGTACAATTTACTGGCGTGGCTGGTTGCCCGATAACTTCGCTGCAAGGCTAACAAGAAGGCCTTCTCATAAGACGATTTACTTCTTCAATAAAAAGTCTCTTGATGCGTAGTACATGCGTGGCCATAGTCGTTGCCTTCCAAGTTGCTGTTATCGTATTGATTCCTCTTCTGTTAGCAGCCTCTCCGTCACTGCTTATACCTCTCTGCCATAAGACTTTCAATTCACTTAATACGACATACTCAAGAACTACACGCACATTCTCATTTGAAAAAATGACTGTCAGCGGCGAAAAACTAGAGTTCAAAACAATAGACGGAATTGTCCTACGTGGAGTCCTATATGCGGCCGATAAGCAAGCACCAGCAATCATCATGACACACGGGGTTGGTAGCAAAAGCATTCCACACCTGTTGGCCATTACTCAAGAAACTCACAAATCTATTTCAGTTCAACTGTGTCAAGGAAATGCTCTTGCCAGAACTGGCAGAGTGGTTCCAGCATTTGGGCTTCAACGCCCTGATTTATGATCCAAGGAGCATTGGCGATAGCGATGGGCTTCCCAGAAACCAAATTAGCCCCCTGCAGCAGGCTGAAGATCTTTCAGGTAAGTGGGCAATCCCAATTTCCTGGGCCGTGGCCTCGGCATAAAGACACCCACTGATGCTCGTCTTTCTAGATGTTGTAACGCACGTTGCAGCCCTACCGAATGTGGATTCCCGCCGCATAATTCTTTGGGGCATGTCTTTTGGTGCCACAGTAAGCGCATGCGCGGCTGCGGTTGACCGTCGTGTCAAGGCAGTTGTCATGGTTTGTCCAATCTTCAGTTTTTTCCAACCTGACAAGCGGGAGAAAGCCTTTGTGCAGCTCATCAGGGACCGGCAGTCCCAGCTCCGTGGAAATGAGCCTTTCACACTCCCACCATTCAACAGCAAAGGCGAAAACCCAATTGGTATGGCAGGCTCTGGAGGTCCAGGCGGAATTGAGGCGTATACTTTTATGAACGCTGTCATTGATCGCGGGGCGCCCAACTTCCGCGATCGTATTACACTACAAACGTACCATAAGTTGGCGCTTTTCCGTCCCAAAGAACTTCTTCATCTTGTTAAAGCTCCAGTTCAAATGATCATCCCGGAGCTAGATGACATTTCTCCAGCTGCAGAGCAGGAAGAGGCCTTCGGGCGGTTTGGAGAACCTAAAAGTCTGTATTTAGCCAAGGGTAAAGGACATTTGACGGTGCTAAGTGGGCAAGGGTCAAAGGAAATCTGGCAGGCAATGATAGATTTCATTCGCGCATCTATCGAGTAGGCGTATGGCAAGAGGCCTGTGATAGAATTGTTTATTTTGCTGAATAGACATATCATGCCCGCTCTAAAGCACAATGAAGGTCACAATTTTGTATACAGATAGAATGAAACTATATTGGCTGTCCAATTATCTCTTCCCCTTGACCATGTAACCTGCTGTCGGAACCTCACAACAGAGCAGAAACGTAGGCTGTATGACCGCCAAAAATTCCAATTCAGTGGTTTGTTTTGTCAATACTGTAGTTCAGTGCCCTTTGGAACAACATACTTGCACAAATAATGCAGCCAAGTTTGTATCAATCACGCGCGATGAATGCCCCCACGTCATGGATCGAGCTCCCCACTGAGGCGGAGCCCCCACGCTATATATGCAGGGTCAGCACCTAATCCCGGACTAGAAAGCTTATCTGGGGCCGGTATGCACAATGCTGACCGCGCATGACCTTAATTACCTTGCATTAGGCGTGGTCCCTTACAGACGAACACCTTCTACCTTGGTGTAAGGTTCGGTTGTGGGTATGCTTACCGAACGGTTGTGGGATCCGTGAAACGGTTCCTTTCCTCGAGCCTTGGGTATCCTGGAAGTCAGCAAAGCAGAACTTGCTCGATTAACGTGCAATACTGTTCGGAAACGGGCGAATGATGAGAGCACCCCATGTTGGCCCACCCTAGACGGCGTGTTACCAACAGTTGGTTGGTTTCAGTGTCCTGCCTGGTCAGCATTGATTACGGCTCATGTGGCCTGCTAATTTGTCAGCCTTGACATGATTACGGTACATACGGGACTTTGGAAGTTTAAGAATGGCTGAAGAAATCGAAAGTTGATATCCAAGGCTACTTGATCCGTATCAGACTCAGTTTCTTGAATATACAACCACGAATAGTTCCCCTGCATATCTAGCCTATCACACCATCCACCCCGCAGAAAAAGCCTCCGAAGAAGACGACAACATGGCCTCGACTATCGTGCTCGTAACTGGAGCTAACAGAGGCATCGGCAAAGGTCTTCTTCAGCGATACTTGGCCAAGCCAAACCATACCGTCATCGGCACAGTCCGCGACCCGAACCATGAATCGTCAAAGAAACTGTCCGAACTTCCCAAAGGCGAGGGTTCTTCTCTCATTATTGTGAAGTTTGATGTTACCAGCAAAACCGAGGGCGTCGAAGCCGTGAAGCAACTGGAAGCTCAAGGCGTTGATCGATTGGACGTAGTGATTGCCAACGCAGGCGTTTGTTTCGCGTGGCCCAAGGTCTCCGACATCACCGTTGAAGAGATAGAAGGACACTACGTGCCCAACGTTCATGGCCTTATCTTCACCTACCAGGCTACCCTTCCCCTGTTGAAGAAGTCGAAGAACGGAAAGTGGATTACCATCGGATCCTGCTCCGCATGGCTCACGGTATTTCATGCATTTCCGCACCTCGCCTTGCTGCCGCGCTAACCCTCTAGAACCAACTTGACATGCCTAATGCGGCTTACGGCACTTCCAAAGTGGTTGCACACTGGCTTACCAAGGCCATCCATCGCGAAGAACCGGAACTCGTCGCGTTCCCTATCGACCCTGGGTAAGAGCTTTGCCAATTACTTATGCGGACATGAGTGTCAGGGATAGATAAGAACTAACTATTGCTATAGCTGGGTTCAGACTGATCTTGGAAACAACGGTGCTCACTATTTCGGGCACGAGCAAGCCCCTCTATCGGTTGATGACGTTACTGAGGGAATCATCAAGGTTGTCGAGGCCGCAACTCGGGAGAGCCATGGTGGAAAGCTGATTCAGTGGGATGGTGCTGTGTTGCCTTGGTAATGTGTAGATGTGGGTTCCGATTTACTCACAAAGCATTCAGAAGTATACCAAGTACGAAGCAATATAGGTTTTAGTGCCACGCGAAAATAGGCCTTCCTGTTCATTAGCTTTCGTCCACGGCCTGAAATCTTCAATATTAGTAGAACTTGTGACTTTGTTTTGAACCGTCAATTTTGCGTTCCGTTTAAAATTACTTGAACCAGTTTTCAAATGTGAAGGGTCGCGCATTATGGATTGTTGCTATTCCTATACCGGCAAACTGAAGTGAGGTCAGATAGCCAAGGTCTACTGTTAATAAATGCAGATGTGGATGCCTTGTGGCAACATCATAAAGAGAATTGACCAGTACTACTACAGCACAGATGCGCGGTCAGTACTTCCAAACAGGGTCAAGTTAAGTCAAGCGGTATATACAAAGGCACACGTTTTAAAACCCAATGTTCTGCATATTACTTCTATTGACTAATAAACTTACAGCCACTCACGAAGCTACGCACTCTATTGCGACTTAAGTTTGATAAGTGTTGCTGATAGTAAAGGACGTTGCAGAATACTAATGCAAATGATCTCAATATCAACGAACAGGCGTGATTAGAGACATCCATCCCTACTACACCTTTTTACAGATGCGCCCGTCTGGGCCAACAATTACCTCGTCTGCGCCCACGGAGGTGTGTGCGTATAAGGTGAAACTAGGATCATACGTCCTCTTAACCTGCAGAAGCTTGTCGTAGTTCTCTCCGTAGTAATCCACCTTCCAGTCCACGTTGTCATATGTGCCTTCGTTCATGTATGACCCACCACCGGGCGTCAAGGGTTTAAGGCGATCTTGAAAACCGTTCACACGACTCTGAATGTCGTGAATCGTGGAGACGGACGAAGCGGGGTCAAAAATGACATCAATGTTGAGCCAGTAAAGAGAGTCCCGCCAAGCTGGGAGGACAGCGTTCGAACCCGGCTTGTTACCTGCCCGTGCGTGCGTAACATTGGCTGCAATGCCGTTAACGCGCACCGAAGGTAGCCCAGAATGAACAACATTACGAAGAACGGAAACCAGATTGGTGACGTTCTGTTCCACCGTGGAACGTTGAATGAGGCGGCCGCCAATAACATCGTTCGTTGTGTAAGGTCCATAAGGGGGAGAACCGGTGTAGTATTCGTAGTGTTCGTAGAAACTCGGTCGGTCACTGGTCTCATAGGTCGAGAGAACCACCTTGAGCCTATCAAGCTCCTTGAGGAAAGGAGCCAAAGCATCGGCCACAACGGAAGCATTGCCACCGGGCAGAGTCACAAACGCAATGTTGAAGGATGCATTGGTGAAGCCCCAGACAGTAGTGAAACCCGGTATCTTGTCAAGGGTCAGCAGATGGGTTTGCCACGCCTCGATTGCGGCCCAATATGAATCCTCATCCTGGTTGTCGAAGGTAAGCGAACCTCCTGCGACAGGCCCATCGACGTGGGCTTTCGTGGTCAAAGATAGTACAACTCCGTAGTTGCCTCCGCCCCCGCCGCTAAGCGCCCAGTAAAGGTCCGCATTCTGGGCACGCGAAGCCACCAGATGTCTTCCTTCGGTAGTGATGACTTCAAACTCAAGAGTGTTATCTGCCGCGAGACCGTATGTAGCTCCCAACGGACCATGACCAGCGCCCTGCACGTAACCGCCCGCCATTCCGACGGTGGGGCAGAAACCACCCACAACTCTCAGTCCATGGCTGGCAGCAGCGGCATATGCCTCAAAGAACTGGACACCCGCCGATACTTTGGCCGCAGGTCCCGTGTACGCGGCACTACTGTAGTTGAAAAAAGTGATGTTCTTGAGATTATGCGTCCACAGTGCAAGGGATCCCTGGCCGTTCGACCTTCCAATGTAGTCGTGGCCGGTGTTCTTGATGCTTAGTCGCACGTTCTTTCTCTTGGCAAACTTGATTCCGGCGATGACATCTGCCGCACTACTAACGTTAATGGCGTAAGATGCAATATTTCCCAGGTTGCACGTTGCGTTTGGCGCATCGTATGGGCTGCAGGTGTTATTCAGCCAGTATGGCGACATTACATTTACCGGGTCCGTGAAGCTGGACCTCGACTGTCAGTGAGGTGTTCGTCCGGGATCTGAACTGCAGGATACATCACATGGGTCACCTACTATGAGAGGGGCTCCGTCCATTTTTCCCTCACGTTTGTACAGGCAGCAGCGTCGTAATCGCTACCATGGCAGACATGTGCCAGAGGTCTTCCAGCTATGAGTCTGCCACCAATTGTGCGGTTTAACTTGTCCCATTCGCTTGGTCCCGGCCACTGGGAGTCTGCCGGTAGGTAACGGCACCCTGTTAATGCGGTGGATCCATTCAGAGGTGCACCAGCTGCCGATGGTAGATATGATAATGCCGCGGCTACGACTGAAACAGAGGCTGCATGAACATGCATGTTGAAAGAGGAATGTGTTCCAGTAAGCGGAGAGTTCTGAAATGGATAAAGAAACCAATGACTGTATCAAGAATGAGCCGAGAGGATGGTATAAACAAACATTGATATCGGAGCACAGAACAAGAGAACATGCATAGGGGCAAGTTTATTATGAACTCTGCAAGTCTCGGCAGAAAGCTTTAGCTATATTACTGAACTTTGACTAATTCGTACTATCGAATCATTGGCATCAGAAGAGGGTTCAGGAAGCCTGTTCCGCGCGGTACGGGTACTATGAGTCCAAGGGCTGAACGGCTGAGCGCCGGGTTGCCCGAAGGAAGCGATGCTGGCTTCTTCCAAGCCACGATAATCCTACTTAACTGGGGATTCATCCTCCGGCATAGATCTGAGTCAGTTTTATTTTAGCCGACAAGTGTCTTGGACTTCGGTCCCCTGGACGATTCGCGATGTTTACAGGGCTATCAACAGTCTCCCTGCTAGCTGACCCGTGGCCTGTGGGAATAGGACATTCAACCTAGAATGGTCCTTACCGGCATTTCTAAGTCTGAAAGGGGGTTAATTTATTTCATGATTACACTGCATGAGTTCGATGCAAGGTAAGCTATGTCCTCTAAACACGGACCACCCGAACCGTTGAAGTGGGACCCTTGCCGGGTAGCGGCCGGTGTTGACATGCATATATGGACCCCGGGGTTGGTGGTGGATACTGCTGACCATGCATTATAGCCCTGCATTTGCTAGATTAAACTCGGCCCGCCCCGTTTCTTTGCCGCCCGCAAAGAGTGCTTCAGTGTAATGCAGGAATCCTTAGTCGGCATGATAAGAGCCATGCTTCTAGGAATGTGATCCTCCGGATGCAGAGAGCTGATATGAAGAAGCAAAAACAGTGCAAAACGAGTGATTTTTAGATTTATTGTACGAATTGGGGGTGGTATTACGTGAGACTTTGATGTATAGATGGTTTTTCTGTAAGCGACGATGAGTATCATGGTGAAGATACAATAATGGTAGACGTCCGTAGGTTTGGTGCAGGGGCTCGCTGACATTTTCATTCGATAACGAATTACGACTCTCTGACCAAAGTGCGAAGGCAAAATGTCGTCGCGCGAAAGCTTCTTCCAACGGCCTTTGGTGGCTAACAGCTTGAATACTTGGAAAGAACAAGGACTATTCAGCCTGTTGACATTATATGTTGCTGTGATCATATCGCTTTCATACCTTACATCCCTTGTTGTATATCGATGTATGATTTAATCAACATTGCCTTTTTGAAAGAATTAGCTGATTTTAGTCCAATAGTGGTGTTTTCTCCTATATCACGAATCCCAGGACCAAAATTGGCGGGTAAGAGTTTGCATTTTTCCTGTCGTTCTAAGAATGTACTGAAATGAGGAATTCTACCCTCTAGCTGTCACCTATTGGTATGAAATTTACTATGATGTCTTCTTGGGTGGCCAATACTACCGAAAGATCGGCCAAATGCATGAAAAATACGGTTCGTTCCCCCTGCATCCCATCTGTTCGAAGCGTGGAGCACTAGATCGTTCATGCAGGCCCAATCGTTCGGATCAACCCCCATGAGGTCCACTTCAACGACCCGGAATTCATCGATTCCATTTTCCCGGGACCAGGGAGAAAGACCAACAAGTATTATTTCACAGGAAGACGAACCGGAAGTAAGAAAACCCTTGACCTGCAAACGAATTTGGAAGAAATTGGCTAAATCTTGGCAACTCTTGCATCAGCTGCGGAGTCGATTGTTGCTACAATTGACCATGATATTCATCGCAGACGACGGAATGCAATTAGCGGTTTCTTCTCCACTGCCAGCATTCGCCGCTTAGAGCCGATTATTCAGAATCACTTGACCAAGTTCCTTTCGAGATTGGAAGATGCAGGAAATACTGGCGAGATTTTACCCCTACACTACGTCTTCCGGGCTTTCACAAGCGACTTGATTACGGAATACGCCTTTGGCGACTCCTTCCACTTTCTCGACAAGAAGGATTTCGCCATGTCATACATGCTGTCCACGGACGTTTTCTTCATCCTCAATCATACCTTTTGTCACTTCCCTTGGGTGGGCACCCTGCTTGCCTTGGCGCCACCATGGGCCGTGAAGACCTTCATTCCCTCATTGACGGAAATGTGGGATAAGCAGATGGTACGTCATGAGCTTTGCAGAATTTATCATCATTGAATAAGTGAGTGTTTAAATATCTTTGTAGATGTGGATTGAAAAAGTCGAGGAAATTAGAAACTCCAAAAGCCCCGACAGTGTCAAGAATACCATCTTTGAAGGTATCTTGAACAGCAAGCTTCCCGAGGAGGAAAAGACTATTGCAAGGCTAGCGCACGAGGCTCAGCTAGTTGTATTTGCGGGTGAGGGAACCACCGCATACACCTTGCAAGCCGCCATCTACCAACTTCTTTCAGAGCCTTCCATCTTCGAAAAGGTGAAGGAGGAGGTTACAGCTGCCCTTCCTCATGCGGATGAGGTGCCGTCTTTCTCCCAAGTGGAGAAACTGCCATATCTAAGCGCTTTCATCCAAGAGACAGTTCGTGTTTACCCTGGTGTTGTCTCCCGTCTACCTCGGGTCTCGCCGGATGTGCCAATTGTCTACCAAGACAAGCGTAGGGGCACGGAATACGTAATCCCCCCAGGCACATCAACCAACATGACCACTCAGATAGCGCACATGAACCCGGACGCTTTTGAAGAGCCCTACGAGTTCCGTCCGCAAAGGTGGATCGATAACCCCAGGCTTGATAAAGCATTTATCGGATTTGCCAGAGGAACCAGAAACTGCATTGGGTACGCTATCATAAGCTTTTGTTACGGCTTTACTCTTTACGTTCATTTACAGCAACTGACGTGTTTGATAGAATGAATTTTGCACGCCAAGAAATGTCCATGGTACTTGCTTCCATTGTCCGCAAATATGACATTTACCGTGGACAAGAGGGTCCTACTTTGGAGTTGTACGAAACAACTAGAGAGAGAGACATCGACATCAACCAGGATTACATTATTCCATTCCCATCCAAGGGTAGCCATGGCTTACGTGTTAGAGTGCGGAACTAAGCCAGGTATGTCGGCGGCGATCAAGTGAACGAGGGACCCGTACGTATGAAACAGAGTAATTGAAGAAATGTATAAACACCACATTGGTTTGGATATCAGTGAAATACACCTTTCGCCAGGAAATATTCGTATCTGTCGCGCCAATCGTCGGTCTAGGCTTTTGAGAATCATTTAAGTGTTTTAAGACTCAGCCATTGACGTACTTTCTGGTCATTCGGCGTTTTTGGGTTATCATGGTCAGCGGGCTCTTGTTCAGTTCTGTAAGTGCACAATTATGATAACGCCTTCGGTCTCCTGGAAGCTATGAAGCACTTGATGTAGTAGCATGTTCTGGTAGAACCGGTTATATTTTAAGGGGACCACCCCACGGAGCCGAAGACAAAAGTACGGAGCGGTCCCACCCTCCGCATTAGTGGGTTGGCCACGCCGGATTCCATTGTATGTGTTATCTTATCTACATCTTATCTTATCTAGGTTCTCATCGGGCGACGCACGACTGAGAGGCTTTCCCTTTCAGTAATGCGGGGTAATTAGGTGCTGGATTTATGTGGCGGGGATGATCATGTACTCCGTACTAGAGCCAGAATTCTGTATCCAGTCCCATTTGACTGCATGTACATACCCGTAGGGAGACCTAGCAAAGGTACTTAGAGGCTGGTTAAGACTTTTCCTAGCTAACCAAGTACTTGAATTGTAAGGTACTTATTCAATCTATGGATTCTAACATTGAGAGAGGTACTAGCAATTATCCAAGCTATTAAAACGCAGCCTGTGAAACAAAGGCATTGATGACGTACATTTATGTGTTCCTAACATGATGGGGACGAGAGCGGGTGTAGATAAGGGACTGACTACCTGTATACCTACTAGTATTAGGTACTGATCGCAAAGAGTTGCCCTCTGAGAGCACATTAGTGGGGCACCAAGCCGGCAGGGCCACAATTTACCTCATTTAGACAAGTCGAGGAGTAACGCTTGGACGTCATCAGCATTCTCGCCAATCCAAAGCTCACACACAATTGGCCTGCCCTTTTGTAATGTTTTTTGAGGTCGTACAATAGCCAATTAAACACCGAAACTACAACTTATTTTCAGTCGAATCGCGAGAATCATGTTGTTTGGTAGTAAGAGAAATATGGGTCTGTCAATGGGCTGGTTTAAACCTGTTCGTAGGGCGTAGTCGATGGGATACGATAGCCTCGCACATAAAAAGCCAGAAAACTGAGGACCACCCACCAACACAACGTCCAAGACATGCTGAGACATTACCTAGGCAGTGCTGCCACGAAACAACCCACAAAAAGCTCAAAAATAAGAAGATCCTCTAACCTCTCACTTACTGCTCATTCTTTCGAGTTCGAGTTCCCCAGACCTGCACCATGCCCGCTCTTCCAAAAATCAGTGCCCCGCAGCACATTCTCCAGCTTCTGTCTGAGCTTCATCGGAAGTCCCTGGACCAGGAAGCTGCCCTATCAGCCACCGGGAAGGTTTTCTCTGCCCAGCTAAAAGGCGATCTAGAAGACCAGCACCGAGATGAGAACCCCGACGACAAATTCGACAAGCTCATGCTTGATAAATTCATCGCCCTGGATGAAGACAAATGCCAGTTCACCTATCAGCTCATCAACGCCATGGGTGCGACCAATGTTGTTGAAGCGGGAACTAGCTTCGGAGTCAGCACTATTTACCTTGCTCTAGCCGTTGGTAAAACAAAGGCCGCCACTGGCAAGACTGGGACAGTCATAGCCACCGAGAAGGAGGCGCAAAAGGCAAATGTTGCGCGGAAGTACTGGGCACAGTGTGGTGCAGTGGTTGAGCAGCAGATTGACCTGAGAGTGGGCGACCTCCTCGAAACTCTGAAGGAAGGGTTACCACAGATTGATCTTCTTCTCCTTGATAGTGAGTCTTGCTTCGACACTTCTTCATGGAGAGTATTTGTACTAAAACCAACCGCGAACAGTCTGGTCAGCCCTTGCTCTTCCGACACTCAAAACCGTCCTTCCTCGTCTTCGGCACGGTGCGGTTGTGCTCACAGACAACACGATATCGGGCGCTGAGGGTTACAAGGACCTTTTGGCGTTTCTACGAACACCGGAAAATGGCTTTCAAAACATGACTCTTCCCTTCACCAATGGGTTTGAGATGAGTGTATATCTACCAGGGACAGATTAGCTGCAGGTTGGATGAGATTGGATAGGTATGTTAGTATAATGCTAACATGATTGTATTAAGAGACACTCGATTCAAAAATCAGCTCTCCTTCTTTGCATAAAATGGATAAGCGATGCAAAAAGTCAAGTCACAAGATCTCGAACTTGGCGATGATTTGTTGAAAGGTGTGGGGCAATTTTGTCCGATCTTGACGGCTACGCCCGCCGTTTGTAGGGTTGGCCCTGTATCCGTAAATGAATCCTCTAACCAGCTTTCATGTGGCAAATGTGCGGGGGATTGACTGTGTGCACCATCATTTGCCTCGCGCTATTGGATTAGCCCTCCAACTCGTTGGCGATTGGTTTTTCCAAAGATGTCTGGCCCAACTTGGAGAAGCATAGAGGTAATACTTTGGTTAACAATGACACCTCGTGAAGAACGTCGAGGACCACCATTTCCAACTCCAATTTTTGATGAGTTAGATGAGAGGAGTAAACCCTTCCCGCAAAAAAAGAGAGAGGCAGATGTTGTCGGAGCAACTCTATTGTTGAGAGGCGGCAAACAATTTTCCCGCGCCGTCGCGTCTTAACTCAATCGGACAATTACAAACCTATAAAAAGAAAGTGTCCGAAGCGGACTCCGTTGTGGAGGTGAAAGTCACCAAACACTCCAAATGGCATGCCAAGCAAAGAACCCTTGCTGTAGGAGACATTTTAATCAAACACTAATCATGCAGCCAGACAGAATGTTGATTATCATTATCGCATTTTTGATTTACTACGTACTACACGGCCTGCGATATTCTCTTAGTGCGGGCGTGTACTAGGATGACCTTTTTCAGGACAATGGTACTTGAAGAAGAAGGAAGGCCTTTTGCTGCCGGAGCAGTTCCAGCTGTGAACGATCATATGGATTCCATATCGGCGTTTTTGATGAAAATATCATTATTATTAGTAGCATGTATTAAAATGCGCCAAGTCTTTGATTGAGATATAGCTTAGCTGCATTCCCTCCAAACCTGCAGCTCTTTTAAATCCTTTGAGAAGAAACCTTGGGTATTCTTAGTCATCTCAAGGTTTTCTGCTTGACATTGCAGCGGGGATTTCACTCGTCCAGTCTATGACAATTACACAAACCTACGTGGTTTGCCAAGCGGAAGGGCTTGGCTATTGGAATTGTTTGCGCCGATTCTGGCGTCGGCGACGGCCACCGCGGCATGCATCCCGTCAACTGTCGGATGTACCGGATGAACTATCCGGGACAGCATACACTTGCCACATACTAGCAATTATTGCAGAGAAACAAAGCTTCAGGAGAAGGCCAGGCTCAAGCCTCGATGCGCAAGTGTTCGAAGACTTCGTCGTCGCGATACCTAAGTACTACTTGTCCACACGGGAAACCCAATAGTCTCATCAAAAGTTGAAGGCACCTAGAGAGTTTCATTCCATGCGGCGTTGGACAAAGGGAGCCTCGGCCACCAGACCACTGCACTTGAAATAAACGAGGATCTAAGCACTAACGTCGCACACCCACTTCTCGCACACCCCCACATTTCGCACACCCATAAATTGGGTCATCATGAGGTATTCATCAACTTCATAACTATAAGTCTGATTCGTCTCCTGCAACTGTGATACTATCGCCAGTTTTAATAGGTAATTCAGGCTCGCTAGATTCATCTGAGCTATCCTCAATTTCGCCAGCCTCAATTTGGGCTTTGTGAATTGCCTCAATGTTGGCAAACTTCGAATTTGGGCTCATTTGGACCTTACGCCGCTTCCGTACCATTCCAGCCTCAACTTCTGCTTCCAACATTGCAATCTTCTTCTCTGCTGTAGCCAATTGATAGTCCTTTTCATCAAATCCCTTTTGAACCTTCCGAAACAACAGTCGCTGCGTTTGCTGATCTTTATCCAACTTGCTGAATAAGCTAAGTTGATCATATAGATCAACTGTCTTCTTGGGCGTTGACCAGGCTACTATGGATGTAGCAGATGCCCAGTTTTCGTCTTTTCCACCATCAGAGGCCCTCATAGGCGTAGAATAGCCTGGCTTTGAGGGCTTGGAAGCATTCTCAAGCAGTAGAGGGCTCATGAGCGGTCGAGCTATCGAAATGGGCCATAGTCCTGTTGCTTTCCAGCCGCTTCTGATATTCTTGCTTGAAAATGCCATCTGGCGTGCTTTTCCATAGCAGGTAAGAAAGTTCCGTTTGCCTACAACTGTAGAATCGTTGTGTTGAATGAGGTATCCAAGCTCTTTTCGATAGGTCGCCTTGAGAGGCCCAAAGACTGCTTGGTCTAGAGGTTGGAGAACGTGGGATGTATGTGGCGGTAGGAAAAGGAGATATATCTTGTGTTTATAACAGAGATACATAAATTCTGTTGTTTCATGACTGCCATGACCGTCTAGGATCAATAGTCTCTGCTCAGAGGGATGATCAGGCTTATTCAGAGGGATAAAGATGTTCTCAAGCCATTCCACAGCTGTAGAGTCTGAAGTCCAGCCATTCTCAGTTGCTGTGAACTTCCAACCACTGTAAATATCACGTTTATGGATATCAAGAGGAAACCATTGTTGTTGAACCGATTTCCCTCGATAAATAACAAGTGGAGGAAGCGCCTGACCAGTTGCAGAGACACACTCAAGCATAGTTGTCCAAGCCCGAGACCCAGGCTGTTTTTTTCGCATTGATGAGCTTTCTGATGATCCCAGTACTAAGCCATTTGATCCTCTGCCTTCTAGGATACCAGTTTCATCCATGTTATAGCGATGATGTGGTTTGATCGCCTTGATCTCTGGAAGGGCGAGTTGTTGAAACCATTGCCTGATTACATTAGTTGAGGCCCCATTGACACGCTTAGAATCGATGGCTCTAGCTCTATGAACCTTGATTGATGGATTTCTCTTAATAAAGAACTGAATCCAGTTTCTCCCAAGTGGCTGGGTAGTGCCTCTGATGTCTAGGATTCGCTGGGCAAATTCCTTGAGTTGTTGATGTGTTGGCGGCAGCCCTAACGCCGCCTGGATACGCACCCATTCAGCTAAGTGACTTTCCTGTGCTGGAGATAGCTTCTGGAAGCTAGAGAAAGCTACATTTCTTGCCTGTGAACCCTTTAATCGAGACTGGAGGGTTGATGGTGGAATTCCAGCATCATGAGCTGCCTTTCGGACACTCTGCCCACTTGCAACTGCATTGAGAGCTTGATTGACTTCTGTTTCCGTATACTGGCCCATTAAGCGTATAAGAGTAACTATTCAAAGAATTATAATAATCGCTGTAAAAGTGGTGAAGATATTAAAGAATGTTGAAGAGGGTAAAATGTTACGGCCAGCTAACTGACAGTGGGTTTGTGTTAACAGTAAGCCAGGGATTGACAACAGTAACAGTCGTTCTGGGGTCTGGTCGATTGAATCGTAGATCTTCAAAGGTCTTGGTGATCAGTCAAGGCCTCAACAAGAGTCGTAGAGTAGTCGTCACTTAGGTATAGCTGAAAGTACCGGTTAGGGTAATCACAAAGTTGATTGCTGAAGAGCTATGGAAGTCTGTCCTCGAGCCCGGCTCGAGTCCATCCTATATACAAGTCCTGAACGGTCCTCCTTATCTTGGCTATGTTGGATATTTGACATATCCAACATATCCGGGATCGGTTGGATATCTGACATATCCAACATATCCAGCCCGGGTTGTCCTTACCCCGCGTTATCCCCGAGGCCACGTGACTTGTCCATAGTTCTTCCGTTCCGAGGATCCCTGGTTACACCTGTCCGGCTGGGTTACATATGCCCTGCGTTAGCCGCCGGGATCCAGGCGGGGTCGTGTTGGCGACCATGTCCAACGGGTCGTAACATAAAATTCTACATGAGCGATTTATGGGTGTGCGAAATGTGGGGGTGTGCGAGAAGTGGGTGTGCGACGTTAGTACTGTCGTTACCGAAAGTGGATAATAGAGGGTGCCCCTGTTTACACATGTCTTTCACAGTTTTCAACGTTAAGAGGCTAGTTTCATGAATTTAAACTGACGAACTGGTCCTTTTACTATCTACTCGGTATGTACTGCATTCATTGCTCAAGATCTTTCATTGACAACGTCTTGCTGCTCAACCTAACAGCGGGTCTCCGATTTGACAACCTCAACATACGCCCTTCTTCCAGACGCTTGGTCAACTCGCTCTCCACATAGGCGACGGTATGCGCCAGCCTCCTCAAAAGATCGAACACAACATTGACCGGCGACGGGATTTCCACGAGCACCATTACATAGGGCTCGGTCTGTAATGTAGACAGTACCGAACGATGCGTCAAGCCGGCATGATACTAGATCGCTAGAGGCACCGAGTCAGCTTCAACGCCAAAACACTTGAGATGCAATTCTTACCCAAAGGTGCCCTGGGCCGCAACAGATGCGACGAAAGCAAGAATGATGGAAATGGTCTTCATGGTGTCGAATTGGTATGTTTATGAGGCTTGTGTATGCAAAGAGGTTTTTGTTGTTTGTATGAAATGTAAAGACCAAGAGACAAAAGATGAGACGTGTTGAGGCTTCTACCCTTTATATAGATCTAAGACTCTTAGCATGCTTGATACCATTGCGATTTAATAGAGTGATCTCTTGGCTCATATTTACTGTTCTTGGCTAAGTTGGTTGCTGAAATTGAATAGTAATTCTGGCGTAGCTTGGCAGTGGCTATGTTCAGACGAGTCGAGCATTAATTGCTTCCGCAGTTGTAGATCAACAACTGCTCCACAGTAACTTCGAGGCCGCCTCTCACGAGGTCATTTAAAAGCTTAATGTTTTACTTATTTAAAAGCCCTTTCCATACACAACCGCTCAAAGCATGTAGTGGCATTGTCTTGGTCTATATTATCTCCAACTGCGTATCGCAACGTAGTTTCATTTGAGCTCTGGCAAATAACTAGAAGTCGAATATGCTCTTTCGGAGGCATCAAGGCCACCTTTCAGCGCCAAAGCCTTCCTTGGGTAATTGGAGCAGTTAGCGTAACATTGGAGGCGGACATGCCTCTATCCCGCAAGATTCTCCACTTATTAAGATCGGGTTCGCGTGGAGTCAAGTCTGTTGAAGTGGCTTGGGAGTAAAGCAACTGGAATACAGAGATATAGAGAGCCATGCTTTTTGGGTTGAATTTAAAGTTTGTCTTTCATCTATTACAGTGCAGCAGACATTTTAATAGTATTTTTTTTTGTAAGAGTCTTTATTGAGGCAGTTCTGAATACTATATTGTGGGGATTAATTAAAATCATTGGGATAGCCCATCAAACCATTGAGAGCGCCAAGCATTCATTCAACGGTGCGCATACAAGTATTCTGGGCCAACTCGATGCAGGCATTGACAAGAAGAGCCCCGCACAAGCATTTGCAGTGTCCCTTTTGAATGAGACATCCAAGACAGCAGAATATTTAACCACCGTTTAAAACTGATTAAGGTCAAAGAGTAGTTTCTTGGATCAAACGCCACCGACACCTTTTGATCACCTTGTTAAACTCTGCACATATGTGAACTCTTCCAGCAGGCGCCGAAAGTAAATTCGGTTTCAAGCCCGAAGTCTAGCTTAGCCCCTTTGCCACAGGCTTTCATTGTGGAATCCTCTACACCATGTGCCCGGGAAGATCTGACCATGACAACTTGTAAGGAATCACACGATGCTGCCACTTGGCTCTCGCTGGAGTTTGGGTTGGCCTGTAACGTCCGAGCGTGGGTTTTTGTGAGAACGACTGCCGCAGAATCGATTGATGAACGATTCAAGCGCATGCCGCGTCGCATGTTGAGTGTCATTTCATCTGTGCTTTTCTCCCACATTTTTTTTCCCTGGTAGATCTCCATGCTGCAAACATCCCTAGCATCTCGCATTATTGTAAATGGTGCTGAATCTCCGGACCACTCGCTGAATCAACGATAGAGCTTGTCCGCTGAAGATATCACGATTTCGAATGTGCAACTCATTAACCAAAATTTAAAGAAGATCTAGAAGCACGAGCGTCTGTGTTTAGGTACTTCTAAAAATAGAACGTCAGTCAAAATGAAAAGCATTGAGAGGATATTATGGACGATGAATGGTTCGTTTGTTCAACATGCCCATTCAAGAGACAAATCACGCTTTTTAAATCGGCAGAACAATAAAGTATCATCAAAACCGTTTGCGTTGCCTGTTCAGATAGTCATCGTCCATGTGGATGTTGAGAGGGTGAAAAGGGTGAAAAGGGCGTTCAAAATGTCACTAAGCCAGGATGCATCTATAAATGCATCGTAAGAAAAAATAATCAAGCGGTTTTGAGGATAATGTGCTCAAGCCTATTTTAACTATGGAATTTGAAATTGGAACAAACGAGATTATAGACGGCGCGGTCGTGTGATCATGCATAAGCATAGGTACCAGAAACATTGTGAATAGATCCGTAGACGTTCAAAATACTATCCTGATTTTAAGTTTGTCATTCTCAACAATATCATCCTTCATTTCCGTAAGCTCTTCCATGTCCCAGGGGCAACTTACATACCTCCCACCGAGCCACTCCTTGCGGCCAGCAGCTAGCCATGCAATTGTGTCACCAGCAATATCGGGACTATGAGGAAGCATGTTCCGCGTTGCCTCGGGTAAACGCTCCGTGATCTTTGTCTTGATCGCGCCCGGGTTTACGCAAAAAGTCACAAGCCCCTCCGCGCCGTATTCCAACTGTAACGACTCAGTCCACCTCAACACCGCCAACTTCGAACTGCGATAGCTTGCGCTCCCGGGACGGGCACTGAGCGCGCCTGAAGAGGCTACGTTGATCATCGTGCAGAGACCATCGGCATTGGTGGTTCGTGTCGAAAGAAGCAAAGGGAGAAAAGCGCGTGCCATGTTGATGAGGCCGTGAACGTTGACCTCCCATGTATACCAAGCTACGTCCGGGTCCAACTCGAGGAGTGGTTTAACCGGTTCCATGTGAGCCGCATTGTTGACAACAACGTCTAAACGGTCGCCAAATGCCTTCGATATGACACTATGCAATGTCTGAACGCTGTCACGACTTGCAATATCAACAGTGCAGCTCAGCACGACAGGTTCGGGGCGATTTGCTTGTGTTGCAGCCGATTTCAGCTTTTCAACAAGATGACTGCTTACGCCATGAATATCAGCTACAGCTATCGCGGAAGCTCCCGCGCGGGCGAACGCTGTGGCTGTAGCATAACCAACCCCGTCTTCCCAAGCTGCCCCTGTGATGAGGACGCTTTTGCCGGTTAGGTCAAGCTTGAGAGGGGATATGTAATCATAGGTTGTGGAGTGATTTTTGGTGGTAAAGCTGCCGCCGGACTGCTGCATTCTAGTCGACATTGTCAAACAATTAGCTTACGTTTTGAAATAACCTTGTAGACTAGATGCGTGACGAACCTAGGTAAAAGGGTATTAGTAGTCATTTTGATGTGACGTAATTCCTAATTCGGTTATGTGGTGGCTATCCGACTTAACGGTTCTACCCGGAAAGCCGGTTTTGGCCGATCTTTGGGTGATCGAATCTTCATCCGAAATAACGTTGGCAGTCCACCTGTTTGCCCCTTGCTTGATGTTGTCTCCACAAAATGACTAGCTATTATTGGATTACTGATCAACAATTTTCTGTAATTGGTTGTCAAACGACGTGATAAGGGCTATGTTATAAGAAGTGTGGCCTTTGCCGCTCTCCGTCTTGTTGTAATTTGATCTGTTTGCTATGATCTCTCTATATTTTCCCTCTTTTCCTTTTTTTGTCATTGCCCATTTCCGTCCTGGATGGGCTTGAATTGTCTCCCAAAGCAATGTTTGGGTTTGCCCTAGGCTACCACACTCCTTTCGGGCAGATCACTAATCTCCAGCGCTAAACCTTTGAAAATCGGGACCTGCACCTATAAAACCTGAAACCATGCTTTGGTAAAGAGAATGAGCCGGGAGATGGTCTCCAGGGGGTATCGAGCTCCAAAAGCTGTAGCTTTCTGAAGGTTACGAGATTCTATGTCACATCTTGCCTCTCCATTCGCCCTTGGGTATTATGATGAAAAGCCAAGCTTATGATTCGTCTGGATACGAAGAGAATTTCTTACTTTTCGGAGATCAGGAATTCTCCCAACTAATGTCTGAAGTTATCTTGTGAAAATTACAACCGGCTGAAGGTCAAGGAGAGCTCAATGTAGCCGATGGAATGCCGTAATGGGTTAGTTTGGGTCCATTTTTCCATAGTAGCAGACAGAAATCGAATCAGCGGGGCCACTGGAAAATTTCTGCTCCATCACAGACATCTCCCCTCAAAATGGATGGCTAGGCAAAGAATCTTACTGCGTACGACCTGGATCATCAGGAATGCTGCGGATAATTCTAACGCCCCTGCAAATCGAAGATGTTGGCATTACTTGGGTGCTTACTAACCTGAATTTTTCTTAATAGAGAGGGAGAATCAAACGTGGGCATAACGTAGGCTTTGCAAGAGAAAGAGACCAAAAACGTCCAATAAGTCATAATGTGGAGTCCTACTCACATTGTTCGACCAGCCTGTTTGAATATTCTGACAGCGTGAGAAATCCATGGGTACGTTTGATATGAATGCTGACAATATCAGATCTAGAGCGCCTGGAACATGATGGGAGGCGTTGTATAGGTTCAACAATCAACCCGTTTTCGTCCGTCCGCCGGCGACAATTACTATTACTAATAACTCTTCCCCTAACCTACGTTTGCTGCGGGAGTCTCGCCCCGTGACCCCGAGATATGCGGGGTCTTGCAGTGATTATGAATCAGCGTAGAGTTCTGCAGTATACGTTCTAAGGGGTTCCCGTCTTTATGTCATGTTTAATCTCACAATCTACTGAATACAACGCGGTACAAATTATCTAGTGATTAAGACCTTCAATCTCTGCGTACGTGCCTCCAATCTGAAACTTTAATTTATATCTCATTTCGATCCTATCATGAGTCCTACGATACTCGTCGTTGGCGCCACCGGCAACACGGGTCGAGGTGTCGTGGAAACTCTTTCCCGACTTCTCAATACTCAGAGTCATCTTTGCAGCTACAGTATTCTCGCTCTCACTCGCTCCAAAGATGGAACTGCGGCAAAACAGCTTGCTACGCTTCCTCATGTGGAGGTTGTCGAAAAGCATTGGGTCACAATCAATGCAGATTGGCTTCGTCATCAAAACGTAAAGAGAGCTTTCATCGCATCACACAACCAGCCTAATCAGTTTGCGGAAGAATCAAACTTTTACGTCAGCGCACTCAACGCCAATGTTCAATACGTGGTCCGCATCTCGACGACTGCGGCCAATGTCCGCCCAGACTCTCCTGTTTACTACCCCAGGTCACACTGGGCCATTGAGGCTCTGCTAGACACTACGGAGTTCCGAAACTTGTGGTGGACTTCGCTTCAACCTAACGTCTTTACACAACAGTACCTTGCATCTGCCGTTGAATGGGTCAAGGCATTCCAAAAGACGGGCAAGAAGGGGACTCTGAAGCTCATGGCATCCAAGGATGTCCCGGTCGGCATTGTTGATCCTAACGAAGTTGGAGCCTTTGCCGCTCACCTTCTGCTCCAAGATGACCCGAAAGCGCACAGCCGGGCAAGATATGTTCTTAATGGCCCTGTGGACATCACTGGCCAGCAAATTGTGGACTTAGTGGAGAGTTATTCTGGAACAAAGGTTGATAAAGTAATATTCAAGGACTTATCATTTATCGAATACCTTGCAAAAGATGCTCCTGAGGGATCTCGAGATATTATTCTCTCGATCAAGCGTGCCCAGGAGACAGCATGGGAAGGGAGGTGTACTGCATCGACCACAAGCAAGGAGGTTACTCAGCTAGCACCACTTAAAAGGGTGCCATCGGAGATCTTCAAGGAGATGATTGCAGCATCTGAGTAACAATGAATAAATCAAACTAGAGGATAGCTCGATTATTACCCGCTTCCACCGTTGGATTACTCTCGAATCAAGCCAAATACTACCATAGGTCATATGGGACCGGGAAGTGCCTGGTTGTCAGGCTGATATTGCCGGGTGGTAATGGGATGCTGATCGATGTACGTTAGATAACTTAACATTTGATGTAAAAGATAACCATATATTTGGATCATTTCCATGGAGAACATTCTTAGCTGTTAGTTCAAAAGACAAGGGGACATGCTAATCCATCCTGGTGTCTTGGTACTCATTTATAGCAAGTAAACCTTTCCTACCATCACGCGTATATGTGTGAGTCTTTGTTCCAATTATTATAAATTGCGACTTACACTGTTATGAGGATCCATTCTTTAGTGAAGCCTCAACTGTGATGGAAAGCACTTGTGGCTGGGTCGGTCACGTATTGTTCCGGTCCCAGCAAGTGGATTCAGATTTACCGAGGATATAAGACTTTGACTAGAGGTATATAAGTTGAGACAGCCTTTGACTCTTGTTTTTAAAAAAAAAGAAGGGTTGCTTGGAGGACTTTGTCAGAAAATTAGTTGAATTCAGTTTGATTTGTCATCTAAATTTAGTTATAGATGAATTCGTGAAAGACTTCAACGGCAGTGTAATACGATTTCCTGAGATTGCGCAACCTTAGAATCCCGTCTTTTGAATTGGCTCCGAGGCCGATGCTGAGCTCCGTCAAGAGTGCTTCCCTTTGCCTATCAGACAGTAAACACGCTTGACTATCGCTCAACGCTGTATTTGTCCCAAGGCAACACTCTATTGCATTCAGGAAATACAAGATCACTTCGCAGAAGTATATACCCTGTGCGCAGGGCTGTGATAGTGTCATGCCCCCAAACATGAAATCCGGCACGGCATGAATGGGTTGAAAATGCAGACGTTTGATGCGTGGTAAAAGGTGCCTAATATTTAACTCCAAAAGCCCGACAATTTGACTCAAGGCACTGGTGATCATCAGAGCGAGCGGTTGTGATAATGGTTTAGTATAGACTCTCAAAGATGACTGGACACAAAAGTCCTCATCGTGGGATAGCGAAGTCGGAGAGAGTAAATTCTCATAGGAAACTGCCGGTCGTTGACCTTGCAGCAAGGACCCATCCGTCCGGGTTGTAAGGAGACGGGTCGAAATTCCTGCAAATTCTTCAATGGTCCTCAAAACGAACTCAGCCAATATCTTGTTGTCGACAAACAGCGGTCCTTGTTGGCTGATGAGGGAGTCTAGATTTATTGACGCTTTATTCGCCTCTGCTGCGGCCGTGCGGGTGTATAAGTCGAGGTTTATCTTCGAAAGACTACCAAGTGCTTCTGAATCATCTATTAGCCAACTGGTCTTCTGTTCTTGCGGTATCATCGGCATGATTGTCGAAAGAGAGGTACTGATGCTACCGCCAAGAGATGAGTTCGATGGAGTTTTGTAATGCGACGGTGTGGTTGGTGTACTATCGGTTGGAGACAATCCCGCTCCAAGAGCGGTGGACTTGGTCGATGTTTTGAAGTTGTCCCATGCGAAAATTTCTTCAAGTAATAATTCCATACCCGGATCGGCTTGCTGCTCTCCGCCTATAAATGCGGACCTGTCTGCCCAAACAGCTGGCGCAGGTGCTGAAGGCAAATTCGGAGAGAAATAAGTGTCGGGAGAACAATTCAGAGGCTTCGATAGTGATCGAAGAGAGTTTTCAGATGTGGGAGTAAGTTGTTGATGATCAGGTTTTTTGGTAGTTTGGGGTAGAATATCTTCCGATGCGAGAGCGGATACCAAAGTGTCCTGAAGCGCTTCCCCAGAAGATGAAATTATTCGCCGAGGCCGCCCAATCCTCTTCTGCTGCCCTGCTATGCAGTCTATTTCAAGTTCAATGCATCGGGAGCATCTGGTATCATTTGGTTGAAGACGGCGACACCTTGACTTATGTCTCCTGCATCCTTCGCAAGAGGTACGTCTCTGTGTTGAATGGACTTTTGTAATGCCCATTTTCAATTGTTGATATGTGTGCGTAAACGAATTGTGCGTGTGGTGAACTTGAGCTCTTTTTGGTAGCTATTGGAGAGAAGTCCAAAGGTCGTCGCCAAAAGTGTTACTTGGACATCCACCACGGTTTGGGTGTCTCTTATTAAAGCATCCGCGGAGGGTTTAAAACTCCAGCCATGGGTGAAGATCCACCTCTAACCTGATTAGGAGCATTAATGATCGGCCACTATTCGACTAGTCCGTGAAACACAGCCTCGGATCCTCTTCGTTGCGGAGCAAAGCAAGCCTCCGGTATCACTAATCAGGTAAGCCGCTCAATTAGGTTTCGAGAAAAGGGACGCTGGGCGACACAATGGCTTACATCTAGTGGATGCAGCCCAAAGGGGCCAATGTGATTTTCGTATAGCCTCAACAGATCCAGAGTAAGTTTACATCTTGAGTTGCTCAAAGGCTACGTCGCCTGTCTAGTGAACCATGCTGGCGTCGAGAATGTGGTTTGCTTCAAATGATACAAGCATCAATGATGCGAGGTCCCTGATGGTACCGGCAAAATCGCAATCCGACCACGGAAATTAGATGTTAGGTTGTGGACTTATTTACTATGACTCCGGACGACGAACTGATTGATCAAAGTTCAATTGTACATATTCAGAATACATTACCAGACAAGGTCTCCCTTGACTGGATACATATGTAAAAAGATGGAAATATTGCTGTTGTCGTTCCAGACCCGCTTCGAACCCCGGTAGTGCCACAAAGATTACTGAACACTGCGCTGCCACTTTTCAGCTTCACTCTGTTCCGCTCATAGCTCAATTATTCAATGCGTGTCTCGAAGAAGGGCCTGGATTTCTAATCCATAATAAATGTATCTCCACTTCATTCTAGCAAACCAATCATCTTCTAGTTATTCGTATTCAATGAGGTCAGATTATGGCTGATAGTTGAATAAACCTTTTCCTCTAGTGTAGGGGCATTAAAGCTCTGCTTATCGAAGAGAATTATGAACAAGAACAAGCTTGGTGCCATCGCTTCCCCCTGTAACGTCCCACACCCACTTCTGGGCACCCCCCACATTTGGGCACCCCATTTACACCAAAAACGCCGTTTTTCGAAATTCTATATTAAACTAAATACTTTACTTATTAAAGAGAATAAATATATATTAAATAGATTAAGACTTAATTATAATACTTAAGTAGCTATATACTAGTATTATTAATAATAAGTATTATAAATTCAAGGTTTAACATTTATAATACTAATTTACCTAGCCTATATCTTAATATATAAAATAGGTAGAGATATTTAACTAATATGATTAGAATTTTTAAGTAAGATATAGTAGATTTATATATTCTTATACTTAGTAAAAAATTCTTTAAGCTTAGAATAATATTTTAAAATTTCCCTTAAGAAAAGTTTCTATTATAGAATTTTAACCCTTAATTATACTATATTTACTAAAGTAATACTTTTAAATCTCTTTTAGATATAATTATATACTTTTAATAAGTATAAATATTAATTTCCTAGATTTTTTAAATAAGTATATATAAGCGAAAATATATTTTTCTAATGTTAAGGAATACTAGTAAGTTACTAGTATCTACTAACATTTTAAAGCTTTTAGTTTTAAACTTCTATATTATAACTATTATTATATTTAAACCTTTATAAAAAATTAGATGGCTATAATTATACTTAACATAGTTTATATATATTTTCTTTTCTTAGTAAGTATAGTAGTTAGTTTAATATAGAATTTCGAAAAACGGCGTTTTTGGTGTAAATGGGGTGCCCAAATGTGGGGGGTGCCCAGAAGTGGGTGTGGGACGTTATTGGATGTCAAAACAGAACCTACCGTTTCTTTACGGGTGATACATACATTTTAGATCCAGAATTAGTCATAGCGCGCTTTTCAGTTGTCCCGCCCCTTGTGTGTCCGGTGAGGATGAACTCCCCTCGGAGGCTTTTGCATCGCTGGCGTCATGACTCTGCTTCGCGCATGCACGTCATTAGAAAGCCCCAAATTTCATTCACACAAGATGTGTGTTCAGATCATAATGGTTACAGTATACATGTCCGACGTTCCCGGCTTCAGATGGCTGATAAATCATCACACCAAGCATCGTCGACCTGTGCCTGCTTCAGAGTTTTTACCTGGCGAGTCTTACTTGTATATCAATAACTACGCCGTCAAACACGAGTTTTAGATGATATCGACAGACAACGAACCTCACGATAAAGCACACATTAAGGCATTCCGAATACAATCGAATTACAACCCTAATCACGACGTCAATCGCTGTGCAAATTCGAAGAATGGAGAACCCAAATGAAGAAGAAGGGGAACAGCCCAGGAAGCTCGGTGTTACCTGGCGGAACCTTACTGTCAAGGGAGTTCACAACGATGCAGCTTTCAACGAGAATGTCGTTTCTCAACTCTATCCTTTCCACAAGACCAACAAATCTCGCCCATTAAAAACAATTATCGACAATTCCTCAGGTTGCGTAAAGCCAGGAGAGATGTTACTCGTCCTCGGGCGCCCCGGCGCTGGCTGTACTAGTTTGTTAAATGTACTATCCAACAATCGGTCCGGTTATAAAGAGGTTACTGGAGAAGTTTTCTTTGGAAGCATGTCCGACAAGGAGGCCAAGCAATATCGCGGTCAAATCGTCATGAACACAGAAGAGGAGATCTTCTACCCGGCGTTGTCTGTTCAAGATACCATAAATTTTGCCACACGTATGAAAGTCCCGCGTGAGCTTCCACCCGGGTTCAAGACACCCGAGGAATACGTGCAGCACAGGAAGGACTTCCTCCTGCGCCTAGCTGGCATCACTCATACCGCATCCACCAAAGTGGGCGATGCCTTTACCAGGGGTGTTTCCGGTGGAGAAAGAAAACGCGTTTCAATTTTAGAATGTCTGGCTACTCGTGCCAGCGTCTTCTGTTGGGACAACTCTACAAGAGGTCTTGATGCAAGCACGGCCCTTGAGTGGATCAAAACAATGAGGGAGATGACCGATTCCCTCGGACTTACTACCATCATCACCCTCTACCAGGCGGGCAACGGCATTTACGAGCACTTCGACAAGGTTCTGGTTCTGGATGAGGGAAAGCAAATTTTTTACGGCCCTCAAAAAGAAGCAGTTCCCTTTATGACCGAGCAAGGTTTCTTGAGAGATTCTGGTTCGAACCGCTCAGATTTCTTGACAGGCGTAACCGTCCCTACCGAACGCATCATCGCCCCTGGTTTCGAGAAAACTTTCCCTCGAAATGCTGACGAGATTCGCGGAGCGTACGATTGCACAGCTCTTAAAGCTAAAATGGATGAGGAGGCCCGGCTTTACCCTACAAGTGACCAAGCTATCCAGAACACCGCCTTATTCAAAGAATTGGTTGCTAGTGAGAAACATAGGGGGGTTTCTGATAGCTCGCCTGTTACTTCCAGCTTCTTCAGCCAAGTCAAAGCCGCTGTCATTCGACAGTCACAGCTCTTGTGGGGCGATAAATCGACTCTGTTGATGAAGCAAGGTGCTACAGTTGTCCAGTCTCTTGTCGGAGGCTCGCTCTTCTATGCAGCTCCCGACAATTCGCTCGGTCTCTTTCTGAAGGGTGGCGCCCTCTTTTTCTCAATTCTCTACAACGCACTCCTCGCTCTTTCTGAAGTTACAGACTCTTTTACGGGCAGACCAATCTTGGCTAAACACAGATCCTTTGCGCTCTATAGACCGGCCGCCGTTTGTATCGCCCAGATCGTTGCGGATATTCCTATTCTTCTTTTCCAAGTAACTCATTTTGGCCTTGTTTTGTACTTCATGGTAGGCCTCAAGCTTTCTGCCGCAGCCTTCTTCACATACCTCTGCACAAATTTCGTCACCGCCATGACCATGACGGCGGCCTTCCGCCTTATCGGCGCCGCTTTTCCGACATTCGATGCCGCGACCAAAGTTTCTGGTCTGACAATCGTCAGTTTCTTCGTATACATGGGCTACATGATTTTCAAATCTGAAATGCATCCATGGCTAGGCTGGATATTTTGGATCAACCCAATGGCATACGCCTTCGAAGCCCTTCTCGGCAATGAGTTTCATGGCCAAGATCTTCCGTGTGTCGGTCCCAACCTCATCCCCAATGGCCCCGGCTACGGCACTGGCGAAGGACAGCAGGCGTGTGCTGGAGTTGCTGGCGCGAGGATTGGTGCTACAAGCGTTACAGGCGACGAGTATCTTGCAGCAATGTCCTTCAGCCATACTCATGTTTGGCGTAACGTGGGCATTATCTGCGCATGGTGGGTGTTGTACGTTGGACTTACCATATTCTTCACCTCAAAGTGGCGACTTTTGGGAGAAGGTGGCCGTAGCCTCCTGATTCCTCGAGAACAGCAGAAGAAATCACAACACATTTTGGGTCACACAGACGAAGAAACCTTACAAACTGAAAAGCCTTCGACTGATTCTTCGCCTACAGTCTCTGACAGCGAGTCTGGCCAGGATCTTATTCGTAACAACAGCATCTTTACCTGGAGAAATCTGACATATACCGTCAAAACCCCCGACGGCGACCGCGTCCTTCTCGACAATGTCCAAGGTTATGTCCGTCCCGGTATGCTTGGTGCTCTTATGGGGTCTTCTGGAGCTGGAAAAACGACGCTTCTTGATGTACTTGCCCAACGAAAGACTGAAGGCACAATTCATGGATCGATCTTGGTGGATGGCCGTCCACTTCCAATTTCATTTCAACGTTCGGCCGGATACGTGGAACAACTTGACGTCCATGAGCCTTTAGCAACGGTTCGAGAAGCTTTGGAATTCTCTGCTCTCCTACGTCAACCTCGAGATACGCCCGACGCTGAAAAGCTCCGGTACGTTGATACGATTATCGACCTTCTCGAACTCCATGATCTTGAGCATACACTCGTGGGTCGACCCGGGGCTGGTCTTTCAGTTGAACAGCGCAAACGACTTACTATCGGTGTTGAGTTGGTGGCCAAGCCAAGCATCTTGATATTTTTGGACGAGCCTACTTCAGGCCTTGATGGACAAGCTGCTTATAATACTGTCCGATTCCTTCGAAAATTAGCTTCTGCCGGACAGGCTATCCTCGTAACCATCCACCAACCGTCAGCACAGTTATTCTCGCAATTCGATAGCCTTCTCCTGCTCGCTAAGGGCGGCAAGACTACGTACTTTGGCCCTATTGGTGAAAACGGGAATACTATCAAAGGTTACTTTGAACGATACGGAGAGCCTTGCTCGCCAGAAGAGAACCCGGCTGAATACATTATCAATGTGGTCTCTGGGGCTGGGCAACAGTCTCATCAAGATTGGAACAAGGTTTGGCTAGAATCTCCGGAACATGCGCGACTTACTGAAGAGCTGGACAACATCATCACAACAGGAGCAAGCCGAGAACCAGAGCAGCACACCGATGACGGACAAGAATTTGCAGCCTCCATGTGGACGCAAGTTAGGCTTGTCACCCACCGTATGAATATCTCTCTCTTCAGAAACACGGAGTATATCAACAACAAGTTTGCGCTTCACATAACCCTGCCGCTACTTAACGGATTCTCTTTCTGGATGATTGGAGATCGTCTTACAGATCTTCAGATGAATCTTTTCAGCATCTTCAACCTTATCTTTGTGGCGCCGGGAGTCATTTCGCAACTCCAGCCACTGTTCATTGACCGTCGAGATATCTACGAAGCTCGTGAGAAGAAGAGCAAAATGTATCACTGGGCTCCGTTCGTAACGGGTCTTATCGTTTCAGAGTTCCCATACTTGCTTCTCTGCGCTCTCATGTATTACGTCTGCTGGTACTTCACATGCGGTTTCCCGACCTCGCCTGCGCATGCTGGGAGTGTATTCTTCGTTGTGGTAAGAATGCTCAAACATCATCCATTTAATGAGATGTTAGCGAATATGATTGCTGACTTCAACCTAGGTTATGTATGAAACTTTGTATACCGGCATAGGACAAATGATTGCCGCCTATGCCCCCAATGCCGTTTTTGCATCTCTAGTCAATCCGCTAGTTATCACAACGTTGGTTTCTTTCTGCGGAGTCATGGTGCCGTATAGCCAAATTCAAAACTTTTGGAAATACTGGTGAGTCTTCTTTTGAAGTAACATGTGGAGACTAAGATTATTTCTAACCGTGCTATCATATAGGATATATTATCTTGACCCTTTCAACTATCTCCTGAGTTCCCTACTTGTATTCACGACCTGGGACAAAACCGTTGACTGCGATGAGGGTGAGCTAGCAGTTTTTCATCCACCTGCAAATCAAACATGTGGTGCCTACCTTGGTGATTACCAGTTGGGCATGGGCGCGAGTACAAATCTTCTTAACCCAAATGCGACATCTGACTGCCGCGTATGTCAGTTTACACATGGTGGTGACTTCCTACGGACTCTCAATATTGAAAAAGAGTCTTATGGTTGGCGGAACGCTGGAATCGTTGTAATATTTGTGTTTGGGTGTTATGGGATGGTATACCTCATGATGAAGCTCCGGACAAAAGCGACGAAGAAAGCCCAATCTTGAGCTACAGCTCTTTCTTTTCTACAAGAGGTGAGAAAATGGTTATTATTCCTCTGAACCTGGAATATTGGAAGAAGTTCCGTTTAAAGTAGCACTTTGTTCTTTTGAGGGAAAGGCTTTATAAAGATAGGGAGACCCTATGTTAGGATACACACATGGAAAAATCACTGCTTTTATAATACATAGTTTAATAATTACTTGCTCTGTTTTTCGTTTTCATGCTCATAGAAAGAAATTGGCAATGAGCCAGGATATGAGCACAAGCCTGCACAATCTTTACGAATGACACGATGAGCCTGGCCGTAGTCTGGCATAGACTTTGAGAATATAAATCTGAAGATAGAAACGTATCCCTATAGTATCTCAAATAGTAGTAAAAGTGGAAAAGAAACCATTAGAATTTGCTCATTATTACTATAACCACCTTATATTGAACACGTCTTGAATAACCTAGATTACAGCCAGTCAGGGGTATCAGACCCTAAGGGCTTGGGCATAATATCCCAACTAATCTCAACTCCCTCAATACAAGCGCTATGTTTGATGGCTTTCATCGGACCGAATCCCGTTTCCTTTGTTTCATAGTATTCTTTTGGAACATCATCCGGTGCTTCATAGTCTTTGCTGTCGAAGCCCGTCTCCCCAGCGTACTGTCCCAAGCTCCGCAAGTATTTCATTACCCCAGCAAGAGACACATCAACCCGCCAAGAACCTCCCTGAACTGTTCGCTTATATAAAGCAGCAATTACACCGGTTGCTAGCCAGTATCCTCCGGCGTGGTCAAGCGCCTGACAAGGCGTCGGGCGCGCGGCCTCTCCTTTTCCGGCATGCTCCGCCTCCGAGATATTCATACCAGAGCATGTTTGTACAAGAGAGTCATATCCTCTTCGGCCGGACCAAGGTCCGCAAGGACCGAATGCTGACATATTCGCAATGATGATGGATGGGTTGATCTTGATGACTTCCTCTGGAGAGAGTCCGTATCCAGCAAGACTGCCCGGTCGGAATCCTTGTATAAACACGTCTGCAGTCTTGATTAACTCAACCAGACGGGCCTTGTCTGAAGGATTATGGATGTCAAGCTGAACAGTCCGCTTTCCGCGTCCAAAGTCACGGTCCATGGTTGGAAGGTCTGGCAAATTGGGTGAAGTCACCCAGATAACATCTGCGCCATGGGCAGCGAGAGTTTTGCCAGCCAACGGGGCGGCGATGACCCGGCTCATCTCTACCACACGTAGGCCTTGCAGACTCTTGGAGTTGCCGCTTGCCATTTTTGTAGGCAGACCGTTCGGCCCGCTAGAAGATAGCTGAGAGATCCCGATGGGAAGGTTGCTAATAGCCTTGGATTGAGGCAGAGCATCCCACTGGCCGTAAGTCCTCAAAGCGTATGTAGCCAATTTGCCCTCGACTGTTGCAGCAGTCTCGAGATCGATGCTCGCCCAATCAGAGATTTTTTCCGATAGCTGCTGTCTGCTGGATCCTCTAGGCAAGCCAACCAGCTCAAGAATGCCGTTTGCGTGGTTGGGGAATGAATCGTGTACACGGACATATCCGTCCGAAGTCTTATGAAGACCTCCAATTGGACCCCACGGAGAAGGTGTCGGCTTTCCGTCAAGCACGTAAAGTCTCTCGGACTTGAACTCTACCGTTGCGTGTTCAAGGGGGACATTGACTCTTGGAACTGCGGTGCCGTTGCGAAGAGCATGGATTTGAGCAGCGGCAAGAGCAGATAAAGCGATGGAGCTTTGAGCGAGGATTCCGATTTTGTATGATGAGGGCAACGTTGGTGCTCCGTCATTTTCAAGTTGAATAGAGCTCAGTGCCTCCGTGGGAAGTTCCAAGGCTTTCCAGATCTCCTCGGTTACATCTTGGGCCGAGTAGCTGTCACGCCGTATTTGGCTGGGCTCAGTAGCGTGGCCATTCGTCAAATTCTGATTAGAAGACTTTGCGGCAGGGATTCTGATGTCGAGTAGAGGAGCATGTTGTTGGGTGCCCAACGTGTCACGCTCACCAACACTGCCTTGGGCCCATGGTCTTGCGATGGTACACTTCCAAGCGAGTGCGGGCTCGAAGTACATGTTTGTGAGAATGTCCTTATCAGTGACATGGTAAAGAGACTTGATAGTTTCGTTCGTAAAGACATTTGCATCTTTAACTCGCTTAAAGACGGCAAGATCGTCAAACATGACGTCAAAAGTCATCTCAAATGGCCCAGAGTTCTTAGACCGAACGATGCGAGCGATTTGGCTTAGGGGTGCCTCGCCACTAGGGACGGACTTTGAAACCAAAGGGGCAAGCTTGCCGTCATCAAGCTCTTTGAATAGCTCAGGAGAGAAGGGCTTCAAGGGCTCGGGTGCCACACCAGAAGAGCCAACAGTCTGGAGCTGGATAGGGAAGAGGGAAACCTCCTCTCCCACGTCTAGACCCACAAGATGATAGAGGCTAAACTTGAAGACTGCACCCGCATCTTGCTCATGGGGAGACAAGGGACTAGCAAAGTTTCCTGTTGTTGCGACTTGGTCTGGGTAAGCAAAATGCAGGATAGAAGCTCGAACATTGTTGGCGATTGTGTGAGACAGCTCTGACGTAGGCGCTACAACCTCTCCTAGTACAGCAATTTCGTGGGGACAAGCTTGGATGGGCTCAAGAGGGCCCATTACTCCGTCTTTTCCATAGATGTGGTACAAGAGACGGCATTGCTCAGTCTTGTCCAATTCGGGGAAGAGCTTTTGTGAATACACACGTACTCGCTCGAGGAAAGCGTCGATTTGGCTGATGAGAATTGGATCCCGGATACCGCCAATGAAGATAGTGCGGTAGCCTAGGTGGGTAACACCTTCTAGCTTGATTTGATAAGGGGTTGTCTCAAAAACAGCTCCAGAAACACGACAGGTCTTTGGAGTAACCTGCTCATATTTGGCTTCGTCAAGGTTGAGAATGCCGCCAGGACCAGGGAGACGGTCGGGCCTAGTCTTTTCATAGAGGGTGTGCGCCGCAACTGATAAAGGCGTGCATCGCTCTGCTGGTGATAGAGGGGTGAGGTCGAAGGAGTCTTTCCTCATGGTGGCAATCATTGATCGTCCCTTAGGAACAGCACAAATGCCACCACATTCCATAATCTTACCCATATGCCATGCAACAGCTGGAAGCACTCCTCGGCTAATAGAAAAAGCTGCAAAAGGTGCTGGGTCATACGACCTTCCACCAATAATAATATCTGGGTTGTCACCCAGGGCCTCAATGAAACTTTCAAACCATTAGTTAGACTCATACTGTATCAACTCTTAAACAGGGCTTACTTACGGCTCGGCGCCTATCTGAGCAACAACATCTACTGCGCCATCCACTACCTCAGGCAGCAGCTCCTCGACAGGGCCACAAGGACCAACTCGACCCTGCGATATCCTTGACTTGATCAATTCACGGTTCATACCGGCCTGGATTGTGGCCACCTTGAAGGAATAGCCTTTTTGCTCGGCGATTTCTGTTACCAGATTGAGCATCTCTGCGACGTGTTTATTGCTTCCATCACCACCAGCAGAACCAATGAGGACCTTAATTTTGTGATGAAAACAAGCGGCGAGAATTGGTTCCAGGTCTCGAACATAAGAACCTCGGCCGCAGGTCATCTTACCCATTCCAAGCTTATAGGGACCGCCATCCGTTGAGCCACTGTCGACGATAATGGCAGCAGGCTTGTACTTGGTAATTCCATACCAGAAGTGGTCAGAGTCGTAACCATAGCCAAGCATGGCATTTGGTGTGAGAATAGTGAAAGGATCCATGGGCGGGGTGGTTGCTGCTGGCATTTTGCTGTCGTTGATGAATCCCGGAGGCTTTGTTTGCTGGGCAGGGTGAAGCTTGATATTTCAATAAGAAATGTCTCAGAGTACGATGAAGCTTGCGTGAACACTACCCTTGACTGTTTTGTATTACTAGATAATAAAGATCGTCTTTTAGATTAACAATCGTCGTTTTGAGGATGAAGCTTCTGGGCTAGCGGGGGCGAACCACATCAGCCTACCCCACGGTTGCTAGGGGCTTGGAGACCGGTAAGTGAGGTCGTTACTACCGAGCATCAAGCTGTTTGGAAGCCGACCGACATCGGTCTTTTGCATATTTCGGTATCTTCCGCCTTCGAGCCGATAGAGACTCGGCATGTTGACCACCAACGGGTTCCTGTCGGTATCTTTGAGGGATTTCGGTATTCAAAACTTACCGAGGATAGTGTGCAACTAGTTCTTCATGCCGATCACACGGTTCCGACGAAGGCGGTAGCATGGCTTAATGATTTCATAAAATCATTTTTATCATAGTAGTTTGTCTGAAAACAGTGATTTGAACCCTTTTCAGCCTCGGTATAATCTTTCTTGTACATTGTGTTGCCGTTATTCCCGTTTTTTGAATCAATACCATTATTGATGCAAACTAACTTGAGGACAAAACCCATTCCAACTCTCCACTAGCTCTTTGTCGGGTAAATAGCGGTTGAGCAAGGGCGATGACACGTTGGGGATTGATTCAACGCCGGCGGAGTCGGCATTAATGCCGAAAGATGAATCAGTCCATTTCCCTCTCCACATCCATCTCGCTCAGCATCCCCGTCAGTTTAGGCAGTTGGCGGAAGCTTTCCCCGTGGGGTCTGAGGTTTTGCTCCCCAACTTCTTCCTTGTTCTAGTTGGACTTAGTCTAAAGCTGTTTCTCCGCTCAACCGGTCTTGTCCATATAGAAATACCTTGGCCGAAGACATGTCATCGCGAATCAATCCAGGAGCAACAGTACGATCTCCTCAAGTCGGCTTATGGTTTGAGCTCTCTGCAGTACACGTACTATCATACCAGAAGGATTGATCGAAGTTCATTTTCAATGGCAGTGCAACGGGCACAGGAGGGCAACAGCCTGCAGGCGAGTTGTCTTGACGACCTCAAAGAAAATCACGGCGACCAACCGCTTCACGTTGAGGCCAGCAACTCTGCAGAAGAGAAAGACGTCGAAGGGGCCACACCGCCGACATGGACAAAAGAGGAAGAAAAAAAAGCGTTGAGGAAGCTTGATTGGAATCTCATTCCTTTGTAAGTATCAACCGCTTTTCGGGAACTCCGCCTTCTTGGAATTGAAGGTCTTTCCACATGGCAGCTTTGCTAATGATCAAGGTCAGACTCGGGTCATTGTATCTCGTATCATATATCGACCGTGGTAACATTGGAAACGCCTACACAGCTGGCATGGGCCACGATTGGGGTATTACATCTGAGGATTACTCTTGGATTGTGACTGTCCTGTACATCGGATACATTTTGTTTCATTGGGTATGTATTGATCTTCCACGTTACTTCTGTTTGGATACATACTGACAGAGAGCTAGTTGATTTTAGTTTGGACCTTCGTCCCGTTGCCTCTTTGGACGGCCCTAATGGCGATCGGCTGGGGCTCAATGAGCATGCTTCAGGCGGTAACGCACAACTTCGCTGGTATCATGGCGCTGCGGTTTCTTATCGGGGCATTTGAGGCTGGTTTTGTCCCAGCCGTTGCTCTGTATATGACATTTTTCTATCACCGAGGAGAGATGGGCCTCCGATATGGCCTGTTCATTTCATTTTCACCTCTTGCCAGCTGTTTTGCCTCTGCCTTGGCATACGGCCTGGTCACTGTGAAGGCATCGATTCCAAATTGGAAACTTTTATTCCTCGTGGGTATGTTTCTACAACCGATACTCCTGTTACAATCTTGTGCTAGTACTAACATGTTGTTATGCAGAGGGCGCCCCTACGATTCTCCTCGCCGTAGTTGCTTACTTTTACCTACCCCCTTCTCCCTCTCAATGCCGATTCCTCGCAGCCCGAGAGAACGAAATCATCAGTCTTCGTGCTTTCAAGGGAAGAGGCGAGAAAAGAGAAGGCACCCTTAACTTGAAGCAAGCGTTTGCGGCCTTCTACGACTACAAGAACTACCTTCAGGCGATGATCATCTTTTGCCTCAACACAGCCTTCGGCTCTCTCCCTGCCTATCTCCCCACCATCCTCCAGTCGATGGGTTACACCTCGCTCAACGCACAAGGCTTTTCGGCCTGCCCTTATCTTTCTGCCTACGTGGTTTGCGTGACCGCGAGCTTTTTGTCGGATCGCTTCAGAACCCGTGGAATCTTTGTGGTCTTATTTTGCTGTGTCGGTGCAGCTGGATACGTCCTGCTGGCAATTGTACACACAACTGGCGTGCGATATTTTGCCACATTTCTCGTCTGTGCAGGTGTATTCCCGGCAGTGGCACTCACTTTTACGTGGGTGACGGATAACCAGGGCTCGGCTTCGAAAAGAGGTGCTGGACTGGCAATCTTTGGCATGGTTGGACAGTGCGGTCCAATTCTAGGAGCTCGCCTTTTTCCAAAAACCGAGCAGCCTTGGTACTCCAAGGGCATGTGGATTTGCGCCGGCATTTTGTTTGCTGCCGCCATTCTAGCCACCATACTTAGTTTGTCTCTGAGGTATCAAAACAAGAAGCGTGACGAGAAACACGGCAAGAGCGATTTGGACTATGTTCCGAGCGAGGTCTCTGACGAGGGCGATAGCCACCCAATGTACCGCTATGTTCCTTGAATCATGCATCGAGAGCGATGAGAATTCGTCTCTTTTAACCGTCCGGAAAGAGTTTGCCGCTCTTCTTTTGAACATATGTGTGGAAATTTTGACACGGGTTTAGGACCGAGAGCTTTTGACCAGAAAATGTGTTCAAAATAGCTGGGATAGCTGTCTGTACATAGTTCAAACAACTTTGCTTTGAAAGGGAATACTTAATTGCAATTGACGCCTGCGAATGCATATTGCGTAAATTTGAATTTCCATTGATGCTATCCTACTTTCGTGAAAGGTTTCGGTAACAAGGACAATCACTTCGTGTCCACCATTCAATAGATGTTGGTAGTATCATGACGAAAGCTAAGAGCCATTGCACGATGGAGGGAACTATTTTAATATCGGGGTCTTCATGTAGACTGTCTGCAAACTAAACATCATTCTATCAAACGCGTGAAGACAAGTGTGGCGTTTAATGAAGTACCTAAACAACAACAAAAGGCTTGGGTCACATTTCGGGTGGAGGAAATTTCCGAGACGCCACAGAACTGGTCTATATCTTTTTGCTGGGGCGTCAATTCGCGGGGTCTGCGGCATCTCGGCTTGTGACCCCGCATTTGAGTGGATATATGAACATGGTCAAAGCTACGATTAACTCCATTTCCCCTAGACAATCCGAGGGTACAACGGCTTTACCACCCTGACCTCATCTGCATCACACTGGTGTTCATGCAGCTTGGCCAACATCAGTAAACTAAAAGTACAAGGTTTCTCAGACTAACAAACTGAATGTCGGCTTCCAATGCCCATGGAGACGCTGCTGTGACTCCGGCCGAAACCCCGGGGCCGACAACCGCAGGTCCGCCAGCTTCGGTAACCCGCAAAGCCCGTCGGTATGGGTTCGCATGCTTCTGCTGCAAGTCCCGCAAGGTCAAGTGTAGCGGCCACCGGCCCGTTTGTATGGGATGTCGCCGGTCCGGCGACGACTGTATTTGGCCAACACAAACTTCCAACGAGGGCCGACTCCGTGATGCCAATGCTCGCATCCGGAGCCTCGAGGCATCATTAAGCAATCCCGAGCCTGAAGCATCGGAATCTCCTGATCAAATACCGGGTCCGGAATCAACCTACACGCCACGAACGAACAGTACATCTCTTCGCAGCCATGAACGCTCCAACGACGGCGCTCGGCCCGGTGCCGGTGCAGATCCCGAAGCCGATAGCTCACTTTGGTTTCAAGTCGGCATCGGCGAAGACGGCGCCGTCATTTACAACGGCCCCACTAGTCGATTCCACGCAGGATCTCTCGGGGAAAACAATCTCGCAGATGAGATCGATCCAAGGCGTGACCAGATTGAAACTCTGCAATCCCAGTACGCTCTGATGGATTCAGTCTGGCTACCTTTGATTGCAGCAAAACCAGTCACGAATGGAACCGGAGTGGACACTAACATAGGGATGGCTCTGCTTGATATCTACTGGTCTTGGCTACATCCACTTCATAGCTGCGTGTATCGGCCAATTCTCATGATGGACCTGGCTCTAGGTGGCCCCTACTGCTCTGATTTTTTACTGCTGTGTATTTTTGGGTTGGCGGCACGACATCTCCCTGAACAGTACCCAAACCTATCAGGTGTTGGAAAAGGCGAGCACTTCATTTCTCGGGCGAGGGAGCTATTGTTGGAAGAAATGACGGCCACAAAACCATCCATTGCTACGATTCAAGGACTTTTGATCCTTGGAGGAAGACAGAGCGCCATGGGGAAGAGCTCCGAAGGCTGGCTTTATACGGGCATGGCAGTCCGAATGATGAAAGATATCGGACTGCATCTTGATATCACTAAGCTCTCTAGACTGGAACGATGGACGGCCGCTGAGACGGAGACCCGTAAACGGCTATACAACTCTGCCTACATATGGGATAAGACGTTGAGTCTGGCCCTGGGCCGTCCGCCATCGTTGACAAGACGGCCGTACGCAGCTCGAGATATACTGGACAAGGTCGATGACCAACGGCTTTGGAAACCTGTTCATGCCACTGAGGTATCCGAGAATTTTGTCGCTTCACCATCTTGGACAACGTCAACCTTTTGTGCTTTTTGTCATCTCCACGAAGTCACTACGGACATGATGCTACTATTTTCTACTGTTCCTCGGGATGATGAGTTCACTACGCAGATCGAGGAGCTTGTTAGTAGAATTCGAGAGTGGTACGAGAACCTACCAGAGAGTTTGAAAATTGGTGACATTACTGGTTCGCAACAAAGCCCGCCGCCTCACATTGTCTCACTAAAGTAGGTGTCTCATTCATAAATGCTGTGCCAATCATCTAACTGATTCGCAGTCTCTTATATCACGCCCTCCATATACTTCTCAGACGTCCTTATCTTAGTTCTCCTAACAAGGGGCTGAAGAGAGATATTATGAGAGTCTGCATCGAGCATTCCAAGCGTATCCATGCTATCCACTCTCTATACTCGGAGACGTACCCCCATCGTCTAATGACATATCAAGTCAGCTACTGCATTTACACCGCAGCGACCGTTGAAAGTGAGGAGCTGAAGATGGCGTCAACGCCGAGTGAGAGGGACGATGCCGCGGCAAGACTTGCGGCCGCATTCCGGAGTCTTCAGAATGAGGCGTCGCATACACCTGGGAGTGGCAGGAGTCTTGACACAATCCGAAGACTCTTAAGCACTGGCCAGCCAAGAACCTTACCTGCTTCACATAACGCTGAGCGCAATAGCCTGTCAATCAGTGTAAGCAACATGCAACAGACAAGTGAACGGCAGCCAAGACTGTCCACAACTGGCGGCCAGAGAGAAGGGCCTTTGAATTTGAATAGCCAAGGCATGTCTCTGGTCTCATCTACCACCCACCAACCAACAAGTCATACCGCACAGCTTTCCACAAACATGTATAATGCAACTGTTACGGACAATTCTTTCCATGCGGCCGGCGGACCTATGTGGACCGATGATGTTGGATATGGCGGGACGGATACTGGCGCAGGGTTCCACCCCGACGCGTTCCCGTGGGGTGTTGCCGGATTTTCATCCTTCTCTTTGGCAGGGATGCCGTGGCCTCCGCCGTCAAATACCGAAGGGTTGTAATGACAACAACCCTCCATATCCTTATGGAATGGGAAAGCTTATCCGGGAGGCCACGCCTCGTCCCTTGGCATATCAAAACTAGAATTTCAATCTGCAATTTTCGGTATCTGAGTCCTAAATACCTATCCACACCATCCAGCTATCTTGGCGACATCTTCTTGCCAAGAGAGCCGAGAAAAACGAATATATAGGATTGAACAGAGTTGTTTATCTTGAGAAGGCCATGTCAAGTATATCATCCCGGGGTAGCTCATGCACTCCACAACGTGGAAGATATCAACACAAAAGCAACATCTAGTTCAAAGTAATTGCACCACCCTCTCAGTTTTAACACTGAACTCAACTATTCATTTTTCCAAATCATGACCACTTCTCAAAGCTTTCTAGGTTCTATCACCTCCGTTGCAGCAATTTGGTATAGTATTGGCAGCATGCCTATATCCGAGACTGCAGCGTTAGGTCCGGGACCTCTTAATGCTTCCACTGTGTTTGAGGTTCCGGTCAGCTTACGAAATGTTTTCCCGGCTTACAACTTCGATCGCGACGTGACAACAACCTGGTGGAATACTGCGGTTTTAGATGGCCACTCAAACGCCGCGGCATCAGATGCCACTGAAGCTCTCAAGAATGCTTCGTTCATTGTACTTGACCACGATATGTATGAGGTATGTCCTGAAGCACTCCAATAATACCTGTCCATCAGCTTATATGGTTCAAGATTCTCCAAGACGAGGAAGGCATTATATCTCCCAGTATCGAGACGATCTTCGACTTCCCGCCCGGGCCTTCTTTTGCCAAGCGCATCGTGCACGATGGGACAGTCTTCTCACCAGAGTGCAATTGCATCTTCTTCGCCGAACTCCATCCACCAAAACCTGGATTCTCGGCGGATGCAATGCCATGGGTCTGGCGAGTAAATCTCAATGAGACACCCCCGGCTACCGAAAAGGTCTTTCCATCGCCTCAACTTACAGTTCCCAATGGCGCTTACTACCATAACGGTAGTGTTTATTGGGCTCAGGAAGGCAACTACACCGTCCCTGGCGGCATCGTGAAGATGGATCCCGTCACTTTGCAAACTGAAGTTGTCCTGAACAATTTCTTCGGCCATCGATTCAACAGCCCCAACGACGTAGTTATCACACGTGACGGCGTCGCTTATTTCACAGACGGCTACTACGGCTACGATAACTTCAACGACACCTTGAAGCCTGAACTTGCAAACGGCGTATGGCGATGGAACATACAAACCAGCGATCTGCGGATGGTGGCAGGGGCGGCTGGCGGTCCATTTACCAACCCCAACGGCGTTGCCCTCAATCTGGAAGAAGACAAGCTCTACGTCACCAACCGTGGCAACGCTTCAGATAATCCTGCTGGAGGGAGAACTATATACGAGTTTGAACTTCACAAGACCGGCCTTCCTATTAGGGGAGGTGATGTTTTTACATATTCGGATTCTGGATTTCCAGACGGAATCAAACTCGACAGGGAGGGGAGGGTGTATGGCGGAGTTACTGGTGGAGTCCATGTCTTTGACTCTGGCGGCAAGCAGCTCGGCATCATCAAGGTTGCGGAGGATGATGTTGCCGTCAACATGCAGTGGGTGAACGACTGGTTGTACATCGCTGGGAGGGATCACGTTTACCGTGTGCGCTTGAATACGATGGGTGCACAGGCACACTAGGTTGTTAGGTAGAAGGCTAGTCTCATCAAGTCACGAAATCGGAGTCATGGGCAAAACATGCCGACCATACCGAAATCTTCGGCATCTGAAGACAGAAAAATGGGTCCCGTCGGAATCTAGTCTCTCTATGAACGGGGATCCAGGCTGCCCCACACATACACATATCTCATCCCATCCTAAGATAACGGACCTTGTGGGCTTCATAAAGTTAACAAGAAGTAGGGCCAATGTGTTCTTATGAGCACGGTTCCGTGTACCTTGTGACCCCAAGCAACATGACAACCAACTCCCATATTGCAGTTGATGCACGACCAACCTTCGACGCCCTACCCCTGCGCGATGGTGACCCAAGAGCGTCAGCATGGGGAATGTGGGGAAGCGATGATGAGTTGGGGACTTTGAATCTGCTGACTCCTTCTCTCGTAAAGAAAGCCATGGAAGACGTAGTTACGGGTGAAACTATCCCTCTAAAGTGAGTTTCGAATTCAACTTGCATTTGATCTCAAGTTGTCGATAATTGATGCGTTCACTAGTCTTCCTCTAAATGCTTTTGTGCGACCGATGAACCCCGTGCGGAAGCCATGTTCGCATCACATTATTGCGAAAGGACATGCTAATGATGATGAGGTTAGTGTTTGAACTTAGGCATGCATTTGCACGATTTCAAGGATCTGGCTAACATACTGGGGTCAAAGTTGGACATCAATACGCAAGGTTCAAGTCACTGGGACGGCCTTCGACACTTTCCGTACCAAGCTACTCTCCAATACTATAATGGGGTAACACAAGACATTATCTCAGGGCCCAGCGCAACCGAAAAGATTGGAATACAGAGTAGGTGCCTCTAGTATCCAAGCAAGAACCAGCTAAACCGATGAGGAGGGGTGACCTTCAAGCCGCTTGGACTAACCAACAACAGACGCCGCTAAGAAAACCATCACTGGTCGAGGAGTCCTTCTTGACTGGTTTTCATGGGCCACCGACAATGGGATCAACATCGACCACTTTTCAGCCCACAGCATTCCTTTGTCAGAGCTAGAAGCCGTGGCAAATGCTCAAAAGGTACAGTTCCGTTCTGGAGATATACTCCTTGTTCGAACCGGCTGGGTTCCGGCTTACCGCGCCCTTTCTCTCGAAGAACAAGCCGCGTTACCACAACGACCGGTACGCTCCAGCTGTGGTATCGAAGCAAGCAAAGAAGCCATCCGATGGCACTGGGAGCATGCTTTTGCGGCGGTGGTATCCGATACGGTAGCGTACGAGGCTTGGCCTAGCCCGAAGCCGTGGGGAGTAAGCATGCATGAAGTCTTCCTTAGTGGATGGGGAATGCCAATTGGAGAAAGCTTTGATTTGGAAGATTTGGCTGTTAAATGCAAGGAGACCAAACGGTGGTCTTTTTTGTTCGTTAGTGTTCCGCTGAATATTCCCGGAGGTGTGGCAAGTCCACCGGGGGCCGTGGCTATATTTTGAGTCTGTAAAGGTTATCTACAACTGTTGTTGACTGGTAAGAAAACCACAATTTGCCACATATCTAGCCACTACAATGAATAGCGTTTATTTTATTGGTTGACAACTTTGAATGATTTGTCTTTCTTAATTATTATCGGATTGCCGAAGTAACAGGCTCATGTTGGTCGACAATTCTCCAATTTTGGTGGTGCTTAGGCGACAGCTGCTTTAACCACACGTTTTCCAGACATCCATAGCAGTCAAGACAGAGCTCCCGAGCATTGCAAGACCCACGGTCCCAGGGCTGACTGGAATCCAGCCGAGGACACTGCCCGGAATAGCCAAATCAAGCAAGCTAGCCACCAGTTTCCGAATAATTGGCTTTAACTCACTGAAACAATCGGCTTCTTTCTGAACAAGGGATCCAGCCTGTATCTTATCATTTCTTCCCTGCCGTAATCCGCTACAACAATCTAGAAATTCATTCTTCCCTGCTCTGGAATTCTTCACAGATTCTGCTTCTACAACTTGCTGTAAGACAACAGCCTGCTGATATTGGCGTTTCAAGCGCACCAAGGAGGCCAAAATCCCACAAACTAGCGCCAAAAACCAAAATCGTAGGGATTCCACCTTCAATCGCCCAGTGGTAGGGCCCAAAGGTGTCAATCCTTCTATTCCGAGAGAATCGACGATCATAAGTGCTTCTGTAAGAAGGTACATGCCGTTGAATATGCGGGCAAAAGCGTCGAGATAGTAAATAGTTAATAACAGGTTGACCGTGGGCTTAATGTGTGACGTCATTTGATCGTAAACAGCTTCGAATGTATCAAGAAATCGGAAGATGCGAAAGAAGCGCCGGGCAAGGTTGAGTCGATCTCGAAGCTCCAGAAGGATTCGGTGAACCGTTGCAGCACTAGCGACGCACAGATGCGGAGACGTAGACGGAGGACATTTAGAGTAGGTTATAGAGGATGCTAAATAAAAGCTGATCCAAAAGGGGTACCTGAAGGAGATAAATATCTGCAGCAAAGCTTGCAAAATGCGGAACAGTCGCTCGAGTCCATCTGGCTTATAGTTAGAAATCTTTGGTAAGCCCCATACCGAGGGTTTCCAATCCAAGCAGGAATAGAGATGGAGTAAACAGTAATTACATGACTTTGGGGTAAAATGAGATCAGAATGACAAAACTAAGATCAGGGATGGGGTAGAAAAAGACGATGATTCCAACGAAAAGGGAATAAGCGACAAGGAGCAGCTAGTAAATCTTTTTGAGGTAAGTTATACGAATGCATGTTTTCAAGTTTAGGTAAAAAGAGATCAAGAGTGAAGGTGAGAATATGACTTGCGTCGGTTGAGTGTTATACTATAACTTGACTCACAGGCATTCGTCAGAAATCGGACAAGCTGACGATAAGTCTGTCGTTGCATTGTCAGCAGTAAATTATGACGGAAAGAGTCACGAAAACCAGGTCATAAAGCACAGTTCAAACAACAATGCAACGCGTTTACCTGGTTATCCTGTCACTTATGTAGCACTTCACGGAATCCTTTTTCCTTCCCTGGTCAAATCATTTGGTCAACCGTGATACTGTTGCCCAGCCTTTCTGTAAGCTAAATGGCGTTGTACAGCTTACTGATCTGCTTCTGCACGATGAGAGAGGGTTGAATTTTGATAGAAATCCTGCAAAGCTGCTCAGAACGCATTCTTCAGGGGAGAGTACACAGTGGACCGAGATAATGGTGGCAGATGGTCGCGCAAAAGGCCATACTGAATGAATTTGGGCTTTCGATGTATACGTGAGCGGCTTTTTCCCGTTGACTGACGGTCGAAGCGATCAGCTTGCGGTGTACTCCTTGTTGATCGGGTGGTGGAACAACTAACGCTTAGAAAAAGCCGAAGTCAGACATACCGAATTCCGAAACCAAGCGGGGAAGACGTGGATCAGCCAGACGGACAATGAACCAATCATCCCGCAGTAACGCAATATCCTTAGCTCTTTTGGTGAACTACCATTGCAGATGCCACAGGTCGAGGGTATTCGGCTACTGGCTTTCCTGGCCTCGTGTTCTCCGTATCCATTCAGTCAAGGGAATGATCCCTTCGGAATTTGATTCGGTAAGTGTCACATGGAGAACATTGCCACTGGACCTTTTAGGAAGCGAAGCAAATCCCGAGCAGCCTTCGCTTCTGTTTTTAGGCTATATGGACAAAGCTGTCATAACCAACAAGGGATTCCGTCCTGTCTCGTTCAGTAACCTGTTGATAGGAGTAAGCATCGTCGTCACATCAACGGCTCAGGAGCCTAAGAAGTAAAATTTGAGAAACTCTGTCAGCCCTACTATCCATCCATCTCGACATTGGCTTCACGGTTTAAGGCCACCAAGTTTCAACATTCTCTAATCATGGGTGAAGTTTCCGCCGAACCAGGTTGGGTGGACGCCGACAGCCTCCGTACATCTTTCACCATGGCCATGTCCAACATGTATCGATCTGAAGTTCCACTCTATGGCAACCTCGTTCGCATTGTTGATGAGGTGAATAATTCAGAGATAGCCCAGGGGCTAGACCCTACAGTTTTTGCCATGCGACTCGGCGACTTGGATGCCTCTAGAATCCACCTTGAAAGACACGGCGCCATCAGACTTGGTATACCTGAAGAACTGCGTACCATCCGTAGGGTTTTTGCTCTTATCGGACTTCACCCTGTCGGGTATTACGACCTCTCCAAAGCTGGCTTACCTATGCATGCCACTTGTTTCCGTCCGACAACGGCACAATCGCTTCGAAAAAATCCATTCCGCGTTTTCACCTCCCTTCTTCGTCTAGAACTGCTCAGAGAAGAGAGTTCAAGAATCATAGCCGGAAAACTATTGTCAAAGCGCAGAATTTTCAGCGATAAACTGTTGCAATTATTGGATATTAGCGATGTCCAAAATGGAAAACTCACCCCCAAGCAAGGAGATGACTTCATTCTTGAAGTTATGAAAGCATTCAGCTGGAGTGGAACTGCCTCTTGCTCTAAGGAGGACTATGAAATATTGAAGAATGAACATCCTATACTCGCGGACATTGCTTGCTTTCAAACCGCCCATATCAACCATCTGACGCCACGGACTCTCGATATAAATGCCGCGCAGGCTAAAATGGAGCAACAAGGAATGAAGGTAAAAGACCGCATCGAGGGTCCGCCTACAAGGTCTTGCCCCATCTTGCTGCGCCAGACCAGCTTTCTAGCAATCGAGGAGAATATCAAATTTCTTGGAGGCGAGGCTGTTTCTGACCAGGTACTGGATAGCGGTACGCACAAAGCTCGATTTGGAGAGATTGAAGAAAGGGGTGCTGCAGTAACTAGAGCTGGAAGAGTGCTCTATGACCAACTATTTGACGAGATTGTGGCTTTTGAGTCGAAGCAGGCTGAATCACTGAGCCAAAATGCATTCCACGAACTTGTGACTCAGGCTTTCACCAAGTACCCCGATAATTGGCGCGAGTTGAGGCAGCGAGGCTTGATCTACTACACGATTCAGCTCACGAGAAAAGGAGAACAGGCCAAGCTAGCCAGCCCAACGGTCGAGTTAGAGACGCTGCTCAAAGATGGCTTGGTTGAAGAATTTCCCATCACTTACGAGGATTTTCTACCGCTTTCGGCTGCTGGTATATTTCAATCTAACCTGGACTCTGGATCGCCTAGGTATGCCGCTGCAGAGCCGGATGTCCAAGGGATGGAGGCTGCTCTAGGAGTCAGTCTGCTTGACTCTGATGCCCTCTATGAGCGTATCCAGAAGGACTCTATTACGAAATGCGAGATCGCTCTCGAAACTGGAATCAAAACAACTCGATAGTATTTTAGATAGCGAAAAAATGGTAAATTGAATTCTCATTCACTTCGTGTGCCGCTTAAGGCAAAGCTATCCTCTGCAGTACCCCTTTTACAAGCTCGAACTCTCGCTAATAGCCTTATGGGCGTGAATTCTGTCGCCCTGGTGTTTCTTCATTTTAGTAAGGTTTAGTTTTGTCGTGGTACTAATAATAGTGGGCAATTTAGTCGCCTTGCTGATGAAGCTCCGACAGTGCTTCATGAGAATGCTTCTGAGATAGCTACAGAGATAACAGAGATCAAAGCAAGTTGAAAACAAGCTTCTGCTTTACATCATATTTAGGTCTTGTGTGTTAGTAATATTAAGGTGCGTGCGAGGGGTAAGGAACATTTGATTCCATGTTTTCAAGGCTTTCGGGAACAGTATGATTGAAATCGCTAGGCTAAAGATAGTCAGAGGAGATTTTACAAAGTATGTGTTTAGAGACCAAAATCAACCACAATCAAGTAATTCCCATATTGGTAAACAAAATCACAAAGTAATACGCTCATTTTCAAGCTGCTTCTTAAGGAAGTCGAAATGATAGCAATGGCTATACGCCGATAAAGGCATGAAGCCACGTTTTCGAACCCTTTGTGTAGGTAAAAGCGCCGATTTAGGTTCAATAACCTAAGCCTCGGTTACAACCTTTGGCTCATCTTTTTCCGTAGACCTGGAATAGGAAATTCCATGAGTCTGGCTTGGCAAAACAGATCTGCCGCGAAGTTGTGCCCAAACTACAACGTGGGTAGGTTTCGAGAAAAGCGCATCCATGTCCTCGAGGGACACACCTGGAGACCTGAGTATTAGCAAAGTTGTATCACTTGGAGTCCTGAAGGTGGAGCTGACCTTTTGTTTCGGGGACGCAAAAGAAGGACCAAACACCAATTGCTATCAGAAACCCACCGAACATGAAGTAGGTTCCGTACCCGAGGTCGGTGATCATGAAGGGTGTCGCCCGAGCCATAACAAAAGAACCCAACCACGTGCTAGCCGTTGAAATAGCTACACATAGCATCCTAACATCCAGCGGAAAGATTTCCGCTGCGTATGTCCAGGTTATTCCTTGTATAGTCGCCGTAATGACAAAAGCATGTAAGTATATGCATACCATGGCGATGTATCCCGCTGCTGACAGTTGGATGTTTCCTTCTCTGGCATTGGCCGCTGGATCGGCCATCATTACATACCCACCGACATACCACAATGGAATGCTGCCTAGAAGCGAGCCCCAAAGCATACCTCCACGACGACCTAGCTTCTCGATGACCCAGACCGTAAACAAGATCATACCAAGCATCTTGGCGACGCCGTAAATACCGGTGCTGAATAATTTGTTGCTCGTTCCAACGACACCAAGTGTTTCGAAGATTCTAATCACTTAGTTGAAAGGTTCATTGTGCTAGGGGAGCTTACGCACCTTGGAGAAAAGTAAACCATGATGTTCACACCAGTAAAGCTTTGAAGGAACATTAGAAAAGCCCCCACACCCACCCGGTTTCTTGTTCCTGGTGCTAGGAGTTTACGAAGTTGTTCCTTCTTGCTAAAGCCCACGACACTCCGCTCCTCAACTTGACGTCGAATCTCAGCCATTTCGTTCTGAAGGTACGGATGATCAGGTGGGATGCCTCGGACGTAAACTAGCACCTTTTTGGCAGCTTCGAAATCACCACCCCTTGCCAGCCAGCGAGGAGACTCGGGACAGAAAATAATGCCGACAAAGAGGAGAGCCGCTGGAAGAATCTGTAGTGCCAGAGGAACAATCCACTGCGCCCTACTTCGGACATCAATGGTCCGGTCGGCAGCATAGTTGATCCAAAATCCGAGCATCCCGCCTCCCTGACTGAAAATCTCAAAGATACCAACCAACCTTCCTCGAATACTCGGAGGTGACGTCTCAGCAATGTAGACAGGCACTGTCATCGTAGCCATGCCAATACCCAGTCCGCCAATTGCTCGACCGGCGATGACAAGATTCAGTATGCCGTTTGCTCCGGACATCATGGCGCCGCCAACGCAGAAGATGAGAGCGGCCGCCATAATCGCTTTTTTGCGTCCGTAGCGTTCCGCGACAGGAAAGGTAAGAAGAGCGCCAAAGAAGGCTCCGACTTGAAACATGGAAGCGATGTTTGCTTGTGAGTTGTCTCTTTCTGAGGGATTCATGGTATCGATACCGAAATCGCGGACGAAGGAGTCTAGAGCCATTGTGCCGCCAATCACAGCAGTGTCGTAACCCACTGCAAGGGAGGATTGAGTCAGAAGTTATTGATATCTTAGAAAGGGTAGACTTACTTGAAAGGGCAGCCATCGAAACAACTAGGGCGATATAATGGATCGTCCAGTTACGGACTTCAGAAGGGTCTGTCGTCCCTGTAGCGGCAGCGAAACCCATTGTATACGAATTTCAAGAAACACGATATCCTAAGCAGCAAAGCAAAGAGTCTCACAATTACTATTTTGAAGATGTTTTAGAATGTGTCTTCAGTTCTACCGGTGTTCAATTCTCGTCTTCTTATATAAAATGTCGAAGTCCAAGATACCGACATCATGTACAGAAACGGTAACCTTTCTTAGCACCCAACCAGCCATTCACGTTGGAGAAAACCGACCCCGGAGATAGATCTGGGGTCCCCGCGGGGTAAGACAAGTTTGTGGGGTAAACAATGCATGAGAATCGGTCGGCAGGATATCTTTTTCCAAATAGTCAATCTTTCCAAAATGCATGCGATGATGTATGGGCATAGGTGGATTAGTGGGGTTTGCGAACTAGCATATAGATTCTCCGCGAATGCCCACTCGCTGGTCGGACAGAAAGCGTCAAGACAGGGGTTTGAAGCGTTCACAGTGAGCATTATGAAAGACGGCATGTCTTGGCTCCAATCAACTTTTGCAAGTTTGACTCTGGTGAAAGTCTGTCAAAGAACATGACTGGTGCATTGTTCGGGAAGTTTCGAAGGATTCCGAGGGCCAAGGAGAAAGCCCGGCTCGGTATCTTTCCCTCGTGATTAAGCCTGTCTTGCCAGATAACGCGGAAATACTCAAACGAAACATAAAAGTACCTATTCAGGATTGGATCTACAACTTCGGTAAGTTCAACAACCTACAAAGATAATACCGAAAGCATTTGAAAAAAGAATAAATCAAATTATTCACGGAGCTATTGGTTCTATAACCAGAACTCTCAAGCCAGATGATGCCCTTTTTCTTCCTGAGAAAATATCAAAATGGATGCGCAAAAGGATTCATGTGCGTTAACACCTGGCCCATTGCTCCGCACATGCTTACCATCTTTCACCCATAAACCGCCGACTAGTTTATTTAAGAATGCTCGTTGCCGAAACATCTGATTATGAAGGACAAAGATAAAATTAACTAACAATGATAATCTCGCAAATATAGAAGGTGTACCGTGCTGTATTTAATCTTGGCTTTTTAGCGCGCAACGTCAGCACTTTAGTACTATTGATAAGGTAGTTGAAGATGCGCAAGTCATAATGAAAACTCTTCAAAGCCTTGTTGACTCGGTTGAGACTATATCTTTAGAATATCTAATAGTGAAGGCGGCGGTAGATACAATCACTCGGATAGTACTGTAGGTTTGAACTCCCTTAAAGCTCCTCTAGCTCCATATATGTTATTTAATGGGTAAGTATTGAAATAATTCTATTGGCATGACCGTTCTCTTTACGTCCGTTTGAAAAGCTGAAATTCATGAGTTTTAAACTCTTGAATCATCACGATATGTCCGGTATATTTGACCGAGGCAACTCACCCACAAACACGTTCCATGACCTTACGCAACCCGACAACAGCGCAGATGAAAATTAACGGTTGGCACACGCCTTCTTGGGGTTCATTCTTATCCGTGAGTCTATTCGGAACCAACTGAAGCGGGTAGATCATTGTGCTTCGTAGATTAAACTTAGGCTGATGCGGTGGATGGCAGCAGTAGTCGACAGATACAAGGCATACGACCGCATAGGAACCTAGAAGGAGGCAACGATGTTTCGCATGACATTAACACAAAATACACACAAGGACAAGAGGAGCCGGGCAAAAAAAACAGGTGCCGCTGAGTGTCGGAGGGACGCCGTAGGTATGCAGAACCGGACATGGTGAGCACCGAAAATCCAAATCAGGAGGAAACGAAAGAAGGGTTATGCCTGTAAAAGAATTTTAGACAATATTTTGAAAGTCTATGGTAATATTGATTGTCTACGGAGAATAAGGTTTCTGGGTTATGACTTGCTGCGAACTGGATTGGATTAACCAGGAGAAAAGAAACCAGAAATATTCAACTCCATCATGCAGATAGCCTTCGATTCGCGAAAAGTGGCGGGCTCTAAGCGTCACAATGGGCTTCATCTAAGCCAACCCTTGCCGCAGACCTGCGGTGATTGTCACTGCCATGTCTGTTTAGTTTTTCCCAGGTTGTTCTAAAGAACAAATAATTTTGCTGGAAAAATTGCCTTTCAACTTTTAATTTCGATCCCTTGTCGTCCCCGGCGATTAAAACAAATCCATACGTTAACGCCGTTTTTCAAATAGACTTCACCGATGTGTTTAATAATCAGCGAGGCCCCAGATCTGACTCGTGTGATGACATTTTCTGCCTTTTCGGCTTAGCGTATCTACCATTCTAGTCCACCGTTAGGCTCGGAGTCGTGATTTTATCTTGGCCCCGCTCGATGACATTTTCTCCTTATTCGGTTTAGCCTACTATGCGGTGTTCATGCGTGGTCCGAACCCATGCACCCCCGTCTCTTACAATTGACTAATGCAGTGAAAGACGCTCTTCAAATCTAGAGAGACAGCCTTGACTACCTATCGTTACTTGCCGATAGCAACAACGTAGAGGTAAAATATCCGCAAATCAGAATAATGGAACACTCCGTGGTTCTGCCTTCGTTAGCAATACGGGGCGAGGGCGGTGTAGTCAGCCGTCATCTAAACTACGTTGACTCTGATGCCGCCAGCAAGCACCGCAGGAAGATTCAAAACCGGAAGAACCAAAGAGCACACCGTGAGTTCTTGCATGAATCTCTCAGTAATTACGAAGCTCACAGGCTTGTGAAGGGCAGCGGGTTAAAGAGCAAGAACAGACTTCCGCCCAGGCGCCAAGCCCATTCCAAGTCAGACGCTGGCGCCTCGACGAACTAGATGATTGCCCATCTCAAGATGCCCCGTCAGAATCGAAAAACGCGACCGACATGTACAACGTCCGTCAGTCAACTCACAACACATCAAGGCGAATATCCGTAAGGCCGCGAATTTTTCATGGGCGAATATCCACCACTCCAGTCCATGAAGTAGCGTCCATAAACCCCGCTTCCTTCATCTTTCCCCTCTCAACCGATCATCTTCTTCACCTTGTCCAGTACAATGTCTTCCGAGCTTTTATCTCTAATAAGAGCACTCTCAATTTTCTTCTCAAAGGCTGGACTAATAAGCTTCCCTCCCCGGATGACTGCCCCATCAGCGGCCCCTACCGTGACGACACAATGGTTTATCCCCTAAATCCAAATATTCCTGTCTCCCTCGTCCCAACTCGGCTCCAACAAACCCGCTATCACTCTATCTGGATCAATCTTATTCCTTTTCCCTGCGTTCGCGACAACTTGATAAGAAATGAAGGGAATTTCGACCACTTGGACCTCTTAAATGACCTCATCGGTGAGCTCATGAGTGCCACACCGGCTCGAAATAAACGGATTTCTCCTCCGGCAGTCCCGGCATCCGACCCTAACAACATGTGGACCTTGCCTCACACAGCAGGTCTTGACGAAGACGAAGTCACTGCGGGACGCAAGGGACTTATTGTTTGGGGCGAACCGCATAATATTCAGAGCTGGGAGGCGACCCCCGGCTTTCTTGCGAAGTGGTCATGGGCTGTGGAGGGATGTGACGATTTGATTGAATCTACCAACCGCTGGAGATTGATAAGAGGAGAGGATCCACTACGCCGCTTCAACGCCAAAAGTTAGTCGCTATGTCAAATAAGCCTAAAAGCAACATAGCGTGATCGGCTAATGGCCATCACGGACCTACCTACCCCTAAAGCAACCCTTTATCAAGAAAGAAAAAAGAAACAACAAGAACAAAGAAGGCGATGGAGTTGAAGAGCAGGACTTGTCAGTTAAAGTTGCGCCAGGCTCTGGGAGTTCGAGATTTTACTGAGATTTGAATCATTCTGCTTTTTCATTTTTTTTCATTTGCGTCTGACATATGTACTTAGACGAAGTAGGACTCACTCATGCAGATTCATATTTCTTAAACCCCTCTCTACCCCTGCGCGTCGAAGTCTCTACTCTCTAGTGCTACCGCCGCTAAGACCTTGGGCTTCGGCAGTGAGGTGAAGCGACGTGTCCTACACCGAAATGTACGTCTTTAATGCAGTAGAGTCATCTGCGCCGCACACGGAGGCCAGAAAATGATGTGTGTTGTACAGTAGCCTCATAATCAGGCATAGGAAGCCTACATAGCCAGGGCACTGTTTAGCAACATTTGATGTGTTTATATTACCAAAAGATCTGTCAAAATTCCATCACCATATCATGAGATCTTTGCGCTCGGTTTCACTATCATGCATGGAAATGTCACCAAAGGCCCCACTTCTTAACGTATGGGAATGCATTCATTAGGTATAGTAAATCATGAATTTGACTGCATATTGAGGGCTACGCTCCTCTCAGCTTTCAACTACTCCTCTGCCAATCCCACATGCTTGAGCGAGTCGCTCCACAACCTCTTCGCAGCCACCACATCATAAGCGTGCGGAGCATACCCGGATGACATGGTCTTATCTTCGCCTTCCACGTGCGGTCTAGCTACGTCGCAGTCAACCAGGTACTTTCCGCCCTCGTGCTCCCAAGCCTTGCCGACAGCCGCCCAAACCGTTGTTGCGGCACCCTGCTCAACACTCTTGAAAATAGGATACAAATGGTCCATTCCTTTGAAGGCATCAGGCGGCATGTGTTGGCTCAGCCCCGTGTGGATAATACCAGGATGGACGCTCGTGGAGTGCAAATGCTGCGAGCTGTAGCGACGCTCAATCTCGTTGGCCATGTACATGTTGGCAGTCTTGGATTGCCCATAGGACACAAAGGGCTGATAGCCGCCTTTTTCAAAGTTGTAGTTGTCGGAATCATTGATCCCATGCAAGTTGTGAGCCGAGGAAGTGAGATTGACAACGCGAGAAGGGAGTTCAACGGAGGCGGCGGCAAGGAGAGCGGGCTGCAGGAGCTTGAAGAAAAGGAAATGCGAGAGATGATTTGTGCCGAACTGGAGTTCGAAGCCATCGGCGGTTGAGCGGAGGTCGGGAATTGCCATGATGCCAGCATTGTTCACAAGGAGGTGAATCTTGGAGGTCTTTGCGAGAATTTTGGCGGCCGCGGCGCGCACGGATGACAGAGATGCCTGGTCCATCTCAATAATCTCCATGCGAGAAGGTTCAAAGAAACCAGCGAGGGCAGATTGGGCCTTAGCAATGTCCCGGGCCGTGAGAAAGAGTGTGGCACCGGTGGTGGCCAGGGCGCGAGCGGTTTCGATACCAATACCAGAAGACGTGCCAGTGATTACAATGACATTGCCTTCAAGTTTGCCTTCAGCACCCTCATCCTTAATAATCTGTAGAGCCGTCGGACGTGCGTCACCAGGGCCGTTTGGCTTAACGTGGGCTTCAGCGTAGCGCGACATAACTGCGTTTGCGGAAGATTTTGAAAGATGGTAAGAGTGAACAAGATTTGGTTATGGATCAAGAGGAAAGCTGATAATATATTGAGAAGCTTGATTTTGAAACTGAGAAATTCAGGAGAAGTGGCTCACTTATGTAGTCATTTCTCTTAAGCAGTCTGCATGGCGGTCTGTGGGCTTATTGCAGGAAAACAACACTCGGGATGATCATTTCTTACAAATCATCACTTCCATCAGAGTTTACAGCACGCTTCAACGAACCTTTTCGGATTTTAGAAATGTCAAAAATGCCAAGATCTGTACTCCCATGATCCTTTACAATTGTGATCGTTGATCCATGACTCGGGCTGATGACTTTTTTTCCATTTTTAGACTAGTCATACTCTCCACAAATACTAGAGTGTCTTCATGCTGCCTATTGCATCCCCACTGGGGAGCCTTTACAGGTTTCTACAAGAGGAATTAGCAATCAATAAGCTTAGGAGCCAAATCGGATGCCCGGCTCTGCCATAGACCACGATTGTAAAACGGGTGTAACTATACAAGCTGAGCTATGTCTTTATTGGTTGCGCCCAAAAAACACGGGCACGGAGTCGGATGCTTCGGAAAAGGTAATTACGACCAAGTAACCCTAAGACATCGGTCAGTGCATAATTCTGTTGTTGCTCTTCTCATGCTATTCTTGCAAGGTGATATTAATTACTGTCGCTGCTTCCTGGCGGGTTATTGGCTTTCCATTCCAAGTGCTCTACAAGATGCAAAATACATACAATTTACCTCTCCTGAGTCTATTGGAAGCAAATTGGCTTATCAGTGTCGACTTGGAGATTATTATAAATCACGTCGATGCCGTCCACTCAATAGGCTATGACAGCGACTCGGGTCTCAAATCCTACTCAAAGTATGCCATTTATCATGGAAGTGAGGAGATGCCGACGTGGATAAAGAACCTCTGTGGAATTTTCAAAAGGTTTCAACATTCCTGGGTCTTTCTTTGTTAAATTTTTTTTATTTAAAAAAAAATTGAAATCATCCATGGCATGAGGCAAACCTTCATTCAAAAGGTTCGCAACATCTAATTTCGTGAAAACAGGGCTGTAGATCCTGATATCGTAGAAAGAGCGATACTGAAAAGGTCCCAAACGGACTACGTCACCTGAAGATTTTGTACTAGTTTCACTGAGTGTGGAACTTTCGTACGGTCAGAACGACGAAACATTAAATCCAGGTGGTTCTCATGATGTCTAAAAGCATCACGTAGTGGATTTGGCAGCCTGACAGTACATGGAGAAACACGGAGAACGTAATGTCTCTCAGCCCGTCACCTGTGGAAGGCAGAGATCATTGGCTAAGCATTTGCAGGGTCGAGCATGAATCTGTTACGAGTTTTTGTAATCGGGGTTTGGTTTGTTGTCCTACAGAGAGGCTGCGCTAACAGGTGGCCTGGTGCGAGTCATACGATGGTCGCACAAGGCCTGGGCGATGTTACTTGCGGCGAGTATAAGTTTAACTTAATAGATTACAGACTCTGTCAATGCTGCCAGCATTCATAGGATTACTGGTAAAGAGTATTGACTACATGTAACTTTGGTCGGTCGCTGATAATTATCGCTTCCTTGTGTCAACAGCTTTTGATGGGCCTGGCAAAAGCTCGAATTCTAAGATTAGTGTAAATGATATCTACTCTTTCCTTAGGGTTGTAGGAATCTCTTTTAAATAACGATCCATGATTTCTGCATGTTGAAGATCTTTGCTATTAAGACTTTTAATGTTTTGTGACCCCAGCAACGCCGACAAAAGGGTTATCCACCCACGAGGATGAGTAAGTTAAATCTAACGCCTGCCGCAGAATGTCCAAATCTGGGATTTATTGAAGAAAGTACCTGTCCCTGGCTAAAACCTTGTCATAATATTGAGAATGACATCAAAGTGTGTATTAACGAAGAAGTAGCTCAGCTTAGACAATCCAAAACTCACAATACCGCATCAATTAGAGCGATAGCAAATTGTTTAAGAAGTTGCCTCGCAGGAAGAACGTAGTTTTTACGTCTAAGAGTTAGACTGATAGTGCAGCCATGTTTGCAAGAGCGTTTCAAGAATTACCTAAGAAGCTCACTGTTTGCATCACATAGAAGTTGGTGCTTGAGATCTATAAACAGATCAACAAATCAGCTAGCTTTGGAAGTCGTCGTAATTTGGCTTTCTTGATAAATAATCGGCTTTGCTGGCAATGTTCTCCTCAGGAAGCTGCGTGATAAAAGGCCAGAGACACATAACAACAATGCATGATCTGCTTTGCGTCGTCAATCGTACGATTTTCGTCAAATGCTGCCTGTGAAGATATCTTGATCACATGCTAAATTTGAGCCATCTTTCGACCTCTACCGGAGGCGTATTGTTGCATATTCTCGGTTTTTGTTTCACATCGACCCACATTTTCTCTCTGATGGCTTGGACAAAGGTACGCGGCCATCCTATTTGATATGGTTTTAAGTTACTTGCTGATTTAAGATGCCCGGACAGTCATGAATCAACAAGACGTCTATTTTGTTAGTAGATTGCCTTCGCTAATAATCTAGTAACCCCCTTGCCCTCCTGACGAGACAAGTACTCACCCGCGACGGCTAGTCGTCTTTCAGAAAGGAATGCAGCACCTCGATAGCGGTCTGCTATAGGCCAGAGGTTGGATTGCAACCTAATTTGATCACATGCCTTGGTAAATCAGACATAACACTAACATAAGTGTTTAAGCGTCGGCAGTTCAGCTAGCCTCACGCCGAACTTTCGCCTCGTGGGACTGGTTCACAGAGCTTAACTACCTCCTCGCCGTCCTTTCTAGCAAAACATATGAGAAAGATGCCACGCCGATGGCGCAAACTTCCCATTGCACGTGGCTTCTAAGCCCAATCCGGTCAACCCATTTGCGTGTTTTCTTAAAGCGTACCATACCTTACTTCCTGGTGTTTTACTAGTCCGGTATTTAAAAAACATTTTCACATGGTTTCGTCCACCCATTGACCAGTCCACTGTTGAATTTGGAGATCCTGCTGTGTTTTCTGGGGTTGGTAGCACAACTCAGTGTTGCGGCTGCATTCCCGACACAGTGTTGTATACGGTTTCAATTACTGAGAACATTTTTACCATTCAGCCATAGTGTCAGCCTCAGCTGAGTTTTACTAAAACAATTCGGCCTGAGATCCATTGAGCCAAATAGCTATTAGAAAAAGAGATTAAATATGTATCCTTAGTGCCCATGAAAATCCGATACCAAACTGCAAGCTTTGCCAGTCCTTTCTAGACTGTTCAGTTTCATGCACTTCCAGTTTGTTGATTTATTTACCCTCTTGAGAAAATGGAACCTTTGACCCCCAACACCTCAAGCCAATGGCGGTCTTTTTATCAAGAGTTCCCAAAGCATCATGACCCATCCATTTCACCTGCAGGCTCAGCCTCTCCATCCTACTACGAACAGTCTGTCCCAGTTTTAGAAACAGAAGAAGAATTTTCTGTCACCTACCGTCAAAGCGCAGATGACCACCCCTTCAAGCCTCCGTCTCCTTCCAAGAGAATCATCATATGCTGCGATGGTACCTGGCAGTCGTCTGTAACTGGCCGGAAGAATATTCCCTCCAATGTCACTCGACTCGCACGTTCTATTGCTCGTACTGCAACTATCCAAGAGGACGGAGTAGACAAGAATATTCAACAGGTTGTGTTCTACAGTGCTGGCGTTGGCACTGGTGGTGGAACAAGTGTGTTCGACACTCTTCGCCAAGCTACCTTTGGCGATGGCGTCGACGCAGAAATTATCAAAGCGTATAATTTTCTGGTCATGAATTATGACGAAGGTGACCATGTTTTATGCTTCGGCTTCTCCCGAGGAGCATATACCGCACGATCAGTGGCTGGTCTTGTCGCAGATATCGGAATTATCAAACCTGAGGAGATGGACGACTTTCCGGACCTTTACAAGATGTACCAAAACTACTCCGACGATCAGACTTCCAGCTTTCGCCAATCCGAGGAATATAGGACATGGGTCATGGGCATCCCTAAAAGAGGTTCTGAGAAGTTGCCAAAGCATGATCCCAAGAGATGGGAAAAAAAGCCTCATAGTCTTCCCCCAGAATTCAGCAGGGTTGTTGAAGTAGTCGGGGTCTTCGATACGGTTGGCGCTTTGGGAATACCGGGCTTCCGTTTACTTCGAAGCGTTCTCAACTACGTCGCACTGAACTTCCCGTATCTCGGTATTGATTATGTAGGGTTCCACAACACCTCTTTGAGTAAATGTAAGTCTTTTTTTTTTTCTTTTAATAAATATTTCCCCTTCACCTTTCTGACACAATTTGTAATCTCCTTCTTTAGACGTTAAGCATGCGATTCACGCGTTAGCTCTCGATGAGCATATTAAACCTTTCACACCAACTCTCTGGCACCTTCCACGAGACAAGAAACTATTCTCAAGACACCACCGACAATCGCCCAAAGAGCTAGAGGAGAGGTTCCAATGGCTTATAAGACACAATGCAAGCGAAGAGCAACTCTCAGTAGCATGGAGCGACTTTATTGAGGCTGAGATGGCACATCATTTACAAGATTCTAAACCACAACTACAACAGGTATGGTTTCCTGGAGGCCACGTTAATATCGGAGGCGGCAACCCTGCGATACTCAGAGGCGTCTCCTTTGATTTTGAACGTAAGTAATTCCGTCCCTGCGCTGGCGATAGACTGGCACCTAACTAGGACAGAACTTGCTCTCATCTCTTTCACGTGGATGTGTGACCAAATCAAACCATTTGTTCAACTTGACAACAGAGAGAACGATGGAAGCTTTACAGCCTCATCAACTCTTGCTGAGCGCGAGATTAAGTCACGCAGAAACTTGATTTCTCAAGCAAGACAAAGAAAAAACTATGGCTCATTCTGGCCTCTGCAACTTATGCTCCAGGGGCTAGAATACATTGGTGTCTACAGGGCTCCACCAACGTCAACCTTTGACGTGGTGGATGATGCCTGGTCCACAGGGCCAATAGTCGACATCTTTGAAATACTGAAAGTTTTGATTTTCGCTCCTATCATTACTTTCTTTCTAAAACTCATACCCTTCCTATCAAGTTACAGAACACCTGGTGGATACCACAAAGGCACAAGAGGGGAAGAACTTGGTGAGACAAACGAAATGATTCACCCTGCCGTTGCCTGGCGCCAGATTGGGTGCCATGAATATCATCCGAAGTCATTGGAGGGATTTACAAGATGGAAAAAGCCGAATCAGAAAGGCTCCAGTCTCCCACAAAAGTATGAATGGATGAGAGGGAACGAAATAATCCCGGAGTACGTCATCAAAAGCACCGATTGCATATCACGTCGTCTGGCACAGGAAACAAATGCAAGAGAATTCGTGGCCTCACTTGTGATGGAGTGAAGGAGGGGACGTTCAGTTCAGTAGGGAGGATTAGGGATTGGTATTTCTTTTGTAAAACTGTCTTCGTTCGTCTTGTCAATCTCTTCATAAGGTTCGTGCTTTATTTGCATCCAACATCTGAGACTGTCATACCTTATAGATTCAGCTTCACTGCTAGTTCTTCTTCATTTCTAGGCAATATATCTCCTACTTTATGCCTTTTTCTTGCATTTGTTAGAATACGGACTTGATTAGCCGTCTTCTCGTGCCATCGGCAGTGTTTACATAGGGCCCAACGATACCAGCTGTGCCATGGGTGTTTCCAGCATGCGTATTCACACTAATTTCTCCAGCGTCTACTTCTTCAATGACAGCTCTGGCAGTCTCCGCGAAGTCATTATCATCTTATGAGAAATCAGCCTAGCGGTTTATCACTTACCTCAAACTCGAAAAAAATGTCTATAGACTTGCTGCTTTTTCACCCATTGTAATTATTAGGTGGATAACGGTACTTTTGAGTCCTGATTTTCTCGAAATAGAGGTTTATTCTTAGTTTGTACCTAATCTGCGAATAGAGAGATGGTGACAGAATGAAGAGGAAAGGGTTCTAAACTCTGAATCTCAGGATACCTCTTCGCTCATGATGGAAATGCGAAGTAGAAAGCTGGTAATAATTTCGAGTTATTCCTCTTTCGACGTGTCTCAGCCTATGTCATAAAAAGTAGTATGTAGTATAGGATAAATTGAACAACGACACTTTGAAGATTAATGTGGAATATTACCTGTCAAACAAATAAGAAAGCGACGCTGTAATTCTCTTCGCATATTGTCAAATATAATTACTGTTAACTGCCTATGAGGAGATCAGACCCTGAGGCACTTGCTTCCGAGCATTGCAAGAGAGGAAACAAATTATTGATAATATCTCTTGTGCACGACATAAAAGTGGCTATCAAAGGTAAACTAGTCTTGGTAATAATGGGGTCATCTGGAACTCAATGGGGTAAAATACAACAGCTGCTATCAGCAGGCGGGGCAATGCATGAGATCAGCGGCTTTTCGGACTTTGCCAAGATCCTTTTCCCGAGCATACCCAATTATGGAATATGGGTATTGAAAGACAGCTTTCCTTATGCCATCCCATTGGGGCCTGATTGGGTACAAGCCCTATTCTACAAACCTTCATTTCCCCTCAACATCAGGGATAAATGACTAACTCATGAGTGACTGGTAACCTGCATAAAGATGTGCCCGTAGCTCACCAGGCCTCGATGGCACACTGTGACTAGCACACATCTCATGTGAGAAGTCATTTGCATTCCCGACACAATCAGAGATATTGCAAATCGCAAAATACCTACATCAATACATACGTAGTTCGCAGAACTTGTCTGTCTTGGCATAAGCACACGCATGCAAGCTCGAAATAAACATTAGCACAAGAATCAACCCAGAATAATTCGCAACAACCTCTACGCAACAGCTTCTATTAAAGCTAACAAAGAACTCAATCTAAATCCTGAAGGACCAAACCTATCCGTACTACGGAGAGCTTACTCTTTCAGGGCTGATTCCCCCAAGCCACCGCAAGCAAGTGGTCAATCGTGACAGGCTCAATGTCAGGGTACAGAATATTCAGCCTGTTCTCCTGGGGAATCAAGAAACCTCCATCCAGGGCCATTGCGCCCATGACGGCTGCTTCTTCTGCAGGATCCTCAACGCCATATCCAGGAGCGTTCTTGAGAGGTGTGGCCTTGCCGGCGCGGATGTCTTCCACGCTGTCATAATGCACGCTAAATTTCTTGCCTACTCAGACACTCGTCAACAAATGTCGAGGTAATGATACCTGGTAAGGTAAGAGTGAAAAAAACTGAAAACGGGTTATACCTGTGATCCTTTCTGCCAGCGAAAGTACTTCGTTGAGGCAGGTGTCCGAGCCACTGATGTTACTATCAATCAACCACTTGTTCTTATCGCTGACAAGCTTGACGGCGAAACGGGCTACATCCTTCGAGTATGTCACAGTAAACTGCTCGTTGCCGGTTCCTGGGATGACTGCACGGTGACTCGCAATATCGATACCCCACGAAAAAGGACGAAGTGTGCTGGGAATGTGAGGTTGCCCCCAGTAATCCATGAAAAGACCGATAGCCACTCTCGTTGTTTCCAGGTGGGTTTTCGCTAGTGCTCGTCGTGCACGTAGCAAAGGTAGTGTCATGAACGAGGCCGTCTCTTCGTCAGTGCTACCATGTCATGTCATATTAGAACCCGGAAGATGGCTGTGGTTAAAGACGCGACAAACCTGTCCGGCAGGCTTCCAGCCCATTCGCTTGGTATGAATCTCTTAGTGGAAGATGATCGGCTCGCCGCAGCAATTAGGTCTAGTTGTGCTTGCTCCGACGGTCCCATGACGGACAACGTGGAGACAATGGTATCAATTGCATGGCTCGACAGAGCATTAGCTGTCTCTTCGATATCATTGTAATTTATGGCAAGCTTCTGGGCACCAGCAACTTCGGGAGAGGTTGCAGACTTTCTCGTAAGAACAAAGACTTGGTGTGTGCCATCGTGCACAAGGGCCTCGACGATGGCCTTACCAAGATCGCCGGTTCCACCAGCGACAGCGACAACGACCATGTTGGTGCTGTATTTGAAAAAAGAAAAAATTAGAAAAGTGAATAGACGAGCTGGTCCCCGTTAGAATGATTCTCGAAGGGCAGTTGCGTATAAATACGAGCGGCTAGGTGAACTGAACTCTATCGGCTTTATTTTTTTGTATGTGTTTTATGTTGGGTGTTGAAGCCCGTGGGACTTTTAGGCTAAATCTAGTCAATGATCGACTGCGGCATGAACAGGTACATGTACCCGTGAAAGGGACTAGCTACTCGGGATATATTCAAGACTTTCTGCAACCAGCCAAATAGCCCCGTTAAACAATACTTTATTCGTCTATCGGCCACAGTAAAGGTAGAGGTACCAGCATTTACACAGGGGGTTAATGACGTGTTAAAAAACGAGGTGTCGCAGCCGCGAAACCCAGTGAAGGTCCGAAAGTCCGAAAGACCGAAGGATCAAGACCCATGGATGACATGAAGAAAAACCCACTTCCCTTATGCTTGGTTGATTTGTAATATTTTAGCAGCCTCACGAAGCCGTGGGGGTTAGGAAAATAGAAAATGGTATAAACAGGTAAGCAACATCTATTTAATTGAAACTGGTCGTTGGTTCGTCTCTCCGTTATTAGGTCTCGCTGTTAGCTTAACATTCCCGTCTTCTTGGCAACATGGTTGTTCGAATTTCAGATAATGTGAAGAAAAGACGATTATTCTGGATTAGACTAAGTGACATGGTGAATATGTCAAGTTTATTGCTCAAGGTCACCCTGATATATCTGGTGAAGCTTGGGTTGTGGACCCTCAAGCAGTCTGTTATACAAGTGCAAGCGAATGTTATCCAACTGTGTGGAAAGAGAAGAAGATTATTGGTTGTCTTGAATGCAGGCCCCTCTGACAAAACAGTTTTGGATGTTCAAAGCATGGGACAAATCCAAGACTGAAGTTTAATGTTGATTGTTAAGCCGAAATCTGCGCCAAGATATCAATTTACAAGGTCGTGTCATCCAGCATTCTGATCAGAAGCATCAAGAAGCAGTACCATGTGACCAATGTGTCGAAGACAGAAGCCCAGTCCATCTTTCAGGGCTCTGGCATAGAAAGAAACATCTTTCAACTATAACCAAAATAAAGGATCTTGTCTGAAAGGGGCTCACTTACCCTTTGACATTATTTTTAACTCTAGTTCAGCTTAGTATTTAGTTCCGTCATTTTCAATCAAAACTCATTTTCACCTATTCAACCAGATATTTTGAAGTTGAAGTGTATTGATGCAAAATTTCGTCAACAGTCCTTCTTTCCTAACTGATCACTACGCCTTTGACACTGATAAGTATGGGCGCACACTTCTCGCAAGTTGAGAGCAGTTCAAACACCCTCTCAAACCGCCCGACGCGATACGTACCGATCATTAGCGACATTCTTCGATCCAAACTGTCACGGTAGGAACTGCCGGTCTTTCCAAAGTGTGAGACTTTTAATTGGCATGCATAAGTTACTAACAATCTACGCGTTCATCGCCGTCCTCCCTGGTCCAAGTACGCTCATCCGCCGTACGCCTTCTTATTCCGTGTGTATTCGGTTTGTTAGGCCGCGATGCCATTGTACGTCGATCTTCAAAGCTCTCTTGGCGGAAGACATCGCCTCTACTGCGCGGAACATCGTTCGATGATCGTGAGGTGGTTGTATGAGTGTTGGGCAATGCCCCGAAGCGGCTGGTATACCGGCGCTCAGATACTTGTTGGAGACTTTCGTCTGACATTGAGCCAATAAGTTGGGCTGACCTGCCTTTCGACTCCGCTTTCTTGACGTTGAAAAGGTCTGCCATCGTCGTGACCACGACCTGGTCACTATCCCCATCTGCTATGGCCTCTCCAACAGTGTGTTTCTTCTGCAAAGCAACTTCGTTGGACGCCACTCTGCATACCTCTAGACAGCTTTTAAACACGTCAAGTTCCTGTTTAAGACGTGTCCTCTCATGATCATTTCCAGTCTTCCCATCTTGTGGTAGAGAATCCAGCCGCTCCCGGAGACGGCCAACCATCTCTGCGATGCTATCTCTGTTCTGGTTCAACACTTGACGCGTGAGTTGTGGCGCGTCAAAGGAATCAATCTGATCTTTGGCGTCCTCCGATAATGATTCAGTTCCAAGCAACGGTTTCTGATCCGTCAATGATTCAAGGAAAGCCTCAGCATCTTCACAAATGCGAAGACATCGCTCAGTGACTGCACGTTCATCGTTGAGATCAAAAGTTGTATCAGCGTCATTCACAGATTTTTGCGAAAGATTCGCGATCTTTTCGTCAATTCTCTGCAGGCGAAGGTTCAGGTTGTATATCGTGTCTTGAACCATTTCGTTGTATTCTTCGATGAGTTGTTGATTAGCTTTAGCTGTGTGTCTGTGAAGCATTAGCGTCGGCTCGCTCCCACAATCTTACAACGCCCAACTCACAGATTTACGGCTCCCAAACCGACGGCGATTGTAGATCTGTAGTTTGTGATGGTATCGATAAATTCCTGGATGTCGCCCTTTCTAAACTCCAGCTTCGCCCAATCTAAAAATCCTGTCTTTGCCTTTCCAGTGAATTCCTTCATGGCCTTTTCGAAATCTGTGCAGATCTGACTACACCGAGCAATAGGCCCCTCGAGAAGTGCCATCATGGACGCATCGCGTTGGAACATATTTTCGATCACGCCAAGGAGCTTGAGAAGGTCCTCAAGCTCACTCTCTAGCCGCTGGAGCGTCTTATCGCGACCTTTGTAACGCTTGATGGTGTCAATCAAAGTAGCTGTCGATGAAACAGCTGCTGTGACAACAGCGAGCACCGAGGCAGCGATGCTCAAAGGATCCGCCATTTTGAAGATGATCAGTAAGATTAGAAAAGAACGGAAGTTGGCAGTCCTTTGGGCAAGGCTGGAGGTTGGGTTAAGTAGACGGGCGCGGCTCTGACCCCTCATCTTGACAATAACGTCTATTGGTGAGCCGAAGCGCTGACGGACCAATGACCCCACCAAGGCCTCTCCCACGGTCGCCTTTCGCCGCAGCATACCCGCCTAAGGTGTCATTCTACCCCATGTTGGAACCCCAATCGTTTTTTTGCAACTGGAAATCGAAGGATGGGCGTGGTCCCTAGTAACGCATCTCTTAAGGGCACAGTTCCTCTCTGCATGTATTTCTCCATCACATAAAATGCCAAATTGTGCCGAGGGGTCAAAGTAGAGAGCTGTGGGACGAAGACCCAGCAGTCATGGCATGGCGCGGGGGTGTAGGCGCCTACGCTGCCGCCACGATTGGCCCTTGGATATATATACATAAAAAAGCACCAACAGATCAGTGATAAAAAACTAAAAGTTAAAAAAAAAGCGAGTTGGGCTGTATTCCCGGAATTGCAAGGGTTCTCGACACACATTAATCCAATGGATTAACTGGGCGCCAGTGACGATGTAACCTAATCGGCGTTTGCATTGCGACCCTCAACACATCGGATTGCATTCACGGAATGTCACGTGACGTCCGGTTTTCTACCCGAGATACTAGTAGATGCTATGGTAAATCGTCCGACATCATCGTCGTGCTTGCAAGGAGGTTCTAAAATCTTAGCCTTCAAACATTTTTGATTAGATTGAAGTACGTTTGCTCTTTCTTATCATTTCGCACTTCATCCTCGTCGTCCTGCCTTTCCCCACGCGGCAGACCATTTTACTGCGAAGAAATGTAATCATTCGGTTTTGGTATTTGACTACGCATATCGATCGTTTAAACACCACTTATGTCGTTTTTTAGGGTTGTTCTGAAAGTTTATCTTATTTCGGAGTTGCGGATAACTTTCAAGTCTGGCTTCAATAAAAGGACTTCTAAATAAATAGCAGCTTATGTATTGTTGCATTTCAAGTCATCTATAATTCTAAGCAAGGCCTTAGAACATTAAAATAGTCAATAAAGATGCATTCCCATATTTTGGAGCCAGACAGCAGGACATTCAACTGCTTTACGTTAAATTAATGCCCCTGGGCAAAGATGTTTCATTCTTCCGTACCAGGCAAATACTGCTGATTATATGGTTAGAATTGCGCTATTATTATGAGCGAATCAGTTTCCAATATCATGATCTGCGAGAAAAATTAGCAGGATAAGAAAAACTATTTGTTTCCGTGACTCCAGCTACTCTAGCAACTAAGTGAGAGCACTCGCCGGCACCTGTGCAAGGCGGTTAAGGCTAGGTGGGTCAAGTGGGCCTTGGCACGCTGGGTTACCTTTGTGAAACCACCTGAGAGGGCCCCATCCACAGACAAATCCGGAATGGTGTAATGGTCAACATTTGACGCTCTCATCCGAGGGCTCCGTCAGGCTCGGGGTTCAATTCCCCGTTCCGGAATTCGTTTTTGCTTTTGTTACACCACAAGATCATATTTGGATCAATACGACGTGACTGAGAAGCTCTTTTTAGATACCTGCTCACTTTTACACTACTTCGACCATTGGAACCGGCGTCACTAAAGCTCTGAATTAAATTCTTATGCCGTCAATTGTTGGTCTCGCACTCCTACCTTTCATCCTGGGACTGAGGCGTGCATTGGCGGCGTAAATTTGATGGATGAGGCGCCAGCAGTCATGAGACACTGGCATATCACTACAGCAACAAGAACAATGTTTGAGAGTGAGATTTAAATAGAAGGTTGGTAGCTTGGCGGGGCGACTGCGGTCGAGTCATCTGTCTCTCAGAACTTTGTGTTTCTTGCTATGTAGATATCACCAGCGAGGAGGGTTGTGGCGATTAAAATAATAAAGTAACTCATGCGTTATTCTAATCTCCTTTTAAAGCTCCATGATTATTTATGGAAAAGACAATGCTTCTGGCCTGTCGTGCATTGAGCCCTCTGCTAGAGCAAGCCCTAGAACCATAATGCTCAAAGCTAACAGTAAAAAGATGCCTGAGCTTGCTGTCATAGACTGATTCTGTCCCGTCAAAAGTCATTTATGATCATTTCACAACACTAGCGTGGCTGAAATACTCGAGTTTTCACTAGGTAACTCCTCAGCGGCTTCCTCGTAACGGTAAACAAGTGGTGAACAAAGTCACTGTTGGCTGCAAATGGTTGTAGCTAAAGCATTTTATTGTCTAAGAAGCGATTGTAGGTTTCACACCCAAGAAAGCTTCAATGCGGTAATCCTTAGGAAGGCACTCAATCCCCAGAACTAATTGCTCATCTACATTTTCCATGTCAAATCCAGGTATTGATCGCTTATTTGACGCAGAGGACAGAGTTGCCCTGGTACTTGCACTCTGCAATGTTGAGTTAGTAATCGGTTTCAAAAAAAACACAGTTGGGTTTATGAACTGGATATACGTACTTCCGTCAAAGATCTCGCCAATGCCGTTGAGCCAGTAAGAGCACTTCTGGCCACCGGGGTGGATGTTCTGGGTGTTCATGGTAGTGCAGGCCTCGTGGACAGTGGCTGTAAGAAACATGAGGTGTTAGCATGAACGCTCTTAACGTCAGGATTCACAGTAAAGCCAAGACAACTTACAGCCACGGATGTTGTGGTACTGGTTGTTGGCAACCCAGACGCCGTTGGAAGCCTGTGCCCAGGCGTGGCAGCCAGAGGCAAGGAAGAGGGCGGTGGGAACGATGATGGAAGTGAACTGCATCTTGACTGGAAGATTGATTGTTATAGAATAGCTGTTTTTGTGTATGACTTTGATGAATTGAGTACTTGAGGGTGAAGAGGAAATGGTATCTGGAGGGATGAGGATATCTGTTTATATACTTTTCTGGTTCTTCTGATTACTGGCCATTGCTTTACAGAGTAACCCTTGGCGTCAGATTTCCCATGTTAGACCGTGTCATGATCCTTTCGATTTAGCGGTGTTCTGTGTAAGGAAGGATCCGAAGCTATCCGTGGATTGATTCACGGCCATGATTTGTGGCCTCGGACTCGTCTTGACTTTCAACCCCAAAGGAAGCGATTCACATGTCGCGAGATAGGCAGACATACTTACGTATTGCATGCATTAGCGGTAATGGGGTTCTTACAGTAATCCCGATATCAAGGATGCTCTTGCACAACTCCTTTCACAGTGTGTTAGGGTGGCAACAGGTACAGACTACCTAGCGGAAAATGTCTAGCTAGGGGCATCTGGAGATTTTGCCAAGTCAACCAAAAGCGCTAGATTAAAGTAGGTACTTCAGTCGTCAATTTATTACAACTATGACAGACGTGTCGGCGACTACTTATATGATACATAGAAATCCTAGTCAGCTGACATCCGATCTGATTATCTTTGGTCCTATAAGTTCTAACCACGTATCCCATTGACTGTGAGGTAACCCCAATTTTGCCAAGGGCAAAGCAAGCTGGTCAGGGTTGCGATACACGAGGCTTTACTGGGGCTTTGTACTTAAATTTATGCTACATTTGTTTACTAGAGCTACTGGTTATGACAGAGGTGCCAGTATACTCTAGTACTACCTGACGGTACATAATAGTCTTAGCAGCGTTGCCTGTAGCCTGCCTGTGACACCAAGCATTAGGAGGCTCGTGGGGCCCAGCCATGTTATTCTTGTACTGTTGGTACTGAGGGTCAGAAATGGCTCAAAAATGTGGATTTTATGGCTTAGCAAAAATGGGGTCATCTCGGAGTCGATGAGATACTCTTACTGCAAAAGGTAAATGGGGGTAGAAAGAGGCATTTCTACGTGTTGCAACCTACACTCGACTAGCAGCAACTTGTGCAAGTTGCTTAACATCTACAGGCCTCGTATGGTCGTATTAACTGTATAAATAAAATGATACGCTTATAGAGGAAGGAGCTGGGTTGGTCGATGGCCGGGTAATAGTGTCCTTGGCAAGGAACTAATCATGGGTCAGGATGTAGACTAAGACCCTGCTTCTACATCTTGTCCCACATCAAGTCCGAACGAATAACAAGAGTGTTTCTGAATCATGGTCAATACAAGGGGGAAACAGCATGTTAACAAATCATAGATATTAGCAGCTAATAGCGAACAAATTTATATGTCCTTCTTCATCTGACGTTCTAGAGTTAAAGAACTCTCAGCCAATACGGAAAGCTGACCAACCATAGCAAGCACTTGTATGCTTACAATGATCGAAAGGTCAGTCTTCAAGGACTGAAGCAATTTAAAATGGGTGGGCTTGAAGCATCAAACCACTTCAATCACAAGCGCGGGTAGCCGGTGAGTGCAGAGTCTGGCTAGGTTGTTGGAATACGAAGCTTATTGTTACCCCTGCCCCCTGGCACTAACGTATAGGGGTTATGAAAGGATTCCACGATTCGGAAATGATCACCACTGTATGTGCAACCCCGGGAAACCCGATTCGTCGATAAAAAGCTTCGTCCTCGGGATTGATGCATGAAGGATTCAGGTAATCCGATCCATCCAATGGCTATATCTTTTTCTCCACGTCAGCCCGCCACACCCACAACGCGCTGTTTACGGTCCGGGCCGGAAGACAGGGTGCTCTATTACCTTAAAAAGGCAGCTCACAAAGTTAACAGGTGGGAAGCTCTGAGCGCGAAATTCGCTACGGGGAAGAACGATCCTGCTGCTTCACTGGCTTGCATGCCCATGGCGCTTCCTTGTAGTGATACGTGTAGTGAGCTGATCAGACATCCACGTGCTGATATCTCAACCTATTATTGGGAAATCTGCCTCGAAAGATGGCGAACATAACCGCCATTAGGAATTCGGGTAAAAAAGACCAGGGCTGAGTTTGGTGGGGTGAGGCGGAACAAATGTTCCTACCGAGCGAATCGGGTATTGTGGGTGCACACACATTGTAGTCATGTCAAACAGGGCTACCGTGACAGTCTGAGTTATGAGTTTTGAGACCCGTTTTTACTCCCCATCTTTTCTGATCACTACTATTGAAGTAAATGGTGGAAATAGGCAAATATTGTCCTTCTTCACAGGGTAATGTGAAAGATTTATACCCACATGGATGCAGTCCTGCGGACCACCAAGGTCATGAAACTACCAAATCGTTCAATACGTTTTTGCAAAAATGTGGTCTTAGCCTTAGGGAATTCGATTGGCCTGCATGGAGCAAGCTGGCAGATAAGCACCGTGCGGATCTTGACCTGCCGAGCCTGAAAGTGCTCTTTTTGTTTTTATATACATATTTTTTTTTCGGTAATGAGTAAAATAACATAGTGTTTAGAGAAGTATGGGCCTTAAAGTAAGTTCGTTAGACTGCACCCATTGCCATCTCTTATTTGACGGGATACCACCCTTCGTCGTCATGAGAATCAGTGTTTTTCACAGGCGAGGCGCCAATAGCAAATGAGACTGCCACAAATGACTTGGGGGCACTAAAAAACCTCGTTGGCCCTTTTGTAGTGAAACCAATGCATGATCAACTTGCTTTCTTTGAACAGTGCATTTTAGGGACCACATAATACATATCCAAAAGACAAATACTAGGCTGGTGTCAGTCGTTGACTTGAGTAAATTGTCTGGATTTCAAGTTTTGGCTGAAATTGGACTACTTGGCCATGAAAAGCGCGATCCAAAAACACGCACCCAAAGCATGGAACCTCCCGAAGACAGCTATTATAGAAATTAAAACTCTTCATAAGTCTATGCAGTTTGATTTTGGTATGTAACATGAAGTCCTTGCCAATAAGATGTCAGTGAATTGATTCCTAAAGCAGGAGCCTTTGGCATAGCCACAGCAACCACTAGCATGGGCAAATAAAAAGCCTAGTAACCGCTTCTCTAAAGTTCATGGTATGATCCTCTGATTGGACTGTGACCAGCATCTTTGAAAGCAGAAAGATCAAACTATTGACAGTTGGCTCCACCTGCAACATTGACACATCTTTGAGGAGAGCAATCCATGAACTGCATAATAGTAGTCAGCGACTCCGTTCTTTAACAGGTTTTGAATAAAGATGGCATAGATATCTTACATCGAACACATTGTTTTTGGCGAGGTTGCAGAACTTGATTTTGTTGCCCTGGCAACTTTGGAGCTCGTTGCCAGTGCAAGACTGAGCCGATGCCGCAGTGGCGAAAAGAAGAGAGATTACGGCGAAAAACTTCATGTTGTCGGGCAGGCTGAAATCCGAGTTGAGAGGTGACGGTGTTGTAGCGCCTGTTTAGTTTGTATCTGCAGGATAAGAATCGGCTCAAGATATTAAATTTGAGGTATAAATGCGAAATTTCAGTAGGTTGCCAAAATTTGAATTTTCTGATGCCATAAGATTTCATAAGTTAGCCGTTGTGCCCTTTCCTCAACTTATGGGTTGCCCACGAGTGTCCTTGACTCGTGCATTGGGAGGCTGAGCTGTGATTAATGGGTTACACTTTGATTATGTTGCCTGAATCGCCAAACTTTATGCGGAAATCTTTCCCCATCGAGTCATTAAGTTATTATAAGATCTAGCTTTATACTTTTACTATATTAGAGAATCCAAAATTAGACATCTGTCACTGCCGGGGCTAGTCCCTATAGGTAGTGTACGATTACTTATTGAATTGCTGCTTTGCTAAGCTACATGCTCACACACGCATGGAAGTTGATGCAAATTAACTCCAGTCCTTTTTGTTACAGAAGAAACTTGTAAGCAATTTAAAAGATTTTTAGAGATCAACCTATCCTACGGAATTTTGAGAAGTATGGACAGTTTAGTGGTTCGCAATGTACCAAAAGCCCAATAGGCCACTTAATGGGATAGTGGTCACAACCAGAAGAGCTGTCGGCGATTGCTCCCCACCTAGGTAGTTTGCTAAGTCTTGTTAGTAGTCTGTTTACCCCAAGACACCGATCGGATGGCGATTGAGTAACTACTGCTCTCTGCATCTCCCAGTAAGCGTCTAGTCGGCCTTTGGGGCAAATGAATCTAAGCCGTTGGGTGATTGGCAGCGGATTGAGATGCCAATAGCGATTTAGCGATCGAGTCTACCAGGACCGACTGAGGCTCACTTCAACTCCATCGTAGAACATGGTTCTCCGATGCCTATTCTGACATCTGAGCTGGTCCTGAAGCATCGGAGTTGGGTAGATAAGGGCCATTGATTGCTAACACATCCCGATGGAACAGCAATTAACACAAGAAGGCATATCCAATCAATTACAAGACAATATAACTGAGGTCGCTATGAGCAGTGAGCCGGTTGCCGCTGAAGGCCCGGAGGATAACACTAGAGACAATGCTGAGGACTAAGGTGTCGAATACTCCGCTAGGGTTTCATTTAACCCACTTGTGGCTTCAATCTTTGCTTTCTATCAAGCAACAACCTCGTGACCTTCTCATCTCTACTCATTACAGCCGCCTTAACGATGTCATCTGTAATCTTGATCTCCTCTCCTCGTCGATCAAGCAACAGCTTTATCACTTTCTCACCAGACAAGATATTCCCTATTGCCTCTTTGACGATATCTTCTGTAATTTTGATTTCCTCTCCTCGTTGATCAAACAACAAACTCATCACCTCCTTGCCAGACGACCTATTCCCTACAGCCACCTTGACGACGTCTTCTGTGATGTTGATTTCCTCTCCTCGTCGATCAAGCAACAACCTCATCACTTTCTCGCCAGAAACTCGATTACCTACAGCGGCCTTAACAACGTCTTCTGTGATCTTGACTTCCTCTCCTCGTCGATCAAGCAACAGCTTTATTATCTTCTGACCATACGGCCTATTGCCTACAGCCTCCTTGATGACGTTTTCAGTAATTTTGACTTCGTCTCCTCGTCGATCAAGTAGTAACTTCATGGCCTCCTCGCCGGAGAAGCTATTCCCGGCAGCCATTTTGACAAAGTCTTCTGTGATCTGGAATTTTTCGCCTTGTTGATCAAGCAACAACACCATCAAGTCTCCATCAAATTCTCTAGCTCTAATAATGCTATCAGCAACTTCGCTCATGCGGCTGTTGAGAAGCATTTTGAACGAGTCTAGCCCCTGTCGTGCGATGTGTTTGACTAGCGCTGCAGTAACTTTAATATCGTCTCGGCCAGGTTGTGATACCAGTTGAGCCAGGTCTATACCGTTCCGGGATATGGCCTGCATAGTCTCTTGAGTAACCAGCACGTAGCCCTCCCTTTCTTCCAAGTATCTTCCCAAAGCCTTCGTATGCTTGTTTGCCAAACCTTGGGAAATATCTCCGAGAACAAGATCCTGGAACGCTGGCCCAGTCTCGAAATAAGCCATCAGGTCTGATTGGGTGCACCAAGTGTAGTTGATGACAGCTTCCGAGAGCGACACCGTCGAGTTCTGCTTCTGCATGAACTTTTTCACCTCCTCGATCATTGCTCCAGATAGGACCTTTTTTTCCAGAGTGATAGCGGAAAGATCAGGTATTTTTATCTGCAGGTCTGCAATGTTTGCTGGGCCGAAAGTATCCGAGGGATTCTCTTGGTCAAACAAATAAGCCACAACATCCCTCATAACAGCCTCTTCCGTTTTGGTGTAGTCTGCCTCAAACCTCTTGCCATCAGAAGCAAGACCTCGAAGGGCATACAGCCGATCGCGAGGATCACTCGCTTGGCAGTCTCTGAATCTCCACAACAGGGTCGAGATGTTTGACTCCTGTGACCACCATGAAAACTTCCTTGATGGACCGGGCATAATATCAATGATGGCTTGGCACTGGCTGTCTGGCTGGACACCAAGAAGCGTTGGTGCCATAGTAAAGGATTTTGAATCAACCCAGCCCTCACTACAGCCAAGAGAAGCCTTGCCGGCATTGGCTACCTCCTGCAGAATCCAGACACGACTGAACCATTCATTAGCCATTAGGCGCCTCAGTAGTGATGGATAGTCATGATTTGGCTGGCCGCTCAGTGTCTGCTCCCAGGTATGGGACCATCTGGAATCATGAAGGGGCCAGTTCTCCCATGCCACTTGTGGAACATTCCTCTTGAACCGTTGAAACAGCGTGATGAGATGGCTGGTGGTATGTTCGACATGACCTAGCCAACACAAGACACTGTCGGCATATTCGTACACTTTGCCCATGCATTCAACCTGGTGTCCACGTTCTCTAATGTTGCTTTGGTCAATGCAAAGAGCATCAACCCAGAGTATGCGATCTTCATAATCGCGTCTTAAATTCTTGAGGGCATCAAGCAAGTTTTCCGTAACGAAAAGCACTTTTCCATCCACTGCAACAGTGTGGCGGAGCCTTGTACTGTCTCCCCAGCAGTATGACAGCGCTTCGTATGGTATGAGGCTTAGGTCGTTATGTTTGTTGGCTTCATCCGATTTGTTGTATAGATATGCCTGAAAAATGCGGCACCGAATCGGCTCACCCTTGAACCCTCGTTCGAGGCTGAGAAGTCGAAACCCTGGGCGTTCAAGGTCAATGGGTTCGTAGTGGTAGTAGCTTGTCAGTGGCGGTTCAGAAACGACATTGGTGTTGACACGACGGGTCAAACAGCTCAGATAAGAAATAACAAGCTTGCAAACCTCGGCAGATGGCAAGTCATTCTGGCCACTGCCAGCGTAGCCGGCAATACCAGCGACGACTGTAAGTGACTGAGACTTTATACTTGCAGCAGTCGTCTCAAAGCAGACGACGTTATTCTCGCCTCTGAGGCGATCAACGAGAACTGCATCGTTAAGGAGCTGTTTTGAAGACGCTATCAAACCGCGGAAAACCATCCGCTGGCACTGAGTGCTGCCTTTAGCGATGGCTCGCAGCCAGTCGTTACGTCCTTTCTGATTGAGGAAGCCCTCAACAGCCTCTGCGATCTGTTCAGGGACGTGTTTTGGCTCGCCGGTCACGACCAGACGGTTTTGTTCCCTCGTCTCCTTGGCATTGAAGTAGAGTATGCCATTCTGCAGGCTTGGTCGCGTTCCAACCACAACATCGCCCACACGTGCAGGTCCCTTGTGAGACGTTATCGCGTTGACGCTCACTAAGAATCCCGCTCTAATAGATGGAAACTCCTGTAGCAAGTTGTCGACGACATCTCCAGAGTTCTGAGATGTGGTGGCAGTACCCTTGCTCGCAGCGACAACGTTGTGCTGCCCGACCCTGCCAGTGCTGTAGGTCATATTCCAGGCTGCGCTGTGGAACTGATGATAGGTCTCATCGAAGAACGAAGTAGCGATAGAGTGGTGATCGGGGGTGGACAAGATCCAAGCGATGGCATAGCTGCGATGGTCCATTTTGGATTGAATGGCAACAGTGTGAAGCTTTCTAACCGGTATGATAGGAGAATCCAAATCTGTACTAACGATTCACGCCGTTGGGGGTTGTAACTATAGCGCGATGTGGCATATCCCGATGAGCTGAAAGAGGCTAAGTTTCCACGAAAAGATCAGGACAACCAACTGTGTCACAAGCAAAAGCTTCAGTAATGACAGATCCGCCGTCAATATCCCCCGTTGTGTACAAGATATCTGCGCCGGACAGTGCCGAAACTAGTCGGGTCGCAACAAAAGTTATGGAAACGACACAAGGGTGTTGTAATTTATCTCCTCTGACTCTGTATGGAAGTTGATCAATAGCTTCCCGCTCCGTTGGGGTTTTCAGTGGTTCATTGGGTATATGCTGGGGCTGCAGAGTAACTTGCGAAATTGGATTCTCAAGGTTGGGGACAAAAGCGTCTGGTATGCTTGTGTCTGTTTCTTGGAGGAGTTTTTGTAGAAGTGATGGTAGTAGTGGTTGCAAAGAGGATATCCCCATCCATCTGTCCGTCATGTGTGCGGCTGGATGCGAGCTACTTCAGCCTGGAACAAGGCAGAAAGTGTAGTGGCGCAGCAGGCTGTGTTAATGGTGCTACGTGTGGCCACCGGCTTGGTGTTCATTTCACTATTTAATTGTAAATACGCTTATTGGTGGAGTCTGATCGCTTTATGCAGGCTGATTCGCTTGTGTATCCCAATCTGATAAGAGGCGTAGAATATCAGCCATTAGTAAGCTGCTATACCGTATGCTGCCTAAAAGAAAAAGCGATAATCCTCGTTTTGGTGCAATATCATAACGAGATGTAATGTTCGCGTTGATTCTTTATTCGGAACAAAATATTATCAACATTCATTACGGTTTAAATCATGGATTTCACTAGATAATCCCACTCGCTGCAAGTTTCCGACACTGCCACAGAAATCAACTGAGGGCACAATGACTATTATGATATTTCTTATAGTTGTCTGCAGGTCCAGCAGTAGATCTATATAAACGATTGGTATTTATCCCTTGTAAGGCAACACTGGCAAATATGTGGTTAACCGGGCATGGACTGTAAACCATTGGTTTCACTTAAGCGGGCCTTGTGTAACCTCTCGGCCAACCAGTTGCCTTTGGTAGACCCGCACCGTTGAGGTCTTCATTCTTCGCGAAACTAATGATTTTCCTCTCCTGATCTTCATCATGAGACATTCGTTGAAGTCGCCATAGTTAGTTGCAATACACCCGTTTTGACTGTTACATATAGATTCACATTGTTTAAATTTCCAAGGTTTACACAACTAAAGTAACTCTACATAAATATAACTCCTTTGTTTCAATTTGCTAAACGAAATGTTAATTACCCGATTTTGTTTCCACGCAACGACTATGTTTATTATTACCCGGCCCAATAACACATAAAAATATTTGTCTACCCATTTTCTAGCATTAGTTTCGCTACACTGCAATTTACACAAAGTATTGACAAACGTTTACAGAAAAGCACTCATTTTAGGACTGAAAAATCGCTACCTTGAATCAGTAGCGATGGCCATCATGGCATTCACATTTGTTGGCGCCTCCTTAATGGGCAGCATAGGCATGCTCCTGTTTCTCTCGATAAGTTACATGACCGGCCGTTGGCCATTTGGCAAACGCCCTACCATGAATGTCCCAACCGTTTCTCCCCGCCCCAACGCACTTTTTGACTTTGGATTACTCTTACTCCAAGGCTACTTTGAGCACCCAAACAAGCCGTACAAAATCATCGGGCCAACGTCGGATCTCATATTGCTACCTAAACAATACGCCTCTGAGCTGGGGACGTACAGCTCTCAACAACTCAGCTTTGGGTCAGCTATACATGATTTCTGGATGTCGAAATACACCACTTGGAGGTACCATTTGGATGACGAGACTGGACGTCAAACACTCATGGGGGCCCTTAGACGAGACGGCCAGCATGTTGTTTCGGCCATTGACGAAGAAATCGAACGGGGTTTTAAGGAATGGGAAGACCAGTTCTTTCAGTCATCAAAAGACAAAGGTCACATCAACCGCAACGCCTCCGATGACGGTTGGGTGGACATCTCAATGAACCCGTGTCTCCGGCCGTTGGTCAACCAAGCCTTTGGAAGGGTTCTGATCGACGCACCGCTGTGCCGCGACGCGGACTGGGTTAACGCCGCAAGTGGGATCGGCATAAAGCTGATGTTGGCGGCTCGAGACCTCCGCGGATTGCATGCCTGGTTGCGGCCCGTCGTCAAGCATTTCTTACCAAACTACCGCAACCTGATGGCAGCAAGGAGAAGGCTCGCGGAAAGAATAGCGCCACTCGTGAAAGCGCGTCTGCATCAGGACAGTGCTGTGGAAGAGAAATCACACGACATGATTGCGTACCAGCTGCAACACTCGAAAGGATGGCGCGCTACTGATGTCGACTTCCACGTCGGTCAGATCTTTGATAACGTGTTTGCTGGAGATAGTAAGTGCTATGATGAATCGGTTTTTTTTTTTTTTTTTTTTTTTTTTTTTTCTCTATGTTCCTTTGTCATGAACCTCGGCGCATTATCGTCGCTACATACGGACCTATTTGCAACACACCATAAAATGTGCCGGCAGCAAACTTGCTAACATCAACTGAATAGATCAGATTGTGAATGCTGTGAGTCAAGGGCGAAAGGTAACACTGACCTTTTGTTCCAACTGACGATACCCAGTTATTGCAATGCATTTATGACTTAGCATCATTACCCGAATGCCAGCAGACCCTTCGCAACGAAGTTCGCAACGTTCTCGGCCAGGGAAGCAATATCACCTTGGAAGCATTGTCACGGATGCCAAAGGTAGACAGCTTCATGAAAGAAGTAGTCCGTACCAGACCGGGTACCTTAAGTAAGTCAACCCAAGTCGAGTCCCTACATGGTTTCTCTGTACGACTCGGAGCTAAGCGCCTCATCCGCACCCAGTTGTCATGGCCCGGAAAGCCCTCTGCGATGTTCAACTCTCGGACGGCCTCGTCATCCCACGTGGCGTCACAGTGGCCATGCCATCGTTTGCCATAAATCACGACCCGGCTCTTTATGGCGAGGACGCGGCTGATTTCAAGCCATTCCGATTCGTCACCAGCGACGATTCCACTCCCCCCTCGACGGCCTTTGAGTCAATTTCCGGGCCGGGGATCGACTTTGGACGTGGCAAGGCTTCTTGCCCAGGACGCTACATTTCTTTGTGGACCATGAAGGTTGTGCTTGCGCGGTTCCTTCTCCACTACGAGGTGAAGCTGAAGCCTGGATCAACCCGACCGAAAGATATTGCGGCAGGGGTGCACAGAATTGCAGACATGGTAGGTAATATGCTGATTAGAAAAGTGGAAGCATAAGTACAGATCATGTGTGCGGGGAGGTTAGGAATTGGACGCTGGCTACTCGGGGATGAATGTACATGAAACTAGACAGGCTGTAACTAAGACTCTGCGCCTTGTCTTGTTGTCAATCATAGATGGTTACAGTACAAACGGATACTTTTCTCCTTTCGTCGTGTTTAAGCAGGAATGTATCATAGCAAATATTGAGCCGATAGAAAGAAAATACGGTTGGTGCATAGTAATCTGCATTATATACCTATCTGTCATACTTGAATACAATCTTCAGTCCTGTGTACCATGTCCAAAATCGCAGACACCATTTCTTCAACTTGCCCATCCTCGGAAGGTATTTTGTGGCCATTGTCAAACTCCAGACACGTCAACAACTTCCTATCAAAGCAGGTGTTGAGGAGCTTGCTTTGACTCTGCCACTGATCCTGTTTGCCCACAACAGACAAGGTCGGGACCTCGATTGGCTGCTTGCTGCCGTCACCTCCAATTGTTGGAAACCTTGTAGGCGGCCCAGTCCCGTTGATGAGAACCCCGAACTGAAAACGATACCACACAGGACAGAGGTCCTCGACGCTATTGTTTTGCACAGCGAGAATGCCTGCTACAACGGACGCGGCAGAAGAAAATCCAAGGATACCAATGAAGCCGTCGCGGCTGTTCGCGCCGTCGGCGTCGTGTCCGAATTCGTAGTGCAGATCCTCAAACATGTCGATAATGCCCGCTGCCATGGCCGCCGATTCGGCGAGGTCGTCCTCCTCGGCCGCGACTTGGCCGTTGCCGTTGGCGTCTCGCGGATCGTTGGGGCACCAGCGGTAAAAAGGCCCGCAGTCATCGAAGAAGGGTGACACTCCGTACCCCGGGTCGCATTCGAACGGCCCGGTTGCGTAGACAAGCTCTATGCCGTGGAGCTCCAAGGCCCGTCTCAGATGTCGCGTTTGAGCCGCGAAAACCATCGCGTTTGTCCCGTCACCATGGAGGCAAAGAATGCGCTTGGGTAACATTGTTTCCGAAGCAGCGCGCGGAGGCTTTTCTGAGCGAACAGTTAATTTTCCGAGGGCTTCGAGTCCAATTGTAAACCACTGCTGGACACAGTCAGGTTCCGTGTTGATGTCTGCAAGGAGGCTTAGGAGTAGCGAAGTACAAAGAAGACGGCAAGAGGAGTAAGAAAATGGTCTTGAAACGACCAAAATTTTACAAACATTTTTTCGACGATTCTAACACGATCGGGAGGTTTCCAACGGTACGGTCATGCTAATTATCCTAATGTGGCCTTAATCGGTAACTTAAAAGTTAAATGTTGAAAGCAATCGCACGGGCACTTGGTCCGGATCAAAAAAGCCCGGCAGACGCCTAGGCGATGAAGAGAGAACTCTAGTCAGGTTCAAGGGTGTTGAACGCGTTCAAAGGCAGCTTGTTCTGTTGGTTGATGAGTGAGTGGAAGATGACGGCAACCCACTTACCTAGCACAACACAGCTAACATCGCCCCCACCTATCGTGAGGAGTTGTCAACTTTGAAGGAATAATTTCAATACACCTTTGAGTCCAGGAAATTGGTTTCCTTAGTAATAAAAATATTGAATAGTATACTTGTATTGTTGCATGCATGCTATGAAGTAGCCCGAAATTGATGGCGGTTGTTCATTATTACATTGATATTAGTTGCAACATGACGGTAGAGTCTAGACAATTTATATTCACTCAAAACGAGAAACTTTCACCATTCTTCTCCAGCAGAATATCTGGCATCATGCGTTGATATGATGGAGGCGACTTGTAGTGGAGGCCCATAAAGCGGATGATTTATTTAGACGTCAAAATTTGGACCGTTATCACGCACACTGCACATACAACGAGTTACTCACTCATTTTAATCCGGGGGATGATGCATTTGGCATTTTGTAGGCTAGAGACTACCATACAAAGTTAACTCTCAACAACACTATTCCCCTTTCCGCACCTATGGATTCAATGTTGGTCTGAATGATTCGCAGCGCTGAGCGATACTCCAAGTGGAGAATCCACCAGAAGCGTTACAAACTCTCTTGTTTTAATTTCCGTATTATCGACGGCAACCGGTCGGAAGTGGTATACAACACTCGCAATGGCTGCCCGCTGCATCGCCAAAGTCAGGCTGTGTCATCATCAGTCAGTATGCAAAACTCGCACCTGGATGTATTATTTCAGCAATTGTGTATGTATGCAGAAACTCACTTTTGTCCAATGCACTGTCGGGTGCCTCTCGAGAAGGGCTGAAGATGGGCCTCCATCTTGGCTGTGTGATTTGGTGGTAACCATCGCGTGGGGTCATAACGCTCAGGATCGGGGAAGACTGTCTCATTGTAACATCCGTAAAAAGCCGAAGTTGCAACAACTGTCTGCAAATACTCCCACATTAGCGTCTCAGCTATCAACAGACCCTCAAATGTCGATGATCTGGGTCGAGGGCATGGGAAAAATACCCCGGCGGGAAGATGTGTTCCGTTGTAGTTCCAACCCTTCGCAGGGACAACTCGGGGCATATGGCCGCGAATGGGGCAGGAAACTCGCAGTCCTTCTTTGAGAACGGCATTCAGGAGAGGCAGTTGAGCAAGCGCCTCGATGCGAGGAGAAATTTCTGCGGCTTCCATGACCGGCCGTAATTCCTCTTGAAGCTGCTGCCACAGGTCTGGGTTTCGTGCCAACCAATGGATGCCAATGGATAAAGCGGCTGCTGTTGTATCGGCTCCTGCGATGGTGTTTTAATGATCAGCAACACGATCTTGACATGGCGATTTTTGAGGTATAAACCTACCGGCCGCCAGAATCACAATTCCGTCCGAAATCATTTGCCCGTCCGACGGGCTATAACTACGTTTCTCTTGCCACTGGGAGGAGACAAGCTCCGAGAATACACACGGAACAACCTCGCCGACGCCGTTGAGAGCCGCCCTGTTTGCCTCCAAGGACTTCTTAGCGTACTAGAGGCCAGGTCTCAACGTTAGTCATGAATAGCGGCACCAAAAGGGTGTGTTACCTGTCCTAGTATCTTGTTTGGCACAAGAGATGGCACCAATGGTGCAATGTAGGGAATCATGGCTCGTAAGAAAGGGATGTGCTGAAACTATACGTTTAAGAGGTCAGAGGACGTCAGCTCAGCCGCCAAACATGGCCTTATTAGGCACTGCAAGGGGCGCGGCTTACGTATATCACACTCTCGGCTGCCGCATCAAATATCTCGAATAGCTCCGAGTGGAAGCTGGGTAGGCTGTCGGCGCAGTGACCAAATGTCCAAGTTGTAACGACATCCAGAGCGAAGCTGCGAAACACGCTGTTCAGACCCACGGTGGTGGTGGACTTTGAGAATCCGTTCTCGCGACTCTGTTCCCCTGTCAAGTGCTTACGAATGCCTTGCACCATGGCGTTGCATTTATCCCACACAAGCCGCTGCGCGTCCGGCGCAGTGACTCTTGTCTGTGAAAAGGCGGGCGTGAGTAGGCGAGCATGTGCAGTATGCGTGAAGGGGTCCAGCTCGGTGAAGATGCTGTATTGCGGAGAGCTTCTGAATGCTTCGTAATGGTACGCAGGTTTGACCCATGGATTGTTCTGGGAGTAAATGACATTATTGGCGTCGACATCGTCGACTGACACCTCGTTTGGCGATATGCGAACGAGCGGGCCTGAGGAGGTCCATGTAAATAACCCTTTTCAAATATGAAGGTGTAATCATGAGAAGCGAATGTTTGCAAGGTGGAAGAGTCCTTTCCCGCACCTACCTAGTTTCCGATGGAGTTCCCGGATGTGATTATGAGGGTTCCCATGATAGTCGTGGTAGAAAAGCCATAATCGAGAATGCTTGGCCAAGAACGGACCTGGCACGCGTCGGAGGGGGTGCAAAAAGACGTTGTAAACGGAGCGCAGAAACGCGAAAGTGAACAGAATGACGAGGAGGACCGCCGCATATTTCGTGATGAACAGCTGGACATCTTTCATTGCCGTCATTGCGGCCGTGTTGTTTTTCTCTTGACTTTGCAGCGAAATGGCAATACTGCATGCACACATTAATGAATAAATCAGATAGTGGACATTATTGTAGGCAAGGTTTGACGGAAAACGGTCCCCCAAACCTCGGCAAATTCCTCCGGGCCAATATGGTGCGATTCGGGACGATAGGCATGGGCTATGAACTGCCGAATGTAAAATATTCCGCAAAGCTCGGTTGTTTCTCTTCTCACTCACAAACGGGACCGATCCCGGTCCCGGCCCCGGGTCATTTCTACTGGCTGATCGAATCATTGACCTGTGCTTTGCACCGAAGTCTAGATTTATGCAGGATCTGGTGGACAATATGGCAATGAGACAAATACCGGAGAGTCCTATCATGTATACATACCATGGTCCTCAGTTACTAGAATGGTCAACTTTAACTCTACTTTCTCACATCTTTTTAGTTTAGAGGAAAAGAAAATAGGTTCAGCCCACAATGGCTACAGATCCATCTTCGAGATACCAGGCTAGCTGCCAGCCGCAGGAGAGAATCGCCATTGTCGGCATGGGATGTCGGTTTCCAGGCAAAGTGTCGAACCCTTCTGCTCTCTGGGACTTGCTCAGCCACCCGGAAGATCTCTCTATGCCCATCCCGTCCTGGAGACTTCGCAAGGAAGGATTCTACCACAAGGATGCCTCACATCATGGGACGACAAACAGCAGGGGCTCCTATTTCATGGATGATGACGATGTCAAAATGTTTGACGCCCAATTCTTCAATATCGCCCCGCATGAGGCTGAGTCCATGGATCCTCAGGTGAGAACACACGGGACATGTAATCAGTACCGTTCATACAAACTGAATCTAAACAGCATCGTTTACTGTTGGAGGTGGTTTACGAGGGTCTCGAGGACGCAGGGATCTCACTCGAGGCAACTTCTGGCACATCGACCTCGGCCTACGTGGGTCTGATGACAACAGACTGGCAAGACCTGCAGCTACGAGACATTGATGATGCTCCAAGGTATCTCGTGACTGGGGGAGCACGCAGCATCGCCAGCAACCGTTTGTCGTACTTTTACAACTGGCACGGACCGAGCGAGACCATCGACACGGCCTGCTCTTCATCCCTTGTGGCTGTTCACCATGCGGTACAATCACTACGATCTGGCGAGGCCAGCATGGCGGTTGCAGCCGGCACCAATCTCCTGCTAGCACCGGAGATGTACATCATGACGAGTAATCTAAATAGTAAGACCACTTACCTGTCAGACCCCAGTAAACAGCCCGTTGCTAATCGGTAATTATTGCTTAGTGCTATCATCCACTGGCAAGTGTCAAATGTGGTCTTCTGATGCAGACGGTTATGCTCGCGGAGAAGGCGTCGCCTGCGTGATTCTCAAGACGTTGTCAAGTGCGCTCGCCGCCAACGATCACATCTATGCCGTGATTCGCGAGACCGGAGTGAACCAGGACGGCAGGACTTCGGGCATCACGATGCCCAGCCCTGTGGCGCAGAGCCGGTTGATACGCGATACCTACGCAAGGGCTGGACTGGACATCACGCGCAAGGAGGACCAATGCCAGTTCTTCGAGGCCCACGGCACAGGCACGCCAGCAGGTGACCCGTTAGAGGCACAGGCAATCTGGGATGCCTTTTTCCCGGGGAGACAAGAGGCAAAAGAGACCTCAGATGTCTCAACTACCGGCCCGGAGGAGCTTTATGTTGGTTCCGTAAAGACAGTCATGGGCCATCTCGAAGGCTGCGCCGGGCTTGCCGGGCTCCTCAAGGCAGCCCTCAGTGTCCAGCGCGGCTTTATCCTACCGAATCTGCATCTTGGGACCCCTAACTCAAAGATCGTACCGTTTCTGGGCCCAGGGAAGATGGCGGTGGCAACCGACATGATACCGTGGCCTGGGAGAGACAACAAGATGCCGCGACGTGCATCCGTGAACTCGTTCGGGTTCGGAGGGACTAATTCTCACGCGATATTGGAGTCGTACGACGACAGCGAACTCCAAGAGCAGAATCCATCGGATATAGTAGCGAACCCCATCAGCCAAGGGTCCAACCAACCACATGCGCCAGTCATCATCGTGCTTTCTGCCGCCTCGGAGCCGGCTCTCGCTGCCCTGACCTCCCAATACGCAGACTACATCGAGAAACACCCAGAGGCGGACCTCAGACGTCTGGCATTAACGACCCAACGACGGCGGACGCGACTCGCCCACGGCATGTCCTTCTCCGGAAGAACGAGAGCAGGACTCGTCCGACAGATGAGAACAGCTCTCCAGGCTTTCCAAGATGGTGGAAAATTGGGCGTCATGACTTCCTCAACCAGGTGTCTCAACAAACCTGTCGAGATACTCGGCGTCTTCACGGGCCAAGGAGCCCAGTGGGCCGGTATGGGGGTTAAGCTCCTCGACTCTTGCCCGATATTCGCTCGCACCATCGCCGCCCTCGACCACGCCCTGGCCAAAACCATGGCAGAAGAACAGCAGCTGTCCGAGGATGGAACCAAACCGTGGTCGCTTATCGCTGAACTCAGAGCCCCCGCAAACACATCCCGCGTCGGAGTAGCCGAGTTCGCCCAGCCGCTCTCCACCGCCGTCCAGATCGCCCTCGTCGATGTCCTGCACGCCGCCGGTGTCCGATTCTCTGCCGTCGTCGGCCACAGCTCCGGCGAACTGGCGGCTTCTTACGCGGCAGGCCTGACCTCCGCCGTAGACTGTGTCCGAATGGCGTACTACCGGGGTCGGTTCTCTATGTTGGCTCGTAGCCCGACGCGGGACGCAGCCACAGACGAGTACAAAAAGGGCGGCATGATGGCCGCCAGTCTCTCCATGGAGGAAGCCTTGGCAATCTGTGCCGAAGAAGAGCTCAAACTCGACGGAAGCGTCTGGGTGGCGGCCAACAACGCCCCGAAAAGCGTCACCCTCAGCGGCGACCTCGATAAGCTTAGGGATCTGAAGGCTGTTTTCCGCGATCGAAATATCCCGGCCCAGATGCTCAAGGTCGACAGAGCGTACCACTCGCCGCACATGGTACCCTCGGGGGATGCGTACCGACAAAAATTGACCGAATGTCAGCTTGAGGGGCCGCCGTCGCTGAAAGAACCGTGTACTACTACTTGGGCTTCGAGTGTGTACCCAGATTGGGACCCGATGTCCGCCCAGGACCCAGACGCGGTCTCGGAAACGGTCAAAAACGCCCAATACTGGGTTGAGAACATGCTGTCTCCCGTGCTCTTTCGTGAGGCCCTCGAAAAGACGGCGTCACAAGGAGACATTGCCGTCATCCTGGAAGTCGGCCCACACCCCGCACTCCGCCGCCAGGTTAACGATACGTGGGCGGCCAAGGGGAACTCCTCGTCGTATCACGGAACTCTCAACCGGGGCGCCGACGATGCCGAGAGTCTGGCCGGCCTGTTCGGTTTTCTATGGCAGCACGGCGTTCCGGTCGATCTGGACATTCTCGATTCTGGATCGAGATCTCAAGAGTCGTCGGGTGTTCCGGCTGAGGATAAGTCTGCTCTCATCCCACTTCCGGGTCTTCCTACCATGCCTTGGCAGCACAACCGTGTCTACTGGTGCGAATCTGCCAAAGCGGCACAGTTGATCCGCCGAGATGCTGCCAACTGTCTTCTCGGACATTGCACCAAGAGCGGGTCGAGCTACGGCGGCACTCAACCCATCGACAAAGAGAAGCCTGACGCAGGGTGTTTTGTGAGGCTCACCGGATGGAGCTGGCGGCAAGTTCTCCGTCTGAACGAGCTTCCCTGGCTGAACGGACACAAGGTCCAGGGCCAAGTCGTGTTCCCGGCGGCAGGCTACTGTGTCATGGCAATGGAGGCTGCCAAGCAGGTCGCTCAGGGGGTACGGGGACTTCCGGAAATCGGACTCGACACGTCGACTACGCTCGAGGTTGTGGAACTCGCAGATGTCGAATTCGGCCGAGCGGTCGTGTTCCCCGACAAGGGCAACCAGGGCGTGAGTATCTCGCTCCACCTACACGACATCCAGTTCAGGAGACACCACACGCGTTCTGGATCTGAAGACGCAACCATGGACTTTTGCGCCGCCTTTTATATCGAGGCTCAGCCTGGCGCCGTCGGAGAGCCAGGTCGCGCCAACGTCCCGCATGTGGCCTGCTCCGGCCGCATTCTCGGCATGGTGGCATCATCTCCGACCAAGCCCGCCTACACGGACGCAATGCCTCATTATGTCAAAGATGCCGTCTACCTGCATTCAGTTCCGGCGTCCTCGGTCTATGAAGCATACGCTGGTATTGGCCTAGAATATTCCAAGCCCTTCCGGGTTGATACCGTGGAACGATGCCTCGGCCGCGCCAGGTCGACTGTCGAGCTTGCAAACGTCTTGCCAGAGGCCTCAGAGCAGGAAGAGTCGTGTTTCCCCGTAGCGCTGCTTGACAATGCCTTTCAAACCTCCCTGGCAGGCTTCACTGCGCCGGGAGACGGCAAGTTGTTGTCGCCGTATTTACCACGCATCATTCGCAGGCTACGGGTCGACCTTGCCGCCTACGAGACCGTGGCAAAGTCCGATACCCGGATCCTTCTCGATGCCACCCTCGTAGGGCAGACAGAACCCAAAGAGGGAGAGGAAGACTCGGAAGGGAGCAGCGGTACGACTACGGGCACGTGGGTTGCCAACATCGAAGGCGTTGTCATGGAGTCTGAGTCACAAGGCAACTTGCCCGAGGAAGCCAATCGTATGATGCTCCAAGTCGAGGACCTCCAGTGCGTTAACCTCGTGCCGACCCAGGGACCTTACCAAGAAGGCATTTTCAGCGAGGAAATCTGGGCTCCCGATACGCCAGACGCCCTGGACGAGTTCGTCCTCGAAGAAGACGGTGCTGAGGATCACGACGCGCTCGATGTGGTCGAGCAGCTGACGCATTATCACATGTGCCAAGTGTACGAAACCTTCAGCGCTGATGAAGCGCGCGATGAAGCCAAAACGCCATGGTTCATACGACGGTTCTGGAACTGGATTCATCACCACTTCACGCGGGACGGACAGGATGTGTATCAGAACCCGTGGCGTGACGACCCCGGTCGTGTCGAGCGCCTCATGCGGCGTGTTGAATCAGCCAAGCATCGCGTCGAGGTGGAGATACTGCAAGCCGTCGCGCAGAACATTGTGAGAGTGATGCGGCAGGGTGAAGGGCCAACTCTGCTCGAGGTTCTGTTTGAGAACGACATGCTTGCGCGACTGTATACAGAGCCCGTCATGTATGCCCGAGCGAACCGGTACCTTGGTAGGGTAGCAGGAAAGATCTCGCACAGGTTTCCTCGATGTAAGATATTGGAGGTAAGCTCTCGCCATTTTTCCGTTGCACAATGATTCCAATGACTGATACTCTCTTATTAGATTGGCGCAGGCACGGGAGGCGCAACAAGGGCCATGTTCAACGGCCTTGACGGGGCATACAGCTCGTATACCTTCACCGACATATCGAGCAGCTTCTTCGAGAAGGCCAAGGCGAAATTCAAAAACGAGGCAGACCGTATCATCTTCAAGACGCTCGACGTCGAGAAGGATGTGACGGAGCAGGGATTCTCCCCGGGGACCTACGACGTCGTCGTCGCCTCCAACGTTCTACACGCCACGAAAGACATTGAGCGGTCCCTGGCCAACGCCCGACGGCTGCTCAAACCAGGCGGCTACCTGCTCATCTTGGAGATCACCGCCGTTGACAAGGTCCTCGTGCCTTTCCTCATGGGCGCCGTCCCCGGCTGGTGGCTGTTCGAGGACAAGTGGCGATCGGGCACGTACAGCCCGCTGCTCACCACGTCCAAATGGGATGAGGTTCTCCGACAGGTCGGGTACGACACGGGAACGGAGTTTGTATATCACGATATGCAAGACGAGCATCTCACCAGCGTCATGGTCGCACGGGCGACGGACCAGGAGTGGAATGCCTTCCAAAGCGGCTTCGTCACCCCGAAGACTGCTTTCAAGACGAACAGCCTCATGATCGTGGCCGGGCCCGACCAGATCGACGACGGGAAGAAGCCAAGCTCCAGCCATCGTTTAGCAGCCGGTGTCGCTTCGGCAATGTCTCGGTTTAGTAATACTACAAATCATGAGCATCCTCTACAAATGGTCACTGTTAACGGCCTCGAGGCCGCGGCAGCTTCGCCCCTTCTCGGGAAGAGCATGCTCTTGGTCCTCTCAGACCTCGACAAGCCGGTGTTGGACAACACGAAACCCGCAGAATGGGAGGCCCTCAAGGACGTCTTCGCCCGGGCAAGCCACGAGATCATCTGGGTCACGAAACGGAGACTCCGGGGCGCGGATCCGAAGCAGAGCATGATCGTCGGGATGGGACGCTGTGCCCGCCAGGAGAATCCAGCCCTGAAGCTTCGATTCATCGACGTGGACGACGATGAATGCACCGATGCCATCAGGATCCTGGCGCTGATGACATGTCAAGCTCGCGTTCTGACGCCGGTGGTCGCGCAAGATGCCGGCAGCCCCGGTGAGCCGGCCTGGTTGTATTCGACGGAATTCGAAGTCGCCGTTGACAAGGGCCGGCTGATGTTGCCGCGTCTCGTTCCTTTGCATGACGCGAACAAACGGTACCTGGCACGTCGCGCGGGCTTCGTGCCGGATGATGAGAACCATGTAGCCGAGGACGACGAGGACGATAAACAGGTCAAAGTCAACGGAAAATTGGATGGCATGCCGCAACCACACTCACAACACCCGTTATCTCCGCCGCTATCAGAAGATGGAAGTTCCTATCCCAGCTTCAGCCCCGATGCGGCCCTTCGTCTCTCATACCCATATGGCCTTCGACTGAACGGACCACAGAAATCTCCCGTGTTCATTTCACTATCGAAAAAGGGAGAGACCGAGAAGGCCATCGTCATATCAGCGCGGTGCCCGGACGGTCCGTCCATCGACCCGACCCATGCCGGCGCGTTCCCGGTGTGCGCCCCTGAAGGTCTCTGGAAATCAGCCGACGCCGAAGAAGCATTCCTCTCGGCGGTTGTTTTCTGTCTTGCGGCTTCCATGGTTTTCCAAACTACAGATGACTGCGGTGAGGAATCGGCGGCCGTCATGGTAATCGAGCCGGACGCTGCTTTTGGGTACGCCCTTGGTCTGCTCGCAGAGCAACATAAACGCCACTTATACGTTGTCACGCCGAGGCCGCCACCGGAAGAAAGATACGGCAACGTAGCCGATGCCTCGGCGTTTGTGAGCTACCTTCACCCAAGCCTCTCGGCTCACAAGGTGAAGAAGTTGCTTTCCAGACACAGGACGGGTATCGTCGTGGATCACGGCTCGTTCAAAGGTCCTGGCTTCTGTGCCGACGCCCGATTCACCGCAATGAATTCCAACTTGCCCAAAGAGTGGAAGCGCTTCACCCAAGAGGAAGAACTTCTGGAACGGGTCAACAAGAAATTGCCGGCTACACCTCCCGGTCAGATAAAAGCCCCCTTGTCTAATACGAGTCTGCCAGTATCGGCCAGCAGACTGTCCATGCTCGTCGGAAACGCGTCCGCCTTGGCGGTAGAAATGGTGTCGACCTCCGATGCGCCGTTCAGGGCCAACAAAGTCGCCATGCTCGACTGGGACAAGTCCGAAACAAAGACGACAACGACGATGCCCTCCAAACACGAACGCCCTCGTCTCCTCCCTAGTCCACGGAGTCTTTTCCACCCGGACAAGACCTACGTCTTCGCTGGCATAACAAGTGACCTCGGCCTACTGGTCGCCAAGTGGATGGCCGAGAACGGTGCCCGGTCGTTCGCCCTGACCAGCCGCAACCCCGACATCCCGCCCATCTGGCTGCAGGAGATGAGAAAGCTCGGCGCCGAGGACGTCCGCGTCTTCAGCATGGACGTGACGGACCCCGACTCCGTCACCCGCACATGCGACACCATCGGCCGAACGATGGCTGCTCCTGTCGGCGGCGTCGTGCTCGGCGCGATGGTCCTCAGAGACACTTTGATGGAGAACATGCCCCTCGAGACCCTACAAGCGACAATGGCCCCCAAAGTGAAGGGGTCGGGTCTCATCGAAGACTACTTCCGGGATGCGCCCCTCGACTTCTTCATCTTCATGTCCAGCATGTCCGCCGTCGTCGGCATCAGGGGCCAGTCCAACTACTGCGCCGGTAACATGTACGGCCGCGCGCTAGTCGCCAACCGCCGCGGCCGTGGCCTGGCCGCCTCGACCATCGACCTTTCGACTGTCTTCGGCGTCGGCCACTTCGCCAACGCCGGCGCTGCGAACCTGGACACCGTGCACGCCAACCTGGAAGGCTTCAATACCCTGGCCATAGGCGAGGCGGAGCTGATCGACTCCTTCCACGAGGCCATTCTGCGCGGGCCACCGGACGCATCCTCGACGGGCGAGGTCACCGTCGGGCTCGGCTCCGAGACGGCCGTGGCTGGGCCCGACCGGCCGCCGCAGCCCGCTGCGTGGCACAACGACCCACGCTTTGCAAACTTCACGGCACGAGCCGGAGATCAACAAGACGGGCTGCGAAGGGGCGGCGGGAAGAAGCCTGGGGCGGCTGGCGGGTCGACCAGGAACACGCGAGAGGAATTGGCGCGTAGCACCTCGGAGGAGGCGCGGCTGGCCACACTGAGCGGGTGTTTTGTCGAGAGGATCCAGGAGATCATGCAGCTTGCAGCGTCGTCCCTGCGGACGGATGTCCCGCTAACGGATTTGGGTATCGACTCCCTGGTCGCCGTTGACTTGCGTGGTTGGTTCTTCAAGGAGCTGGGCGTGAGCGTTCCCGTGCTGAGTATTCTGAACGGGGAGAGCGTCAAGAATGTGTGCCAGACCGTGCTTTCGCAGGTACAACTCGATGTTTAGCCTGCTTAGATTTGGAGTTGGGAGTATGATAATATTATGATGTATGGCTGAAGAAGAAAATGTACATGACCCAGCCTTGGGGCTTATGCTTCAGTTTGAGTGATTTAGAAGAGTATTCGCATAAATAGCACTAGTCCTAACAAACGAGCATCAATCTGCCTTGTGGAGTACAATCCCACAAGGGGACGTGGCGCAACGGTAGCGCATCTGATTCCAGTCCAGAAGGTTGTCCGTTCGAATCGGGCCGTCCTCAGCACAGTTATTTTTTTTCATGGACTTGGAAATTGTGTAGCGAGGATTTGCACCTTAGTTCGTTGCAGTCACTGTAGACAACTGTATGAGAGCCCTTTTCTCCCCAAGGGGATGATGCGTTAAACAACACTTACTTACTATTACTATTACTACTAACAAGCGAGCATCTTGAGACGCTTGCTGTTAACCTTTACCCTATAACCGAAGACATCCACTTCGAGCAATCTGACCTTATCTAGTGATAGAGAGATCATGGGCCCACGGTTTATTCAACCTGTGAGTGATTCTACTATGAGAATCTAAACTTAAGAAGAAGTGGAGTTTGCGGTATTTTCGTGATATTTCGCGGTTTGTGCGCGAAAAGCGGTTAGCGTTAGCAGATCCGCTCCGAGTCCCGGCTCCGAGTCCCGTTTCCCGGCGTGGGGGCCAAAGCCACGCTTACTTCCGGGCATAACCCGTTACAATAAGTAACATATTGAAAGTGCAACAGTATTAATGAGCTAGCTGGAAGGAGCACTATACAATGAGATTTGTTAGGGAAATGGCATTAAGATAAAAGACTGCCATTATATAATAGTTCCACATGACTTGTTATTTGTTTCAATGAGCTTATTCCAAGCCAGACATACCAAGCATCTCCCACGATACGTGGAGGCACTAAAGCAGGCTGGGCTGGGATCTACCTTTGTCTGCTTCAATAAAAGACTCTCATCACCCTCTAACGGCAGGGCGGAACCGAACCATCAGGGGCTTCTTCTCCCATACGCCGTAGATCTTCAGACTCTCCATCCAGTCGCTGCTCTCGGGAGCGAGCTGCAGGTCAAACTCCCACAAAATCTTGGAGAGGATGGTGCGTATCTCCCCGTACGCCAGATGCTTCCCGATGCAATTTCTCGGGCCAGTGGAAAACGGCTTCAGCACGCCCCTAACATCTCCGTCATACGGCGTGCCCTCGACTCCTCCGTCGCCCTTCAGCCAGCGTTCGGGCCGGAACTCGGAGGGCGCAGCGAAATGTCCCGGCCATCTATAGGCAGCGAGCTGGTTGACAAAGACTTTGGAGTTTCCGGGGACGAATCGCCCGGCAATGAAGTGGCCTTCCGGCGGGGTCACGCGTGGCAGGGTTGTCGGGACGGGCGGGAACAGTCGCAACGTCTCCTCGATGACCCCAGAGAGATAGGGGAGATGGTCTTGTGTGGTTGTCGTCATGTTGATGTCCGCAGTTGAATCGAACGCGCCGCGGATTTCGGCGGTGACGGTGGCGAGTGCCTCCGGGTTCCGGCATAAAAGGTACGTTGCACCGGAGAGGGTCATGGCCGTGGTTTCGGCACCTGCCATGAGGATGTTGGACGAAGTCATGAGCATCTCTTCGTAGGAGATGCCGGTCGGGGTGTTGAGGTTGCGAATCACGTATTCCATGAAGTCGCTCCGGGGCTCTTTGCAGTCGAGGCGACGGTTGAGTTTGTCGGTCAAAAGAATACGGTGTTTGTTCTTTTTGAGCGGCAGCTTGTCGGACGTCATGACGATTAAGAGCAGCTGGTCCAGGCGGAGGAAGTCTCTCATGAAGCCGAGCAGAAACATGGCTTTGACGATGTAGTAGAGATTATCGATCCATTTCTGTAGACGGTACACGTGCGTCAGTCTTACTGGAACGATGGCAGTGTTGGCTCGTATTTTGTGCGTGTGTTAAAGCATCGAATCGGGCCATTGAGACTAACACACAGAACGAATTAATGCAGATGGAATGACTCACATGTAGTTCATAGGCCTCATCATTCAAGCAGCCAATATTCTCGCCGTAAGTCAGATCGCCAACAACGTCAAACGTGGTGAGCTGATACCACTTCATCATGTTGACCGGCTCATCCTGCGCGGCCGATCGTCTGAGCTTCGCCAGAAGCTGGTCAAAGTACCGCCCGATGATGCCTCCCTGGTCTCGGAGGGCCTTATCTGAGAAGCCGTGGGAGAAGTTGCGTCTGATGCGCCCGTGAGCCTTGTCGTCTCGAACAAAGACTAGTCCCTGAGCCCCATTCGGTGGGCTTGTCGGCACGAATTCTTTAGCCTTCTTAAGCTGCTTGCGACCGTCGTGTTTTCCGTGGATATCCTCCCAGGCCCTCTCGTCAATGTAGGACACGGCGGACGGGCCGAGACGCACCACCGGCCCGTATGTAGCGTGTAGCTCGGCAACTTTGAACGCGAACTCGCCCTTTATTGCATAAAAGGTCTGCACCAGACACGAAATTGCCCACAGCTTGGGACCCGGATACCGCGCCAGTGGATGGAGGGTGATTCGATAGAGCCATACCGACGACCAGTAGATAGCAGAAAGAACAAAGACGAACTCGAGAACGACCCGGACATTGATTGATTGTAGCTGGCCAGAGACAGCTTTCGTCACGGCGGTGTCATAGTAAGACTTGATGTACGGGGCTGTCATTGTGTGCTATATCATGAATGCTTACTGGCGATGGCGCTAAGTGATCTTGTCTGCTGGCTGACAGCCTTCGATGAATGTTAGGCAAAGATGCTACACGTACTGTAAAGAAATGACTCATAAACTGATATGAAGATGAACATCAAAATACCCAAGAAAAAAGGCTTGTGAATGGCCTGCGAACTTTCTGCTTTGGGGAACTGGCCGGTTGCGATGTGATTAAAGTTCATCGGGGCATTTTTATCAAGATAGTTTATCTCGGGAAGAAAATAAAGTATAAGTTTTCAATTTTGGCATTTTGTCCGTGCCAATCGGGATTTTACTTATTTTACAATCTTGGACGCCTTTTTCATGTCATAATTACCCGCAAGGGGATCACGCAAAAATGTGCGTTGAAGAGACCGAAATCAAATGGCCGAGCATCGGGATCATAGAACACCCAGCTTCTCATGTCTTTACTGTATGTTGACTCAAAGTCTCTGGCACAGTAATTCTCGGTCCAGTTCCATCACGTCTCTGCTCATTCCATCATCACCCAAACCAGAACCATGCCTGCACAACCACTACCACCCCCGATTCACGTCCTTCTCATCGGGGCGTCCGGCTACATTGGAGGCAGCATCCTGTCGCACCTCTGCTCTGAGCCGAACACTGCCACCTTTCACATCTCGGCACTCGTGCGCAATCCGGCGGATGCAAAGACCATCACCACCTCGTACCCTGAGGTACGAACTCTGCTTGGCGACCTCAGCAATGAAGCGCTCCTTCGTGACGCGGCCGCGGAGTCAGATGTAGTCATCTATGCCGCGCGAAACACTCAGGACGGCGTCGAGCCTCTCATGGCAGGGCTCGCCGCCGGGAGAGGGCAGAGCTCTGTGCAACCGTATCGACCGGTCCGCCCTGCGCTGTTCATCATGCTCAGCGCCATCATTTCTCTTGCCGACCCGAAAAACCTCCGGCTAGGCGAGCCCCCGTTGGAGTCCAGCAAGCCGACGAGCGATGTGGACGACAGGGAAACCATCGCCTCCCTCCCAGACTACCACTGGCACGTCGCGCAGGAGCGAGCTTTTCTGCGTCTCGCGTCCGAGAAGGGCCGGGACATCATCGCACCGGTTATCATGAGCCTCCCACTCACAGTAGGCGACGGGACAGGCCCGGTGCGCAAGCGTGGCTTCGTCCACGCGTACGCGCAGGCTTTGCACCGTCGACAAGGCAAGAAGCCCTTTATCATGGGCCAGGGCCGCAATGTATGGAGCTGGAGCTCGCCGCGCGACCTAGCTGCTGCCGTTGGGTTTGTTGTGGATTCCTGGACGGCGGCGGGGGATGGGGGCCATGACAACCTAGAGGGTCATGTCTTTGTGGAATCTGGGCAGCTTGAGATGCGCCAAGTGGCCAGCTACGTTGGCCAGGCTCTTGGTTCCGTTTCCGAGGGGAACCCCGCGGCATCAGCGGATGAATGTGAATCGTTGCAGTATCCGCAGTTCGCGGAACTCATGCCGGAGCTGCCTGGGCTCTGGGGCGTCACCGCTCGGTGCCAGGCTGATAGGTTGAGGGGGAAGGGTTGGAAGCCCGTCGCAACTGAGTGGGAGCCGCTTGTGGAAGAGTGTGTCAGGACTTCATGTGTATAGCTTAGTGTCTTTAAATGATTGTGAAGCTATTTTCTAATTATCACTCGTTGTTGAATCACTACATTCTATCCTCTCCACTGTAATGACCGGACTCCAAGTTGAGGTGGCTCCGTCGCCGGCAGCTGAGCAGCCTACCTGACAGGTATAGATTCCGCGATCCTTTCTTCCGGTATTTCTTTTCGGAGCTTTGTCTTAGAATCAGATACAAGATTAGACACCAGGCTTCCCGTCAGAAGCTGACCTCCCTTTACAGGTGCCCCTGTGATCCCAACATAAACAGCTTTGGGTGCATTCCGAACAGCCGTTTCATGAAACTTCTCATCGTTATTTGGAAGATTATCGTCAAGTGTTCAAAAGACCGTTGGTTAGGGGACTGGCACTTCTGATCATCTGGTACTAAATCAAAAGAATTTATACTCAAATTGACACAAGGTCGAAAACATCATTATTAAACTCCATGCCCAAATCATATATACATATAAAACTAGCAAGCTGTGTCCACTGAAGCATCCTTCGACTCCCGGAACATTTCAAACATCTTGCTTCTCGTCAAGATTATCAATGACAAAGTCGAGATCGGCGCCGGTGATAGGATATCAAAGACGGACAGCTCGCTCTTGAAGTTCTTCTTTACCCAGTTCCGTACCTCCGTCGCCTTGAGGGAGTCAACTGCACTTTTGCGTCAGTATATTCAATCACCGAGTGGAGGGAATCCATCACGTACTACCGTATGCTAACAAGCTCCTCTCTGCATCGATGCTTTCAGGTTCCATGCCCGTGGCCTGGCCTACTTTCTCCTTGACCACGTCCTCGACTAACCGCCTTGCTTGGTCAATGTCTTTTGCAGAAGCTATCATTTCATCAATCTTGGCTTTTCCACTGCTTTGTCGGCCGGCGCCGTTGCCTGGGCCACGCGCCACGCCCGACGCCGCGCGGTGATCGAACTTGCGATCCATCGGCCACCTGTTCAACAGGTCCTCGTGACGCGGGATGCGGTTGGAGATTCCCACAATCAGTTGCGCCGGGCCATCATGAGATGGAGTCGGTCCGCTGGAACAGGACTTTGACCGCGTGAGAACCATTTTCACGCTTGCCATCACCTCCTCAGTCGTGACCGTCACGGGGGCGAGATGTCCAAACATGGCCAAATACTTCTCCACGTCGCCGTAATTCTCCATGGTGCCCTTGCCGAAGTGGCTCGAGTCCGACACCAACCCGATGTTGAGACTGGTGGCCGGAAGTCCGTTGGCTTGCCGGAAATGCGCCAGCGCGTCTTCGAACGTGTTGCCGGCACAGTAGTTCGCCTGGGCGCTGTTACCAATGACGCCGGACACGGAAGACAAGAGAATAAAGAAGTCGAGCCCGCGATCCATCTCTCCGTGGTCTCCAGTCTCGTGGTCGCTCGATAGAAGGTGCGTCGCCAAGTTGTGTAGATTCCAACTGCCGTGGATCTTGGGCCCCGTCGCCGCCCTCCATTGGTCTATGGTCATGTTGGAGAACGTACTGTCTGCCAACACCATTGCAGATTGGATCAAGCCACGAAGGCGGAAGCCCCGACGCCGTTTTAGTCGTTTGGCGAGCATTTCCACATCTTCCTTTGAAGTAATGTCGCACCGCTCGATCTCCGCGCGGCACCCTTTTGCCGCGAGCTCCTCGAGAGCAGAAACAGCGTCCGCGGTCGTCGGCTTTCCCGAACGCGAGAGGAGGACAAGCCTCCGTGCCCCGAGCTCGCAGAGCATCTTTGCCAGCGGTAGGCCTAGGGCCCCCAGGCCGCCGGAGATGATATAAGTGCCCTTGGGTTCCAGAGTTGTACCGTGTCCCGTCATATACGCTGTCGATGCCGGACTTTGCCGATGGAACACGGCGACATCGGAGGCTGCAATTGATAAAAGCACTCTATTTGTTCCACCTTGCGCTGACGGTGCCGTATCGGATGTGTAGGTTCTTGCAAGTGCTGGATCCGTGGCCGAGAGTTGCCGAAGGGGCTCAGCAAGGGCAATACGTTCCAGCTCCATCCAGCGTAACACTGTCGATAGAGCTGTTTTGAAAGCAGGGTTGAGTTTGAAGTCCAAGGCCGCCATGTCGTGCAGATTGACGAGTTGAGTGACCCTTTTCAGGAAAAGCGAGCCTTTCAGAGCCTCATTTTGGCTCGAGGAATTCACTCCAACGACATGACCGTCGTCGGCCAAGACTACCTGGAACCGGCGGACGTTCCCGAGGTTTTTCAATGTGGATACGACGACCCTGACTCCCCCGGTGGCTTGCCGGATCAAGTTGGCAGATGTGACACTGAGTCGGGGGAGTCGAACAACAGAGGCGTTGGATGACGGATCCGACCCCGAGGAGGGATTTTCTGTGCAGATGAAGACTTTGCGGACGCCAAGACAATTGGAGACTTGTACAAGACTCTGTTGAAGAATCGCGTCATTGCCGACATCGAGAAGCACAGAGTCGCCTGGGGAAATACCAGCCGTCTCGGAGAGAATGCAAAAGGCCGTTGATAGCGGTGCAAGCCAGTAGGCCACAGCAGCCGATGACTTCAAGAGGGAGTCAGGCACTCGGACTAGGTTTTCCATATCCTGGAAGAACATTGGCCGTACGGGACCGTGTGTGATGCCGAAAACGACGTCCCCTGGGCCCACGATGGTGTCGAATATGTCGGTGTTTCGGCTTCCTGCTAAACTCTCCACGACACCCACGGTCTGTTGGGCCAAGAGTGCTTTGTACGGACTTCTATCATCAGTTTCACCCATATCGTCAGTGTGAGTCACTGCGTATTGTAGCCTGATAGATGACTTCCGGTTGTCCAGCGGGTTGCTCTTCTCACAGTCTCGGGAAACCCAATACGCCTTGCCTTGGCTATCACGGGCTCTGACCCAGAGCTCAGGGTTTTCTCGGGCAGACACGGCGATATCCTGCATCTTGCCTTGAGCACCCGGAATGAGATTAACCGGCTGACGGGTGGATGTCTCCCCGGCGATATACCGGTCAGACTCAGCGTGGGCCAAGACCCTCGGAATGAACAGACGCCCATCCAGCTCGGAAACCTCGCTTTCCGGCATCGTCTGCCTGCGTATAGAGCCAATCTGGCTCCCGCTCTCTCGCGCAAGATGGACCAAATTGTTTTGAAGAACTTCTAGAATCATGTTCGCCGCGTGGTCGGGTCGCACATGAGTTGAGAAATCCAAAAGGGGTATTGCAAGGTCCGGAAACTCGGCTCGGATGGTCCGGAGAAGCCCTACTGTCGGCGCGTACTGGAGCATCTTCTCGGACGACGGTGCCATGAACCCGGCGGTTGTCAGCCAAATGATGCATGACGCCGAGGATACCAGTGTGCGGAATTGCTCGAGTTCTTTTCTGGACCAGTCATAGACAAACGGCGCACCGAACTCAACCAGAGAGACAATTGGCCTATTTGTTAAATTGCCGTGAGTTGCAACCGCTTCGTCGATTGGCATGTAGCAAGACCTGATTCCAAGATATGAGAAGCTGTTCAGGAGTGTATCGCGAATGTCTTGCCGAAAGGCGGCAAAAGGGTGCGATGGTTTACCATCACTTTCTGGTCCGATGATGATGACACCGTCTTGGCACAGCTCCGGCAGCAGTCTTGCGTCTCCGGGTTCTTCCGCAGAATCTCGTCCGTCTCTTGGAGATGATCCGGTGGGATCGATGTTTTCATGACCCGACAACAGGTCTACAGATGACTCGGATATTAGGATGATGCTGGATCTTGACAGCTTCAAAGGGCTGTCCAAAAGCTGCTCAGCCACCACTGCGTTGCTACTATCGTCGCCAATAATGGTTAACCACGAATCAGCAACGCACACTTCCGCAAGTGCTGGCAGTATCCAGTCGTACTTAGATGGACATGTAAGCCTCGCACGATTCTCTCTGGCGAGTGCGCTGGAATTGAGAAAGACCAGGTCGAATTTATTGGAAACCGGATTTGGTTGACTCTGGGTTTTCAGCTTGTCCTCCCAGCCCTGAAAAGTGTTGAAGCAGGTGAAATTCTCAAGCTTGATAATACCACCTTCTTCCTCGCCATTGAGAACGTTCCAGGAATCATCAAGTCCCAGACACAAGATCTTCTCCTGCGCCCGTTTGTGGCAAAAGCGATCGAGAATGAAAGTTGCCTTTGCCTTCAAGGAAGACTCTTGAAGGATCCGGTCTCGCCATCTCCTGAATGGCTGCTCAATATCTTCTTTCCACACCATCTGAGCGGTCCGATAAAAAGAAGAATCCTCAGTATTGCCAACTTCTTTCTCACCGTCGGCAGGGTTCGAGATGATGGGGGAAAGTATTTGGCGTAGAACAACGTCTTCGACAAGAACAGCAGGCCGGTCGAACCTTTCGTCACAGAACGTAAGGTCTCCTAAGATCTTACCAGCCTTTTGTCCCGAGTCCGATTTCTCATCAACCAACCTCTTCGAAACAGCTGTCCCGGCGAGGTACTCACCCGACCTACGCGGCACCGTGTTTGCCACAAAGACTCGGCGGACTGACACGGGCACTGCAGCCATTTTCATCTCTCCACGAGAGTCGGACTGTACAGCTGCAAATACAAGTTGAAAGAGGCTGTCCAGAGTTGCCGGGTGGATGAGATAGTCGTGCTCGTAAGACTCGGGCATGACGGACCGCGAATCGGGCACGATGCACTCTCCAAATGCCTTGCCATACTCTTGGAGCTCGGCGTCAGTTGCACAGCGTATGGCGTTTAGCCCTCGAAACGTAGGGCCGTACTCGAGGCCGATGCTGGCTAGATGGGCATAGAACGACTCCACATCGACGTGCTTTCTTGCCACCCCTTTGATATCATCGAGCTGTGGACGCTTCTCATCTTGCCACTGTCTCTCCCGCTCTTGCTGCTCGAAACCCGCAGATTCATCCTCGCCCGTCCTCTTGATGACGATGCCGACGACAGTGCCCATGGCAAGCCTACGCCATTGTTCAGCGACGGCTGAAACCGCGTATACTGCGAACTCGAACACCCAATCATCATGGGCATCTGGTTTCAGCGTCAACGTAATGCCTTGGCCCTTTTGGTTGACATCTTCCGTGTCTTTGCTGACCACGAGGCTGTTCTCGAAGTTGACGTCTAAGAGTTCGATGCCGTGGAAAGCCTGGTTCCGCTCTCGGCCGAGACTCCGGACGGCCTCGATGGCCATGGCGAGGTACCCCGCCGCAGGGAACAGCGCCGCCCCGTCCACAACATGGTCGGCAAGCCAGGGAAGCTCGCTAGTTCGCACCACATTGTGCCATGCCGGCTCAAACGGGTTTCGCGGCAACATGGGCACGCCTAGAAGATCGACGCGCGGTGTTTTATCGCCCCGGAGACCGATCAGAGTCGGCATGGCGTCGTGCCAATATGACCTGTCGTGGTTCCAAACGTATGACGGTAGGAGAGGGAGCTCCGATAGCTGAAGCTCCTGGTCGACACACCACAGGTCATTTGCTCTGTCCAAGTCGATGGGTACGCCAATTGACCAGAGCATCCCGGCAGCGGTCAACGTAGACAGACGTGAGTCTTCCTTGGCAGATAGCATCGAGAGATACCTGACGCTTTCGGGCCTTTGAGATCCGTCCATCTTGCTCATGATCTGGCCAACCGGTCCGGCAAGAGCTTTTGCAGGTCCGATCTCTAACACGGTGCAATGTTGCAAGCCCGGCGAAGACTCGTGCGTGTTCGGATCACGCAAGGAGAGAAGGAGATTGTGCATGGCACCGGCAAATCTGACCGGTGATGTCATGTTCTCGTGCCAGTAAGCTGCGGTCAAGGTTCCGACATCCGTGACCCGGGACTCCGTCACGGATGAGTACATGGGTACTCGTAGACACCGGTTCCGGGACGACCGCAAGGGCCCCAGGCAGCGAATGAACTCGTCACCAACGACCTTCATGTCAGGAGAGTGGTATGCGACCCCTCCGGTGCGCAACGCCCTAGCGAAATGTCCGGCTTCGCAGAAGGCCTCCTCGGCTTGAGAAATGGCTGTGGATGGGCCTGACAATGTCACACTGCTGGGACTGTTGACGCATGCTATCATGATGTCGCGATCCAGGCAGCTCTCTGCGAGAAACCGACTGGCGTCCTTCTCCGACATACCAACTGCGAGCATCGCGCCAGGTCGTCCCACCAGAGAGCAGACTTTGGTAGCCAGAAAGCCGCGGTAGTATGCCACGCGCATGGCGTCTTGATGAGAGACGGCCCCAGCCGCGAACGCCGCGGTGAGCTCTCCCGACGAGTGCCCAATGACCGCCGACGGAACGACGCCCCAGTAGCGGAGAAGTTGGACCAAGGCAATTTGTACCGCTGTGCAAACCGGCTGGGAGTACCTTGCGTCGTTGAGGGTCTCGGCGCTCGCGTGAACGATCACATCTTCAAGGTCCCAGTCACACCCCAAGCGTCGCAGGTACTTCTGGCTGCTTTCGATACTCGCTTGGAAGACGGGACAGCTGGCGAGGAGTTCTTTCGCCATACCTGGTCTCTGGGCGCCTTGGCCGGTAAACAAGAAAATGAGGCGCCTGTTTTGAGAGGACCGAAGCTCGACCGGTGGTGATAGGTTGTCTCTGCCTGTCAAGAGCCTCGATAACAGCTCCTCCCGAGTGCCCGCAACGACAAAGCTGCGGAATGTGTGAGCTGTTCTCTTTGCTGCCAAAATTTGTGCCAAAGAGGTCATGCTGGCTGTCCTGTGCTCGTCCAAGAAGGCTTTGAGGGCTTTGGCATTCCTGCCGAGGCCCTTGCGGTCGAAAGCTGACAGTACAAATAGCGCCTGGTGAGTTTCCGTTTCGTTGTCGTCGAGCGCGGATTTGGTAGACTGTTGTATACAAGTGATGGTGCCTTCGTTAAGAGCCCGGGTGATGTGTCGGCCGTTGCTTTGGGTTTCCTCGAGATGATGCCGCGCATCATCTATAACGACGTGGGCATTTGCGCCCCCGAAACCGAACGAATTGATACTCGCCCGCCTCAGCCCTGTGCTTGGCCACGCGGTGGCGGTCGTCGGGAAGATCAGATTGGAACCGGGCTCGAGCAGCTCCGGGTTAATCTCACGTAGGCCGGCGATGGGCGGGATCACGCCGGATTCAAGACACAGCACCGCCTTGATGAGGCCTGCCAACCCAGCGCAGCCCTCGGTGTGGCCGATGTTGGGCTTCACGCTGCCTACGTACAGTGGCCCCGTATCGTGGAGTTTTCGAGCAGCAGCAATCGTCGCGCGTATAGCCCGCACTTCGATAGGGTCCTATGTTGCGATTAGCCGTTGACCTCATAAGCGTAAGTCTGAGAGTCTGATTGCGTATCATAGGGGTGAAGTGTTCTTCTGCTGAAAACAAATCAAGACTAAAAGACGATCCGACTTACTCCTTTGGGTGTCCCGGTACCATGTGCTATTCAACATGTCAGCCAGCCCGTTTGAATGTCCGGGAGCTGTACATCTTTTACCTTCAAAGTAGGCGGTTCGCGCCATATCCAAGCTCGCTCGCTCGTACACCCTTCGAATTAACTCGGCCTGGGCATCTTCACTCGGCACAGTAATTCCGGACGTCTTCCCGTCCGAATTGACGCCTGTCGCTCGAATCACGCCCCGGATCACGTCGCCGTCAGCGAGAGCGGAAGAAAGACGTTTTAGCACCAGACCCGCGATGCCTTCTCCGCGCCCGTACCCGTTTGCTGACGCGTCGAATGAGTGGCTGATGCCATCGGGGCTCGTCATATGCATGCCTGAGAGCTGAGAATAGAGGGTTGGGTTCAATATGAGATTCTGTCCCGTCACCAGTGCCTTATGACATGCTACAGTTAGCATGCGTGGCCCTATGTGTGCATCTGCGCCAGCAACACAAGGAATTCCTACCTGGTCAGACTCGCCCATCCGTATCGATTGACAGGCCAGATGTACGGCATATAGACTCGAGGAACAAGCAGTGTCGACAGTAAGACTGGGGCCGTTGAAATCAAAGAACCACGATATCCGGTTCGATAGCATGGATTTACCGGTTCCTGCCGCAGAGTTTACTCCCAGCCGATACGGGTCGGCCTCTGCAAGCATCTGGTAGTCGTTGGTCATAACCCCGCTGTACACGGCGGTGGTGCTTTTGGCAAGTTTCTGCATGGGAATGCCAGCTATGCCAAGAAAAGGCAAGTGTTAGCTATCTCTCCTCCAAAACTTCGAGTTACAGCCATAGACTTACCATTCTCGAACGCTTCGTAGGCAATCTCAAGCCCCAGCCGTTGCATCGGGTCCATGGCTGCGGCTTCGTTGGCTGTGATGGAGAAGAACGGAGCGTCAAAGCCGGAGACCTGATCTAGGAAATGACCCGATGTGGCGGAAATCTACTCCTGTCAGTCTTGCACGAGTGTGTATGACACCATCTACAACCCCGTCATCCCACACTGAAAGCATTTAAAGACAGGATGTACGACGTGGAATAGCCTATGTTGTTTTCCGCAAAGACTTGTACTTACGCCGCCAGCACGATGTTTTGAAGGATGATACCATGCTTCAGAAGACCAACTTCTTTCTGGGATTGTCGAGTGACCGGTTCTGCCTGAGCTGACCATATCCCACAACTTAGTCGGCGAAGTCGCCCCTGAGAACCGACAAGCCATGCCTATAACGGCGATGGGCTCATCATTATTTCTGTCCCCGGGCCATGGCGACCCGAGGGCAGATATTGGAGATCTCCCATGACTGCTTTCTGTGCCTAGACCGCTGTCCGAGGTTGAGTCGATGTTGGATGTAACAAAACAAGCCTCTTCCTGACTGTCCACTGCCGATAAAGACATCATCTTTGGTAACAGATGGGGCAGCAACTGAAGGTTATGCACAAAGGTAAAAAGAAAAGAGGTGTCTTTTCTGCAAAGACTATTCTTTGATGTACTTAGTACAGATGCTGGTTCAGACACAGTTACACCTAGACAGTGTCTCTCATAGTCAACTGGAAACTCAGATGGTGACTATTATCGTGTTTGTACCGGCTCAATACACCTTACGGTTTATTTCGGGGGTAATGTGAAATCCCTGTTCTGGTTACCAGGATCCGCGAAGTAGGAATTATCCGATCTCTGATTCTGCGATGAATTACAGCTTAAATTAGCCGCAGAAATAAGGCACATTGTCCGAGCTGTAGGGTCGTTTGACCTTGTTATCAGTAATTTCACCTACAGCGGGCAAATTACATAACTGCGATTTTTTTCTTACATTGACCGTGGGCTCCGGCGCCCTGAGAACAGCTTCTTTACGAAGATATATCCCCGAAAAGTCTCCCTCCAACAGGCCCCCTTATGTTTCACTAAGTGACCTAGATTAACTTACCCCAATGTTTGTAAAGAAAATTTTCATTGGTGCTTCTAGTAAGACATAGCAAAGTTCACTACCTTGCGGTTTATAGAAATACCCGGGTACACCATTATATAGTCCGATTTTTGGATTCCATCTCCTCTAGCTGAGAAGTAAGCAGGCTGTGACAGACTAGAACGGAGCACAATTTGATAGTCTGGTACCTGAGAGTAGAAAGCCACGACCTCATGATGAATCTAATTTCTTTGTAAAAGATGAAAGGTCATTTTGCGAATAGTCAAACCATTCGTGACAACTGGACGTCTAATAGCCCTGTGAGGCATATTCCAAACACTTGCTTAATATATCAAGATAACACAAACAGTAACGCGTAGCTCAAGATGTATTGATTGTAGCGGCTTAACATGGACCAATTTCATGTATCCGAGGCCCAATGACCAATGTGTGTGCCGTCTGCAAGCTCACAAACCTAAACCAACATCCGTCAGTCGACGACTGCACAGGAAGAGGCAACAACCGGTGAGCCCTAACAACAAGATCAAGAATTATCCGCGCCTGACTTCTTTGCTTTCCTCCGACTCAGCCATGCGGTTCGCCGTTCAAGGTGCCCTTCGCTGTCAAGAAGCTCCTCAAATTCTCCTTGTTCCATGCGCATAACGTCGCTTGTAGCGGCGGTTCTCGAAGCCCTCATCAGTCTTCTAGCTGCCCTGACAGCGTGAAAGTCATTGGCGGCAATTGTCTTTGCGCATTGAATTGCCCCCTATTCACAGTCCGAAGCAGGACAGTTCGTCAGCGATAACACCATCACATCACAATCTCCGCAAGCCACCATAATGAAGTAAATGGGAAACTTACCGCCAAACACGAATCCCGATCATCAAAACATTTCGTCGCGATCCCCCATGTCTCCGCCTCTATCCCAGTCCATTCCCGCCCCGTCAATATCAGCTCTGCCGATCTCCCCGGCCCGACTAGCTTGGACAACAGCCGCAAACCCCCAGCAGCTGGTATCAAACCCAGCTTGACCTCGGGGAGGGCGAAGCGCGCATCGGCAGTGGTATAGATCACGTCGCACGCCAAGGCCAACTCGCAGCCGCCGCCAAAGGCGATCCCGGACACCGCGGCGATCACCGGCACGGAAAGCCCCTCGACAGTGGAAAGCAGCATGTTCAGCTTTGCGATGGCGTCGGTTGGAAGCAGCTCTTCGAACTCGGCGATGTCGAACCCAGACGAGAAGGATCGGGCCGCTGAGCACCCGGCCAGCACAATTGCTGCTACACCTTCTTTGGCATCATCGAGGCGACGGAGGATGGCGCATAGTTGATCGACAAGGGCCTGAGAGAGAGCGTTGAGATTGGATGGGGAGTTGAGAGTCACTTGTACCCAGCAAGATTAGCCAATACTGCGGATCCCCGATAGAGGGCTATCTGTTCGGTACCTACGGCTACCTCTCGTGTGAGATGGCAGACTTGGACGATGTCGGCTAGGGAATCCATGGTTTGGCCTGACTCGTGATGAGTCGGAATTGTTGTAATTATTGACAGAGCTACAGACTATCAGAGATGGCAATGACTACGAATGTTTGTTCTTTTCTTGTCTTAGCGATGATGTAGATCGTTAGACGACTTTGCTCGGGGCTTGAATTACGGGTAGTACATTGGGATCGGGCATTTTGAGGTATAGTTGGAAACCGTCCGAACCCATGTAAGCAATGGTATCTTATTTTCAGGCCTCCCAGAGCTCCATCATTCCAAACAAAAACTCAATCTTTGCATAAACATCCGCCGTCATGCTGACCAGGACCCTGTCTAATGACGAAGAGGTAACACTACTTCTTACGTAGCCCACTCCTTCGTGATGATCATCTCTATCTTTGCTTCCGCGTATCCGTTCCACTGTTCGGGAAAGGCGGTTTAGCCGCGTCTTGAGGAGTTCCCGAATGCATATCTGCCAGAGCTCCCGCTCCAAATTGAAAGACCCAAGCTTTAGACGATTCGTCTCGTGTTCCCAGCTGCGCTCCAAACCGTCATCCTTAATATCTTCTTGCTTCCTCATGCCAGTCTTCGATGCTAGGTTTACGTCCTTGTCTGAGCTGGCTACACTTGTAAACGGAGTACCCGGATGTGTATCCTTGACGGCCTCGAGCCCTTTATGGGATGATGAGGACCTCAAAAGGTCCGTCTCCAAGGTCACCCTCAAAACATCGGCTAACCAGTCGACGTGGAGGTACAGCGTGAGCCGCACACGAGGCTCCCTGCTGCAGACTCCACACGACAATACGGTCGATATGGTCTGATGGACAACCTCGTCAAGGAAGACCAGTAGGTCGAGGGGTAGCCGGCTCTGCGATTGGCGATCAGCAGCCCGGTCTTTCGTAATGCACGCGTGTGGCGCCAGTCTCGAATGGGAGGCGAACAGCTGAAGTCTGCTTATCAGATTTGGACAGGGACAGTAGCTTCCGGAAGATGATGAGCCGCTGCGTACTGGGATAACAGCACCAATGATGCTTTGCAACTCCTTGGTTCCGGACATAACTCGGTCCCAGGCGTCCTCGAGCTGCCCAACCATTGATGATGGCGGTTTCGGTGGCACCTCGACTTGTGAAGTAGGCGGCAATATTGACAGCTGCTGCTTAGCGGGAGCATCGAGGCGCATCATCATGTCCACGTCGACGTTGACGTCAAAGTCGAAATCGGTATTCATGAAGGTTTCGAGCTCAAGGTCCATAGTGTTCGAGCTGGTATCTTGGAACGAACTGGACCCTATCGGCGCAGGTTTCGACGCTGACATTTGATCAAAAGAGCTGGTGTTTAGATCTGTTTCCCGGCTAAAAGCTTCATCGCCAACTCCTGGACACGGATTTGTGCTTCTTGCGGATGATGTAGCTGATTTGCTTTGAGTAGCGTGATGTAACCATAACGGCTCATCTTTCCCGTTACGTTGTGTGACCAGGTTTCGGTCAGTAGGTGAAGAGTTTGCACACACAGAGATGCAACCATTGTCTGTGTTTTCTGCGCACGAGTCCACCGCGACGTCTCTGGTGGAACGCTGTTCGGAATTATCTCCTCCAAACCGAATTCCAGTTTGCTCTTCAGCCTCCGGCTCATCGTATCTCGATTCTGACGCTTGCTCCACCACCGCATCGGGACTCGCATAAAACTCACGGAAAGTCGGTGTTCGAGCTGCTTTCTTGTTTCGTATCATGGCCTGTTGGTGTGCCGCTGATTGAGAAGACGAAGCAGCCGGTTTGGCTGATATTGACAGGCGTCGCGGTCGTCCGACGCGTCCCATGCGGCTGTAGTTACAAATATCATCTCGGTCCCTACAACGACCGCACGAGGGCTTCTTCTGATCGCATCTAAGCTTGGAACGCGTACAGGAGTCACAAGATGCTCTCAACCTTGGCGACCTTTCGTCAATGGCCTGAGACCGCATATCGCTATCCTTTTCACCATAAGGTGATGCATTGTGTTGTCGTTCCATGGACGCTATTTGGACCGAACTACCCAGCTCTGAAAACGCGGGGCGCGCATGGAAATAAACTTACTCGGAGCTAAACGGGCACTTCTCCACTATCATTTGCCACAACAAAAGCACATGAACTTGGTCACTTACTTCGGACCTGCACGGGATGGAGGGGATTTGCCAAGAATCACGCACACGGAAACGCGTCTTCGGGAGTTTCCTGGGGAATGTTTCATAGTGCCGACAATATCGGAGTTCCACTAGTCAGGCTTGAATGCCGAAAATGAGTGCTGGTCTCTTGGCGATCCTGGACATACTACGGTATCATGCCTAGGATCTCTTCCCCCTGCTCTGATATATGTAGCTTCAGCCCTTACTTGACATTCACATCCAAGCGATAGTGCAGTAAGTTCGAATCGTGATACTAGTCCCACATATCTTCCTAACTTTGTAGCTGGAGACATGACATAACCTAGATAGATATAGCCTTTTTACCGAAATGGTGAAAAGGGACTCGATCCCATTTGCAACTCTCTGCATAGTAGTAGTGTCTTTTCAAACGAACGTCTATTTGCAACTCTCTGTATAGTAGTAGTTTCTTTCCATACTAACGTCTATTCGCCAGCGTTAGGTTGTCTCCTGGACCTCCACACCCACGGTATTCGTGATCATCCCTAAGTCGATTTAGGTTTGGGACATGCTTACTCCCTGAGGAGTCAATTGCCTCCTTTGGCTGAGAAGCGTGGACCTTTTGCATTATCCTGCCGACGCAGAAGTCCTCTTTAGGACAGTTTTGTGAGACTGGGATACTAATCCTGATTTTTTTGCCCATTTGGCCAGCCAATGTCCGAGTTCTATGCTTCTAGATCAAACGTTAGCCAGAAAGTATGAGCCCCTCACATCGTGACCCCGGACTCCCACACCATTGTCGGCTGCTGACATAATGGGAATGCATAAAATTGGGATCCAATGAGGATGTAACGTCTAGAACACATTTTACCATCATATTGACACATCCACGCTCGTTTTCTTTCGGGTGCCCACCACATCAGCAGCTTATTATACCATACCCAGCAAACTAACCCACCCAGACTCATTGGACGAAACCATTCGAACAAGATTCATGCTAGCAGACACTTTAACCGGTAGATTTTGTCTTGGCTTTATGCACGGACTACTTTTTTTTTGAAGTTTGCGGGCGGGCGCCATGGTTCACCAGCGGCAGCAGAGCGAACGAGTAATGAGTAGAATCGGACGACGTTGTTCCATTGGCCGAGGCTACCTAGATGTCCCCAGACCTGCAGCATCTGATATGAGAGTTTACCAGTAATTGATTACAATACAACCAGATTTGGTGCTGGCCGGCAACGCACGACAGAGAATGACCAGACAGAGTTCTCGCCACCAAAGCTTTTTCTCCGCATCGTAGTTGACAGTTCGGACCTGCTTGAAGCATACCTCAACCGAGGAAGATGAGCAAAGTAACGGCACTTGAGGCCTTAGTTGGTCATCGCATGACTTCAAAGGTGCAAGAAGTAGAATCTTGCAACCGCGCCGCAGCTGGTGCCGTGAGTCTTTTTCCGGGGAGAAAGTTTCATGATGTGTAATATACAAAAGCCGACGCAAGTCGCCATAGGCACTCCAATTTGCCCCTCACCCAGCCTATCGGGGCCTTGATGTTGAGACTCGGAAAAATGAATTCCCCCACTTGTTCGTGTCAGTTCGATGACACTATTCGCAACCTGAACCTACCGTACTATGAACAAGAACATCATGGCGGATTACTCGGCCTAGAAGAAATAGTCAGGTTGGACTGGCGATTCTCCAATCTCATACGCACAACACGGGACTGTGAGTGCTGCTTCGCCGACCTGAACATCTTGATTGCCACGCAATCAACGTTGGAGACGGTCTTGAGCCTCCTCGAGACCGCACAAAGCACCTACGGATCCCGAATCAACCGCAGACGTAGACAGTCCTCTGAACAGTCAATGGACGAGCTGCTGAACCGATGGCCCATTGGCAACGGAGGAGAAATGAAGGGAAATGGTTTCGTGCTGGGACGAGTTGTTCTCGGCGAGGAAGACTGCGACGTGATGGCGCGCAGACTCATTATCAGCGCCATCTCGAGAATGGCCAGGTGTGTTCGTGAGCTGAGGGCGAGAATTACGAGGTACATGGATAATTATTGTCGTACATCGCAATCAGCTAGCCAGTATTACAATTTACCAAGACATGCTAAGGAAGCATACGACGAGCTTGACGATAAGTTGGGCACCATACTGGCTAGAGTCTGTGCGGCAGTGGCAAGAGAGAGAATCTGAAGGCAATGACGGAAAATCCAACGGAAAAAGAAAATACTTTATGGCTTTTAATCAAACTCTACAACAAGATAGAATCCCTTGCACAAGGCATATACATAACTTCTACACTCCACAGAGCTGTAATTGACAGTCCAACACCGCCTTGAATTCTTCGACGTGATCCTTCGTCAGGGCTGTGTAGTGATTACCCCCGATGAAATTGAATGAAGATGAATCAGCGAAAGCCCCCCATTCTCTAACGCGTGTCTCCCACTCTTTCTTGGAAACGCCCCATTCCTCTAGGGGGTCGGCCCAGAAGGATCTGTAAGTGTTGATCTTGCCCTGCGGGGCATATCCCTCAGCCATATTAACGGTGCCGCAAAAGACCCGGTGCCAGGATTCAAGTCTCTCGAGAGTGACACCGGCAGACTGGAGGCGAGTGCGGAACCGGCGCATCACCAGACGCGGAAACAAGGCAGGATCTTGATCGCGCATCTCCTTCTTCAGCAGACTTGCTTCCGAAGGCGTGATCAGTCGTCTTGTCGATAGTAGATCGACAATGAAGAAGCGCAGCGTGGCAAAGCTCATTTGTAAAATGTTCGGCGCATTGTCGATGCCGCCAGCAAAAGCCACGACCTCTCCTGCGGCTTCCAACGCCTTGGCCACTTCGAACGCGATGTTTCCCCCAAAGCACATGCCCAGCAGCGCGTAGGGCCCTCGCGGCTGCACCTGTCGTATTTCTTCCAAGAAGCATCTTACCATCTCATCCATGCTCTCAAACGCCGACTCGCCGGGTTGCAGACCGCGCAATCTGAGGCCGTAAAGAGGCCGGTCGTCAAAGTGGCGAACCAGCTCTATCCAGCAGTGTAGCTCCCCTCCCCCAGGCGGGAAAAGAAACAGCGGTACTTGGCTTCCTTTGGTGGTAAACGGAAGCAATAGATCGCGGTTGCTTGCTATTGATACTTTCATGATCTCGGTTTCCAACTCCCGTATAGTTTGCGCACGGAGGAGAGATGTGATCGGTATTGAAGATTTCAAAGATAGCCTTGCCTCCAAGTTTGCCTTGAAAATCAGCATGCCCGGGCTGTCTAGGCCGCCGTTTTGCAGAATTTGTTTCAAGTCACTGTCAAGAAGACTTTTGGAGATCGATACGAAGGGGCATCTCTCCGCCAAACACTCCACAATGATTTTCTGCGTTGGAGTCAGCTTTGAAAGGATGCCATGGTCTGTATCCGTTTGCAGCTCCGCCTTTTCGGCGTCCAAGTGATGATGCAGAGGTGCTCGGGTAATTTCAAGAGGAACTTCTGTTAGCGTAGATGATTCCATCGCTTCCTCGCCTGAAAGAAAGGAATGTTTTCAACACAGAGGTAAGGTGACAGTTGAAGCCGTTGGTGCGTCCAAAAGAGACTCCAAGACGCTTCACTTATTAAATAATCTACCTCGGGTAAAATTCTATAGCGTTAATCTTATACTTGGTTAAGCTCAGATACTGTCCACCGCTTCGAGTAACAGGGCCGGTCGGTTAATCGGCATTTGCCAATCAAACGCTTTTAGAAGGACAGAGTAGCCATGAACTGTTCGTTACTGATTCATTGGTAATTTATCACCTTCTTCACCGGTGAAATTGTATGGATTATTGCTCTTCGGTTCATTAAACGTGTGAACCCGGAGCGGCGCACGGGCAAAATTGCTCTTCGGCCTATTAAATATGTAAACCCGGAACACGGCGGCTGGGGCTTAGAACCACATAGTTCCATGAGTGACCCCCACTATCAATATCCCTCTCTCGTGTTCCTCTCACATTAACAAACATCTAAACCACCATGAATGAGGCTAACGTCCTACCAAAGAGTCTCTCCTGCTCCCAGCAGGTATCGCTCGGTATTGGAGATCTCTTCTCGGTAAAGAACAGGGTCGTCGTCGTCACGGGAGGTGGCTCGGGTCTCGGCAAGCTCATAGCCCAGGGCTTTGCACTCAACGGCTCACGCGTCTATATCGTCGGCCGACGTCTTGAAGTTCTTCAAAATGCTGCCAGCGAGATTGGTGGCGATGTTCATGTGCTTCAAGGAGACGTGGCGACCAAGGCGGGTTGCGAGAAAGTAGCCGAGCAGATCAAGGCTCGCGAATCCCGCGTAAGTTGCATCTCCGGCGTTTAAATCCCTTGCTTTGATTGACCTATTCTCCGCATCTCAGGTCGAAACTCTCGTCAATTGCGCGGGGTTGATGACCCTTTGGAAACTCTATGCCAAAGACCGGAACGATGGTAAGCTCAAGGTGTTCCAGGTTATGAAAGTTTTCTTATTCCTTTGAAGGAGACCCTTCAATGTAAATATTACTTTGGGCCACAGCTGACCTGCTAGCGCGATGACAGCTGATGAGGTGGAGAAAATGTTACTCGGAGGTATCGATGAGTAAGTTGTGGCAGATACGTTCTCGGCGATTGATGATATGGGCGCTGATTTGATGAAAAAAGTGAAGATTTTGATCAATCCAACCGCGGTAAGTTCATGTGAGCAATCAAAGGTTGATAAAGGATACTAAATAAATTATGCAGTCCATGTTAGCGGAGTCTACTTCATGACGACATGTCTGATTCCGTTGCTGCGCAAAGCCGCCGATCCAAACGTCTTGGTCATCTCGTCTCTCGCTGCCTTGACAAACCAGGGGTTTGTGACATCAGTAGCTTATGGTCTCTCAAAAGCTACCGGTATGTTTTTTTCTGATGCTCGCTTCCATCTGGTTTCGTCCCAGCTTCCCAACTTGAATTACTTCAACTTGCTAAAACGACTTTTCTGTAGAAAGCAAGCTTGCCTTGCTGCTTTCGTCAATCCTTCGTCCGTGAGTAATTCATCTTACCTGTTCCCTACTGTTATCGTCATCAGCGTATCAACCTGCCGGTACCGCTTTGGAATCCCTAAAGTCATGATGAATAACTCATGTTTTCACAGGATGAAGATCCGAGTGAACACAGTTTGCCCCGGCATATTTCCTTCAGAGATGACGAGGGTGCAAGTAGACGCGACCCAAGCACCACCCGTCGCCGCCGTCACAGACACGGTTGGCTGGGGACTGCATCCTGTAGCTCAGGAGACGACGGGACGATCAACCGCCGGTCGCCCAGGCCGCCCTGAGGAGATTGTGGGGCCGGTTTTAATGCTCTCAAGTGCGGCGGGTGCCTACATGAACGGCGCCATGCTCGTTATCGACGGCGGCCTTCTTGTGAATGCCTTGAGCTAGTCATTTCGACTCACAGGCCGAGGAACCAACTCAACAAGCAAGCCAGCAAGAGAGCCTGAAAGAGATTTTACTCGCGGGACTTTTCTGGCATCTCCGGCACAGCTCCCAAGGGACGTAGCACGAATAGCGAATTGACACTTAGTTTGTCTTGAATACGGAGTCAGATACTGTTACCATACCGTATGATGACTTCCTTTAGTCTGGAGACGATAGATCTAATGAATTCTGTGATTTAGTTTGCTTCGTTATTAGTTTGCTGTATTTAATGCCATAGTGGCGAGGGCATGGCCTCCTGAGAAGTATGTGGCGTGGAGAACCGCAGGCTCAAGCTGTATACTCTAAAGTACATATCTTTTCTTTTCACATCGTAGTCGAAGTCTTGCTCGTGAGCTACTGTCTCTTCCTCCCGTCATTATCCCGCCGGAGACTGTGAGGCCATCGCAAGGGGGCTCCGGAGAAGATGAGTACAGAGTTTTTGGCTGTTAGTAGATACGCTAAATACGGGCTGATTAACTAACAGTGGATACCATGAGAGGATAAAGTAAGGAGGAAGTTCTTGTTCTTTGGGGCGGAAACCTCTCCTTGCAGAAATGGTCTGTTTACATCGTTTGGGAATATTACTAATTGAGTGATACCTGGGTGGAAAGCAAAAGTTGTTCCAAATTTAATGATTCGATATCATTGGCCCTCGTATCTTGAGATAACGCTCTGGAAAGTTCAACATTTAAGGGTTTACTTGACTTTCATTCAAAATTGCATGTTGGGGGTCGAATCGGAGCTTTTTGGTTGCGAAAGTTAAAGGCCCCGATTAGTGATGCACTCTCCAATGATGCAATATATAACCTGCAGACATTTCTAGCTGTTCTCACATCCCACGCACATGAAAATTTTCTTTACTTTCTATAGTAGAAAAGGCAAATCATTCTGGCCATGGAAAATGCTGCGCAACTCGTCTTCCAGGGAGATGCCCTGCACCACGCCTGGGCCTCCATCTCAGCTCAATCGCCGGCGCGGCTATTGCACGTACTCCCCGCCTGGGTTTACGTAGCTTGTATCGCCATCTTCGGCTGGTGGACGATGAGGCGGATAAATGCCGCGAAGGCTTTGAAGAATTGGAAGTTTGACTGTCCCGAGGTCCCAAGAGACGGGCCGAACCTCGGATCAACTCTCAGAAAAGGCCTCGTACAGGTGTGTATGTGCCGCAGTATTGCTGCTCTTTTTAGGGTAATCGTCGATAACACGTGGAAAAGTACCCCGATGAGCCGTTCAAGGTCTCAACGGCGGATGGCTTTATTGTCTTCCTGCCCTCTCGTCACATCCAGGAACTCTGTATGCATCCCAGAACCGTAGTTTCCTTCGGCCATATGGTCCTGCAGTACTTCTCATCATGGGCAACCGGCTTCGGTGTCAACAACGACACCTTTCTCAAAGGCACCAAATTGGGGCTCCTGTCGAACGGTGCCCGCTTCATCGGACCCATGATAGACGAGACAACGGCGTCCTGTGCTCGGCTATTTGGCTGTGGCGGAGACAACAACACCGACGAGAAGGGATGGACGTCCGTCAATGTCAGCTACGCCGCCGGCCAGCTCACAGCCCAAATCATGGGTCGGGCCTTTGTGGGCAAGTCACTTTCTCGAAACCAATCCTGGGTCGATGGACAAGTATCGTACTTGGCCTACGTGTGGGCGGCGGCCCGAGGCATCCAGAACTGGCCCCTATGGATACAACCGCTCGTGTACCGTTTCGTCAAGGGTTACAAGGACTTACGACAGGAAGAGAGGCGACTTGCAGAAATGCTGAGACCCGAGTTCGACGCCGTCAGACTCGGAACCTACGGCAGTGAAGCGAAAACGAAGCGGGAGCAGACCATGATCGACCACTTTCTCACCGTGACAGAAGCCGGCAAACGAGAAGACATCATGTTTCATATGACACTACAATACCAGCTCATCTTTACCGCCATACACCCGACCTCAGAAACGGTAGGTCTTTTTCTGAATCCCTTTGCCAGAGGACCTGCTCAAGTCAATCATGCTGACGTGATATCGTGACCCTAAGCTGTGGCAAGTTCTCTACGACATTGCACTCTACCCCGAGTGCCAGGCAATTTTGAGACAGGAACTTGCTGGGGTTGATCGGACAGACCACAAATCCTGGCTTTCTCAGGTGCCAAAGATGGACAGTTTTATGAAAGAGTCTCAACGACTGCACGCCGCCTCACTCGGTGAGTTATATTTGTTGATTGAGATAGCTATTGCGTCCCGTCTCTGACGACCTTTCACCGCAGTCACTTTAACCAGGAAGGTTCTGAAACCTATCACAACCTCGACAGGGCTTCATTTCCCCGCCGGTACCCAAATCTCATACATGACAGACGCCGTTAACCTCGACCCGAACAGGTGGACAGATCCTGAAGAGTTCGACTGTCTGCGATTTTACAAGTTGAAACAGGATGTCAAGACCGACTCTCAGCAGGTGACGCTGAACTACTCATACTCGGGGTTTGTAATCTTCTTCCCCTCTTATCCTTTGGAATCGTCCGACTGACAGTACTTCTGAATAGACCGGATCAGTTAAACTTCGGCTATGGTGTGCAGGCGTGCTGTGGCCGTCACTATGCGGGATGGTTCATCAAAATGGTACTCGCCGAGCTGGTGACCAAGTACGATTTGAAGTTGAAGGACGGCCCCGGTGTCGGCGACGGGATGAGATTCTTTACCATCCGGAGCCAGAGGATCGGAAATCCAAAGGCCGAGATCTTGGCTCGCAGACGGGAGATGTGAGCTCGGCCCGGCCTTGGCCATCCTCTCGACACACAACGAGCGCCCCAAACGAATAATTTTCCGATAACCGCCGAGGGATGGGGAGAATAAACGAACAAAAGACAAGTTACTAGGACGTTTCGGGTGATTTCTCAAATGGTGGTTGCGGATTATGGTTTAAAATCTTCCGACATAATCACCCCCCTCCATAGTCCATAGACCCATGTACGTACTCGAAGTTTCAAATTCAGGGGAGTGAGAAACAACAAAAGCCAAAAGACTTGTCTTTGATACATCACTTTAAATCGTAACTTAGCCATTGAATAGTCAGGCCGATGCTTGAACCAGGATTGCTGTAATGTCTGCCGCAATGTTGACGGAGAAGAAGACGGGAGACAGGCCCCTGAAGTTATCGACGAGTAGTATAGTAGATATCCGCAGCACCGAGTGCGATGGCGAGAGCGACAAGGCCACTGACGCAAAGAAGCTGAAGGCAAAAGGTTCCGAGGCTGATGAAAGCGCCGGGAAGAGAGGCAAATCAGTGCATCAAACCGTCGCAGTCGGCGCACTAACCCTTGGTCTATGTCTGGTAGCGTTCGCCGCAGCAGTAGACAACACAATTCTCGGTATGTACCTAATCGAATACTCAGAATACATCATGTAAAAAGCATCATCTAGATTCGCATCTTTGTGTCTGGTCTGACGTAGAAACAAGGAACGGCCATCCCGCGCATCACAGCCGAGTTCAACTCGCTCCAAGACGCTGGGCTGTACCGTAGCGCCTCACTGGTCGCTTCGACGGCGCTCCAACTGCCCTACGGGAAAGCATATGCGCAGTTCAATGTCAAGTGGATCTATCTCGGCAGCCTCCTCATCTTTGAAGCTGGCTCCATCCTTTGCGCCGCTGCGCCCAGCTCCACTGCCCTCATCGCCGGACGTGTCGTCTCGGGCGTCGGGGCAGCGGCGCTCTACTCGGGCGCCATCAATATGCTCGCAATGACAGCAAGTCCACAAAAAGCCCCCGCGCTGTTCGGCACTCTGTCTAGCATGTTCGGACTAGCTTCGCTGGTTGGTCCACTCCTTGGAGGCGCCTTCACCGACGCACCGAAGTTGACGTGGAGGTGGTGCTTCTGGATCAATCTGCCCATTGGCGGCGTCGCCGCGATATTCATCGTGCTTGTGTTCCGAATCCCCAAGCCGCCACCTCCTGAAGTGGACGCGGAAACGGAAATGCAAACGGTTAACAGTACGGGCAATGGTGTCCAAGACATGCAAGACAAAACAGCAACAGTAATGGTCCCTCCTCGACACCCAGACAGCCAGAGCGTAGCAACGACCACTATCCTCTCTTTTATCGAAAAGATGCAGAAGATGGATCCGCTAGGCACTGCTATCCTGATTCCGACCATGGTGAGTCTGGTATTGGCCCTCCAATGGGGCGGGACAACGTATCCCTGGTCAGATGGACGGGTTTGGGGCTGCCTGGTCTGTTTTGGCGTTCTCGCAGCCGCCTTTTTCGTCTCGTTGTGGTTCACTGGTGACAACGCCGTGATCCCGCTCCGTCTCCTCCGAGACCGCACCGTTCTGGGTGGCGTGCTGACGATTTGCTGGCTCTCGGCGGGCTTCTTCACACACGTCTTCTTCCTGCCGTTTTATTTGCAAGTAGTCCAGGGCATGAGTGCCACGGCTTCCGGCCTCCGCCTCCTCGCCTACCTCGGAGCCATGGCCTTGGCCGGCGTAATGGCCGGCGGAGCCATGTCATCGGGCCCCGGCCGCAGATTATCGAACCACAGGCCGTACGCCTGGGTCGGCTCGGGCCTATTCATAGTCGGAGCAAGCCTGTTGCACATGCTGAGCGTCGACTCGGGGTTGGGCATGGTTGTAGGCTTCCAGCTGCTATCAGGTGCCGCTCTCGGCGTCGCGTGGCAGGTTCCGTACATCGCGATACAGCGGTCAGAGAAGCTCAAGAAGCGGCCGGGCGATGTCGCCATCGCCAACGCCTTGATCACCTTCTCCAACTCGTTCGGCGCCGTGCTGGGCATTACCATCGCGCAGAACATCTTTGTAAGAACGCTTGCCACGGGCTTGGCGGATGTGCCGGGCTTGGATTCTAGTCACGCCGACGCTATTGCGAAGGCCGGCCAGGCCGCGCATCTGAGCGATCCCGCCTTTTTGCCTCAAGGGCTCCGTACCCTTGTGTTGCAGGTCTTCAACAAAGCCATCACGTCGACGTTCACTTTTGCTGCCGCCGCCGGAGGCGTGGGCTTTTTATGCAGTTTCATTTTCCCATAGAGTCAAACTCACTTGCGATGATACGCAGTAGTACTATTTCACCTTCAGTACATACATCTGTCTGCGCCCTGGCGGTGGAGAACATCAAGGGACAATCCCTCTTCACTTCTGCGGAAGTTGATAGTCATCAAGCCCAAGCACAAATACAAAACACCTGCAAGCTACAGAAGCATGATTGCCAGTGGCCTCTTTTCCCATACCAGGATGCATGGTGTGTTATCTCCGTGCCATTTTTGCGGGTGTTTTGGCGCTCTTTTCATATAATAGCAGACACAAGGTCATCTGTCTTTTATTGGCCGACGTTATAATCAAGTCATGGATGCTACCCGTCGTTATCAAGTCTACCTATTAATCCTATGCATATCCGTTTTGTGAAGTCAGTTAGAACACATTAGAGACCACTATTTTGTTGTTTTTCATACAATATCATCCGTGGTGGTTATCTGACTTGCGCACTCGACCGCTCACGGTCAAAGTCGGGGATAGTGAAGAGAAATTACGCAGAGGCCCAGCGATCCATCGGCCCAACACGTAGCCTCCATTATGCTCAGCCATGGCGTGCAGGAGGTTAAGCATAACCTAAAGTCCCGGGCGGCATTAACATGTGAAATTGTACTGAGAGTATTCCGCTTTTTTAAAAATGCCACATTCACCGTGATAGAGCCTCCAGCCTCCTTACCGCAAGCTCTGAAGGCATTGGATCGAGTGCTAGTAGCTTTTATGTTAATCCTGGACGGTCCGACAAGGTAGCTTCAAGATTGGGAGCTACCTAGGTAGACTCAAGCTGTGGTCTCTAGTGTTCATCACACGTATTCACATGTTCTCTCTCACACTCAATCGCAATTACCAAGACAACAGACGGGTACAGACCGTTTAAAAACCTACCCTGGAAAGCTTCTGAGAGGAGCATGTTAGTCAGACTCCAAGTGCCCCGATTTCGGGTGCACGGCTTGCAGGGGCAGAAGCCCTGTAAAATGGAATTCCTAAAGGGGAAATATACAGCACATCATCAGCGTTATACACAGAGCATAGTACAGTAGTAATGTTATTCGCTTATTGTGTGCTGTAAATTACTCCTTTAGGAAATTCCATTACACGGGGTTTCCAATTACCGCCCCCCTTGCGAGCTGCACCGCCCCCGATCGCAACCCACAGGACTAAGCACGAATATCATTGAGCATTAAATTTTACAGAACTGAAATCGATACTATTCATAGTAATATAGCCATATTCTTGCCTTGATCAACATTGCTTTTCGCCTCGTCATATGAAATTGATCTTCCTAATCTTCATTGTTTACCTCATCCAAGCAAATACACATGGCGCATATGAGAGCCATATCGATGTTGGGAGCAACAGTGACTACATATGTTTGTTGACCGCCGAACATGTCGCGCAAGTTGTACTTGTTGCGACTAATTGTTGCTACCACCTGATCGGTGCTTTTATCAACAATGTCGGCCTGGGTAGACTTCCAGTTGCCCTTCATTTCAAGCGACTCGGCCTTGCCTGAAACCGGCGAAGTCAAAGTGGCTGTGGCCTTGGAACCAATAACTGTAGACACAATGAGCGGCTGTTAACCCATAAATGATGATACAAACTTACGGGCAAACCCGCTCTTGACCTCCATGAGCTTCTGGCCCTGGGGATCCACAGCCGCGTAGGTGGTATGCAAGTGCATGTGCTCCTTGACAATGTCGAATAGGTGGTTGCCTGACATGTCGTATACTGATTTTCGGCCAGAGAAAGACATGGCCTTGCCTTCCACGCGAAGAAGTGGCTGGCCGCTCATAAGTTTGATGTCGAAACTGTCGCCTGTTAAGGAAAACATTTTCTCTTTGAGGACAAGAGTCTCGCTCTGCCGGGCGGTGAAATGGGGGAAGATTGAAACAGCATTTGTAGCTGGAGCAAGTTGAAGGACCGCCATCTTGCTTGTCGTCAAGCTATTGTCCGTAATTGATATGCTCGGTGTAGTTTATTAAGAGCTGTTGAGTAGATGCGATGACAGTAAAAGAAAAAATTAAATAAGTAGTACCTTAACTAGCTCTGGCGTGTGGTAAACTGACAATGCTAATAGACCTAATAAAGACGAAAGATGTGACATTTGAGCTTACACTGGACCCACTTTACACTCGTTTAAAATACGAGACATTACTAAAGGTTCCCCGCCTTTCTCCTTCTGAGGGAAAAGTTGACTGCTAGGATGTTCCTAGTAGTTTTCTGCTCCTATTTGAGCGAAAGAATGTAAAGCGGCAGAAATTCTTCCCGAGCATTTGACCATATGCACTCACGGGTGTCATATTATTACCTGCTTAACGGTATTTTAGTTGGTCCTTTAAATTGAACATAGCGTCAAATCTTAAATCAATTACCTGTGCACAGCGGTTGTTTAAAACAATGTTTAATTCAATCTAGCCATCTTGTCGCTGTGCAATGTTGGTTAATTTAGAGTCATACAAGCGACTTCAGTATGCTTGGTCAGGTGGCTACTGTTAAAAGTTGTTCAATTTTGTTCTATGAGCCCCGGATCACCGAGCATTTTGCTACACGTTGGCAAGTATTGGTGCTTAGCTTCTTGCCAAGGCGAGGCCACGGATGGTGTCTTTATCGGTCAATTTTGTCCGTACTTAGAATGCTGTTTGGGAACTTGTGCTTTTATTGATTAGAATGTATAACAGGCCTATGAACTGCTGTGTGGCTGGCTAAACTTTCATCTAGTGAATTTTAAGTAGCTACTGCAAATGCAGGATTGACGAGAAGCAGTTTATTAACGGAATAGAAACTGGTAGTATGTCAAAGAGGAATATCGATGTGCCTTTCATTACTCATGAACAAGAGCTTCTCAGAAAACCAAACTAAAAATAGTAATTATGACAACGCCAAATCCCCACACCGTGTATGCTTTTAGGGCAGCGCTAGAAGGAACTGTTGTCGCGTTGACTCTCATGCAGAGGACGTTAGGTCTACTTATTTGACCATTCACAATATCAATCCAAGTGTTAAACATGATGAACTGAAGACCATGTGTGGCATTGCGATATGCCTCTGCAGCGTCAGAGCCATTAAGTATGCCGGAGGCTAGCTGGAAAAATCCATCTCCGCTAGAGATCGGCATTATTTCGTTCCGCAAGCTGCTGTTGTTAGGCTGCTGGTTTATGTCGAATGTCAAAAGCCCGAAATCCGTGTTCGTGCCGCCCAGGTTGGCCTGTGAAGCGTAGCCAAACGTGGCGTTGCACTCTGAGATATCGCTCCATAAAGTTTGGGGACCAGCACAGCGGTCTACACTTCTGAGGTTGTTACCGTCAACATTGAGTTTAGAGCGGCAGTCACTCCCTATGATTGCTTCACAGTCGGACATATCTGAGTTGCTTTCGTTGTACAAGTTTGTGACGTTTGGAGGAAAAACAAAGTTCGCTGCCATCGTGGTGATGCAGAAAGGGGATGTTGACCAATGCAGCGGCTGCGATAGATTACCGCCACCCGTCCAGGAAAAGTCGTATGTTGTGCTAACAAGATGCGGGTCGCTCACATCCGGGAACACGGACGCTAGACTTGGGAGTGCAATGTTTGTGATGTTTACACCTAGAAAGATATTTAGCAGTCGGGAATCGACTTGTTACAGCGGAGATCTGTGGTAAAGCATCGTGTACTCACGCCATGTCCATTCTAGTCGATCAAGTCGTGGAACATTCCCACGCGCCCATTGCCAAGGCTTCAAGGTGATAGAACGGGTAGCATTCGGGTTGCGTAAAGCGCTTCGATAATCTTCCAATGAACGATTGTCCCAGCGCGGCTCCGAGAGTCCTGCTCCTGTCACCCAGCGCTCCGTCCACTGGCCCAAGACTTGCGACACCAACAGGAATAAAAGAATTGTTTTCATCACGGGTATTTGCTGCGTCTGTAAGCTCCCTCTTCAAGGATGGGTGGGCTTCCCATTTGAGATTAGAGGTGGAGGTTGACTTTTATGTCCTTTACCAGTTCCATCAACATCTGTGTCAATAAGCGACTTCATGGTTTTTTCAAACAACCAACCAAATTGCATAATGGCTAAGCGCTTGTCTATTTTACCAGATGACATATCTGCTTTCATCGTCCCGTGGAAGTGCTGCGCCCGGTGCTTATGCGGGATGATCTCAACTACGTAAGCCTAGACGCTACACCGTAGGGCAAGCCGCTTGGCCCGTCCGGATCTGCACCTGGTTCAGCCCACTTCGGGAATTTCCTAATGCCCGGACCAACGGCCAATTTGACAACAAACTTGCCACTTTGGGCCTTATATCATGGGTCGCCCGACAAATTGGGATTCCTTTTTGTTGGCTCCAAGCTTGGCTGCGCTGTTTTGGTTTGTAGCAGTGATGGAAGACCTTTTGTGATCTCATCCGCCAAGTCACATAGTGGATCTCAACGCCCGAGACTAACCAGGGAGAGGCGACACCACAGCCCCCAACATACCACATACCACTCCGACATGACCTATTGACCGCATAAATCAAGCTGCTTTAAGAACCTGAAAGGAACTTTGGGTTACGCCAAGTTGCTGCGGCGCATTTTATGTATTATCTTTTGCTCAAAGTTCTCCATTTTATAAAGCACTGCTTTTCATCTACATATGCTCAACAGCCTGTCTCAAGCTCAACCCTTGACTCGCGTCCCCATTTTCATCAATCAGAAATCAAATCATCACCAATAATTAACACAGTCAAAAGATGCCTCTTGGATTTACCGACAGCCTCACGGCAACGACGTACAGCGTTGTGTCTACGGTCCTCATTGGCCTCGTCTTCCTGGTTATCTTGCCCTTTACTATACTTGCCCTGATTAAACTTAGGCGCCGGAGAGATCCGGCCAGGAAATTTGTGTCATGGCTCAAAGCCAGCTTCTTTTTATTCGCAATGTAAGCATCGAACAATCAGTGAGACTAGTTTGCGATCCAGGAATACGATACTAACCTCATTTCAGAACATTATGTTTATTATTCGTGCAAGGCGTCATGCTGACCTACGAAGCCTTTTCGGACGCCTCGCACTGGCACATCGTTCGGGGATCGTTCCATATTGGATTTCTTGCGGATTTCTTCAACGCAATCTCGGCAACAATGGTCATGGTGATGTTAATTGAATTTGGTCCAAGCATGCGTCTCGCATTCGAAGGCAAACCGGATACCTTGCAAAAGCCCCTACGATACGCCGCCTACATTCTTGCCTTTGTTATTGTGACCTTGGCCTTGGCCTTCTACGGCCTCTCCGCTGACTTCCAGGAGAATTACACAAACAAAATAGGTTCGATCTTTTCGACGGGGGAGGCGATTAGACGTGCTCTTACTATTTACAAATTGATAAGCGCAACGTCGATTCTTCTTTGGATTGCGTCGCTGATTATCATGGGAATGTCGATTTTCGTCTTAATGGAGAGGAGGGGAACGCCACTTGAGAGTGTAAGTTCTTTCAAACGCCTTTTCACAGCCACAACTAAAAGTCGTTACAGGCAGCGATTTCATATCTTTTCGCTGGCTTTTTCAATTTGCTGAGTTCAACGTGGTACTTCGCTTACGCTGTCCATTGGCTGTTGTACCCACGTGTCCAGGAATATTATGTGACGGTGTTGACAATCATTCTTGGGTGGTGGAGCCGTGCAGCGTTGCTAATCATTTACTATTTTGTGGCTGCAAAGAGTGCGACCAGGGGAGGTATTTGGTCTCATACTGGCAAAAACGACTACGGTCACATGCCCTAGAGTACATGAAAACTCCAATAAGTTGAAATGGGGTCAGGGTATTGATGTGAGCTTTATTGATTGAGATATACTCATTAGTTGTCGTTTTTTGTTATAGAAAACAAGCACACGGTTGCACAGCCGCTACCTACTCAGCGATCACACCAATTTTTTCATTATTGTTGGGGACAGTATTGCCGTGATTTTTGCATCGGTACAGAAAGGCAGAATTATTCTATGGCTGAGAAACTGTCTACGTCAAGGTTGACGCGTATGTTATCGCGGCGTTTTTGAGCGTCTCTAGAGTGGTTGTCTTTCGTGCGCCGTTCACCTTTGGTCTCATGTTTGCACCGTTCTGTAAGTTAGTAGAATATCGATTGACCGAGACAATGAATTTTCTAAGAAGATAAAGTTTTGCCAATAAAACCTGGCAGTCAGAGTCCCCTGGACCGTATTTCAGCTCGAACCATCTTCAAGAAATATCATATACTCATAGGGCCTATTCGTTACTTGTTCTTCACTAAGATATTCTATGGAATGTTACATCTACTTCCCAACCAAACGACGAATCCATTCAACGACGACGGCGTCTGCCTCTGGAGAGCCCATGTGTTCTCGTCCTTCAATGAGCCTTGCCACCTTAGGATTGCCATGCTTGAGTGGCAGTACACAATCCTCAATGGGGAAGATGCTATCCTCTACACCGTTAGTAAGCAACAGATGTGTAGAGGGCATATCAAGGATCTTGTTTTCCAGCAAGCTAAAACGACCTTGAGCGACCTCGACGAAATCCTCGACCGTTTCGTAGCCAAACTTGTATGCCATTGCTTCAGCCAAAGCAAAGGGGTATTCCATGTGATTAACGGCACGGAGCCAAGCTGGATCGAACATATGGTGACATCCGCCACCGTGGGCTGCTACTGCAAGCAGTCGGTCGGCATGAGTGTGTGCAATCCTAATGGCGTAGTATCCTCCCGTGCTTAGACCATGAACCACGATGCGGGAAGTGTCGAATCCCCGCTCACTTTTGACTTTCTCCATCCAGTCAAGCACACTGGACCACAGCCGGTCAGGTGAAGTAGGGTCGCTCCGTGCCGCAGGGCAGTCACCTGTGCCGGGAACTTCTGCGCTGACACAGGCGTACCCTAAACGGTTCCACATTGTGACTAATTCGGTGAGTTCTGTTCGGTAGGCGTCCAAGCCGCAAATGTAGAGAATGACAGGCCAGCCCGACTTGGGGCTCTCTCCCTTAGGTACACGCACGTAAACAGGTATAGTAGAGCTTTTGGACTCGCCAGCGACTTCAGAAGCATGTACGTGAGGGATGAAGACTTCTTCGTTTGGCGTTTCGAGGTACGGTGAAGCTGCCATGTAAGCAGCCTTGTTGAGCTGCCAGGCTTTATCGCAGAGCGGATAATCGACACGGTTGATTGGGAATCGAGCAAGTCGACAAACAGCCCCAGCGCGAAGGAACAAATCCCGGGCTTCAGTAGTTTTTCCAACTTCCTCCAAAGACTTAGCTTGGGAAATAAGAGATTCCGCAACGGGCAGAAAATGCTTGGCGTATTTGTCAGGATTGAAGAGGGCGGCGCAATCATCGCCGTTTTCCTTGATAAGCTTGTCGAAAAGTGGCTCGAAATCTTCAATTTTGCCATCCATAAAAGGATAGATGCCCAATTGGGCCGACGGCTTCCACTTCTTCTCCCACAGAGCGCTGATAGAACGATGATGCTCATGCGATATGGGGTTGTCTACTGACGCTTGAACATGGTATTGCGCAAGTTGGCTCATGGTTGTTGAATCAGAAAGTACACGAACTTGGGCGTAGAATTTGAATAAGCAATAACGTTGTCCGATTTATGAGGTCAAAGAATATATTAGGGCGGTGATGACCATTGATGATTTAAGGACTCAATGGGAACTGAATATATCGAATGATTTTGAAAAAGCCAGATACTTATATCATAGATAGACTTACTGCAAGTTGAGACGGTATGATGCCGTGGTCCGAGAACCGATGCCGAATCCTCCGGATGAATCGGCAAAGAGAGTTTCCTCTCGGACGGGCCTACATCAGACGCCGGAGCCGAGGATTGTTAAGCGGGTGTAATCTCTCAATGCTTAAAATGTTGAAAAACGTCATTGAAAAGTTGCTCAATTGGAGTAGCCAAGATAAAGCGGACTTGCATACAGCGAAGTGCTGTTAGAAAATAAGCTTTTCCATGTTGGCGGAAGTGAGTTTGTGGAATTAAATACCAACAGTTCGTATTGAACCAATAACCTCAGTCAATCATAATGGCCCAAAAAGCACGGTCTGGCTTTAAATGTTGCATCCCTAGCCTTTTATTGTTCTTGGCTCGCTAACGAATTGCATGTTAGCGAGTCTAAATTGCAGATATTCAAGTCTACCCACGGCTTTAGCGAGTGCACTAACTTAATCAAGTGCGGTTACTCACTGACAATATACACACAGCGCATTGTTGTTGCAGCCACCGATGTGATCTTCTGCAAGGACCTAGACTTCTTGAATTCCAATTTGCCTGCAAGGTGTCAAATTCAAGGTATAAAATAACCTTGTTGCCTTCTCACTTAGCTACAACCAGATTATCCGCCGCCTCATAATAAAGTAAGACGAGTGAGCAAGCCGGGCAAGATGGAATGTATTCACAATTCCGATTGTTCATGCAGCAAAACGGTAACTCAGGAATCTGTTACCAGAACAGCATTAGCATCAAGTCAAGTATTATAACTTTTGTTCATTTTGATCGTAGTAGGGGACCAAAAATCTATGTACCCTACATGGAACCACTTTGCGTCTCATTCCTTACCGGACCAGATGTCGACTTCAATGCCAAAACGGACAGGCAATGCATAACTCTCTGCTCCATGTTATTCGGGGGAGGGGTTCTTGTAGCTCTTTTTTCACATCTGGTTCTCGAAGGTCTTCAGTCTTTCTATGACCAAAAGACTTCGCACGCTGCCTGTCATGCCATGTCTGCGATCGACGCTGGCGTCTTGCGCGTTTGAGATCTGAGAACCATGTGTTATTGAACTCTTGGCCGTTTAACTGTTCTTGTTCGAACTCTTTTGTTGTTGGAAGATGCGGCTTCGCGTTAGACGATGGGTAGAGTCTACTATCCTCAAAAAATACCCAGGCTCGTTGTCGGTACATTGTTTTGTGTATTTGGGAGAACTCCGAAATCCCAGAGTAAATTACTCGATACAAAGCGGGCTCTGGGTCTTCCACTTCCTCCATGCTTCCTTCTATAAAGTCGTCATTCTTTAGAGTGAAATTTACGTAACTCTCTTCTTCTGAGTCACTTTCCACGTCAAAATTGTAGCTTTCCGTATAATCATCTTCCTCAACGTACCATCCTTGAATGCTGGTTCCATACATAGGATGGTATTCGGACCATGTGAAATAAAACTCTGATTCATTCCCTGGGCGTTTACACTGGAGCCACTGGTCGAGCTGTAACCGCCTAGAAGACCCGGCTGTGGCATATCGGATAAGTATGGTGACGAGATCCAAGCCAAATCCAGCTAGGCGTGATGCAATTGGAAGGATGTCACAGTCCCAGCCGAAATCAGAGACATAGTCGTTAGGGTTGACGCAAAGGTTGTCTGGGTATAGCAGACCGGGATTAAGAGTCGGAGAAGGATCCAGAATATTTTCTGGCAACCAGCTGTCGCTAACCTGAGCGAAGATAGCCCCGTAAAGGGACTCTACATATGTTTGTACGCAAATAATGCCCTCTCGGTCTATTCGGTTGAAACATTTGCCTTTGTACTGGTGTAGTTTCATTTTCCATGGCCCTTTAATTTTCAATTGTTGTCGATTAATCAGCGATATCAGTTGATAGCGAAAAAAAGCTCTCAATAGTCGTCTTCTTTCCAGCCACGTAAGGTTAGCTGCGTCGAATCTGGCACTGCCTTTGAGTTTCTGGCCCTTGAATATCAACTGTCCACTGATCGATGATAAATCAGGAAGACAAACATACTCCCGAGGCGGGAAGACGGCAATAGCCTTGGTTATGTAGTCTTCAATGAAGAGTATGAGTCGCCCATGTAGTTTGTGGAGTTTGCCGATTAATCGATCATTGTGTTTGCGTAATGGATTTGGGAGCTTTTGTGCTGCCCAAGAGCGACAGAGGCGGAGAGGCGAAATCTCCAACTCGCCTGACTCAAGTTGTGAAGGAAAAAGAACGATCGCAATGGCATCTTGAACCATCTCATCATCGAGGTCTAAGGCAAGCACCTTCCGGGAGATCGTATGTTTTGATTTGATGTACTGTTGAAGCATCACAGGCGAAGCTTGGATGAACTGCAGATTAGTACGTCTGGAACGGATCTGTACCATGATCTCTACCTGGAGCTCTGCTGGCAGCTTGCTGAAAGAATCCATCTTGGTAGATTTTCTTGCCGTCGGGGCTGAGACTGTAATCTCGCAAATCCTGAGTGGAGTTGTGTTGAGTTGTGGTAATTCGAGATGGTGATGGGTTAATACGCTGGACAAGTAAGTTGTTGGTGCAGTTTGGTCAATCAGTCGCGTCACCTGGATGGACTCAGGTATTAACCACTGTCTGTGAGATGAAATTTAAATTCCCAGCTTCGTCTTGAACCGGAGGGGGTATTTGACTGGCTTGATGTAAAGTAATGCTCTCGTTTCGGAGAAAGCTGCCCTCAAGGTTCCATTGAAAATGGAATCGGTGTTTGAGTTCAATGACAGTGAGCTAACCACGAACAATGGATGACGGATGCGGATTCTGGTGCCTTTTGGTGGGGTATCCAGGCTCAATTGATTAAATCACGATGGCATGAGATTTGACTTTGATGAAGGAGGATCGGAAATACCGAAGCCCTGATATTTGCGTTGGGGAACGTTGTGGTCAAGGCAATAGTTGGTTACGTTTTACGTGTGACATATCCCATTATCCCATTCAATGAGAACCACAAGCGAGGGTTCGTGTAGCGAAATTGATTTGAAAAAGTCGACGAGAACGTATCGTAGGTTGGATGGCTGGTTACTCCTGCTGGATGCGTTACACCGGTGACTTTAAAACACGTGGCTTTCAGGCAGATGTTCAATAATGAGGCCATTGCGACAAACAATGTGTCTTCAAGATAATCATGACTTCTGAAATGTCAGCGGTTTGGCCTTTTGGTTCGCTTGTGCCCTTGGTTGACCATGAAAGCAATGTTTATGCCGGTTCCACTGCATCATTTATAGCATATGATATAATCCATAACAAAATCATAATGATAACTGTGCACGTCTAATTTGTTTTCTCATGTGCCCTTACAAAGCCTGTGTGCCGCCTACTTTTCTTCCAATGACACTGGCCAAGCACGCATTCGTGACAGTTCATTTGGCCAACACTCCCACAAGTTTCCTCCCCACGATATTCGCTGGTGTTCGCTATTAGATATTCCGACATCGTAGCAAGCATCAAAGATCGATCCAATTTGGTCAAGATTCGGGAGAGTTGTGCAGGAACTATATTACCTTCAGAAGCACGATAAATTCAGGGTAAGTTGTCTGGTCAGTTGATGAGACCTGGGCAGCACAAATGCTGTGATAGAGTTTGGTGGCAAGTAACAGGATGCTTTGCTGCATGTCTTGAACTTGTAAACGTTGTGTAAGCTAATAAAAGTCTGAGACCTTGAACGGCGTGACTCATCTAGAATTTGCTTCCGCCCGGAGTTACCTTAAAGCCGCGATAATGTCAGCATGCAACCAACCGACTCTTAGACTTGCAACTTTCGGCATAGTGAAATTCTGATTGGCGGACTGACGTCAACCTGGCCGCAGTGACACTCCCTAATTTTCAATGGTCTGGTGCAATTAACAATCATCACCCCACGTTCGAACAGCAACCCTGCTCAAACTAAGGTAGTAAAACTTCCAACATGTGGGGTAGATCGTGTCCTCACAACCGAAAGCTTGCTACATAAAGCGGTGGTATCGACTACAAGTAGTTCAATTGTCTTTCCAAAATCAATTCGAAAAACTTCTTTACTAAAAGTGTGATAAATTTTACCTTTTGCCTCTCAAAAATACTCCGAGCTAGTCATAATGACAATCCCTGGCATCCCAAATCCCGCTGTCCCTTACGGTAGCTTGATCGTCATCTCTGGCGCCAGTGGCTTTATCGGTTCCCATGTCGCAGATCAGGCGCTTGCAGCTGGCTACAAGGTCCGCGGTACAACACGAGATGTGCAGAAAAACCAGTGGATAGAAACTCTATTCAACCAGAAGTACGGCAAGGACAGCTTCGAGTTGGTTGCGGTACCCGACATGGAAGTCAAGGGCGCCTTTGACAAGGCTGTTGAGGGTAATTATCTGCTTTTCACCTCTGATTTGTATTTCTCTCTCTACTTGAGCAACTGCTGATGGGAAAAGGCGCCGCTGGCTTCGTCCACGTGGCAAATGACATGCAAGGCTCCCGGGATCCTAAGATTGCGATCCCTAGAGCAGTTGAAGGTGTACTCAACGCCCTGAAATCATCAGCCCAAGCCGGCCTGAAGCGTTTCGTTTTCACTTCATCTTCTTTCGCGGTGACGCAGCCGAAGCCGGGAAAGGTCTTCACGCTCACTAAAGACAGCTACAATGATGAGGCTGTCGAACGCGTCAGACAATCCACCTACGACGGAGAAACAGTGTATTCCGCTAGCAAAGTGGAGTCGGAGCGCGCTATCTCAAAGTGGGTCAAAGAGAACAATTGTTCCTTGGTCGTCAACACGGGTGAGTATTTTTCATGTTCAACATATAGTAAACATCCGCATTGCGCTTTTTCCAACTGATTTTATAAAGTCCAACCTAACGCCAACATCGGTCCTTTAATAAATGCCGCTAAGCAAGGCTACCCGACATCGGCCCGCTGGGTGAAGAAACTCTGGGACCACGACTATGAATCCCTGAAGGATACACCTCCTCAACACTTCATTAACGTGCAGGATGACGCACGCTTACACATAATCGGGTTGGCTCATCCCTCCGTGCAGAATGAACGTATCTTCGCCATTGCTGGGCCGGTCAACCTTCAGGACATTGTCAGTATTTTACGAAAGTTGTACCCACAAAAGAAATGGGAAGATTTTCCAAACAACGACAAGGACCTTAGTACCTTTGAGCCAATTAAGAGGGCCGAAGCTTTATTGAAGGAGTCCTATGGTGCTGGGTTCATTGGGCTTGAGGATAGTGTAAGAGGAAACGCAGCAGATCTGGCTGCGGAGGAAGGTTTAGTAACTCCCTCATGTTACTAGCGCTATGATGTTATTCATCGAGGGTATCTATCACAGGACATGTTGAGATCACTGCATCAACAAAGCAGCTAGAATAAACTTTTCGATGGACACAAAAAGGCTTTGCACCCAAGTATAGCTTTAATAATGCTTTTATTAGAGTGGGATGACTTGCATAGTTATTTTCAACTCTAGAACCTTTGCAAAGAACCATTAACAAGTGTTATTTTCACCACAAAAGGCACATACGACCATACCCACTGGAAAACTCGGGATCCCGTCCGCTCTCCCATAGATAAGCCAGTGAGGGCCGGATTAGTAGTTGGGTCGGTGACGACCAGCGAATACCTGGTGTTGTATGTTTTTCTATAACTTGTTTTTTGTTTGACCAGTAGGTTGGCACATCGCAGGTTTGAAAGGTATTTCAGTCACAATATGACCTGGTAGCAGGTCAACAGCTTCATTTTTGGCTTGCGCAAGCCGGCGCTCAATGTCATATGATGATGGCTGGGAATCATGATGCGGTATCCATTTATTGCGTGTTGAAAACCTCGGCTGACTTGAACTGTCGTGTATCAACAGTCCAAATCTTCCCCAGTTGGAGGTTAGAATCAATCAATACACTCTAGCCACCGAAACGACATTCCGTACGCGCCCTAATATCCCTCAGAGATGATGATTCCGCCCACTTCAATTGCAAGCGCTGTAAGGATCTCCCTCGCCACACTTGCAAGCGCAACCACCACAGGCAAACTCGCAGTACCAGTACTGAGTTGGGGACTGCCAGTGAGCACCACACTGTCCCGAACACACAATGGCGGTGGCAGATGTGGCAAGCATGCCGATTACAAGGCTGGCGATAGCAATGCCCTTCATGTTGAAGTCGAGTGGTCTATAAAAGTTAGCGCTACTGGATGCATCAACCAATTCAAGCTTGTTTCTTACTTGAGGAGGGTTTGATTTTAAACACGCCTTCGTATAGAGGCATATAGATTGGGTTCTTGGACTGAATTGCACGTTCTTTGTGTGAGTATTTATAAAAAAACAAACGAGAGGTATCTTGGCACGAGTCCATCTGTGAGTAGACTGTCAGAAGAACATTTCGAAGGATCGTAAAGGATTGCACACCCTATGTAACTAAGTCTGCAGTAAGAAATAAAAAGTTGTCGGTAAAACCCAATCGCAAATGCCTACTATGTTACCTTCCCCTTCCAGTATTCCCATACCAAGCGTTTTAAATGTTACTGGAGGAAAAAAAGCAAGTTCGCTTCTTGTTGCACACCATCGTCATCCGTTCGTGGCTGGAGAACCGGAATTCTCTTCCCCATTGGTCTTTTTGAAATTCACTCGCTGCATCTAGTGGGACTATACGACGTTGTTATCACAGACAAGTCAAATTTTTTCACAAAAGAAGTTAAGCACCGTGTAGCAATAAATTATTATTCACTGTTATGACTACCACAACTTGTCAGTTTGAGGCATGCAGGTAAAGTGCTAAACAGGAGGTGACAAGGCGTAACCTTGTGAACTGAGATCTTTATCTCATGCCATATTCGTTGGCTCTTCCTTGCACATAATATTTAGGTTCTCCAAGTGCCAGCCGGCATTTTACTCTAGCCAATCACCAGGGTCTGTTAGGCGTTCTGGGTAGCTACGAAACCGATATTCTCCCAGGAGGAAGGTCTGACTGCACATCTTTACTCGACTTCTTGATTTTACCGGAGTTGTGTTCTCACTAATCATGAGTTAAGCATCTGCACGAATTTTTCTTAAAGCGGCTGCAGTCTGAAATGCGGCTATAATAGTGTCTAATTGGTTTGTTTGGATTATCGAATTGGTGTGCTCGGACTATAGATTTCTTACGCCTCTCTTGGCGGAAGCGGGGGTAGTATTGGCTTTATCAAGGATTGCACTCCATCAGACACCGAAGCATACTCTAACTCGCGAATATCAGTGGCTGATCCGTGGGTTGGTCAATTAGGGAATTACTCCTTTCATCAGGAAGGTGATGGGCTCGAAGAGGGTTTCAATGCCTACGACATTGGTTATTTAGAAAGAGAACTGCATTTATCTTGATTGGAGTCCCCTTAATATAAATACTTACCCCGACCCTCTACAGATTTCCCTATCTTTCAAATTGAACTACATCAAAGGTAGTTCGCCTCATCTTACATCGAGAACTTATATCTTTTCTTCATCCCTTATTAAATACTGATCCTGCCCAACATGCAACTTACCGTCTTCGTCACCGCCCTGCTTGCCTCTGTCGCTTCGGCCAGAACCTTCGTGTTGTACGAACACGCCAACTACGGTGGTGCATGGAGCACCGAAAACCGTGGCAACGATGGCACCTGCTGTACGTTGAAGATTCTCACATTCAAAAGTATACCGTTAATAGGGCATAGGGAATCTTAACGGCAAGGGCGACAAGACCAGCTCTGTTGGCGGTGACTCCGGATGCACCACCTTTTACCGGCAAGTATATTACTTAAACTCATTTGCTTTTTATATTACTGACGCTATGAACAGGGAGCGGGACTGTCAAGGTGCACAATGGCAGAACCGTGGCAGCGCGAGGACGGTTCCCGACTTCCTCAATGACCACATTTGGTCATTCCGCAACCAGTGTTAATGCAATTCTTGTTTATGGCAACGTTGCTCTCGATACAAGCTTCCTAGACTGTGACTAAAAAACTGGGACGTCGTCCTAGCTCTCGTATTCAAACTGGCATCTGTCACTCATTCGTGCACTTGCGTGGGCTTTTTGAAGTTTTACACAGTATTATGGGAGTCTACAACCAGTTTGTGTTGCTGAAAGTTTTGAGGGCTTGCAAAAACTACTTAGTTTATTGCAATTAGACAAGGATAAAGAGCAACCGTGTTTAGTGAATATAACTATTCATTGGTCAAGATACAGCTTACCCTCTGAATGCTATCCATTTTGTGCTTAACGTCGCTCAACATGCCAACATTGTGGAAAACTTAATTTGAATGCGTATTTAATTACAAACTCATGAACCAATTACTGCAGTGATTCTTTTACATGAGGTAGTGTATGAGCGGTAAGATGCGATACACGTTCGCAAGTGTGAACGAAGTAGAAAATATCACCTATTGTAGTTCGTCCGTAATATCTCGAACAGTCGTTAGATCTAGTATGTAGGCGAGTGGAGATGACCGACCAGACTTGGCTTTGCCTTGCTCGTCGGTGAATGTCATAAGCTGTCTTTCCTGTCACTGAAAATTGTCAATTGGCTGCCTTGGGGTGCACCTACTGCACCGAGGATGGGATGATCGACTGGTGATACTTGGCGTTGAACAGTGGCTAAAACGATTTACGAAGTACTTTATTACCGACTAAAACATTTTTCCCGAGAGAGTATCTTTACGGCAAGATTACACAAATAGATATATTGCAAATCTGCAAAGTTTTTTTTACTTCAGGAATGGGTGGAACTCCACTTTCAAAGCTGACCGCCATAGAATAAGCAATGCCAAGCAAGTCTCATGCCGAGTATGATGACAAAACATGACATATATGCCCCTTAAACTGGATCTGAATATGCTTATTGATGTCTTTGAAAAGTAGATCCATCAAACCTTTCACACGTCTTTTGAAAAAGGTGGATTCTGTTATAGATAAGCATGTTTAGATAAATGTTCTGTGGACTGGATACAATATTGATCGTGATGAATGAGACTATTGAGAGGGGCTGGCAGAGTGGCCTTCAGTGATTGAATAGTTACCCGAACGCCTTTCAACTGCCTGAGTGGAGATGTAAAAAGTACAGCCATTAGGTGCCGCAAAAAGTCTTCCTACTTTCGTTGAACTGGTGAAATCCAAGGGCAAAGATTAGTGACGCAATTTTCGTAGTACGCAAAGCAGCCTTTCAAACTGCCTCATCGTACCTTTTCCTTGTTTGACATGAGTAGTCTTTAGTGGAACTGGCTTTTACACACCCTTAAGCCAATTAGGAGTTTCTTATTTCCAAGATTCCAGGGTACGAATACAAACCATGTCCTTAGCTTCTTACCTTGGCACAAACTTATCGTTGCCGCTCTCCGATCATTAGCCAATGTCACCCACATATTCTTAATCGCTCCACTTGTGGCTGGCAGACGTCAATACGGCCAACGGCATATCGGCACATCCTCCGCAAAGAGCCTCAAACAACGGATGGACCGGCTCCTGCCCCACTCGGATAGTGATGCCGTAGAAGTCCATTTACGAGGCTCAACACCATCAAGGTTCTTGTACTGGCTTAGATAAATAGATGTAGTAACAAGCATTTGATCAAACCTAGCACATAATTCGACTCGTCCATAACATCGCCTTCAACTATTACACCAGCGTCAGCTCGCACAGGCTGCTTTTTATCGCCTCTTTCTTTGCATGAAAAAAGGTTTTAGCCAAACTTAGAAAAATGGTGTCAAAAATCGGCCCTGTTGTTGATCTGACCAAGGTCGACAAGTCGGAAGTCCTTTGTTATTACGCTATAAAGGACAACGACTATAGCGGTCACATGGGAGCACGAGTCTCGTCCATCTTTGTCATCTTGTTTGTCTCATCGGCATTCACCGTCTTTCCCCTCGTAGCAAAGAGGGTTAGAATATAGAGAATCCCCAAATCAGTCTACACATTTGCACGCTTCTTTGGTAGTGGAGTCATCATCGCCACTGCCTTCATACACCTGCTCGACCCGGCTTACAAACGCATCGGACCCGGAACGTGTGTTGGCGAGTCCGGAAATTGGGGTAGCTATTCATGGTGTGCAGCTATCGTTCTTGCTGCTGTACTTGGTATCTTCACACTTGATCTCGTAGCAGAGGTTTACGTTGAGAGGAGATTTGGACATGTGAAAGATACGAATGCAGCAGAGGTAATGATAGACGCAGGCCATCAAAGCAACATCCAGTCCTCTGAGTTTCTGAATCGCTCGGTCGAGCCGAAAGATGTAGTCGACCACGAGTTGGCCTCCACGGAAGATTCTGTGCGTATCAAACAGTTATTCTGGCAACAAATTACGGCATTTTTGATTCTCGAGTTTGGGATCATCGTCCATTCCGTCATCATCGGCCTGAACTTGGGGGTCACTGGCTCAGAATTTGCTACTCTGTACCCTGTTCTCGTGTTCCATCAGTCCTTCGAGGGTTTGGGTATCGGCGCCCGCATGTCGGCCATTCCCTTTGGTAAACGGACCTGGCTCCCTTGGATTCTTTGCGCAGCCTACGGACTGACAACACCAGTGTCAATTGCTATTGGCCTCGGTTTGCGTCACACTTATACACCCAAGTCAAAGACCGCGTTGATTGTCCAGGGCGTTCTCAACGCTGTGTCAGCTGGCTTGTTGATCTACAGTGCTTTGGTGGAACTATTAGCAAGAGACTTCTTTTCGACCCTAATCGTACTACACGTCGATCAGGTCTTGCTTACATGTTCTTCTGCATGCTGCTTGGTGCTGGAATTATGGCACTGATAGGTTATTGGGCCTAATATCAACAGGAGGTTCTGACCAGGCTATAAGACTTCAGAAGCAATAATTAGAGGCGTGTCCGAAAAGATGATCTAGAAATAAGACATTCTTAATTGAAGTATCGAAACTCTTGTCCAGCCCCTAGACCATTTTAATAATCTCCATCAACCTGCAAAAGATTCATCTTAATAAGGTAAGTGTACAGGAGTTCCGAGGCAACGGCATGTTCCACAAACAGGCTGTTCTGAGTCCATCCGGTTATGTCCAGATCGTCCGTTGAATGTACGATATTATATTGCTAACATTCCGGGAAATTACAGCCAGGTAGAAGTCCGAAGGGGACACTATTCATCTCGAGCCTGCCCATTGGACTGCTCCTACTAGTAGTAGTTTGCACAAATCTACGTGAAAATCAATGTGCAATTGAATTAGCTTAAGCTTCGCGCAAACTAGGATGGCGGATGTCATAATACGTCTTGGTGATAGTAGTGGTATCTAATAAGTTTTGTCTTTAACTTGTTACACCGGGAAGTTGAGAGCATGTCTGAAACACAAATAGCAAATACTCTACAAGGCAATTGTTTGGGATGCTTTGCCCATATGGGCTCAGCAAGCCTCAACAGAAGAGCCGGATTACCTTAGCAAAGATGCAGGACATGGGCGTCAGCTTCTATGGAGCCTTCAGGGTGTATTAAAAGTCATGCCACGACTTAAAAGCCTTCGTTATTGTCACTAGTTACCAGACATTTCAATACACGAGCATGAGTCCTAGGAGCCTTTATTTCACCATCGTTGCGCAATATATCCAGCTTCTGGAGTAAAATCTGTAATAAGAACACATAGAGAAAAAATGTTTGATGAATTGTGGAGTTATTGGATCTTTGCTGCCTCCTAAGCTGTTGTCAGATCCAGCCTACCAAGCACCGTGTCTCTTGAAGTAAGCCGGTAATTTGGGCGCTCTCAACAAATGACAGGCTCCAACACCGGGCCAAAACTTAATATAAGGCTTGGTCCTCCACTTGCTTTTGTCATTCGGGACTACGACATCCTCACTGCAGTGCACAACATGACTCCAGGAAACAGCCATGCCGGGTACTAGAACCTCTGGAGTTTCCGGGCTCAACGTTGCGGCGGCTTGTGTGAGTACCTTCCACGCATTAAGACAATGCCCCTTGTGGTGGTTGACGCGATCATATGCTTCCCCGAACTCGCCCGACAAGATGTAAGAAAGATTTAGTGGGTGATTTTTCTCCTTGTCCCGGTATATCTGATGCACGGGATTGCGGATAAACTCGTCTGCGATGTCTTCGGCACTGCAGTACGGCTGGGTCCAGTAAAGAAGACCAGGGTCGTACACGCAGCCAGCAGCCTTGGCTTCCTTGACTGACTTGCCGCACTTGGAGATCCTAGCGATGTCGTCCCTGCGTTGAGCGTAGGTCTCTTCTAATGATGGCGTGGAGGGGTTCCATAGCAAAAGAATAGTAGTAGCCAGAAGAAAGCCGGTGATAAAAGCCGCAAAGTCTTGTGCTGCGATCTGGAACCTGGCGACGCTGCTAAAGCGACTCGTTTCCTGCACACTTGACGTTGATTCAAGATCATCGCTGTCTAGAGGTTCATAACTGGATACTGAAATCATTCTGATGAAAAAAGTAATGAGACTAATTATGTATGGCTGAAACAGGCGTTATGATCAAAAACCATCTAGCGCAGTGTATAGACATTTGTTGGAGTAAGTAGAAGCGGAGAGAGAGAGGAGAGTCAGCAAGATAAGCACAACCAGAGGGCTGGCACAGGCCATGCTGGATACAACAGTATGTATGATAAGACATGTACTATGCTTATATTGATCGATAAGTAATAGGAAATTGCCCTTTAATAATATCATGTTCTTTCCAATAGGTAGCCATGCCGTTTTCAAACGAACACCTTGTCCAATAATTGACCACCTTTCCAAGTCAACGATTGAGATTTTATAGGATAGGGCTTTGCTCCTGTCATGTATCCCATTTCTTGGCTTCTGAATTTCACTTCTTTCCATGCCACTTCTGCCAACACATTTGGGTCCTACCGCTTTAGCTATCATCTCACGAGACGGGGAACCTAATTAGATCGGCGCTAGTCCAATGCATGACGTTGAACATCTAGCGAATTCTGTTCCATCTTAAACCCGGTCTCAAGCTATTTGGTGTTTCACCCCGCGGGAAACGTATTTGCTTGATGTTCGAATCCCGCGAGAGTTTTGACGACTCAGTTTGAAAGTAAATGACACGAATTTGTCGCATGCAGCGATTAACCCAGTTCCTTACATTGTGATCTACGAAACGTCTAAAAGTGGTTCGTAGTTGTCAGGTGCCACATTCCCCCGTAACCTTTCTCCACACCACCACACTGTCTTTTTAGAGTTAAAGACTAAATTCAAACAGCCGGTTGTCGAGAGTGCTATTGCCAAGAAGGAGGGGTGCGTATATTCAATCTACCACTCGCACCGTGTTCTACGAACCCGGACAGCATATGCAACTGAGTGCTTATCTCGACCCTGAAACCTATTATTGCAGTATGATTTATCATGGATCCGTCTGTATATGGTCATTCTTTCCTACTTAACTCTGTTCCTCGCGAATCGACCTTGGAATCTGTTTTCGATTCAGTTCAATCACAAACAATTGCTCGCTATTCGCAATGTCTTCTTATCTTAATACTCTGTGGTTGAACAGGAAGCCAACTTCAACAAATTGTTATTTTCATCACACTCAACACCTTTGCGTATATTTCGCCGCTGGTCTCATAGCTGCATTAGCTGGCCAGGTCATCGGGTTGAAAATACTTGGCCATAGCTTTGCTGCCGGACTTGAACGGCCCTCACCCTTTGGCGATCGCGATTGGATAAAAGATAACGCACTTTCTTATCAATATCCATGTGGTCAAGATAGCAATGCAGCAATAAGACTAGGATGCGTTTTCGAACTAGCCACAGGAACCTGGCAGCCTCCTGAATGCACACACCAGCAGCAAGAGGAAAAGTTTCGCCAGATTCGCAACTGGAAATTTTTCGCATATAAAAACTCAACTTTTGATAACATGCATGTTGCAATCAATGGCATTCATGACCGTAATAACTTATACGAGGTAGCACTTGATCAGGTGCAGTTTCTTGGTTCAACCGTTCAGATTTGGACAACTTGGGAATTCCACCTGTATCGATGCGCGTGGCTTTGGAGAAGGGACGTGCTAGTTGCGAACGGCAATGTCACAGGTCATTTGGGTGGGCGACAGCATTGTGTAGATGAGGCTTTAATGAAGGAGGACAGGTATGCTCTCGATGACGTGGTAGCTGGATATCGTGTGAGGTTTTTGAGCTGTTCAGCACCACCTCAATTCATTGTCTAGTTGTCAAATAAGAAGGTCTCAATTTAATTAAGCTCCTATTTACTTGTGGCGATTTAGTTTTCAGGAGCTCGCTTTGTGTCAACGGACTTGTGCTGATCGTTAGAGAAAAGCGTCGCATTTTCTAGACCATCTTGATGGAATTCGGGGTATATTAGACTACTTGATCTGCTCAGATAAGAGAAATTTCAGCCATTTTGTAATTGCCCTGCAACTAAACCTAGCCAAACACAACACACTACCAAAATGTTTGTTGCTGTTGTCCTGATAGAAATCACAACCATAAATTGTCACTCAGTATTGGCCTCTGTCATTTGCAAAAAGCGGTAAACTTTGCGTGTATTACTAAATTACCGACTGTGAAGTTTCATGGAGGTGTTACCTTTGTCCAAGACAAGTATCAAGGCAGCAAAACATGCGAAGAAGGTCCAGGTTAAGATCGAATCAAGTAAAGGTGAATTGTATGAAGTAACTTCGATGCGACAAACTTCACTTCTCAAAAGAAATTTGTAACGAAATGCGAACATTGAATTCTTGCTCTATCTCTGAGTGTACATTGATGCCATTGTTTGCAGCACTACTTTTTGATACGCCGTGGAAAACTATGATAAGATGGAGCACAATTCTAAGCCAGCCATATGATGTCTTGTTCCAAATTCTGTATGGCTAGCTCCGAATCCGTTGACTACTGGTCAATCTTGCCACCAGCAGCTGGGTCGTCAGTGAAGATATAGTCGGTCGACACTTCACCTCCGTCTCTCTTCTTCTTCTGGTCCACCTTGCCGCCGCCATCTGGGTCGTCAGTGAAGATGTAGTCGGTCGACACTTCACCTCCGTCTCGCTTCTTCTTTTGGTCAACCTTGCCACCGCCAGCTGGGTCGTCAGTGAAGATGTAGTCTGTCGACACTTCACCGCCTTCACGTTTTAACATCTTTGTTCAATAAGTTAGCTCTTCGATGATATGTGGTTCGAAGGAATCTACAAGACTCTTACATTCGCGCCATGTAACATGGGAATTGCAGAAACAGTTGCTGCAAATACAGTGGTGTAAAGAAAGAGCTTCATTGTGGCAAGTGTAATTGGAGTAGTGAAAACAACAATTTCAAGTGCTTTGGATGGTATGATCAAGGGAATTGATCAGGCCAGGCGTTGAAATATGTATAGGTTTGAATCACAGATATCATCTTAATGATTGTTACGATGACTGAACCCTTGATGGCATCTTCAACCTTGGTTTCACCTCTCTTACCCTGGTTCCATTGATGGAGCCCAATTTGAGTCAAGAACGGGCCTCTCTTCCGTATTCTCAAGTCGCTTAGTATAAACTTTCTAAAAAGATGAAATCATCTTGGATAAACTTTTCCATACATCATCACTGTTCCGAAACCCTTCGTAAGGGGACTTATTGACTCATGTGTTGAGATACCCTGTAAATCCTGGACTAGCCCGCCGAAAATACACCGGTGTTTACATCGAACCCGATACATGGCCTGCACAGTGCCGCGATCGACCGGCCCACAGCTAGGCTTACAGAGCAAACAATGGCGGCTGTGGCATCTTCAACCTTGGTTTCACCTCTCTTACCCTGGTTCCATTGATAGAGCCCAATTTGAGTCAAG